TTATTCTCTGAATGCATATTCCAATGCATTAGTTTTAATTTCAAAGGATTTGTAGGAATCTGCTTTATACAGAACTAGTTCTGAAGTAATATGTTTAATAATTTCATCAAAAGCTTCTTATGCTTTGAAAGTTTATTCGAAAGGCTGTTCTTTTTTAGTAAAATTTGTAAGAAAGTGTGCAATTCAGCTATAGTTCTTAATAAACTGCTTGTAAAAGTTAATATATTCGAGAAAAAATCTAATATTCCTAACATTCCTGAAAACTAGCTAATTCCTAACAGCTTCTATCTTATCTTTCTATAGCTTAATATATTCTAGCTTGATTATAAATCCAAGATAATTAACTTTTTGTATGTAAAAGTAATTCTTTGCAGATTCTATAAGAAGTTTTGTATCTTAAAGCATTTGCAATACTGTTTTCACATATTTCTTATATTCTTCAAGTATTTAAGAGTAGATAAGAATGTTATTGAGATAAGCAATGATGAACTGATTCAGATGCTTGTATAGAACATAATTAATTATTTCCTGAAACAAAGCTGAAGCATTTATTAGACTAAAGAGTATAATCAAATATTTGTAATATTTATAGTATATTTTGAAAGCAGTTTTCTATTCTTCTTCTTTCTTTATTCTGATTAGATTATAAGCTTCTTTCAGATTTAGAATTATAAATCACTATACTCCTTGCAATCTATCTTATAGTTCCTTAATAAGTAGCAATAAATATCAGTTTTTAATTATAATATTATTAAGTTGCTTGTAATTAATATATAGCTTGAGCTTGCTATTTTTCTTAGATATAAATAGAATAGGATATTCTGCTGATAATTGCAATAATTATATGTATTCTTTCTTAAGATTCTTATTAAGATACTTCCTAAGTGCTTCTAGCTATGCTTTGTTTAGTTTGTAAATAGGAAAGAATTTGGGCTGTTTCTCTTCTTGTAGTAGGATCTTATAGTTGTATAAGCTGTATTCTAGCAATCTTATATTCAATTCTTTCTGGAATAGTTTCTTGAACTTGTAATATTCTCGTAGTATGTTTGCAAGTATTGATTCTAATTCTTATGCTGTTTCTGCTATCTGAAGGAACAGTAGATACTGTTGAGCGTGCTTCTTTTCATTCATTGTTTTTGGTGATGTTTTTTTTAAGAGCTTTAAGCGTTCGCTCCGGGCTGAACTGAGCGCTTGAGAGCCTGGTTTTGAGGTTTTTTCTGTATAGATCTACAATTCATATTCTGAAGCTTATTCTTGTTGCTCCAGAGCGAACTGATTTGCTAAGGATCTCGCTTTCGTTATTTTGTTAACCTATTAGCATCCTAGCACTATTTGGATTCGCTTATTACTAAATCCTTCTTCTTAAACTGCTAGCTCTGCTAGTTTGAAAGTATGTATGAAGTTGTATAAAGCTTCTTTTCCTGAGTATTCTTCAATCACTAGCTTCGATCCTATACTGTTAATTGTAACTATCTCTCTAAGTATAGCTTGTTCTCATGAGATCTAGCTAGTAGTTCAATCAATTCAAGGATTGTGCTCTTTGAGCTATAAAAGCTCTATAATTAGCTCATGCTATGCTATATCCGTGATATCAAAAGAAGCTCTAGTTATGCGCTTTTGGATTAAGATAGATAGATGATTAGTTTTCTTATTGATTACTTCTTGATTATATATAATAGATTGTTCTTTCATAGTACTAAGAGTGTATGAGCATCTTTTCCATCTCTATTGTAGTTGTGCTTGATTAATGATATATAGGGATATAAAGTTTTCCTGAGTGCTACTGTTTAATAGTATGCTGTATTTGTATCCTTAAATGTATATATTAAGCTTGATATAAGCATAATCTGTTCTAGAAGCTTTATATAGAAACTGTTCTGATCTGATTATTTGCAATCCCTTTATAAGCAATTCTGTTTTTTTGAATTCATTAAGAACTGTTTATTCTTCTAAGCTTGCTTCGCTGCTTCTCAAGCAAGCTTCTTAGCTTGCTTTTGCTTATATCATTATTATTCCTAGTTTTTCTTCTGTTAATACTAGTTGCAAACTTTATTATTGATATGAACTGTGCAGAGTATTGTTTTATACTGCTACTATTTTATTTTCTTATTTATACATTGCATGGAATAGTTATCTAGTAGTTCGATATATGCATTATAATGCTATCTGTTGAAAATCTTTCTAAAGCGGAATTTCTGTTTTTTAATAGCTTAAAGGATTTGTTCTGATTCTCTAATAGGGAATTATTTGTATTATATCTTATCTGAGAAATGTATTCTGCAGCTATAATAGATGTAGAAGATTCAAGCTAGTTCGTAATGTAGATCATGAAGTAAGCTGATTCGAGAGTTCTCATCTTCTTATGTCTTGATATTCTGCAAGAAAATGCAAGTAAAGAGCTCTTCTAGCTCTATTTCATAAACGAGATATTCAATCTATATTGCTTTCTTATTCTATCTAATACTGAAGGGAAATCTTTCTTTAAGCTTGTTAAGCATATTATTTGCAGGAAGCTTTTGCAGGCTGCTAGATTGTTTGCTCTAGCTTGATCCTTCTATTATCTGAGAGATGTTTTCTATATTGCTTAGATATTCGTACTAATAGCTAAGAGAGTATTATCTCTTATTCATATTCCTGATCATAGTGCTTAGTATAAGCAATAAAGAATATTGAAAAGTATTGTTACTAAGCTCTTCTTTCAATGCCTGAATGCTCTATCCTATAATATCAGAGCAGTCTGAGTTATTACTTGTAAGAATGCTGGGCATGCATTCTTGCTCTGCTATTGCTATTTATTTACAGCGCTGAGGCTTCTAAGAGAATCATTCTGAATCTTCCTTACTCGAAAGATATATTAAGCAGTTATTGTTATAGCAGAATATTCAGCTGAGACTTCTGTAATCAATAGAATTCAATACTTGCTCTAAGAAAGTATTTCTGCTTAGTTAATTGGATTCCTATTGCTAAGCAATATTTATCTAGCATTCTTTCTAAACTAGTTGCTATTTATTCTTCTGAAGTTAATAGCAGTTGTATGCAATGTATTCTTGTTTATTATAATTATAGCAAGTAATACTATTTCTCTTGCTATACTGCTTGTTAGCTGCATTGAGTTTCATGAAATCAGCATGTATAATGCTGCTCTAAGCTGTACTGCTATATCGACTGCTATTCTTGTTTTGAAGTTTCTTGCTTATATTAGCTGAAAATCTTTAAATCTAGCTTTCTTTCTTCTTAAACTTCTCTATCCATCATTTATATAAACAGTTATTAATATGAATAGCTTGATTAGAGAATATTGCAAAGTTCTCTAGCTAATTCTGCTTGGAGATTTTATCTTTAATATTATTCTTAAGTTCCTTATAGTAGTATTTTATGAGATTCTTATTCTTTTATGAAAATCTTGCTAAGAGCTGCTTGAATCTAACTATATAAGCAGAAGCTGATTTAGTCTGCCTAAGATCTATAAGCTGCTAAGCTATAATATGCTCTTTATTGAAATTACTAAAGATCTTTTTGAAAGCTTTCTTAAAGCTTTCAAAAGAATTAAATATATTCTTAATACTCTGGATATGTATATTGGAATTGTTTTGATGCTTCAAGTAGTTGTATAGAGAAAGCTTGTATTAGATGAGAGCATTCTTTTCGAGATGAGTTTCTGCGAGAATAACTTTCTCAGATTCCTTAGTAAACTGAGTCTTATAGTACAGGAAATATGCTCTGCAGTAGATGAGGAATTCATATAGCGTTTTCTAATTGCTATTGTATATAGCAAGCTTATTCATCTTGTATATCTTTTCAGCACTATTGGTAGCTGTAGGGGTGGACTGCGCCTGTTGAGCTTGCTGAGCTAGCTGGGCCTGTTGGTTAGCGATGATAGCGCTCTAAGCCTGCTGTTGTTTGCGCAGATCCTGAATACGCTGAATAAGCTAGTACATCTGATTAATCAGTTCTTTCTGAATAGAAGCGTGCAAGAACGAAGAGATTTCTGAAGAAGCTATCATATTCCGTATTGCTCAAAGGGATAATACTAAACTATTCTTGAACAAGAGTTATTAAAATATAATAAGCACTGCAGCAATCCGAAGATTCCTAAGTATACGAAGAGATTTATGCTAATAAGAGCAGTATTAAAGTATCAAGTTCTTGAATACGGAACTGTACAAGTTCTAATAAGCAATACAAGTATTCACTGCCTTTGAAGCTACTCAGTATATGAAACTGAATACTTAGATTAATAACTGAAGAGCTATATATAAGATCTATCTAATGGGAATGAATATATTCTTATATATTCAGCTTCTTCAGTTCTGTTAGTATTGTTGATTGTTGGATCTCTTGAATTACCTGGATAATCCAACTGATTCGGATTACCATGGATCAGCTATTAATCCATCCTGATCCTATAATTCTAATCCTTGCTTATGTAAGCCTTAGTCCTTGAGATGTTGAATCCTTCCCTGTTTTTCCGGACAGTTGTTCCGGGTGTCCTGGCGGGTGACCTGCATGTTGGATGAGTCATAACAATAGAACTATACAAGTTCTAATGAACAATGCAAGTATTTACTGCCTTTGAAGCTACTCAGTATAGAAGATTGAATACTTAGATTAACAACTGAAGAGCTATATACTGGATTCATCTAATGGTAATAAATGTGTTCTTATATATCTAGCTCTTCAGTTCTAACTAACCTGACTATGTTATGATTCCTCATAGTCATTTCTCCGAATATGTTGACTATGTCCATAGCCAACATAGTTGCGCTAGCAACCCTAACCCGGGTTACGTAATCCTGATTGGTACCCAACGTTGGGTTATGATACCTGGTTCCTTGGTTGGTGGGGCCTATCCTGTGACCTGCATGTTGGATGGGTCATAACAAGAAGGCACGCTAGAGGATGGTACAGATAGTAATCAGCTCCGCACAGATTAGCAAATTAATTTACAAGAAGTGTGATTCTGCTCGGAAACCTTCGTTAATATAGCTACATTGGATGTTCAGAAACGGTATGTGATGGGTGAGGATGATGACGAGCTTCATAGACTCGGTGATCAGCACGCCGTGTTGAAGAGCGCCATGGGAACTGTGGTACTTGCCCCTGTGAACTTCTCTACGCCCGGCCTACGCATTTTAAACTCTGGAACAGCAGACGGTACAGCGCCAAAATGCCCTCCCCCAAGTAGACAGAGATCACTGACGAGCTGCATTTTAAACTAGATCTGTAGCTGCGTAAGCTTCAAGATTCTGTTGCGAGCTTTTCCTACCAGTATATAGGAACAGAGTGTGTTATTTTAAGTATTTTTTTTGGTCCTAAGTACTTTGGAAAATATCATCAGATATTCATTTCCCTGATACAACGCACCAATATATTTTTTTGGTTGAGCATCGCTGACTAAAACTAAATAATAAAAAAGTATTGCAGCAGCTTTTTTCCCAGAACTATCTACAACTAGCATTGTATTCCAGACGCAGTTCATCACTCAAGACTGGTCCAAGAACTGGTTGGGCACTTTCGACTACGTGCACCAACGATTGATACTTGCCGGTGCTGGCCACACACCCGTAGTCGACTGCGTACGCGGACTCGTGCAGCTTGTGAGGCCAGGAGGGTGGATTGAGCTCGTCGAGGCAGACTTCAGCGGAGATTCTCCCAATGGACCAGCTGTACAGAAATTCGAGGCCATGATGCATCAGTTTCTGGATTTGGTTGGCGTAGGATTTGAGTATGGTCGGCAGTTACAGGCCCATCTGAAGCAGTGCGGCGTTGGCGTTGTGAGGGAGGAGGTATTTATGGTTCCCTACAGGGCAGCTTGTACTGATCCGGAGGTATGTAGACGGAGCATATCCCACTTGATGAAGGCTTCCAAAGGACTCTGGGAAATTACTCATGGTAAGTTCGGCCGTTCCACCCCCTGCCCAGGAAGTTTGTAGCTAGATTGCTAATGGGGACTGTGTCTATCACATCAGGCCCGTCAGATAGCAATGAGTTGGAAAATTTTCTGTGCGAGGCTAAAGAGGAACTGGTGAATCAGGGTGCTTATTTCAAAATGGTAGCTGTATGGGGTCAAGTTGGTCCACCTTCAAAGCCAATATGATGTATCTATCACAGCTTTCAACACGAGACCGAAAAGACTTTATCAGACAAAAATGAATGAATATTTTATACAAGTATCAAGTAGCGAGCACGGCTTCAATATGCTTACTTCGTAGCGACAGCCACACACGCGATCATCTTCAATACAGTCTCTCCCTGTTCGTTCTTAGAGATGCCATCTCCACTCTTCAACTGCTCGACAATGTCATCAATTACCTCATTCCACTTGTCTTCATCATTCTGAGACCATCCACTAGGCAGCGTGCCCAAGTAGCTCCAAGCCAGTTGCGCCCAGCGCTGGAGATCCGGAATGCTCAGATAGCAGTCTTTGGTTGAACACGTGATATTCTCGGGTTTGAATCCACCTGCGGTAAGCGCCTTGCGTAGGTCTGCTTCCTGGAAGCCCTCCAATGGTAGCAACGTTGGCATGGGCCCGTCACGGCCACGAGAGCGCCAGTGGGCATGCTGAAGAGCGTCGACGTGCGGCATGAAGATCCAGATAGACGCGATGGCAGTGCCACCAGGCTTGAGGGTGCGATAAACCTCCTTAGCCGCAGCGTCATGATCGCCGAGACAGTGGAAGGCGAAACTAGTGAAAGAGTATGTGAACTTGTCCTCTGGGAAGTCAAGCTCCTGCGCCGACATAGTGGCGGTTGTGACAGGCCACTTGTTCTTCTCCGCCAGCGCTGTTACTCCCTGGACGAACTGCGGGTCAATATCGGTTGCGAAGATCTTTGTATCTGGCGGCGGTGGCAGAGCCAGGATGGTCTCGGTAACCGCTCCGGAACCGCATGCATTATCGTGGATCACCTCGCCTTGGGCAAAAGAAGGGATCAAGCCCAGCATGAACTTGATTGCCTGCTCACTGACATCACCCTGGAGCTCGGCTAGGTGCTCGGCTTGGTACTGGGTAATCTGTTGAGTTTGGAAAGCCATGATGGTGATGATTGTGTACGGGTGTAGAGTCAGAGTCTAGGTCGAAAGATGGAGAAGCGAGAGTTAGTGTTAACTTGTTGAAAAGCCCTGCTTTGTTGCCGTGGGTTCCGGGATATAAGTAGCCGTTCCGCTTCTGAGCCCAATGGCCGGAAGTACCTTAGCCAAGTACCTTTGTAGAACCCATAGTTGTTTGGTTTCCCCAACTTGGATGTGTATGAAGTTTGAAATACCTGTACTATGCGTCTAGGCCTCATGACTCTAGAGCAGTTCCGAACATTACCATTTTGAATGTGAAAAGATTTCGTCGATCAGTACGGCTGAGTCTACACGCAGCGCGGACGGCGGCAAGGTTCACCAAGTCTGTCACGATCTACACACATGGCACGGATGAACTCGTAGCAGGTCTGCGCGAAGCGCAAGGCAACAAACAGCGATTCAAGATCGACAATCGTCGCATCAAACGAATCGAGAAGAGCTCAGGGTTCGCCGCTGCTGTATTACACCTGGAAGGAGATAACTGCGTCACGGAAGGCTTCCTTGGACACAAGCCTCCACGGAGCCGAAGGGGGACTTCCACAAACAACTTGGCCTGGACATGAATGCTATGGGTAACCCTGTCATCAAACCCTTGTTCTGTGAATCCTCAAGGAAGGGTGTTGAACCAGAACTAGAGCGCTGTCGCCCTCGAAAGAAAAAAAAGAAGGGACGAACAGCTGCCGAAGCAATGGGCAAGAGCTCGTGCAACCCAAGCGTGCCTGTACAGATGAGGACAGCAAACTAAGGCTACACGGGCACAAGAACAGGATGAAAAACCTGTCTTAGACCTGTTCAAAGGGTTCAAAATTGAAAAGAAGAGAAAAGGATGCTTGATTGTTGCCTATAGCTAAAGAATTTGAAAAGTGGGTGGTATCCTTTATATGTATGAGGACCCTTGACCCACTATACTCCATGTCCTACGGACTACCACCCTGGCCACCACGACAGTGTCTTTGTTGGCGGAGATGGAGCGTCTCCGATCAAGATTGCCCCCCAAGCTTTCTTCTCGGGCTCGGCGGCAGCAGCGGCAGCTTGTGCTCAGATTCAAGCCGAAGAGGCGAACCAGCCGTGTATTTTCTAAGCTGAAGTTATGGCCTGGTAAGGTGGAACTAAGTGCATTTTCAGGCCTATAACATATTCTATTATGTAATTTCAATTATGATGCTAGCTGTTAAAATCTACCATTACTGGACAACTACCACTGGAAAAATCCACTATCACTAGAAACAGACTGCTGTGGAAAATTTACGATTCTTAGAAATCTATTACTGTTAAAATTAAATAATGCTCAGTTTGAACAATAAAATTAGATTTTAAAATAATACCAATTCTCACTAGTGGTGGATTCCCAAGAGACACTATCATTGACAATGCTCTAATCAGGTATATGCTGTCAGAAAGTCCTAACCCTACACCTAACCACTTACAGAGATACTAGGGTAGCTCTGCTTCGCTGCTATCCCTGCCATCCCATCCGGGCCCGGAATCCGGGCCCCGACCGGGCACCGGTTATTGATCAGACTTGCCAAGCATAGTCAGGATTTCGACCAAGATGATGTTGAACCAATTTTATTTAGGGAAAAACCTTCAAAGTCAATCTACTCTGCACTATCGTCGCTGGTCTAGTTCACGGCCTAATATCCTTCCTTTTGCATAATTAGTTGACACGGACCCATTGCGCTACTGCTTAATAATGTCTATGCTGCAATCTGACGAGACTCCGCAGACCTCACCCAATGAGTATCCGGCCAAGAACGAACTCGCAACTCCACCTGATGTCATCGCCAAATCTTCAAAGGCATCTCGAGGCATGCAGTTCTGGCTCATCATGCTCTCCGGATGCCTTATGGATTTTTCCACAGCCCTAGACGCTACCATTATCACGACCGCCCTCCCCAGGATTACTACTTATCTCAGTGGAGAGGCTGAATACGTCTGGCTTGCGAATACCTACGTATTCGCCTGTACGGCAGTCATGCCTTTTGTCGGCCAGATCTCCAATATTGTGGGCCGTCGAATGCCCATGATCCTCTCGGTGGTTCTGTTCTCCATTGGGAATGCCATAGCCGGCGCATCTGTCAATTCAGCTATGCTGATCGCGGCCCGGGGAGTTACTGGTCTTGGAGGTGGCGGCATATTCGTTTTGAATGATTTGATTATTAGCGACTTGGTGCCCGTCCGGGAGAGGGCAAAATTTCTTGGCATTCGCATCGCAATTGCAACGATATCAACGATAATCGGTCCTGTGTTGGGTGGGGCTTTAGCCCAGTCATCATGGCGCTGGGTCTTCTTCGTTAATCTACCGTTTGGCGGGATTGCGCTTGTCATCATGGTCCCATTCTTGCGCCTCAAGACTAAGGACCAGCCTTCATGGGCCAAGGCGATTGTACGTGTCGACTTCCTCGGTAATGCCATATTCATCACCTCAATATCAGCTATATTACTTGGGTTGATCATGGGTGGCACACAATATCCTTGGTCGTCCTGGCATATCATCGTGCCCCTGGTCCTAGGTTTTGCCGGCTGGGCTCTATTTCATGTCCACCAGGCTTCTCCAATGTGCAAGGAACCGAGCATGCCGCCTTTGCTTTTTGGCAATCGAACCTCGGTCGCCTGCCTTGCTTTGACCTTCATCTCAAACAGCCTACTGGAATGGATCGTCAATTTTCTGCCCATCTATTTCCAAGCCCTTAAAGGTGCAACTCCAATGGCTTCTGGCATCGATGTACTGCCTTTCAGCGTTTTCTATGTTTCCATCGCTGTGATAACAGGTGGCCTCATGTCCAAGCTTGGGACATATAAGCCTATACACTGGGTGGGGTTTGGCGCAACGTTACTAGCATGTGGACTGCTCGCCATCTTGGGCGAGAACTCGTCTCGTGTGGAATGGGTTTGCTTTCAACTTATCCTAGCAATTGGTGCTGGCTTCACAATGATCAGCATCCTTCCTGTTATCCAAGCCAGCGTACCTGATTCCTACTTGGCCACTGCAACTAGCACCTTCGCCTTTGTACGTAACTTCGGCTTCGTCTGGGGTATCACGGTTCCTTCCATCATATTCAACGCACAAATTGACAGAAACTTATACTGGGTCCACGATGATTCCATTCGCCAGCAGCTGAGTCAAGGAAGGGCTTATGGGTACGCCGGAACTGGCGAAATCAACTATCTCACACCCGTTGTGAAAGGGCAGGTCATCGAGGTTTACGAATCAGCGCTCAAGGCCTTGTGGGAAGCTGCTGCTGCAATGGCGGCGGTAGCATTCTTGTTGGTATTTCTGGAGCAAAATTTGGAGCTGAAGATGGACATGAATGAAGACTTCGGAATGGAAGAGAAAGGGGTCGGCAAGGTAGACCATACCATCCAGGAGCGGCCTGGCACCATGTAATTAAATACAAGCTCAGACCGATAATCTATTGCTTGTTTCCTAGAACTGAAAATGATGACAATTTTGTTCCGTCTCCAGAATATCTTCATGATTGTTATAGAGCGATGCTCCCAACGCCTTAGTCATTCCATAGTGTAATTAGCGCTGCAGTAATCCGAAGATTCTTAAGTACACAACGGGTTTTATGCTAATAAGAGTGGTGCTAAGTACAGGCCTTGAATAGGAAACAGTATCTATATCAATTGTTCAGCTCCTTTACAAGGTCTCTTTTGCACACTATTCTGCTACAATATGCGACCTGTTAACAAAAAGTGAACCAACAATTAACATGATCAGAGACGCTTCAGTAATCTGAGCAGCAATATAAAAGATAACACCATTCACTGTAAAGTAAGCCTGGAGAGATCCAAAAACAAGAGGGCTCAGAATACTACCAAGCATTTCCATTGCTGCTAAAGCAGCAAGGAACATTGGTCTTTCCTTGCGATTGAAATTGCTGGCGAAGTAGGCTTTAATGAAAGAAGATGCAGGCAAGCTGAACGATAGGAGTACTGTAGCAACATAAAGATGCAAAGCTTCTTTGGCCAATCCCAGAACTGCTAGTGATGCTGTTTGGATGGTAAGTGAAATGCAGGCCAGAATAAGATCTCTCCGCTTCGTGCCCGCAAGTAACCCACACCTTGAGTGAAGACATGCCATAGCTCTAGGCCCAATATACAAAGTAGTGAAAACGTACAAGGCTGCAATAGAATGGGCAATCGAGATAATGAAACCATTCTCCTTGCCTGTGAATCCAAAACGTACAGATGTGTAGATCAATAAGCAAGTAAAGATGTAGGACTGGACAAGGTTGTAGCTGAGAAGACTCAAGCTAATGAGAAGATGCGAAGGCTGTTTTTGGAATGGTTTCAGTGGTGATATCAGAATAGGAAGCCATTCAGTACTCGAAACAGTACAGGTTTCTTGGCTTTGACGCCCTTCTTCCGTGCTTCCAGTCACTTGCTGGATCTGTGTGTTGCTTTGGTCATTTCTTACAGTATTGGAGCCCAAGCAAAGGTGCAGGTAAATTATACAGAAAGCAAAGAGGGTGAGAGCTATAAAGATACTAGTAGTAAAGCTCCTGAAAAGACCTGCTATAAAAGGGCTGATAGACATCCCAATCATGTAAAAGGCAAGCGAGTAGCTTATCAGGAGCGAAATGCTTTGCCTGTCACTGTTGAGGGCATATATCGCATTCAAATTGAAATGGAGGAGATTGTCGGATGCGATCCCTTCGAATATTCGACTAGAGAGTGCGAGATAAATATTTTCGACCAGGACTGGCATAATCCATATATCAGCACTTTATGACTCCCAAATGCTCGTCTTCACAGCAAGAAAACACAAGGACTTACCACCGATAAGCAGCATTGTTGGGCTCATTAAACGGCAGAGGATCAGAGCATCAATCCGAGTTTGAGATTGGCACTTGCGAGCTTCTGTAGATATCCTAAGGCGACTACTCCAAGGATATTGGCGATGCATGTAGCGCCGGCGACAACCTTTGTGTACTTGCTTATCTCCATTCTCTCACAATTCTTCGGGTCTCTGCAGAGAATGATCGCATAAGCAAAGTAGGCTGTGGCAGCTGTTGAGACCATCGCGAGGGCGGCAAATAGCGCAATCGGGACAACACGCTTGGGTGAAGAGTTGCTCGGGGGGGAGCTGTCACCGACGCGTGATCCGTCGCTGCTGATAAGGAGGGCTGCAGTATCATCTTCGTAAACAATAGTGTCCGACATTCTGCAGCTAGAGTCGCGACCCGCAAGTAGCTAAATCAAGTTTCGAATTGTGTTGCTTAGCTTAATGCCATTGCATAATTATATGCTGTGGTAGCTTTGCTTTTAGTAAGTAGGTAGGGGAGCGTGTGGAGACTACTTCTGTGTAGCAGGAAATAGTTGCTGATTATATGCTTCGGGCCCCGATCTCACGCTGACTGATTCCCTGAGGGTAGTCCAGTCTAACAATCTTTGTCCAGTATCGGCCTGAAATCCAGAGCTTTAACCCAAGACCTCCGAAAATCCCAGATCTTCTCTATTCGGAAGCCTGCAAGTTCAGCCAATGCTCGCCACTGTTCTTCTGTCCGCTCCTGGCCATTGGCAGTCATCATCATATTGATATCTCCATACTGACTCAGCCGACTTGAGTGGTCGTTGGACAGTATAAACTCCAAGACGACTAGTCTGCTTTTAGGCTCTAGAACAATGCTCTCCCATACCTTCTTCAGGATAACTACTGCCTGAGGCTCCTTCCAGTCGTGGAGACACCACTTCATGGTGTACACTGCACAGGGAGGGATTGACTTGAAGAAGTCTCCGGCGATCAGATTACTATCATCGAACTGATCTTTGACATCGGAGAAAGGGCCATCATCCCGGGAAAAGGGCCGTGCATGGTCGATGATGTATGGCAGATCGTAGATACCCCCTTGTAGAGTGGGATACTTCCTCGCCAGGCCGGCTATAAGTGAGCCGCTGCCACCCCCAATGTCAATAATAAGACCATTGGCAACCTCTTCCCATGGGTAGTCCTCGAGTATTCCTGGCATCTGTGCAGCTGCTCCCCCTCCGAGTGTCCGACGCAACTGCGGCACCCAACCCTGGCGTCGGAAGCAGGAAAACATGTCCTCATCAGTATCGTAATTGATCTGGGCAGCCCATCTCTCTGAATCTCTGCCAAGTGAAGCAGGGATCCCCCTAGCAATATCATATAATTGGGCATTGTAAAGCGTAACCCAATTGTGCCACTGGGTCCAGTGAGCTGTGAGCAGAAGAGAAGAAGCCGGGCTATTTGAGTAAAGACCGGTCGAGTCATCGAAGTTGAAAATGCCAGCGCTGCAGAGTATACGCAATATCTGACTAAGTCGATCGCTCCGAGAATGCGTTGCTCGAGCCAGCTCCTCTAGTGGTAGAGGGCTTGCATCCAGAGCATCGGGTACCCGCCTCTGCACTGCTCCCAGTAAACACTGCGATCTGATATAACCTATGTTTACAGAATAAGTAATTGATTCAAAAGATATACTCGGCTTTCAAACTCACCTAAAAAATGATCCGCGAGCACCGAAGTCGGTGAGTCCAAGAGTAGCTGGACCCTATGCAACAGGTCGACAGAACGGGCGGCCTGCACCATGATTTCCTTGTCAGGAAGTTCTTCGTTGCTGTGAAGACTTTCAGTCAAATATGGCCTCATAACTTCCAAGCGCTGAAACTAGCGTGTAAGGTCTTGATTGAAATCACGCAAAAGGCGTACAAGATCCGAAGCGCAATTCGGGTTGTCACCGGCGAATGAGTGATTTTGCTGAGCCATATTCTTTTCGGGACCTCGTAGTAGTCACCGTGTCTGTATTCAGCAAAAGTTACTCATAAGTTCCATCCTTACTGCTGGGGTGGGATCTGATATCAATCAAAGAGATTGCCCCTCGTTCTACGGCAATTTCTCGAGGCTTCCCGGATTCGCTAAACCCAGTAGCCGGTCGGTGACACCGCAGCGGTGGCTATGCTACTTAGTACTTGGGGCAGATCGGTCACCAAGTCAGGCTATACAGATCAAATCATACATCCAGCGCACGATGATGACAAGAAAACATTCTACACTTCTCTCTGCACTTTGATTTTCATACGGACCGTTACCTCCTTGTCAGCACAGTCTCGAAAAGAGAATGTGATCCCGGAAACCAGCACCGGACAATGTCCAAGATCGGTGTGGAGGCCCCCTTCCGGCTTTTCTATTACCAGTAAATCAATACTCGACAGTAGGCTTTATTATTCTCTTAGGATTGTAGTCATATCCGCGAAAATAGCCTGTCATTCTTCAGATTTATTTTGAGATTGGTTGCTAGGCTCGCATTTTCCGACAGTCACCACCACCACTATGAATACCAAGATCTCTAGTCATGTTCTGAAGGAACCAGATTCATCCATCATACCGCATATCCTGCTATGGGTCTGTCAACTCATTGCCCTCGGGGGTCCAGTATTCAGCGGTCGGCGGGCTCTTTTCAGTACCCTCATCATCGTCTTAGCAATTTACTTCAACTCTCACCCCTACTTCACTGAGAACTTCGACTTAGCTCAACCATTCTCGCTTGCTTGGTCCTTCTACTTGGCTACACTCTCGAAATTACTCTTCTCGGGATCAGCGGGGCCGGGCTTACTTTTGGAGAGTCGATCAGCCGGACCGCGAAGCACAGTCGTATCATGCGTTCGGGCTGCCAAAAATTCGCTGGGCAGCAGCTCTGATGTTCAACCAGCGTGGAATTCGGTGGAATCACCAGATCCAAAAAATACCTCCGTCACCACGTATAAGCAGGTCACGCTTTTTGACAAAGAAGTTCACGAACTTTATCATATGCTTCGTCGTAGCAGACGTCTTCTACGAGCTACACCGAAGAATGAATTTCTCTAGTCCAGATATACATATCGTTGGATCATTTGGCCATAAACAAGCCACCCTCCGCCACCCTCATCTAGTCTGGAGTTTGTCCAAAGCAGTCTCATTTGGAGCACTGCCTTATTTTGCCCTCAATATGCAATACGCTCTTGGTGCATTCCTGTCTGTTTTGCTCCGGCTGAGTATCCCAGAGGTTCAACCAATACTTTCACAATCTCTCGCCCATTACCTGTGCTAATTTGTTCCGCAGGATTGGCCTCCCGCTTTTGGATCACTGCAACATTTGAAGACCGTGCGCTCTTTCTGGGGCTCTTTTTGGCACCAAATTCGGCATGTACGTAATTACTTTATGGCTAACTCAAGTAACATGGCCACTATTGGTGTAGCGTTCTTCTGATTAAAGCTTATTACTAAAGTTCTTTTTTGTACTGCAGATGCTGACGTCCTATACTGAGAACATTGCAACGTTCTTTGGCATTCCGCACGGCTGCAATCTGTCCTCTTATACAAAGCTCTACCTCGCATTCCTAATATCGGGGATTTTTCATGCTTTGGGGTCGCTACACTTGCCACGCCCATCTGATGTGACAGCATCGGAGTGCTCTTCAGGATATGTGCTCTTCTTTGCTTGGCAGGCGGCAGTGATAACCATTGAGGATTTCGTGCTTTGGGCGGCACGTCAATGGTTTGAAGGGTCTTGGAGTCTATATGACGAACAACTGTGTGCCATACTTGGCTACAGTTGGGTCCTTTTATCAATGTGGATGAGCATGCCGCTGATAGGAGATGCTGTTCTCAAGCTTCGAGTCGGAACCGGCTCCTTCTCACCATTTCTACTCGCAAGGCCGTTGGTGGAGGCGTGGGTACCAATTCCTGCTTGATACGATGGCCCACGTGCGAACGGATGCATGTATGGATCCGGATAAGCAGATTGATCAGAAGGTTAGGAATGGATGCTGATGACAAAGAATTTTCAGTCTCCCTCAGTTCTAATGAGAATTACCTTTGCTGAATATATTCTTAGTCCGGCTTTCCCTTTTGAAAGTTTATCATTCTTAGAGCTGTAGTCAAAATTCGAAATCATTTACGTCGAATAATTCATCCCGCTTATCTAAGCACAATCTACTGGTGATTAATCAAGCTTACCTAGCCATATTCTCAATGTCTGTATTTAGTACTATTCTTTCTAATGTGAGTCCCTTATATATCTCAGTAGTTACAAGATATTGCAGTGCTAATTGATTACATGCAAGCTTTGAGCAAGAAAACAGAAGATATTATAATTTCACAGAAAGTGAGAAATCTATGTTCAAAAGTAAGAATATTATCTAATCATACGCTCGACTTTAGTCTCCACTATAAACGCCGTAAAATAGCTTGATGAAGATTAAAGGCTTTGTTCAGTAGTTTGGGCTATCACTTACGTTCTCTTAAGCTACATCTTCTCGCAGGCAAAGTTCCTCTGATATATCAATCAATTGTGCTACTCAGTATTTATATGACCCTCCTGAACGCCAAATACATAACGAACGACAAATACTGTACAACGATTCACTATACGCCATATGCTCTCTGCTAAGATCCCACACGTCTGAAAACTCTACTTGGCCTTGTTTCCCTGCATGAAAATCTAGTCAAGCCTAATATCCTTAAACAACCCTCTTCTCTTCTTAGCACAATAACATCCGGTCCCGCCGATCATCTCTGGACAGCCTCTCTCCCTTCCCCGTACAAGAAAATCCACAGCCCAACTAGTCCTGAGCCAACGCTCGGAATGCGGCAGCACCTGGAGTACCCGCTTTCTTCATCACGGGAATCTCATCTCGCGATGTCTTCTTCGCCGCCTTTGCCTCCCAGGTTGTCCAAGTGTAGGATGGTCCTTTTGTCCCGTCCTTCTTCAATTGGTAGAAGGAGGTGATGGATGACAGAGGGATCTGGAGTTTTGCTGCCCATTCCTCTTCACTAGCATGCGTATACGGCTTGTTTGCCGCCTTATACGCTGCTGCAACCTCGGTGAAGCTTGATGCGATACTGCTCGTGTCGATGGTGTAAACCCAGCAGGGCTTGTCTACAACGCTTGATTCTCCGACTGAAGTCAAGGCTGAAGTGGAGATCCACGGGTCCTGCCCCTGCCTATGTCCCTTTGCGTACTGCTTCGACGCGTGCTCAATGAGGGTGATCTCCGAGTTGGTGCCGAAGCTCTTGAAGCCTCCAGCAGCTTTGATCTTGTCAGGGTTGCGAGTATCAGCTCGATACACAGGGTTTGGCACGGTAGTAGCCAAAGCAACACCCAGTAGCGCTGCGAGGAGAAAGAAGAAAGAGAATTTGGCCATTGTTCAATAATTTTGGAACGTTTTGTTTGTTTTGTTTGAATGTTGTAGGTTTGTAAAGATTTCTTTGATAGGTTGTAGATGCCGAAAGAGGTTGTGAGGAAGATGTTGATGAATTATTAATGTCCTAGATCCTGTCTAAGAGGGTCGGAAACTTGGTATTTTATAGCAGGTTTCTTCCCTCTTCGAGCCAGATGATAGTCATGCTCATATTCAAGACAATAATGCTATAATTCATTATCGTCAGATGGAGAGGTGGGAGTGGGAAGAGAAGTGAGCCTATTGAGGGCTATGGCTACGATCATGGCCTGCTTACAGGGTTGAGCTATAAGCTTAGTATAGAGCCGAATCCCCATGTTAACATCAATTCCCTGTCATTCGCTGCCTTGATAATCGTAATAAACAAGATCTAGCTTAGAGAAAGATAGCAGCAGCCTTGTTGATAGACCAGGAGGCTGGCCCACTCGGTATTATGTGACATTCCCCGCTATATTATTAGACGCTGACTAACTAATGATCTAAGTAAGCTTGCTTTACATGCATTTAACTTTGAGCACGAAGGAGCATCGCTGATATAAGCAGAGTTGACGTTTCAGATCTCGCCTCACGCGCTAGGATTTGGGCAACCAGGCCAACTTGGCGTAAGCGCCAAGAATTAAAGCTGTGATCAACGTGATTACATGAGGCCGAAAGGAGTTGGTGCGGCTAAGTCAGCCGCGCGTATTTTTGGGTATGGTGGAGATGTTATATGAAACGGCGGCAAAGGCAAAGTCTGAGTCATCCATACCTGGGTTTCTTAAAGGCTGGCAACATCCCGCCATTTCACACTCGAATAGCTAGCCTTTGTCTTTCTCTTCATCGATTCTTCCGACTTGCTTTCGTGCACTCATTCGCGAGTGCCGTGTCTTCGACTTTCCCCTCCATTAGCCGTTCAAGCAAACCTCCTCTTTATTAGCCAGATTCGGCCCAGCTCTACGGGTTCGTACCACCCTCGGAACATAGTGAAGGTTTCAATGCTCGTAGCTAATGGATTGTGCAAAACAGTTCACAGATCAACATGCGTGCTATGGAGAACCCTGCGACAGCCTTCTGGGGTCTGAGTATCAGCGACGCAGACTTCGCGAAGCTCAAACGCGGTGTCAGGGCTCGGGATATGGATGACAAATGGGTCTTTATAGCCATGACGGATGAAGAGCTGGCGGATAAAGAGACGACTGAAGCGACGACAGATGAAGTGCCAACGGGTCAGGAGACGATAGAGGAAGAGCTAGAGGAGGAACCGACGACGCCCCTGTTTGATGAAGCTTTGTTGCATCAGGCTGGTGACATATCCATCCGTCGAACCTGGACAAACTGGGAGCTCTACAGACTTGCTATCAAGCCAAGCGATGGCAGCACCAGTGCGAAAATTGAGTCCATCACCTGGGAACAGAACCAGGGTACCCACACCTCGGAAGAGCAAGCTAAGGTCGACGCTGTCCTTCTATGCAGATCAATCGCTGAGTGCGATCTTACGGAGGCGCCGGACTATGATCCCTCACAATTTTCGGATTCTATTCCGAAAATTGCTGTGGATAGCACGACTATTGTGAACGGTACGAACTAAGCGCTATAGGGAGGGGATGAATGGAGCTTCTGGGGGGCTGCGAAGTCAAGCAAGTCAGGAAGTCACGGCGCCGCCGACAGCTATGTCAACTGGGCAAATTAACTAGATTGATTCGTTTATTGCTCCCTAAAACGCAGCGATGCAAACTCGAGATGAAGACTTTATTTTCAAAATTGAACGATTTCTAAGGTTAGACTTCAGTATTCTAGATCAACCATTTTTGATATTTTCAGATTCTGTCCTGTTCTATGCTGAGGCTAATCGAGACACCTATTAGTCACCAAATACAAGCAATTATAATAATAGAAGGAAAAGTGAAAGAAATAAAATGATAGTATTAGTATAACACTGCTTAGCTTGATCAAATGTTAATAGTTGTCGCTAAATTTTTTTTTAGTTCTCGACCACTCGGCTCCACATGTATTAATTATTCAAGTAATCATCTCCAGCTTCGTCATGTTTCCTGCGCGACTGATATGAAACGCGTGCGTGGAGAAGTTTTCCTGCGTCGATGAGATTAACTGATTTGATGTGAGCGTAGTGATCCTGTAAGGAGCTTGGAAGCCGTTTAGGAAAGGCTCGCAGGCTTCTGAGGCTCGGCAGTCAAACGCAACTTACGTCTTACCAAAATAAGTTACCGCCGGCGAGAAAGAACGCTCTTCTGGGCACCAGCTTCGCCGCCTGAGATAGGAATCTGGGACCAGGTTCTTCTAGAAGTCAGATGGGACCAAAAGAAAGCTCTTGCTTCCAATCTCTTTTTCCACTGCGGTGATATGATAGTGGGGTTGAAAACAGCTGAGTTGCGAGTTTCGTAAAGCTCACCCTCGATGTCTTTAGAGCCATCTGCTGCTAAGGTTAAAAACGAGGCTATGTAGACCAGGCTCATACACCCAGTCGTGGCTTCTCAGTCTTTTTGGGAATCCTGAAGAATGTAGCGGGAGTCGATCTAGGGGTGTTGGGTGCCTAAGCGCCGGGTAGCATGGACGGCGTCTCGGTGGTAGCCTTTCTAGTTCAATTCCATTCTTCTCATCCGTTACAGCTACTCCTAGCGGTTTTGTACCTGTGAGATGAGCTTGAGAACGCTGATATCCAGGAGTCTTGTTACTAATCCCCCAGCAATAACTTAGAGAGATGTAATGGCATCTTTGACAACGTTGTCTCGAAGCTGCAGGTGGCTGCGATTGCTATGACCTTTGTCAATATCTACTAGTATTATCAGAATATAATCATTGCGCTTTGAAGTGGACTTCATGCAACTGCAAGTTTTCTGACAAGTAGTGATCCATCGAGTGATCTGATCCCAACACTTATCCGATGAGGTTGTGATGGATGTAACAGATTTGATGAGGGAGTTGGCTACTTGAGATAATCAAAGAACTTATCCAAGTGGACTTTCAATCTCATTGAAACGAGCTTAGCAGCATCAGAAATGTCAGAACAAGCTCAAATCAGTTTTGTAAAATTCAGTTGAAGCTTGTTGGGTTTGCTGTTGCCTAAAGTGGAGAATACTCACGCTATAGCCACTCAAGCTATTAGCAGATTCAACAATTAATTTGATATTCTGTGCTATTGTGAGTTGTCACTGCGCATAGTCAAGCCAAGCATCTTGTCAACACTGGTCGACTACTCCAGAGGTACGGAGCATCTCTGGACAGACATTATCATCCGATGTCTACAAAACGGCTTGGTCAGCAATCCTATATGATTGGGGGGAGCCGCACCAGGCGTCGCTGCCCCTGCCCCCAACTAGACGCGGCCGCGGTGAACATGGCCATTCCACAGCCGCGAGCTACCGGGTAGCACTGCCAGCAACACTAAGCCGCAATGTCCATCGATCCTGCAGCCAGCACCATGCGCGCAAAGGAGCGCCTTCTCGACACTGTTCGCATCATCAACGACGAAGCACAGATCCCGGTGAACAAGCTTGAGCCAAGCAACAATGTAGCCTACGACAGCGAAAAGGACCCTAGAGCCAAGACGAGGGAGAACCTGAAGAGAGCACATCGTAGCAGGCGCGATGCTAATCAGAACATAATCCGCCTCGCGTAACGGTGACCGGAGGCCTTACTACAGCAAGTCTTACATCTAACGCTGGATGGCATGAGCAAGAGACAAGGTCTGAGGAGTTCAGCAGCCTTCTTATGCCCCAAGTCACCGCGACCCACCGAAGGTGGTGCTATGACCGCCGATTCTTCCAGTCATCTCCGAGCCCGAGACATACAGCTGGCGGGTGGACAGGACCCGCTCTACGGACCGTGCCGCCATTCGATACGACTGCCAGTACCCGTTCCTTCTTCGAGAGGTCAGTGACAGTACGTATAAAATCATCGGAGATTGCTAAATCCACGGCTTGATGGATGTCGAATCATTCAAGGACGAGTACGAGGTACTAGACTTGGTAATAGTACTAAGTAATAGGCTTATAGCACTTCGTAGCGAGGGACCGAATATGATTAAAATACTTGTCAGGGTCGTGGCCGGTTGAGTTGGACTGTCCTTAAGCTGTCATTCAGCGCAGAATATATTTGGATGGAAGAGGGAGCTATATCGGACGACGAAATATTGGTTATCGATGCGCTGCGACTGCGTCCCATTTAGACAGATGCTCATTTTGGTCCGATTCTTCCTCTGGAATCCCCTTGACATCTCTGACCACACCGCAACATCATCGCTCAACGGACCCACCTGACAAGCACAAGTCTTGAAATGTTGCTACGAATAAGACGCGGATTCTCAAGTCCTATTGTAATTTTGTTCTTCTGGAAACGAACTAAGTAATGCAACAAAGAATGCTATGCGGCTTTATGTCAAGTAAAATGATTCTGTCGCACGGCGCCTTTCTCGTCGTTCGTCTTCCCACACCATTTCTCCATCCATAATTCCATGAACATAAGCGTCGCCCACCACTTTGAAGCAAACCGGATGAGCTTCGTCGCAAATCATGAACTCAGCTCGCTTGGGATTCTGGATCCCAGATTCCGTTTTGAGATCGATTTCATCGGTGTCCGCCGCAATCAGCTGCCGAACTGTTGTATTTCTGCACCGCCTCATATCCGAAGATGGCCTCATGATGATGGGTACTCTGCTACCGACAAGGATGAAAACGCCGTCACCCAGTTTCATTGACCTGGGCCCAGTTCCTATATACCCTCTTTGGGTTCGGAAGAATTTCCTTCCGCTGGATGCGCAATCCACCGCTAGCTGAAAATCATTCTTTCCCTGCTGGTGATCATCATCCGCCCCTATGCTCTCCTGCAGAGTGCCTCCTATGATTGACGTCCGTCGATTGTTGGAGGGATCAACCCTACGACGCCAGCTCCGATATGCTCGTAGTCCTTCGCTGCCTGCTCTGCGAAACTCGCCGCGAGTTTCCTCTACCGGCCCTCCTGTCTCGCCAGCAAAATATAATGAGTCTGCACAGATCGTACGCCAGAAGGCGTCTCCGAGATCGCCGCTGTTCACATACTCGTCGTTGTCCATCCAGTTGAAGCTGCTACCCCACTCGGCAGCTGTCCTCTGCATCAAGCTGCCCTGCGCTTCCGAGCCGTCCGTCAATGTGCTTTGTAGGATGCTGCTCTGAGCTTCCGATCGTGCAGCCCCAATTTCTTGCGAGTCCTTCCCCAAAAAGACCACGCGGTCGACATAATATCCGTGCACTTCCAGTAGCATGCCATCGTGAAGCCGTACCCGCTCTCGCACGCTACCGGACGCGTCGTACAGAGTAGCGTTGTTGAGCCTGTAGTGCTCGTGCGGCTCAGGAGGGTGACTCCAGTCAGTAACCCACGACGGCGGATTTCCCATGTCGATGTGGTTTCCCAGAGTACCTGCGAGGATGGCAAGAGATTTCGAAGTCTCGATCAGCCGGACAGTGGTTTCCCAGAAAATACGCCACGTCTCGAGTCCATAATCTGGCAGTAGAGGTGCTTGTAGTCCCCAGGCCTTGACGAGGCCCACGAGCGCAAATACCTTGTCTTTCCTATCGCTTGCATCGCGGTCTCTAAATTTCCTGAGAGCTGGCAGCAGGGCGAGCGGTTGGTAAGGATTTGTCCAGTTTCTCCTCGTGCTGTCAATCTCGGTAACCATCCGGCAAAAATGCCCGAGAGGCCCTCCGTATGTCAGGTACGATATAGAGCCCAAGTTCTCAGAGACCCGACCGTTCTCATAACACTCTGCGGCTCTGGAAAAAGCTTCCCATGGGATCGACATGTCGCTATAGCAGACCGTTGCTCTCTGTGCCACCACAGTTTCTTGAACAACCCATACCCGACGCCACTAAATATATATGTCACATGAGTTAGCAGTTTGACATCAGGAGATGTTTGGATAGTCACAACTTGGCTGAAACGTACCCAGGACTTCTGCATAATGGCATTCAGACCCCGAATGATAGGTGGCGAGTGATCGAGATGCCGCAGGTACCAGATTTTGGAGGCCAGCACACCTTGGGACAACATTGATATGACGCAGAAAGCCCCATATATATCAATCGCGTCAGGTGACAGCTTCTGCTTTCTCGCTGCCAGTTGAGACAAATATGAGTCCAGCTTGTCAACATCCCTCTCATCGCCGGTGAACCTGATGCGCCTGCCTACGTCTTCGCTATTGCTCCCGCCTGGATCCACGGACTCGCCGAGGTCATCGCCGCGGCCGCGGATCCCTAGCCAGATGATAACCTCGCTGCTGCTCGCGTATATATCACGCATCATACCCACCTGTTGCGTACGGTCGGCCTCGTCAGATTGGTCGATGCACAGCGAGTCGACCCAGAGGACGACGGGCTGTGTACGCTGTCGCACTCTGCGCAGAGCATTGTATAGGTTGGCCTTGATGCCTACGACGGTCTCGTTGACGGTAATGATGGCTCTCTCGCCCGGATTCGTCTCTCCCCACGTATAGGACAACGCATTGTAGTGGTTCCTCGCAATCTGCAGAGTCGACTCAAAGAGTTCGCATTCGAGACCGGACGACGTGGCCGGCAGCAGTCGGACAAGCCGTATGGTGCCGGGCGGTAATTTGCTGTAAAGAGGTTGCGTGTTGAGCCGCCTCCGGCTCTTAACTCCGAACATTAGGATTATTATTTCATTTAATGATAGTGAAGCTGTAAGATTGATGCTTATCAAGACTCGCAATTAAATGGGGTTTCCTAATGAAGTCAGCTGTAATTCAGCATGAGACAACCCAGCTCTCCTTGTGCGGGGTAAGTATGTTGCCTGACCAGGGACTTCTTGAGTAGGATTGAAAATTGGCTTGTGTACTTAAGTAACCAGCTGATTAATCAGGTACTAACAAGCTGAACCGGGTTTCGATTTGCTACGAATTTCTTAGCTTGCTTATACACACTCATTAACGTGAGAGCAGCTAAGAATTGATTAAGCTTTCTTGCAAATGCAGAATAAGAGTGGATAGTCGATAGCAACCTGCTATTAATACTTAATGTGATAGGCGGTGCTCGTGGCGGAATGCATTCGAGAAGTTAAAGACCCTAGAGTATCCGAACGGTGTATTGCTCGAATCATTGGCATGCTGGTGGTGAATTGTAAGCATGAGTAAGCTCATAGAAAGGGGGTAATGATTTTTGACTTGCGTTGCATATCTATCAAGTATCTATATGCATTTGAGGCTATATGGACGTCACGGAGTAGTTACGGGGACGTTACGGCTATATATAGAAGAGAGCTAAAAGGTTGGTACAAGCTTCTCGTAAGTGTTCTGGGAAAATACACTGAAATCATCAATCGTTCTCGCCCGAAACTTCCGCAGGTTTCAAAACGAAAACAATGCAATACAACAGGATGGCATTTTGTACATTTTTGACGATACAATTGGCTGGCTCAACGATACGATACTCAATGGACTTAGACTACCGAAGCTAGGGCTACCTTGAGTCGAGCTCGAGGATATCCAAGTCTACGATTGCATCTTGCCCAGTACATTCTCAGACCTGCGTGGGGCAAAAGCCGTGCTTGCAGCCGAAGCTGCACATGCCGATTAGACAGAGACTAGCCGACGCCAGCACCTGCCCGGTAACGCACGCCGAGATTACGCAGTACCCATACTCGCAAGCGAAATCGAGGAGCTCCTCGACGTTGTCCATGTCGGTGCCATTGGCAATGGTCTGCTCCGATCGCACCAGAGTGGGCGCAGCTCATACCGCATTCCCATCACCGGAGTCGACCCAGGCGTCCTGATGGTGACTATCGCTGCTTGTCGGAGATCACGGATCCACTAGAGACGGTGGCGGTCGTGGTATCACCGTGATAGATGCTGATATAGTCATTTGGAGTGTTGCTCTACGAGCTGCCTATACTGCACTCCAATAAATATAGCGGCTTGCCGATGCTGAAGGCATCCTCCACAGCGTAGTCATATAAATGTCCAATATAGTGGAACTCGCCATAGTCGTTCCCGGGGATAACAAAATGAATCTGCGGAGGCATAAGCGATGTGAGCAGACACTGAATAGGAACTGCCGCAGATTTAGTTATAGCCCGACGGGTTGATATAGAGTCATAGCGAGATTGGCATCATATTTGGCAGCCCTACGCCAGGGCCTGGAGTCGACATGCCTTTCTCTAGAACCGATGATACGACGGGTTTGTATAAATCCAGTATATCCGGCATTTCCGTCATTGTTTGAGCACCTCGTTGAGAGTGCCTCAGCATGCGGCCTAACTTACGTGTATGTGGTCATGTGCCAGTCGCCTCAGGACCGTGCTGCCCAGCTAAAACCCGTTGACGATGCTGTCACCCGCCAGCGCTGAGCCTGCATCCATGCCATCAAACAATCGTTCCGGGCTAGGGTTAAAGAAACAACCCGTCTCCTCCTGGATCATGATTGAGTCTGCGGTGTTAGCAGGGCTTTCGAAGGTCGACATGATTAATGGACTGGCCGTCGTAGTGATAACAGCGAACATTGCCAGGGCACTCAAGCCAATGTTGTTGTTACTGGTCGGGATTGTTGTTACTGATTCCCGACCAGGGACCAACGCCGTAGGTGTGATCAAAAGAGAAGTGCGAGTAGAACCCGGCGTCTTGGATAGCTTTGAATACCAGTGCAAATTACCCGGCAACGGGATTATCTCCATAAGGGATGTAGACACGCGTCGCAGGCCTGGTTTCGCTCTCCTCAATTATAAAAACTTTACAGATAGTAAATATGCTCGGAAAACAGGACATCATCGAGAAGAATTAAAATATTATTAGACATATATTTCTACCAAAGTCATCCCTCTTCATGACCCATGTCTGATTGTGCTAGCATCTAACTCCACTAGCGCAGTGCCGTGACTGTCGAGCTCAGCTGATGAAACTTGGTGGACATCAACATCACTCATATACATATTATGCGCTGTCTTGATCGTTGAATTGATACCCTTGTGGCGAGGCAGGATTTGCAATTCAGCAAATCCTGCTGAATCCTCACTAGGACCCTGTTTCCTCCGTCTGGCTCGAACGACAATAATAGCACATGCGACAGCGCAAAGACCAGCGACCCCTACTCCGACACCAATTCCAATGCCAGCGCCTGTGGATATACCACCTGATGTAGAAGATGATGACTTCGAGTCACTTGTCGCAGTTGCTGATGGCATGTCTGAAATATGCAGTGTCCGAGTGGCTGCTCGGCTCGTGCTCGTCATAACAGCAGCACTGGCTGATGCAGTCACGGCTGAGGATATTGCGGATGATGTCGTAGTAGATGATACAGGCAGTTCTTCGTTGCTGATATTGAAATAAGCCGACGGGAAGTCTGTAAATGCAGTATTGCCCTGATTATCTGCAGAGCCATTGAATATCCAAAAGAAGAAGACATTGGAAACGTCGAGATCGAAATCGTACAATTGAACGGTCCAACCGAATGAGTCTCGAGTCTCTGGAGAGCTAGTGCCTTGCTCAAAAGGTCAGCTTTATGACGGATGGCTCTGGAATTTCCGCCAACACCACTTACTATTCACAACCGGGCCTTCACTGGCTCCTTGACCAGATGTGTGTAGTTGCCAGAGCGCTACTGTATAGTCTTCGAGTCCGGTTCCGGTAAGGTCATATGCGACATTTTTGGTCTGACCGACGTACCAGACTTCGACATTTTCGTATCTTCCAGAGCCGTACGGTGTCACATAACTTGGGCTGCTAAACCTAGATTGTTGTGATACAGCAGCGCAAAGGGTCAGTAGTAGGAGCTGAGATAACGGAAACATCGCCCGATTCAAGAAGCTCAACAGTCTTGACCCTAGGCTGAGAAATTCTAGATATTCTTTCTGTCATCCGATGCAAATAAGAAGTATATTGAGTGGTCAAGAAGTGGTTGAGGAAGTGGGCCAGGAAGGTTATAAGGAACCCGGCTGTTACTAAATCAGCTCGAACAAGATTGCTAAAGCTTTGCACAACGTAATAAAGTTGCAATATTGTACAAAATAAGAATATAGGAGTACTCGAATAAGCCGGAACGTAGCAAAATACCAAAAAGCACTTGTCAGAATGCGTATGGTACGCGCAGAGTACGTCTGCGCACATTTGGAACCGCCATGTTGTAAATTTGGAACCAACGTGCATGATGACGCCCCCACTTGCGTTCCTTCGCTGATTGCGAGGAGCATTCGCCCGTTGATCCTGTGAATGCAGGGGCGCTCGTATAATGACAAAGATTCTCCTCCCCTTCTTCACAGCTTGGTTTAAGGCTTTCGACAAAAAACAACATTGAAAGGCGGATTTCGAACCTGTACACTCATAATGCTTTCAGCGTCTTAAAGCCTCACTAAGATTTTCCGGATGCCATTCAGCTATTTCAAGATTTGGCAGATACACAACGGGCTCTTAAAACCACCATTTGTGTCTCTCTGTTTGGGAAGCGCTGAACGGGTTGGGGGTCTAATTTCGCCAATTCTATATACCCCCCTGATTGGCTACCGCAGTTTTCTGACTGAGATAGCATAATGTACTAGTCCTGATTGAGATGATGCCGCCCTTGCCTCGTTAATAAACCTCCAACGGTGGCTTAACCGCCTCATGGTTGGCTGTTTTGCGGCTGGTATGGAGTACATGTACCGCCATGCAGTGCAAATCCTTTGGATCACCCTGCAATGTTTTCAGCTTACCCTCTGACGAGCGCTTGATTTCCTTTGAATTCCTGTTCCCCAAACTGCTCGTACACGTGAACCCCGTCGAGCTGGACTCAGTCGAGATACTGTTTTCCATCCTTTGCGAATATGTTACTTGTTCGGCATCGGCTTTGCTTGCTTCTCAAATGGATTCTCTAAACCATCGATTGAGAACAGCTCCTACAATGTCCCGTTTCGTCTTTGCTGGTGTGGCAGCTCTTGTCTTTGTGACCATCCTCTACATGACAATCAACAATGACTTTGGGACGTCCTACATACCCACGACCTTGAAGAAGCTGAGTCAAATTTCTTCCCAAGAAAGACTATACGGCAATACCTACACAGGCCGCTCGTCTCCTGCCGAGATAAACCGCGTGGCTAATGACACACTTGGCTTTTCTGAGATCTTCGTCGTTGGTCTACCGGAACGAAGTGACAAACGTGATGCTTTGGTACTCTCGGCAGCCCTTACCGGCTTTCACGTTGAATGGGTAGATGGCGTTGAAGGGGAGACTATACCGGACAAAGCCGTACCATTTGGAATTAACAGATACAGTGTGACGGAGAGTAACCTTGGGAGTTGGAGAGGCCATATGAACGCTATAAGAAGGATTGTTGAGGAAGATCTCGAGTCTGCTCTGATAATGGAAGACGATATGGATCGGGACGTGCGGCTGCGTTCTCAGCTCGAGGAAATCGCGAAAGGATCTCGGATGCTTCTCAACAGCGCATCAAGTCCCAGTTCGCCATATGGAGATGGATGGGACATTCTCTGGATTGGGCACTGCGGCGAGCCTTTCCCCGAGTATCTAGACGAGAACAAGAACAAGCCGGGGGACCGTCCTGGTATCCAGTACATGAAGAGAAGATACGCCATCGAAGATAACATCACAGTCCCGCCGCCAGATAGGACAACTGGAATGATCGACTTCCATGCTCACCCGTATACCCGTTTTGTTCACATCTGTGCGGCTCCTATATGCTCGTTCGCATACGCACTGTCGCAGTCTGGGGCTCAGAAGGTACTCTTCGATCTTTCAGTCGACCATCTTACGGGCGCGTTTGACAATGCATTGGCTGGCCTATGCCGTCGCTCGGTCTCGTCCGTGGGCGAGGAGAACCCTGACAATGATCGTGGGCTGGACACCAAGTGCATCAGTGTAACACCACCTGTTTTCTTTCACCACAAGGCAAAAGGCTTCGTTTCTGGTGATAGCGATATTCATGAGACAGCTTCAGGTGATGTTCGCGAGAAGGGGACGACGGAGAACATTATGTGGAGTGCAAGAAATAACATCTACGATATGATAATGGATGGAGAGATGGAGAGTCAGTTTTAACATTGAATATTATGCACCAACACTAGGCAAGATTGATTTGTTTTCGAGCACATGGACCCTCGAACACCGTCCCTGAAAATTGGGGCCAAGTTGATTTTATAATCGTTGCTCTCGAACATCTGTGTATTATTTGAGTAGAACCGTTCTTTTCGATCCCCCCCCCCCCCGGTTTCTTGTCGCTCCCGAGTAAGCAGTCACGAAAAGGAAGGCGAACTCTACTTTTTATGCAGGCTGTGCTAAAGTTATTGGACCACGTGCTTGCAAGCTTTATTGAATTGCCTTGAAACCACCGCGGGTGTCGACTGCTCGAGATGTAAATTTTTCAAGCTCGTCCAAGGTAGTACGATCGTATTCAAGAGACTGCGCTCCGTCAATCCGCAGACTTCAATCACAACTAGCCTCTGACACCATCCCAAGATCTGTCCCCACCTGATCCTTTATAGCTCGTGACCCTGCTCAATCAACTATGAGAATTCTTCTAGCTGCAGCAGTAGAGACTTCGAATCTCCACCGGATTTAGTTAAGCACACTTGAAACGGAAAAATATACCAGGGAAGAGAATACAATAGCTCCGGTGAACAAATACACAAATGACAACCCTCCAGCAGCAGTGTTCAGAATGACAGATGTTATAGAAGCTTTGGCCAACTTTTCCTTCGTAGGAGCCCTTTAGTGTGCACATATTCTGAACTCTGTCACGAGCGCAGATTTACATATGTGCCAGAACGTGGTATTGTCGTTCTTATCCTCCCATCGGTGTTTCGATCTCGCAATCCTATAACTCAATACAGCCGTGATATGCGGGACTGCTGCCAGCGAGGTCCAAGTAGTGGAAGGAACATAGTTGTGCAAACCCAAGACAGAATTGACTTATTTCCCATTTCCCAAGCAAGAGAGATGTTGATTGTAGCCCTTAAGCTCACTGCGTATCGAGAAAACTCAGCACACGCGCTGACCAGATCCTCAGCCGTGGTATCTCGAATTATCCAGTTAGAGGTAAGGAGAAGACTGGGACCGCTGTACTCGAATCATCTTATGGGCAAGACCATTGGTGCCGCCAAACTGAATAGAGGAGAGAGATCAGGCCGATGGGCTGAAAGTAATGCGGTTTCAGAAACGCTCACGCTCATTTAAGGCAGCAGTGTTAGCATAAGGCCCAAGATGACTGGAGCACTCTGGAAGTTGAGCTGTTGGTCAGTAGTCAAGTCATTATAGATACAAAACTCGTGTTCGTAGCAGACTCAAAGCAGCTGGGATGATTCGACAGAGCCCCTGAGCGCACTGAAAGTAATGTTGTAGTCCAGCAGAGTGCCGTTGCATGGCTCTATATATATTGCAGATAACTCTGAGTGATATCTATGGTATCAGTTCGTGTATTGGGGTGCCCATGGCCTTCAAAATAGACAGATGATAACATATGGAGTGTAACCAAGCCCAGTTACTTGCCGAGATAGCAAACTCAATATGAACGTCGCTAGTATCCAAGGAATAGTAGTGTTTGCTCTTTTTGAAAGCATTATCTCCGTGCGAACTCAGGGAACTCTCGGTATTCGACAATGTGTTTTGGAAATACCTTGAACTTTGTCGGTAATATCCGAGGAGGAAAGGGCTCGTATTGCAATAGACCGAGGAAAGAAGCGATAGAAAGGAAAAAATCACGAAGCAGAACTATCTGAGGCTATCGGCAGGCCTTGTTGTCGGCTGGCTGGCGAGGCCATGCGCAGCCCTCGCACGTATAAAGGTCGTGGCGCGGGCAACCCGGAGGCGAAAGGGTCGCGAAACGCAGTCTAGAGCCAGACGGCGACGAACTCGACGGGATAAAGAGTCTGATCAAATATTCAGAACCTATTTGCCAATTATTGCATTGCATCAACATTTCTGTTATCCACAAAGCCTTTGCTGAGTTAGTAAGGGAAACGCATATGTGTAAAATCAACACGTTTTCGGAGCTGTTTGTGTCGGTAGACATTCATGTGGCAGTGTGGTAGCGCCGCGGCAGCCAGGAAGACTGCTGACAAATTATATTATCGAGTAAGCTGTGGTCAGCTGGTAACTGTTTTCTGAACCCGACTGAATTTCCCTCATACTCTTCGTTCGCGCTACGAACCCCATAATCTAAATACCAAGGAGTTCGCATATCTTGCAAAGAGCTCAGAGAGAGCACAGACTTCCATGGCGGGAAAAATGAATCGTTGTTCATAGATCTGAGCAACACGTATTCCTTCAACAAGGATGATGTTTTTATCTTTGTTTAGTTTGTTCTCGGCATTGCGAAAATGTGCAAACAAAAGTTGCTGTTGACACAATTCCTGATTTTTCTTATTCGAAGCGAAATGTGAGCTGTCTTGGCGGCAGACAAATTTGAACTTCACCTTTCCCCCTTCTAGTACTGCAACATTGATTCTTTCCTCTAGGTTTTGTTTTAGATTTTCAACCTCAGTATTAAGGCATGATGTCTATATACCGATCCTAGAATGATATATAGTCTTTTTTCCCTTTCATCGATTAGCTTTATTTTGGACATGGGGGAGCTATTCCCTGTATCTGCTCCACCAACGGAACGAGCCTTTTCTCAGGATTCAGGAAGTATGGTTTAGGTTTCGGGATGTGGAGGACTTCGGAATGTGGAGGCGGGGTAGTCCGGGGATAGTTTAATTAGATCGTCTCTAGCGGGCACCATTTCTATTAGTCGTCCGCAAATTTCTGAACATCTGTTTGATTTGTATAATGCTCCAAGGAAAGCTACAGACTGCTCTTCGCCTCATTTTAATAAGCTGTCGTAAGTGCTGCGCAAACTCCCAATAGAAGCATAGCAGACAATGTAGCACGATCAAGATGCTACTGCGATGTTGATGAACCAAAATGCTAAACCATGTCGATCTCATCGTCGGCAAATATTGCGGATGCAAGGGAGAGCTCATGCAAGCCAAGCCATAATTTCATTGAATGATCGCTATAGACATATATTCGCCTGGGATCAGGTACAAGGGCAATGTGTAATGCTAATATAAATACCTTTGGATTTCCACGCTTGCTGAGTGGAAAGACTCTGGCTTTATACGTGGTAGAGTGTCATACCATGTTGTATTCCCACCCCCTTTCTGATGAATAAGTAAAGCTCATCTACTTCTTTATTTTCCATTTTCTCAGTGCCTTTACTAGTCTCAGACAGCAAAATGGTGCACAAAAGATCTCTTCAGACACTGGTAGGCCTGCTTACCGCCAGAGGCGTTATCGCCTTAGTCTCCGTCGGGGACCCTTCCGACGTTATTCCTCCAAGCGACTGGGCTGCAGACAACGCTATTGTCCCTGACTACAATGTTCCTTTCCCCAGTGTTCAGCCAAGCAACAGTAAGGCCGACATCTGAAGCGCACTCCCCTGCCACCTGAGGGCCCCCTTCATTGCCCTCTACATTTTTCATAGTTTTAATATTCTACAACTTCTCTCCGCCAGCATTGTTTCCTCTTCACATTCACATACTGATATCTGAATAGTCGTCGCCAAGTATGTCTTCGATGACAATAGCACTTCTATCTCTCATGAAAGTTTCACCGTGGACGCAAATGACACAAGCGTTATCCTCGTGACCGATGGAGCTGATCTCGCCCTGTCTCATGTCGATGTTATCAAGTTTGGCTATTCTTCAAACCTGGACGATGCTAGTTTCTGGGGCTTCAACGCTGCGATCAACGTGGTAAGGTCTCTTTATTTCATGCCTGCTTCCTCGACATTCCCCGTCAAACCCAACATCCTGTCTCTACCTTTGAAAATGCTAACGTCGTATTGTACTCGGTGATAAGGCTAACGCTTCGACTGTGGATTTCAACCACCTCAACATAACGGTACACAATGGCGCGGCCAACATCTATAGCTACGGCTCTGACACTATCGTCAACGTGACGGATGCGTGGCTATACTCATCCGGTCCCGTCTCCCACGGTCTTTATGCTAGCGGCAACGGGACCATCTACGGCGCTAATCTGGCCCACTTCTCGGGCGGGCATCGCAGCTCCTCATTTTCGGGTGACTCGCCTAAGGGCATTATCCATGTCCGCGACAGCGTCGCGCATGCCCAAGGTATCGGTTCCGCCACCTACTACGCTCTAGGCGAGATCTTCGCCGATAATGTGGTGTCGGTCAGCGAGCAGGGTCCGGTCGTCTTTATGGATGGGAAGCAGAACGTCTCCCTGGTGAACTGTGATGCCACCGCGGGGCTGTTAGGTGGCATGGTCATCTTCAGCAGTTCGATCCGAGAGGCCGGCGCGAGCATCAGTGTTGCAGACAGTCGAATCGCAGCCAACGGATCCAACATGCCTGGACTTTGGTTTGGCAACGTCATCGCCGACGTTGATCTGCGCAACACGCAGCTCGACACCCGGAGCGGCGTTCTAGTAGTCGCCAACTACTCACAGGTCACGCAGGACTTTGATTATTACGCTTCATACACCGACAACACAGACTTATCTCCCGCCGAAGTATACATCACCGTGTCCGAGTCATCCCTTGTCGGCGACCTGATCCCATACAACGAGTCATACATCTCGTGGAACCTAACTGAATACAGCACCTGGTCTGGGGCCACTTATTCGGGGTATGGCACATCATATGTGGATGTCGCGCTGAGCTCATCGAGCAATTGGACCTTGACGGCCACGTCATACATCCAGAACCTTACGGACGCGGATGAGTCCCTGGCCAACATTGTTAGCAACGGGTACACTTTGTACTATAATTCAAGTGCGCTGCTCAATGCTTGGTTAGGAAATCGGACTATTTCGCTTTCGGGTAATGGGCTACTTACCCCCGGGACGCAGTCTTGAGAGGCGTAGCAAAAGGAGTAATATGTTGACGTCGGCTTGTTGAGACCGGTATATTTACTTTTTTGCAAAGCTCAAGTTAGCCTTGGAAGAACAGATTTTCAGTAGTAATTGAATCAATTAGCCGGAGTATCCAGGCCATCCAATCCGCTTTCGTTACTCTAGCTCGCCCCTATGCTTCTCTTCTCATTGTTCTTCACTACATGCCTTTTGTAATCCTGTTTCTTCGTCTGTCTGACGCGTTCTAACTTACCCAATGATTTTACTGGATTTCTTATGCCAGCCCCTTTCTCTATAGCATATATCGCGTAGAGGCTCAAAAGCTATGCGTCGGTGTCGGGTCCAGTCAATGCATGGGAGAATGATTAGGCTGCGGCGAACTTTGCTTCCTAAGACTAGCACAATTAAAGATGTGACTGCCCCGCCACGGACTCCGGAACCCCACCCCAGAAAGAGTGCATCATAAAGTTCTTGGGATGTTATAACAATAGAGGAGACAGGTATAGTGGCCTAGATCGTCTGAATAGGTATACGTTGGTCACTCCACTAAATGTAGAAACGGTATCTGCGTGTTGGCTTTGTAGCCCTTCATCCGAAAATTCAATCATGCTTAAGCTTAAAATTAACGTGCGCAAAGTTGAGATTTAAAAACTTGAAAAGCAGAACGGCGATGCCGTTCGGTTGTGAGAGCTCCAAGAGAGTAGCGCCTGTCAAGTTGCTTTTAGAAACAGATTAGGGAGGGGGGTTCAAGAGGATTTGTTTCACCCTTTCGGATGGTGGACATTGGCTAAAGTAATAGTTCTCCACTATTTTGTTTTGCTCTTAATACACAGTAAACATTTGCTAGGATGACAACGGCTTTATTTCCTATCTGAGGCAAGATAGTGGGACACATCGAAACTTTGCCAAGAGCTCATGTCAAGCCTTAATACTCGATATTGAGATTGCTATAGTGTTGACCGTGCCTTAGTTTATACCCAGAAAAATACCTCGTGGAGAATACGAGTGTGTCTGCTTGCTATATGTATATGACTTGTAGCGCCTCAAAAGATTCTCTGTGTTTGTTAAGCGTTGTCATTCGTTCATTCGTTTTGTTCCGTTTACTGTTGACTTTCTCTTCACCTCCTGAGGCCCGTTTTCTTCTCTCTTTCAACCCCTTCCATTCGTTCAGAGCACAGGATGCCTTACTTTACTCTTCATGCCGCTCTAGTCGGCAGTGTGGCTGCCCGAGTAGCCCACGCCTACACTCAAGCCAACGTTTACTATGATCCTTTCATGTACAAGAACATCGACCCGATCAAGTTTCCCGGAGAATACGGAGTCTCGCACATGCACAGCTTCTTCGGTTCCGATGGGGTTACAGCCACCACCAATTCAAGCGCTGAATTGCAGGCCGGCTGTGGAACAACAGACAACCCAAATGATTTGTCTGCTTACTGTAAGACTCATTACTCCAGGTACCTCGCCTATCTAGTTTGCTTCTAACGAACTTCACCTAGGGGTTCCTTCTCTCGTATACACCGTTGATGATGGGGCAACTTACGACTACGTTCCCCTCTTCCGTTTCTCGGCCTACTACAATCTGGGCGAGACGGAAGCCGAAGTCCCCATCCCGCAGAACCTGAAGATGGTCGCCGGCTCTGCCACCGCCACAACGGCCGACGAATCGCCAGCCGACGCTCAGGTTCAGTGGTTCTGCGAGGACGATGACATCGACGCAGACGAGAACGGCTTCCCCAGCTCTACGTGTAGCACATTCCTGCAGACGCTCCTGTACTTCCCTCAGTGCGTCAACGTCGACACCCTCGAGACCGAGTATAAGAGCTCAAGCTACGGTACTACCAACTGGTGCCCCGAGGGTTACAACAGCATGCCCCAGCTGCGCTTCTCTATCCGGTACGACTTGCGCGATGCTCTGCCTGATGGGTGGAGCGGGACTGCACCCTTCCAGCTGGCAAGCGGCAATGCATACTCAAGCCATGGCGACTTGTAAGCTATCCTCCTGATCAGGCCCCCTGCTAATGGGAAACGATTCGACTTGATTATAACTGACACTTTCATGCAGTATCATGGGTTGGACTGAGGAGTCAGCACAAACTATGGTTCTGGCAACCGCTGCCGAGTACAAGTATCATTACTACGCTGTTAACGGTGATCTGGGCAACGCCGGCGATGAGCCTACTTGCACTGCTACCGATGCCGACCCGGACAATGGGACTTCTGACTATGCCGAGTCTGTGGCCGAGATGGATAGCTCCAGCACAAAGCGCTCTGCTCGGGTTCCGCGGTCGTTCAGAAATCGCTCAACTCGCATGTAAATGTAAGTGCAGAGGGCCGATTTGAGGACATTTGGTGACAGAAGATGTATTATATTACATTGTAAATATTGCGAGGTTTCGATAGTATTGAGCGTAGTGCTATAACTAAGCGCTTTTTCGAAATATACATATGAATACTATTGTGCATCTTATATTAGGAACCTGCAACCTAGTGTTATCTCTTGGCTCGGTCGCGTATATTGGAAACTCAGGTTACCAGCGATGCAAGCATCTTCTGCCTCAAGTCGTCGCCTATTGAGACGACAACCAGCGGCCGCATATTAAATCCGTGCTTGGAGTAAACAAAGAAGAGGTTGAAGTATTATATACAAATATAAGTAATTCGATGAAAGCATGCATAGTTCAAGGATAATACCCCACAGTAAGTACGGGCAACTTGACAAGAGGGGTTTCAATACTGCTGTATACGAAGATGGAAAATAGGAAGGGAGCTGCTAAAGAGTCCCCTTTATTGGCAATCCGTCGAGAAAGCAGTGAAATGCACCTTTGAAAACTGATTACCGTGGACCTAGCCACGTGCTAGCCTCTGGCGCCTTTCCACTGCAGCATTCCTCCGTCGGTAACAATAGTGGGTGGGAAGTAGACTGACTAACCAGGGTCCACAGGTAAGCGTTTAGGGTGGTCAAAGCTCAGGGTCAGCGACGATACAGTAAGTAACTCGGCCTCAAGTTTGGGATTTGTCATCCGTCTTACCGAGAGCGTTCACACTGGCACGCAACAACCTCATAAATTGCACTCGCAGACACATAGGGAAGGAGAAGACGGGATCTCTTTTGCGCAACAGAGTACTAATCCACCAACCTGTCCTGAAGACATGCCCCCCCAAGGTCGTATCACCCGCACTCGACCGTCCACCACCTGCGGGCGGTGTAGGCAAAGAAAGGTGAGTCGTATGTGTGGTTGAATGGGAAGGCAACGACTTCTTCAATACTGATTAACGAGGGAATGGCATAGGTCAGGTGTGACAGGCAGAAGCCTGCATGTTCTCAATGCGGGAAGGTTAACGTCCAGTGCTCCTACGAACCTGACCCTTCGTCGCAGGGTGCCTCCACCCGCAGGCGAGAACAATCACTGATAAGGAAGACTATTGTGGCGTCCGAAGGCCAGGAGCACTGGTGGGATTCTTCGCGCCCGGATGAACAGTCTCTGATGCCATCATTATCACCTATTTCCCTACTGCCACTGGAGAACCACACCACGGCATGGCAACCGGGTCTTGAGCTGGACCTCCCTTACTTGTCCGCCACAAACGACCTTGACAATTTCCAAGTCGAAGACAGTCTGTTATTTTTTGACCCAGAGGCAGGCGTTCGTGCAGACTCTTTGCCAGTGGCATATGCTGAAGGTTCTAGCATATCTGCAGTCTTGAAGTCATCATGCGAGCCCGGCCCCACGCCCCCAGCAGTACAACCTAGTGTGCGCGAGAAGCACGGGGAAATCGCGGCAGATACAAGCAAATGTGATAATACTCACCAGAGGCTGCCTCTACGTCAGCTGAGCGGTCCCTTTTGGGCACTGGCCGGCAATAGGGTAAGACCTCGGTTTCCCTAGCCTTCACAGCACAGCAAAATTAAAAGGAATGACACAAAGACAGCCAATGTAGACGCGGATTTAAGCACGGGTGTGAGCCGCTGAGTCATAACTTTGCACAGCTCAGTGATCCCACGCTTCTTCCTAGGCCGCCTTTCATGTCTGCCGAGAAAGCCGATGACTGACTAGCCTACGAGCAGATGATGGATGATAAACTGCTACAGCAGTCCGAACAACGGAGGGTTCAGTCGACTTTCGACGAGACACGATGGTCCAAGCTCTGTGGTCTCTTGGAAAAGCTCCCGCCTCGGTCGGCCTGCGACGAGCTGCTGCAGTCTTTCCTCTACGCAGTAAGGCCGATAGTCTGCATCGTCCATGTCCCGACCTTAATGAGGGACTATGAGGCCTTCTGGGGAAGAGACCATAGAAATTGGCACGTGCCTCAACCGCAACAAGCCATGGAGGAGGCAGCCTTCTTCTGTCTCCTGTGGGCAGTGTTGTTCTGTGGAGCTGCAGCGAAGACATGCTTTCAAGATTCGTCCGAGGCCAGCCTGTCTGGGTCTGTCTCGTCCGTGTCAGCAGCTTGGTTCAAGTCTATGTTTAAGGAGACGTACTCTATCTCCCGACAATCAGATTTACCAACGTTGGAAGGCCTCGCGGCCTCCTTGCTCGTTCATGAGTGTGATGTCGAGGTGGATGAGCTTCTCGATACGAGGGCGCTCGTATCGCAGTCCTTCCTGGCAGCCAGAGCTCTAGGACTCCACCGGGAGGAGGTAATCATGTCAAGGGGCAAGGTAGAGGCTGAAATTTGTCGACGTCTCTGGTATCATGTCTTGTATCTGGAGGGGTTCGCTGCTGTCTCTGCTGGTAACTCCACGTCCAGCAACGGCGACTTTTACGACACGCGAATTCCGCTTGATATCAGTGACGCTGAGATAGAGACTGCAAGAACCGAATTACAAGCCAAGACTGAAAACACTGCGTCATCGTCGATGTTGAACGTCAGTCGTTTCGAAGCATTCAGTCTCTTCAGAGTGATCATGAAGAGGTGCTACGGCCCACAACCCCCGACCAAAAAGGACTTGCGAGATATTGCGGCCAGGATCAGGTCCCTATGCGACATCTTGGACGTGCGAGCCACCAGGCTCAGAGTTCGTGGCTTGCCTGAGGATGGGCAGATCTCAAGCCAGCTGCTAGTACCCCGCGATCCCCGGCAGGATCTTGTGCACAACGACAGCCCCCTCGAGGAAACGATTTTCAATGCGTATGCTCGCATTTGCCTCAGTCTGATTAAGGACTATGTCGCGATGCAGTTCTCCTTGTGCTTCGCCGGTACAAAACATCCCCACGATAACGAACTCACCGAGATATTCGAGAGGTATGTGGCGTGACCCAGAGGCTTTTCGCAAATGAATAGTGGCTAATCTGTCACATGAATAACTTCAGCTTTGCTCTGATCCAGCACTGTATGTCTTTTGTGACTAATTATCATCGTCTTGCCAGCCTTCCGGCGTTTTGGCCTTACCGCTGGTGCATGCCGAACAGAACCCAGCCTCTGCAGGCATGCTTGCTTCTACTTTGTCACTTGGAGCAGAACCCTAGATGCCCTGAATTTCAGCAGGCGAGTTATTTGCTCGAAGAGATGTTTGATATCTTTCTTGAGCCTGACGGAAGTGCGAAATTACAGTTTTGTGGTAGCCTGGATATCTGGAACGATTTTAGACAGCGGTATAACGAGATGCGAACCAGGACGACTACTGTGTCAGATCGATGAACGCCACATTGATCTGCCTGAGGAACGAATGCATACAGTGATGACTGCTGAAAAGCTTCTCGCCTGCGCTGGTACCAGAAATCGGTCGTACGAGAAGAGCACTGCCTTCTTCCATGGACACCAATCTCAGGGAAGAGAAACTGTGTGAGGGCAAAAAGATTGCATTGCAGTACGCTGAAGAGAAAAGAGAAAGGAAGAGAAACGCCACGAGGCCAGCTATCTGAGGCTATCAACAGGTCTGGCTGTTGGCTGGCTGGGGCCGTGCACGGCCCTGGGCCAGTGACTCACTGGCCCTCGCACAGAAACGATCAATGGCGAAAGCAGGGGGAAGAGCAGGGGGAAGGGCTTTGGGATCTAATACCCGGATATGAACTCACGCTGTCAGGCTAGAAGCCCGGTGAGAACTGCTATGGGGTTTTGAGTGTTTATTTTGGGGGGAGGGGCGGGGGTTTCAACAAAAAAAAATAAGGGGGGGCGGGGGTGGATTCTAAGGCGTCTCCCTAGCCCTCTTCTCGGCCGAGAGGATGATTACCAATATTGCCACGATGTGGGGAATATCGGGCGAGAGAGAGTATCACCAAAGATGGTGTTACCTGCCATGCATCTGGAGACAGCCTTTTCGGCTTTTTTTCTATCTTCTTCTTCTGCGAGGGACAGTAATTCTGGTTCCACACCTGCGTTCTCGGCCGAGATGAGCGTCGATTTGTACCTCAGCTTCTGTCGCATTGGCCTTGATATTAATGTAGCAAATACCAAATCGCAGTCTTTTACATAAAAGGCAGCGCATCTCGATGTGGTCCAGAAACTTTGAGAAGGGATGTACATCCGCACTCATCTCACTCTCAACCAGTCAAAAAGCATTGTGATCACCTCGTGGTTGCTTTTACAATGGGGCAGCCGACCATACCCCCGACACCGCCTGACATTGACTTGTCGGGGAAAACAATAATCATCACGGGCGGTAACTCAGGCGTAGGTTTCAGGGCCACAAGAGAGTTTCTAGTCCTTGGTGCTTCTCGCTTGATTCTTGCTGTCCGCTCTCCTGCTCGCGGGCATGATGCCGTGTCTGCCCTCATGGCAGATCCCGCTGTCAAGGAGGTTAACCCCGAGGCGGTGGTAGAGGCTTTTGAGCTCGACCTGGACGACTACAAATCTGGGGAGCGATTCTGCCAAAGGGTCAAGTCAGAAGTTAAGGAGCTAGATGTACTGGTGAACAACGCCGGCATAGTGGACTTGAAATACCACAAGAGCATGAGTGGCCATGAGCGGACTTTTCAAGGTAAGGCTAGCCCGTTTAATCCTGCCGTGCAAATGATCAAAAATCATCCCTCGGTTCAAATCCAATCAAGTTGGGTCCTGCCATCGCTGATTTCTGGTCGCAACAGTGCATTGCTACACACATCTTCTGATCTCCTTGTCCCTTCTGCCACTTCTTAGACGCACTGCCAGACTGCGCAATCAGCCGACACATATCAGCTGGGTGAGCTCAGGGACCTCAGCAACACATTCTTTCGCCAAGAGACCCATTCCTGCTGGTAGTTCGGTGCTGGCTCACCTGGATGATGAGCTCAACTTCGACTACATGACCCGCTACTCCGACAACAAGTTTGTTGCAAATCTCCTGGTCCGCCGCTTGGCAGCGGCAGTGTCGCCGTCGGAAGTCATCATCAATTCGTTCTGTCCCGGTTTCCTCAAGCCAACTGGCATCGACAAAAGCCTTCCTAGTTGGCTAGGCCTGGTTATAGGCATGACGCGCAGGTTCAAGGGCAGAGACGTGGACGGAGGAGCCAGGACGTTTGTTTACGCCGCTGCAGTAGCCAACCAGAAAACGCATGGGAAGTTTTTGCAACATAATCAGGTCGATGAGTAAGTTCTCTGTTCAACCACAGTTACTATAATTTTTTATTTTTTTTCCTTCTTCGTTTTCTTCTTCTAAAGACCTATCTATGTACTGAAAAACATCATTTGGAAGTGACTAAACTGATTTCTGTGTACAGTAAGGCTTGCGCTTGGCTTGATGAGGCTATTGGTCAAGACTTTAGTGATAGACTCTGGGTCGAAATCATGGCAGACATGAGCCGAATCGATCCTGATCTGTCTTCTCTTGCATAGCGCTTACGACACTTCTTGAAACTTTGGATATCCGCAACGAACATGCTCCTGATAAGCACAGATGTTTTGACAGTTATTGTCGTTCTGCCCTTACAAAGCTCGGATACGCGGTTTGAGAAGATATTTCAGACCAACACAGAAATCATGAAGTCTGCAAGCCAAGGAGTGTTCCGCGTTAGAATGGGTTGCAAGCCGGGTCTTGGGCGAGGGCTTGTCACAGAATCATCTCTGAGTATAGTAATTAAGAATAAGAGGTAGATCGTAAGGCTTGGAAAGGGATCTACCAGACACATGCGTGAACAACTGTCCAACTCTAAAGTTGAGCATCATGTCCCTTCGCCGGTTTTCGGTCTTATAAAAATTCATCGGCTCATAATCTTCTTAGCTCAGTGAAGCAAGCCATGTACCGCAATTTCGTTTTCTATAGCCGGTTTGCGGTTGCATATTAAAAAGTTGCAAAATTCCGTTGTTTAATCAATTGCGTGTATCTACTTAGCAACACCTTTCTGCTTTATCGTTTCAATTATTTTCCCATTTCCTCCTTGCTCAGCAGGCTATAAGCACGAACGGCCGCTGTCATGTTTATAGTCCGAGTTCGCCCTTCTCTCGAGCAAATAGGACACCGCCTGTTTCTGTCCTCATAAGCTGCCCGATACAATCCCATGCCCCATTTTCCCCCGTCCTCAAAAAAAGCTATAATTTCACGGCCCGACCATCTCAAGACCGACTCCATGCTCTACCACTAGCCGTAACTTGTCCATGTTTCCTAGCTTAGCGGCGGCAAGATGTGTTCGCGTATCGTGGAGGGTCCATCCGTGCTTCAGCAAGAGACGTAGTATCTCCATAGCACGAGAAGGGTCGTTCTCAACCAGCGAACACATGCCCAGCTCCCGATCCTCATTCAACATTCCCGATGCCGCATTAGGCTTCGATACAGCCTTTAAAAGGAACGAAACCATACTCACATTACCTTCGTACACCGCGCCTATCAAAGTGTCACGTGCCGGCTCACTATGGAATGCGTTGAGGCCGAAGCCGAGAGCGAGCAGTATATTTCATACGGCTTCAGACTTTGCATCCATAGCATTGTGAAGAAAACCAGCATTCGCTGTGTCGTGTGACTTGTCGATCTGAAGCCTAGCACTGTAGCACCACTCCAAGACATCGATCGGCATGCGCACTGAATCTTGCATTTTTGGCAATCTCAAGGAGTGCATTGGCTTTTTGTGATGATTCTGTTGTGCAAAGTGACAGGTAATGGTAACGATAACCAAGAAAATAAGCGACCAGGCATGAGGACAACAGGACTTTCCGCCAAATTCAAGTCTCTATTCTTGTGTTGGGGAGAAAATGGCTGTATTTTGGAGCTTGTAGAAAGCTCGGAAAGTCAGATTCAACTCTGTGGAGTGGGAAGTCTATTCCAAGAACCTCTTGATTATATACATAGGCGAACCAGGTAATACAAACTGAATTCTTCCCTCAGGTCTTTATGGACCAGGACAGGAAAGTCTGGAATGGCATCGCCAATTGGGTAGCATCCAAATCCACAGCAGCGGATGGGCGCCACGACCGCTCAGCAGATCTAGGAGAGCGCGAATTATCAAGATAAGGGCTAGTACAAGGGAATCAACTAGGACGACTTCACGGACTATCAGGAAGCGTTTTCCGAGTACTTTGCTTTGTCGGGAGGGAAAGCGCAGCTATTATTCCCACATTCCGGCACAGTACCACCAAATAATCGTTCAGATCGTTGCCAATCTGACAGTGTCCAAGGCATCTTCTATAATAAAGAGCGACATAGGCTTATCTCTATAGGAAAGGTCACCGAGATGGTCTAGAACCACCGGCTGGTTAGGCTCTGTCTGCAGGGACTGCAGCAGACCTATCAAGATATCAGACGATACTCGATCCCAATATTTAGAAAGTTCCACTAGTGTAAGACTTTTTGGAGCGTTGAGTACGGAAAGAGTGACAGAATTGGGAAATAGTTTCTTCCGACAACAGCGAGGAACTCTTATTTAGTAGCATGCAAACCCCAAGGTGTCATTGTGTTTGTCCACTCGTACGTAAAGCGCGTGTTTCTGTGCGCCCTGTGCTCTGTTTGGATTAGACTTCCTAATCACTTGTAGAGTATGAGACAATTAGTTCGGCCCTTAAAACAGTACGATTTCGAAATCAACAGCCAAGGAGAGGCTAGAGGTAATTTTATGTCTCAGCTGTCGACTTACACGCAAATAGAGGCAGTACTCTTAACCTATCAACTATGGCGCCGACAGCGCCCACGCGGTACCGCAGAGAAATTTCACCGCACGGGGACTTGATCCCGTCATGATTTAGGGTTCGTAGAATCGATGTGCCGCAGGTTCCAGGTCAGCTCGACACTATTCGTGACGGCGGCAGTGGGGTTGCCGATGATCCAGATTCAGTACGGACGTCCGTAACTGAGACGAAGAGCAGCTGGATAAAAAGAGAATTTAGGAGTGTCTCGGGTGGAGAGACTTGAGATAAACAAGTTACCAGGATAAGAAATTTGGGCTTTGTCTGCTCCTGTGATAGTGGCGCGTTCGGCCATGACAGGCCCTCAGGTGCCGCGGCTTGGTGTACGCACCAGACCATGGTGGCAAGGACAGTAGCTGGAGGGGCAATGAGTTCAAGGAGGAATACGGACGCAGGCTCTAGGGGGCACAATAAGGAGGGGAAGCTGGACGAGCCAGAAGGTAGTTGGGCGACCACTGACTTGATCTTCTCTCTCTCTCTCTCTCTCTCTATCTCTTTTATTTTTATTTATTCAGCACTTTAAGGCCTTGCCGTTCCCGTTATAAGCTTTAACAGCCGTGTACGTAGGCGGCCTTTTTCCTGTGACTTCGTTGACTCACTGTCACCTCAATAGCCTGGAGGCCTCCCAGACCTAATAACAGACGTCGACTTTACCAGGCTGTATGATTAAATATTCGCCGAAACATGCCTCTGTCCCCATTTGTTCGTGATGAGTCTACTTTGCGGTCCTCTTGGACTAACCACGCTCAGATCATTTAGGTTGCCTGCTTCTCTGCTTCAGGTTGCTCCTGCTGTGGTTGTCGAGGAGGCTTCCGCTCCCGAAGCTCTTTTCGTATCAAATCCACATCGACAACTGTGACTCCTTGTCCCACTTTGCCTTCCAAACGATCTCCGTCCCAATCGAAATATAGCGCCCAGAAGTTTCCTTCCTTGACAGCTACAAACCCTTCGTACCCTGCCAATGTTAATCTTCGATCTTGCCTTGTGCAGTCGAATGGCCCTGTAAGATGTCCTTCAGAATATTGTCGTGTGCCAAACTTGATCTCGTAGGTCAGAGCATCCATATAGATCCAATTCATGATCGGTGCTTCGTCTGTGATGCTTGACACCAGCCCGGCATGGTTCGTTCCAGGATACGCGAGGTAATATCCTTCGAATGGATGTCCAAAAGGGGCATTATTATCAAGGCCCGTGTCAATGTACAGCTATTATTCATTGTCAGATTCTTTGTGATAAAATAGATAGACTCTAGGGCTGGATTCTGTGTTTTTCTCCCTCCCGTAGCTCAGTATCCTACATACCTTGTCTCCCGACAATACCACATGTCGGCTTTCGAGAACCTGGCTGTGTTCTGATGATTTTGGAACATGCACAACGAGGTTATTCTTCCGGCTTCTGTGTTCCTCTCTGCGGGCCTTAGACTGTGAGGCCTTAAGCCCTTCAGACGCGCCCGTGACGGCACCAAATGCGATAAGGACAGTGAGAACCATGTTTTTCTGATTTTTCTTGCTTCTTCAAATTATTGAATTCTTCCTCGGACGTCTCTAACAGTGACAGTACATAAACAAACCAAAAAAAAAAAAAAAAAATTTACCCACCTGAATATCTAACACGGCAACTTCGACATCGGGTGGCACAGACTGAAAAGAGTGGGTCAGAATGAAACGCTACCCGAAACTCGTCTCGAAGAGAACCACAACCCCCAACAAGCAACGTACGATCCAAAAAGCGCACGTCGCCTCTTTGTTGTCGTTATTGTCACAGAATCCATGCAAGGGCGATAAACAACATCTGATCTCAATCATTTGCCACTGCGGGTTGAGGGGCCTAGAATCTAGAAATGCTCGCCGACGCGTACCTGAAGGACCTTGTCACATCAATTCACCCCCACAATCTCTAAGGGTCTAGCTGGTGGCAAGATGAATGCGACAGTCGCTTGATCTCTGTAACGAACAGGCCTGAACCGTTCGATGTCTGGATCGATCAGGCACACTGCAAGAGGAAATTGTTTCAGCCTCGGGCTAAACTAGGACCCTGAGTGTATTCGTGATCAGCGCGTACAATGATACAGCCGAGACATGGACCTTTCTCTGCAGGGTGATACGGGAGAAGATCTGGTGTTAAATGCAGCCATGGGATGGAACATAAAGGACAGTTGATGCCAAAGCGAAAATGGCAACAACTCTAGCACCTCTTCAAACAGCGCAATTACATTCTCCGCCGGCGGACAACAACACTACAACTCCAAGAAGGTCCAGTCTAATATCTCAGACCCAACCCACTCAAACGGGCTACGACAGACTTTCAAGACGCGCATCTAATCGTTTCTCTTGGTCTTCAACCTCCAACATTTCCCCCGTCCTCTCTGCATCGCCAACAACTTCAGACCCTTCCGCCTCTCCCTCCCGTAAACTCAGACTTCCTGTCAGAGTTTCCAGAACACAGACGTCTTTTACGCCATCTTCATCAAGCCCAGAGTCCAGACGCCGCTCAGTCAGTGTGGCTTCCGACACAAAACGTCCCTCGCGATCACTTTTGCCCCATCAATTGGAAGAAGACGGCAGGATCGACGATAAGTCTGAGCCAAAGGACTCACCAACACGAACATCCACTCCTCCTCCTGCGTACAGACCGACCACGGTTGTACCAATAAGCCAGAATCAAGCTTCTGTTTCGCAAGACGATAGCAAGAAGTCATCTCCGTCCTCATCAACACCAAAGGATCCTTCTCCCCCGGCTTACAACACTGTCACGAGTCCTCAGCCGGCTCAGCATAAAGAACCCAGCAAAAGCTCTGCACAAATTTCCCAATCCGTCACAACCGTTCCTCACGAAATGTCTTCCGCAGCCAGCAGCCCGTAAGCTTGCCCGTTCTGAGCGTTTTTGACGGGCCCTGAAATTGACAATGAACCAGTGATGCCCAGAAGACTGCCGCCATGACCAACGCTGGCATGGGAAACAGAGGCTTTGACTTTGCTGTTGGCAATGGTAACACGAAACTGACTGCTCAGTCGGGGAATGGCTTGCCTTTGCCAGGACTTTCGGGCAAGGGTAACGGCCCAGTTGGTAAGATCTTCCGAAAGTAAGAAGTTGGGCTTGATATAAAGCGTGCTAACATTTGAGACAGGAAACCTTCTGAGAGGACCTGTGGATGAGGAGGGAAACTTGAAAGCTGCTGCTCTGACTGTTGGAATCAAGCTTGATTTGGAGGCTGAAGTGCACCTATCTGCGCGGGTGAGAGGTGATATCTTGGTCGGTCTCTACTAAGCTTTTGTCCCGACCTTCACTGAGGGTAATGCGTTATTGAATTTCGGGGGGCGCTAAATGCCAAGAGTATACCTCACGATGGAGCCAGATATAAACGATCATAAATCAAGGAGTTTTCATTATTACAAAGGCGAGTCTACTTATTTATGTATGTCGCGACACATCGTGTTCGCGTTCTGATCGCACTGAACAAGCAGCAATACCTGATGACTTGTCCGACGAGCTCCTGGTCCGGTGGTCGCCCTCTCCCCCAAGCACAATTCTCGTCAGTCATGAAAATATCTAATATTCGAGCGGGTGTGATGCTTTAATTCATTTGTATTTATCACAGTCTTGGTTTGGAATCTATTTCACTAGCTTGTGAACAAGATGAAACAGATACAATATTGCAGAAAATAGGGACCTCACAAGACAAACGTCGATAGACCGCGAAAATAACACAATGCAGACTTTCAGGAAAGGTCCTCGGTTCCTAATGTCCTCTGTAAAACAATTTCCGGATTCGCGGTGGACAGAGAAATTCCATCCACGTGCAGAAGACCTTTTGAGAAGTCCTTACATGTTTACTTTGTGTCAGCAATCCTGAAAACATACTTCACAGCATTAGCCTTGCCCGCCTTCAGGTTTTCCAAGGCTTTCTGGACTCCTTCAAGACCCCCCGGCACGATCTCTTGGGGTTGTGCTTTGAACCATCCGTCCTGCAGGCCCTTCGCGAAAAAACGCATGTAGACATAGCCCAAGTCTTTGTCGTCCTGATGCACCGATCCGACCGAGGTTCGACTGATGCGAACGTTACTGGAAACATCGTCGTCTTTAGTGGGAAGGACTGTCGTGATAGTGGCACCTGGAGACAGGGCTTTGCCGAGGTTGATATGGCTCCCATTCTCTGACACGGCATCATAAGCATGAAGGAGCTTCTGGCCCTGTGCCGCCTTCTTGATACCCTCAACCACAGCGTCATCGCCCTCGCGGTAGTCAATGACTACATCTCCCTTGGACCGATCGATGAACGACTCAACATGCGCCGTTGACTTGCCCGCCACACATATGAGTGGATGAATACTCGCTCGTGCCGCCAACTGAACCACATAAATCCCAACTGCGGATGCTGCGCCGTTGATGACCAAGGGGGTGGTATCAGTAGCAGGCGTCCAGGGCTGTGGAAGCTGCAAGTGCCGGTACAGACCTACTGCGGCAGTGAGAGCGGCGAGCGGAACTGCTGCCGCCTCTTCGAAGCTCGTGTTCGCGGGTATATGAGCTGTTGTGTGCTGCCAGGCTACAGCATACTCGGCATAACTTCCGCCAGGTGTGCGCTATCAATCAATAAGTCAGCGCTTCAAAGTATTGTTGTTAAAGAGCATAATTCATTGGCCGGAGTGCGTCCAGGGTCCGTTATTGATATTCGGACCAGACCTCTGCTGTTCTTGAATCATGAACAAGAACGGAACTTGAAAAAGGTAAGGTCAAGCTCACCATTTCGTGAAATGCGAAAACTCTATCACCTGGCTTGAACTCGGAGACATTTTTCCCGACTTGATGGACGATGCCAGCGATGTCATCACCCGGATTATCATTCGTTCCAAACCACTCCGGTAATTTCCAGTCTTTCGGATTTGATCCGCTCACCACGACTTGAATAAGGACTTGGTCATCGTTTGGCTGAGGAATAGGGGAGTCCACCAAAGACACCTTGGGACCTGGCGCTTCGTTAAGCACTTGCATACAATCTAAATACTGCTCCCAAATTCTGGTCGGATTGCTTACCTGGTGCAACAATAGCTTCCTTCATCTTGATGTGCTTTTGTACAATGCGCCTGCCTGGGCGTACGGAGAGGGTGTCCTTCAGCTGTAATAGGGTAAAGAATTGAGGGGTTGGACTTTGAACATATATATGCTTCAGGACACCAGAGATTCCCGCTGATGACAAATTCAAATCCCTTTATCACTGAACAGATATATCGACTCTGAGAGCTTCGGCCCTAGTACGATATATAGTAATGAATTGCGTCACCACCCTCCCTGAGGGCCTGTATGGCGTGCGAGGCCCACCCAGGTGCATTGCTGGTGGCCACGACTGTCCATCCAACACATTGACATCCCGAGGTATCGTCCGCGCTAATTATGTAATCCGGCTCCGTTAACTCATTTCAATTTCGGAACCGTGGTAGTATGCTTGCTACGTCTTGTCTTGCGGAGCCCAGCATCTAGCCAATAGGGCGTCAACGTAAATACGAATCACCATCCAGTCGTCGAAGGCTGTGTGGGACTCTCTCGGGAAGCTTTGCGAGTCAGGCTTGACAGGCGGCATACACGCAGCTTATACCTATAGCAGCTTTCGGTGTCACTGACACATCCACTACCGTTAGCACTAGGTAGGGTCTTGAATCATTGATATTAATTCGCACTTTCTTGAGACGAATCGCATCCTCAAGAGACTTGGCGAACACTTTTCTTGTCTGCCTTTCCTTCTGCACGGGCCCTTTCATAGAGCCACAAATATTCCCATGCTCGCAAGGATATGGGATTGTTATCCGATACCCTCCGCTCGTCCTGAGTCAATGATCAATCCAGTTACAAGGCAAGACGGCATATGACCTTGCCTTGGAGGAGGGGAAAGGGGGAGGATATACAACCAGGCAAGGCGTGTTGGAAAGGCTCGCAGACGGATTGTCCACAGTTTGGATTGGAGATTTTTCAGAGGAATAAAACAGCAATGAGCGGTCGCGGGAAGATGAAAGGGACATAGGAACTCATGAGAAAAAAAAGATTGAAGGGTGTCACTCAGAGTCAGGCTACTAAAATCGTATCAGACGATGGAAATAGAGTTAGGCAGCCCCCATGCCGGACTAACGGGGAAACAAGGAACTCCCTAGTCAACTTGCTCGAGACTCGAATTCCGCATAATGCATGAAAAAAAAGACGCCAAATGGTCCTGTTTCAACGACTGGGCTGAATCTCGCGCCAGCTTAGTACATGTATATCCCGACTTTGTTAATAAGGGGTCTGAGAAGCTGCATTTCGATATATTTCTCTGACCCATTTCTTGGATTCTTTTGTGACTTTAACATGCATGCGTTGAGAAGCTACTGTTTTAGACGCTTCGACTTTTTTTTCCAACCTTCTCCGTCAATGACCGGCCAGATCAGCTGCATTTGGAGCACGAACACGACTATTGGTCAGTTGCCTACAGCAAAACATAAAGTGTTCCCAAGACACAGCTTCACATTACCTGCTGGTGTTCAATCGAGCCACGATGGACGACGGGCTGTTGTCCACCGATTCAGGAGAGAACCGAAGTTATCAACTAGTTCTAATATCCATCATCTTTATGATACTGACGACCATAATCCTGATTCTTCGATTTTACACCAAACGCTTCCAAGGCGCCGGGTTCTTCTCCGATGATGCTTTTTTATTATCAGCATATATCGTGAACATGGGCATGTGCGCTCTGGGCATTGGTCAGTCAACCCCCCCACCCCCCCTTTTCTTTTCTTCTTCTGCGAACCACGAAACATTTCCCTGTTGCCATGTCTTTCTCCAGAGCGCAGCCAACATAACTTGATATTGCAGTGATGACAAGAGTCGGAGGCGTGGGGCGACATGTGCTTTGGCTCGAGGAAGAGATGCCAGAAGCGCTGGTGGGATGGGCACAATGCATTTTTGCCTTCGAAATCATTTACTTCACATCAGTTGCACTGCCCAAGCTCAGCATTCTTTGCTTATATCTACGAATATTCAACTGGACGGGGCGAATGAGGAACACTGCGTTATCCATCCTTGCTCTGACGGTAATGACCTCGGTGTCGCTTGTGGTAGCTGCTTGTTTTCAGTGCAGACCCATTCAATTTTGGTGGGACAGAACAATTCCTGGCGGATCCTGCTTTGAGATACAGACGTTCTTCCACGCTCAAGCTATCCCAGGGTTAATCCTGGATGTGGCCATCATGGTGCTGCCACTGCGCACGATCTGGCATCTTGAAATGCCACTCATCAAGAGACTCGCGTTGATTGGCATTTTTGCTGTTGCCAGTTTGTAAGTATCAAGCCGTGAACTTGGATAGTTCAGACTGTTTCACACTACTTTGCGAGCGGAGGGCTGACTTTTGCAGTGGAATTGTCTCCTCTATTGTGCGAGCTACGGTATTCTTCGACACGGCTGCGTTTGACGACCGCACCTGGGCCTCCGTTGATCTAGTGGGATGGTCAATCATCGAAACGAGCGTCTACATAATCACAGGCTGTCTACCACACCTTAGACCTCTGGTATCACATTATACGCCAACATGGGCCAAGAGAGCTGTCAAGTACGCCCTGGGGAGCTTCTCCCGGGGGTCGAGTTCCAAGGGGCGGTCAGGTCAATACTCAAAGTCCTTGGCGAGCAGCAAAAGGGGTACCAGTCACAACGGTCATTCCATCGGCAGGCATGATGAAGACACTATCGAACTCACCAGGCAAGGAAGTGCCCGAAGCTCCTTTCATGTGAATGGGAGGAACTTGAACTCAACTTATTCGCTGTCCTCGCCCCGGTCTGGCCAATCCTCGTCTAAGGGCTATTCACAAGGAGAAGTTGGGGCTTCCAGCAGTCCCTCGAAACATAGTATGGAGGCAAGTCACTCATCATATGGCGGGCAGATCCTAGTGACGACGGAGGTCAGATTAACCAGGTCTTGATATATATTCGAGCCTTGCATTCATGCCCTGGAATTTCTTGTATTCTCATTTTATCCCTTTGGGATAGGGATCATTTGTACCTACCACTTTTGAAAACATTAGAAGAATCCGCGACTGGAATACGATGTAGAAAGCAAGTCGAGGTCCAGTGAGAGAGCGAATGATCACCGAAACCGACTTTGACAGAGTCTAATAAAATTTATAGTGAGCTGATTAATTGCAGCCGGTAGTCAGACAAAAGTACATAAACAAAATGCCCTTTGGTCCGAGGGAGCCGGCATCGGACTGCATAGGGCGCAATGTACATCTCTCATGTAGTATATTCAATCTTGCATAGAAATAACTACCAACCCATATTCAATCCCATGTGCCTCGCGGATTGGCTTCATTGACTTTCGAGCGCGATCGACTTCACGGATCAACCCTAATGATCATCTACTTTAATTAGTCCTGCCAAGTTATTTCATGATGACGGATATCAACAACCAGTGGCGCCCCCGCGCGATCATCTTTGATCTCCTCACCGCGCTGCTCAACTCGTGGGACACATGGGCAAAGTCGACCCCTCTGGAGGGTACAGAAAAGAGTCGGGCCTGGCGAGGGCGGTACTTGGACCTCACTTTTGGTGCTGGAGCGTACACAACTACTACTTCTTACGAGAATCTAGTACGAGATGCGGCAGCTGACGTCCACCTGCCACAGTCTGCACCCGATGAACTATTACGGAGGTGGAGTCAGCTGGAGCTCTGGCCTGAGGTGCCTGAAGTTCTTGCCCGGCTCAGATATAAGGGGTTCAGAATCGGAGTAGTGACAAACTGCTCCCGCGAATTGGGACTTGCTGCAATTCACAACGTGGAGCAGCATACTGGCAGAGGATTTCGATTCGATGCCGCCATGACGGCAGAGGATAGCGGTTTTTATAAGCCGCACAGAGTGGCGTATGAATCTATTCTGGCAGAGATGGATGTCGGGGCCGGCGACGTTCTGTTTGTCGCCGGCAGTGCGGGCGATGTACAGGGTGCAACTGACGCGGGTATGAAAGTTGTATGGCACAATCGTGTTGGGCTGGCCAAGAAGGGGGATGCGACGCCGCTCTGGGAGGGAAAGACATTGACAGAGACGTTGAAAACCTGGACTGACTGAATGATTTGAGTCAGGACTTGGCACAAGTCACACGCAGATCGTCGTCGTCTTTATGAAACAAGTATGATTTCGTTATCAAAATTTGCTGCCTCTTCGTGCTCGGGACCTAATGGCTACGAGAAGCTCTTCTAAGCTATTCTCGTCACTTCTTCTGGTCGCTTCGTAGCGATCCAACCCATCCTCGTACTCGTTCATCATTTCGCGCTTGAAGTCACGCTCCATCCACGGTTCAGGACCCAGTCCTATGTCAAAATGAACATACTGTAGCACGCACTCTCTCAGCATTTTCATACCCACGCCGTGTCGGAGCAGGGAGGTAGCATCCTCGGGTGGGCCCCGATTTAGCTGGAGGCATTCATGCAAGGACGGCTTGTCGTAGTTCAGGTGCACGGTGTCGTAGCTGCGGCGCTTCCAAGCCTTGTATGTTGTTGTCGTGCGGTTGATGTCCACATTGAGATCCTTGGTTCTCGCCATGGCCACCAAGTCAGCATTCTCTCCACTCCAGTCTCCACTTCCCATTCTGAAAGCTCTGAGGAACTGCATCTCTCGCGCCCATCTGCCCAGTACAGTACTCCAACGAAGGCCGAAGTCCTTGGTAGCCATGTCCCAAATATTATCCAAGGAGCTTTCCCCGGTCAACATTCCTCTGATGGGGTACCCGTGATTATCCAGCTTCAGACTGCCGAGCGTGTCAATGGTCTCGTCCATTGGTCCCCGCGTGCGCCCTCGCCATATAATGGGACAGTCGTCGAGGTAGAGCTCTTGGAGCCCGCCATGCCCGTTCTCTGCCCCCAGCGAGGCGATCCACGTGATTTGCCATTCGTGGCTCAGTACATACCTGCCAAGGGCCAGAACTCTGAGATTCGGAAAGGCGCAACTATGTGTATGGCCAGCCATAACCCTGCGAAGGTCTAACTTTGGTGCCCATCCGAAATACCCGTGGCAGTAGAGGGACAAGTTGGTGAGATTTGATGCGAGTGGAGGTGCAAGCCACGTAGACGGAAAATTCTCGAACAAGTCAAATTTCTCTGGCTGTAAGAAGGGCTCGACGGCTAGCCTGTCCTCTTCGCGAACGGCGACGAGAATCTTGAGTGCTGTTAAAGTCTGGCTATTGAGGAAATCTTGAAATATTTGTGACGAATGGAGATCGACTTCGACAATATCAGGTAAATTCGATAATGTCAGTGTCGTGAGAGGAATTGACTGATCCGGGAACGACATTGGCTCCAAGACGTCAACCAAGCGATGCCTCTGTACCTTTTCTGGTTGAAAAAGACTGGCCCTCGAGTCGAACCACGCTAGCCAGTAATCTTGCCAGTTCTTTTGAGCAAGTTTGGTCCACCGTCCAATTATGCACTTGAAAATTGTATCGAGTATCCTGGACTGCAAGCTTTGATATGGGAGCAGCGCGGATGTCTCGTGTACGAGATTGTCTGGAGGAGGGAACCGTTCGGGTAGGTCAAGTTGGAGCCTGACGTTCAAAACCAACATTCTTGAAAAGAGCCGCAATCGAGGAAGTGTTAAAATGAAGAGTCCATGCTGCAGCAGTGCCTCCTCACTGCCCGAGCATTGCCAGGCCTGGGGCGGCCTCGAAGCATCCACTGTGACTTCGCGCACCCAGCAGCGCAGGTGCTCAGACTTGGAGATCTTGATGAAGGGCAAGACGTCGCCGCTGGTTTCGAGTCGAACATGGCGGAAAGCAAGTGCTGTGGCTGGAAGTGCGGAGTCTCGACTAAGAAAGCGACAGTTCAAAAGAGTCGAGTAGTCGAGTAAAGTATAGATGTGCCTAAGGACATCATCTGGAATCGTTGGCATTTTGACTGAAATAGTGCAGAGGATATGAACCTTTAAGAGGTCATTGTTCGTTTCCGAGAGAGTGGTGGTACAAACACTCCTTTGCTTGCGACGAAAAAAAGAAATCACACAAAGCGAAGACGCGTACGAAGTTTGGGAGTTGAGGGCGCAGACAGTTGGCAATGTCAGGGCAAATCAGGCTGCAGAGATCTGATTTACTATGGAGCCCATCTGCTATCAGGAGGCTGGCCACGTACCTAGATATTATAGCGGTAATCATGTTGGAGGTTGGGCGGGGTGCTGTTGGCAAAGACCCGCTGAGCTGCAGCCCAGCTCCTCCACAGTACTTCAAGAGGCAGTGCTGGCGGCGGTGCGGCCTTGCCCTTTTCATTGGAGATTGAGTTCTAGCCCCCCTCATGTTGGTTGTCATGATAGATCATGCCTCCGGTGCGCTATTCGTCGTCCTTGGCCGTGTGAGCTTTGGGTCAGACTAAGTCCTACCCCGAGCTGTGCCCCGTGCTATAAGCGTGGGGAGGTCCGAAACTCGGAGCCGAGACCCCACTTAATTGAGTAGAGATTCGCCTACTGTGATTGTGTATGGTCAATAGTACAGGCTGCGGGCCAAAAGCTTTGCCTCCAGATATCAGGGCTGTACCATAGTAATGTTGTTCGCTTGGTTCCATCTATCAAAATCAGGACTTCGATACGATACTTTCTACAGATTTCAGAAGTGTTGAATTTCAGTCATGGAGTCGCGAGGCAGCTCAGATTGGTCTGCCCTTATCCATGGCGCAATTGATGGCCAGCTCGAGTACATCAAAGACATCAACGACAAGGTGAGTGGACCGGATAAGTAGCGCATGTAAACTTCCTTAAACCTGACTATGGCCTGTTCAGATTCACGCAGCTCCTGAGCTAGCCTATGAAGAGAGACAGGCTCACGACAACATCGTCTCTGCCCTAGAAGGCCTGGGATTTGCCGTCGAGCAGCATGCATTCGGTCTTGAGACTGCTTTCTGTGCTGAACGAGGGCAAGGAGGCCGTCTAGTCATTTTCAATGCTGAATATGACGCCCTTCCCGGCATAGGTCATGCATGCGGTCACAACCTGTAAGCACGGTCGCTGTGCCGCAGCGGGATCCTCATACCATCAATATATCCACTGATGTACAAGGATTTTAGAATCGCTTCGGCAAGTTTTGCTGCCTTTCTGGGTGTCGCTGCGGCCCTCGAAAAGTCCGGTGTCCAGGGCCGAGTGCGGCTCTTGGGCACCCCTGCGGAGGAAGGCGGTGGAGGCAAGCTGAAGCTCATCGAGGCCGGCGCCTACAAGAACTGCTCGGCATGCCTCACGGTCCACCCGGGGCCCGGGTATCGTTTGTCCTCCCCCGTTCGCGGCGTGTCCTATGTCCCTATGTTGGCCAATGTCAAGAAGCGCGTCTCCTTCACGGGCAAGGAGGCCCATGCCGCCATCGCTCCTTGGGAGGGGGTGAACGCGTTGGACGCCGTGTGCCTTTCATACAACGCCATCGCCATGTTGCGGCAGCAAATACGACCATACGAGCGTCTTCACGGTGTGTTCAGGGAAGCAGGTGACCGGCCCAATGTCATTCCAGCGCACTGCTGTGTTGAGTATTACGTTAGGAGCGACACCAAAGCCCACGCAGAAGCCCTATGGCAGAGGGTCCTCAAGTGCTTCGAGGGGGCCGCACTGGCGACCGGTTGCGAGTTCGAGGTAGAAACACTCAACTCGTATGCTGATGTCCGAGCCAGCAAAAAATTGTGTGCTGCCTACGTCGATGCCATGCCCGCCGGTACGGTACACCCATCAGAACCAAGCGACTTCCTGGCTGGGTCCACGGACATGGGCGATGTCTGTTATGAGTGTCCCGGGTTTCACGGTGCTTTTGGTATAGATACCCAAATCGGGCAAGGGAACCACACCAAGGGTTTTGCAGCGGCTGCTGGTACGGACGAGTCTTTTGAACAAGCCATCGAGTGTGGCAAGGGCATGGCCTCCGTCGCATGGAAGGTCTTACAAGATGATAGTTTCGCACAAGATGTTCAACGTGATTGGAAAGAAGATATGGTCAAGGCGACAGACGATGAATAAGATTGCGCAGCTTCTTCCCGATGATAAGTGAAGACTTTCACCATTTTAAGTACATTTCGGGCCGCGTCCTCTTTCCTCGCCATCCCTACAGAAGGAATAACTGTGTCTGTCCTTGGGTCCGTGGCCCGTCTTGTAGTAGTCTCGGGAAGGTGATATCTCCGCGAGATCTAATGATGGTGGTGGCCATCCCTCTTGCTGTGGTTGCACTTGTAGCCAGACTCGGCCCTTGCCATCTGCGCCCTGCTCATGGGCTTGTTTGCAGGCAGGGCAAATGGGGTGCTCGCCTCCCTCTTCGTGATCGAAACGTCGCCATTCTCACGCTTCTTGAGGTCGTTGGTGTAAATCAAGTTCAGCCAGTTTCCGAGTCGGTAGCCGCCCTTGGCGATCTGAAGCTCGATCGTGGGGATGACACTGTCGTAATATGTAGGGTAGAGGTCGCTCGCATCCTCGAGGGCTGCTGCGCCGTTTGGCATTACGACGGTGCAGACGTAGGCATTTGCATCACTTGCCCAGGTCGTGGCAGTGTCGATGACCTCGGAGGTGTCGTCTCCGGAGATCCAATCAGCGGCCAAGGCCTTGTAATCACCCGAATCGATCTCCTTGATTAAGTCGGTCGCCCAGCTCTTGGCATCGGTCAGCGCGTAGCCACCCACCAAGGTCTCAGGCATGTACGTGTCCCAATCAGAGTGCAGGTTGTCCGAGTATCCTGTTCCCGTACAGATTAGAACATCTCTCCACATGACGATACGAGGAGGTCACTTTGGATCACAATGAACAAACCTTGGTACGTAACGGCGATATCGTTACCACCGACCTCGTAAGCCTCGTCGTGAAGCGGCTGCGTGATATCGCCCACGAAGTGGACAATGAACTTCAAGGCCTCGGCAATCTGTTCGGTTCCGATGCTCGACTCGGTGACTCGCGAGGTATAGTTGCTGATGGCGGAGATAGAGCATCCTGCTGTGGTACAGTCCCTTTCGTAATCGACATTGCAGTCACTCGGAGGGTCATCCTCGGCATCGATGAAGTGGAATGGCGCTGACCATGCGCCGGCAGTCGTCGCACGGTAAGTATCAGCCCACGAAGCAATATTCGCGAGGTACGAGTCTGAGTCGTCATCAAGGATGCCTTGCGCCCTGAACACAAAAGGAAAAAGTGAGCGGTTTGCTAGAAGATATGTTGGCCAGAAGATACACGTTGATCATAGACGCACCACGACGCAACTTCGTCCGTCACGTAGTTCTGGGCAATGTATGCAATCGTCGCATGCCCAAGTGTGCCCCACGCCCTCACCCCCTGCAATGTGGCAACGGTCAGAAGCAGGTATGAAGCCATAGTGACCTTCTTACACTGGTCTTAGTGAATTCAAGAAAACGAGACTGTAGGAGAGCCAAAAGTGGGTTGTCGAGTGACGAGGACGACATGAAGGGTGAATACAGGCTTCATAGCTGGTTTATATACCGAAGATGTTCTTGAACCTGGACACGAACCGCGGCCTGAAGGGCCACACGGCTCCGGTGACGTTACAATCTTTGTAGACCTATCCTGATGGCGGATACAAGTTGTTATTTTGACCTACCCGATGTAGAATAGGATGGGAATGACACCCAAGTCTAGCCGCGCCGCCGCGCGGGTCAGGCGCTGCAAAGAAGGTTATATCAGACCTTATTTTGCCGCCGTTGACGGTGTGTGATTCGCCCCCTTAAATCTCGCATGATAAACGGTCTTGGCGAATGGGTACTTCACGTGCTGGTTTGCCAACTTCTCTGCCGACGCGACCTCAAGCCCCCTTGACGATGCCAAGACGCCCAGTGCCGTATCCTACATGAGATATGACCTAGCGTCTTATCCCTTACTCGCCAGCCCTTTTGAGGGGCCATGAAACCTTCCACTTTGGCATTCGCTACTATCACTTTCTTAACTATTCTACTGACCGAGTGCGACTCACAGAAACTGGTTCCAACCATCGTTCTCTGCCAGATTGAAGAACTGCTTCGAGTCCTGGAATGAGACTGTGAGCGCTCATGACCAAAGAGCGACGAAGAATGGACCACATGGCTGCCATATTCGAAGTCAGAGATCGGCCTCGGGGCATAGAGAGAGACGTCATGGTGAAGAGGCCACGCGAGCGGGACGGAGCAGATTGCAGCGTGCACCGATAACAACTCGGATCCATTCACATCTATAGGGCAGATTTTCACAAGAAATTTGAAGACGAGACAGGGTTTCGAAAGGATGAACATGTGATTACACTTGTGTAAGACCCTGTTCTTCCTTTCTGCGATTTGATCGTCATACTCAGAACCCCAATGCACGCATCACGAGACGGACTGAGACAATTATTCGTACACGGAAATGTTCAAGATTCTCAGTGCCACTATTGTTACTTTGATGCAGGGTTGAGTAAGATGTATCAATGAAAATGAAATGGTGGGCAGATGGTCTACTTAATGAAACATGATCGGACAGTTATTGCAAATGCCCTCAATGGCTTTAGACTGTTCGGGAGACAAGTCACATAGGCTCCAGGATAATATTCAGAGATGTCCTTTTGGATTTGAGTTCACCCTCAGTAGAGGTTCTACTTCCCTTAATCGACATGTGGATTTTCCTCCCTTGCCAGATCCGATTTCTTTTTTCCGGCTTGTCCTCTATCAACGCAGCCTAACTTATACCATCATCAGAAATTGATGGACCTGGTTGTTCTCCAGTCTCCTGGTCCTGGACCTGGAGACCATCCCGCCACATTGTAATTCTATCATGTAACCTTCTATTAGATCCTTGCCCCAATCCTTTTAACTTGACATCACTATTAGGAAGAAGTAGAGCACGACGTGGTTCCTGGACCCTCGCTGTCGGTCTCTGATAGTTCCGTGAACCTGGCCTGTCGTTCTCGTGTCGTATGCCAATTTTCGTAGTCGCACCATCGGCTCTCCCCCCATTTGAATGGGGACGCAGAGACAATGGGATAGTGCGCTCACGCTCTCCCTCGGTAGGTCGTCTCGTAGCGCTGCGAGCCCGGCCTCGCATCCGCTCTTGGGTTGAGGTCTCATCAACTCCACTCTTCTTGGTATCTGAGCTGACTGGTCTGACATCGCCGTCAATAGGGCGCACCCGAGGTCGAGAGAAGTTTCTTGCAAGCCCGGCAGTGTCTTTGTTGCTGTCTTCGGGTACCACTTGCGACACCTGTGTCTCCTTCTCGCCTTTATCCGTCACCTGAGCGTTCAGTGAGACCTCAGAGGCGGGGGCCAGAGCTGATGTGGATTGTTGGGTCGTAGGAGTCTGGTCCTGGTCTTGGAACTTGACTGGGATCGCCTCGGCTGATGTTTGAGCAAGCATATGAGCTTGTCGCATTAGCAGTGAGTTCCGCCGTCGAGCCGCTGCGCGCTTAGATAATTGCGCGAGTACATCTGCACGGCTCGGGGGTGCAGGGCTGGCAGCGAACTTTGGACTTTGCAGTGGTACTTCCAGAGCTAGGGTCGACTGCATTTCTGTGGTTTCTGGAGGGACTGCAGGTGGTGTTATTGGGACAACAAGCGGCTCCTGCTGCGACTTCAAAGAGCGCGAAAGCGGACGCTGGTACGAAAGCGGACGCTGGTCGAGTGTTGATGCTTCTATCGTCCTTGATACTCGCTCCTCGGTCTCTGTAGACTCATCCTGTTTGAAAGTGTGGTAGCTGAGACTGGATCTTGTTGACATCCTTTGGTCCTGCCTTGCGTAAATCGAGGCGGCCCTTGCAGGTGGACGCCAAGCGAAATAAGCCTCATCTCTCCAGGAAGGAACCTGGAGTTCGGATGGAATGTCTTGCGACGCAAAGACAGAGTCGAGTGGTGTGGGAACGAGCTGAATCCGCAGGTGATCTTGTCGAAGCATCGTCCATTTCTGTGACTTGTCTGGACGGTTTGTAAAAGGCTCCTTAGCAATCTGCGCCTCCGCGTCGGGCGACTCTGGCGTGCTGATCCTGGACCTGTCGAATGAGCGCTCAAGATCCTGGCCCTCTCGGTCTGAAAACTTGACATTCTTAGTGTTCTCAGTGATTTCACGGTGACCCTGCCTCGAGACACTGAGATCAAATGTGCTTCTTCCATCTCGTAGCTCGCCTGTGCCCTGAATGAACGTTCTTTTGGAGAAACCTGACGTTGCAAATGGTTGGTTCGTGGTCTCGATCACCGCCAGGATGACGATCGTGGATAATCTGAAGCATTGTTAGAGTTCTGTAAAACATTTGAAAAGGTTGAGACGTCACGCTACGGCGAGACCGACGAGAATCAAAAAACATAGGGGGTGCGTTAGCTTACAAGGCTGCTGAGCAAATGCCCAACTGTATCCACACCACGTTGCCTTTCAGACCCCCCACTGGATCGAAACCCGTCTCAGCTGTGACAATCACATTCAGTGCGACTGCCCCAACCCAGACTGGCACGATCAGCCGTAACAGCACTATTGCTACCGCCGCTGCCAGATACCCGTTTATCTGAGGGTTGCCCTTGCTTCGAACATACTCCTCTCGAGAGGCATAGACATGCAGAATAACGTAGGACACGCTCATGCAGCTGGCGCCGAACAAGAGAATACGGGCGGCGAGGCTCTCGGGACCCGCTGGGCCCGTCTTGAGACCGAATCGAGTGACGAGAACGCTGATTGTGATGCCCAGAGAGGACGAGGTCATAAGGGCGAGCAACCCAAGAAGTGCCACAGTGGGGAAGGCACGCCGCCGAATGAGTTTGCTCGTTGTTGCATTTTCTTTGTCGGTGTAACGGGTGAGCGAATCTGTGCGCCTGGCAAAGGATTTTTGCTCACTGGTCCGAGGATCCATTTATTAGCTATTACTGGCAGACGTTGCCTCATCATAAGCACATCAGCGAGACCCGCACAGTATACGCCATTCGCCTAAATGCTGGGCTGATCAAGTATAGACAACAAGGGACGTGGAAAGAGGGTCAATAAGGTTAGAGGTGATCAGCTTTCATCAACATTGCTTGCGCCCAAAAACTGAGTCGGTGGTGAGGTTCAAATTAGGTTGGAGTCCGTCGGTGTTAGTAGGCTGGAATAGCGAATGTCGTGGCTGGAGAGGCGAATTTGAAAGGTTAGGTATGCACAGAAGTATCAATGGGGCCCCACTTGGCCTGATGTATGATACAACGGGCAGTACGGATAATGAACGTGCATGAAGGCAAGGATCCAGATGAAGATGTGACGTCCGTGTGACGGCGCTCGTGCCCGAGGAAAGGCTGCAGCGTGCCAACACCAATTGGACTTTGCTCGCACCATCATTTCCAATGTGACGCTTCGTGACAAGCTCGAGAACTGAAGCAGTAGCATGTTTGCATGGCTGTCTTTCAGAAATTACAAATTCTGTCAACCACTGCGAGATTCGATCCCGCCGGTATTGAAAAATAGGTGGAGCTGCTGTTACTAGCAGACACTCTGAGCCTAAAACGCCGCGGAGACTCATCACGCACTCCTGAGACACGGCGTCTAAAAAGACGACACACGTTCGCTGCTACGCCGCACCGTGTCTAACAAGCAAGGGTGGCCCCCTGGAAGAAGAGAGAAAAAAACAAGGTTTCGAGCCACACGTGCCGAAGGCGTTAGAAACATATCCTAGACGAATAAAAAGAATGTTATGGTACCTTTCCCCGACACAAGATGGGCAGCGCGACTCGTTCTTGATGTCAAGGATATCTTCTATGAACGGCCCGGGCTACCCATGGATCTTAACGCCGTCCAAAATAAAATCCAAGCATCGTGGAATCGCCAGACCTCAGCCACTCTTTACCCCTGTTCAATCAATCTAATGAAACCTAATATCAATTAAATAGAGGTCCTATTCAAGTAAGTACACACACGAGTACTCAAGCAGCCAAACAGTCAGTCTTTTACGAGTTGACACATACATAACCTTGGGATGCAACATGTCTGGACCATGTGTAAGTAGTCTTTTACTTCAGATTGAGATTTGTTGAGCGGCCATGCCTTCCCTTCGGACCGGCAGAGTCAGAATTGGACTGCTGCAGATTTTTGCGTCGCTTGTCAGGTCCTGAAGCAATCCATCTTCACTCCTACTTGACCATGGTTTATTGCTAGTCGGGACAGTCACACGTCTGTCTTCACCGTCATGCTATACATAGGGTTTAGTCCCAGGAAATTGCACAACTGCAACGTCTAGATGGTAGACGTTAGAATGTCTAGACTTTTATATGTGTTTTAGTTCTAGTTGCCCAACAGAAACCTCAATAATTTGAGGCGTGATGGCTTCGAATAACCAAGAGGACACACTTGGAGATTGCATGCACTGTGTTATTGGAAAGTGTGCACAAAGGGTTGTACAATAGATCGAAGTGATTCCTCCCTCTTGAATTTGTCAAATAATTGCAGTCATATCTGTAAGTATTTCGCAATTCTCACGTCTACCTCAAGTGGAAGCTTACTTCAGGTGGAAGGAAAGTGGTCAGTGAAGCTGAGAAAGCGTCCTTTTTGGCTATGTTGGGATGCTCCTCCTAGATTTGGTGTGATACAAGGCAACTGGTACAGCTATTTGGCTTCAACATAGCCAAATTAGACCAAAGAATCCAGTGTTCGAGCATATTAAATTAAACATGAGGTCATCCACTAATTCACTGCTCCAAAAAAGTGAATGGCAGGTGAGTTGCACTGCGTATGAGAGCCACTCGTAAGACACCATGTGGATTGTAACTGTGAATCTTTCATCCAGAACTTCACTTGAACATAATAGAATGCTGCTAGCCATAATTTCTCTCAGCCTCTGTTGTTTACAAAGTTTCCAACTCTCGACACTCAAACTTTTCAAACGCGCCCCGCATCACAACAACTTCCACCCTCTTGTTACACGCTCAGCACAACACAAACTTCCAACAAACTGGCAGCACCCAGGAATATCACGTATTGCTTTCTTTCCAAGCACCTCTTTCTTTGATTGACTTCGAAAATATCGGCAAAGCCACGAAGATGCCTGTCAACGGCTTGTGGCCAGATGAACTACGTCCGAAATGGATGCGCCGACATCCATCCCCCTCATCGTCCGAGTCAAGTGGTGAGGACATCTCTGATGGAACCGAAGCGGCAGCTGAGGATGAAGTCCACGTAGAAGATGAGATGGGTTTCGGCGATGGCGACGGAGAGGTACAGTTCTTTAACTCGACAAGCGTTCCTTTGTCGACCAGGCTGACAGGTACCGCGGGGCCAGGAGGGCGACGAGATCCTAGACAATGAGCTTCGCAATTCCAGCACCATGTATGACGATGAATACTATGCCGATGAATACTATGACGAGTACTCTGAGGAGTATTACGACGAGGAAGGTGAGAGTCGATCACTAGATTGCTGCAGGTGGAAGCCAATAGAGCTGATGGAAGACTCCAGACGAGCAGACGGAGGTGGGCGGATATGATGGCGGCTCTGAGCTGTCTTCCAACTCCCATATGGTTCAGCACATACCAATGCAAAGGCCCGACGATGGCAGCGAGTCGTCCAGCATATCTATTGACTTCCCTGGCCTCTACAACCAACCCCGACTTGAACAGCCCAGTCATTTCCCAAAGACCGACAGCTGGCTGTTCAAGGGCATCAAGTCGCATCGGCGCGACCTGTATCTGGATCATATCGTTGCAAGTCATGAACTCATCAAGTCGAAGAGTGACGACGAGGTTCTGGGCGAGTACACCTGGATTCAGGTGACTCCTAGCCAGGAGGCCAGTCGCCTCCGATTCCCTGCCATCTACGTCCCAGGTAAGTCCGCCTGGCAACATGATTGTTCTCATGCACCTGATCCAGCGATGGCGCTGACGCGAATGATTACAGGAAATGCGCGCATCTGGCGAGGCATCGAGCGCGGACATGTGAACCTGCATGCCGAGCGCCAGATGCACATCATGGGCGACGAGCACCCAGCGCGCCAGCCCAACTTCCCCTACGAGCCCATGTTCCGTGCCCTGGATCAGGTCGAGGACCATGTAGACTTCCGTGCTGTCGACATTTGTTCCGACTCGAACTCGCTCGGAAAGCTCTATGAGTTCATAGCGATCCGCAGAGTGGTAAGCCCAATCCGCCTGGAGCTTTCCACCATCCGTAACACCCTATTCATCTCGCTCAAGCAGCATCGCCTCCGAGGCCACACTGTCAAAGCTGGCCGCGTGAGGGATGACATACCCGAGTGGGCTGCAGATGCCGTGGGCCGTATCGGCAGTAATGGCGTCCAGCTTCCGTTCTCTGGTAACCACTATCGTGTGGTGCGATACAATCTGGGGGAGCTGACCTGTGTGGTGCGTGGCAAGGTTGACTTTGTCTTCCAGCCATGCAAGCAATCCGCTGATACCCAGCAAAACCCTGATCCGCTTGGCGGTATTCAACCTCAAATTATTCCAACCGTGGAAGATGGGACTGAGACAGAGGCCAGAGGCATCAAGACCTGGAAAACGACGGTAATTCAAGGCGGTGACGGTAAGAAGACGACCATGTCGGGCGTTACGTCCGCGCGTTATCCTGGGAAGCCGTCTAAAGTCAGTACGGCAGCACTGTGGTTTGGACGTGTCCCTCTCGTGGTTGATGCAGTTGTGTCGCCTCAGCTAGACGTTTTGGATGCAAAGCTGGTCGACGTACAGGCTTCCTACGACAAGTGGGAGGAAGACCAGCAGTTCCACCTGAAGGCAATGACAGGACTTCTGAGCGAGCTGAAACAGGTTACTCGAGGCATGGGTGGCAACTGTGTCCTGGTCGGCGATCCGAACGCCAGATTCCTTATGATCATGAAACCGCGAATCAGGAGCTGGCCCGTCCCCGAGGAAGTGGCAATGAAGTTCTGGGGCCCGGACGATGACCCAGCCATGAAGGACTACGAGAGCACGGTGGCGAGTGTGATTTCTGAGTTGACGGAGCTCTCCGGCACCCCCTCTGGCTTCTCTGACTGGAAGCTTGACTCGGATGAGGAGGCAGCCGCCCGCGAAGCTCATCAGCAACGACTGGAGAAAAAGAAACGGGCCAATTCATTCAGGATTGTGGCAGACTGGCTGACCAAGCATGATCGATCTAACTACGCTTCTCTGGGTGTGGCCAATGATTGTCTTGCTGCCTTCTACTACCGCACCTGTCTCGATGGAACCATGGACAGCGAAAATGGAGACGAAATGAACGAGGTGGATGAGATGGAGGACGAGATGGAGGGCGAGATGGAGATGGATCTTGGAGGCGAGGCTTACGGTGGTCTGGGTCTTGGCCAGTGGCTAGACTCTGGCGAGTCGGAGGGCTCGAGCCCTGAATCGGTCGCGAGTGCAGACCGTCCGATTCCGTCTATCGAAGTTGAAGATCCATGAGTAGAGCCAAGGAAGTTCGGGGCTCAAAAGCGCCGTGGCCTGCTTTATCTGCTTGTCCGATTTCTTGATCCACCAGTAAGGTGCCCCTGCATTTCGTTCGGCTGCCGCATTGCATCTCAACAGTTTCGACTGCCGGGCATGTTGTCGATTCGATTTGTGAACGGCAACCCGAGTGTCTGTGATTCATTCGTCTGAAATGCGTGGTGTTTCCAACGACATGTCGGACAATCGCCGATGGGACTGGTAAAAGGGTCTTACCGCCTCACTCAAGAGATGCGCATATCGGCAGGGTACCATAGAGAATTCGAAAACCACCATAATATTGGGGCGAGCCATACTCCAGTTGTTTGGAAAGTGAGGCGTCGTTCGTGGCCTCGGGGTTGCGATCGTCCGTGTGCGACTAATGTGTGCGCGCCCGCTTGGCCCCTTGTTGTTCGTCTCCTCGTCATGACGAGTTGCTCGGCTTGCTCTCTTCTGCCTCCTCTGTCTTCGTCTTCTGGTCTGCAATTTGATCCTTCTCATCTCCGTCGAGGTCCACCGCAGCAGCCGCACTGCCAAGCCCATCATCCTGATTCTGGTTTTCAAGGTTGTCCATCTGGGATAGAAAGAAATCCACCACATTCATCTTCTCGCTGAAGCTGGCTAGGTCTAGGGGAATGTAGTTCTTGTCGTTGGCTAGGGCAGGGGATGCACCCTCTGCGACCAGAAATTTGACAACGTCGAGATGACCTCCTAGCGCAGCCCAGTGCAGTCCCGTGTTGCCAAACTCATTAGGTGCATCTAGAAAAGTCTGTTTCTCCTCCTTGGGCTGGTCTGAGAATGCCTGTACCAGAATTGTGACAATCTCTATGGCTGGACGTTAATTAAGCGCTCTCAGGCAAGGGATTATTACAGCCAGACAGAGACACACTCACCCAGGTTTCCATTTCCCGTTGCCATATGCAAACAGGTTGACTTGCCCTCATCTTTGGCAGCCTGGAGGATTTGCGCAGGTGTGACGCCTTCCCTGGCTGACAACGTTGTCAGGGCATCATTCAAATCTGAGGCCTCGCCTGCTCGGGCAAAGTAGATCATGTCATCGATCTCATCCTCGCTCAGATTTGGCGCCATCTTGATGATGTGGGCCCAAGCTGCAACCGTTTTGTGCCTTGGTGAGGGTGTTGAGGTTGTGATGAGCACAAGCTGGGAGAAGAATGTTTCTTGGTGCAGTCGCAACGTGCCTGTGCTCTGGAAGCAGGTTGCAGTATCAGAAAATTTCAGGTGGTATACAGTGCCAAACATACAGTGCGAGGGATGCTACTAGCACTTGAGCGACTAGACAGGCAACCCCTGTTTAAGTGGCCCACAAGACCCTTCACTGGCCTTGATGTTTATCTTGCACTGTTTTTCACTCAACAGGCACCGTTAAATAAAAAATAAAAAATTTAAAAAAAGGAAAAAGAACAAAAAGTATTGTTCGAGTTCGTAATGGCTATAAAGTCAGCCTGAGCCATTTTTGTCAATACTGAAATTTCCTAGGCCATCATCTTGTGCGCTGAGGCCAGGTAGCTGCTGTCAATCTAGTGTCCCTTCATGTATCACTTGTGTGGGGAGAAAGGTAAAAGATTTCCAGACAGAACGTCGGTGACTTCAACATTGCGGGATACACCAAATCTGCTGAAGGCTGGCATGTGACGATTGATTGTTATTCATTCTGATACTAAGCAGGTTCGAAATGACCAATCTCAGGCACAATCTTCCCGTATAACTTCAGCCTCCAGGGAGTACTCTCCTGTTTGGAAAACCACATCCTTTTTTGTGGCCAGTGACCCGTGCTGACCCTACTGCTGAGCATTCCGCAGGCTGTTCAAGCCTTAGTGGCAGCCTTCTCCAGATCCAGCAGAGCCTCAATGCGCTTGTACTTGGCATCAGAGATAACGCCTATGGTCATATCCAGGTTAGTAAAGAAGCCTGCTGAGTTCCGGACATAGGGGGGGGGGGGGGCGCAGCGCACCAGCATTGGCATCACTGGAGAAGTTAGCGCTCCACTCAACATAGGTACTCTCACTATGCGAGCCAGCAGTGACAGCGTGGCAGCGGATAGTGCTGAGTACACTGGAATATGTGAGCTCAGGAGAAGAGGTGATGACACTGTAGGTGATCATGTGGTTGATGGACTGGTTGCTCAACAGTATCAGCGAGTTGCATATAATTAGTAGGTGGATGGGATGAGGGGACAAGGGCATACGCTGTGCTCCTCCTGCTTCACCTCATACACGGTGCCATCCTTAAAGGTCCACTTGAAGACATCAGTCTCCTCATTGGCACCCTTGACGACCTCAGACTTGGACAGAGAGGACCAGAACTTGCTGAAGTCCTGGAGCTTGATGAAGTGCCAGACATGGGAGAGCGGAGCCTTGATGACAACGCTCTCCAGGACAGAAGTGGACGTGGGGATATTGGTAGAAGACATCTTGATCTGGTGTGTTGTGGCTCGATGCTGGTATTGTTGTTAGTGATAAAATAGTGCCCGGTTGCTGCCAGGTGTTGGATGGTGGTGAGGGGGGGCTGTTAGCGTCAATCAGGGGGACAGGATTGGTGCTGCAAGGAAAAGGAGGGACCTGGGAATTGAGCTGCAAAGTAAATACCTTATTATGAGGATGAAAATGGATGTTTTCCCTTGGTGCTGTAGGCTCTCACTTGTTAGATGTGATGGTTGAGGTAAAAGCAAAACTTTGGGTTGGAGGAGATGCCATCGAAAACGTGAACAACGTCATACAGGGAACAGGTACTTAGTACGGTAGGGTTCCATGGCAACTACTGTAGGAAGTTCAGTGGCAGGCACTGTCTTGGCTACACGCCCATGGTGTAAGCTGAGCATTTCTTGGGGACGACTGTCTGGATGTGCGACCAGCAACAGGAAAGAGCACCCAACAAATTCTGATTAATGACAATGAGTCGGGGCAGGTACAAACTGATCGGGCAAGTGCCTTCTCTACATGTGTGCCCCTACATCTTCTTGGTAGTATAGCAAGTGCCTTGGTGAGCCACAAGCCTCGCCATGCCCCAACACCTCCAGGCCATCCCCCGTTCGTTGAGATACTCGGCTCCAAATCCTCCCCAATCAATCTAGAGGACGCTGGCCATCCGACCTCACATCCTCCAGAGTCCCCTTTTGGAACACAATGTCTAGCTCGCTGACATCATCGGTGGGCAGTGGGATGCCTGAGATTCAGACCGAAAGCCCACCCTTCTCGTCCCAGTCTTCAAGAATCCTGCATGTCCCACATACCGAGTCCGCCAGCACGGCAAGCCTCATCTTGTCTAAGATCGATGGCATCTTCGAGGACATGGTTCACTGCCTCGCCCACAGTGGCGACAGCATGTCCATCCCGTACAAAAGCAGGACCGCACCCCAGCAACCATGCGGCGCACTAAACTTTCCAGGGAGGACTGTAAATGAGGCTATCAAGTTCAGTCAGTTTCGTCATTTTAGGCTCTTACTGTTGCAGTTGAGTTGCACTTGAGTCCGAAACCTGACCCTGGTTGATCCTGTAGCTAGAATGGTGCGAATCATGGAGTTGTCTCGGGAGGCTCTCGCCTCCGGCCGGCTGATCACCAAGAGGTTTGCGGCGTGATCAATCGGAGACACCGCCCGAGTTGAGGCTGACAAAGCTGCAGAAATATATACTATCAGAATCCGGACCTCTTCAAGAATCAGACGATCGTTGATCGCTTGGTGGATGATCTTGCCTGTACCCTCGGTGTCAGCCGAAATGCGCTCAACATTGTAAGCGTTCATGGAAAGTCCTGGAAAGCTTCTGAGCTTCACTAACAAAAACAGGCTGCTGCTTCCAAGGGCTTGATCACAGGTCCCCTAAGTCTTACCACCGTGGGCGGTTCTGTCCTGTCCTATTCATTGGGCTACGACAACGACGATCTCATCCCCCCCATCAACACAATCCAGCAAATCGACTTCGCTGCGACAAGATGGATCTTGGTGGTCGAAAAAGAAGTATGTGCCCTTGGCACTGTCGCGACACATGATTCCCTTTTCTGACTTTGCTACTCCAAAGGCCACGTTTCGAACACTGGCCGCCTCTGGATATTGGCGAAATTGCATACACGGTCAAGGTATCATTGTCACCGTACGTAATCGTCCATGATCCAGGTTGTGAGAACACGAAGCTGAGCGCCAGAAGGGTAAAGGATATGCAGACCTGGCGACGTTGAAGTTTCTAAATCTCATACACACCCTACGGCCACTGATTCCCGTACTGTGCGTTGTCGATTGCGATCCACACGGGGTCGACATCCTACGCACATACAAATATGGCAGCAAAGGGCTGTCCCACGAGGTAGACGTCCGAGTTCCCGGTTTGCAATGGCTAGGAGTCAAGATGGACGACATTTTCCGGCATGACGACACCACAGCGCCAACTATAGTGGGAGGAGGTGCGTCAGGCTATTTTGTGGACAACAACTACTCCAAAAGACGTCGCTGACACACGGACAGGATTACAAGGTCACTGGTGTACTAGGCCGCGGAGGCATCCCAGAGCAGTCGAGTCGCTCATCAGTCTCACGGCGAACGATAGGAAAACGGCACAGAGAGTCTTACAGTCTATAGAGGCACAGGATGCTGAAAGTGACCACGAGGAGTTGGAGCAGGTGCGGGAGTTGCAGGTTATGCTTGTGCTCAATCTGAAGGCGGAGATTCAGGCCATCGACGACATGGGTGATCTGTCAAGCTGGCTAAACACGAAGATGGAGGCCGCCTGAGCGCCGAGCGAAAAAGATCTCAAGATTCAAGATTGATAGAGAACTCGGCCCGCAGGGAGACAGTCATGCTAGATAGATGTCAACATGCAAGACATACTTCATGGTGCCTTCTTTTGCAGTGTAGGTGGCGCTGCATCAAGAGTTGGCGGTCTACACCCGAGCAAGTACTAATGTACAATGATGGCACTACTAAGTATTTCATCCTTCAGGGGTCTCGATTTTATTTAGCGCCAACGGGGCAGTACTGGGACTAGTACAGGGGTGCCAGGGGTGTAGTTCGGTACCGGGGTGTCTGGCGTAGCCGAAGACCTCACGTCTCTTCCACCCGTCATAAGCGTCAGGCCAGTTCGATCATACCAGGTACCGACGCACACTGATGCGTGCATCGGACACTGGGCCTTGACGATGGTTTCAACACGCAGCAGCACTCGAAGGGTAGCGGATTCATCACCACCTGCCTTCTCATTTGTCGCTAGCCCCTCGACCTCGAATGGCAACAGCAGCGGTATCAGCAAGAAGCGCGGTGGAGAGAGCAATGGCGATGCACTGGGCCACGAGGCAAAGCGCCAGAAAATTGCAGAACCTGTGGACAAGACACGATGGCGCCTGAACGCTGACGGCGGGCGTCACACCTGGCACTACCTCGATGACGACGAGGCCGTAAGAAAATGGCCCCAGTCGTACGCAGACAAGTGGTACCTCGACTTGCCCCTTGTAGGTGATGTCTCCAAATCCCTACGAAGCGCCGAAGCTGACGATGCGCGTGCACTCGCAGGACCTGCCCGACCTGCCCAAACCAAAAGCTCCCATTGACGCTGTTAGCAACGGCCTGACCTTCTTCGAACACCTGCAACTACCGCCTGGCCACTGGGGCTGCGAGTATGGTGGGCCCATGTTCCTGCTGCCCATGTATGTCCTCGGCTGCTATGCCACCAAGACCCCGATCCCCGAAATTCAGAAGAAGGAGATCAAAAATTATCTCTTTGCGCGGGCGCATCCTGAGGATGGGGGATGGGGCTTGCACATTGAGGGTGAAAGCACGGTCTTGGGCACCACCTTCAACTACATTGTACTGCGGATGGTGGGCATGGACTCCGAGCACCCAGTTCTAGTCAAGGCGCGGGCGACGCTGCACAAGTTGGGCGGTGCGACCCAGGCACCCCACTGGACCAAGTTCTGGCTGGCCGCTCTGGGTCTCTGCAAGTACGAAATGGTCAATCCTGCGCCGCCCGAGCTGTGGCTTCTGCCGGACTGGGTACCTATCGCTCCCTGGCGGTGGTGGATCCATATCAGGATGGTCTTTCTTCCTATGTCGTACGTGGCATCGAAGAAGTGGGCGTGTGATGAGACGGAGCTCATCCGGGATCTGCGGAAAGAGATATTCATCGAGCCGTGGGAGTCGATCAACTGGGCAGCGCACAGGAACACCATCTGTCCCCGCGACAATTACCACCCGAAATCATGGCTACTGAACACCGCAAATTGGTTCCTGGCGAATGTCTGGGAGCCTTACGTTAGGCCAGGTTTCCTCAAGGACAGAGCCGAGACATGGGTGGGCGAACTGCTGAACATGGAAATGGACAACACAGACTACGCCTGCCTCGCACCCGTCAGCCAGCCCATGACCCTTCTCTGTTGTTATATCCGAGACGGACCCGACTCATACTCGGTCCGGAGGCTACGGGAGCGTATGGCCGATGCTCTCTGGGTGAACAGTGAGGGCCTGATGGTCTGCGGGACGAATGGTGTTCAGTCATGGGACACAGCATTTGCCATCCAGGCCGTCATCAGCGCCGGCCTCGCTGAGGATGCGCGTTGGCGACCTATGCTCACCAAGGCGCTGGAGTTTCTCGACGACCAGCAGATCCGGGAGAACGTCAAAGACATGGAAAAATGTTACCGTCACCCACGAAAAGGTGCATGGGCATTCAGCAACAAGATCCAGGGCTACGCGGTCAGCGACTGCGTATCCGAGGCACTCAAGTCGGTTATATCGCTGCAGAAGACACCAGGATACCCACAACTTCTGGACGATCGTCGCATCTTCGATTCTGTTGATACCTTGTTGACATACCAAGACCCCAAGACCGGCGGGTGTGCTTCGTACGAGCGTCCGCGAGGAGACCAATGGATGGAGGCACTGAACGCGGCGGAGGTCTTTGGTAACATCATGGTCGAGTACCTGTATCCAGAATGCACGACCGCTGCTGTAACGACGTTGTCGCTCTTCCAAAAACACTGGCCTGACTACAGGACGGATGAGATCACGCAGTTCATCACCCGTGCGGTGAGCTGGATAAAAACGGCACAGTACGAGCATGGAGGATGGTATGGAAGCTGGGCCATCTGCTTCACGTATGCGACCATGTTTGCCCTGGAGAGCCTGGCAACGATAGATGAGACATACGAGAACAGCGAGCACGCCAGGCGGGGCTGTGACTTTCTGATCTCCAAGCAGCGCGAGGACGGTGGGTGGTCCGAGGCATATCAGGTCAGTATTTACTCCAGGGATACCTGCATCGCCCCAGGAGACGGCTGACCATTTTCACTCCCTCGTTTGTGATAGGCATGCGAACAGCACAAGTATATTGAGCATCCCGCTGGATCGCAAGTGGTCATGACCGCCTGGGCACTAATTGGTCTCATGAATGCCAATTATCCGCATGTCGAACCGCTCAAGAAGGGCGTCAGGCTCATCATGGACCGCCAGCAGCCGAACGGCGAGTGGAAGCAGGAAGCTATCGAGGGCGTGTTCAACAAGAGCTGCTGTATCTCGTACCCAAACTACAAGTTTACCTTTACCCTCAAGGCGCTGGGTATGTTTGCGAAACGATATCCATATGAAACTATGTAATCTAGGATCTGCATCACGGATTAGACCGTTATTCAACAGCGGCCCTTGGATCTGTTGGCCTCTTTAATTATAATCATCATTTTATAACTTATCCATGAGCCGACCAATGCATAAGCGGCTTTTTTCATCAGACGCGAGCTTTAATCGGGGAAGAAGAAGAAGAAGAAGAACAAGGAAAGAACAAAAAAGAAGGTTGTGACAATGAGAACGCAATGAAGATGTAGTAAACTGTAGACGAAACGGAGCCCTGCAGTACGATGTACGAGACTAAAGGGAAGTAGCTTGATCCTGGTACATATCAAAGGCGGTGTTGATAACAACTCCTATCAACTGGCAGAATCACAGCTACCCCTCTAAGGCACCTGCCAGTCATACGAAGTGGAGCGACTTGCCTCTTCATCAGGCTGCCTGACGGAAACGTCTCCCTCATCTTGGACCAGGTCATCTAAGAACCTTGACTTTATCAGACATCTAACCTCCTTCAATTTGTACCATCCAGCCAACCCGTCACCAGTATAGACACATCAGAAACAACCACAATGTCTGCTGTCAAGTACGCAGAAACGGGCATGGCCGCTGCGCAGGCACACAAGTGGGATGAGGCCATCACAAATCTGAACAAGGCGATCGACCAGTCCAAATCTCCACAGTGGCTGTTGTCGCGGTCACAAGCATTTATGGAGACCGGGAATCTTGACAAGGCCCTGCGAGATGCCGACTTCGCCTACTGCACTGCCGCCGAGCGAGGCAATGACAAGTCTCGTAAGCAGATGATCGATGCCCAGCACCGCCGCTCCGTCATTTATTTCCGCAAGAAGCTCTACGCCAACGCCGATGCCTGTGCCTCCTGGTCGCAGCAGCTCGCCAAGGGCGTCGCCGTCAAGGCTGCCGATAAAACTGCTGATAACACAGACGACAAGGGCTTCTACCACATCACCGCCGCCGATATTGAGCCACGGCGGGATACTGCCCCAGGCCAGGGGCAGCATGACGGTGGCGCTGGTAGGTTTGCCCAGGTCTCTTCCCTACTCGGTGGCAGCAAAGGCTCCAGCGGCCCCTACGAGCAGGAGTGGGCTAGGACCCAGTCCTGGCGTACCACCATCATCCGCTTTCTCGAGGCACTTCCTGCCGAGGACCCAGCCCGTAGGGTCACCGCCAAGCCTGTGCCCGCGAAACCATCGCTTGAAGAAGAGGAGGGGGAGTACGTGCAGAAGCCCGACCCGGAGATCGAAGCGGCCAAAGCTTCTCCTGCTGAGGTGCGGTCCAAGCCAGAGCTCTCCAATGGCCCCTTCCGCAGCCAAATGTACCAGTCCGACGCCTCCATTACTATCTCACTCTTCATGAAGTTCGCTTCAAAGGAGGACACGGCCAAAGTACAAGTTGAGCTGCAGCCAAACTTGGTAAGCGATTCTGTCGTCCTACGCGAATTGTTCATACATAGGTATACTGACAACTCCTGTAGATCACCGTTACCGGAGTTCCTCGCGAGCCCTCCACCGCTTATATCGTCCCCCACGCTGCGATCAACCCTGCGAAGTCTACATACCGTGTTGCCACGATGAAGATCGAGTTTAACCTCGCCAAGGCACAACCCGGAAAATGGCCCAGCTTTGGCCGCGAGGAGCTGAGCCAGCCCGGCCCGTCCACCTTGCCCCAGGCAGACGAGACTGCAATTCACACCACTCTGGGTTCCAATACTGCTGCAGCTCAAGCCAGCACACCCAAGGAACCCCCCAAACCCAAGGCCCCCGTGTACCCGACCAGTGCCAAGGGCGGCCCCAAGGACTGGGACCACATCTCAGCCGATGACGATGAAAAGGACGTCGATGCTTTTTTCAAGCAGCTGTACAAGGACGCTACCCCCGATCAGCAACGTGCCATGATGAAGAGCTTCCAGGAGAGCAACGGCACTACCCTTAGTACTGACTGGGCCACAGTCAGCAAGGAGACGGTCAAGACCAACCCTCCTGAGGGCGTCGTAGCTAAGAAGTGGTCATCTTGATAGAAATGAACCTAGGGGAGAGGAAGTAATGAGCAGTTGATGACGGGCAGGAGGCCAGGTCGAAAAGAAGTTGAGCTCCCGAGATCAGCATCGTTCTATTTTCTGCTATTGAGCTCAGATGGGATGTCGGGGGTCGAGTTGATCAAGGCTCATTTGCAAGAGGCCGCAAACCTCTCGTTGCTCTCGATGACTTATGAATAGCTAATCATTACAGCGCAGCCAGGAGTCCAGGGGTTTCAAAATTGCCAAAAGCCCGTCATATATTTCTTCACTGTTCCGAGTTCATGTCAAGTTTGATCATCAGTCATGAGTAGTGTCAACAACTGCGGCTTCACCAAAACAACGCTTCCAAAGGAAGTATCTGTGCTTGTAAAAGAAAAAAAAGAAAAGAGGAAAACACCGACAAAGAGACAGCTGGGTTGGTTGAAACAGTGTTTATGTCGATGATGGTAGCCCAACTTCTAGAACGCTAATGTAGTAACTCGCTATGATTTGGAATGAGATGGTCTGTGGCGAGCAGTTGGACGGCCTTGCCACTTGGGCACGTCCTGAACCTCGGGGTGCTCATACTCAACATTACCATTGTGTATCACCCTGCTAGGACCTATGGTGTTTCCATTCCGCTCAGGTCCCGTCTCCTCAATTGCGACAACACTCATATCCCTATGGACCCTGAATGTCCTCCCGCGCCAGGTGACGGTGGTACCAAGCAGCACCGCCCAGGTCCAGATGGGCAGAGCCAGGAACTCTCTGCCGATCCAGGCCGGCACCCATGCCCACAAAGGTTTCCTCTGCAATCCGCCGGGCCTCTGAGGGCCCCTGGCAAAGGCCGGAGTTACGTCGTCCACTTCAACAGTCAGACACTTATGCAGGCGGCGGTATACCGCTCTGTCGCAGACCATCCAGATGGTGACACCCACCATCCACAACACAACCATGGCAGTCCAGGAGTGAGGAATACCAAAGGTCTTGTGGAACCAGGGTAGGGTGGTGATGGCATATGCAAAGTAAAGATTACACAGCAGGGACTCCACACCTGGCTCGACGAGGGTGGCAATCAGTACTGTCCACTTGCGGGCACGCAGCCACCTGACCCTGCGGGCACAGTAGGCCGCGACAGACATGCCGCTCATGGGTTGTATGGCGATATCCCCCCAGACCAGACCGTGTTTCTTGTAGCCGGGGATATCAGCCTTCCAGAGCAGGTCCCCGATGAGATGGTCCTCGCAGATGTTGTGAGAGAAGAAGTCGACACCGCGGCGCCGGTTCGCGTCGGAGGCTTTCAGGTTTTTGTTCAGGCTTGGATCGGTGCAGGCGTCTAGATGAGACTTGCGGAACATGTTGCTCTTGCCGATGATGCAGGGTGCAGCGCCTACAGTGTTGATGGCGCCGTAAAACTTGGCGTGACTGGTGGCCATAAACATCTCATCGAGTCGTCCACCCCCGATACGCGAGGTGCGTGCCAAGAAGGGCTCTGTTGTGCCAACACTGCCGGTGGTCTCGCAGTCGGCCACAGCCATGTCGACCACCAAGGGCATGTGGTGGACGAACCGGAAGGGCGTCGTCTTCTTGCCGCCTGGGAGAAAGCCCATGAGCCTGTCCACCATACGACCCGCAACACCCCTCGATATCCAGACATTGCAGTCAATGATCCATATGAGCTCTCCCTTAGCCTCACGGTAAGCACGGCTGATGTTGCGGATCTTGGGGTTGGGACCCAACTCATCGCCCGTCTTGCCCTCCAGACTTGAGATCAGAGGATCGTACTCCTCTACCAAGATACGCACATCGAAGTCGGCAAAGTCCTGAACGATCTTGTCGAGAATTGGGTATGCTGGGTCATCCTCAGAAGAAACGCAGATTCTTATAGACAACTTCGACTTCGGATAGTCCTGGCGGAAGGTAGAGGCGAGGCATTCGTAAAGTTCAGGCTCGAGACCTTTGACGGGACGGATGATGGTTATGTGCGGGACCTGATCCTCGGGCAGATGAGAGGATGTAGGTTTGCGTGGGGGGTAGGAGTAATATAGGAACCTAGTTGCACAATCAGAGTCAGATGGAGCTTGAAATCTCCGGAATGGAAAAGACAGCCACAACCTACACCATGAGGATGCCGATGCTCTGGATCAGGTACATAGACGAGCTCCAGAGCAAGGCAGGTACCGCGGCATACACCGCTACACTGTCCATACTGAGCATGTTATTGTAGATATGCCATCGAGCACCGAGCAGTCTAGAGGGGATGAGGTTGGGCAAGTTATGTAGTTGGTCGGTTGGTCGATTGTAATGACAATTTCGTTGACAGATCAAGACGACGGTGAAGATCAGGGTAGGGTGACGAAGGAAGGACGACGAGAAGATCACGAGTGGCCCATGACGGAAGATGTTCCTTGCCTGCCTCCCGACGAGCACAAGCAGTCGACCAGAAGTCGGATGACGATGTGTCCAAGTGGCATGGGCCCTCTACGTGGAGCTCCTTTGGTTTTTTGGGTGTAATTTTTTTTCTTGTCTTGCCGCTGATCCGGCGGCATCACCGGCAGAGCAGAAGGTGACCTTGCCTGCCGGGCGATGGAGGGGCAGGTGTTTAGGGTGCCAGGCTCTACAGCAATCCACCTACACTGGACCCGCCCCCAGCGCAAAACTTCTATGCCATCCTGCTGGAGAAACGAAACTTCTTACACCACACCATCATTCCACCACTCATCAAGCCTCCCTCTCCCAGGCTCAGGTGATATGAGCTACCTGATTCCGATGAGAACCTAATGGATCCTGTTTGAGCAGTACATCACATGATCTTTCTCGTATTGCATGGCTGGACCTTCGTTGGATTGCTCACAATGTCCCTCCAAACGGTGAGTTCGGCAGAAAAGTCCTAGCTTGCAACCTTTCTCCTCCCTCTTCTTTTCCCCCTTTCGCGTCCTTCTTCACATTCTACCTATTATCTCGCGGTGATGACAACTACTTTTTTTCGGTGCTTAGAGAGTCTTGTCTCTCGATGAATGCCCAAAATAAGACTATAACGGTATCTGAGCGACCAATCATGACACATCTCAAACCTTTTTCGCATTCTGGGCAGAGTTTTCCACGCGCCATCTGCTGACTTCATCACCTCCCTACAGGCCGACATGACCTGACATAGCAATGGCCGAGCTCCCAACCCTCCCCTCTCCCGATCGCCAGGCCCATTTGGTGGCTGCAGCGGTCTCGTTGCCGTCAACATCACCCACCGCTCCTCCTGCTTCAACAATGCCATCTGCAAACGCTTTGGCCACTCCACGACGGCCAAGACAGCCTCCACTTCATGAGCTTTACAAGCAACCTGCTCCTCTTCGTGTCTTTCCCCTCCCAACTTTCGCTAGCACCGACAACCCTGTGTCTCTGGTGCAACTTGCCGTCGCCTGGCTGGGCCAGATTTTTTTCCCGCCCACACCCGAACCATCTGTTATCCACACTGCCTTTTGGGACAATGGCACCCGGTCCATTGTCGTTACGGACCCAAAGGCCATGGCGGACCTTTGGCAACAGGGTTTCTACGGCAAGGGCAGCTTAAGCCGAAGCGAGCCCAACTGGCTCAAGAGGGAAAGCTCACGGCGGGGTGCCACCCGCGACAGGGTCAGTGAGATGGCCACGGAAAAGAGGCGAGAGGATCGCGTTCGTGCAAAATGGGAGCGTGCCCGCATTGAACAAGAGGCACTCGAGCAGAGACGTAGGGAGGAGGCCAGCACCCTGGCTGAAGCTGCCGTAGAAGCAGTCGTAGAGAGCCCAGCAAAATTAACCCGGCCGCCAGTCGGACCCGCAGAGCTCCTTGCCCTTCCCAATTCCCAGTTTGATCTCGTGGCAGCCTCGCGCAATCACGCCAGGGTCTCTGAAGATAGCATGGACGGCACGGATGGTTCGATGGATGGGTCAGGCTCATTTGGCAATGACGATGCTGAGACCAACACGACTGTCTCCTCCGGGTCCGCAACGCTCAAGCGTGCCAAGAGTGTTCGCTTTTCGCCAAAGGTCGAGTCGACTATCTTCCAACTCACCGACCCACCGAGTCCATCTCGTTCCTTGCCATCTTTCGTGCCGGAGAATGAGCGTACCACCAAGCCAGATGGTGTGCCACGCCCTGATGAGACGTCAACCAAAAATAACAGGACGGGTGGGGCTCAAAGCACCACTGCTGTCCAGTCTGATGTGCCGGCTGAAGTAGTTGTGGGGAACAAGGAACACCTGCAACTTGCACCAGAGGAGGCCTTCTTTCTGTGTTTTGCTCTGGGTGCCCTGAAGGTGACAGACGCCGCTACACAAGGCGTACTCTCCACCAAGGATCTTCTTGCTCTGCTGCGCCAGAACTCGTACTTTCCCCCTCGGGTGTCACAGCCTCTGCAACCTGATGACCCTTTCCTCATCCATTATGCCGTATACCACCATTTCCGATCCCTTGGGTGGGTTCCAAGGCCTGGCATCAAGTTCGGTGTTGATTGTGAGTACCTCGATCCCCTTCCCGTCTCGCCTGGTTTGTACGTCGCACTAGGTTTGGTCTTCACTACGAAACATACGTGGTCAAGATTTGCTGACGTATGAACGCGATAGGGCTTCTCTATAACCGAGGGCCTGTTTTTGATCACGCCGAATATGGTCTTCTGGTGCTTCCATCCTATGCTCACCCCCACTGGAAGGCCAGTGGTCGTCAAGCGTCACAAAAGTCCTGGCACTGGCTCATGGGTGTGAATAGAGTCTTGTCCAAGGTCTTCAAGAGCTTGGTGCTCGTTTACGTCGATGTCCCGCCACCTACTGCATTCAATGTGGACGGTGAACCTCGAATGAGCATGGCAGCCTTGCTCAAACAGTATCAGATACGGGAGCAGATGATCAAGCGATGGTCGCCGAACCGAGATCGCTAAGCCATGATCTCTTGTGGAACAAACAGTTGTGCACACGTGAGACGCAATCTCCCACAGCTGCGGCATATGGGGCTTATCTATTGCAGAACGTGCTTGAAAGGGGGGCGAGACTTCATCTTTCCCTCTGCTATACTAAACTCGGTCAATCAGAAACGAGCTTCCTCTGTGCACTTAAAAGAGTTTGAGATCAGCATATGCATAGTCGTACAAAATCATGAGCGGAGTCGGAATGAATGCTGAAAAGTGATGAGGGCTGGGCCGTTTTGTTGCTTGTTCCTCGGCCTTCCAGAGTGGGCCCACCGCCCCGGGCGAAAGGTCCATGTGGGGTGTGAGAAGACCTGATAGCTGATCGGCGGTTGTGCTCGAGAGTTTATTCATCCCATCGGTGATCAATTCAGTTCGATCGCAGTGATGGGAAGGTTTAACCCATCTTACTCAATAGTGCCCAGTGAATGTGTTATACTGCTCCAGGCAATCTGTCTCTTTCTTCTTCTCCTTTCCCGTTCAAAATAAGTGGACTATATCAAGGAAACCTCCGGCATCCACCGCCTAAAACCGCCTTCAACACACGCTCTGGTCGCGAAAGGGACACAAGACTTTTTCTTTCAGCGGAGCGGACCTGGGATCTTTTGCTGATCCACAGCGATCCAACTCTGCATTGCATGAGTAGCGCGGATGCGAGGTATCATACATAGTACGTAGCTATCACCCCATGTATTTTGCCTGTCAGGAGTTACGTTCACACGGATCACAGCGCGGTGAAGCTTTGAACTCTATCCCCCTGCTGTACCTTGGCAATGCTACCATGGCGGTAGGCGATACTACAGAAATCTTCCGGGGAGTCAATGGAAGGGCTGAGCTCCTGGTGCAGCGGAGGTTGGGTGCTCTATTGGGACTTGGCCGAGGTATGGGTCTCTTTGCGACCCAATCACACGATGTGTCGCACTCGCGCGACAGTCCTAATATCCGCAGTTGCGATCAAGGTATGGGACACGCAGTTTTACTAAGAATTTGTAGGCCTTAGTCAGGATTCAAAGTTCAGAGGCTGGCACAGAACGCCCAGCGCCGCAGCACTGCAAGTCTTGGGGACTCACTTGCGTCTTACTATTGGGGCTGGGCGTCCGTAGGGCTGCACGTGTGAGGAACGGGTACCACCACCCTGGCGGTGTCGTGCTTACGGGTCCCGACTGGCTACTTTCTGTTTCCTCTCGCGTTCAGCCGAAAGAGGAGGGAGGGCTTGTTGGCTTCGTTAACGTCATCGCAGCGTTCAGGACCGCCGTGTGGTTTTGCCATCAAACGATGCCGATTCGTGATGGAATAACCCGACGAGAATCATCAGGGACAAGAAGGGCGCAGACTGGTATTCAGCGGAGCGGTCTGAGGTGCCTCCACAAAGATGGCTGGCAGCACGGCGACGGCCACGCAACTGACGCAGAGCGCCTTCGATGTAAGCACCCTCGCTCATTCATTCACCCTCATGACACACGCCCCGTCGGTGCTGCTGATGCTGATTTCGAACAAAATATTCCAACGCAGGGCATCAACTGGCTCTTTTTCTCCCTCTCGGTCATTGCCCTCGCCTCGCGCCTTTACATCCGGATCACCGTCTTTCGTAAACTCATCGCCGAGGACTTTCTCATGCTCGCCACCCTGTGCCTGCTCATCGCCGATGAAGCTCTTGGTCAACGTTTCTCGGCCACCATTTATTGGTTCATGGGCGTGCTCAACGGAACAAAATCCTATGGCACTGACCTGACTGGTTTTCTAGACGCGGCGAGCGCCATGTTGAGTACGTGTAGTCATCCACCTTGTTGCCCTCCAGCGCGGTCCCCAAACTCCGCGGTTTGAGCCCTGTGCTCCCAGACGAGTAGCTACGGTCCTTCTCAGGGGAGCATCCCTGGTCATCGCGTAGCCAACTTTGATATGGAAGCAAATAGACTGACTTAGTACTCGACCTGAACGTCCAGAGGCTCTCGGTTCCGCCATCATCTTCTTCCTTGCAGCCCTTTATGTCATCAAGGCCAATTTCATGTTCTTTTTCCGTCGGCTGGGCAGCCGGGGCTCCAAATTGTTCTTCACATTATGGTGGATTGCCTTCGGTATCGTGATGGCATGCGGCGTTGTAAGCCTCTGCATGGGCATTCAGACATTCCGTTGTCTCTTCAATGGCATCGTCTATACGCTTGAAAATTGCGAGTCGGACGCGGACCAGAACGTCTACTTCACTTACTTCAAGGTGACGGTGGCGCTGGACATCATCACAGACGCAATAAGTGAGTGCACTGCCGTCCGTTCTGACCAGGTTGCATCCGGAAGAGAGAGGAGAGAGGGAAGAGGGGGGGGGGGGCGTCGAGTAAAATGAGATGCAAGAAAAAGAGGAGAGGCAAAGGAGAGGGAGCAGCTTGAGAGTACAGACTGACCAATACCTACGGAACCCAGTCATCGCCTTTCCCATCTGGATCCTTTGGGGCGTACAAATTTCCACGCGCAAGAAGGTGGCTCTCGGCGCCATCTTCTCGCTCGTCGGCCTGACCATAGTGGCGACGATTCTTCGCGGCGCAATCCTAACCAGCGTGTTTGAGGAATCGGAAGCAGGAAAGACGATCAATATCCCGTGGATCTGGTTCTGGTTCCATATCGAGCTGTGCATATGTGAGTCCCCCAAGTGTCTCCCATCACCATCCCGTTGGGAGACGGGCACCACTTCGCTCTCTGGCCATCAAAAATTGACTCGCTCTGGTTCTTGTCATATCAGCCGTCATAGTTGCGTGTCTCGTCTCCTTCCGCTCGCTCTTCATGCACAATCGCGAGCAGGTGTCTGGCGAGGCTCAGCGCCGGGCGGCCGCCCTCAGGCGGAGGAGTGGCTACAATCAGTATCTCGGCCCAAACAGCAGCGAGCGGACTCCACAGCAGAGTGGGAACGGTAGCCGAGGGAATTTGGGTCTTCGTGGGCAATTCAAGTACTGGCAGGACAGTGTATTCGATGCATGTCGGACGCTGGAGGGTCTGGATTTCGATGACGGGGTCACTCTGGTCGACGAGGAACATGAGATGCCCGTGAGAAGTCCGGCTGAAAGGACAGAGCATCAAAGAGACCTGGAGGCGGGTCATGGTACCGCAACACCTCCACAACAAGAGCAGCAGCAGCAACGACAACAAGAAGCCGCTCGAGGATCGGATCGATCGCCGAGCATTGACTCCTTGCTCATAGTTGAAGAGCCACAGTCGCCGGTGGCAGATAGACAGGGCGACCGCAGGGCGACCATTACCGGCAGCATAGCTTCATCCGGCGGGCGACCACTCAGCTTCGACTCGCTGAATCGACATTCGACGGGTGCAACTGTGAGCTCAGTATCCTCTTCAGAGGAGAGGCGAGCCCCGTCTCGATAGTGGGAGAATCGCGAGAAGGGTGAAATGCGCGATTGCCTCAGGCCATAGTAAATTCTAATGTTGAGAAATCAAACTTGATACCGACTAGACATTTTCACACATCTCCCCCTGTGATGAAAAAGTGTAGATCGTTGAAAGTGATATTTTTGTACGATTGTTCTGGCATTTGTTGTGATGCTGCAAAATGTTGCAGGTGGGTGGCTTGTGGTGGGTTAACGATATCTGGGGGCTCTCGCCCTACTTATAACACAGCGTCGGACTGTGGGGTCTCCCTTGTGTCGCTGCTACACTATCTAGGCAACGACCTAACACACTGCATGTACTCAAGTATTTATGCCCAACAGCATCTATTTGCGTGTACCTGCATAAGTATTTATGCCACACCAACATTCATTCTTGTACCCAAGTACGCATAGCTTTAAAAATCTGCACCGCCCAAGTAGTATGCTAGATTGTCGATCACCACAAGAGGCGTTGGCAGGAAACGATGCCTCTCTTGTGACATGAAGCAGGCAGGAGAAAATTCAGAGTCTTGTCGCAAAGTCACAAGTTCCCAAAATGTAAATATACTTAGGAAAGCAAGTCCTACAACACCCCGTGAAGCCTACAGGGACGATGCCAGCAATTACTTATTCCGGGCTTGGGCCTCTCTACCTGGGCTTCTGATCCGCCCGCGGACGACGGAAAAGCCCCTCAGACGCGTGAGCGAACAACAAGAGAAATGAACATCTTTTGACTGATCACAAAATTAATTACCTCCACAAAATTACTTCATAAGTCGCTGTAATTTCTAGGAACTCAGTCAAGGCTTTCCGTTGGTAATTAGTGACGTCTGCCAGATGTGGCTGTGAGGTTTTTACCTGGCGCTGCCCAGCTGAACATACCTCTTCATGTCCTTTCTTGGACGACTTTAACCGCATCAATAGAGGCAAGAATATACCTGCTATCTTTTGTTGTACCTATCCAAGGAGACAGGCCCTCCACGAAGGATGGCTACGTGGAGAAGTTGATCGCAACCCGGTCCACGTCCGTGGGAGCGATCCCCATCCTCCCGGGCCGCTAACTAGTAACAATACGGCTCTGCAAAAACAAGTTGCTGGTCTCTATTCAGGGGTAAAGCCTGTCTATAACAGGTCATGTCCGCCCATTCAGTGACCAGAAAGAGGTTCTGAGAGCGGCTCAAGTCTTGGTTGCTGCTGGTTTACCCAAGTCGATTCAGTTATTACACCACACGTTACAGATTGTTACTTGAAAGTAGTAGACACAAAGCAAACCGCCCACTTAGAGTGTGATGATGTAGGAGTTTGTCAAGTCACGAAGCAATGGCTTGTTGTGAGTTATTCTTTGCCAATCTTCCGTGACTGCTCCTTTTTTCCTTTTTTCTTTTTCTTCTAGCCGAGCCCAGATTTCGAGGAATATGCCCAAATCTGTATAGCGCGACGTCAGTGGAGTCCCATCTATAATACAATGATCATGTGTATCACGTCTCCCCGGGCCCCTTCCCACCCAATTCAGGCTACCTCGTATTGTGAGGCGTGCGAGGACGCCTTCTTGAACCCTATGGACTGTGCTTAGCGGGAGTGGTTGATCATAACATAGACCTGTACCCAATGCCAATCTCTTCCTGGTAATTTAGGGATATCTGCTTCTATGTAGCTTTGGGTCGTCAGCAGTGAACATGTAATCAACCACTTTTGCTTAGCATGCATCTTCGGATCTAATTTTATTATCTCACCAACGCAACCTTGGACGACTAACTTCGCAGTCCACTCACCCTCTTCCAATCAGAATCTTAACCCGAATAACAACACCTATCTCCTAATTACTTGCCATTCTCTAATTATCTCATTAAGTTCTCCGACCGATATACATCAGCGCCGTAGTCATCAAGAAATGGTACTGTAGTTTTGACTCCAGCCGCCGCCGCCGCCCTCAAAGCATTGACGTGGTTCCCATGGCTCAGGGCATTTCATAAGCCTTTACGACTTGCTAAATTTTGCGCCGAAGCCCTCGCCCAGGGCCATCATTCACATCCACAGACAGCTCAGCAGCTTCAAAGTGTAGACTCGTCCCAATTTCAGCTGGAGGTCCAGGCATCCGGTAGGCTACAGAATTGGCCCGATTAACAGCTTCTTCCAATGCCAATCTCTGCGTCGCTGCCTGATGAATTTCCCGTGGATTCCGTTCTTTATGCACAGGGTTCCTCTTGATCCAACTGAACAGGAAAAATCCTGCAACCCCCAATAACAACACGCCCATCACCGCGCCAATAATAATCCCGACCGTGACACCTGCAAACGAGCTGTTGGAACCAGAGGGCTCGATTCTAGAACTCGAGGTTGAAGCAGCAGCTGTTTTTGAGGTTGAAGAGGCAAGCGCAGTAATTGAGATGGTATCAGCTTTTGCAGGAGCCTGAGAAACAGTGCTGGTGTCGCTGGACGTGGCAACGTTTAAACCGTTGATCGGAACACCATAGATCGTGACCGTACCACTCTGTACGGTGGATGAAGAAGGTCCCCAGGTCCAACTTGACAAGCTCGAAATTGCGGAAAGGCCTTCCCACTTTAGAGTCTCGCCAGCTGTGACAGTCGATGTGCATTGTGTTGGCAGAACTGCTGTGCGTAGGTCATCAATCTCGTGGTAGAAGCGGTAGCCTGAAGGACAGCAGAATGTCTGTGTGGTTTCGGCATTGAAAGTAGAAGTCAGGACTCCGTAATACGCGCCCGGACAGACGAAACGTGGACCTAGGATCGTTGTCGACACCGAGTTCTTGGTTTGAAACCACCATGACGTTGCCTGTGGCGGCCAACAGGTTGAGAAGTCCTTGTTGATATTGTCTACATACGCGGGGTCCCCTGATCATTACGTGGAAAGGTTCAGTCAATGCTCCAGGTGGAAGGACAAAACGTGTTGTGAATGAGCCCTACATAGGTCCAGAATTGTCACTTACAGGCGAAGAAACTTTGGTCAATGGGTCGATAGATAGCAGAGGCACAGTCCGTGCCTGCTGAGGTCCAGGTTGTCGATAGTGGAAGGTAAGATGTGGTTGTGCCACTGGCGATAGTGACAGATACTGTTGCTGCCATCGCTCCAAACTGGAAGCGCGGGAATGATCAAACTGCCGTCAGTGTTGCAGACAACCCGTGCTAAGAGTGCTCACCGACCAAATACAAACCCCCCCAACAGTGATTAGTACGGTACATTTTCTGCTGTTTTAATGGTAAATTGAATGGGGCGCATCCTACCAATTCATCTCATTACGCATTTGTGAGTTGTCAGATCGTGTGGATAGCTCTGATGGTTTGGCCCGATGGTCGCATGCAGCCCCCAACTCGACATCAAAAGGATGAACGGCATCGATTACGGCCTGGGGCTGTTTCATAAAATCGAGCGACTCCACATGTCTGACCACCTTTTCCAAAAGTCCTCTCGATTCGACGAAGTGAGATGTACTGTCATAAGTTTAGCAGCACGCCCCAGGCATGTTACAATCATGAAAGCAAGGTCTCAACCAGAGTGCAATGAAGTAAGTTACCAGATTGCCTAGACCTACTCTTCCCTCTTGTCAAAAACCTGTGACTCATCGTGGCCTGCCTCTTCATCAATATATTGCACTATGGGCTGCATAGTTTGCTTCGCCACTGTGCAAAGAGGGAGGGACCCCAGATTCACTTGCCTAAAATCTAGTAAAAACCGAAACTTGCCTCTTGGGTCCGTGGCCGCCCCGTGTATAAGGTTCTGGGCTCAATAGCCAATTGGAGACCAGACGTCCTCAAAGATGAGTGAGGCCAGATAACGCTGGACCGAAGCCTAGTATAAGGCCACCGGCCAAGTGGCGACAAAGTTGTTTTTTTCTTCTTCTTTCTTTCTTTCTTTCTTTTTTCTTCTTTTCCTTACTCGACGGGGCGGGGGGAGGGGGGGGGGGGCGAGCTAGATGACAACACCGACAGTATAAATGCTCTGGCTTCTCTACTTAGAACTATCCTCATCTAAAACTTTACAGAAGACAGAGACAAGAATTTCGCATAACGCCCCTGTTATCAAGTATTATACTCTCAATAAGGACAATCTTGATACTGCTCCGATATTGCTCAAGAAGTGCACTTTGACATATGTCTCTTGAGATTGTCTTCCCGGATCGTGGAGTATGTACACCCTTGTTTTGGGCAACGATGCTTGATGTTTTCAACGCCTTGGCTTTGCGCTGCTCGCCGGTGCTCCTCGTCCCATTTTGACTTCGCCAGTAAGTGTCGCTGCAGGCTTTTCTTTTCCGCAGCTGCATAGTCACAACAGGCAGCGCTGCACCTGAAAGGTTTGGTATGTTTGTTCGTATGGATCTTGAACTTGGTCTTATCTGCAAAGCTCCTATGGCAGTAGGGACAGTCAAACGGTGCTTCTGCGGACGGGGGTTCACAAGGTGCAAGGGAGGATTGAGTCGGTTTAGTCGATGGTTGAGGTTCAGTGGGATGGGTGCTGGCTTTTTGGTCGAACACGATCTCGTTGCTTTCTATCACGTGCAGATGTTTGGTTGGATGAGCCATGGGGTTAAAGAACTCGTTTCCAGGAAGAGTCAAGTTCTCATAGTCTGGCAGACTTTCTACTGACAGATCCAGCTCTAGAGGGTCCAAAAACGTAAGCTGCCCATCCAACTTAGTATCGAAGACGTTCAAGAGTGAAAAGTCGTAATATTGATCTGCAGGGCTGGAGGTCATGACGCTTGTTTGTGGGCTGTCGAGCGGTGAGAGGGTGGACGAGCCTGAGTTGGAGGTAGAGCTCTGTGTATTGTTTCCCCAGTCATAATGATGCGGAGCGTCGCAAGCTTCGATATTCCCGTCGCTTGGCAAATCATCCTGCAGATCGTTTGCTTCCAACTGCCGTAAAATGAGGTCGATCTCAGCCGGATCAGCACCGATTTGTGTCAAATCCTCCGTGAGGAAGTTGCTTTCTCCCTCCATTTCGAACGGCCTCATGGACGTCGGACTTGTGGGGAGAGCGGGATGTCTTGGAAGTAGAGTTTGTGTTGGTCGTTCGAAAGATGAGTGGTTGTTTAAGGCTCGATGCCTTTATTTTGTTATCAATATCCTGCCTCGGCAGTCAAATCAAGTTGTTACCCGGGTTCTTCCAGGAGGTGGAAGAAATCCGCAGACAGCAAATTGACTTTGGCTGCTGCCAGGTGAACCATGGTACCGAGAAGGACGGCCGTTATAATGCGAGCCCAGTGAGGCGAGTTCCAGTTGTCGGCTTCCGTAGAAAACAAGTGTGGTGTCTGGAATGAGTATAGCATCTGCATCCTTTTTATCAGCCATTTTCGACTCTACCCAGGAGGAAGGCTTTTTTTTTGGGGGGGGGGGGGGGGAACAGACCGTCATCAGAGCGAAGCGAAGCCAGGCTGATGGCCATGATACCGCAGAGACTGTACAATGTCCAACATGATGAGCCAATGCTTCCATGCAAGGCTTTTGCAAATTACATTCTTTGCCCATCCTTGTGTTGTGTCTCCCGCGTGGCGATCTCCATTGTCTGATGGTTTTGGCTGAAAAGCTCAAAACTCCCTTCAAGACAGACAGAGGGCAGTGCAATTCTCCTGGAATCCATATTTTTATGATCTTTACTGCACTGACGTATAGACACTCTTTCTGTGCCCATTTCTGGTGTATGATCCCAAAGACTAGTGAGGCAGGTGACCACAGCGACAGGCCACGGGCAAGTCTCTGTACAGTGAACATTCCCGTCCCACACTCGGTTTGAGGAGTTTCGGCTTGAGTGGAAGTGTTGCTCGGTGTGTGCTCTCCAGAGCACACTTGCATTGACGACTTAAGAGGGAATGTGCCGTACCGGTTGTCATGTTTGACAGCGGATGCAAGTTCCAGGTATCGGGCAATGTTGTTGAACAAGTTATCTGCAGAAAACGAAGGGAACTCTGAGATTTTGGCGAGAGTTGAAGTCGAGATGTAAAGCGCAGATTTTCTTTGACCGCAAGTGGGTGGGATGCCTACTGGGTTCGCAAGTGTGCTGGGAATGAGGAGGAAAGTCTTGTCGTAGTCTGCATCCCATTGGTCACTTCAAAGTCTTTTTGCCGCGGCCCCCTTGGCCACAATCGTGACCAAGTGAGACTCAATTGTCATGATCGCAGTACAGATTTCCCGGTCGTGAGGTCCGCCTGGTTCTGGTGCAAGAACGTACAGGCTGGCCATGATGGATCGTGCATTTGTGCTGCTGACGACTTCCAGGTTGGTTCGTGTAATGCTGTTGTGTGCTATGGTGTTTTTCGAGCCGTGGATTTAATCCAAATCAAAGAAGAAGAAAAAAAAGACACTGGGGGCGGGGGGCATAAGAAGTCAATTGCCTTCAGAGCCTTAAAGAGTCATACCGAGCTCACGTTGTCTTGAGTGGGTCTTGCGCAGCGAATCATCTTACACAACACCTGGAGCGCTGGGGGGCAGTGCAGCATGATGCAGTGAGGCCAAAGATGAAGCGGGCGGAGCAAGCAAGCTTTGTACCTTTTGAATATTATCCATGTAAGTATTTGCAGGGCAGCTAGAGCGATTCAATTCACTCTGTTTGCACTATTGTATGGGCGCCGTCATTCAGCGTACTGAGTCTCGGGCTTGTCTTGTCATTCCGCGCCGCTGACGAAGCCAAATCTCTCGCTCTATGCAAAGTCAACTACAAATTCGAAATGCAACCCTTATAGGGAGTATAGAAACCAAGACCGGAAACTCTAGCTGCGGGGTAACAAAAATATTGTTCTTCCCGCAAGACTCTCAGTACAAGTGTGGCTGCAAAGTGCAAAGTCATACTGCGTCATCTCCGTCCACGAACAAGCGATTCTACTTCTCGTCTCTTCTTAGGCCGCTCGAGGGTATGTTTCTTGTCTGTCCATCAAGAAATTATAGCGATGACTTTCTTGAACTACATACTTGTGCAAAAGGACGATGTACATTTTAGAGAAGAAAAAGTATGCCTGACTACTTGTGGTCGCCACCTAATGCTTCGACTCTTAGAGTTGCTCTTTCAACTGAGGTATCGGCTTGAGCCCGCTCAACTTGACAGACTCTCTATTTCTCCCTTGATTTTGTATGCCCGAAAATACAGTGACTGCTTCAATTCCTTGTTGAGATGTCTTCAGTTGCAGTTGTTGGCATTCTCGAGACCTAGTCTTTGATCGAGCGACCAGCAGTCAACTTTGCATACAGCTGTTGGCCTTCACGGCCGCTTGCATGCTGTAGTTTCATTTTTTTGGGCACTCTTGATCCGGCAATGCTTTGCAAGGATTGTGGTGTTGAGAGGTTGTCAAGGGTAGCTGGTCTGGGACTACAACCACAGATGTGAGGTATAAAATAAGCCGCTACTTTCGAGCCTTATCTTTAGAAGTTGGACCTTCATATGGAACGTAAGTTTGAGAAGCTGAACATGTCTCAAACTGATGTAGTTTTACAGCAGACACAGACCCCAGTGGAAGAACGAGCAACAAGCAAGCATCTCACTACCCAGTAAAAGCTCAATTCATGAGGCTCATTTTAGAAATAATATTTCCTTATCCGAGTTCATGTTGCACAGCATTCGCAACTTACGACAGGAGTGATAATGATGTGAATCCTATAGGGTTTGGCCTAGGAGAATCACGACATGCTTTCTAGTACGCCGCCTAGTCCACCGTCCACATTTTCCAGTAATATCCTTGATGTTGACTCTAGGAAATGTCTAATCGAAAATTTCTACTCGAGCGGCTTTCTAGGAGGTGCTTCCCTTGAAAAAAGATGTGTGATTGGACGCTGTCTTCTGCTCGGCTTCGACTGTGTCAGGATGCGCATTTGCTGTCCTGCCCGGATTCACAAACTTGTTACTGATCGAGGCATCGTTCGTGGAGGGCTGGGCGACTTTCAAGGGTGGGCCTTTCGCGTCTATGCAAGGTGAAATCTTGTTAGGAGTGCTGAACACTTGATGGTTTGGACGGAGTTCCGCGTGCAACCGATAAGTGGGATCGTGACGCACCTCCTACGGAGTTTCGTGTCTTGTCCACAGCCTCCTCGAACTTTTGCTTGGCTGTCTCTGACGGCATTTTGACTGGAAATGGCGATGGTGACGGAACGGCGTGAATATTGATGAACCTGGCTGGAGACGTGTTCGAAATGTATAGGATAATGTCAAATGTTGTGAGACAGTCAGTGCTGAAGCCTGCAAAGGGCTTGCTTATAACCGTACGCGGACCTCGTAGAAAACTATGAACGGCTTTGAGTCCCCATGACGTAGAGCAGATCGTCCTGCGGGAACGGTTACTTCAACATTGGGGAGGTCGTCTATGATGGCACGATCGATCGTTCCCAATTGTGGTTAATTAGCGGTAGTAGCTGCAATTTCCCGCCCTGTAACACCATGATCTCATTGCTGATTCATTGGCTACAGGCCCCGCAAACAATCAGGCGCTCGAGAGCTGGGGTTTACTTTTGTTGGTAGCATCGTATGCTGGTTGCAATCTGAATGTAAGATCATACTTTGTTCTCGTAACTATGGAGGCTGCGAAATACAATGATAGCCAAAGACACGAGTACTCATGAGATCTGATTGAGCCATTAGCATGAAGCGATCTCAAATGGTTTCCAAATCCTTTTATCACGTCGTCCAGGACAAGAACAAAACGATCGCTTCCTACTGACACCGCACTCCTCTGAGAGAAAGGTGACTGGCTAAAAGGCCACCGGTCGGAATGAAACTGCCGGCTGCAAGGGTATGCACCAGGGCATTTTGTGCTTGAGTCCTGGTCGAGTTCTGTTAGGTTCCTTGCTTGATAAATATATACAATGTTACTCGGTATATATAGCGAACAATGTGAACACAATGTCTTCCCCACATCTCCATACCATGCGCGATGCAAGCAACGATTGATATTCTCAGATTGCACGTGAATCACAATATATAAATCAGACAGCGAGAAGACTCGTGTTGCGCAGGGGCAGGGTCATCTTGACTCGCATGCAGGCGAGTGCTCCGAGCCACGCACCCGGATCCCTTGTAAGTTGTTTCTCACGTGGCGTGTTTGGCCATTGGGTCTGGCTACAGATACCTTTTCTCAGTCGACTCCACCAATTAATGCTGTGTGTCAAACCACATCACGACTGAGGGCTGTCATTGATACACTACACGGCTTTACGATTGACTTTGAACTTCCCAGTTTGGCCATAATCCAACCGAAAAAGGCGAATTCCCAGCGCTCAGCAGGGGATTGAGAACGCGCACGAGGAGAACTATTGAAGGCCTACACCGTGGCTGACCTGCCTCTTTGGGACCACCAGGCCGAGAGAGGGGCCCGCATACCCAGCAAAGAGGGCCATTTCTGGGGGCCCGGCCCACGATCAAGAGGGTTGCATTTTACACGCAGGTACCACATCCCGTGGAGCCATTCAGAGGCGGGAAATGATCCGCGTGGTTCTGGGTCCCCCGAAATGAACGATAGCAATCAATGCCACTGCCGACGATGCACAGGCGCTCGGGGTTCGGCAGAGTGTTGAAAAAGATTTAAAAAAGCTGCGGATGGCCGTGCACTCATGCAGAACGAAAGAGAGACCAAGGAAGGGAAAAAGGCTATGCCGAGATGTTGTTGTTGTGATTGTTGATCTGAACCAGAAGACAGCAAGCTCACCATCATCATGAGGCTCTCATTCTTTCTCGGGACCGTCCTCTCGGTCGTACTCCCTACCCTCACGGCAGCGCTCACGGTCAACGACGCGCTGAGCAAGTCAGTCTCTGCCTATGCACACAGCAAGCGCGACATCGTGTCCGAAATCCTAGACGACATTGAAGATTTGGCCGAGTGCTCAGCCTGCGAAGCCCTGCTGGTGGTGCTCCAGGCTCTCGCGCACCTGGGCAATGACGCCTTCACAGACACCATTGTGGCCATCTGTGTAGCGCTGCAGATCGAGGACGACGATGTCTGCGCTGGGGCCATCGGCCTGGAAGGCCCCATCCTGGCCCACGACCTGCGCAACATGGACATTCCGAGCAAGACGGCGGAGCTGTTCTGCCTGACCATCTTTGGCCTGTGCCAGTGGCCTGCCGTGGATACCTCGTACAGCGTGTCCATGTCTGCTAAGCCAGCCAACGCCTCGCGCCCTGAACCCAGCGGCGAAACGCCCATCCAGATTGTGCACATCAGCGACATCCACGTGGACCGGAACTACACGACGGGCTCCAGCTACAACTGCACCAAGAACATCTGCTGCCGTGCCTACGATGCGGACGATGCTGTCGGCGTCACGGACTACCCTGCTGGTCCGTATGGCAATCCCGAGTGTGACAGCCCTGTGTCGCTCGAGGAGAGCATGTACGCAGCCATCGTGGATCTGATCCCCAACCGCACCTTTACCATCTTTACTGGCGACGTGATTGAGGGCGACGTCTGGGAGACGACCGACGAGGAGGTCACAGCCGGTCTCAACGATGCCTATGGGCGCATGGTGAGCATTGGGCAGACCTACGCTGTCGTTGGAAACCACGACAGCTGCCCTGTGGACTCGTTCCCGCCGGCTGCGGTCGATACGACCTACGCGGCCGAGACCCAGATCTTCTACGACACGCTCTCGTCTGATATCGAGTCGTGGATCGGCAGCACCGCGTCTGCAGAGGTGTCATCCAACTATGGCAGCTACTCGGTTGTGGACAGCACCACAGGCCTCAGGATTATCAGTATCAATACGAATTTCTGGTACAAGTCCAACTACTGGATGTACGAGGAGACGATGGAGTACGACCCCTCGGGCATGCTTGCCTGGCTGGCTTCTGAGCTCGAGACCGCAGAGACGGCTGGCGAGCGCGTTTGGCTCCTCGGCCACATGCCTCTGGGGTCCTCTGACACGTTCCACGACCAGTCCTACTACTTTGACACCATTATCCAGAGATTCTCGGGCACCATCTCTGCTGTCTTTTACGGTCACACCCACAAGGATGAGTGGGAGATTGCCTACACCAACTACTCAAACCCGACGGCCGACACCGCCACGATGATGTCGTATATTGCACCCGCTCTGACACCCACCTCGGGCAACCCGACATTCCGTGTCTACGATGTCGACCCCGTCACCTTTGGCATTCTGGATTCCACGACTTACTACGCCAACATCTCCTCCCCCACGTACCAGACCGACGGGCCGACCTGGGAGAAGCTGTACAGCGTCAAGGAAACCTACGGCGCCCTCCTGGGTGTGACGGACCCCGCCGCCGAGCTGACGCCTGGGTTCTGGCACAACGTCACAGAGCTGTTCGAGACCGACGACACGACTTTCCAGCAATACTACGCCCGCAAGACAAGGGACTACAGCACGGCTACCTGCACGGGCGACTGCAAGACCGAGGAGATCTGCCAGCTGAGGGCGGCACAGGCGCAGTACAACTGCGTGGCCGTGTCGCCGGGAATCAACCTCAAGCGCAAGAGGGACGATACGATCGATGGCTCGGTGCAGAATGGACACGATGACCACGCGTGCGAGTCATCTGCCGTGCCGCCGGTCTTGTCGTCTATCTATTCCGACGAAGGCCTCGCCGCCTTTAGGACTGCCCTGATCGATGTGGTTGGGGCCAGCTTCATGAACACGACCGTGTCGAGCAATTTTACCGTAACTGATTAAATTTTTGGGTTACGTTTCTTCTTCTTGGTAAAGTACATAGTTGACAGTATTAATGTTGAGATGACCTAAGTTTGGAAAATTATTGCCCAATTTCTCGCAATGCTTCGGGAATTTTGGGGCCTGCTTCATACATCGTTTATGTCTCTTCCCACTACTATATTTCCTCCGGGACTCGAAGCAAGGCTGGCTAGATCTGTAAATTTATTCGGTTGCATCTACCCCGAGCATATCGCCCCAGGGTCTCATACTCCCCCGCAGAATGTCACCGTTTCGTTCACGGATTCAACAGGGCCGCACGATGCGGGGCTTCTGCAGGTCACTAATTATCTCGTAGTTGTCTAAGCTCGCTTGAAAAAGACGCCAGAATCTGTCAATCCCTTCCGCTTCTCCGGGCGACGGCGGCGACGACGTCAAGGGTAGGACTAATTAGTCCAATGCAACGAAGGAAAGAAAGGGATGAAAAAGTAGGCTTGGGTCTTCCTGATGGATCCGTTCGGCCGTCGTTCCAAGTCCAAACGAAGGACTCGCTCTTTTGTCATTAACGGAAGAACATCATATCGTTGACAGACGTTGAAGGTCCTTGTATTATGATAAATGGGCGTTCAAAGATCCAAGACATCTGAACTTGAACTGTTCTCGACACAAATCGCATAAACGCATACTCTACCACAAAATTTGTAAACATGGGCCTCCTCTCCTCCGCCGTTGCCTTGCTTTCCGGCCTTGCTGGCGGGCACTTCGCCGCCGCAGCTCCAGCTACTATGAGCAGCCATGTAACCCGCAGGACATACAACACCACGAAGCCACCTGCCTTCTACCTTGCCGGCGACTCGATGACAGCGGTACAAAGCTCCGGCGGTGGAGGTTGGGGCGTCGGCTTCCTCTCCTTCCTCCGAAGTCCCGCCACAGGCATTGACTATGGTGTGGATGGAACCACGACGGTGTCTTTTGTAGAGGATGGAGCCTGGGCAGAGGTGATTGGGTCGGTCAACGCGACCAAGGCTGACTACAACACTTTTGTTACAATCATGGTAAGGAATTGTACACACACAAAAGCCGCTGATATACGAGAAAGAAGAAAGAAGAAGCTGGTACTAATAGGACACCTGCGTAGTTTGGGGCCAACGACCAAAAGGCAGCGGCCAACGAGACGTTACTTGAATACCAGGAAAACCTTCAGAACCTCGCTGAAGAGGCCAAGGAAGCAGGGGCCACGCCTGTATGAAGTCAAATTCAATTTCCCACCCGTCATATCAGTATCATCACATATGATTGATCATAGCCATGAAACGAATGCTTCTGTGTTCACTGATGAATTGCGTTGGACAGATCCTTGTCACCCCGCTCAGTCGACGAGACTTCACCTCCGAGACCAATCTGACTCAGAACCTGATCGACCAGCGGACATACACCATCTACGCAGCTCAAAATACCTCAACCTGGTGGATCGACTTGAACAAGGCCAGCACCGAGTACCTCTTGGCCATCGGCAATGCATCTGCCCAGACGTATGACCTGTCTTGCACCGACGAGACGCACCTGAACACGTGGGGTAGCGTGGTCTTTGGGCGGATGGTTGCGGATCTGCTCCTGGGCCATGTGCCCGAGGTTGGTGTCCAGGAAGCCTTGACAATAGCACCACCTGCGCATGATCATGAAGGAGAAAAAGAAGATGGTGGTCTGGCGGAATGGTTTATCTCGAACAAGACACTGAGTGAGGATATCTGGGCTGGTGTCTTTGCACAAGGTGGATCGTGCCCATTGGAATAATAGGCAGTGAGTATCGTACACGCTTAAGTACATGGTATTCTCCCTTATACGACATACTTTATTTCTCCATCCAATATGAAAGAGTATGATAGTTTTACTTCCTGACCAGAGTCCTCATGAACCACGCAAATTCACTCTTCAACGCCATCTCCAGACTAGCCTTCTTCTTGAACATGTGTCCTTCCCCAGGAGCAACCAACAGCTCCACGTCCCCACCGTTTTCTCTCACCTTCTTCTCGATGTCGTAGCTCTGCTGCACCGGCACGACCGTGTCCTTATCTCCATGGATGAGCAGCAGCGGCGAGGTAATCCTCTCAGCATGGTTCAGCGGGCTCCTCTCGTAGTTCACCTTCTCCTTCTCCTCATCGCTCAGCCCCGGCGCATAGAACAAGCCGTCGAGGTAGCGTGACTCCAGCTTGTGCGTGCCCTCGCGCATTGTCTGCACGTCCGAGATGCCACAGTAGCACGCGCCCGCCGCAAAGACATCAGGATACCAGACGAGGCTCTGCAGGACATTATACCCACCGGCGCTGCCCCCATGAATCCCAACCCGAGCCCTATCGGCCCGCCCCGTGCTGGAGAGATAGTCCACACTCTCGACTACATCGTCACGGTCCAGAATCCCCCACTGCGCGTCCAGCCGCTGGCGGTAGGCTTTCCCGTGGCCCGAGCTGCCCGTGTAGTTGATGGAGAAGTAGGCAAAGCCGCGGCTCGTGTAGAGCTGGAAGTTGGTGCCGGGCAGGGTCCCGACCTGGAGACCCGGGCAGGTATGGCCTGTCGGTCCGCCGTGGGGCATGATGAGCAAGGGCGGGAGTGTTCCCTCGGGTGCGGTGAAATTGGGGTTGTGAGGAGGCCAGTAGAAGCCGTGGATGGGGCGCTTGGGGTCCTTCTTGGAGGTGAAGTGGATGTGCTCAGGACGAGAGAAGATCTTGTCTGAAAATTCCTTGCTCGAGGCCTTGGCGACTTGCACCATGGTAGCTTTAATCTGATCGTCCAGAGAAAAGACATAGACGCCCAGCGACCTCGTGATACCAGCACCAATGACGACGAAAGAGTTCGAGGTCACGGCTGCGATGGGGTCACGGCGCGTCTCGACGAGCGGGACGTCCAGGGGCGTCACTTCGAGTGTCTTGAGGTTGACGTGGATCGTGCTATAGGTTGCGTATTTGCTGTACGCGAGGACCAACGAATTTTCAGAAAGAAAACAGAATGTGCGCCTGGTTTTTTTTCTTGCAGATTAGCACATGTCTTATGTCAGTTTCTAAGGGCTGCCTGGCGACTTGGTTCGACTTACTGATCGATCGACATGGAGCAGTCGCCTACCTCCACCTCATCGAGACCCTTCAGCTTGAGCTTCTCCGCAGTCGCGTCCTTATGGCCAGGGTAGAACCTATACAGGTGTCTCCAGTCGCTACCCTCCACCTCGTGTGGAAAGTAGACTGCCCCGTCCGGCGCCCACATGCCATCGCCCACGGCCTCTCCAAACTTACCTCCAGCGATGACTGACGAGTGCTCAGGATGAATTTCCGCGCCATTCTCAACCTCCAAGACCTCGGCCACACACAGCTGCGACCTGGTCCACGCCATGTCGGGATGATTCCACCTGCGCCACGAAACCCATTGGCCATCGTGGCTATACCGCGGCCCGGTATAGAAGTCGGCACCAGACACCAACTTCTTCACTGCGCCTGTGTCGATGTTAATAGCAACGACATAATTCTTCACGTCCTGAGGCGCAGGGTGCGTGTGGTCCTCCTCGACCGCGAGCACCCACTTGGCCGTGGCGCCTGGGTCTCGGCTTGGGCCAAAGTCGGCATAGCGGAGCCAGGGCGTGTTGCTGACCAGCGTGGTGACGCGCCCAGCATCGACGTCGAGGATCTTGACCGCATTGCCGTCCTGTGCGTCCGAGAAGATGATGCGCTGGGGGGCATTTGCGTTCGCGGAGGAGGGGAGGACATCATACGCGCCGCCTCCGTATTCATACACGGCGGTGCCTACCCCGTGCGGCTCTGGCAGGACGTGGACGAGTTTGTATGAGCCATCGTCCTGCCTGACCACCTCGACGATGGTAGACGCCCCGTCGGGCTTGGCTTCTAGATAGAAGACACGCCCAGTTTCGACCTGGACATTATGGGTCAAATTTTGGTTGCAATAGCCAAGGAGAAAAGGCGTAGGGGTGGGGGGGGGGATAGAGAGAGAAAAAGTTGCCGTGATATCATGAGAAGATGAGGGGAAACATGGCACGAACATCGCTGCGGGGAGATGATACTCCCTTTGTCCCGGCTGTTGCGTCCTCGAGACTGATTTCACTTTCCCACTCGCCGTACGGTGCGACCGTCTTGGTCACCATGGCTTCTGAATTCTGGGTTTGTCCTTCTTGTTGTTGCTGCATTGCCTAGGTGAGAATGCCTGGTACGGATCAATTAAGTAGTTCTGTTTCTCTTGTCGAAAGGTTTCGGGTGATAAAGACGCAGGCTGGGGTTGAATTAACCCGGTGTGGCCAATTCGGGGTAAATACTTGAGTGCTTTATACTATCAATTAGATCAGTAGTATCAATTCATGACAACCCAAACTCTCTCCTGATGATTCAACGTATCTCGATGTGCTCATAATAGCTGCCATGGCCAATTTATATCCAGGTTCTTTGGGAATACCATGTCGTAACCTAATTACGACTATATTTTCACCAGATTGCGTAGTGTCTAGTCCTACAGGCATGTTTTGCTCATCCATATATTCCAATGGCAAATCATTCTCCAGGATACTTTTTAACTGCCATATCAGCGCAGCATGCATGCGTGTATGCATGCAGATAATTCGGCTTCTCCCCATCCGCTCGCCGACGCAGTCTGACCAAACAATTCCGTCATTCAACGGAATACGTGGGTCATTGTGGTCACTCGAGATACATAGACACGTCATTGGCAGACGCAAATTGCCCATGCACGTCTTACAGGATTGCAAAGTCTATACAACGGCCAGCCAGGCATGATTTTGCCGGCAGTGTCCCATCTTGGTGTCGTCAGACGGAATGCCTTGGCCTCATTCATAAGCGGATCAACTATCATTCCGCACCCGTAGAACGTGCAGGTAAAGGAAAATAAGCACAGCATTTGGAGGGGACTTTTGTCACGGATGATGAATATTTTCCATTGAATCACGTGCAACCCGCCATTTCTAGCTAGTAGACTCTTCGCCATTTCCTGCCGTGCCGTCCCTCGAATGGCCGTACATTTTCAGAGCCTGAACATGCTCGTCTTCAAGCTCACCAAGGCTCGACGCAGAGAGAAGCCCCTCCTTGACCAGTCTTGTGAGCGCGCTTGTCAGGGTCTGCGTGTCCAGGTAGGTGCCCCGCAGGCGCCTATGTCCGCTCGCCGTATCGAACCTGGTGCGTCCGTGCAGAATGCGCCTGTTGTCAAACACGACACAGTCGCCCGGCTGTAGCCTGTACTGGAGCATGTTTTTGTCGGCCTCCAGGCTGTCTCTGAAGGACCTAGCAGCACTACGCCAGGCGGGTAGGGTCTGGCAGTTCTTCTGGTTCATGGCCTGATACCCTTCTTCAGGGCGGTCGGGGGGGAACACGCCCTGGAAGGGAGGCGACCAGCTGACATCCTTCGGGGGCGCATCCAAGGCGCTCGACTGTGTCCTGATCACTGGTCGAGTCCGGCGGTAGAAGTTCCCGTTCTTGGAGTACTGGTAGGCGACGGGCTCTGTGCGCAGGAGATGGTAATGCTCTGGGTTCTTGAGCTGAATCTCCGCCGCAGCCCGCAGCCCATCGCTGAAGAGAGACTCACCGCCCTCACATTCGTTTTTCAGGCAGTGTAGAAGCTGAATCCTGGGCGCGGGCGTCCAGTACATCAAGTCCTGGTGCAGGCAGAGGAACTCGCTGGTGTAGGCGGCGTTCTCGGCGTTGGGCTTGGATACGACGTCCCAGGTGAGTCCGTAAAAGGTGGACTGGAGATGACCGACCTTGCTGGCGATGTCCAGCACCGCGGCCTCTGTCTCGGGGACGCCCTTGACAAAGACCAGACCCCACCTCATGAGGTCCCGGAAAGCTCTTGCGAAAGAAGGGCCGCCTCCCATCCAGTCGGAGTAGCTTATTGCCCTCGCGTCCATATCGCGTGCGAAGGTGGCCCGATCCCACAGCAGCCGCGCTGGTGTGTATAGCTCCGGCAGCATGGTCTCCTGAAGCAGGCGCCGGATGAAATCGGTGTCGTAGACGGAAGGGTGCTGGCCACCCTGCAGGAAGTCGTGCGCCCAAACAATCTCGAGAGAGCCGTCCTCGAGGACTCTGCAGGATTCCGTCTCGGGGCTGGCGTCGACGTCACAGGTCACAAACCTCTTCTGGCCTGAGGACTCGCTCACGCAGACACTGCACGGACAAGCGTCGCGAAACCACAAGGCTGGCAGGCGGAAAACGTGTCCATCGGGGCTGCTGCTCGCAAAAGTGAGCCTGATGTCTCCTTCGTCTGCCACGGCGCTGACTAAACCACCCAGATCCTCAAACCTCTTCTTCAGACCTGAGGAGGGGTGTTCAGATGATTCATTCTGAGCAGAGGCGGTCTGCGTGAAGTATCTGGCTCTTGCTGCAGGTAGGCGTGGAGGGCCAGCCTGCAGCAGGGCAGGGCGCACACAAGGGCGAGTAATATTGCGGGAGAGTGAACGTTGCTGCTGGCCCCAGAACGGCGAGGGTCCCTGTCGAAGATGGTGAGGACGCTGAGGAACCTGTGCAGGTGACTGTAGACATCTGTCTATGCGCAGCAGAGAATTGGAAGCCCTACTGGCACTGCCTGCATGTGTGATGTTGAACCTCATCCTGACAGGCTTGCCTCAAAAGTTGTGCCGGGCAGCACTAGCACCGGGTCTCTCCTCTCTCTTTCTTTCGTTTCTCTTTCTCTCCTTCCTCACTGCGATGCTTTGCTTAGTCGTTTGTTCAAGGCATCGGAAGGCGCAAGATCAACCTTACAGACTCGAGAGGAAGGTCCGAGCCCACTACTGCATCAAGTTCCTTCGTGGTACGATCTGGACATTGTCCATGGTGGTGCAAGTTACCTCGGCTAGAGGAGGGACGCTTAGCTAAGCAGAATATGTGTACGTGGATCAACCTTGCAACCCCACCAAACAGCCCTTCATGTTTGGCTCTAAGACTTTGAGTAAACAACAATTCTTATTGACTGACTGTTTAACCGCACGTGGAGGACTTCGAAAGCAACGTCGTTCCTATATGGTCCAGACGTAGGCGGCCCTCGCCATCTTCCTCGTATTTCCATAGCGAAATAATTTCGTTCTAGCCGCCATCAATCTGCCATCGCGGCTATTACTTGGCTAGCCTTCTTTCCTAGATGAAACAATCAGCCCAAGTATTGGTTATTATTGGATCGAGGCTTGGACCCCCAATCACCGCTTGACCACAAGCCACGACCGCCATTCAACAGATCGTGGTCCAATCCTGTGGCGCGCCTTGATAGTAAACCCAAAATAAGGTATGAACCGTGTAATATCGATTGGTGACCAAGGACTGGAATGAGCAGCCCGCCGCCACAACCAAAAACCTCTCGATCCGTGCGGAACCTGAAACCGCAGCTGGGCGACCGTCCTCGAGACCCGCGCCGGCCCCCAATCCCAAGATGGCCTGGCGGTCCTAACAGCGCGTCAGAGCGCGCGGCACCAACCCAAGACCGCACAGACAGGATCACACCCTCCCCCAATCTCGTATTGCAAAGTGCGGGGGGGGGAGGAGAATGAGAGGAACTTCATGTTGGGGGTGGGACTTTCCTTTGCCCTTGGTGAATCCCGCGCGCTGCGTGCGGGAGCAGGTGATACGATGATGATCACGACCACTATCCACAACGTTTGAACCTGCTAGGGCGGCAGTCTGCCTGCCGGGCAAAGGGTCCAGATGTGTATCTCTGCCTCTGCTCTGGCACGTGGTGTCGTCACGTCCAGGCCGGCTGACAGAGACTCCGAGTCGGACTGGAATGTCACAGCCTCGCTCTTCTCTGCGCAAAACCGGAAGGGGAAAGGAGGGGTGGGAGAATGGGGGGAGATCACCCAGCAACAACCACCCGTGCAAGCTGGGCGACCATCGGATGTCATGGTCAGGTGAGGTCTGAAAGGCCCGAGCATCTTGACGGCCCGTCACCGAAGCAATTGGTTGCCAGGCAGGTTGGGATGGGATGGGATGAGGATACGTTTTCGTCATTTTCTTGGGCAGGCGATGAGGACCATGACCTCTAACCGCACCATCATCTTATTGTTTTGGCACACGTAGTGAATCGTGCCTTGGCCCAGAGTGCCGACTCCCCCCCCCCCCCCACCCCCCAACTCACCAACAAGGATCGCCTCAAAGCGGCGGCAGCTGGAAATGCTTTGACGGGGAAGATGCCAGGAGGACTATCACGTCGCGATGGAAGACGGACCCATCAACACACACGGGGAGACTTGATATGTTTGAAAAATTGGCTTCGTCAAATTTCAAGAAAATAGCAATTGATATCAATAGACACTAGAAGAAAAGGCATTTGCCATGCCTGCCACGTGTGAACCAGCCAGCCGATGTAGTTTGTACGCCTTGAAAAAACTTTGTGTCGAGAAGGTAATCCGGAAATTCCCTTCTCTCCTCTCTCCTCGAGACCTAGCGAGATATAAAAATACGCCAGCTGTGCACGAGTCCCAAATCTCTAGGTCTCTCGATCCAATCCCGTTTACTTCAAACCGTCAACCAAAATCCAAGGAAAAAGAACAGAACCAGTGCAATCCCGGGGGGGTATATCCTTTTCTTAGAAGCCCAGGTTGACCTTGAACTTGAGGGTACCAGCAGTGTTGTAGCCGAGACCGTCAGCGGCAGCAAGCGCGGCATCGAAGGCGTTGGTGACGGTAGCGGCACCGGCAGAGATGGAAGAGCAGGTGGAGCCGTCCAGAGTGCAGGCCTCCACACCGTTGACGGTGCCGTCAGCGTTCTGAGCCATGATGGAGGAGACGTCAAAGGCGGACCAGGTGGTGGTCACGTCGACGGCATCCCACTCGATCCAGGTGTACAGGAGGGCCGAGTCGGCGTCAGTGACGGGGGCCACGCTGGAGGGCTGGCAGGTACCAGCGCCACCGGTGCCGTTCTGGATAGCAAGGTACTGGGTCGCGCCGGCGGGGAGGCTGAAGCTAGAGTAGGAGTCCTCGCTGGTGTACCAGCCGGCAATGGAGCCATCCTTGGCGATCTTGTTCCAGTAGTAGCAAGTCATGTCCTCGGTGGCGCCGTAGAACTGAACGTAGTTATCGTAGGCCTCGGCGACGTCCTCGGCGGAGACGAGAATGTAGTTGCAGCCGTAGGCACCGTCCTCGGTACCGGTATTACCGACCTGGGCGATCTGCTCAACGGTGGCGCGCTTGGACGAGGAGGCGCAGTGGTCCTCGAAGGAGATGTACGAGGTCACACCAGAGCTGGAGCTGGAGCTGGAGCTGCTGGAGGAGGAGGAGGAGGAGGAGGAGGCGGCAGCAGAGGTCGACGCGGCGACGACAGCAGCAGTGGTGGATGTCGCGAGGGTGGTGGCGACGGTGGTAGCAGCAACAACGTCAGCGGCAGCGGAGGGAGTGTAGTAGCTGCCAGACATGGTCCAAGAGACATCGACGCCGTCGATCACAGCGTCGATGACCTGTCCATCGCGCTTCTCGTTCTCAGCGTTGCGCTGCTTGTTGTGCAGGTGACCATGACGGGGGTGAGCCGAGACACCCAGGGCGGTGCCCAGAAGGACGAGGGCAGCGAGACGAGCCATTGCGAATGAGGGTATATAGATGGCAAGTGTTTAACAATGGAAACTGTTCAACAGGTTCTTGCTTTTTCTTTAAAAAGAATGTCTTTGGAAGGAATGTTCCAAAATAAATGAGTGTGAGTCGTGATCTCGTGGTGAGTTGTCACTGAGAGAGCGGGTGGCAGGAGAAACACGAAAAGGAAGGGAGGGTGAGCCAAGGGCGACGGGTTTTGTTAAAATGAAGAGGTGTGAAGGAGGGGTTGGCCGGAATAAAAGCCTTTTCTGTTCCTGGTTCGTTCCCTGGGTTCTTTCTCTCTTGCAAATGAGCGTGGGTGGGTTTGACACAGCGGAGGACAGACCCGAAAAAAGATTGACCTGGAACCAAGGATGGATAGAGAGAGAGAGAGAGGAGAGAAAATGAATCAAGAACGACTCAAGGGGGAGAAGGGGGTGTGGACACAATAAAAACAGGGAAAGAATGGGGCCCATCAGAAGAGAGGAGGGGAGGGGGGGTCCTTGGGAGAGTCCAGAAGCCACCGGGGGGGGGAGGGGGGACGTGTGTGTGTCTCCACTCCATCACATACAACGTGCCATAGCCCATATTGCCCATAGCAGGAGCCCAAGGTGGTGTAGGAAGGAGCAACGACGACGAGAAGGGGGAGGAAGGCACGAAAGGAAAGGGGCTGAGGTGTGAGAGGGAAGGAGATTAACTGTGCAGGGGTCAAGGGTCTATTGCTGCGGGACTTTTACCAACACGGTTAAGTGGCAGGATCTGCCCGACGCTTTGCCTGTTCCTGACAGGCACAGAAAAAGGTGACAGCGGGTCCTTCCAGGGCTGCAGGGCTAATCATGGACCAATAAAGACGCCCAGGCAAAGAAACGGTACACACAAGTTAAAATTGGAAGAAATCAGACCAAAGGAACCGTAGTACTATGTACGTAGCGCCGACTCGTTTGTCACCATTTTGGCTCTCGTTTCCTTGTTCCCCTCTCTTTCCCCTCCATCTTGTCACCTTCATCGTATGCCCTTGGGCTGACTCATGAACGACTCAAAGACTTACTCAAATCATTCAGCATAGAGGAATGAACAAGAAGCAGGCCCATTCGCCATCTTTATTCTATTCCCCGAGAACAATCAGGGTCCATTCTCACCTCAGTCACCCAACGGTCACCGAAACGGAGACTCCTCACTGGAGACTGGGACTGGACTTCTTCAGGAGGAACCCCCTGCCTTGCAGGTGTGTGGGAAGGTCGCATCGCGCAGGGCGGCCCGGCAAAAGGCGTTGCGCGTGTCAAAAGTGGCTTCTGATTGGAGAGTGGTTGCGTCCACTCCCTTCGCTTTCCTTCCCCGTAATGGGGTCATCAATTCATCATCCACACTGAGGAAGACGCAGCCCAGTGGTCCACGTCCACACCCACATGCCGATGGCCAGAATGGATCATCACTTTGATGACTGGAGCCGTATTTTGCCCAGCCATGCGCACGCCCTCATTTTCAGTACCGAATCCCCTCGACGCCATCACGAGCCATTAGATGAGATCCCCCTATTTCCCCCTCTTTTCCCCGTGGTCGAGGAGGAGATTAATCCTTAAATGCTGGCTACCTAGCTTGGCAATCCAGCGATGTCTCTTGTCAAATCTCCACAGACAACAGCCCTTGAGTTTCTGTGTGTGAGTGTGTGAGTGTGTGAGTGTGTGTGTGTGTGTGTGTGTGAGAGAGAGAGAGAGAGAGAGAGAGAGAGAGAGAGAGAGAGAGAGAGAGAGAGAGAGAGAGAGAGAGAAAGGGTCAGGTAGGGTCGTCCTAAAATCCCCGTACAACAACACGTCCTGGTTTGTCCCTCATTACAGGTTGGCGATCCCATGCCTAATCTAGTGTACACGGCACTATACGTAGTATTATGTTTACACTGTAAGGATCCTCATTGCGCAAGCCCCAGGCTTACGTGGTGATGGCCACGAGGATTGTCCCCCACCCCCTTTTAGGAAGAACTAAAGACACAGACAGAAAGAAAGAAACGAAGACGAAGGAATCCACACGAACGGCAGCTGCTAGGCAGTGATCGACACAATAAAGCGAAAGGAAGAAAAAAAAAAAAGGACTTCACAGATGAGAGAGCGCTCACTCACACCTGCACAGCACACATCTTACTACAGCTGATAGATGATACAGCCCACAGCCTTTGGCGCGTAATAGCTCATAGCTCGAGAGTTGAATTCCGTTTGTAATTGTCCTGACCGTTTTGTGTGTCAAAGCGTGGGCAAACGATTCAGTGCGCACAGCGTCCTGCATTAGTCTCCGATGCCCGGGTTGTTTCGTCCAGCTGCCGACCTGCCGAACCCTGCAGATTTGGACTGCCGCCGTGAACAAGTCATCAAAACCAGGCCAAGACCCAGAGCCAGTCAGTCAATTCACTCAATTAATCGGTCAATCCAATTACGTTGCGCTGTTTTGGTACAGACCCATGGGGAGGGGAGAAGCCAGCAGCTAGAGGAGATGTAGTAGACAGGTTGTCGGCGGCTTTGTGCAGGACCGACAAATCACAAGCGCTGCACTTGGCCTCGACTCAGCGACTCGACGGCGGCTGGGCAAGGCTCCACAAGAGATTAGCCTTACCTCGTCATGGCCTATGGGATGAACCTTGGTGGGCACTGGACACCTGTGCAAAGTCTGTTTGGGGTGTTTGGTGTTTGCTGAGAAGTTTTAAGGCTTTCGGATGAAAAAAAGAAGAGAATGCTGGTTTTGGTTTTTTTTTCTTCTTTTGGGGGGGGGGGGGTTGGTCAGTTTTCCCTTCTGTCTTTTTTCTTTCTTTTTTGTCTTTCTCTCCGTTGCCATGCTGATCATTACGCCAAAGAGATGGTTGCATCTTCTTCCTCAAGCAAAGAGGTCCTCGTGGTAATACTGATCCCACAACTGCAGGTGTGTAATACTTTTTTGTCCCACAACATGCTCTCCGTCGTCACACCTCTTCGTTCGTTACACGTCTGAACACGTGTCCATCGCTGTCGCTACCCGATATTGATGCATCTGAGCACCCTCCCCTGTGTGAGGATTCGAGCTGAGGTTACTCTTTGAACAACGCATCTCTCTCTCACAGACACATGTGACGGCCGGGCCCTTTCTTGTTTCGGGACCCAATTCTGCATCCCTGCGCAAATCTGTGTGCCTTTCGCCTCGTGTACCTGACGATCGCGCTCATCACACATCAGCACAATCCATGTCACATGCAAGCTGGCCACGTACAAAGTCAAATCTTCATCACCTAATAGGAACAGCTTCTTGACTCGATTTCCAAGCAGCTACTTTTACTTTTCTCTCTTTCAATAACTGAAGATCAGCATTCAATCACCATATCGCAATAAGATGACGGCATACGTGGAGAGAGTGTGGACCTCCTTTTTTTTCTTTCCTTCCTACTCCCCTCCTCCCTTCTAAAATCTTTTTCTTCTTCGTCTCCTAAATTCACCACTAAAATCTTGGAATTGTCAGCCTTCGGGCCGGTTCGCCCCACCCACTGACCTGCAGTGTTAAAGTCTTCGCTACGGTAGTGCTCGACTGTTCGAGACCACAGGGTTAAAGCTGCTAAAGAGTAACAACTGGATGAGAGCCAAAACTTGTCCTGCAGCCTGCAGCCAACCCTCAAGGTCTGTCCTTCATGACAAAAGAGTTTGTTCGAGACGTGGGTCGCTGCAATTGGGTCAGCATTTATCCCTCACTGACGTTCCAACTCTTGCTGTTGTGAGCCGCGGACACCGGCATATTTTGCCGCCGTCAGAAAATCCTGATTGTTGGCTTGTCGGTCGTCCACGGACGGACATACCTTAACTCATCGTTACAGTCCCAGCTGTGCATGCACGCACCCATGCAGTCCATGGTCCCCATGGAGGACCGAGTCAACCCGTCGCGGCAGTTCCGGAGGGGAAGGGGGGGCGGGGGGCGGGGGGGTTCTCGATCCCCGGGGATCTTTTCCTAGGACCACATCTCCGCTGGCTGGCCTTGCGCCACCAAGCCCTTGCGGTATACACCGCCTTTCCCCTGAGCCTCGGACTTCATTCACGACGGCTGACAGCAGTTTGCTGTCTGTGGCCATTCTTCACCAATGCCGCTGGTTTTGCCCCTTCGGGCATCCGGGGACGTTCAGCTCTGGCTCTTCCGAGACTGAAACGTCGTGTACCGACGCTACTATGGTACAGGGGCGATTTTGCTGAAAATGCCTTGTTTCCAAACTCCGATTAAGGCAATGAATGTGACAGCATTTCTAGGCTACGATATCGGAACATGATATCATAGTCTATATCATCCCGTCAAGTTAACATTCTTCAAGATCTCGGGGTAACGACTCTGGATGGTTGGCTGACTGGGCCCCGATATCACACTCTCGGCCTGCCTGCAGTCAATGGTCCATGCTGTCTTTTATCAACGGCTCTGTTTGGTTTGCTGCTTGCTCCGACCTCATTGCCCATTTCTATTAGTCTATGATTATTGAGTACCGAGTGGAAATGATGTGTATTGAAACCTGCAATTGCGGCACCACCTGATGACACAATTCTTTGGGTTCCCGAATCGGTTGTACTGGTGGAAAGGCGTGATACTGCTCTAATATGGCCCACATGGGAGCTGCTGAGGCGTGATACTTGCAGAACGAGAGGTCGGCTCTGTCTCGCGAATACCTTACTGGTGTTTCATGGAACTCCTCATATGCAGGAGCATCTTGGAGGACCTTCTTGGTACTTGACTATTTGCTGTGCAAGCAATACAAGTCATAGGTAAGCACACACAATTCGGTAAAAGGTTTGGTGGAATGTTCATGCCCTAACTAGGCTCATGCCTCAACCAGGCCAACCATCGTCCATCAGGAATGTGTAACTAGGCTCACGTCCAAACGCCTTTCAGGTTTGATTTGTACAAGAGGAGGACGTGCCGCTGTGCGCTCTGGAGCCGCATTGCGTGGTTCTCTTTCCCGCCTTACCACGATCCACAACCTGACCACTTCACTATAATTACCTCGCCCATCACGACGTTTTCGAAATATGTTTGGCTTTCAACTTTGAATAATCAATACGTATTGCTTGACCCTACACACGAGATATAGATTCTACAACGTAGATACCATTCAGCATCTCGATGTAAATTCCATCCAGACTGCCTCACAGGCGACGGGATATTGAGTCCAGCTAGCATAATAGGGCTGACCATCGCGACCGCAGACCTGGTTGTAATAAAAAACATTTGACTATGTACTTAAGAACTGCTGAAGCAAATCTGGTAGTCAAGTTTGCCGAAACGGTGTCCCGAAGATTGAGAACCTGACTACAGACCAGAACCAAATATAGCTTTGAAACTATGGGCCGATTTGCCACATTTTTTGGGCACAGAATCTTCACTCGCATAGTTCGCACCCGTCTTCTATTTAAAGATGGGATCGCCACGTCGCCCGGGAGGAAAGGCTCAGCCGCCACCGCCAGGCTACTCCTTTGTTCGGCTGATGGTCTTATTGTTCCAGGTGAGACATTAATAGTTACGGCTTCGTCAGCAGCTTTCGGTAAGGTGGTGTTGCGCTAAATCAATCTTTATTGTCTTTGTGGTTCGACGCGCCATGGTCTATAGGTTTTTCTAATGGTTCGGTACAGCCCCACGCACACCTCAAGGCTGGCGAGTTGGCCGTCGCCACGCACATGCTACGTAGCAGCTTCCTGGCTCAATGCCATTGGACAATGCAGCAGGTGCCGCCGGTGCCGCCTCTGGCGTCTGGTATTACATTGTCCGAACAGCAAAATTGTAGGAGCACAGGGAGGCTGCCTGGAGGTACAAAGGCCATATACAAGGACCACCGCAAGAGGTTCATAAAACGGCCTGGATGTGCAATATTGATGTTGGGCCATGTGTTGGCTATTGGAGAAATGTTAATTTACTTTGCGTGTCTGTGGTAAATCACTCTTAGCGCAAAACATTCGCCTGAAAAGAGCCACAACATGGCCTTGCACTCATCACCATCCTCTACATCGGATGTATCCCTCAGTCAACTGAGGCTCAATGGGCCAGGGAATGGCTGGACATGCTGCAAGTGCGGAGGCATCACCTCCTTGCGCTGGTTGGACTGTGAGGATAGAAAATGCAGACACCGTAGATGCGATAAAGGTTGTATTATCAACAAACGACCTAATCCTCTGAGGAGGTTTGGCTCGTTACTGCAACTATTAAGAACTTGAATCGGGCCACGCTGCAGGCGAAGTTGGTGTTCCTCAGCTTATGTTGCTCAGACACGTTTATAAAACAATTCCAAACTTTCACGATACTTAAAGTATCCTATCTTCTGTGAAGCCATAGCCCATGTTTGTGACGGTGGCCAGCATTGATATGTTTTGGTTGTACGTGATTAATTGCTTGCTGGCGAGTGTAAGATTTGACCACCTACTTTCCATTACTTACGCCGTAGGCTGGTATTCAACAGTAACTGCGAGTAATGAATTACTGACAAATATCGAGGGTAAAAAAAAGATACGGATATGTATTTCCACAACCTAAATATATATAAGATATATAATACGGTGCCCACGTTGCCTAGTAAAGTTTGTGATTCAATATCCCCAAATGATGTTCATTCACGCCATTCATCAATGTCTAGCTGTGACTCAAAAGTCGCCAGCCTGCCCTGAATCATGCCTCAGTCCCTATCCTCCACCCCTACACGAAGTGTCCGTGCCGTTGCTTGTGGCTGAGTTGGATCTGGAGAGGTTCTTCCTACTTTCCTGCTGTGGTTGCTTCCCATCTGCAAGGTTTACCGAACGTCCCTTGAAACGGTCTGCGGGCCATCCTTGCATCGTCCAGCCCTTCTCCACCACGTCCCCGGACATGACGAGGGTATGCTCGAGGAGGACGCTGTCATCCTTCATCTGAGCACCTGACAGCAGCCTGGAGCCGCTGCGCAGGACACACCTCTGGCCGATGGACAGGCGGTTGAGATCGAATTTGCCCCTGGTATTGATGTGGCCTACCACACTCGCATCATCGATCACCGTGCGGTCTCCGATGGTGATCAGATCAGGCTCGGTGAACATCAAGCTGGGCCTGCCGTTGGCAAAGAGCGCGCAGTTGTCGCCAATCTCAGCACCCAGGGCACGAAAGTACAGCACGAGCCAGTGAGTGCCAGTTAACATGCCGAGGATGCCATACCCTCGAAAGCAGTAACGACGCAACTTTTCGATGGTGAGGTACAGTTGCCAATTCTGGCAGTACGGGCTCTTATCCCAGTCGTAATTTCCAGGCTGGCGGCGGCCGAGAAGATACCACTTTGCGCCGATAGTGATAGCTATGGCCAGGACGGCCTGTACCGTGGTGATGACGCTGATCAACCCGAAGAAGAGTGAATAGAGCACTGGAATATCATACCAATCCCCGTTGCCGATATGTTCGTGTTTTTTGCGGAATATGAAAGCGATGATCTGGATGGCGCTTATCGAAGGAACATTCCAGTAAAAAGCCGCAAAGACGGTGATGATTGACGAGTACATAATGATCGTCGGCAGACCATAAACCCTAAACGGCGCTTGCTTGAGGTAGAAAGCACGGCCGAATGGCGAAGCATCGTCTGGGGTGAGTTTGTCCTCGAAGTCGTCCTGATTCCGAATCCTCTTCGAGGAGACCTTGACTCCATTCTCTCCGTTTCCATCCAAACTCTTGAGATCTTCGCAGTCAGAAGAATTCATTTCCCAGTCCTCACGTGCCTGCTGCACGGACTCTGGGCTGGAACCAGTGCTGAGGCAGACAGCATCACCATTCTTTGAGCCGACATAGATCCCGCCACCTGTGTAAGACTTGTTGCGTCGTGTCAAAGCGCCAGAACCCATGGTTGCTTTCTCTCCAATGTGAACACCAGGCAGGAGAACAACTCTGTCAGCAATCATGGCGCGGTCTTGTACCTTGATGATATCAGAACCGGTGCCATCAGATGTTACAAGATGAGCTCGCGAGCCAAAGACAACATCGTTGCCAATGTCCAGGAGATGATAATCGCCAATAGATGGACCAGTACCGGGCCAGTAGACACGCTTGCCAACACGTCCGCCAAGGAGGCGAATGGCGATCGAGGTTCCTTCGTAGTGCTGACCCAGCAGCTCGGTCATCTCGTGCAGCCTCTTGGCCGGGTATATGGTCTTGACCAAGGACATCCTCCATTTCTCGAAGTGACTCCTTCCTCTGGCGGACGTGGGTTGTTGGGTGCCAAACAAGGCATCAAGGGCCCATTTCAGCACCAGCATATATCCAAACAGAACGAATGGGCTAAGCGATGCACGCAGCACTAAAGCGAGATAGTGAAAGCCTACACGGCGTGAACCGGCGAACCATTGTACTGTCACAAATGGTAGGGCTATTAGCTTGTGTTTACCAAAAAGATCAAAAGCATTTCTGTATCTTTAATAGAATAATGTAGCTTTTCAAATCAGAGTACGTACAAATACTATACATTGGCGTCTGGAAGGAAATGGGTTCCGTGATGATCAAGCCAGACAGGCCCAAAAGCCAGGGAACTGGTTGGTTTTTTTTTTTTCCAGGTTAGCATGTTGCTCGATGGGAGGGCAAGAGGGAATGAACTCAGAGTTTCAAAGATTTCCCGGAAGTCCTGGATCAAGCAAATTTCCCCCAATAGATAGATGAAGAAGGGCCTGGACGGCTCTGAACGACTTACTCAGTGAGATCATCCAACCGATGGTCGCCAGCGGTTTCGTGACCAGCCAATCAAGAGACCAGTGTGTGCTGGGAATGCTCGAAAGCATCAGATCACGGTTGGCCTCGTCGGCAGCATCAAGCTCGTGGCTGGAAGAGTTGGCTCCAATGCACGTGCCCTCAGGAACTGTCGTAGAGGGAGCCACGATGGATGCAATGCCCACAGTAGCGTTACGTCCAATGCGAATACGGCCAAGGTACATCGTTGTGTTTCTCTCTCCAGCAAAGGGCCGCACTGTGCACCGTTCGAGGACGGCATCGTCGTCTATCTCGATGAGATCCCACTCACCGGTGGAGACGCCACGTATGGAGACATTCTTGCCAATTCTGGCACCCATGAGGCGGAGGTAGAGACACGAAGTGTAATTCGTTTGGGCAAAGAGACCATGGCCACATATGTCTACGATCTTTTGGACCATCCACCATCGGGTGTGGTACGACCCCCACATAGGGTACAGTCCCTCTTTGTACCGGCCGATGATGAGCCACTTGGCGGCGATGCCCACCCATGGTATAACAGCCTTTGTAACGAGGCGGGCGACAAGAATGGAGATGCTGAGATTGAGCAACCGGCCAGGGACGTAATTCGTAGTCACCCACGTCTGGGTATATGCCAAAAAGACCATGAAAATAGTCCACTGATACGCGCGGCGCACAGGATAGAAGACGAACATGGGTAAGAGCTGTAAGGCCATGAGCGACCACCGAGTCGATGAGTGAGTCTCCTCACAGCCTTGGGCGACAAATGACTCGTCCGATTGCTGAGCTTTGGAGCATTCTCCATCAGAAATTTTCTTCCCGATATAATCCGCCAATTCGCGTACGGAACCATGCTGAAATATCACGTCGATGGTTATGTGCGAGTTGAATTCGGCCCTGAGCAGGGACAGCAACCTGCCAGCTCGGAGAGAGTCGCCGCCCAAGTCGAAAAAGTTCGCATTGGCACCAATATCTGCCGTGTTCAGGTTGAGTACAGAAGAGAAGGCCTTGGCGACTCTTCTCTCCACAGATGAGCCGTTCTCGCCGGACGAGGATGCCTCAACCTGGGCGAGGTATCTCCGAAGTGCCCTATCATCCAGCTTGCCATGGATATCAACTGGCAAAGCAACCTGGAGGGTTTGAATCCTCGTAGGCATCATGTACCCTGGCAGGCTGGTCTCCAATTTTGACTTGACGTGAGCTGCAAATGTCTCATCTAGTTGAAGACGATCTGGGTCTGTCGGCGCTATGATGACACCCACCGTCCTATCTTTGGGGCTCATGCGGATGCAAAAGGAACAGTCATGAGGAAGAATGCACGAAAATTCCTTCCAGAGGGCGTTGACGTTGATCTTGCAAGTTTTGCAAAGAATAGGCACCGAGACTTCCTGGTCCGGCGGGGGGCAATCGGCTTCCCAGTGACGTGCGATGTAGATGGTCTGGTCCGTAAGCTGCGGCAAGGAGAGGCGTTCTGCCAATTTGATTCTTAGAATCTTGTTGTTTTTCTTTGGCAGATCAGACATGTAGACAATGAGGGCCGGCCACTTGACTTGTTGGAGAGATGTCTTCAGAGAGCTGTGAAGGAGGCGGAGGTCCGGTCGCGGGACACCGGAAGGAGTGACGAGAGCCACACCGACGACTTCTTGGAGGACATCGTGTTGAACTGAGAAAGCTAGAGCTTGAGTAACGCGTTCGTGCAGCGGCGAGCTCGGCTTCAGCGCAGCGGCGATGATGGCATTCTCGACCTCCATTGGTGATATGAGTTCCCCCCCGCGGTTGATGACTTCCTTATTGCGGCCCGTGATGTACAAATAGCCATCACTGTCCATATATCCCAAGTCACCCGTGTCGAACCAGCCATCGTCGGTGAAAGCAGATCGATCGATGGATCCATCCGGCTGTAGGTATCCAGAAAACAGTGGCTCACCACGAACACAGATACGGCCGACCGTATTTGATAAAACCGCCTTGAATTGATCATTGAGAATGGCCAACTCAGGACCCGTGCTGACACCCGAAGTTCCAGGACGGCTCAGCCTGTAGTCGACAGGAGGCGTGGAAATTGGCATACATTCCGTCATGCCGTAGCTGGGCAAAACCACAGCGTCGAAGGTGTCGCGAAGCTGAATCGCCAGGGAAGGAAGAAGACCGCCAGCGGCATTGCAGACCAGACGAATTCTGCTGTTTTCCAAGGCACGTGACCTGACTGTAGACTCGGCCAGAATCAAAGAATGCATCGACGGGGATGCGTAGTACCAGGTCGGTAAAGATGTGTCCACAATGTCCCAGAAGGAGCTGGGGTCGAATACTGAACAACAGATGGTTGATCCAGAGGAGAATATTGGCGCAAATATGTTCCGAACAAGACCACCACTTGAGCATCTGTTAATTACTGTGACAGCACCAATAGGGGAGCCAAACTTACATATGGTAGAGGGGCATCATGTTCAAGCAGACATCCTCAGGCGTCAACTGCCAACTCTCAATAACAAATGCCACGCCCGCTATAATGGAATGCGTCGTAATTGGAACCACCTTTTTCTTCCCCGATGTACCACTAGTGAAGAGAACCAAGGCAATATCGTCAGCTGTGTTAGGCGGTGCTGGCGCCTCCACAGAAGCCGGAGCACCAGCGAGTGTCGAGATTGTGATCCTCATATCTTCGGTCAAGTCCACAAGAAGAACGACTATGTTGTTGGCTTGGATCCAACCGCTTCCCATGTCGAGTTTGGAATAGCCTTCTTGTGTTGTGAGGATGCATCTGGCCCCAGCTTGCAATACATCTGCCTGGAACTGCTCTGCGCCGGCTGCTGGGTTGATAGGTGCAGCCACATAGTGAGCTGTGACTGCTACGCACACGGCCGCCAGCAGTGGACCGTTCGGAAGCGCGATGGACACCACTGGCTTGCTTTTCTCTTGGCTCTCGATTGGAAGGGCGAACTGCTCAACAAACTCCTGCAGATACTGATGGGAGATATATTTTGCCGTATCCGATCTGTAGAGCGCTGCACCCGGCTTATGCGGTATGAAATCCGCGAGAGACCGATATGTCTGCTTGATATGGCATGCCGTGTCCTGCAGCAATGCCTTAGACTCCTCTGAGCTGCCAGATGGTCCGAGTCCCCGATGTAGAGCACCGAGCCTCGAATGGCAACGGATCAGGTCGAGCGTTCGCCATGAGTCTTGGCTCTGTTGTAGTGAGGTGGACAAGAGTCTGAGAGCTTCCCACGCCTCTTCAGGCGACAGCTGTCGAGAGTTGAGTCTCTGTAAGAGTTCCTCCAGATCTGGCTGGACTACGCCTAGCATTGTCTTTGATAAATAAAAGGCTATTGGTGCCGAACTGTGCCTGGAAAATTGCAAAGGACTGTGGCGATTGGTAACGACCGTACGGAGAGAAAAATCTCCAGGCTTGATGGACTACAGCTAGTAGCCCATTTATGTAGTAAACCTCTTCTTTCGTATTTCTCAAGGACGTGTGAAATGGCCGGTGGCGATCAGAATAATAGTCCTGGTCTAGCAAGTATGTGCCCACTCCTTGGTCTGCCTTGTGTATTTCGCCAGCCCGGGGAGCATCTCAGCACAGACTTTTCTCGTCGTCCACAGAGTTTGTGACGGTGTTGCTGACTCCTGTGCAAGCCTGGCATCTGTGCGTCCCTTACATTATCCGAGAAAGGGGACTTCGGTATTCATTTTATAGCGTCATTGCGGGAGCCCCGTTGCCGCCGGGTCTAATATCGTTGGCGCTCGCATTCCTGCGCGTACCTGTCCGCGCCATCTTGGCGCTATGGCGGTCGCGATTCAGCTGATACCTGTGGATCCTCAAACAGAGCAAACTCGAGCAAAAATTAATCAGGGAAGGGAGAGAATCTGACAACCCAGCAATGAGAGGTAAGAGATTGCTCCCACGGTCCTAGTCAAGCAGCCACAAGCTAGAATGTCAGCTGGAACGGGGCATGACTTAAGCCTTAACCGCAGCGCGGCACATGGCAGAATATGTCGACTTTCAATAGTGTGTTTGAAGAAAAGGGGAAAAGAAATTTACACGAGCACAGGTAACTATCCGGCAGGCTTCGCTGATATTCTCGTTCGCTTCAGACAATACCCCGTGAAGAAATGATGTGTTTGGATGGGTGTTCTCATGGTCCGCAAGCGTACTTATTCGCCAGCCCAGACCCCTTAATTCACCGCCACACACGTAGTAAAGGACAACAAAGGGCGCCTTTGCCGACAGGGGAAGAAGGAAAAAAAAGAAGAAAAAAGGCAAATACCGGTGGCGTGGAGCCTTGGCGCTTGTCAGACCCGAAGACCAGTATTCCCAAGGACTCGCTCTAGCAGACCAGGTGCGATCTGTAGCACATCCGGAGCCATTTCAAAGTTTTCGGTGCGAGGTAGCATTTGAACTACCCATACTGACCAAGATCCTGCACCTGACCTCCTGTCGATGTCCATGGGAAACGAAGTGGCTTGTCTGGATGTAGCGTAGGTATCACCACGCACAACGACTGCCTGAACAAAGGATCCAAAGGTCATATGTGAACCCCCGGTCTCGGGCGTAGTGAGCTTGGGACATTGTTGGATAGAACCTTGTGTGACCAAGTGGCAACCTCTGAAAACCTTGAGACATGTATCGAAACTTTTTTGAGAGCGATTCGTGGATGTCAGAAGGCGTGAGGACCTCGGGAGAAGTCAGTCCAGAGCAGGCACAACGTGCTGAAGTGATTGACTGACTGAGGCGGTGTCTAGTGATGGACAACTCATCAGTCACAGACGCTCACGCGGGCGAATCTTGAAACCAGGAAAGCCACAATGACGTTCCTGAGGAAGCAGAAGCATGTTGCAGAAGCATATTGTAAACGAACAGCAACCTGAAATGGCACCTGCAGGCGGTCGAGGTCCAGACCCGCGGCTCACGACAACGAAGTCAGCACCAACCATGCATCCGAACGAGCGTCTGGCCTTTTGCTGAGCAACCCAGCTGGGGCAGTCGCGTGGCTGGCTGAAATAAGAGACGGTGAGCCATGAGCGAGTAGTGCATTGCGGTTAGGGACGACTCGTCTAAAAGTGTTTCACGAACAAACAAGCGTCTTGGTAGCGGGATCTTGGACGAAAAGACGAGATGAGATTCGAAGGCTTTGGGTCTACTAACACAGTAGAAGTCGATGCTCTCCATCGCGCTAGCCCCTTGCAGTGACCGCCTGCCGTATCTGTTCTAAGCTGCCATGATGTCGACTATGTACTTACATTCTAGGCGATTCTGCCGCCAACATCCAAGTACACAGTACGACACAATTCTCATACCCCACCTTCTGACTGATAACGATAAGGTCGTTTTTTTTCTTCTGTGAATGCAGCCGCAAATCAAGCCAACTGATGATGGGGCATTTGCCGGCCTACGGACACTCTGAACACAATCAGACAGCCAACTCATCTGCCCGATTCTTCATTGCAACATCTCTCTAGCGTACGGACCACGAGATTATTGGAAATAACAAGCATTGTTCTTTTCCGAGGAACTCTGTCAAAATCCTCAATGGCTTCGCAAGCCAGCCTAGGAACTGCCTCGGCAGCCGATGCTGCGCAGCGGAAGAGAATCCACAGCCTCATCGTCGACACAGGTCCTCTGATCAAGAACGAGCCAGCCTTGTCAACGCTTCTCTCCCAAGCAGAAGAACTGTACACAATCCCCTCTGTCCTTGCTGAGATAAAAGTAAGCCTCTCTTTGAAGCGCAGATCCTACCTCGACTATTGTTGTTGCTAACCATTGACTTCTACCAACCACTACAGGACGAGGCCACGCGCTCTCGAGTACAGACGACTCTCCTGCCATTCCTCAAGCTCCGAAGCCCGCGACCAGAATCGATCAAATTCATCACCGACTTCTCGAGGCGTACCGGTGATCTTGAGGTCCTCAGCAAGCCGGACATACACCTTTTGGCATTATGCTATGAGCTCGAGCTCGAGCGAAATGGCGGAGATTGGAGGATCAGGAAAGATCCGGGGCAGAAGAGCCTCAATGGCAAGCCTCCTGCCGCCAATGACGACAGCACAACAGAGAACGGTGGCAAGGATGAGACAGTGGACGAGACAGCTGAGGTCACACGTCAACACCAAGGCCCTCCATCTGACTCGACGCCTCCTATCGAGGACGCCGCGGCAGAGGGCACCGGTGCATCGAGAGAAGATCAAAACGTTCCAGTGGCTGATGCGGGAGACAACGCTGTGGAATCGAAAGTGGCACAGCTTAGTCTAGATCCGGAGCCAGAGCAACATCAGCAAGGGAATGACAGCCAGGATCCTGGTGCCGTTGAGGTGGTTCCTGATGATGAAGACGACGATAGTGATGGTTGGATCACACCTTCAAATCTCAAGAAACACCAAGCCAAGGACAACCAGGTGGCAGCCCCTTCGGAGGCCATACAGGAGACTCTGCAGGCAGCCCTGCTCACCTCTGATTTCGCTATGCAGAATGTGGCCCTGCGGATCAACCTCAAGTACGTACTACACATACCGATGAACCTCTCCCAAACTCGCTGTTGCCTGACCAAATGCTAACGCACCATGTAGTCTTGTCTCGCCCTCCAACCTCTCGCGCATAAAACAGCTGAAGACATGGGTGCTACGGTGCTACGGCTGCTTCCATTGGACGAGGCAGATGGACAGGCAGTTTTGTCCCAAGTGCGGACAGGCCACGCTGACGCGGACCAGCTGCTCGACTGACTCGTCAGGCAACATGCGTCTACATCTCAAGAAGAACTTCCAGTACAACAAGCGAGGCAATGTCTACAGCATACCAAAGCCTGTTCACGGCAGTGCCAATGGCAAACAGGCCAACGTGCAGGGCGGGGGGAAGAACCACTGGGGCGCGGATCTGATCTTGGCGGAGGACCAGAAGGAATATGTGCGCAAGGCAGACTCGGACCGCAGGTCAAGACAGCGTGACCTGATGGACGAGGATTACCTGCCTAACCTCGTCAGTGGAGAGAGGACGGGCGGACACGGGCGCATAAGGGTAGGCGCCGGCCGAAACGTGAATGCGAAGAAGAGGCGATAGAGAGGGAGATTAGAGAACTCCTTCCAGCAAGTGAATCCAAGCCTCTGGTGCCCGGTTCAGTTCTCTCACAGGCCATCGATAGAACTCGACACCGATATGTGCCCACGATGGAATGAGATGATTTATGATGGCTTTCTTTTGTATTGCATTGTTGATGACAGGAAATGATGAGAAAGGTGTATTTTCCCCGGACCCTCAGCTAGCCACCAACGCCGTTCGAAGTCGAATCAAGTCGAATAAACTCCACACCCTCAATTTATGTGTGGAAATGTTGCAGACTGCATATTCCAAATCAGACTTTTCATCACCTCCCTCGATCCCGTATGTAGCGTGCTAAAGCGCCTCCCAGCTTCATAGGCCGGCGAGGCCGTGATCCAGTGGTCGAATTGATACCAAAGACATGTTGATCCCATGACTTCCATTGCCAGTTTCTAAAACTAGCTCTTGCGCCACGCCGTGACCCAAAAGAGATTTATTGATTGTTGTCCTCCACCACAGAAACGTCCTGCGCACGACTCTGGTCGTGAGTCCGATTGAGAGTCTTCCCGTCCAATTGGGCGAGTCGTTCAGTACGCGTGCCTGTCATCGTGGCCCGGATCGTATTTTCGTATAGCCATTGGTCTGTTAGGCATTCGAAAGTCAAGGGTGCAAATTTAAGCGGCCGCTATTGTATCGCAAGCTGACGGTCAGCGGACCGCCGGTAGCAGAAGAGCGAGCAGAGTCTGTCTGGTATTGTCACCCACCTTTGGCCGAGGGAAGCCTGTTAAACCTCTTCCTGAGCAGGACCCTATGCTTGGACCACTTGTCGTCAGGAGAGAAGCGGGCGGGGTGCGCCGACTTTGTCACCTTGCCCTCGAGGACCTTCTTGAGGGTGTAGACCCGCTTGCCCGAGCCGTCGACGTTGCACATGAGATGCATCTTGGCGATCTATTTGCGATATAGGATCTTGAAACGGTGGTTGTGCTGCAGGCTGGTATGGCTGTTGTCGGGGTTTTCGTTTCTCTTTGCTTTCGCGTGGGTTGTTCGTACAGGCAGAACAAACGAAGGAAATTGAATATTGCCGGCCGTAAATTTTTCTTGCTTGGCTGCACTGAGCAGAGTTCGAGGCTACGTGGACAGGGGGGTGCCTAGAGAGGATTAGCGCTGCTGTGCCTCTGTAGCCAATCAATAACTTGCAACTAGCACGAAAAGGCGGGGCTCCAAGACTACTGTAAATACAGTACCACCTATTCTTCGACTTCAAAGCGAACTCGACTCAGTCAGTCCACCCCGACCGCGCCAATCAGTTCTTTGTTGGTCCCTCGTTCTCAATTGCTTCACAAGCTCGCATCTCTGCAAAGCCTGTATGACGTGAACAGTTCACAGCCAAGCCTCGAACCTTGTACGCAGCGATTTGTCCCACCGACAGTCGATTTATGGATAAGGACATGTTCTGCGCCTGTCGACACGGGCATGAAGATACGGGCGTACAGATCGGCCCAGCTCTCTCTATCTCTCTCGCTCGCTCGTAGCACATTCGAACAGATTTTGTTTGGCTTTCTATGCAACCTAATACTATGCTCATTGCGATTATGAATGAAGACAGCTCATGGCCTCTGCTTTTCTTTGTGGGTATCTTGCAAGACAGACTCCGCCCTTAAACCAATACGTAAAAAGTTGAGCAAATAATTTTTCCAAACACATCGAAAATTCGGCTTCGCCTTCTTCAGTCGGAGTCCGATGTATCTCCATCATCTAATGCATCATTTTCTTGCTTGATGCGAGAGCCAACCAGAGGAGAATAGTCCTGCCATGGCTCAGGGGCCATATCAGCTCTCATGAAGTCGAACTCGGCGACTGACTGCATATCCATATCCGACCCGACATCCTCATCGAAGTCGTCTGCATCCAGCGCATCGTACTCTCTGTAGCGCTGCCAAAGGACTCTTCCTCCTATCAACACCAGGCAAAGGCCGACGACGGCACCACCACCCACCAGAGACCATGTGACGACAGGCGATGTCGTCTCGAGCTCTTCCCCTTCCTTCCAATGGCCATCATCCATCCCGAACGGGAGGATGGTGACATTCCCACTGACGAGGTTCAGGGTCTCCGTGGAGCCAAGGATATTCCCTTGCCCATCCAGCGCCTCAGCCCAGAGGTACTGCAGCGCAGTCCTGTTGACAGTCATCCTCGTCTCGAAGCCCGTCCGCCGCGAGCTCGCCAGAATCTCCAGACTCTGTTCACCTTTTCTCACGTCGATCTCGTCTCGGCCCACGAGACCCTTCACGGTCCAGTTCCGCACCTCAGTCGCGCCGTTCCAGCTGACGTACACCTCCAGCTCGCCCTCCTCGCCCAGCTCGCCCTCCCGCAGCACCACAGACGGGGTCCACCATGGCTTGCCCACCCAGTCCTGCTTGTACGCGCGGTAATTGTCCAGCGCATCCGGGATCTCCTCGCTGTGCCAGGGTGAGAACTGCACGTCCATCACCGCCTCGCCCGTCACGGCGTCGTGCTCCGTGAATGTAGGGCACCTGCCCCAGCCGATGAAGACGCGGTCGAAGCTGCCGTCCTCAGTCACGGAGAGCGGCTGGACGCTGCCCTGGCTCTGAGCCTGCAGCTGTGATGGGTGGAACCACTCCCGCAGGATCTGGGCGGTCGGCGGCGAGACGGTGTCGTCGATGCGGATGTGGAGGCCGCGTGAGCACTGTCCGGGCCTGCACTCGCCGTGCGTGGTGATCTTGTGGTGATTGTCGAAGAAGGTCATCTCGGTCTCGTTGGTGTTGGGCACCCAGCGGGCGTGGTGCTGCCAGCCCATCGTAAGGAGGGGTGCGAGGGGCTCATCATAGCCGTCGGGCGATGGGAGCTCCTTGAAGATGTTGCGCTTGCCGCCCAGCGTCCACATAATATCGCCGGTCTTGCCGTTGATGAGATATATGGAGTGGAGATGCCGGATCGAGATCAGATAGTTTCCATCTTGGGTCTAGGTATTCATGACGTGTTAGCCCGAAGCCCAGTCTCTCTGCAAGGCGGCTGGTGAGGGCTACCTTTTGGATGCTGTTCATATGATAGGTGTCCCAGTCATGGGCGACCCTCTCGAAAGAATCCATGGGATCGATGTGATCCATAAGCCGCCAGCTAAACAAGACCTCGTTCGTCTCCAGGTCCACCTCCTGAAACACCTCATCTAGGACCCAAAACTTCTTGCCATATCGCCACCCGGGCCATCGCGACGTATCGACCTTCCTGTGGTCGACGGCAAGGAGCAGAGCCGTCCCATTCCCCGTGAAGGCGAACTCGTGAAGATCTGCGCGGACCCGGAGACCCTTGGCCGAGACTTTGTACGCCAGGCGGTAATTCTCATCGTATGCGAGCCCGTACCCATCACTTATGCCGTCGCCCCTGCGCCCCTCCCAGAACGTCAGGTACTTCTTGCCCAGGTTCTCCTGGACGCGCACATCAAAGATGTTCTCAAAGGACCGGTTCATGAAGACCGTGGTGAGGTCGTTGGCGTCGATGATCAGGGGCGACGAGAGCGATGACCCATTTTGTCCATCGTTGCGGAGGAAAATGTGAGATCCCTCCTTGGAGATGTCACTCTCGTTCCAGACATTGGCCTGCAGCACAGGTGCGTGTTCCGGGCTGGAGTAGAAGCTGTGGTATGGGCGGTGGCCCAGGTCTCCTGCGTTGTATGCATCGTAGTCTGTCGAGATGAACTCTCCGAATACGATGTGAGCAAGGCCAAGGAAGAGAAAAAGAATGGAGGACGCTGGTGTGGAACTGCTGAACAGCATCATTCTGGCCAAGTAGGGTGCCACCGTACCAAGCGTCCTGAAGAGGTTGTATGATCGCCGAGCGTCATCATCATAACGGGCAAGAGTAGAAGAAAAGAAAATCGGAAGAGTCTGTTCCTTATGATGGTGGCCATTGGGCAGGGAAAGGGGGCAGTACCGCCTCGTTACGCGTTAAATGGGGCTCTGAGTTCCGATCTAGACAGGGCCTGTAGAGAAGAGATCTGGGGATCCGTTTTTAGACCACGGTCCATATCGCTTGCTACGTATTACCGAACGTCAAAAACACAAGTTGGACCGGGTTTGGACGAAGCATGACCATTTGAGAGCAGTGGCACCTTGACTTTTTGCACAATAAAGCATTCTAATGGCAGGCCTGCATTGATTGAAAATAACAGAGATTTACGGTACAGTAACTATGTTCTATGGTCACAACCCTTTTTTCGACCTTTGCTTCCTTCGAGGCCCGCAATCGTCGCCAATGTCGGCTCGGCTTGGACCGAGAACCCCTGTGTCAGGGGGCCCAGCTGACGAATGACTCTATATTGCGCTTCTTGGGCCCATATATGGCTTCGTAACTCCTACGGGTCCTGACCCACATTTCTCTCCCCAAGTCGTGGGACACGTCAAGAGGTTCAAGCTCTCCTTTGATCACGAACCACATCGGGAAATCAATGTCGTGCCAAAAACAAGATTATTCATCGAGGTTTTGTATGTTTACGTTCTCGTTCTCAGACCATTCCTTACAGCCGAAGCAACTGCATGTAGGATTTCTACCAATGGCTGTTGCGAATCGTGATCGACGCCACCGGGCCACGTACATTGGGGCAAAATATCCCCAAAGTCAGGTATCAAAACAGCTGAAAACCGTTGAGTACGATGCAACTATAGACGGGCAGGGATCAGAGATCTAGCGGTTGACGCAGCCCCAGACCTCGTTGCGCCTCCCTCTACCTTGACTGTGTGGCTTGCTGTTGGGGCCATATTTTCCGTGTGGGGTAGATAAAGTACTTAAGTAGTTTCCCGACATGACCCTGGCATAGACCCTATGGTGATCTTTGATTCCCGATTTTTCTTCGAGAAGGAGGCGTAGGAGCGTGTCAGGCGTTGCTAGCCTGCGTGTAGAGAATTATGTTGTAGCTTGACATAGACGGAATAACCAAGGGGGAACCACCTTGGAGTTGAAAGCTCTTGTATGGCTGGACCTCGTAGGCTTCATGTGCCGCATGGTCTTTGAAACACTTGTACTATAGTATACCTTCGAACCTGATGGGCCTGAACGGTGATCGTCTGGCTACACTTAGTGGTGGGCCTCCGGTGATGGAAGAAGACCTTGTCGCAGATCGTCGTCAGATGCCGCGTGTCCAACCCCATCATAGCTGGCGGAGTATGAAGCAATTCTCGGCAGACCTCGGAGGGCAGTAACGGGCAGTAGAACTTGGCATGGTCTGATCCGTCGACAGAAAGCATACATACCGAAGGATTGGATCGCGGACGATTCTGATGATCAGGCTTGGATCACAGGGCTATCCGATCTCAGCTGAACGATTTGCAAGTAATTGAGGTTGGGGTAGTCAGTTGCGGGTATGCTTTGTCGGAATTCGCTTTCTGGGGCGAACTCATCTGCTTTTGTGGAGATGCCGCTGCAACTGGTGCATCTCCGAAGAGTAGTAATTGAAAACACTTATTGAGATGCTTTGCCATTGAGGAGCTCTTTTCCAGTTGGTCTTCTACAAGGCACCTTCATCCCTCACTTCTAATAGAAAACTAAATCGATGAACCAGATCAAATTAGGCCTGGGAGTCTTCCTGGAGGGTGTGAAAAAGTATTATTCTCCTCAAGGCTCGGTCTGAGGCATGTGGCTAGGTGGTTGTCTCCAGCTTCGCGGTGTTTGCGTCGCTGTCTTCGAATCATCCTGCCCAGCTAGATGGCATTGTCACTTGTAAGAGTGATGATAAAATATGATGCCGACAATACCAATCTTCTCTCATTTAGGTCTTAAACAAAGCTGTTGAGAAGCCATGGATCATCTTATCAAGACTTCATTCTCGGCCGGCGCCAGTGGTCATTCAGCACAGAAAGCCAGCGGTGAGGATTTATGAACAAACTTTCCCACACCCAGCTTAGTCAAGACCATATGAAATGGAAGAGTAGGACTGAATTATGAGTGTGACGCTCTTGCCGTTGACTGTCACGTCAGCTTCAAGTTGCACATCGCCACAAGTTTGAGGACCCTGGAAGCTGTTATGGAGATTAAGGGAAGCAATTAGAAAGTCTTGGGCACGTATTAGTCAAGTAAGACGACACGTCACTTATACTGAAACTGTACTTAGGGTTGAGGCGACATGAAGGTCTATCAATGGCAATCCTGCACGGTTCTTAAGTATGCAAGCCATCCTCGACATTCGTTAGCTGGGTTAATCACATCTCACCACCTATGTTTCTCGAGACCAATCCTCAAATGTCTCCAAGAGCGAAGAATCTGACTGGTGTAGTCCATGTTAGAAGTTCGCTGGACTTGATTACGAGGGCGGTAGAAATGTAAATCAGACGCTGTCTTTTGAATGGGCTGGCCTGATGTCGATATTCAAATAGTCAATACTTGATCAATTCAATACCTCTGAGAAAGAGAAAGAAAAAATTCGCTGTTTCTTCATTCTTTTCCATATATACATTGAAGTATGCAGACATACCCGACACCATTGTAACAAGCAGGGGCTGAGCTCGAGTTACATTCGGGTATGACGCCTTGCCCAGGGTGAACACCTTCAATTCCTGAGTTGTCGGGTTGAAAACTGTATTTGAAACAATCATCAGAATTGACTCTGAATGGCGATGACTGGCGGCGGTTCTCTCCGAGAGATTGAGAGCTATTGCAGGGCTTAAACATAAGCCTAAAGAGCTTTCAAGCATTATTGGTTTTGCTTGGCAACTCTGGAAAAACGTCAGGTTGAGCCTACTTATGCAACGCAAAAAGGCAACTTAATTTTTCTAACATGAAGCTCAAGTGTTCAGACCAAGGGTTGATCAAAACGAGGGTATCAAAATTATGGGCTATCAACGATTGTGGGAGTAGTGCACATAGAAGCATCTGACCATCTGCCGTCTTTCGACCATGAAACGAATGTTAACAATCCTAGTGATAGCAATGTTCAAAGAAGCTCGAATAATTCCAGCCTTGATAGTGGTTGTGTTAAAATCACACGCAGAGGCTGTGAGAGACTCGTCATCTGACAGCCTGGAGCTGGCGAACTGTCATCTCCAGGCCCTGCTTCCCTGCGGCCGCGGTGATCTGACCAGTGGCTGTGGTGCGGACCCAAGACTTGAAGTTCTCCCACGCACGCATGAGCCAGCTCAGCAAGGCGCCAAAAGAAGCCCTAAACCAACTCCAGACTGTGTCCCACGGGACAAAGTAGATAGCGGCAGCGACACCCACGCCAGCCAGGGCCATCTGACCGGGGCCCGAGACACACAGGAGCCCGGCACCGACCTTGAGGAGCCCATCGACGCCGACTTCGGTCAGCTTGGTGGCGGCCTGGACGACGATGCCGTTGGCGTAGCATTCCACGACCTGGGTGACGCTGGCAGAACCGGCTGCCACGTCGAGAAGCTTGTTGACGGGGTCCTTCCACTTGTCCCACTGCGGGGTGTCCTGGTACTTGGCCTCGCACATGTCTCGGAAGTGCTTGCAGACCTCCTCGCGCTGCTTCTTGGAGATGCTGCCCAGGGCCTCGCGTGCCGTCCAGGGGATACCCATGGCGAGCTGGATGACCACGCCCGGGCCGAGGATCAGGTTGTGCTCCCCGACCCGCTTGGCCTGCCATTCATCGAGCCTCACACCGCAGAAGGTCGAGCTCCCGTTCAGAATTAGTTTGTCGTTGGGACTGACCATCTCCATGCCGCCACCGTTGCGCTGAGTAGTGGTATCGCTGCTGCTCGTCTGGTGCCCGCACCGGATGATGTAGAGGTTGTCGATACCGGAGGGCACGTCGAACTTCAGCTGCGGGAGGTCGACCTGGCGGCTGATGAGGAGGAAGAGCTCCTTCACATTGCCGTCGCTGGCGGTACTGTTGATCTCCCGCTGGAGGTGCTGTGGAGTGGTGATGCAGAGTGTCGACTTGGCTAAAAATTGTTGTTTTGTGTAAGCGAGGAGCCATTGATACATATCATGAAATATAGGTCGGAAGGAAGAAGAGCAAGGCCCACTTACCAGATCTCTTCATCTTCCACCACTTGGGCTTAGCCCTCTCCTGGAGCTCTGACACGACCTCCTTTCGGACGACCGGGACCAGGACAGCCCCATCATGAGCCTTCCACCGCTTGATGGCAGTATAGACTTGATCACACTCCCGCTGGTTCAGGGATTTCTTTTCATCTCGCTCCCGACTCTTCACAGAAGAAATCTTGACGAGGTCTCTCGGCATGGTGATATCTCAAATATCAAGAATAATACTGCCGAGTGCAGCGTGGTGGTGTTGTTGTTGTTGTTGTAGTATCGCAAGGGAGTCAATTGCACCAGCCAGTGGTGATTGCTCAAGAAACAAAATAAAACAAAACAGTAAAAGCAGAGGAGTTTTGCAGAGCTAAGCGATGAGTCAATAATATATTGAGAAAGCGGCGGGCTCGAGGGACACAGAAACCCCATCTCTCCTGAACACACGAGGGAACTCCTTGTAGAAATACCTGGACTCCTCTTGCTTTCCCAGAATGGGACTGCACGAACCCCCACAGACAGACGAGCGAGGAAAACGTACGGATGACCCGAGATTGAACCGTAAAAGCAACCCAGGGCTGTCAAGACGCATGAAAGTATGGCTTCATTGGCGGTGCAGATGGCCCCAACGTGCCGAACCTCATTGGCCCTGGCCTGGTCCGGTGGGGCCAGCATAGACACATCACCGCCACGGTGTCAGCATCGTGGTTGGCTGCTCGAGTAAGCCGCCCCCGCTGTCGGGGGGATAAACTCACCGCATCTATCGAACCCCCTGAGCATCAACCCAAATGCGATCACTGCTGCAAACCCCACGAAGGAGGGGCGCGCGTAGGAACGATAGGGGCGTCTTGCGCGGTTGATACTTGCACGTAGCAACGCATCTGAGACGTGGACGAGCAAGACAAGGGTTCATTCCTTGAATGCGTTCGACAGGATGAAGGGATCGTGTCCTGGCGACCAGATCGGGATAAGAAAGCAAGGTCAGGGGCAGGAAAGGGATTATATGGGCATTTTGCGAGTCTTACATGCGCTGCTTGGCTCGTTATCTTCGGAAAAGTGAGCGAATCGTGATACTCTATCGTTTATGGTTGCACGAGACCCACAGATGACGTATTTGCAGCCATTTTCAGAGATGGAATGGGCCGAGGTCAGATGAATGAAAGTCATTCTTGGAATTTCGCTGGACTTTGCTCTCAAAGAGAAAACAGTTCACCTCGAAGTATCAACATTGTTCTGCGTATCTACTTAATCTACCGCAGCGAGTGGTTCGTGAGGTTGACTCGACGATATCCTAGGCCACGGTACACGCGTTCTGGTCAACATGGCGGGCATCTGGGCAAAGGTTTTTCGCAAGGACCTTCGATACTCTCACAAACTCTGGATCTTTCCTCTGATAGCAGGATCTGCCTGGTTTACAACACTCAGCATCCTGTTTATTCGCTGGCTTGCAATCGGACGGCCTCGGTATCCTGGCCAAGTCAACCCAGAAGTCCCGTTCATCAGTGACATAGCAGCCTTCACATTCCAGCCCGTCTTTGTGGCTGGGTGTGCCATCACAGGCATCGCATTCGCCGGGACAGTCTTTGCAGTCCACCATGTTCGATACTCGGACAGGTTCTACGGACTGACCGAAGATGCAGAATGGCGACAGATGACCAGTTTCTTTGCCCTGTTTGCTGGCCTTGTGGCTGCTGCGTGTCTTATCCTGCTCAGCATCTTTGACACTTTTGACAATCACAAGGAGCACCGGTACTTTTTGATGGGAGCCTTTGGTGCTCTGGCCATCAGTGCTGTTTTAACCTCGCTGGTATGGCAGGATCAGACCTGGGGACCAGCTGATTTCCCTGGTCTGAGGAAGTGGTGAGTGGTTCAATTATTCCTAACGAAAACTAGAATGTTGTGGCTTATCAGATTCAATCTGTCAACTTAGGTGCCTCCTGAATACCTTTCTGGTCTTGTGCCAAGCGGGCATTGGCCTTACGTTTGTGATTCTCTTGTACGGTGGCAACTATGGGCCAGCTGGATATCTAGAATGGACATTAACATACCTCGGGTCGTTCTGGCTTGCTTCCTTTATCGGATATACAAGGTGGGCTACATCAACACTGACCCACATGTCACTTTCCCAAATGGTGATGCTGACAATTCAAATTTAGATTCAGAGAGGGCAGTATCCGTACTGCAGGGCTTGACAATGAGCAGCAGCCATTGTTGTCTTCTTCATAATTACTACATAATCTTCCACAAAAGTACTTATTTAGCACAACTGTGCAAGGCTGGCAGGACTAGCAAGATTTGATAAAACAAATAGACTCATCACATCTTCTCAGGAGTGTCTCACAACTGCCTGGGCCTTGAAGCCCTGCAAGTGCCAGCGAGAGCTCTCATACCTGCAACCCGCACATGGCTGCAAGGAAAGGACCATGCCTCACATGTTTGAGATTACAGACATGATATCTGGGGCTCGGGACCAAATTTGGAGTGACTCCATCGGTCTATTCACGCCCTGAATGCATGGTTTGCTGCAAGGCGCAAACCAACGACAACCAACGTGCATTAGCAACACCAGGATACTTTGAAGAGCACATGCACAGCCCTAGCTTCTACTGGGCAACATGGCCGGCCCTTCATTCTGCAGACCCATCCCCGAAGCCATCCACTCGTACTTTCCAATTTTCACCACCCTCTCTCTTCCGATTCGATGTTCTCCTTTTCCCCCTATTTTTCTTTTTCGTTGTCTGTCTCTCGTTTTGCCGCTGGATCTGAAATCCTTCCGCCCAGTATGAACTTGGAATTAGACTGTCCCAACGGCGGACACTTTTACGTCTGCCAGGGCAACACGACACAGTTTCTAGGCTGCTGCACTGAGGACCCCTGCGCCGACGGGACGGGCGACTGTCCGCAGGCCGCGCTCCGCAACGCGAGCTACAGCTCAGCGGACTACGACTCCATCCCAGAGCAGGCCTGCGTGGCATCGAGCCTCTGGTACACATGTGCCGCCACGAACCCGCCCTTCATGGGCTGCTGCGAAGCCAACCCGTGCCAGGACGGGGGCTGCTTCGGCGCGAACCTCACTGCCGCCAGGTTGTCGGATAATGTCACCGACGCGAGCCCTTTCATGACCTCTGAGGCCAGCTCGGGCGGCTCGAGATCTGCGCTGTCGACTGGTGCTATCGTTGGGATTGCGGTTGGAAGTGCGCTGGCTGCTTTGGGCATTGGGATTGTACTCTTTATGCTCTACCAGCGACGTGAGAAGAAGAGACAACGAGAACAACAACAACAACAGCATGGGACTCCAAGTCAAACGTGGCCCGTCGGGACGCCTACGTTGTATACGCAGAGTCCATATCAAGGTAAGAAAGTCCGCCCAGTTGTTCAGGTGTCTCGTTCCAGCTGCTTTTATAATTACTAATCAACTTTGGCAAAGACTCTACTGCAGGCTTCCCTAATTCCCAATTTCTTTATGGCCCAGGATCTCCCCCATACAGTTCAGAAAAAGTAGTCACTCACCACCAGAGCTCTCCGAGCCAGGCGCCATTTGATCAGCGGCCTGCGTCAGTTTCTCCAACATGGCTGTCCGGCACATCCTCGGAACACGTCCATCATACGCAACACGCATCCATCAGCTCGATAGGCAGCCACGGTGGTCTCAACGCCCTCTTCAGCCAGTCGCAGAGACAACTGCAGCAGCAGCAGTTGAGCGCCGTGTCGGAGATAGATGGAGCCGAGATGGCGCGGCCTATATCAGAGCTTGCAGGTACCTCACCTCAGCTCGGAGAGGAGGAGCATACTTATGGCGCAGGCTACAACAGGGTGTCCAACAGGGGAATTCATTAATTAATGTTGGCTTGGGATATATGTCTGGACACGTTTCGATTATAGCGTCGAAAAATGTACTGTAAAAGTACTCAATAGATGTTAGAAAGAGATACACCAGAAGTGATAACTAACTAGTTAAACCGATAAAAAGAGATTATTGGACTGGTTACTCCATCCATCCGCCAATGACTTACTTCCCGCTGATGCAAAGTGTATTGCCAAACCAGCCACACTGTGAACACGCTGCGACATGAGAGAAAGGAGTCCAAGAGTTCAGTGGGACTCCCAGGTCATCCTCCTCCCTGGGGAGATCTTCAACAGGCTCATGAATGCCCTTGCTTTTCCCCTAGCCTTGCTGTCGTAAACCGGGTTATGCATAATCATCCTCTCAATGTCACGCTCCTGTGGCCAAAAGTCTCGCTGGTCGCATACGGGTGACTCATGCTTGGTCTGCAGATCCCACCAGGTGCTCCCGGCCCCGATGCAGTGGTGGCGGCGGAGGACCCTCACAAAAACATCCTTGGGACGGAAGCCTACGAGGACGGCACACCTCTGCGCACGCTTGGCAAAAGTGTAGTGGCCCAACCAGCCGTTGCTTGTGATGTATGGCGAGGCCGACTCATTAGCACCACCCAGCGCAAACTTGGAATGGCGCGGGTGCAGCATGGGCAGGCTGAGGGTGGCCTGGATCGTGGTGGACCTTCTTGAGGTGGCTGACGAGGGTGTGCCATCTGTTTCCTGGCTCATAGGCGTCCTCGTCCATATCGCCTGTGGACACGCGGATCTGCAAATGCTTGGCGAGCTGCAGGAGGCCGTCATAGCAGGGCGGGAACTGGTCGTTGCTGTTGTTGAGCCTGAGGTCGACAAACGCACGCAGATCCAAGACCCATGTGTTTTCCTGGTATAAGATGGTCTCGGCCATGCGTCTCATCTTGCGGTCCACTTGCAGTGGCGCCAGAGAGAGGGTCCAGCAGCGGCAAGCCGGGTTCGATGCCGAGTGGGCGTGGGCGCCTGTGCAGCACATGACGCAGCCACCTTTCTCAGTCACGCCAACATTATAGACGCACTGGGTAGAGATGCTACGGTCGGGATGCTCGGTGGTGGTGATGGCTGGGTCGAGACGTTCAGTCCAAAGATGGTAGGGTGCCCTCAGGCCGGTGTGCCGCAAGACCATCAGCTGTAGCTCGTCGGGGAGATCCCGGAAGGAGAACAAGGAAGAGGAATGGCTTCTACGAGACTTGGGATATCCCATGGTCTCAAGACAGATTGCCTCAGCAATTCTTGCAACCTCTGGACGATACTGCCTGGAGAGGGAAACGGAACAGACGCACAGTTCCGGCAGGACATGCATGGGCGCCACCAGAGACGCGGCGACATCTTCGTCGTTCGTATTCGCTATCAACGTGAGATGGAGCCTTCCTGTCTCAATCGCACCGGCTAGGCGTCGGCAGAGATGTGACCAGTCACGTATAATGTCTCGATCCCTTTCGCTCGTGGTGGTGTGCATTGGTGAAGGAGGATTGGCACCGCCTGGTTTTCTCTCGTATTAGCTCTCTGAGACAAGACGGCACGGGGAAGCACGGATGACAACATGGCATATGCAAAGACAGGGGTGTAGAGAGGGGCCAAAGCATTTTCAATATGAAACTGAGATAGTACTTGCATGGATGTTTGCTTATGTCTTCTATTGCCTTGTCGAAAAAGCAACGAGGAGGAGAGGCCCACGGCCCTTATGCTCCCGATGAAACAGCGGGAAATGGTTTTTCTGCGTAAAAGGTGGATACGGCATCCTCAGACCAGGCTCGGCAGACGAGAAATAGATTAAACAGCGCGCGGCAGGATAGGCGCTTGTCGTCTCCCCCAGGGTCATTTGTGTCTGTGTCTTGCTCGCCACGAGAGACACTGAATCTCCCAACGTATCCGACCAAGACATATTGATTGCTTGCAATATTGGGGCTATGCTGAGAATTGCTCTCGGATTGTGCATCTAGCTGCTGAGAGGGGCTTTGGTTGATATGGCCAGTCCCGCTCAGGGACCAGGAACTACTAGCCCGACAGCCTTCATGAGCAATGATGCCGAGATACCGGTAGATGATCCGTCTGGCACGCTCAGGCAGATCTGTGAAAGTGATTTGTGGGGATGACGACAGCTGGGATTGCTTGATTTGGACACCTGCAGAAGCCGAGGCCCTTGTAGAGCGGTCTTTAATGAGGGGAGGCTGCATACCAACAACACTGTGGCGATCCAGGTTGCATTCTTGAGCCAAGAACTTTTGTTTTGTTCATCTTTCCTATTTCTTTTCTTTGATGGCTAATATGCGCAGGATACGTGTGAATTTAAAAGCATTCTGTAATCAGTAGTGTCACCTGTGTACTCTAGAGCTCTGGTATGTGGCTCTTGGTGGTGTGATGCTATCGACGTTTGTGATCTTAGTGCCGAGGATGAGGTTTCCAAGAAAGACGCGAAAATCCTTCAAGGGAATGGCCTGGGGAAGCCTGGACTGCTTGAACGCTTCAACCTGGGCCATTCCCAACGTCGTTCCCCTCCACCTCTCTGTCTCTTCCATGACATCCGATTGTCCAGCTGCGAATGCAAGTCCTCCCGACGGTCCTTCCCACGGGCCATCTCGTCAAATAGGCATCCTGCATTTGTCGCCTTGTGATGCCTCAAAACTGCGTGCATGCATATGCAGTGGGACATATCATGAATGCATGACTTCCGTAAAGGAGGGGGGAAAAAAAGTCCTACTTACGTCTACTGCAGTAGACTCATCATACGAAACAAAAGCCCACAGGTTTCGGGAAAATAGCGTACCGCCATTGGCTACAACTTGAGCTGGATCCAGGACGGGGGTAAAGACTGGTTGATCAGTGTCGATTTTGCCCAAAGCACTGTATGAGGGTCTGGAGCAAACGGTGCTATCTCATTCGTTCTCTGCTGCCCTCCATCGGGAAGATGCACTCGCCCCACCGAGACTCACCTGCATAACGATATGCACGCGAAATGTTTAATACTACGGCATCACAAACCAACGGGACAAGATGCTACGCCGAAAGTTCTTTATTACGTCTTGCGATATCGCACACAAGCTACACAACATTAGTGGTAGCAGATCTTCAAATAGTCTGTCAGCTGAACTATCACGATTGGTCCTGTGCTGTTTGCTTCTGATACGGGGGCGCACGCACATACTGCAAAAGTAAGTGCTCGCGTTATGTTGAGCTCATTGGCAATTCCGCGGGTGACTGGTCTTGTTTGTTGTTGGTGAGGTTGGAGACTAGGCAGGACACCTGCCCAAGCAGACCAGGTATCAAAGCTTCGCCCACATCTCCTGGCCATGCGTAGTGGCTTGTGTATTTCTCTCATTGAGTATTCACCATTCTCACTCTTCTAAATAATATAAAAAGCTAATGCCAACTCAATCATATCTGTCGCTTTCAAATTTTTCCAATCTACCCCCCGCAGGTAATTTCTTACCTACAGGAGCAATTATCAAGTCTGTCCAAACTTCACCCCCTTGTAGGGTTGCACACTACATTCAATCATGGCTCCCAATCAGAATCTTGGTGTCGATGGTAACCGGGCATCCACCAGTGGTGTATACGATGTGCCATTTGGCCTACCTTACCTGCCCTGCGACCAGCCCTTCAACTGTGGTGACACTACCAAACTCGGCGAAGACCAGGAGAGTGTGGGCTGTTACGAGTCATCACAAATGACGACTCTTGAAGATGGCGAAAAGATGCCACTGTAGTAAATATTCATCCATATTATCTGAAAGATTGATAAATAGACAGAGTAGCTGACTTGACAAAATAAAGTGGTGCGCTCAAGGAAGAGTCTGTTCCCAAGCCCATCTATGAGGGCTGGGCTTTGCACTGCTCTCAGACGTCCAACCTCATTGAGAGCGCCAAGATTTTCGGCATCAATGTCTTCACGCGCCACTCTCATGAGGCTCCTGAAGTGAGCCAGAGCAAGAAGCAGCACACGCAAAGAGAGTTGGCCGACATGGCACTTCAAGCCGTTCATTCCCACAAAGCCGCCAACAAACGCTCACTTCCCTTGCGGCTGCTGCGCGGCCCCGCCAAGTCCTACGAGTCTGGTCTTGACAAGCGCCTCACAAAGCTGCCCCACCCGGTGCAGGCTAAGCTGAATGACCTCCTCAAGTCCCGTAGAACCTCTGTCTCTAACCTCTGGTACGGGCGTGAATGGACCGTCGTCATGATGCGGGAGCAGTACCATTACCACTTCGCAAGCGCCAAAGATGAGGAAGTCAAGAAGGGTATCCTGCGCTCACTTTCACGAAAGGGTGCTAACCGAGGCCGACCTATCGAGTACTTCTTTATCCTCCGTGGACACAGTGGTGCAGATGAAGAGAAGCGATTTCTCTCGGCCACCGACCGCCTCCTCGAAGGCTCCACAGGCTCTCAAGAGCATGAAAAGGAGGAAGAACTTACCAAGAACATGATGCCGTGCCCATTTTTGGCCTACGAACCTGAGAACCAACAAGGTCAAGTATTCTCTCGCGGCCCATCTGAGCCACAGTGCACCACCAAGAATGCTACCACCACCAACGACCAGCTACACGCTATCGACCACTTCGATCCTAGTACTGCCTACTCTCCATTATCATTTCTCCTCCAACCATTCGACCCCTTCTTCTCCTACTCCTCGTCCTCCGCCGGCCCGATCTTGGACGGCCCTGCCGTTCAGCCAGAGGCAACAGTTCTGGCGCCAAGAACTACGGATCAGCAACTTCCGGCTTACCTGGCGGCACCTACGGAACCCTCCATTCCCACGGGTGTGTCGAATGGAAGCTACTACCCAGCCTCAGCATACGCATACGAGGACACGCAAAGCTCAGGGTACGCGGCGAGGTCAGCTGGCACAGTGGTTCTATCCAGCTGGCTGACGCCAGGAGCCCGCGTCGGCCGCTGCAGCAACAATGGCGGCAACAATAGCGGCAGCATTGTTGATTACAGCGCTGTGCGTCAGGACTATCGGAACAAGACTGGCGCTTTCACTCCCTGTGGCTTTTCTGGTTGCGATTCGGTGCCCATCATGGCTCCCCTGTTTGACGAACCAACCCTGCCTTCTGAGACGCCCCTGACTAGTACTCTGGCCTCGTCGATGACTTTCTCGGATGCCACGGTCGACAGAATGAGCTCCGACCCTAGCTTCGGTGGTGTGGAAGGGTCAAAGGCTTCAATATTCCTGGATACTCCGATCTAGCACATTTTGAACAGCAACCTGTCATGAAGACAAGAAGTTACCTTTCGTGGAGCCTTCAATCCAGTTATGGGGCATGATGATACTTCGAGAATTTGAACCATCACAAAATTGAAGAAATGATGCCGGGAAGATACTGCATTCCTGCTAGTTCTCGTGTAACTTGAGACCAAGATCATCGTTCTGGAGACACAATTCAAGGCATGACTTGCAATGGCTCAGTTTGTAGCTGCAAGTAATAGTTTAGGATCTGTTTGAATCATTTCATCTCTTCCCTATACGTACTGTCGATCTTTAAGTTCTGAGTAGAGTTGAATGCCCGTTGTAGCAGACTTATGTACTATGCACATGCGTTCTCTTGATTAATTGGACATTCAGAATGCCGCTCAGCTTTCAATATTCCTCACCGCAGTGGCCACTTTCTCCTATTCTTCAAGTTATCTTTCAGAGTAAGCCCATTCCCCTATTTGCCATCAGAATTGAAGAGTTTCCAGGCATTCTTGGACACATCGCCATCTACTTCATGGAAGAATGCCAGTGAATACACAGCAGGATCCAGGCTTCAATGGGGCGCGTGTAAGGTGACACATTCCGTCACTTTTGTCCTGCCATTTCGTTCAAAATTCGCTGCGCACCAGCAAATTCGTATTCCTGCATCGTCTCATCCCAAAGCCTCGAGATAACAGGTTGCATCTCAGGATCATGCGCAGGCGCCGCAAACCTGATTGTCATAACGGACATGATCAGCAAATTTTGTACGAGGCATCCCCGAGTCTTCTAGGGAGAACAAGGAAGAAGAAGAACAAGAAAAAAAAGCCACTCACGGTCTGATGCCCCAATCCATGACAAAACTTCCATGCGTTTCTGCTCCCTTGACAACAGCCGCATCGATATACGTCGACGCGCCGTCCTCTAGTTTCCTGCCTGCCAGCGACTTTGACAGGCTGATCAACGCGGCCACGATACCTGTCGCATCGCGGTGTAAATCCGAACCCTTGCAATACCCCGGGTCCACAAGGTTGAGAATCACATCTTCTGGGTTGATGTAACCGGCGAGTCGGAGCATGAATAGATGTCCCAAGAGCTTCGAGACGCTATACCGTTCGCTTACGTCCCATGGCGTGATCTTTGTGTCGTCAAAGGAGCCGAGCAAGGGGACTTGATTGCGGTTGGGGAATTTTGCCATGTAGCTGACGCCCGAGTTGACGATGGTCAGGCGGCCCGGAGTGCCATGAGGGGACTTGGACTTCAGCGCTGGCAACAGGAGGATGGCCAGGAGGAAGGTGGACAGGTAGTTCACCTGAATGACCTCCTCATGGCCGGTGTTGGGGTTGATAGTAAAGTGCAGCTTGCCAAGGCCCGCGTTCAGCACAGCGATGTCGAGTTGCGTCAACTCGGTGTCGACCCTCCGCACAAATGCCTGGATGGAGTTGTAGGAACCCATCTCGAGTTCCCAGACGTCGATGGTCGCCCGGGGAAAGTCTTTCCGTAGTTGTGCGGCGAAATCCTCGCCTTTCTTCACCGACCGAACAGCTAGTATCAGCCGGGACAAGCGGAAAGAGAGCAATTGGCGGCATGCGATAGACCCTAGACCTGCAGTGGCCCCCGTGATGATGGCTGTTTTCCCGTTGAGATCCGTGGTTGAAGGTGGGTAGACGGCTTTGTTGCAGAATTGGGAATGTAAGAAGAGCCCCAGTGGTCCCTTTTTGGGAGGCCCCAGCTGGAATGACCTTGATTCAGACATTATGAAGCCTTGAGTTTGTCTTCAGTTGTTTTAGTTTGATATCTAAAGAGTGGATAAAGAAAGGGGGTAGTCAAGTAACGTGTTGATACTATGGCCGCAGTCGGATTTTGAAGTCAATGTTCCAACAATCTGCCATATGGTGTAAACCATCTGTCCTTTATGTATTTTATAATAATCATCAGACTGTGCAACGTAATTACATGCACCTCTACTGATTTTCTCGAGTAAACCCATCATGATGAGATCTAGTAAGCCATCACCATAACTGTTTGGAGATTGTTTACCCAAAGCGTAACAAGTCTAGTACGCCTAAGGAGACACTATAATTATAGGCTGCATGCACTAAGTACTAGTGCTTGTATTTCCATTGATGCCTACATTCAGTCTCGGGTCCTGCGCTGGCCCATTGAAATGACTGCTGACTTTATCACTTATCTCCGACTCCAGGAGCGTGGATGTGATGAGCCACGCAAAATCCTGCCCTACCGACTCAAGTTTACAAATCATAGCACCTATTGGCCCGCACATTCTCAATGTCATTCCCCGCGGCCCGCAAACTCGATGCCGCCGAATGAGTCCTCGGACGCCGTGGCTTCGCCCATTGTGTGATCCAAAAACTCGTCCAAATCATCTGGCAGCGGGGATAATAGATTCCCGTCCGTCTTCGCATTCGGCTCTGACGGAGGACAAGGTGACTCCACACGAGCCAGGATCTCTGAGACCTGCTCCTCCACTCTCTCGTCCAGCATATCTGAATTCTCCACGGCCTCCGACCTCGTAGCCGTGACGGAAGCTGTCCTCTGGTTGTTTGGAGAAGACATGTCAACGGCTCGAGACGTATCGACCATCGTTGCTGTCTCAGCGAGGAGTGTAGGGTTCTCTTCCTGAATCTTCAAGGACTGCCCAGGCTCGGGGATGGACCCCTCCAATCGCCCTGAGCGGCTCGTTTTGGTTTCGTCTACGCTTGTGAGGAACTCGTTCTTGTCTGGGAACCTGCCGCTGTTCATGCTGAGGTCCAGTGCAAGAGAAAAACGGAGATACGACTCGGGCTTCACAGCTAGAAGTTCCGCCCAGTCCGTGACGTTTTCACCGTTGGCAAAAGCTGGGTCGGCTTGCACAAGGTCCACCAAATACCGTACTAGTCTAGCAATCCAGTCAACCCCATCGTATTGTATGTGCAACACTTTGATCACCTCGATCAGTGTTGCGTGGTTGGGGGCCTGTCGCGCTGCAGAGAGGTGGGTGTTGAGGACTTGAAGCGCGAGCGGGAACGCAATGTAGGCGGCGCTGTGAACATGGCGGTCAGCAAGTAGGCTCAGGCCATGAGAGGCCGCTCGTTGTGGACGTGGAGGCGGGAGTTTAACATACGCGCTAATGGGGAGCCACCGGATCAAGTGCCGCTGATTCAACCCCCTGAGGATCTCTGTTATGTTGGAGAAGGCGTTCTGGATGGCATCTCTGGTGTCGAGGAGCCGTCCAGTGTCCTCCGAGGGATTGGCCGCCGTCAACGCCAGGTAGTGTTGGAGTTCATGGTTGTACAGAGCCATTCTCGCGGAGCTACTCATTAAATGACAAGTCAGATTCACATCAACAATTCACGACTCATTTTTTTTTCTGTAAGAAAGATAAGATAAAAAAGAAAGGAGGACTGACTGATAGTACGTATACATCAGGTGTGTGTGTAGAGCAACAGATTCGTGCTTGGTCGAGCTGATCTGGCCTCCACACTCCTCGGCACCAGTCGATGCTGTCACTGCGGCTGTATACCAATGCACCAGAGCATTTTTGCTTTTACGAATCTCTCCCTCTTCGGACGGAAGAAGACTTGGTCGTCTCTGGAATTGGTCCAGGGCTCCGTCGAGTGGAAAAACCAGAACAAGAACGTCTGTGAGGATGACGCACAAGTCCAGGACGCGTGAGAAGATGCGAATCAGCTCTCGCTTCGCGTCAGGGGTGTAGACTGCGGACCTGTGGATTTCGTCGTCCAGGTCCATCAGCCCTAGCGGCGGATGCTTCTCGAAGTCGAAGTGGGCCCTGGTGATCTGGATACCTCTTCGCAATCCCAATGGCAGTATCCGATCTCGTATGATACAGCACCACCACAGGCGTTTGAGAATATTGATCCGCTTCGCTTCAGCAATATTGTTTGCGGACGATCCAGCCTGACTCGGAGACAATGTCGCATAGTAGGGCGCACTGGCATTCTTTGCATTTTGGATGGCGATACTGAGCCAGACACTATTGGGCTTCGTCTCGGTTCGCACAGGTGGTGTCCAGTAGGACAGAAGAAGCGCAGTCTGGGAGACGGGTACCGCTGCAGACTCGGCTCCGAAGTCGTAGAGCAACTAGGGAGTCTTGATGAGCAGTGAGATCTCACAGGATGATCGACGGAGGGGAATGCGAACCTTGGCTCTTCGGTAGAACGCAGCTCTGAGGCCCCGAATGCTCTTGTAGCCGAAAGCGCTTACACTTTCCATTGACCAGTTCACGAACTTCATGAGATACGACGTTAGTTCTCCAAGAAAGAAGAAATATATATAGTATGAATATTGCAGGAATTCGTCACTTACGTTGCACGATACGAAGATGATAGCCTGCAGAACGAGCAGGGACATCTTTGCGTCCTGGCGACCACATGGAGTGTCGTAGTACATTTCCCAAAAGTCGCCCTCGTTGAACAATGGTAGGAATGGGTGGATGTGGAGGAAATACTGCTGCAGGATCTGGTCCATGATAGCCCGGGTAGGCAGATGAAAACAGCCTTCGGCTTCCAAGAAGTCGACGTCTCGCGACAAGCAGTTGGGTAGGTTGTCTAGTGTCAGGAACGAATAATACGTATAAACAACGCTGTTGGGGTGAGACCTGTGCGATCGCTTTGGTAAGGGCAAATCGAGACAGTCTGCCTCGGTTTCTTGAATGGAAGAAGCGGACAGCCAGTTGTTCGCAAGTAGAGAATCTTTGTTCTTTGCGTAAGTTACACATACTCGCTGCTCATAAGGTGTGCAGAGGAGGTTCGATCTCACCTGGCTGAGTTGGAATTGCTGCATTAGAAAAAATGCTAGCCAACCCGTCCTCGAGACCTCCGATAATACCGTTCATCATGAATAAAGGGTCTGAGGTTTGTTCTTCAGGGACAACTAGTTGGTCATCAGACATGATGAGCTGTCCTAAGTCTGATGCCTGCAACTCCGTGTCTGCTGCTACTGGAACATCGTCCTGTTGCAGTGCTGCCTCTAGAACGGAATTATCTTGAAACGCCACATGGTCGACGACTTTTTCTTCATGGGGACTAAGCTGACGATCCCGTCGAGCACTGGACTTCGCCCTGCAGCGCGTCATGTCAGCCAGCAACAAGTCTCCAATGAGGAAGTTTCAGTGACTTACTTCCTCGCCTTCACGACGCAGTCGATACTATCCAGGGAGCAGTTCATACACGGAGGTCCACTTCTCGACACGTCGCAGCGGACCTTTCTCATCCGGCACGAAAGACATGCTCTCGCCGCTCGACGCCGCTTTACACCCACCGCAGGGTCAACCTGGCGCCCTGCACCAGATGGCTCGGACATTTTGCGCGTTAGATCGATAAGTTTGGTGAGGATTAATCCGGGGTAGAAAGAGAAGCTGTGAACACAAAGCCGAGCGCGCTGTAAGTTTCCCCTCACCTGTGCTGTCTGCTCGGTTGCTGTCGACTAGAAGCGTTTGGATGTCTCAAAACCTCACATGAGAGTAGGTCAAATAGCCGGACAGAGCCGACAAGCACACGCGGTCTCTCCAGCAAGCAGGCTAATTGATGTTGCTGCAATTAGCTTCAACCCTCCGTCACTGCGAAGTCTGAGCTTAAACTCTAAGCTCTCGTCCCTTCGCCCCTTTCGCCTCTTCCTGTCGACCCACCATTGCAGGATGGGTTTAGTCTCGCTGTTTCCCCACGGGGTAAAACTGGGTCATCTGTCTTTCCCCGACTCATGCGCATCCCACTCAAGGAACTCGGCATTTAGCTCTTCTGCTTGGTCTCTTCCAGGTCAGTCTGCTTGCCGGCACTGCCCTTGACGTAAGTAGCCTCCGCTTTGGCGATGATGTGCGAAGGTATGAGACAACCAATATAGATATGGAGAGTTCCTGTGCATATGTGTACATAATCATGTTGAGATTTCGGACTCTTCGATGTTATCATGTACTTGAGGTTTGCCGCGAAATATTACAAAATACTTAGAAGCATCGTGTCTCTTCCAATGAACTCACGAGCGGCGAGACTGGAACCAAGTTTCAATCAACTCTCTTGCACAGCCGGGTCCCATAATCTATGACTTCCCAATCTTCGGTTCCAGGCGTTGCGATCGAGTAGAATACACCAGTGGGATCCCATTTCTGTCGAATGGTCAAAAGCTCCGGGTAATTGGTCCCGTAGAAGTGTGTTTGCCAGTCAGGTTGGTTTGGGTCTCCCTATCCAGGTCGTTAGCAACGAGACGTCTGAATGACCACAAGAACAAAACTCAAGTTTTTTTTTCGTACCTCATTGACATATCCACACCCATTTGGTCCAGCCTCTCTGAATGCCTGATCGAGATTGTATGTCATCAACGCCTGGGCAGCCTCCTTCTCCTCCCAGGTTGCGTTTGTGGCCACGGACAGGGCGATGATGGCGAAGTCGCTTGTATTGCGGAAGCGCGGGTTGGTGGCGCTGTTCGGAATGGGCATGTTGTGCCCTGGGTCCCAGATATGCCCAATAATGCCAGCTCCGTACGCGATGGCGTTCTGGAACGCGGCAGCAATGCCGTCATTATTGTTGGCGACATCCTCGTGTGCGAACGCCCATCCGCCTGTGACCGCCGAGACGCCGGCCTCTTCATCCTCGAAGAGATCAATGTAGAGATCAAAGAGCGTATCGAAGCCTTTTGTTGTTGTGAAATAGTTTGACAGGCCTATGGAGTTCAGGTCATCGAACAATGGCTGGAGGATCGTATCGAGCTGCTCGGTCGTTTGATTGATGGCTACAAAAGGCTGGATGTGGAGCCTCAAGTCCGTAAGCTCGTAGTACACGTACAGACCACTGTCCACGAAGTGGTTCGAGTAACCCAGAAATATAGACACAGCTTCCCAGAAGAGTGTCTCGTTCGTGGTATGGGTCGAATTGATATTCAAAATGGCTCCACTGGACGGCACGTCCTCGTAAGCCCTGAATGTGGTCGACAAGATGACGGCGTAGGCTGCAGGCCCACCGCCTCTCAGAGCCCAAAAGAGATCTATATTCGACTCTGAATTTGCGACCTTGTACTCACCGTCGGCCGTGAGTACCTCGAACTCCAAGACATTATCTGCGGCGAGCCCATACATCGTGGTCATTGGGCCATGACCGCCGCCCTGGATAAAACCACCAGATGGCCCAACTGTCTACATTGTTTCGTCAGACCTCTTTGTCCGTCTCGACCGAGATTGATGACTTACTGGACATTCTCCGACCACAAGTGCCAGAGGCGGGTTCTCAGCGTTGGCCTGTCTGAGCAATTGACGTCCTTGGACGCCGGCTCCCACGCGCACGGATGGACCCGTGTAGTTTCCAGGTCCTTCATAATTCACCGAAAATGTGGCATTTTGGAAGCTGTGGGTGTTTATGACGAGCGCTCCCCATCCGGTACTGCGGCCAAGGAAATCGTGTCCCGTATTTCGTACGATGAGTCTGAGCTGGTGTTCCCGTGCAAAATCAATACCAGCCTTGATATGTTCATACTCAGTAGCCAGTATCACATATACTCCATAGAAGCCCAACGTACACGGATCGCTTGGGTCAGTCGTCGGTCGGCAGGTTTCGTTCGTGTAATAAGTCCAAAGCTCGGCTGCAGGCTGATCGGTCCTAAATGGCTGTCAGCTCTCTGACGTTCTTCTCAACAAGTCTTCTTGCTGCATATCTCACTTACGTCCATTGCTCTTCATAGAATAGTGTCGAAACATTGGTGCATTGTGCTGCATTATATGTATGCAATGTGCCAAGCGGACCTTCGAAGGTATCGTGACACACGCTGCCAGGAGGAACGTCAACCACGAGTCGACCGGCAACACTGGAATTCAGTTTGGACCATTCATCTCTGGTGGGCCAGCAGGCATCGTCATGGTAGCATTTGCAAGCGTATGACGTCCCGTTCCACACGGTTGAAACCAGTGCAGCTACGGAAGTAGCAAGTGTTATTGGACTGAGGAGCCTGAAAGCCATTTGCAATCTTTACAGCAGCGGATAGATCCAACTACGTGAGTTGATGATCAAGATTGAGAAAGGAAATGAGAACACATGGCTGCTAACGATATCCATTTATACCTTATCTTGGTGATCTGATCGTGGGCTTACTCACAACCATGCGCTTGACTGTTCACTCCCAGCCGAGAAAGGAAGGATGGCCGGCCGGTACCGATCAGATCTGCAGACACTGACGGCAGAATACGACCGCTTTAGGTGTCTGAGACCTCATGCAAGTTGTGGCGCTATCTAGTAGCCAGTCAGCAGTATTTCTCATCTGGGTAAGGTGAAGCGCTGATAATCTGGGACCGTCGGATGCATGCAATAATACGCTTCGGTCATCATGCCAAGCTCGAAGGCAAGGAGTATCTTTTCCCTAGTTCAGGCCAGCTAAAGCAGCGCCACAATTACAGATGAGGACTTAGATTCTTGAAAGCGATACCACACCCCTCTGCTACCACCATCTTGTTTTCGTAGCCAGGAGTTCTGGACCGCAGGTGAACTGATTGGGCGGCTCGGAAACGGAGACGGCCTATGCCGGACTCGACATTTGGGTTGCACAGCATATACCTGTTCAAGCACAAATTTTCTGTTCTTGGGATCACCCTACACCTTGTATGCACCTTCTTCAGATTTACTGACTATGGTATGGAAGTCATTTCCCACTTCTACATGCCAGGGACGGTACATGTCATATATCTATAAGGGTTATCATATAGTTCATGGTGAATGTATATAAACAAATTTGGCAAAGTCAGGTGTTATGGAAGAATATGGAAGGAACAGGTCTTGGAGAAAATTCTCTGCAAAAGTTCAGAGACATGAAGGAGGAAGGGAGAGAGCAGAGAAGGGGCAAGAATACCCAGCAGGAGGATAACTACTTAGCTATGGGTGAATAGCAGGAGCACTGGCGCCTTGCAAAATGATTCCGCTGCCTCTCCATTGAGCTGAAAAGGTGGCAAGACTGAGGACATCTTGAGGATCTCTGGGACTGTTCTTGATGCCTCTTGAAAGGATGACTAGAAGCTTGATATCATCTATTTAAATTTATTTCGAGGACCCTCATCGAGGCCCTCTATATAGGTTTGGAGTGCCAAAAAAGAAATTCAGGACTGCTGTAATCCCTGTATCAGGCAATGCTTTATATTTGGTTCTGATCTTGACGATTCTGAGGATGTGGGATGCTGAGGGCCTATATGCCTAAGGGCAATAGAGACTCAAAAAGAACACTGATTTGATTGGTGCTTAAGCCTTCGGCGTCCGCACCGGTTCTGCTCCCGTGACATCATGGTTCCGAAAGAAATGGCACAGCTGTTGGTGAGGCGGCGTTGCCAATGGAAGGCTCGTTGGTCAACGGCGATGACAGGAGAAGCCAGAGACTTTATCCCAATAGTGCCACATCGCCAGGGCGACAAAGGTAGTTGGGATCGCAAACGCCCAGTATATCCAAAACTTTTCAGACACAGTCCAGTCCCCGCCAGCCTCATAGTCGAAGAAAGACATGCTAAATATAGCAGACACGAAGGTAGGCGGAAGGAGAGCGAGGGTGACGACAGAAATGGTCCTCATTGCCGCACTGTCGACCTGGGCCGCGCGGCTGATCTCCACGGATGTGCCTGCGTCATACTGTGCGACAGTGTTGAAGGCAAGCTGAATCTCATTTTGGAGGCGCTTTTCGTTCGATATAGACCGGTGCCGTAGACTGCTGAGCACGGTCTTGCCGTATTGCAGACGAGAATGGAGGCCTGATACGGCGGTAGGGCAGCGAGGTCCTGGCCTTGCGTATTCGGTGTGTCGCGCCAGTATGTGGTCTACTGTCTGATTCACTACCTCCAATGCCTCTGTTGCGTGAATAGCGTGCCGGGCTAGATCGTGCAGGTGTCTGTATGCTGGCCGGGGCGGAGCACCTCTGGACAGAACATCTTTCTCGATAGCCCTGACCTGGTCGCGCACAGCCCACACCGCGGAGTCCTCAAGGCCCAAGACTGCCTCCAAGACAGGTGAATAGGCCCAAAAGGGGTCGTCAAGACAGCCCGCGCCTATGCTACCGATCAGCAGTAGCAGTTGATCAAGGACAGCTTGCTGGATATCGAACAGCAGAATGACCGTGTGTCCCGCGGAACGCAGCCAGCGCGTAAAGATATCGATCTTCAACCACTTGTAGTCGAGACTGCCATTGATCATCTTCACTTCGAATAATGCCCACGTGTCTACAGCATCTATTCACTTTAATATCAGAGCTAATTCATATGACGATCAAGAACATGCTGGGGCACCTACTGGCGTCCTGCGTCACCTCGCAGCCAAAATACCCGTTCAGATTCCGGCGGTACGCGGACCACCATAGCTCGGGTATAGAGAAAGCTTCCGTCAGGGACCGTCGGCAACCCTGGCACGCCTGGATATCATCTGTTCTTGCAACGCTACAACGTGTGAGCTGGTAGTCGGCATCGGCGGGCAGACTCGACAGACATGACATGAACTTTGAAGTCCCCAAATGACCCTCCAGGCAGATCATGCAGGCCAGTGAAGTCCTCTAAACATGCTCTCTGCCGCTGCAAGAGGCGGCTACCTGCCACTGAACAGTGATTTAGTGATGAGTCCTGTCTTAATAGGGAATTTGACATACCGTCTCTCCAATGGTAGACATCTACACTCGGGCAGCTCTGAGTGCTGGCGCGGGGCATGACAACGGTGAGGTATCCCAGAGTCAAGGGGGGAGGGTCGATTGAGGTTACTAACTCGCCGTTGGTGACTACCCTGTTAACACTAGGTTGATATGTAATAGATAACTGGACAAATAATCACGTCGACTGCAGAATCCATCTTAAGTACGCTTTGCGCGTTGAAAAAGCGGCTGAACAACGTTTGTCATTGAGACCCTCTTACTGCAACCCACCATGCTAACAGGACCCCTGTACAGCAAAAAACGTGTCAACCAAACGAGGGTGAGTTGTAGTGGCGCATCGAGTGCTACTGTCGTATTGCGCGCAATATGCACCCAAGACATTTGTGCCACGTCCGGCCTCGCGCTCTTTACTTCCAGATCAGAGATCAACGAGTTCTTGGTATCGGCAAAGGGCTTTGGCCGAATTGATGAGAATGTGCTGCGCAATATCGTAGTGTGATTCATGAATACCATGTCCATTCGACGAAGCCTTCCGATGCCACAAGCTGCTCCTTGCGCGCGCGTGTTAGCTACGGCCACGACGGGTGAGCGTGGGTCCCTCAATTGCACCTCAGTGGTATTTTCGAGTCTCTATAGGTTAAAGTTTGCCTGCGGAGTTGGCGGCTATGCTGCTGACTGCATGTTACGTATTGCACTGCCACCGCCTGCTTGCAGCACCTGTGAGGGGAATTGCTAACCTCGCTCATCGTTTTCTTCCACACATCCTGATGAAACCTTGCTTCATCACAACTTTATCCTACGCATCTGCCTTTCACATTTCGAACTTCTTCTTCTGGAGAAATCCATCTCCACAGTCCATTTCCGCGACTGAGTGTCATCAACTCACTTGGTGATGTGGGTTTGATGCAGGTGCAGCTCCCGATGCTGTGAACTCCCCCGAGCTTCAAGCAATTCGTATAGCCGCCATGAACGACGCCACCAATAGTAAGAGGTCATGCGACAGCGCCTTTGTTGAGCATGATCGGCTGGGTTCTGCCTCGAAACGCTCGAAACCGAATCGCCGCAGTCATGATGACACGCGTGCGCATTTGGAAAACCGGATCTCGGAGAAGTTTTCACCAGATGACTACATCTTTGGTTGGATCTGCGCACTTCCCATTGAGTTGGCCGCGGCGCAGGCTATGCTGGATAAGACACATGAGAGCCCATGTAGTCGTCCCAATGACAGCAATACCTATACCTTCGGAAATATTGGCATGCACAACATCATCATTGCATGCCTTCCATCAGGACAGTATGGCACCACCAACGCGGCAACCGTGGCGAACAACATGCTTCGGAGCTTTCCCTCCATACGGATGGGATTCATGGTCGGCATTGGTGGCGGAGTGCCTGGAAAGGCTGATGTGCGTCTTGGGGATATCGTGGTGGGCGACCGAGTAATCCAGTACGACTTCGGCAAGACTGTCCGAGATGGTGTTTTTGAGCGGACAAGCACTCCGTACAAGCCCCCTCACGAGCTTATGACGGCCGTCTCCAATCTACGAGCAAGACACGAACGGCAGCTTAGCGAAATTCCTGCTCTTCTCTCCGACATGCTTCAGCGAAATCCGGCAATGACCCAATATTCTCGTCATGGTGAGCTTGAAGACTTTTTATTTGATAGCGCATACGATCACCAAGAATCCACGGACGACTGCGAGCACTGCGATCGCGCAAAACTACTGCTACGATCCCCCCGAAAGAACAACAACCCAGAGATCCATTATGGGGTCATTGCTTCCGGCAACCAGGTCATGAAACATGGGAAGACACGGGACAAGGCAGCCCAAGTTCTGGGGATTCTTTGCTTTGAGATGGAGGCGGCAGGCTTGACAGATCACTTCCCGTGCCTGGTTATTCGTGGAATTTGCGACTATTCGGATTCGCACAAGAGCAAACAATGGCAACGATACGCAGCTGCAACAGCAGCAGCATACACCAAGGAACTCCTTCACGTTATACCAGCCATTGAGACAGCAAAGCATGTGATAACCCCTGCTACTGGTAAGCACCAAAGCCTCGCACAGAAAATTGTATCTCGCTTACATGTTCATATAAGAAGCGAAATTGCGAGAACACCGAGAGTTTTTGTTGGGTTCTCTGAGGTTCGACCAACTTGATTCCCGATACTCCAACATCAAAGCGGCCTATTATAAAACATGCGAGTGGCTGCTCAGACATCCAGACTACACAGATTGGCTGGATCCTGCCAAATTTGACAGCCATCGGGGATTTCTATGGATCAATGGTAAGCCTGGTTCAGGGAAGTCGACCTTGATGAAGTATGCTTTCGCAAAAGCAAAATGGAATGCGTTTGATGATGCGGCTGTCATCTCGTTCTTCTTCAACGCAAGAGGAGATACTCTCGAAAAGACAGTGGTTGGAATGTACCGATCGATTCTACTCCAGCTACTGGAGAAGCTCCCAGATCTTCAGGAGGTTTTGGACGACCTTTGTCTCACTGCTGTGAGTCTCAATGAATCTTTCGTGTGGAATGCCGAGGTGCTCCAGAATCTTTTCTCCTCTGCAATAGCACGACTCAACCAGCGACGTTTAACATGCTTCGTTGACGCTCTTGATGAGTGTGACGAGGAGCAAGTGCGAGTTATGGTGGAGTTCTTCGAGGCGTTGGGTGATGGTGCTAGCGAAAACGGAAGCAAGCTCTATATTTGCTTTTCCAGTCGTCACTACCCTTACATCGCAATCCAGCATGGCCGGAAATTGGTCCTGGAAGACCAGCTGGGTCATGGACAAGACCTGGAGAAATACGTGCGAGGCCGTCTCAGAGCGGGGACAGGCCGCTTGCTTGCAGAGATCAGAGATGAAGTCCTTCAGAAGGCGGCCGGCGTTTTCATGTGGACTGTCCTCGTTGTCGACATTCTCAACAAGGAATTTGAACGAGGTCGGATCTTTGCAGTGAAGAAAAGGTTGCAAGAGATACCCGATCAACTGAGCGAATTGTTCAAAGACATTTTGCGGAGGGATAGCGACAACATGGCCGAACTGCTGCTATGCATTCAATGGATACTCTACGCAAAGCAACCATTGAGGCGCGAAGAGTTCTACTTCGCAGTCGTGTCCGGCATATGCCCAGAGAGCTTGGCTGAATGGGATCCGGAGTATCAGAACGCAGACAGCATGGACCGCTTTGTTCTGAGCTCTTCGAAAGGACTTGCAGAAGTCACAAAGTCTAAGCACCGAACGGTTCAGTTCATCCACGAATCCGTGCGAGACTTCCTTATCAAGGATCACGGTTTCCATGATCTATGGCGTGAGCTTGGAGAAGACATTCAGAGCTCGAGCCATGATAGACTGAAACAGTGCTGCCAAATCTACCTCGGACTCGACATCTCCGGGTACTTGGCTAAGCGTGGTGTGCTCACAGGTGCATCACTGCCAAAGGCATTTTCGGACGAAGCGAAAGCGATGCGACAGCTCCTTACGGAGAAATACCCCTTTCTCGAATACGCCGCCCTTCAGGTGTTCTATCATGCCAATGAAGCAGCGGCTGGATTACCACAAGGCACCTTTTTGGAGCAATTTCCCCTCGGAGCTTGGATCAATCTAAAGAACCTGGTCGAGAAGCGCGAAATCCGCCGTTACACGCCAACCGCGAGTCTTCTGTATCTTCTAGCAGAGGGCAACTGGATCAGGTTATTGAACACACAACTTCAACACAATCCAATTCTCGATATTGAAGGACAGCGATATGGCTATCCTCTTTTCGCTGCCTTTGAAAACAATCATAAAGATGCAGTTCAAGCAATCTTGCAACAGGAGTTGAAGCTTTCAAGGGACGGCAATACCCCTGTGAAACCATCAGAGCATAAGCAGAAGATTGCAGCTTCAAAACACCGACAACTGCTCGAATGGGCTGTATGCAAGGGTTATGAGAGTATAGTGAAGCTGCTTCTTGAGTTAGGCAGGGTTGACGTTGCTTCGAAAGGCAAATATGGCAAAACACCACTCTCCCTGGCTGCAGAGAATGGTCATGAGAGTATTGTAAGCTTGCTTCTTGAGACAGGAAAGGTTGATGTTCATTCGAGAGATCACATTTACTACACACCGATGTTCCATGCTATAGAGCAAGGGCATGAGAGTATTGTGAAGCTGCTTCTGGAAACAGGCAAGGTGGATATAAACAGGGCTGATTTATTGGGTCGCACAGCACTCATGCATGCTGCAGAGAAGGGATATGAAGGCATTGTGAAGCTGCTTCTGGAAACAGGCAAGGTGGATGTAAACAGGGCTGATTCAGAGAATTGCACAGCACTCACATGTGCTGCAGAGAAGGGATATGAAGGCATTGTGAAGCTGCTCCTGGAAACAGGCAAGGTGGATATAAACAGGGCTGATTTATGGGGTCGCACATCACTCTTATCTGCTATCAAGTCTAGAAATGAGGGTGTAGTGAAACTGCTTCTTGGGACAGGCGAGGTGGATATGGATTGGAGGGGTTCTGGTGGCAAGACGCTGCTAGAATATGCTGCAGATCATAAGCTCGAGGGCGTTGTAAAGCTGCTTGCTGATAGGCATGGTTGAGTTCACAAGAATAATGAAGTTTATTCAATATTGCTTTCATCTACTATACAGAGTAGGCAAGATGATGGTGTCCATACCAGCAGGAGTTTTCAATTTAATAATACATACAAATTATGAATCTATGAAAAGAATGATTATAGCAATGTCTAAGGGCACAAGTCATCTTAGTTTATACTTTTGCCTTTTTCTGCTTGGTGCAATCGTCTATTTGATGCTCGTATTGTGTTAATATCATTCATGTAGCATAATTAAGCTAGATCTGCCAGCCATAAAATCATTCATCTCATTCATATGCTCGCAAATACAAGCTTGGTTGTACTTCAACTTTCGGTCGTCCTTGTTCCTTGTCCTTCTTTGCTGAGTTGCTTGCCTATTGTTTTTGGTTTTCCGAGAGAAGAGACTGGCACAACCTTTTTGATTCACAACTCCTTCACCAAAAAGAGTCGAGGTGGCGCCAGCCGTTTGGGCATATTCATGTCAGGCGAAGAAACAGAATAAGATCACACAATTGGTAGGTGTTATTGCCCTCATAGCATTTTCTAAGGGCATTTCAAGCCATTATTGGCAACAACTGTGCCACTATATGTTGGAGGGCCCCCCTTCCCCCGGGGGGGGGGCACAAGGATCGCCTTCCCACCTCGCCTTTGGCGTTGAGGATGGTAGAAGAGGAGAATATGGGGAGAAAGAAAGAGAAATAAATGATGCTTAGGTTGCTGAGCATCACAACAGCACTGGCCTTCTCCGTGGAACCAGACATGCGAGACAATCAAGAGTAAGGCCAAAATACATATCTAGCCCCTCGCCCCCGGCGAGGTCACGCTGCTCTCCCGAGGACCGTGTAGAAATGGCTTTGTAGTTGTTCCCGCTCTAGAAAGAAGGAAGTAGAGACGCTTTCCAGCGCGTGGGGCAGCACGGCTTACAACTCAGCCCAACTTACGTCCGCTCCCCCACAATTGGTGATAGGTGAGAGGGTAAGAGGGGATTGAAGACGTAGTCGAGATTTATTCTTTATTCTTTCCTTCTTCTTTCTTTTTGTCTTCCCTAAAAGGACGGATAATGGGTTTACTAAAATTAAAGCTGCTTTATTACGTGCGGTTAGCACGGGCTTGCAAATTACCCCGGACTCCGCATTAACCACCAAATTCGTTCATATATGGCCACAATATGTCGAAAATGGTTCGCATGGCAGCTTATCGTCCCCATACCGGAAACCACCTTCTTGTCTAGGTACGGATACCGCCTTGTACCATAGCACGCTTTTAAACCCAGATTACTTGCCATGATTATTGATGTCCAACAGGAGTGGTACCAAGAATCGAGACCTCTTATTTATGAGCAGTGACTCTCATTGACGAAACATTTTGTTTCTCTTCAATTTTCGACATTTCTATCGCCATTCGCTAATTCTGTCAACGCAGCATCAAACACTATTTTCAAACATTAACTATGAAGTTTCTTACCTCAGCGATTGTTGCCTCCACGGCAGCGTCATTTGCCACAGCTGAGAATTTCACGTCTGTCGATCTCGAGCCCCCTCTCGACTGGGTTGTAGGAAGCTACTTGTGGCCTACGGAGATCATTGCTGGGTACAACGCTCTTGTCGATGACACCGACTGGACTGACGCCACCTGGGATGCCTATGTCCTCGCCGAGTGCGAGACCTACACTGCGTGCACTTCCTCCATCTCGTGGCAAGGTTCGTGTGAACCGTTGTGATTGTGTACGCTCGATCCATGCTCAATGCTGACCCTTGTGTCTACAGGAACGAACAGCGGCTCGGACGGTGGCAGGTTCGTGGTCTCACATAGACTTGTGAAATGAATAACGCGCCAGGACTGACAGCAAGCAGGTATTGGTACGGATACGTTTTCCGGGGTGGCCCTACCAACGAGTCCTTCTACGTTCGAGATACAGACGAGGCATCGAACGTCACCTTGTCTTCAGCCTGGACAATTGTGGAGTGATTGCGCCGCCGCCCAGGTGGAGATCGCTCTCGTTGATGGGAGAGTATGTTGATATTATTATGCGAACATCGAGCTCCGGGGGTGGGGGGCGGGGAGCTGTGCATGCGATTTTGACTTTGCCCTGTCCGGTTCATCCGAACTTAATTCAAGTACCAGCTGCCTTAATTTTGAAGAACTTTTTGTAATCAAGTCAAAGTAATCTCATTTGGTCAACCATCGTGCAATTTCACCGGCGATGAACTGGGTGTCTTCGTTTCCCCCATCCCCACCACCAGCAGCGTGACCCCAGACACTTTCAATAACACTCAGCTCACCGTGTTTCAAATGTTTGACCTCCTCCTCGCTGTCCTGGGGTGGGAAAAGGCTGTCCGTGCGTCCAGGCATCACCAGGACCTTTGCCTTGATGCCCGCAAGTGCACCTGCAAGATCCCCCTTCTCCGGGCCATAGAGCGAGACGTCACCTTTTTGCCACGTGTGGAGCTGGCAGAGCAGGTCATGAGCATCCTGTCCGCCGCTCCACATTTCCTCCAGGTATTCTTGTAGAGTTTTGTAGCCCATCCCCTCCCAGCGCCGCTCGCGAAACCACGCCGAACTTAGTGCCCACGTCGAGAAGATCCTCCAGAAGGCCGTCGTGCCTTTCACGGCCGTCTGCGTGTACTGTCCATCATGCCAGTCCACCGAGCTCACAAGGGCAGTCTCCAAGCCGTGAAGGATAGACCAGTTGTGCGACGAGGTGCGCGCCGAGCTGCAGAGCACCACGGCACGTTCCACAAAGTCAGGATAGAGAACGGCCATATGGAAAGCCTGCTGGCCGCCCATAGAGAAGCCAATATATGCTGCAAGCTTCTTGACCCCCAGTGCTTGGCATAGAGCATACTGCAAGCGAATGTTGTCTTCATACGTTGTATCTGGGAAGGCTGGTCCCCTCATAGATGGGTGTGCGTTGGACGGGCTGGATGATTCACCGCCACCAAGAAGGCCGCATAGGATTATCAGATACGATGCGATGATTGGTGGCTTTCCATCGGCCCCAGCAGTCCAGAGGAACGTCAGCGTGTCGTCCAGTGTTCCATTGTAACATGTGGGTATCAGAATCGCGGGCTGGCCCGGTGAACCATATGTGCGGTAGGCGAGGGTATAAGATGCATTCTGAGACGGGCTGCCGGCATTTAGGTTGAGATCTGGCTCAGCTGTGAAGTACTTGGTCGACATTTCCGGAGCTCGGAGTTGATGCAGTCTGTGTAGTTGGTTGATTAATCGAATTATTGTTGCCAAAGGCCAGAGAATTGGATTTGTAGGTTTCGACAAACCAAGATTTCGGACGACAGAAAACGGGGATCCTGACTGAGGCGATCTTAGAAACCATTTCGTACAGCACAGAACAATGTAACCTGCACCAACACTAATGGGGCCTACTGTAGTGATTAATAGTCGTTGTAGTAACCGCGCCCTTCCAAGACATTTTGCGCCCTTTGCTGCTTACCCCCGTTTGAGTGTTGACAGCCATGCATTTGTAGAGGGCCTTGAGTTCCGGGCGAGCTTCAGAACCTTACTTCTATACAACCAATGCAAGTCATGGTTGCGTCTGTTTGTTAAAAGCTGCATTTATTTCTATAAAAATGAATGAAAAAGATACAAGACCTTGGCCACAGAAGACTTTCAATCATGCCTGTGTTTATAATATCCCCGCGTTTGTCAACGCAAATTTCTATTAATATTGGATGCTAGATGGTGCTCGAGCTCAATCCACCCTACCAAGTCTCATTGTCAGTCAATTTATATCAGTTCTGCATAACCTGCGTGTCTTTTAGTGGTAGTTCTGAGGATGGTGAGAATTGTACGGTAGACAGAGGACTTTTGACGAGCCGTCAATGTCAGAGACAAGTCTGTGGACGAACACACGATATTCGTCTTCGAAAAATATGCATAGGCTTTGAGATGTGTGTATTTTTGTTCAGATCTATGGGGAAATGATTGAACCCACCAGTATGTGTGAATATGGGAGTTGGCAATCAGTCGTTTCCGCCATGTGGCCTTGTGCCTCAGTCATCGTTCCCGATCACAGAATCTCCCTCAGCGTCTTGCAATCAAACTGACAACATCTAGTCTTGTTCTAGTCGAGACTTGGCCGGCGTTGTCACCCAGAATTGCATGAAGGTCTATGTAAGAGGAGCTGTGACCATATCCGGTGCCCATAATGTACCTGATTTTTTTTTTGCTTCGAGAGGTCACCGCTCATGGAGAACAGAATTGGTTATCCCTCTCTGCAGCCACACTGTTCGGTCTGCAGTGCTAGTATCAATATAAAAGAAAAGCCGTTAGAGCGCCCAACAGCTCCCAACAAAACTTTCAGTACTGTCGCCCCTGTCTGCCAGACAACTTGGTCCGTGTACACAGTTACTACCCCCATCCGTTTAGTATGATATTGCCACGAACGTCATTTTGAGCAGGGTAGCATCCCAGAGGACTATACCCTTCGGTTTCCGAGCCCCCACTGTAAATAGCGACTGAATGATTACTTTGATCTCAGGTGCGCGCGCGTGCGGGAGATATGCATGACGGAAAACTCCGCGTGCTGGATCCCTGTGCGCACTTTGACATGTTTCTAGCTCAGCGGAAGAAGAAATAAATTCATGCTAATCTTGTTCAACGAGTACGTACTATGGTACCACAGTTGTGAGTCAGCGTTTGAATTGTTAGTCCACTATTCAATGAGTCTGACCGCTGCTCATTTAGAGCGCTCTTAAGGCTGGTGCGTCTAATTCTATCAGTAACCCACTACCTTTCGACGAAAAGCGGTCAAGTCTGAACTAGAGTGGGGAGATAGGAGGAGGATGACGAGGGCGAAGAGGGGACAGATCGTGATATGTAGCAAGTATCAATCCATCGGATATGAGAATATGACCTTCAAATCTTTGCATGTGTTGAAGATCCATACCGTCGGGCTTATTTGGTCTCTGATAACGAAGTGGCGCAACCCCTTTATGTCACCGAGGGGGCACAGGCCATTTAGCTTCTCTATCTAGGTGATAGTATTGTAAGAAAGGAGAAGGGATGTTTGACCTGCAAGATGAAGTGTTTGCTCGCGGTGCAGTTCAAGGAGGAGGACGCGGTCCAAATGTTTGATTAATGCCCGTCTCCACAAGTTGGCCCAAAGAGAAGACTAAATTTCTGAATGAATGCTTTCCGAACTTGATCAATGTTGTGGAATAGAGCAGAAATTTGTTTAAATTCTGCAATTCTGCGCTAATAAAATATCGATGCCAATTTTCTTAGAGAAATATCCCCACCTTTTTTTCCCTTCTTTTTTTTTTCTTTTGGCCATGTAAGACGTTTGTTCCACTATGTAAAGACAATGGTGCGTTACCGACCTTGGAAGACGTGTCCATAATACAGGAGTAATAAGTAAGTCGTATCGTTTAATTACTTTGAACGTTTCATGGGTGTCGGGTCACGTAATTACTGGGAGAATAAATGTGAACCCTTTTTTCTTCTTCTTCTACTCGTCTCCTAAGATTTTTTTTGCTTTTGATATAGGGAACCCCTACCTCTCTGCCCATCCATCGATCGGAATCTTCCATCACATGCTAAATTGATCTACAGGTCCTGCTGCCAAGGTTATCAACGTGACTCGCACGAGCCTCGTATGGCCCTGGACTCAGCTCCGAACCATTGAAGCTTATGAAGGAAGGTGAAAGCATGCCTCTCGTCGCAGCTCCACTCGAAATGAGATTCCCGAGATATTGTTTTTATATTGACAAAAAGGATGCGGATTCAGACATAGTACGTGAAAGCGCTGCAGGCAAACAGGATTGCGGCCCCTCCACAAGGCCCTGTGCTGTACCTGTTCAGTAGGTAACTCGCGAAGCCTGTACGGGTCAAAAGCCCCGGCACTGTGCTTCCGGTTCCAGGGTGAGAGCGGGAACGGTCCCATATTCTAGACTAGTTCGGGCAATGTGAAGCGACGCTTGAGACGGTTTGTGGGGGCGGAGGGAGGGCCAGAGAAGCGGGTGATAAAATAGTATTGCAACCCCATCAGAGCAAAGGGAAATCCTTGGACCAAGTCATATGATATGGTGGGGGACCAGAACGAAGTGGCCAGAACGAGATCTTAAAGTGAAACGCTGGTCGATAGATCTGTTGTGATGTCTCGGATTGAGAAAATATGATGGATAATCAACCAAAGAAGAGGGGGGCGGAAAGGGGAACGGTATTACGTCCTGCCAAATCTGCGTCTTGATCCTCTCTCTCTTTCTCAACCGTCCAGAAAAAGAAAAAGGCACACAGCAAGACGGGACATTCCAGATGAAGCATGCCCTACCGCAACGAGCCTTGCCATGTCGGGCATCTGCATCGTTGGCGTGGTGGAGTCTCTCCCCCCTCTCCCTTCGATGCGCTCCTCCCAACCTAATCCAACCCACTCGGGACACCAGGGGGCCTGGCGCAAGGATGGCGATAAACTGCCCTGAAGGCGGTCCACTTGATGCACGTGGAAATTACCCGGTCCTGGTCCGGTTCTTAGGTTCTGGCCTTTGGAACGCCTCTCTTTTCACCACGGTCGCGGAGAGAGAGAGAGACAGCAGCGCCAGGTTCCTGACCTAGTTCTTTGTGAAGCTTTGATCGAGGACGACATCTTCATCTTCAAACAATCAACCCTCTGTTTTCTCCCCTGCTCACTAACAAGCCAGCGACACCTTTCTTCATCGCCACTGACGGGGACGGGTTCAGGATAACTCCTCTTTTCTCTCTTTCCTAACCCACCCCGCCCCCCTTTCCCCTTCCCTTCCGGATCCTCTCCCTCCACGACAATCCTGAAGAGTTGTCGACCCTAACGATAATGGACCGTCGTTCTACATGATGCTGATGGACAAGTCCTGCATAAGAATCGTGGGAACGCGCAATCTATGAGGCGAAATTACCGCGGCCGGTCAAAGAACAAGAACATCGCGCCGACTGGGCAGCCATCTCCGAGGAATCCGTGCTTCCTCCTCTTTTCCTTGCCAACACACGAACCCCAGCCGCCCAGGGCCACCGAACATTTTCGGTCGAGAAACAGCAACGCAACTTTATGTCTTGTACTTGGTCGCCACCCTCGACCGATCGCCCATTGAGAAACACCCTTTACCTCAGGGTCCCCCCCTCTTAAGGCTAGCAAAAACGACAACCGGTTTCTTTTTTGTTCCCTTCCTTTTTTTTTTTTTTTTTTTTTTTGATTCAAGGAAGGGGGGCTGGCTCTGTTTCGAAATCTCGGCTCAACCACAACAATCGCCGCACGAGCTTGCGTCACACGACTGTTTCTTTGAATTTGCCAAGAGCTAAGGAACAAGTATCGCACCCTTTGCGGTATCTTTCTTCTTCTTGTTCTGGATCACGGAGCTGCTATCGAGAGAAAGAGCGAGAACGCTCAGGATCCAGAGGGGTTTTTTTTTTGGTTTTTGTTTTGCTTGGCCCGGTAGTTGTTGATCGCCGCAGCGGAAGGGCGTCCTGATCCACCGGAAGTCGGGGCTCCGTCACGAGGCTCATCTCCCGGCAAAAAGACCTGGGTAGAAACCGGGTTTTCCGAGTAGAAAGCTTGTCAGCAAACCCCCCCCCCCCCCCTTTCCTCCTTAGGCGACCAAAAAGAAAGAGAGAGACAGAGACAGAGACAGAGCCGTGCAAGCAGTATTCTGGGTACCGTCCCCGTTAGCTACTGACATTGACTTGAAGTGGACCAACTCGGAACACGGCCCTGCGACGATCATGGTCAACACCGGCAAACCATCCCCAGGCTGCTTTGCTTGCCGGTCACGAAGGATCAAGGTGAGAGAGAGAACACATCACTGCCAACACTACTCAACACCAATCAGTGCACTTCTTTTTGCTCATTTTCATTTTTTTTCTCACGGTGGTCATGACTTAGTATATGCATGATCCCTTGTTTTCTTTGCAAGACCATATTTTACTGACAAGAGACTTGCAAAGTGTGACACGACGAGGCCCGAGTGTAGAAAATGTCGGAAGAGAGGCTGGAAGTGTCCTGGCTACCGCGACCTCAACGCGCTGAGGATTGTGGATGAGACGCAGAAGCAATTCACGCGCTTTTCTGTCGATGAGGCTTCATCTCCAGTCGCTGGCCCGAGTAGGACTACCATCGTGCGCCAGAGCAATCCTCCTCCTCCTCCTGGTCCTCCTGGTCCTCCTCCTTCCAGACGAGACACTGCATTGTCGTCGTCATCGACGTCGTCGTCATCTTCATCATGGACGAGCCCAACAGGGGCACACGCATATCCCTCTCCCGTCTCTGACGCCTCGTCCCCAGACTCTGCACGGGAATCCAACAGCTACCAGTACACGTACACGGACGAGGTGCCTCGGTGCGTCGGCACGCCCGTAGGCGAGCAGGTCTACACGTATTTCGTCGCCAACTTTGTGGCTGGGAGCTCACTCCGGCATCACGGCTACCTTGACTTCCTCTTCCCGCTGCTGGCCAACATCTCGCATGACCGGCACGAGCACAACCCCTTACCGATGGCCTTTACCGCCACCGCCATGATCGCCTTTGCCGCTCGGCAAAAGGTGCCAGAGCTGCTTCCCAGGGCCGAGTCGGTGTATCTGAGGGCGCTGGGGGCGACATTCGAGGCGATTGGGGACGCGAAACGGGCACGGGATAACTCCACTCTTGCCTGCGTGACACTTTTGACCACATTTGAGGTATTTTTCTTGTCCCACGAGATATCCATCCACCACCAATATACTGATATATCTTTTCTTGACTTCTTAGCAACTACGACCTTCGAGGCCTTCACATCAAAAGGCCGAGGCGTTTGGAAGCCATCTGGACGGAGCAGTAGCCCTACTAAAGATGCGAGGCAAAGATCTCTTCCAGACCGTCGTAGGTCGGAAGATCTTTCAGATTCTACGATCACTCCTTGTACGTCCTCTTCTTCCTTTCCTTATTCTTGCGTCCATCACCACCCATATCGTGACTAGGTTCTTACTCTTCTCTTTGCTTTTCATTCAGGCCTCAAGAAGTTTATGTTACGGCACGCCTCTAGACCCTGAACTACACACCCTCACCGAAGAATTCGAGCAACACCCGGACCAACATCGGTTCGCCGTGCTCTCCCTCCGAGCAGCCGACCTCCGCGTCGCCGCAGAGCGCCTCCTGGGCGGCTGGAGCCCATCGCACCCAGCCGGAGACCCGCCGACGCGCGAAAAGGTCGAGGCCCTGAAACGAGATGCCGACGTCCTCGAGGCCGACTACGACGCCCACATCCGATCCCTCCCCTTGGCATGGAAGGCCATGACCGTGCGCTACCTGACCGCCACGGACCCGACTATCATGGGCGGCATTTCCTACGTTGGCCGCGTCGACGCCTACATCGACATGTTCATCTGCTATCTGCTCAACTGGTCGCGCGCCGCCCGCCTGTACATCCGCTACGCCTCGCTCCGGTGCCACGCCTGGCTGCTGGGCCCCCAGCTCGACTACCGCGACACCCCCGAGTACGCCGCCGCCGCCGAGCTCGGTGTCTCCCTCGTGGGCGACATCGTGGCCAGCGTGCCTTATGTCTTTGGCGCCGCAACGGTTGACCAGCAGGCGTCTTCTGCTGCGTCGGGCCCATACCCTCCTCCGAGCCTGGCGGGCGTGTTCTGCATGTGGCCTGTCTTTGCCGCGGCCACGTCGGACTTCACCACCGAGTCGCAGAGGGTGTTTCTGAAGAGGACATTGAAGTTCATCTCGGAGGAGATGGGCATCGGACAGGCTTCCATTTTGGCCAAGGTTCGTATTATTTTTAACCCCTCTGCCTTGTTTCTTTCTTTTTTTTTTTTTTTTTTTTTTTTTTCCCTCTTTTTTCTGCTTCCTTCTTTTCTGTTTTCCTTCTGACAACCGAAACCACAGTACAACTTGAGAAATCCCTCGATGCCCATCGCCTTCACGCGCATGAAACAGTTCGAATCCCAAGGAAAACAGCTACAGGGCGTAGCATCCGGAGCAGCCGCCGGGTCCGTCATGACCACCGGCATCACGTCTCTTCTCAAGACCACCGGCTCTATCATGTCGTCGCAGTCCAAATACCACCCCAAGTCTGTCCCGATGCATATCCTCAAGAGAGAACCCGAGGAGGATGACGAGATGTCGACGTTTGACTTTCGGATGAGATGAGAATGGAAAGAAAGAGCAAGGTCCGAATAGGGAAAACAAAGAATTGGCCAGATGGTTCTATGGAGGAGCGTCTGATCCGCCAAAGGGGCAAGGGAAAAGAGCAAGTCTGGCATGACCACCGACATCACCCCACCGCATTGGGAGACACGGGATACAGTCAGTACCGTACGAGCAGGGGACACCAGGCAAGATGCAGGAGACCATGTCGGCAGGTTTGAAAGGGGCCAGAAACAGTCTGAATCTCAGCGAGGATCGCGTACGCCCGCGATACAGACAGGGCCGCAGATCATCCGCTCGATGGGAGTTGGGGAACAAAAGAGGCTGCTACAGTACGCAGTGAGGATGGAGACGATGTTGCAGCAAGATGAGAGTGGCCCCTCCTTCATTGCTCCTTCGAAGCGAGCCATGCATGGGTCATCTGGTCCTCTGCTTTTCATCACCATCTACTACTCCACCTGGGTTTCAGCCCTGGTAGGAGAGTCTGAAGCTTATTACTACTTCAGCCCCCCCCAAAAATATATCCAACCAGCAAAGAAAATATTTTTTTGTTTTTGTTTTTGGCAACATGCCTATCTCGATTATTTACAAACTCATGTTAGCTCGTGAGTTATGACCGCTTATATTAATGTGGCTGGCTCGACCCATAATCTATAAGTCCACAACAAATCCAATTCAACAAAGTTGGCCAAGAGCACCTGTAAAACGCGTCTCAGGTTAGACCAGCCTTGCATTCAATTCCAGAGATGGACGGCAAGCATGGCGTTGTATTCATAACCCATCGCTGCCGAACTCAACACTGATTTAACCGGCACATCTGCCGAACCCAAGCTTGTCACTGCAGCCGTTCATTTCTCCAATCAAGCCAACTTTGCTTTGTGGATCTCCGCGTTGACGTCTCCAATTCATGATATCAGTCCAACCTTCTTCTCTATTCATCACAACATTAATTCTCAAACAATCACACATCGTCAGAATCTCAAACCCTTTCATACCTTAGCCCAGACATACTTATTCCATGGCCTCTGCCTCCGCCACCGCCGCCTGGCCCCACGGCGCCAAAGCCGCCCTCTCCTTCACAATGGACAACCTAGGCGAGGCCCAGGACGTCCGCACCGGCGCCCACCCTTCGTCCCAGCCCATAGGCCAGTCCCCCGCCGTGCTGACTACCCTGCCCCGGATGCTCGATCTCCTAGACAAACCCGCCGCCGCCGGCCACGCACCGGTCAAGGCCACTTACTTTGCCGAGTCCTGGTCGTTGCCCGTGTACCCCGCCGCCGTGGCAGAACTGCAACTCAGGGGCCACGAGGTCGCATGGCACGGGTACCAGCACGAGGTCTGGAAGGTGCTATCTGGTGCCGATGAGGAGGACAGTTTTGCGCGGAGCTTTGAGGCCGCTGGGAAGCACGGCGTGGTGTACGAGGGGTTCCGGCCCCCAGGGGGTGACATCAATGGGGCTCGGACGTTTGATCTGCTCAGGCGGTACGGTGTGCGGTACGTCTCGCCACTCGGTCGGTTCGGGGTTGATGCGAAAAGTGGTGTCGTGGTATTGCCGTTTGAGTGGGAGACTGTCGATGCCTTTTGGTACATGGACAAGTTCGCGGCGGTCAGGAAGGCGCACGGCGTTCAGGAGGATGAGGCGGGGCCCACGCAATTTAGGGACTATCTGTACAAGAAAATCGAAGACGTGAAGCGGGAGGGCGGATATATCTCCATACTGTTCCACCCATTCTTACAGACGAGCCAAGGAAAGTTCAAGGTCTTGGAGGAAGTGCTGGAGCGCATCAGCAATGATGGCGACCTGTGGCTCGCCCCATGTAATGAAGTTGCTAGATGGGTGGCGGAGCATGCAGACCAGTTCGCCCTTGAGACATGAAGGTAATGTGGCAGGCCTTGGTCTTCTTCTTACGAGAGAGAGGAAAAAGTGAGCTATCAGATGGACGAGACCCCTGGGTGGCTATACTTGACCCTGATTAATATCGTCCTCAACAGAGACGACAGGACAGCAAACACAGAAATTGATGTCCGGCTAGTTCAAGCTCAGACTCCTCCACGTATGCTTGTTATATATGGGTATATATATATATATTGCAAAGAGAGACATTCGGGCGGGAAATGAACACTATATTCATCGTAGCTGCGCCAGACAGCTATAGCAGATAGTATTAATAATAAGTAAAGGTAAACAAGAAAAAAGGTTTGTGCTCAAGCGACAGACCAAATGAAAATCAAAGTTCTCCAAGGTCTAGAGCAAAGAAAGAAAAGAAGGAAACAAAGTATCATGACATCGTTTCATCGGAGTACAAGGTATCATCCGCTGCCTCAGTAGCCGGCTCCTCCATTTTCCTCCGGGGTATTGCGGGTATGTGTATTGTATGATATGAAAGATGCAAGGTGAAGATGGAAATGGTAAATCAGAGGCATCATAAATCATCACAGAACAAGACAAGATAGGGAACCCTTCTTCTCTCTCTGTCTCTCTCTCTCTCTCCCCTTCTCCTCTCTTTCTCTCTTTCACTTGCTCTCTTTCTTGTGTCAAGGAAGGGGGGAAAAAATCGCCACGTCAGAAAATCAGAACCCCACAAGTTCGTTGTTCTGCCCCAGGAACGTCCTGGCCACCTCATCGCCGCCCTGCTCGGCGGCCTCCATCCAGTGGATAGCAACGCACATGAGCGCAGGATCGCTCCGCACATCCGACTTGTCTGCCACTCCGCCGCCCATGCCGGCTGCTGATCCAGAGCTGCCGGGGCGATGGAGCTGACCTGCACCAATACGCTCATGGTACTGGCTGTAGCGACTGCTGCTACCGCTCCCGCTGTTGGCGCCACGGAACTTGTCCATGACAGCCTGCTTGAAAACCTCACGAGGTTTGGACAGGGGCAGTGTGGTGCGGTCGACGAGCTCCGGGTTGGAGAGGTAAAAGAGAGCAAGCTCGCGCTGCGAGGTAGGATCGCCTTCCTTGGCGGTGATGATCCACATCCGAGCCGCATCCTCGAGGCGGTACGATGTGCTGGGAGGTGGAGGGGTGGGTGGCGACACCGATGTGGTGCGCATTGCCTGCTCCTCGGCGTTGGGTGAAGGACGTTGCGGCTCTTCCCCATTGATAGAGTCGCTGGCTGTGCTGCTCGGGGCAGGCGGGTGCCTCTTACGGGTGGTTTTGGTGGTGTGGACGTCCACAATTTCATCAGCCATCTCGACCATCGTCCTGCAGACCTCCTGCTTCAAGCCGAGGGCAGCAATGGCGCAGTCCCAGAAGGCCTTACCGCGATCTGTCTTATCCAGGATATGGGCCGGCACGAAACTCGCAATGAACTGCAAGTCTCGGAACAGAGTCTTGGGTCGGATCTCAGCATTGCGGAAGAGAGTTTGAAGCACAGTGGCAATCGCGTCACTATTGTTCGCCGCGTTCGTTGTCGTGTTGATCACAGACCTCGTCTCAGAGTTGATGTTTCCGCTTGGCATCCGAGCAAGGCCCGAGTGCAGATGCATAGTGTGAGACCTGCGCTCTCTCAAGTTGTCAATGGCCTCCTCAAAAGGACGAGGTCGGCCCGCCTGGCTGTAGTTCTCGGCTTCCATCTCTGCTGTCCGGGCCAGCCATGCCAGCCTACGGCGTGAACTGCCCGAGGACAAGGAGGCGATGATGAGATGTTCGAGCTCATGGAGAGCATTCAGCTTGGCGTACGGGTTGGGATGCACACAAAACATCCGCAGCAGGCGCTGGTACGCATTTGTGAAGGGGAATTCGGGCATGATCTCTTTCTTGGACTGAGATGACTTCTTGCTGGACACCGTGTCACTGGTGCCGGCTGAGCTGTCGTTCTCTCGTCCTGAATTACCAGAAGCGAGATACGGCGACTCCGATACGGTCCTGTCGACTGCTGCTGCTGCTGCTGCTACTGCCTTGGTCCCATCGGCAGTATTTTTGGCGTCACGTAGGTTGCCGAAGCTCTTCTTCTTCTCGATCACACGAGGCTTCGAGCGCCTGTTCTTCGCCTTGCGCTCCGCTGCATTGCGGCGGTCGATGCAATCTTGGCCCAGGTCTTCAAACCACCCATCTGTCTCGGAACCTCGAGAAAAGACGAGATTGCCCAGGTCGCTGAGAAGCAGGCTCGTCAGCGTCTGTCGTAGATCCTGGAGAAAGCGTGTCTTCTCTTCGCTCAGGCGCTGCTGGTGTTGTTGCTGGGTGTTGTCACTAATTGATATGGCGGTCCCGGGTCGGCCGGGACCACCATGGCCAGCATGCAGGTGCATCGAGCCGCTGAAGTTTGTGATGCTCGTGGTAGGGCTGTGAGCACGGGAAGTGGTGGTACTTGCGGCTGATGCGGCTGATTGAAAGGGCGACCAGTACGTGGAGGCACTGTCGATGGTGTGGACAGGCGAGGCGTGACCAAAATAGTCGCCAGAGTCCATCACGTCACTCAACAACGTGCTGCGCGTAGAAAAGCCGTAGCGGGTGGAGTCGAGACTCAGAGCTGATGCGTTGAGTCCCGTGATACCCCTCAGCTCCCTCGCCGCAAGCGAGCCTGTGCGGCTGGAGGACGGTGCATACCTCCGATCAGGCTCACTCATGACGCTGCTGGCGTCATCATTTGAAAAGGACGAGATGGGTATGTCTCGGCGGATGGATGGGGCCTCGAGCTGGCGCTTGTCACGAAGATACAGCTCACTGCTCCACAGGACTGGTGCATCCATCATGTCCTGCCCAATTAGCTTGCCAATGCATGCCTCGACTTCACAACAGAAGCGATGGATCCGTTCCTCGCCGCGGCAGAAATTCTCAATGCCGAAATCTTTGAGAAAGCGTGACGTCTTTTCAGCCTGATCGTCTGACAGCTTGTTCGGACCTCCCTGGTCTTCGGCGGCCGCGAGCAGCTCCATAATCTGGGACTCGCTGCGGTAGAGGTACGTAGAGGGGCCGCCACGAGGCATGTTCCGGCCGCGCTGATATGCGTTGAGTCTGCGACGCATGCCCATGTTTTTGAGGGCAGCCGCAATGTTTCGAGAATGCTCGTAGGCCGCCGAGTTGCGGACATCCGTAACGTACCACATCTTATCTCGCAATGCTCGCAGGCGCTTCATCATCGAGTCCAAGAGGCCCTCCGCCCGCTCCTGCGATTGTTTCAACCAGACAAGCCAGGCATCATAGTCCTCAATGGCGGACGCTGATCGTCGGATGGAGTCACGTGGGCCCCGGCTGAAGATGTTCAAGAGCGTGGCGAAACCGTCTGCGCGTAAAGAGGAAGAGGCCAGCGCGTTAAGCTGTAACAGTGTGTTGTAGTACGAGAGAGATGCGACAAAGTCCGATTGCGCTTTGGCCTGCGAGACAGCAGCCTCGAGCATGGCAATGAGTGTTGGCGTCGGCTCAGCCTGCTCCTGCGCCCTGTCAGCGGCTTCCTTGCCCTTGTCACTGCCCGGCCGCGGCGAGTTGTCACGATGTGAACCCTCCTGGCCCATCAGTCTCTGGCGATAAGGATTACGACTTGGCTCTCGTGCTTGCCGGCTCTGCCTCGACTGCCGCGGCTCTCTCACCTCCCTAATCCTCTCGGTGGTGATGATCTTGGTCCTCGAGCGGTATTTTTTGAGAACCGAAGTCCGGTTGCTGAACTTTCCAGTGTCCTGCTCCGAGGTCTGCGGGATCTCAAAATCCTCGACCAGCTTCAAAATAGAGTCACGGAGCTGGTGGTAGTCCTTGTCAAGCTCGGGCCGGTCATCGTCCATGTCATCCTCGTCCGTGTCGCTGAGAGATGAGGAGTTTTCCTCCTCGGGTTCATCGTCAGGATCATAAGTCATTTGGGTGGAGAGTGATCTCCCGTCAGAGGATATAAACAGCACGGCCCACCGCTCTGCACAGGGGTGGCAAGACCCCTGGAGGGAGTCAGGTCCAAGTATCTGGGTCAGCTCGTGCAAAGCAAGGCGGAGACGATACCCGTCATCTTCATAATGGCCTAGGCGCTCATGACTAAGGCGCTCCCCGAGCGGGGGCGAGGATCGGGCGGATGCTCCTGTTGCCTGCGGCTCGAGTGCATCTGCGGCGGTGGTTGTGTCGCTCAGAACAGAAGACACACTCGTGCTGATGATGGATGCTGTCTCAAAATTGGCATTGCTTCTGGGGGTGAGGATTGACATTGGCTGCGAGACGGCCGACATGTTGGAGATGGAGGGAGCAGAACGAATGGAGTGGGAAGACATGGGTCTTCGCTCGGGGAACAAAGCATTGACCAGAGTGACCAAATCAGCCGGACTGACGACCAGGTATGGGTGGACCTCCGCAGTCTCCCTGAGGGAGGTGAGTGAACGGGCCTTGAGGAGCCTGGGCCGGGGCTTGATGCGAGAGCTCTTGAAACGACCAAGAAGGTTTTCGACGTGCGCCTTGATCTTTGGCGGGGTGGACACAGGGCCTTGCTTCCACAGCATGTCCACCACGATGCTGGAAGCCTTGGTGGCGACCTGCTTCAAGATTTTTTGCCGACCATACTCGGTGATGTGATAGTCTGTCATCATGCCGTGGCTTTCGGGATGGACAACGACACCCAGAAGCCAGACCGAGAAGACCCATTTGTAGATGAACCACTTTCTTGTGCCGTCCACGTACTTGTGGTCCAGTCGTCTGAGGATTTGGTTCCCCAGCTCGATGACGCCCTCTGGTAGGCCTGTGGCATCCTCGTCGTCCAGGATCTCAAAAAGCTCGTCCGTGGCCCGGTCATAAAACTCCTCGGCAGCGATCTGGTCCTTGGAGGTCCAGTCGGATATGTTGAACCTGGTGCCGTGCTGATCCTCGGCTCGATCCAGGAGAAACGCGCCGCCCTCCAGGATCTTCATCAGGTACCACTCCATGTTGGAACGGCCAGACCAGTCGCGCATGGCAGACCAGACGTTGAGCACGTGGATGAGGACGGGCTCGATCGGTACATTCTCGTTCCCGGCCTTGGACTCGGTGGCCGACTTGGAAATGAGGCGAGCACATGCTGTGGCCCAGATATCTGTACGGCGCTTATCTTCTGCGCTGTCCGGGCCTGCTGAGTTAGCGAAGCAAGTGTGAATGAGAGCAGACAGGGCATCGTGTCTCTGGAAGGAGAGCAGGCGCTCGACCGGGTTTGGGTTGGAAGAGGAATGCCTGTTAGATCCAGTCCCTGGACCACGGCCGTGGGGTTTGTTGAACAGAGGCAAGACAGATTCGACGGGCTCCAGGCTGGAGTGGAAGTTGGTGATGGCGGCACGCTCCGAGTTTGTCAAGGCGCAGATGCGCGTGGCCAGATAATCCGGGTCGTTCCTGATCTTGGACAGAAAGGAGAGGAAGGTCTCGCGGGCATCGGCTGAGATCTCGTGCAGAAAGGGAATGGTTGAGCCGGCCATAGGGCCAGTACCAATAACGGAGCCTGTGGGTGTATCCAAACTTTCGGATGACACCATAGCGGCGTGGTGCATGGCTTCCATCTCGGGCTCTAGGAGGGCATATCTTCGGACCTCATCACAGCTCTTGCGCACGTCTTGGATGGCGCCGTACAGGCTGGCAAAGGTCTTCTTGTCGTCGGTGCGGAAACATTCGGCAAGATTCCTTTGGGCGATCTCGCCACAGCGAGTTAGGCGGGCCGACAGGGCAGTAGAGACCAAGGTGCGCTGCAGTCGTATCCTAGTGTTTGCGCGCTTGCGCTCCTGGTATTTTGACAGGCGGACCAAGTGCGCCAGCTCGTCCAATGAAGTGCTCTCAGCCTCGTCTCCTGGGGTCAAGTAGGCATTGGTGTACAACGAGGCGTCGGTGATGAGTGGCTGTGGCATCTTGACAGGAGGTCTGGCTATCTGTTGCGTACGATCCTCGTCTGTATCTCGGGTTGCAGCCGCGCTCGCGACTGGCTCTTGGGCAGATGAAGTAGCCGAGGGTGGGCTCGGCTGCGCAACTATTGCCTTCTTGACTGTTGGGCTCGGCGCCTGTTGTGCAGCTGCTGCAGGTTGTTGCTGTTGTTGCTGCTGGAGCAGCTGCTGCTGTTGTGACTGCTGCTGGATCGCTTCGACACGGCGCACAGGGAGCGCCTGAGGTACTTCTTCTGCGCTCGGCATGGTCTCAGGAGGGTCGGGATACGAAGGAGTAGGAGGAGACGTTCGTCGAGGCTGGGAGGTTTCGCCATGGCACTCTGTCGAAGGAGGGGTGGGGGCCCTCGTCGTGTTTACAGCTGGTCCCAAAAGGGCTTGTCAGCGAGCTGCTGAATATCTGAGGAGGCGAAGATGGCTGCTGTCATGCGCAGATCCTCGCCACAAGAGGCCCACAGTCAGAGGGCGCCAAGAACATACAGGTAGAACCAGCCGAGTGTACCTGGACTGGCGAGGGCGAAGAGAGGGAGCGCTGCATGGAGAACATTGTGAGGCCATTCAGAGAATCGAGCACCTATCCGAAAACAATGCTAGCGGGAGATCTGGCCAGTAATGACAAGAACTAGCAGCCCAACAGTGAGAGCAGAAGAGGACGAGAAGAGCAGGGGTATGTATATAAGAGAGGAGTCGCGATCGAAGCTGACTGGAAGGGCGTGTAGGAGGCTTTAAGGAGAGATGATATACGGGGAGTAGTCGTCGTTTTCGAATGCTAGGTGGCCGCTGCCGCCGTCATCGGACTCGGTGAACAGCTGGGCACACACAGGAAGTGGATATGTCGTCAGGGCCCAATGCTGGGCTGAAGCTGGTGAGGCTGGAGCAGGAGGAAGACGAGGAGGAAGAGACGGTCAGGAACCACCAATATCAGAAACCAGGATCAAGATCACGGTCCAGCAACACGCGCGGCTGCACCTGCCACCGCGACAGAGACACGGGGGAGGAAGAGCAAAATGAAGGAGGCAGGATAGAAGACAACAAGAAGAGAATGTCGTCCGTGCCCTGCTGCCATCAAGAATGCTAGGACATGTATTGCTAGGGCTGGAGGTGGAGGAGACGAGGCGAACAACTGGATAACGGCGACATGATGGCCTCGAGCATGTGTGGAATTACTACTTTGTACTAGGCAGAGACGAGAGGATGACAGGGTTGGGGCGGGTTGAGGTACATTAGTAAAAAAAAAAAGCACAACTCATCATCTTCCCAAGCGCTGCACCCACTGAAGCGCCGGGAAGCACCTATAGCAGGGTAGAGGTACGCAGCAGTGGTCTGCAGTAGTCGTTTGCAGCCGTGGTACCACACCAAGGGGTCACAGCAGCTGTTGCTGAGCAGGCCAGCGGTACGTACAGGTACTGTGGCACTAGAAGAGCTGCCGTACTAGCAGGGCCGGCGCAGGGCGGGTTGGTTGGCCCGGGCAGCTCGCTGGCTGTTGAACGTGGGGTAAGGTGACTATCATAGTACTATGTACATAGCACTACAGCAGTGTACGGATACATCCTCTAATCCTCTAACCCTCCCAGCGGGAAGGAAGCGTGGATCACCAGGCATGCCCCAATAGCGGGCACAGTGTCTCTAGCGTCAGCAAGGTACAGGGCGACTTTTCCCCTCTCTCTTCGCCCTGATGTCCCACCTCTTTTCTCCCCATAACACGCATTCTTTTCTCCGCGACCCGCCCCGACAAGCCCAACAGGCCAACCACCACCCTTGATTGCTTCACTTGGAACCGCCGTTAAGTTGATGCGTTGGCAAGTGAGGAGACATGCACGCCAGGATCTCCCTCCCTCCCCTTTTCCCAGTATGTGTGTCACAGCCCCCTCGACAGCCCGACATCGTGGACATCGCCGTCGGTCTCTCTAGCGTCAATACTGCTTCTCCTTAGGCGGCAAACCAGTGCCATCCAAGCCATCCATCCAGCTAGAGGTGGAAGAAGAAAGACAGAGAGACCAGAAAAGCAAGGACTTATCCTGTCCCTCAACGATACAGATTTATGGGCCATGACATGCACGTCTCTTCAGTCTGTCTCCGCCATCATCTTCTGGGCGGATGCCTTCCTATCCATGGTACTGTGCACTCTGTCATGCTTATACTATGATCTACTATGTACAGGGCAGGGCAGTGTGTAGGCAAAGTACACTGAAAACTACCGCGAGCCTGTGACCCAGCACCTCGGAACTGGATTCGCACTCGGGGCATCGACACGTTGTCGATGGTTCCTGACTAGTCGTCATCAAGCCTACCGCCTTTTCGGCCCTGCTATTCCTCAGCCGTACCTTCGTCCTCGTGGCGAACCTCCTCAGCTCTTCCAGGGTGCCAGGCGTCCGTGCTGTGGACAGAGTTGCATTCTCCTCGCGCTGTTCGGCGGCCGACCGTAGGCACGTTCGGTCGGTAAAAAAGAGAGGGAGAGGGTTCAGCTCGTATTCAACGAAGCTGAGCTGGGGACCTTGCTGATCCTCTGGTGATGTCTGTTCCTATCTTGTCTGAACAGGAAATATGGGATGGCATAAGGGCAGGTGTCGATGACTTGGCAGTGCATTGCATTGTCTTTGATAATGCACGCACAGGGTCTCCTTTCCACCAATCTGCGCTGCGTCTCTCGATGGCGCGACACGGCAGTAAGAAGTCTCGAGTGAGAACTACCACAGCACATACTCGCTAGTGTGGGGAGAGGGCCTAGTAGGAGTCATATCTCGATTTGTCGACGCTTTATTTGACAAATCCTGAGGACCCGCCCTTCCGAAACGGCCATCAGCCTTTCCACGGTTGGAGGCGTGTCTGCTGCCAATTGGTCCGGTGAACAACCATCCACTTACAGGCTGAAGTCCAGTCGCATACCATGAGAGGGTTGCCTTTCTTGGGCCATGCCAATCGATCAACGAGATTTACGACGAGCCCAGGCCCGAGCGGGCACCGAGGCAGGCGTCCTCTGCCAACTCATCCGTCGTTTGAGGGGGGGGGTTGCCTGCGGTCACGCACTACCGTGCATGATGCATGGTCCAGACCAATCACTGTCCGACCTGCCCCCTCCTTTGAGTCCTTGCCGCCCTCAAGCAAGATTGACGGCGGGCTCCACACCAGGCATGAAGAAGATGGGACGACGCCTTGCCAGCACTCGGCACCGCACGCCCACACACACCAGGCCCCTGCTCGTTTCCGTGTCTTCCAACCCTTTCCCACCAGATCCTCTTGTGGGGATCGTGCCGTCCCTTGGTCACATGGACCAGTACAGAGGGGGGCAGATACTGCGCCACGGACCCAGCACCGAGAAAACTTTTTGAGCTCAGCAGACACAACCAGGACTACCTGTCAACGTCATGGAAGATGCATGGAAGCCCAAGTGGATTTCTGGAGAGGAGGGGGGAAATGATGCCTCGTGGCGGCCAGTGATTCCGGATACTGGCCTGACAGCATGGCATGCATTGCGAACCTCGAGCCCTCGTTTCCCATCTTGTTGGCTCATGAAGCTGACAACTTTGGGGTTACAGCGCTTCGGTGCTACACAGTTACTTCTGTACCAAGGCGTGTGTGTGTGGGGGGGGGGGGGGGAGGGCGCGTCCGAAGATCAAGACGGTGCAGCTGCTCTTGCACTTGTGTGTATCAATACACTTTGCCTCCCATACTGGTCTGCTGTCCAAGTTCCACCTCCCACATCACCTGTATACTCTGGGTACCAGTCGGTACTCCGTACTTCGTCTTTTAAGTCACCCACAGATCATCACCACCTGCACGTCAGATGCGGCACAGCCGAGCCAGCGCTCGATACAACCTTCTGGTGCGTAGCGAACGGATAGACGCCTGGTTCTTCTGCCCTACGGGCGGGTTAGATGGCCCCTCACTATGATCACTCACTGCTGATCAACACACGCTGTGAGCTGTGAGCTGCCTTTGCTGGCCTGTGACCACTGGCAGCCAGCCGTCCTGCCTTCTATACACGCGTCCCTATTTTTCTTTTTCTTTTCCATATCGTGTACATCAGTGGCAGTTCAAAGGGTGTACAAACCGGGGCGTATTTCTTCGCCCGTTCCCATCGGAAGAGGCTTTGTCTCAAACAAAGTTCCCAATGGCTATACGTTCCGTTAACCATAGTGGGCGGGTCGTAACCCATGCGGTGTGACCCTCGGCAAGATTCTCAAAGTCAAAATGACCTCGACGAGACTCAAGCATAGTACATGCATGCACTAGACAAGACATCCGACCCTGCCACTTCCTTTTTTTTGCCCCCCCCCCCCCTCCTGTTTTTCTACCCATGGCTAAGCTGTCAGCTTGCACCAGCTACTGATCCTCACGACATGCGCGTAGGACGCATGAGCGCGGGAGCTGAAGTTTGCGCGTCCTGCAATATTCTCAGCAGCTCCGCTTAGAAGAGAGCCACTCTGGTTCCCTGACTTGTACGACCCTCTAATATATACATATATGAATAACAATAATAATAAAAATAGTACTGATCATAAATTGACGCTCCTCTACTACACTCACGGTTCCTGTGACAAAATTAGTACGTGATAACCGGTCCCGTGAAGGGATCTTGGGAAGTCGGCAACCAGCCGGAGCAGCCCTCTACGAAAGCATACCCCAAGGGACGCTTCGGCCCGTCTCACACAAGCCCACGAGCGAAACCAAGGCCAACGCACATTGTCTCTCTCTCTCGTTCTATCTCACCCAGTGACTTTGCCAATCAGGCCTGCCTACGTAGTGCTTTTCACTACTTACCTCTTGTCCGGCAACGGCGCACAGGACATAAATCAAAAGTATGATGAATGTCACTAAGCATCCCGCGTTGTGCGGTTCCTCGTCTACTTACTTGTACGCACGCACGTCTCTCATATCCCCACTCCCCACCTGCGTGTTTGGAGACAATCAGAAGACCAAGGCTCACCCGTCCATATCTACGACGCTGGCACCTGGACAGCGGACAGACAACACATGATCGACGCCGTATTGTTTCATAGACCCAAAAACTGACTAGTGGCGTTCTGTGAAACGAACGGTATGGGGGATCTTGCACTGCTGAGGAGCCTGATTCTATTGGGTACATACATAGTACATACAAACATGCATACCTGCTCCCGAGGCTCACCTCACAGGAGGGGTCCGTGTTGAGAGGTCGAGACAGGGACATAAGAAAAGTGCGGTCAGAGAGGTTGGTGGAGAAAAGCGAATACAGGTTTTTTCTTCTTCTTCTCTTTTACTTCTTATTGACACCGCCAAGCTAGCAGCTCTTATACCTGTGACCTAATGAATGGTAGTAAAACGAACAATCCGCCTCCAACTCCTGAAATGCAAATAGATGCAGGTATGTAGATGTGCGTCTTTTTCTAATCCTTGGCCGCCACCCACCTGACCATTCAAAAAATGATTGTGATATCTGATCCAAGAAACAGACCAAAAATATCATCCTTCCTAACCTGCCTACTCCAAATTTGTACAGTATAATGTACAAACTAGTCTTTGTTCCACCGTTCCTTTTTCCGTTTTCCCCCCTTCGATGCTTTCCCAACCCCCCCCCCCCCCTCACCTTTTGTCTGCGCCATCTGCGCAGTCAAAGTTATGCGAGCCGCATGTCTTGATGCCCAATCGTTCGAAAACAGGCGGTATACTTGACACCACGGACAAGTGGCTCGTCCTCCGCCGTGTCCCGCGGTGCCACGTCCTAAAAGGTTTGCTTTAGCGTCACCTATGGAGCGTTGCCTGCGCATTCATGCATGCCCGGCTGATATGATCGGGAATCCATTGTTGCTCCACTCGGAATGCCTCTTGGCACTTTATTCCGACGAAGAGGCTGCGAGCTTGAAAGCTCTGCAGACAATATATGTCCAAATCAGGCATGATGTCCGCAAGGTGTCAAGTCACTGTACGGAGCCCGGCAGGTTGCCAGACACGTATGACTTGGCGCGGGGCCCGGTGGCTGTTGAGGCTGTGATGGCTCCCAAGATCGTTGGACAGAGACAGGGTGGATGCTCTGGGCTCGAGGTTCGGTGCCATTGCCATACCGACTTTTCATTAGCCTCCCAGTAGACAGGCCGGTGTTGTACCCCGGGCTTTCTTGCCAGGAGAAATGGCGTCTTCAGGATGAGTCAGAAGTCGTATCCAGAAGACGGGGTCTTACTCCCCTCTGCCGAATCTGACATCGAAGCCCTTGAGTACACTCATGATGCTAGCAGCCTCAACCTCAATAGGCGTTCTGCTGCTCCCGTCCTTGCCAAGGGCAGGCTCCCTCGGCTTGGGGGCCGCTCTCAAGAGAGGCAGCCACGTGTTGATATCATCCGCAGCCTCACTAAAGTGCTTGTGGCTCGATAGCGTCTTGTAGGCGTCAGCACAAGACAGGCTGAGACCAATGCCTGGCTTGTCGGCATTGGCACTGGTGTTGTTTCTGTCCTTGCAGCACCCACCAGCGCCACCTCCGCCGCAACACCCACCGCTAGACTCGCCATTCTTCTTAAAGTTGGCGGCGAGAGATCGACAGAAGAGCCCAGATTTGGGGTCAGCAAGGCACTGCGCGCAAGTGCCCGGTCCACCGGAACCACATCCGCCGCCTGAAGGCCTGGGCAGCGTGTTGCTATCGGCCATAGCCTTATTGCGAGCATGGAGGCCTTTGAGACTGGGCAATTTGACCGAACCGTCTGGCAGTATCTCGTATCCAATGGCGTCACCCTCGGACGGCGGAGGGGTACGAGTCTGCTGACCAGGTCGTGAGACGGAGAAGGTAGACGAGTGGATCGCCGGCAGCGTCAACGATTCTGTCGGTGCTGTGTCGGCGGCATTGTTGGCGGCGGCGGCGGCGGCGGCGGCAGCCTCGGCACAAACACAGTAGGTCCCGTCCTCACAAAACCCACAGCGGTCCTCTGGACGAGGAGATTCGACAGCTTGTGGCTCCATCGGGGCGAGGGTGGCCAGAGAGTAAGGGGTAGGTGCAGCACCGGTCATCTGGTGATTCGCTGCGGGGTTGATTGCCGCGGGCGTGGGCAGCTGCGGCTGTGACATGGACGTGGTGACATGCTGTGCCTTGCGGGAGAACATGGCCGTGAAATCCGTCTCGGTGGCGAGTGTCAGCGAGCCACGCGGTCGCTTCTCTTCAGGGGCCATAGAGCTGGGTGAGATGGAGCGCATAGTCCGCTTCGCCGTCCTGCTTGCTGTAGGCTTGGTCCCGCTCAGGGAGTTCATCCTGGACCCTGGCTCGCTGTTGCTGTTGCTGTGAGTATGCTCACCATTCAGCACCTCCTCGAGGCACTGGCAGCGAGAGCCGAGTGTACAATTACCACAGCCGACGTTAACGCTGGTCATGGCTTCCTCGGCACACGCACAAGGTCCAGTGGGCTCGCAGTTTCCGCACCCGGTAGGGGCCTGCTCGATGTCCTCGGGCGGGCTGATGATCTGTGAGATGGAGAACGAGTGCGTTGTCGCAGGGCGGTGGGTCGCGTTGGGCGTCAGCCTGGTGAGACTTGATGTGCTGGCCCTTCCACCGTGGGACCGAGAGGGTGCAGAAGGGCGGTGGTGTCTGAGCGGCTGTGGCGCAAAGGTGTGCGGTGGCACAGATGCCAAGGACGGGAGGCTCTGCTGTCGTGGGTGCTGCTGAGCCTGGGCAGTCGCTTGCTGCAGCCGCGCCTTGAGGGCCTCGACCTCCTTGGACCGTTCTGCCCGCTCCTTGTCCAGCATGTTCTCCAGAACCTCGCACCGTGACTGCAGTGCCTGTGCGTCCATCTCGAGGCGGTGGACCTTCTCCTGGAGCGCACGCTGGGATGACTCGTGCTCCTCCTTCTCGGCCTCGAGCTGCTCCTCCAGCTCACCCACACGCGCAGCCCTCCTCTCCCTGAATGCCCTCTGTGCAGCGCGGTTCTGGGCCTTCCTCTTGGTCGGTGGCGTATCAGTGGCTGGTTTCCTGCCTGGCTTGGGCCTTGGGGGAATGACCCATTCCTTGCTTGTCATAGAGATTGGGGCCTTTGCCGCGGGTGGCCCCGGCATCGGCGAGATGACCGACGCCATGGACATTTTATCGACCGGAGGAGAAGAGGCAGCAGCAGAAGGAACAGCGTGGTGACTACCAGCAGCAGTAGCAAGACTGGAGTTGGGAAGGGACTTCCTAGCCGGCGCTGGCTGGATGGCTATGCGCGCTGCTGGTTGTTGCTGTTGCTGTTGGTGTTGGTGGAACGATGAGTGACTTTGCTGCTGTTGGTTTGCGTGGGGACGAGAATTGGAGGAGGGGGTTAGGGCGCTGGCGGACGAATGGGACGGGCTGGGCGCTGAAGTGGGGGTGGTGGCAGCGCTAACAAAAGCCGCTGGAGACTGTAGAGCTGACGCTGGAGACGTTGCTGGGGGCGCCTCGGGATTCGTCGGAGAACTGACTGTACTGATTCTCAGGGGGGCAAGCCCAACACCTGTTGCTGCGGCCTTGGAGGACGTAATGGTGGCCATTTGTTGTGGAAACTGAGCTGAATTTCGGGACTGTTAGGCCTCATTCGACTCCAATCTCCATCATTCCCTCAATTAGCATACAGTCAAGAAGTCTGTCCTTCTCTTTCTGTCTCTCCTACTTTTTCGCTTTCTTTGCAACTTCGCGTGCTCCTCACTGTTTGTAATTGCTTGTCCAAGAGCGATTATGGCTGTCGAGCTGGTAATAGTGGCGCTGTCGAACACCCCCACGGGGTTGGTAGGAAATAGGTGGTGTGGCAGAGGATGCAAGGGACCGGATTGGAGGACTGGGGGCAAGATCTGATAAGATGGGATGTGGGTTGGTAGCTCCGGGTGGGATTACCAGCCTGCTCTTGCATGCATGGAGATCGTACGACAACAACGAAAAAGGGGGTGAGTCAGGACAAGAAAAAAGGAGGAAGGGCGAGATGATGTACTGTGACGAAGGTGAAGAAGACCAAGCTTGATGGTCGAATCGGAGGGGGAAATAGAAAAAACTCTTCACCCAAGAGCCTTGTCTGGATGGACGATCTTGGCTCCTGGATCGGTGGGGAGGAGGTAGGGAGGAGTCCTTGGTAAGAAGAATCGAGGTGCCCCTGCTCTTCGAGACGGATTCCTCAACGACCGAAGCTCTTCTTCCTACGCTGGTGAGGGCAGAGTGTGCCTTGGCAGGAAATGACACGATGCTGAGTCGCGGAGCGGCGAGAGACAACCCCTGTCAGGGCACTGATGATCTGATAAGATTATTTTGCTCATGGGCTATGCCAATCATGGCTAGCGCCACCCAAGCTTGCGCCATGGCGTTCCACACCATCCGTACCAAGTCCCGAATTCATTGACATTCACGAGAAGATCTTGACAAGGCATTGGATGAGCAAGAGGAGCAAGGAAAAAAAGAAAAACTCTTCGCCGACTAGATGACCATCTCTGATCCATCTTCATAACTCAAGGTGCCGCCCCGAAACATACCCTCCCTCGTTCTTGAAGGTGTTGCACTCGCTGAGGGGTCCAAGGATCATCATCGCGATCCGCGACCCTTTGAACAGCGCCTGGCGCTATACAAACTCTAGGAGTGGCATACTTTGCAGCAAGTACTCCCTACTTCATCCAGCAGCACACCGACTCCGGCACACGTCTCTTTGAACCACATTGGAGAGGACCACATCATCCTTCTCTCATCCAGCTTATTCCATGTCTCAAGAGCCCGTTGGCAGACATCATGACTGTTTAACGACACTAATGGTCCCCACGCTGGACTAGCCGACAACGGAGGGCCGCCCGCACAGTTCTGTGTCGTCGAACCACTTTTCCATCCCCGTGGGATGGCAACCACCGCCACTGATGGATCACAATTCAATGCCCACATGCTGCGACGGCCAAGTGTTGAAAACAGTCCCCTCCAAGGTACTTAGCAACTGAGCTGGAAGCCAAGCTGCACATGGCAGTCAGTCTTACCCTTCGGTCATCCGAGGCTATCCGCTCGGCGCTCGCGGACGAGGGGAGCATGTCTGAATTACATGATGTCAGGATTATCCATGCGAGTGGACATTCGAACAGTACATGGTACATGCTATGCTAACAGGACATTACAGTCCGCTTTTCAGGCCATAGTAATTGCCCAACAGTCACTTGCCTGACCGGTCGTTGAGAAGTGCAAGATGTCGTTGTGCCTTGAGCAACTTAGTCGAGGGTTGTAGCCAGGGCTTGATTAGCCTTCCCATTTGGGTTCAGGCGGGCTAACCCTGAGACCAGGATGACGGCTTGAGCTGTGGCACCCGTGATTAGTGCATACTGTACTTTACCACAGGGGCCTCGTAGTGGCCATGGACAACTCGACTCAACTTCTATTTCGCCCTGCCAGCCAGCCAACATCTGCACATCATATGCATGTTCAAGACGTGCAATTACGTGACAGTTAGAGACACGATGCTAAATTAGTACTATTAAGGTTCCATTCTATCGACTGCAGAGGCTCTCTCGCGGCCTTTTTCTTCCAAGGGTAGCTTCATAAAGACACGAGGAAGGCATCAAGACATCCAATACGTCCTTGTGGCGATACATACTCCCTGCCAGAGTCTGCCAGAATCTCTAGCTCCGATACGCGAGACTCTCACAAACACACAACCCCCATACGCAATGTCTACCGGCCTCGGCATCAGCACCGGCGCCCCCCGCCACCAGCCCGCCTTCCAGCTCCCCAGCAGCTCCTCCAGCTCCTCCTCGCCCTCGCCCCACCATCCGCCCGACACGAACGACACCTCGTCGGACCCAGACGACCTCCAAGATGATAACCACAACGGCGACGATGACGATGCACCCCTCCCCTTCCCTACTGAGCTGTCACGGCGGGACTTTCTCGCGCCCGGCTTCAATGCCGCCAGCTACCTGTCCTCACTCTTCCCCGGCGGCGACGAGACGTCGCAGGGGCTAGGGCTAGGAACGCGGCACCAGACGCTTGAGGACTTGAGGACAGAGCTGAGGGAGAGAAGCTCGGCAATCAGCGCAGAACTGCTAGAGCTGGTGAATGCAAATTATACTTCGTTCCTGGGCCTCGGAGATGAATTGAAGGGCGGGGAGGAGAGGGTCGAGGATGTGCGTGTCTCGCTGCTGGGGTTCCGCAGGCAGGTAGAGGAAATCCAGGGGCGGGTGAGGGGGCGAAAGGAAGACGTGCAGAAGGTAGGAGCGGAGCTGAGAGGTGTTCGGGGGGAGGTCGAGCAGGGGAGGAGGATGTTGGAGCTGGACGAACGGCTCGAGGCCCTACTTGGAAGATTGGAAGAAGAGGCATCTGATGAGGACTCGGAAGACGATGTCAGCGGTGATGACGAGATTCAGTCTAGAAGTCGCTCCCCTGCGTCGCTGATGGAGATGGCGAGGGAGCACGACGCGATCAACAAGCTTGCAGACGCAATCGGGAGGGATGTGCCATACGTCAAGAAGATAGAAGAGAGGATCACGCGGAGTAGGAACACACTGCTCTTGGAAATTGGCGCATCCATGAAAGAGGCACGCAAGGGCGGTGAGAAGAAGCGCGACACGGTGTTAAAGCTTCTTGGGATTTATCGCCTACTTGGGGCACATGCAGAAAGCGTCAAGATATTGAAGGAAAGATAGAAAGATACCCCATTTTTAATTACAAGCAAAAAATGCGATCGATTCAAGCATCATCAGGCCATTTCCGCGATAATCTTTGCAAGGCCGCAGAGTATGTTTTCCCCTCCAATATAGGTACATGTCATAAAGTGTGTGAGTTATGGTGTGCAGACATGCCTCAATGCCATTGCATCCAACCCTCTTCGTCTCTTACATTGGCGACTGCAACATAGCAGGCGTAATTCCCTTCTCAGTAGGGTTGAATCCACCATTCAGACTGAAGCCCGGGCCATGTGTTGTGCTGAGCACAACTTCGTGCACCTCCTTGTTCACCTGCTCCCCCACCGTAGCACAGTCCTCCTTTACCTGCGCGACAAAAGCCTTGACGTTCGCAGCCACCATGTCGGGTGTGAAGCCCAGCTGCCCGATGGCGATCCTCACCACACCTGCCTTCTCGCGATAGTTATCCTGGCCCGCCATCTCTCGCAGGAGGCCCAGGACATTGCTCGTGATCGTCTTCTGTCTCACGCTGGGCATCAGACCCTTGGGTCCCAGGAGCCGGCCCAAATTGGCCTTGGCGAGCTTGTCGGCGCTAGCCTGGTCACAGATCATACTGGTGAACGTCATGCTCCCGTTCCGGATGATCTCAAATAGGCTCTCCTCGCCGACGGCCACGGCGCCAGCATTGCGCGCCTGGATAGCGAGGGCCGAGTTCTCCTTGCAGATGACGCCAATGCGGCGATCGGAGCGGACGGGGTGGGGGAGTCGGATCCGGCTCTTGATGACGGGGCCAGACTTGAGGGTTTTGAGGTTGACAGCGAGGTCGTATTTCACGAGAGTAGGGTTCTGGCCTACTTCAAACGCGCGGGCATATCTGCAGGCAGGAGGCGTCACGTCAGTCGCGGATGCGATTTCTCAGGACAACTGGACACCCGTCAAGGGAACATTGCATACCGTATAGCGTCACACAGTGAGAACTGCTGCATATTGTCCAGCCTGTCCACTCTGTATGCCTTGAACTGCCGCCTCTTCTTCTTCTCCTTCTTGTTGCCGCTCTGTCGCCCGGAAGCATTGCGCGCCTGTTGTGCTATCGCAGCTGGTGCGAGGAATCGTGGTATTGGGGTCTGTAGTAGTGGTCTGCAAGGTGTAGCTAGACTGAGCCTCGCCAATGAGGCGAGACATTGGTTGGTGGTGGCCATGTTGAGGGGGGGAGGGGGTTAGAAGTGGTGTGCTGGAGCTTGGACGGCGGTGCAAATGCGATGCGGCCGTGAAGCTCATCAAATTTCTTGTCCGGTCCTACCTCCAGGGCGGACCAGGGTCGGGCTTATCACGATAAGGCTTGGTGCTGTCAGGGATACTCTAGGTACATGGGTACTTGCTGTGCTAGGTACTTACTCCATAATTTTTGACCCCTCCTCGCCTTGAAATTTCACCCCACCAAACATCTTGTGTGTCCGAGCTACTACTCCCTTCTGACGCTACGTTCCAACGTTTGACTCACCTGACAACGTTTTGAACGATCTTGCCTTGTTCATTGTCTTTACCAATTGAGCGTCACGAGCAAGAAATACACCATGAAGACAGAAGATCTGAAGGCTCTCCCACCTGTCCTTGATAAGGACTTCAAGACCATCGAGCCTCACCTGCTCGCCCTCGATAAGCACCTGATTCTCAGGACCTACCTTGATGGCTACCAGCTGGGCGACAACGACAAGGCGATCTGGGTCGCTCTCAGGAGCAACCGAGCTGCCACGTCGTATATCCTGAAGGGCGCCCTGGGTAATCTGCAGCGGTGGTTCGCGTATGTCGAGGCAACCCACCCCGAGATCCAGGACTCCATCAAGGCCGCCGAGGCCGAGAAGAAGAAGAAGGTGGCCGCCGCAAGCAAAGCTGGAGGAAACTACAGCCTTGCTCTTCAGGATGCTGACAAGGGTGTGGTTACTCGTTTTCTGCCTGAACCTTCGTGAGTTGCCCTTCCTCGCCACCCCAATGGCCACGTGCAGGGCTTTCGGAAGAAGCGTAACTAATCGGATGTTGCGTCTCCAGAGGATATTTGCACATCGGACACGCCAAGGCCGCTCTGCTGAGTGACTACTTCGGCCATGTAGCATACAAAGGAACCCTGCGTCTACGTCTCGATGACACAAATCCTTCCAAGGAGAAGGGAGAATACCAAGACGCCATCATTGAGGATCTGGCCCTCATGGGCATCACACCCGACAAGCTGTCCTATACCTCCGATTACTTCGATTACCTTTACGACATGTGCAAGCGGCTCATCAACGAGGGTCACGCGTACGCCGACGATACAGACCAGGAGACCATGCGGGATGAGCGCTGGAAGGGCATTGCGTCCAAGCACCGTGACATGTCTATCGCTGAAACGCTGCGCATCTTCGAGGAGATGAAGCAGGGCTCTGAGGAAGGCAAGAAGTTCTGCATCCGGGCGAGGGTCTCGTCCGACAACCCAAACAAAGCCATGAGAGACCCCGTCATCTACCGTTGCAACACGGACGTCCCTCATCACAGGACCGGCTCAACTTGGAAGATGTATCCCATGTACGACTTCGCATGCCCCGTCATCGACAGCCACGAGGGCGTCACCCACGCTCTCCGCTCCACCGAGTATACCGACCGGAACCCGCAGTACCAATGGTTCATTGATACGTTGAAGCTCCCCCAGGTGCACATGTGGGACTTCGCGCGCATGAACTTCATCAAGACCTTCCTCTCGAAGCGAAAGCTGGCCAAGCTCGTGGACACCGGCCGCGTCTGGGGTTGGGACGACCCCCGCATGCCCACCATCCGGGGTGTACGCCGGCGAGGCATGACTGTTGAGGCACTGCGTGAGTTCATCATCAAGCAGGGCCCCAGCCGGAATGTCACCACCATGGATTGGACCACATTCTGGGCCAACAACAAGAAGGTCATCGACCCTATCGCGCCCCGGTACACAGCTATCGCTTCCAAGGATGCCGTCAAGGTCAAGGTCACAGGTACAGACACGCCGGCCGAGCCAACATCAATTGACAAGCCCAAGCACCCCAAGAACAAGGACGTGGGTACCAAGAAGGTTGTTCTGTCAGACGAGCTCCTGCTGGACCAGGCCGATCTGGCCTTGATGAAGCCGGACGAGGAGATCACACTGATGACCTGGGGTAACGCCTTCGTGCGGTCCATCGACGGCAGCGGGCCTATTAATACGGCGACTGTCGAGCTCAACCTGGCTGGCGACGTGAAGAAGACCGAGAAGAAGGTGACGTGGCTGTCGACCAAGGGCGCGAAGCTTGTCCGTGCCGAGCTGTGGGATTTCGACTACCTCATCACCAAGGACAAGCTGGAGGAAGACGACAACCTCGAGGACTTCCTGAACCCCAACACGTCCACCATGGAGGAGGCCTGGTGTGAGGAGGAGGTCGCAACCCTGAAGAAGGACGACATTATCCAGCTGGAGAGGAGGGGATACTACCGTGTAGACAAGGGCATTCCCGACTGCAAGGACGGAGAGGAGCAGAAGGTGATTCTGTTCTGTATCCCAACGGGAAAGACGGGTGAGAGCCGTGAACAGAAGAAGTAGAACAAGGCTCCGTAGCGAAAAGCTTGTTTTGCGCTTTTCTGGAGAAAGAGCCATTGTTTTACCTAAGTAGCTCATAGACATCAGCACGTCACGAAAAGGAAAAATTGGACATCAAGTGTCGACATATCACAGCAGATCTATTCAGCCTAAAATAGGCCTCCCGAGTCTCAGGATGTATCTCCTCCCCTCCCCCCCTTTCTCCCTCTGCTCCGGTGAGTTCCCTACTTCGAACCTTAGGTGGTCAGATATGACAAACAGACACACACAACTTGAGTTGTATCGGTCACTTGCGAAGGCGGCATCGCTGACAAGCGAACGGCCCACCACGATAGCACCCCTCTAAAGAGAGGGAGTGGGTGGAGTGGCCCTTTTTTTTCTTTCCTTCATTCACCTTAGGCTTGGTCAATCATCGGAACTGGCCGTCACAAGCGTATCGAACGCAGCGACGCCATCAGGCTTCGACCCAGTCAGACAAATATTCCGGTTGGATGAATTGTATGCTTCATCGAACCAAGTGAAAGGGCAGACCCTTCATTGCGACATATCAGTCTCACGTTATCGTTCTTTTCTGTCACAAAAGGTAAGGTTATTCACTGGGTCTGTGCCGCAGTTAAGTGCAATTGCCGGAGTGCCGGAATAGTATAAAAGTTTGAGAGCCCTGAGGGAAAATGGAACATGGAGGGTCTTTCCTGGCGTAGTATCGACAAGTCTACACGCAATCTCTCCCTCTATCCTCAAGAGCAAAACTCAAAATAGCTTCCTGAAAAGAGCGACAACAAAATTTGAGTCATGACATCAACAACAACCGTACCTCTCCGCCTTGCATCTGGCAATGGCCCGGTGACGAGACACGTTCTCCTGGCGCCTCCTCGGGACGCTACCACGGAGGAAATTCCCATTATCGACATCTCGCCCGTTCTATCCCCCTCATCCTCATTCGATGCACGCCTCTCCGTAGCAAAACAGATCCGTGAGGCTGCCACCAACACGGGCTTCTTCTACATCCGCAATCACGGCATCCCAAGCACCGTCACAGACTCTGCGCATGAGGCCTGTGTGGACTTCTTCCGCCAGGACCTCGAGACAAAGCTGCAGGCCGATGCAAAACAGTCGGCCTACTTCAATGGGTATAAGCCACCCCAGACACAGCGCATCAACCCGTTCGAGGGCCTCGACGTCCGCGAGACGTTTAGCTGGACGTACGATCCCCGCCTAGACCCCTCGGTGGGCGATTTGGCCAGCATCCCAGAGCACATCCGCCAGTTTCTGAGGGTCGAGCCCGACGGGCCCCCAGGCAATGAGGATGACCGTTTTCCCTGGTCCGCCACAAAGAGCGTGCCGTGCTTCCAGCCTGCTGTGGTTGAGTATTGGCGCTCGTGTCTTGGGCTCGCGAGGGCACTGGTGCGGTCCTTTGCTCTGTCTCTGGACCTAGACGAGGGCTACTTTGACGACAAGTTTAGCCACCCAGATGCGGCGCTGGCACTGAATTACTACCCGCCCCTCCCACCGTCAGCCGCTTCCGCTGGCGACGACTGTGCGAGTGCGACAAAGGAGGTGTCGATTGGCTCGCACACGGACTTTCAGCTCTTTACCATCCTCTGGCAGGACGACGCCGGCGGGCTCCAGGTGCTGAACCGCCAGGGCCAGTGGATCAAGGCGACGCCCATACCGGGGACATTTGTGGTCAACATTGCCGACTACCTACAGCGCATCACAAACGACAAATACCAGAGCACAGTGCACAGGGCGGTGAACCATAGCGGGCACGAGCGGGTGAGCATGCCCTTCTTTTTTGGCTTCAATCTCAACGAGAGCTGTGGAGTTCTGGACAGCTGTGTCGGCGCGGATGGCGTCAAGAAATACGACGAGATTGGGTGTTTGGAGTGGGTGAAGAAGCGAGTCAAGGCAATGCATGATACCAAGGGCGCATAGATGGGATGGGAAGGGGAGAAATTAGGTAGAAAGATGGATGGACAGACAGACTGACAGACTGACTGACTGACTGACAGATTGACAAATTTCCGGTCGATAGTAATATTAATCTGTTGATGTACTTGTGGTGTGTCAGTGTGACGTTCCTCGCCCGCAGCCAGCCAAGACCACATGAGCAATGGTTCATGTATGCATATGCATGTTGTGTTACAAGGGAGACTTTAGCCAATCCTTGTCCACCTTGACCTGACACAAAAGTTTCGTTTCGAAGAATGAAATTAAAAATCCAGGATATTATTAATAAGTATAACCAGTAATATCATTTGTAGACAACAATTTCAATTCATGCACTCAACCTCATCTGGACTATATAGATAAAATCATCAAGAATTCCTCAGCACAGGAAATTCCAACTACCCGTTCCCACAATATACACACAACGTTATTCACTTCTTCAGTTGCACTTGTAAATCAACCGGCGACACCGCCTCCTCTCCCACGCTCTCCTCATCCACCGCCTCAATCTCCATCGCAGCATCTTTCCGCTGCGCCCGCAACTCAAACAGCCTCACCACGACAACCCACACGCACATTCCACAGACAAACCCCAAGCTGGCCTTGAACCCCTTCCCAAACGACGGCGCGTCCGTGGTTGGGTACAGGAACTGCTGGATGACCGTCGTGGTAGCCGCGCCACACGAGTTCATGATGGCCAGCACCAGCGCGCGGACCTGCGCGTCCCCTGACGTCAGGATGTTGGCCCACGCATAGTAGATGGGCGACAGAGGCCCGTCGAGGCCAGCGAACATGTACGAGACGATCTTGAGGCCCAGTGGGATGTCCCAGACCACGAGGCAGATGGTCCCAAAGACCATGATGGTCAGGTTGAAGGCGACGGCGCGCATGCGGTAGCCGGTGGCGTCGACGTAGATGTTGAGCAGCAGGACGAGGATGATGTTCCAGCCGTTAATGGCTGTGGGAATGTTGTTGACCTGGTAGACGGACCAGGTGTGGTCTGGGTCGTACTTGAGCCAGAGCTGCATGACGGTGTTTGAGACTTTGCCGACGGTCGTGTTCCAGAACCTGAGCGAGCATCAATTAGTTAATTAACGCAATATCACAAAATATTTGGTTTTTCTAAAGCAGGAATCACAATAACGGCTGGCTTACATCCAGAGAATCGTCAAGACATAGAGCTGCCATGACTTGACCGCCCGCAGGAACAAGTTCCAGGTGAAGTTGTTGGACTCCTCCCGTTCGTCCTCCACCATGCGCTCCACGCAACGTCGCTTCTCTATCTCGTTCAGGTAAAAGGCAGAAGTGCTGCTCGGCGTGTCGGGGAAGAAGAACAGGCCAAACATGGCAACAATGATGGTGATGATGCCGTCGATGATGAACACCCATCTCCATGCAGCAAGGCCATTTTTGCCATCCAGGCCCGCGAGCACTGCGCTCTGTAGATACCCCGAGATCATAGTGCCCACGTAGGCAGCACAGGCGAAGATGGCTGTGCGTTTGCCCAGTTCGGTCTTCTTATACCAGCTTCCGAGGACGTACTGGACACCGACAAAGGTGGACGCTTCAAGAAAGCCGACGAAGAAACGTATGGGGTACAACTAGATCCAATAAAGTATATCAATTACGTGAATGGTCCCAACAGGCCCGCTTTAACAACAGCAAAGAGCAAAGTCTTTGAGGTTCGTCATACCTGGTTCACATCTTTGACGGCGTACGTTCCGATTGTCAGTCCAGCCCAGACAAGCTCCAGCCCAGGCAGTAGCAGGCGCGGTGGAATCCAGGTCAGAAGGATGTTGGCTGGAATAGGGCCTAGAATCTGGCCGACTGAGAAGCACGTCACGGCCAGATTATACTCGGTTCCATACATTTTCAGGTCCTCCTTCATCCCGCTGACGTAGGCGTTGCTCAGGTTGGCTTGGTCTAGCCATTTCGTAAAGTAAGCCAAGCAGGAGTAGGTGAGGATGAACAGGTCAATCTTGAAGAGGAGCTTCTTCTCGCTAGATGCGAGTCCCTTGGGGTACCAGATGAAGAATTCAGGCCTGTCTTTGCCATACGAAGACGCAAAGATTTGCTTCGCGTGGTACGCCAGAGACGCCATTGCTCTGTTCCGATGGGGTGAGCAACTTCTGCTGTGAGGAGCTGGGACGATTCTCTCGCAGACTGGTTCTTTCGTTTTGTTCTATCCCCTCTATGAGTGCTTCTTTTCAAGAACATAATGGCCAGAGGCCTAGGGCAGCGCAGAGGTATGCCCTCACATGCGCTTATCATGACCATCCCAAAGATGTTCCCCGAGTCGAGCGCGATTCCACACCTCCACAAACTCATTCATGTAGATAACAAGCGCATAAAGCCTTGTGCTTTTCTTTTTCGTCCAATGCATTCAGGTTCGGCAGTCGGTGGTGAGCCGAGTTATCTGATACAGTATCACGAGGTGTGATAACAAGCCGGATACAAGTCCCGGATATTCACCACGGCGGAGCCCGGATCCTCGTGCGGGGAGACGGAACCCGGTAATAACCACTTTTGCGTTGCAACGTAGCATAATGAGTGACGGTCTTGATATACATACTCTCTTTGGATCATCACTTTGTCTGGAAATACTGTTAGCTTCTTGTGATAGCAGAGGCACTGCACAAGTCGACGCCGTCTGTAGACCTTGAGCTGGCCGATTTGATAGCAAAATGACAGACGTCATCTCTGCAGTTCCGAGTGGTGGAAAGACAGAGGCAGTGATTGATGTAAGGAGCACACATGAGTGTCAAAATCAATACTAGACGAGATAGTATATATTGACAGAAGAAGCAGGATAATACTCAATATGTGTACTTCCACTCAGGATCCGGAACAACCTACCGCAAAGTAGCAGAGAAACCATCCTCCTTCACTTCGATCCCAACCATCGACCTGTCCGACATTGACAGCCCTTCTCTTGAGGCCAGGAAGGCCATTGCCAAAAACATCTACGACGCCTGTCATGACTGCGGATTCTTCTACATCAAGAATCATGGTATCCCGGAAGATCTCATCGATGAGACCTTCAGCCTGCTGAAGCGCTTCTTTGCACTGGATCTAGACGCCAAGATGGATGCGCACGTTCAGAGAAATCCCGCCATCAGAGGCTACGAGCCAATGCTTGAGACTAGACTCGATCCAAGGAGCAAAGGAGGCAAGTCGCAGAGCAATGAGATCCCCAAAACACACCTTAGTCGCAACACTAACAGTTTTTTTGACTTGAAGATATCAAGGAAGCGTTCACGATGGGTGACTGTGTGATAGAGCCCGAGCAGGACTACCAGGGCAAGACTGGACATGCGCCACCTTCTCACATCACACAGCCTCAGAATATCTGGCCGTCCCAAGCGCCATGGTGGCGGGAAGGGCTTTACAAGTATTACAACCGCATCTTGGTGCTGGCTATGAAGCTGGTCCGGATCTTTGCCCTGGCCTTTGATCTGGACGAGAAGGCTTTCGACCAGCACTTTACGTTTCCAATCACCGGCATGAGAGCGCTATATTATCCGCCCACACCGATGGACGAGGAGTCGACCAGTGTTGGCCTTGGCGCCCATGCTGACTTTTCATGTAAGATAGACCTCTGCCCATCTAAGCACGGTTTGAGACGTGACAATAGGACACAGAAGCCTCAACTAACACTTTTCTTCCATCCTGCCCCAGGGCTGACGCTGGTCCTGCAAGACTCTGTGCCTGCTCTGGAGGTCCTCAACCAAGACGGTCTGTGGGTCGATGCGCCTCCCCAGCCAGGCACATTTGTTTGTAATGTCGGCCAGTACCTAGAACGGCAATCGAACGGCAAGTTTCCAGCCACCGTCCATCGGGTTCGCAATCGCACGGGAAATCAGCGCTATTCTCTGCCGTTTTTCCTGACTATGGATCCGGATGTTGACTTGGAAGTGCTCGACTGCTGTGTCGACCCCGGGGAGAAACCCCGCTTCGAGAGTATCAATGTTGGAGATCTCTATATCAGGAGAGTATTGCCGGCTAGGAGGAAGCATCCTACGAGTATCAAGTTCAGTGGGGTGCCACAGGAAGAGCTGAAGTATGAGATGCTTTTGAGTTAAACAGGTTGGCAATGGTTATACTTATTTGCAATCATGGTCTGGTCTTACATGCCTTGGCGCTCTCGCATAGATCAATATCATTATTGAAAAATCACTGGTTCATATTGAAGTCATTGAAATCATAATGCGTCTAGCCGCCGACCTGCATGTGGATGCCTGCGCTGCGCATGCATGGCGGTGGCAGTGTAAGCAACCAACAATACATAAGTAGACAAGGCACACCAGCCCGAAGACTAGATACTTGTGACTCCCAATCCTTACTGGAATTTGGAGGTACAATTCGCAATTTCATCAAGTTGTGACATCTCTTTCTGTTGCCCTCTTTGAATTTCCTATACTATTCAAATTTGAAACGCATCTGTGTACTTTCATCAGTTGGCCGTCGTGAAGTAGCATGAACGGTGCCAAAAAATGGACTCAGATGATATACCTAGTCTATTACAGAACATCCGTACGACCGGTTCAACAAACGTCCGTTTGCGACGACTGAGGTATCGCGACCATGTGGTTTCAAGCCAAACAACCTTGACCGACGAAGGTCTTGAGACCGAGCTGCGAGCCATCGAAGATACAATAACCAGCCCATCAGTGGATCAAATAAGCGATGGTGGAGGAGAGTTTGTTCTCCTGTACGTGCACATGGACCTGTCCGGATTCATATAATTATTTATTACTCTAGGGTATGACTACTACTGACACTTTCTGAAGCTCGACGTCCGGCGATCCTGCCCATAGAAATTTCAGGGAAACCCCCATGGAAATCTCACAAGCGTCTTTGGCGAGGCTCATCGAAGCATGCCGGTTGCCGCCGCACATTCTCGGCGCTGACAGGTTCCCGGGATTCCACATGTCGCATCATACGCAATATCGAGACGACGATAGCGATATTCCTGAGGCGCTGGGTAAGTCTAAAGAAGCTATAGTGTTCTCCAGAGGCCACCTTGGTGTAAACGAATATTCTGACCCTTGAGCACACGCCTATCCAGTCTTGCTCCTCCGGAATCCACAACACAGCAATTCTATCAACATCTCGATGCGCATCAGACTCTCCGATCGTTCGACTGTCTGTTTCTTGTCTGCTCTAACCGAGACCACGGGCCGGACGATCGAGAGCCAATTATCCAAGCGAGGCAGACTGATCTCGATCGATCCGCTATACTTTCTCGTCTTGGCTTTTGAGGTCCGCTCGCGCGAGAACAACGAGATCTTTCAGAAAACTCTTCTTAAAGTATATGAAGTGGAGAGTGCGACAGAAATGACCGCGCCATCCTGGAAATTACAAGTTCCCCACACGACACTGCAGTGGCTCGCAGATTATGACAATCTGCTGAAGAGGCTTCACGAGGCTCACTCGGAGATGTGCCACTTCGAGCACATTGGCACATTTTATATCAAATGGGCGCTATACTTACTGAAGTCGGTAGATCTTTTGGAACAGCTTCGAGCTGAGGCCGGGCTCGCGCTCATGGCCAAGAGGCACGATGTGGCTCTGCGGGAGAGAATACAATTCACCCTCGCCAGGTCCGAATATATTGCCGCTAAGACCAAGGAAATGCTTGCAAGAATTCGAGGACAAATCAACGTGGTAAGCAACATAATCCTGACCAGCCCTTTGCATTCTGAAATTGTGGTAATTATTTACTAATCATGGTTACGATTTCATCAAAAGGCCTTCAGTCTGGTAACGCAGAAGGACAGCAAACTTACCTTGGCGGTGACAGAATACTCCAACCATCTCGCGATGTTGGCAGCCCGGGATAGCGAGACCATGAAGACCATTACGGTTCTCACGTTGCTCTTTCTGCCATCGAGTTTAATCACTGTGAGCAAGTTCAGTTCTAACTACCAGCTGTATGAGCCAAGGAAGTACCGAAAACTAATGCAGCGCAGTCGATCTGGTCAGCAGGTCTATTTGAGCTCGAATCCTCGAGTAGTTGGAAGATCTACATTGCCGTCACTATTTCACTAACGGTCGTTGTGTTCATTGCCTGGTTCTTGTACCTCAAGTATGCTGGCTCGCGCCACCGTGGTGCGAAGTCTCTCTCCTTTGCAGCAGCTGGCTTCACATAGCAGGAGATTACAAACTTACAGAAATGAATACGTCGATATACTCGAGATTTATTTGAATCAAGTGTGACGTGCTATCATGGGGTAATTCTTGGGAACTGGTTGACCGGCAGATGTTGCTACAAATGCTAACTGAAGCACATGTGAAGAAATTATTGGCTGCAAGTCCCGCAGTGGGGTTTTTGAACTTGCTACATCATTCCTTCCGCCCACCCCTCAAAAGAAAAGCAAGAAAAGACAAATGGTGTCCGGAAGTTCTTGGATATGGAAACATATGATATGCACCAATAATTTCTAAGTTTGGACAATGCAATTGAGTTGGCAGGTCATCTGTCCTCGGGATTCTACGGGCTAACACTCGGCTGGCGACAAAATATGAGCTGACGAACACGCCACTCACAAGCACCCGCAGTCACACCACCACGAATCCTTTGCAAATATAACAAGCCCCAGCATCCCAAAAGTAATAACCTGACAATGAGGAAAAATCACATTCACCAACCCTATATCAAGAGTTTCACTTCTGTAACAGTGCACACACCTCTTCTTTCTGTTTCGCCTACATCTTGTCACTTCACAGTTCCACGCCAATCAACACAAAAGCTTGTCTCACTTCTGAGAACCAATCAACGATAACTTATCGCCTTGAGACCTTCCCCAGAAAAGAAAAGAGAAATTACCAAACATGTGTCAATACTGTGCCGCCCGCCGCCTCGTCCTCTCCACCCTCCGCTCAAGAGCCCCTGTGTCCGCCAGGCAGGTTCAGCGTCGGATGATCGCAACACAACCACCCAACCTGCAGCCTGAGAAGATGTCCAAGGGCACCTTCTTGGCATCAGTGGGCCTGATTGGCGGCCTGTCTGGTGTCGGCGCTGCATATGTCACCACGCCCGTTGAGTAACGGAGATGAAGTGGTGCTGTAACAATTACTACATCTTTGGTGAGTTTGGTGATGTTTTGGTCATCTAGAGTACCACGTCTCCGAAGGCTAATACATTCTCTGTTCACAGAGGTAATCATTCGAACATAGGACTGGGCCGCATCCGGGAATAGGGTCTGAGGCGGAGGACATTGGCGTTCGGGGCGGCATGAAATTAAACTTGACTTTTGCTCTCTGTTTGTACAAAATCACGGGAGATGGGAGGAAGCCATGTGCGCAGAGGAGCTCAAGGCTGAGCGCTTGCTGGTCTGACATCCCATCGTTTCACAAGGAGGACATGCTTAGTCAAATATTGATGTTGTTCTCGTACGACTTTACACCCTAGTTCAAACCCGAATTCTCTCCCTTGATGATTGTTGGCGTTCTTGATAGACACACACCCAAGTACTGTCGAAATTGGGCACGCTCTGAGCCCGCGTTCTCGTGTGTCTAGCCTACGCCGCCCACGGATGTCGAGCGCAGTAAACATACTCCGCGTATGCGAGGCGTAAACTGTGGCACAGCCAGCCCAGGGTGAGCCATTCGAGCAAGACACTGGCAGTAGGCGGTGAGTCAAGTTGCGAGTGGAAAGAGGGTTTAGCTTGTGTGTGATACTTCAGGCGCGATGAAAAGGCCTCAGTAATGCAGTCAAGCCTCTATTCTCTATCACTCTTTAATTCTAAGTACCTAGAAGCAAGGATTTGTAGTCTTTATAAAACTCCAAACAATATTAAGCCTGGATTTGCATAATGCCTCCCTGAAGCCGGGCACAGGTCCATTCCTCCGCCAGCCTACTTATCATCAAAGCAAACCAATGAGTTTGCTTTCCAGACTTCATACCATTCCTTGAGTCTACTCGAGAAATTATCTCGTGATTCAGATAACCAATCGCCCAGACCAATTACAACAATACATAAAACCGTAACACGTTACGCACAGCGACACCATGTACATACCCACCCCCGCCACAACCGCCCCTCCTCCTTCTCCTTCAACCCAGACCAGCATCCCAGATACGGCCCTCTCCTCATGGCAATCAACAGGCGCCGAGCTCTTCTTCTGGACCTTGGTCATGATGTTTTCCGCGGGCCTGCTCCTGACGTTGTGCCGAATTGGTCTCGCCATCATGAAGGTGCGTAAAGACGAGCGGTGCAATTGCACGTGCTGGCACTGGTGGAGATGGAAGCCGCCAGCATTACGACAGCAAAATGATGAGAGGCGAGCAGAGGCAGAGCCGCAGGGCAGGACAGCTTTCGACGGGTTCGGGTTAGCACCAGTGCGCGGGGGTGTAGGAGGAAGCCCTGTATAAGAGAGCCATGCGCCGGGAGGCATTGGCCTGTGGTCTTGTAGGGCAACAAGAGGGCTGGGCAGTAGATGACAATGCTGAGCCATCGAGGACTGAGAAAGAAGGTGTCTTGAGCAATTGCCCTGCTGTTACAAACTGGATGTGTGGTGTGTCCGCCTTCTACCCCCCCCCAAAAAAAACGCCGACCCATGCTGATCCCTCGCCCCAAAGTATTCAACTGGTAACCTGCAAGGAGCGTGGTTGGTTATCTGCGCCCACCACGGCCGCCCTGTCCCAAACCGCCCATCATTCCACCCATCTGCTTCATCATAGCATTGATGTCCATCCCGCCAGGCATGCCGCCGCCGCCGCCAGGGCCGCCGCCACCACCACCACCCAGCATCTTCATCATGCTGCTGAGATCTGGCATGCCACCTGCACCGCCGGCGCCACCACCCATGCTCTGGAGACGCTTCTGCATGGCTGCCATCTGCTGTGCCTTATTACCGCCGCCCATGGCAGCCTGGGCGCGCTGCATGTTCTTCATGTTGCCGCCCATCTTCTTGGCCATGCCGGCCATCATGCGCTGCTGCGTCAGCAGATCCTCGACTTCCCTGACGCTGGTTCCTGACCCTTTGGCGACGCGGGTCATGCGTTCGGGCTGGTCGATGAACATCTTGCCGTCCGAGTCGAGTTCCTTCTTGGTCATAGAGTCGCAGATGTAGAGCATGCGGCGGAGCTTGGCATTACCCTCGTCGTCGTCCATGCCCTGCATCATGTTGGACATGCCGGGGATCATGCCTGCCATCTTGGACAGGGGACCCATCTTCATGATATTCTGCAGCTGGTCGCGCAGGTCGCGGATAGTGAACACGCCTTCGGTGATGTGCTTGATGGTGTCTTTCTGGTCCAGCTTCAGAGACTGCACGTGCTCCACCAGCCCGGCCATGTCGCCCATGCCGAGGAGCTTGGAGATGAATTGCTTGGGAACGAAGCGCTCGAGGTCGAGCATGTGCTCGCCCGTGCCGATGAAGACGATGGGCGTGTGTGTGGCGGCGACGGCTGAGATGGCGCCACCTCCGCTCGCATGACCGTCCGTCTTGGTGATGATGATGGCGCCAAAATCTGCTGCCTCCTTGAAGGCTTTTGCCTGCGCCTCTGCCTGCTGGCCTATGCTGGCGTCTAGCACCATGATGGTCTCATCTGGCTTGACAGCGCTCTGGATGTCCACCATCTCCTGAAACAGTGCCGATTCCTGCCTGTGTCTGCCGGATGTATCGACGATGATGACCTCGAACTTCTCCTTCTTGAACTTGTCCACGCCCTCCTTGGCGACCACGGCAGGGTCCGTCTCCGTTAGGCTGCCGTAGTAGGGGATCTTGGCCTTGGTGGCGTTCTGCTTCAGCTGGTCGAAGGCGCCCGCACGGAAGGTATCTGCGCACACTAGACAGGCCTTGAACCCTCTCGCCTGGTAGTGCCTGGCCAACTTCGTACAGGTGGTTGTCTTTCCGGCACCCTGCAAACCGACGAACATGATGACATTGGACCGGCCCTTCTTGGGCTTGTACGCCTCGTGGTGAGGGTTGACGAGGTCGACTAGCTCGTCGAACACGGCCTTCTGGATGAGGCGCTTCTTGTTGACCGCTGGCGCGAGCTCCTTGAAGTTGACTGTTGATTTTATCGACTTGCGGAGCTGTTGGACGAGCCGCACGTTGACGTCTGCTTCGAGGAGGGCCGAGGAGATCTCCTTGATCATAGCTTCGAAGGCCTGTGAAGGTGAACAGAGTCAGCGCAACCATACATACCTAGGAAGCAGGCCGACGCGCTGTATAGGACGCCCCTGCGCCTGGGCGTGGGGGTAGTGAAGCTGGAGGGAAAGAAGGGGGAGGCAGCTGGTACCTTTTCGTCGAGATTTGGCGCCCGATTGAGGTCGGACACCGCCGCATTGATGCGGCGACCGAGGTCTTGAAGCACCATGGCGCCTGAGTCTTGTACCGATACAGAGGTTGAGGTCGAGGAGTGGTCGGTGTTTTGGTCGGTGGTGGAGGGTGGATCTGTAAGTGTGTAGCAGGTGTCGAAGGCGATGTCGAGGTTGAGGTTGGCGAAGAAGGTGGCCAAAAATCCATGGATGCGATTCAATCCAAAGTAGAGCCGCAAAAGGTTCTAGGCCCCGCATTGGCCCTGTGGGCAGCAGGGGAGCTGGGCAGATTGCGGGGTGCCAAGAGTACTTACCTAGCAGGCTCTAGTGGACTTGTAGGTTACTTACTTACTGTACATGAACGAGGCGACCTCTGCTGAAGCATCAATGCCAACTTACTTGACCATATAATTTATTGTTCACATACTGTTTAGCCTGTCTCACTTCATATTCATCCATCTTATTATTTTTCTTCCCTCCTCTCAGTTTCTATAACAGGATGGAATAGTTATGAATAGCACCATGTTGCTGGGCCTCTCCTTTGTTTTAAGTCGTTTCCTTCCCATCTCAGCAACCACATTCGTTCATTTCAGACTGCTAAAAGTAATGAGGGGTATCGCAATCCTCTATCTATCATCCAGACTTCTTGTCAGTAAGCTCATTGTCCCTCCTAGTCTTGATGATGCTATTTTATAAAGAAGGACTACATTTCAAAAATAAGAAATAAGAGGTACTGTCTGACCCCCCCTTGCCGGACACCCGTACCCGCCGGACAGCTAATTTCCGACAGCGCCATACAAATACCAACATCCTCACTTACATATTATTTCCTCAATATTGAAGCTATTCAGAAACTGTTTTGATAGATAGATAGCCCTTTAATTGACGAATCTATTGATATACTTATATCTATGCCTGGACGCCTTATGACGCAATTCTGGCAATGCCGGAAGCTAATATCTGTTCCTTCCTGTCTTCATATCCATGATCCTTTTCCTTCAACAATCTTCTACCTCAAGCAAGCTACAATGCCTTCCCACGCCTGGAATGAGGAGAATATGGCTGATGCTCTCTTCGATATTATAGATAACCATTTATCTTTACGAAAATCAGCCAAGAAACACGGAATCGCCCTCCAAACGCTGTCAGATCGGCTGCATGCAGGGTTCTCAGTTCAAGAAGCAAAGAAACCTCAACAACGCCTTTCTACTACTGAGGAAAAGAAGATATCGAGATGAATTATCAAGTAGGAGAGCCTAGGATATGCTTCATCAGCTTCTGCTGTACATGGTGTTGTAGGAGCCCTCCTCAAGCAGAAGGGAGATCTCAATGCCCTTAGCTGCAAATGGATAGAGGGCTTCAAGAAGAGAAATCCTCAAATTCGCCATAAAATAGGCACTCGCCAGGAAGCCACCAGATACGATGCCTTCACCCCGAAAGCTGTTAACTAGTATTTCGACATTCGCGAGAAGGAATATGGGTGGATTGAGCTACAGCTTACAGTGAATGTGGATAAGGGTGGCATTATGACTGGATATAGTAAATTTCTATGGAATCCTCATCTCAGAGCTCCTGAACTGATACTTTTGATAGGCCTGAACTCGCTGGTCCTTGGATCCTCTGAAAAAAAGAAGGCATTCCTCAAAAGCAGCCAGGACAGAAGCTGGGTTACTCTCATTGAAAGCTGTACAGCTACAAGCCAGCTTCTCAACCCAGGCATCATCTTCAAGAGCAAAGATCTTTAAAAACAGTGGTTTTCTGAAGACATGGAGCAGTCTGTGCCAACCTGGCGCATGATTACCGATCAAAACAGCTGGACAAGCAATGAAATCGCAGTAGCATGGCTTGAGGATCTTTTCCTTCTTCAGATGAATAATCTCCGTGAGAATGATATATCTCGAGCTATCCTCCTTATTCTAGATGGCTATAATAGCTATACATCAGTAAGTTAAGATCTTTTGAAGCTCAAGATAGTATTTCTCGAGGATAATGTGCTGATATAAAACAGCCGGAGTTCATAGCTTCTTGCTACTTGAATAACGTTTTCCTTTGCTTTCTCCCCGCATACACCTCCTACAGCCTCCAGCCACTAGATAACAGCATATTTGCTGTACTGAAAGCAGCCTATCGGAAAGAACTTCAAAAGTTGCAAGATCTCACAAACTCAGCCCCTGTTAACAAGATCAACTTTCTACAGTGTCTCATTACAGCCAGAGCAGCAATTACTTCTAAAGTAGTAAAAGGAGAATGGAAACATAGTAGCAATTATCCAATTAATCGCTATAAAGCCCTATCTCATGAGGAAATCCAGGAGGATAAGCAAAAACGAGGAGCAGATGAGTTGGAGGAGAACGAGGAGAATGAGCCCATTTCCCATGAGTTTATTACTGCTATAGGCCGAGACCGAAGCTACAACGAACGCAGCAAGTTGAGGAGGATCGCAAATCACCTTAAAGACCTCCAAGCTGAGGTTATCTTGCTCCGACAGCGAAATGCCTCCCTTAAGGCTCAGAACGAAGCTATTTCGAAGACCCGAAAGCGCAAGAAGATCCCCAATCCTAACAAACGCTTTATGACTATTTCAGAGGCACTTTCGGCTGGAGAAGAGGCCAACACAGCCCAGGAAGAGGAGGATTTGCCTGCTGAGGATATTGTGGAGGTTCAAGACGAGGTTGACGAGGAGGACTCTGAGGACGATAATGCAGACATTCCACGTAAGGATTCACCACCAATTCGTCGATCTTCTGGGCGGACTAGCCGTATGCCAACTAGATATTTGGAATGAGGAAATTTAGATCATTTCGATGATATATTTATTATTATTATACGATTTGAAGTGAATTATTTCTATATACTTGAAAAGGTGGCAATTGTGTGAGCCATTTCGCATTTTAGTGTCCGGCGGGTACGGGTGTCCGGCAAGGGGGGGTCAGACAGTACCTAATGTGTACATGTATATATCCGAAACCAAATGTCAGTATATTTCGGCTCAAGTCTTATTTCCTCTCAACGTTCTTAAGCCTTCCCTCATTCTTCAGGCTCATTTTCAAGTTGCAATATGGGAAACAGTCGCCTTGAGAAACATGGCCTCCCTTGGTGAGACTGCTTCATGTTCAATGTTGTCAATCTATTACAAATAAGAGTACTATAGACAGATATACCAATTCTAGTATCATTTTATACTATTCTCCACCATTATATTCATCAATTCGTCCAATCCGGCCAGATATATTACTTTTATTCCATCTCACCAGGTCCCGTCCAACGCCACAAGAGACCACACACTCCCAACCGTGCTCCTCGCCTTGTTGTTCACATACTCCCCCAGATCCGAAGACCCGCTCACAACAAACTTGGTCGGCATAGGCACAGGGTTCAACCCATTGGTGATAAACTTAAACATGGCGTCCACGGCCGACTCGCCGACCCCATAGCTCGAGGCATACTTGCGGCTCGTCGCGCCCACCCACACGGCCCACTCAGAGATCATAAAGTCCACCGAGTACCCGTTGCCCGGGACGGCATACAGCGTGCCCCCGCTGACGGACGCCAGCGCGGCATACTGCTCAGCGTACCACGCGGCCTGCATGATGTGCGCCTCCTCGGGAAACGTCGACAGCCCCAGCAGGCTGTCCGGGAACAGGTGGAACGCCGTGACCCAGCTGTCTGGGAAGTCATAGTTGTAAGTAAAGTGCGTCGGGGCCGAGGTGCTGTCCAGCCCGATCCCCTCGGTCGTGTAGATGGTGTCGGCGAAGCTCTCGCCGTACGTCGTGTAGTTGGACAGAGAAAACAGGGCGCCCAGCGCCTTGAGCCCCACGGCCGCGCAGATGGCAAGGCCCGTCTGGTTGGCGCTCTCCGTGATGGCGTCGACGGTGCTGAGCTGGTCTGACGGGTACAAGCCGTTGTCGACCGTCCAGTCACCTGCCACGAAGAGTTTCTCTCGGTACTCGTCCAGCCAGGCCGTTGAGGCGCCTGTGGCGTAGGTGTAGGCGTAGATCAGGGTGAACAGCGGGGCTGTGGCTTCTACGTAGATGGCCTCGCCGCCGCCGTCGTTGTGTCCTGACGCTTGTGGGTAGACTGTGGCTTGTGTGTCAGCCTTTCTATTTTTTCTTTTTTCTTTTTTCTTTTATAAATCCTCCTGATCTTGACCATCTCATCTTCTATGAGGCCAAAAGTTGTTATTGACAAGTAATTACGTACCTCCCAGGTCATGCGGAATGTACTTCTCCGGCCAGTCGCCAGTATTCAGATAGATAAGATACGGCTCAACGAGAAGTTTGATCCAGTCCGGGCTGATGACATAGAGCGCAGGGAACGTTGGAAGAATCACATCAATGGTCGACACATCCCCATCGCTGGAGATCTCCTTGAGAAACACCAGCACGTCCGCCGTGTCATACGTGCTCGTGGGAATCACCACGTCCATGGCACCGTAGATCTGCCGCACAGACTGCTCGAGAAGATCAGTGTAGTCCGTGTTGAAGGGCGTGAACTCGCTACCAGCCGCCACGACCCGAGCGTCAAAAGTGAGAGACTCGTCGTAGGCGCTCTCATAGTCGGCCAGGAATGCAGGCAGGGCCGTTGCGGGCGTCGAGTACTCGGACATGTAGTACCCGCTGTACGAGGCGCCGAGAAACGTCAGCGCGTGGGCACGATCATACCCCACAGCAAAGGTGGCCGAGGCGCTCGTCGTGCTGCCAAAGTCCTGGCTGATGCCAAAAGTGTAGTCCTCGCCGTACGCCGTGGCCGTGTTGTCGAGAGTCCCGCTGGCCACAAAGTCCTGCTGCACGGTGCTGCGCACATTGTACATGTACGTCAGCGTGGCGCCGGTGGCGGGCTTGCTGCCAAAGACGACGGAGCCCCATGCGGCCATCTGGTCGACCTCCTCGTAGAGGGTCTGCCCCGGGTCCGAGAGGTCCCAGTAGATTGTCTCGCCATTCGAGCCCGTGTCCACAACGGCGTCGAGGGATCCCGAGAAGCCAGACCACGAGTCGTCGATGCCGCTGAAGATCTGGACATCCTGTGCGGTCGAGCTGGTGACGTTGACCGTGAGATATGAGTATGGCAGAGACTGGCGGATGTAATTGCTTGGGGACACGGGCGAGAAGAAGTCAAGAATGACGGTGGCGGATCCGGCGGTGTAGGTGATGATGGTATGCGTCGAGGTGAACTCGATTGCCGTCTGGGTTGCTGCCTTTGCGTTGGACACGCCGTTCACCTCGCTGAAGAGGTAGTATGTGGTGCCAGCAACGCGGGCGAACACAGGCCAGTATAATATCTGTCCATACCAGAATTCAGGCTCGGCTGTAGGAGCGTTACTGGCGGTGTTTCCTGGAAGCCAGGCGGAGAGATAGGGGTTGCGGACGGCCAGTGGGTAAGACGAGATGCTCGCTGTGGAAGCCCACGATGTTGTGAAAGCAGCCGCGCTGCAGAGCAGCCTGAGGGCCCAGCTCGACTGCATTTTGGCTTTGCTTGTGAGCTTGAAGTTGTAAAACCTCCAACGTAAAAGATGGCCGTCACTCTCGGGACAAGTGATAGTCAAGGGGTAACAATGGCATAGAGATTTTAAGATTATGATAATAACGATAATATATATATGAATGTACTTTACTCTTTCAACGCCACTCCACAGGGATGAAATTGTTCACCATTGTGAATCGGGCCGCGATCCTACACGAAAAGAGGAAAATGGAAATAAATACTTCTGCCTGGAAGACTGACGACTGCCTCTTGTCATGGTTAGCTAGGTGCATCTCGATAGCGTGATCCTCCCTGGACGCAATACGGAATCATTACGCATGATGAGGAACAAGGGAGCCCACATATTTAAGCTATTTTCTTTTTTTTCATTAAGTCTCTGCTTGCCGCTCAATCCGAGCGTGCGGAGACTGTTCTTGCATGCAGGCTGCCATGTGGTCGCAAGAAGGAAAGAAAGAGAAGGGAGAGGGAGATCGAAGAGAGAGAAAAGACTTGTTCACGGTCAGCAGCATCTTGCCCATCCGCGATAACGAGAATAAGAAGGTACACTAATCGCTGTCACTGCATTCACCTTTGGGTGATGTGTGGTCTCGTTTAGGGATAGTGGCACTGGTGATCCTCCAAGCCCATGTACTTAGTTCACTGGACCATAAGCGGTCTAAGCATGGTACTTTTAGGATGCATGGTTTATGGCGTGCTGAGATATCATGATCACGTTGACCCTCTGACCATGAAACCCCTCTTCTTTCGGCATTACTTCACATGGCACTTGGTGGAGAGAATAGGTGCTGATTCGCTGGGAGCAGGATGATATAATTGTCATGCGAAGAAGAACAGTTTCTGTTGAAGTTGGAGTCAAGGCAAGAAACACAGAACAATTTGATGCTGGTGATGTTGTGTGCATACTAAGTATCTACCTGGTGTGATGGAATCGTTGAAAAGCGTGTAGATCGAGGCTTTGTAAGCTAAATCTTGCATCATGAATTATTCTGGCAATTAGGTTGTCAATGAGCTGAGTTGATAGTCTGGCCTGGCCTTCGGAGTGCTGAGAGGCGAATGCGAAATTGTAATTCATTCCCATTTTGTATTGTCCGCCGTTTTAGCCCAGCACCCAATTATTATTCAATTTCAGCAGTTGCCTCCTTCTACAACTCATTAAAATTGCTTTTTGATCTTCTATTTCCTGCAGCTCATTTGAGAGTGGGAATAGTTTCAGCAAAGAACGGACATGATCACCACTCGCTAGAGTCTATTGCGATGACGTGGTGGGTTCATTATTATGACGTACCATGCGAGATGCTGTTTATACCCCCTTCCAAGGTTCACAATGGATTCACCACAACATGTCTTCTGTTTTCTGAGCAACTGCAAGTATTATTTACATATTCAACTGCATTTTCCTGTGCCAATCTTCAACTGGATATAGATATCGTACATATCTTTGAGGAACTCGTTATACTGTTACTATTCATCTCCAAACGGAGCGTGTTAATAAATGTCAAACAAAAATATGTCATAACTCTGTTAGTGCACACTTCGCAGCCCGCAAACGTGGGCAGAGAGATTGCGGGGTATCGTGATTGATACAACCAGCCTCCTGAGCAGGCTTTTGATTGTTATCAGTGAAAAATCAAGCTCTCACTACATCCATACTGATATTGGCCAGGTCATATCGGTTACTTTCCATGAACCAATTGCCCTTCCTTGGTACGTTGTGTCAAACAAGATGTCCATTTAATTACACGGTGAGATCCAACATCTTCTGCATGTGGTTCATCTCTGGTCTGATATTGGCCTGCAATTGTATAGGTCTTGCCAGTCCCTAAACGGGCTCATCTCAAGCCCATCCAAAAAGACCATTGATCAACTCGACTGGCCAACCAATCTGTACCAATGTCTCCAGACAGATCTAAAAGCCCTCGTCGCCTGGGTGACGAGGAACGCCAGCCTTTACTCCCCTCAAGCCCTCCGCCTCAAGGTCACGAGCACAGCCAACAACAGACCATCTCCTTCGGCCCAGACGATCCAGACAACCCGTACGCATGGTCGCGCGCCAGAAAAGCAACCCAGGTCCTCCAGATCTTCATCCTCGCCCTCCTGTCCCCCGCCGCATCGTCCATCCTGGACCCAGCCGCCGATGCCATCGCCGCCGACCTGGGGGCAGACCAGGGGTTGGTCATGGCCAGCCAGGCCGGGTTCGTGTGCATGCTCGGCGTGGGCCCTCTTTTCCTGGCGCCCATGAGCGAGACTTTTGGGCGGCGGCGGCTGTTTGTGTTTTGTTTTGGGGTGTTTACGCTGCTGCAGATCCCAACGGCGCTCATACGATCGGCCGCGGGGCTGGTGGTTCTCCGGACGCTTTCGGGCTTCTTTGGGAGCGTCAGCGTGGCCAACGGCGGCGGGAGTATCTCGGATCTGTTTGAGACGCAGGAGAGAAGCCAGGTGCTGGGGGTGTACCTGGTGGCGCCTGTCTTGGGTCCCACAGTCGGGTGAGTGTTCATAATTGTTTGGGAGCTCGAGTTTTACTGAACTCAGCTCTGCCTCTTTACTATTGATTCGTGCTAACAACACCGTTATATTTACAAAGACCTCTCATTGGTGGTCTGGTGGTCGCACACCTGAGCTGGCGGTGGATCTTCTGGATTCTCCTGGTTGCGTCGAGCCTGGTCACCGGGATGTGTTACTTCTTTCTCCACGAGACGCGGGCCGTCACCATCCTGGAAGATCGCAAGAGACGCCTGCAGAAGAAACATCCAGAGACGGAGTATACAGTCGAGGGCTGTCCTCCAGGGTCCGATTCGTCGATCCTGCGCAAGATTGCACAAAACAGCACCCGCGCCGTGCGGATCCTCACAACCCAGCCCATCGTTTTCACCATGTCTGTATACCAGGCACTCATCTTCACCTCCATGTACAGCCTGTACGCCGAGTACTCAAACATCTGGTCCGGCAGCCCGTACTTCTTCGACCAGTCCCAGCTCGGATGGGCATATCTGGCACCCATGCTCGGCTTCGTGCTGACCTCGGTCTTCATCGTGCGCTACAACAACAGGCTGTACAATTACCTGGCCCGGCGCCACGGCGACGATGGCCAGCCCGAGTACCGCCTGCCCATGGCCAACATCGGGGCCGTGTTTCTGCCGGCGTCATTGTTTTGGTTCGGATGGGCACTGCAGGACCAGCGCGCCTGGCAGGTCCCGCTGGCGGCCATGCTTCTCTTTGGGGCGAGCCAGGTGAGCATCTTCAACACGGTGCAGACGTACTATATCGATGCGTTCGCGGACAGGGCAGCCTCGGCGCTGGCGGCTGGGGCGTTTCTGCGGAGCATGGTGGGCGGGATTGTTCCGTTGTTTGTAGGGGGTATGTTTGAGAGACTTGGGTATGGAGTTGGGTTTAGTGTTTTGGGAGGTCTGAGTCTGGTCTTGATGCCGGCGCCTATGTTGTTCTACTGGAAAGGTGGTTGGCTGCGGGAGAGGTTCCCTTTTCGTGGGTGAGAGTATAGGGTTATCATCAGACACCTCATTCCTACCCTCACTAAGAAGAAGAAGAAGAGACATATGAACAGGAGATCCTTGTTCAAATGTACGTATAAATGCATACTTATTTATGTATTCGTATCATCATCATTATATACTATTGCATGTGATAATACAAGATAAACTAACAATGCTCATGTTCTCATTATCAAAACGTTCCCAAAACCCGGTTCTGTGTACCCAGTTGTGTGTGTTTTTCCCTTCCTTCAAAAGACAGCCCCGCCTCAGAGCTCTTCGCTCTCTTCTTCTCCCTCCCTCATTCATGACCCGCTCTCATCATCAACCTCCTTGGCCCGTAACCTCCTCCTCTCCCTCACCTCCCTTCCATGCACGGTACTCAGATCCCCCATCAGCCTCGCCCAGGTCAGACCCCCCCTCTCCAGCTCCCTCCCCAGCGTCATGCTCAGGCCCTCGTACCGATCACACCGCGCCAGCCCCAGCACGGCCATGACCAGCACCAGGTTATCGTTCGGCTGCGGCTCGGCCTGGTACAGCCTCCTGCGCAGGTACTGCAGCCGCAGACAAAACTCGCGCAGGCTGCCGTCGAAGCGGCGGTCTGTCGGGCTCAGGTTGCTCAGCTCGGCCATCCAAGTGGAGACGTCCTCGCCTGCGGCTTTGGGGAGCGCCTCGAGGACGAGGTCGTGGAGGGCGCGCGGGTCCTCCTCGGAAGGGTCGTAGCCGTAGGCCAGGAGGGTGTCGCGGACGTCGGCCGAGAAGGAGCCCACCATGAGGAGGCAGATGGCAGCACAGTTGGCGGTATGCTGGTCGGGGTTGAGAAGATGGGTCTTGTTGCTATTCATGTTGTTTTTGGTGCTGCTGTTGTGTGACGGGTCCTGGGTGTTCGGGTTGGGCCCAGTGACGTAGTCGGCTAGGCCATGAAAGCGAAGAGTGCGTTTGAGGATGTCGTCCCACTCGTCCAGATTCTCGAGGCCCAAAAGACGTGGGAGGCAGGGGAGGTCGATGGGTTGATGTCGCAGGGCAGCACCAGTACCAGTAGCAGAAGGTGCTGGAGAGGGCTTAGGAGAAGAGAGGGAAGATGGTGAGGAGGTAGAGGAGGAAAATCGCAGTTGTGGGCGCTGTAGCAGTAGACTCTGGCTCTGTGGCTGCTGCTGGTGTTGTTGTTGTTGTTGTTGTTGAGGAGCGGGCACAATGCTGTCGTAGGCCGGTGGCATCAAGATCTCATCACGAAAATGCGTGTATTCTGCGCGATGGTGCTGGGCCACATCGTAGTCTTTCCTCTGGTACAGAATGCCTGAGATAATGCTCTGGCCCGTTGCCCACGTCGCAGATGCCCATGCCTGGCCGCGCCCCTGCTTTGAGGATGACGATGTCATTGTTGTTGAACCCCAGAGTGGGCCTGTGCTTGTCGAATAGGACGCCATGGGTAAAGAAGAAAAAGAAAAGAGGAGAGAGGGAAGACCAAATGTGCGTATTTACGTATTTGTGTTCGTCTCACGGGCTGAACCTTCTTTCGATTGGAGCGTCTTCAGTCTCCGGTGTCCACGCTTCAGAGGTAGAGGATAGTTGGGTCACTCATGTAGGAGAAAAATAACGAAGAAAACACATAATTATGAAGAAGCAGTTATGTCAGTACAGGATAAGACCAAATCAAAAGCAGACTTGAGGCTCTCGATCCGAGTTGAAGAGACCAAAAAAACAACAAGATTCACCGTAGTCCAGCATCTCATTAACTCATTACTGTCGTACAAACCGGTCAACAACAGGTTTCGAACGCCTTACCCACATTGCATCACCGGCGCAGCACTGGCCTGTGCATCACCCCACACCCATGCTGGAGACCCATCGATCGCCACTACTGTAGCGGATGCCACCCTGGGCCAGCAAAAGGTGATCCGTATCCACTCATTTCTGGCTCCTCCGGCAACGCTGCAGTCCGTTGCAGTGGTCGAAAGCTGGAGGAGGCGCTACCGCTTGCCTGCTCAGGGCCTAGCTGTCAGCTTGTCGGCGTAGAGGACGGCCATGAATGGCACTGGAGTAAATTGGTGGGCTGGGGAAAATAAAAAGCCCCTGCACGTGGCTTGTGTCCCTGGAGATCCCTCGGCGCCAACTGCAACTCGGCGCCGGACACAAATCTCCGGCTGCGTTTGTGCGTGTCTTCACGGGTGTCTGTGCAGTAGGCGGGTGTGTTCTCAACTTTGAGAAAACAGTCAGACTCGCTCGACCAGTCTGTGTGTGACCATCTTGTTTGTCAGCGACGTTGTTGAAAAGAGGTTCTGGACGAAAATACTCACATACAGACAGATCAAAATGCCCCACACAGGTTGCAGAGCACTGGGCTTTGATACGCGAGAGTGTGGGCAGGGAAAGAAATGCATTTCCAAATGTTCAAGTTAGCCAGGAAAAGAATGGGATGTAGGGCGTCTTAAATCAATGAGACATTGCTTGACGAGACGAAATGTCGCATTGACTGATGTAATGCTTTATTGCAAATGTCTATCCAACAATCTTCATAGACATCCGCTGTCTCACTCTCAGGCTTAGCGTACGCGATCAAATACTTCATAGGAACTAAGCTGCTAAGTAATCACCCAAAATCATTCGCTGCAAGGTGTTCATCCTTTTGGACCTAGAACTGTCGCACATTCATCCCCAGACCATCTACAAAGATCGATATAGACCTGGTAAGAAACACGGGAAGTACGATGCTGAGAGGACTTGGAGCCTGGATCAAGAAAAGAAAGAAAAGAGGAAAACGCTGTCGCTGTGATATCATCATGTCTAAGACACACATTGGGGAGACCTCATAAATGAGACGTGCATAATAGTGATGGTCTAGTGTTTTCATTTCTTTTCTTCAGTTCCATCCGTACACGTGAAGGTACCGTACCAGTACTCCACGGTACAGTAGCCTAAACGCGTCCATGATGAATTTTTTTCTTTCTTGCTGCAATAGAAAATGACAGGGTGGGTGGTGAGGTCGACGATGGCCGACGGATGTTCCCGAACATCGATCCAGCCTGAAACACATGGGCCTGAACAGATCGTCTGCCTTATTTCCCTTTCATCACCTCTGCCATTCGCAGTAGCACCAGGTGCATAATTAACACAAAGTGCTACAAACCCAACACGGCTACTTTCAGCGGAGGAAAAGACCCGCGTAGGCGTGGTGGACACGAAAATGCAAGGGGGCAGCAAATGCCAAGACCGAAAGCCAAGTTTCCAACCCGTTCTGATGTCACTTGGCGCTGATGCTTGGCTCTTTTTCGTTTCTTCACGATCAGACAGCCCGTGCCGCTGCGGACCTTGGCTCTGGTCCGACCGCGGGTCATCAGACATACTATGAATCTAAGAATGATCGAGATGGGGCCTTTCTATTTCCATTGATAATGTATGGTAACACATGCCTAAAAAGGAGGTGACGAGTGTCACTGTTTTGAACATAAAGAAAGAGGTAGTGTTCCACTTGAAAGTGACGTCAAGAAGGGCTAGATCGTGAGACTTCAATTTTATATCTAAAGAGTACAGCGTCTGCTCTCTTTGCTTCCTGTGCTCTCTCCTTCTCCCTCTCTTCTTCATCCTCGACCTTACAACTGTATAATAATACCACTACTAATACGGCAGTAATTATATTGCCTGATCCCAAGGGGCTCTCACGCTCTTCCTGGCCCACGGCACTCCCAATTTGACAGTCAAGATGGGTCTCTTCAACCGTCGACAGCGTGATGGTCCAACAGCGGCCACCACTTCTTCTACCAAAGGCCATGGTCACCACAATAACCGCCATGGTGGCAACCAGTCTACCTACTCGATGGCTACTCGTCCTTCCTTTGGGCAGTGGCTCAAGTATACATGGCTCGACATTCTGACCATGGCCTGTCTGGGAGCCATTGGCCTTGGTGTAAGTCGTCTATATATACATAAATTCTGCATATAGTTTATTCAGTCTTTTATGCTCTAATGCAAGACTATATCTCAATACTAACCAGTCCCCTTCTTCTTCAGGTCTACGAGGCGCACCCTGCCCCAACCAGATCCTTCCCCGTCACCTTCTCTGACGGCGAGGTCGTCTACCCTCAATTCGCCTATCCCCTCCGCAAGGAGATTGTCCCCATCTGGGCAGCCGCCCTGCTGGGCAGCCTGGTGCCCATCTTTGTCATCCTCTGCATGCAGATCCGCGTGCGCTCCTTCTGGGACGCCAACAACGCCATCATCGGCCTCCTCTACTCCCTGATCACGGCGGCCGTCTTTCAGGTCTTCCTCAAGTGGCTCATCGGCGGCCTGCGCCCCCACTTCCTGGCCGTCTGCCAGCCCGACACCTCGCTCATCAAGAACCAGTACGACGCCACGGGCTTCAAGCAGATCTACTTCACCCGCGACATCTGCACCGGCGACCCGGACACCATCGACGACAGCCTCGAGTCGTTTCCCTCGGGCCACACCACCGCGGCCTTTGGCGGCTTCATCTTCCTGTACCTCTACCTCAACGCCAAGCTCAAGGTCTTTGCCAACTACCACCCCGCCATGTGGAAGCTCGTCGCCATCTACGCCCCCGTCCTCGGCGCCGTGCTGATCGGCGGCGCCCTGACCATCGACGAGTTCCACAACTGGTACGATGTCTTTGCCGGCGCCTGCATCGGCACCGTCATGGCCTTCTCCGCCTACCGCATGACCTATGCCGCCATCTGGGACTGGCGCATCAACCATATCCCTCTCCACAGGGGCGTCCCCTTTGACTTTGCCAGCCCGGAACTTGCTGGCGCCACCTTCACCCGCCGCGCTGGCTGGGGCGGTGCTGGGGCTGGGGCGGCGTCTGGAGGAGGAGCATATGGTAGTGAGCATGGAGCCTTTAGCAATGGCCACCACAATGGTGTTTCGAATGGCACCAGCAGTAACAACGGCACCTTCTCACGCAAGCCGGTCGCATCAGGACCAGCTACGGGGTCTGAAAACATGGTGTAGAGGGAGGGCAATGATTACAAGGAATGCTATGGATAGTAGTTTCATTCTCTTCTCAGCGCCTGTGTGTGTCAGCTGTAAAAGCTCACATATAATTACCTACCTATAGTCACTTTACCCCCTTGAACTGCACCTGTTCTTCATGTTGCATAATGTTGTATCAGATACCCATACCAGTTATTTCGATCAATACAAAGAAAAGAAAAGAAAGAATTCTGATTAATCTTCAATGCCGTCTCAAGATTCCCCGGTCTGGGCCTGTGTGCATGTATGCGTTCATGTGTATTGATTCATTTACCTCCAATGTGCTCGAGCAACTCGGAATGCTTTCTGTCACGTAACATCAGTGCTCACACATGATAGCATCGCTGTGGGCAAGGCTGCTGATGTCGCAGTAGTAGCTGGTTTCTACTGCATGCTGTTCAGCCTGCCGTCAATAGAGGATCATCCTGAGTAAGTACTAACTATGGAGAACTGTATTTACAGAGACTTTTCGGCATTACCTTCGTTGTACATTGCCATCGACGGTGCTGGCAGTGAGGCACTTGCTACGACTCAGCATCAACTTCTATGATTTGTGCAATAGCACTGAATTACTGTTTGCACAAGAGACTTTCAATTTGCACATGAATACGCCTTGATATCCATATAATTGGTTAGTGATTGATTTTTTCATCTCAATTTCAACATCTTCATTAATGTCCACACGTGACAACCATAGAAATTAAACGGAAAAAGAAAACCAGTCCTCATCCAACGAAGAAAGAAAAAGAGAAGAAGAAGGGAAACCACCAGCTGATATTTCAATCTGATCGACGAAAGAAAAGCTTCATTATGTTATTTTGCTGCCAAACACACCCAGGGTATCATGAAGGAGCAGAAGAAAGAAACGAAGGCTGGGTATAACAGAAAAGCCAAATACTAAGAAAGAGGGACACAAAGAGGGTGATAAGAAGAAAGAATCGACAATGCAAACCCCACCGTAAAAACCCATGTCCAACGCCCATTCAATCAAACCATACATAGCGAATGACACCACGCCCTCATTTCTTACCCAGGATCCTGCCAAAGAATCGTTTCTTGCCCGGACTCACAGGGCTACTCCCAGGGCTGCCCAACCCTCGTCTTTCCTCATCAACACTGCCCTTCCTTCCCATCCTGATACCAACACTACCACCACCAACATCAGGCTTCGACCCTTTCCGCGGCGGCCTAGCCGTCTCATTCCGCACCCGCCAAAGCAAGCCCAACAGGCTCGCAACGATAAGAGCCTCCAGCTCAGCATCAAGACCGTCCTGCAATAGCAGTGCGCCCTCGCTAAAAGGCTGAGCAAGTGAAAACCCAAGGCCGACATTGTGATAGATGGCGCGGATCCGGCCTTCGTTCTCCTCCTCGCTCGCAGAGAAGGGGGGCTTCTTCGTCTTGTTGTTCTCCTCGTCCTGCGAAGCAGCATTGTTGTTATTGTTGTTGTTGTTGCTGCTGGGCGAGTAGTGATACGACGAGTGTGGAATCTCAACGAGGGTGTAGCGCAGGGAGCCCTGCTCGACCGGGTGGATCTGCCACTGCAGCGTGCGCTCGTCGTCCAGCAGGCTGGGGACAGTGAAAGTGAACCAGGGATTGCGGCTCGAGCCGAATCTCGAGGTGGTCGGCTCGACAGGGAACAACGTGACGAGGGGGATGTTGATGGTCGTCGAGCGAGGGGCCAGGGTGCAGGCCACGGCGCCGTCCTCGGTGTCCGGTCCAAGCGGAGCCAGCGGTGGGATAGCGAGCCCGACCTCGGCGCCGCCGCCGTACAGGCTGCGCTTCTGCACAGTGGCATTGGTCGCCAGTCCCGTCGTCATCGTGGTGAGACTGCTCTTCCGCCTGCCGTGGCCGATACCACCACCGACGCCCATGCCCATCCCCACAGGGTCCGACGGCCCGCCTGGCAGAGAAGGCCTCCTCGCCTCCAAGGGCTCAAAGTCGACCAGATACGAGACCTCGCTCGGACCCCTCCCGTCCCCCACAGGTTTCGCCATGAGGCCCAGCCTGGTCTTGAACCTGCTCCCGCCGACAGGCTCGTCGCGCACCACATCGCCAAACTCGGCGGTGAAGTCGTAGACGGGCAGGTGTGCGACTTTATCGTTGTGGCTGGGCAGGTAGAGCACGCGGCTGGTGAGATGGGATGGCGTGGGGCGGAGTTTGCGGCCGAGCAGGGCCTCGTACTGGTCGGGGGTCGAGAGGCTGGTGTCGAGGGTGACGTTTCTTGCGAGAGGGTGAGTTCGCGGGTCGGCGCTGTTGAAGGCGGCCGCTATGGCGATGGCGCTTGCTGTCGCCATGTTTTTCTTTGATTTGTGGTTTTATCAACAGGACTGACAGTGGGCTCTTGGTGAACAAGTAGATACAATGAGATGATTGAACTTTGGGCCAGTAGATATCATGATAAGTCAAGATTGAATTGAAGGCAGAGTGAAAGAGGAGAGCACTAGCATCTCATCTCATGCTACCGAAGCATGATCTGCTTCTCATTAATGGCGACCCAAAAAAAAAAAAAAAGAAAAAGGTGAGACAAATGCCCCTTCCCCGCCTCTCCTTCTTGGAAAAAAGAAAAGAGAAACAGGGGGGCGGTAATGTAATGACATCAGGTCGTGTGCCGTGCAACGTTTTGTGGCTTGACCCTCCAAGTGCAGTGGTCTGTCTGTGTCAGTAGGACTAATCAAAGGGTAACATGGAGTTGGCGTCTGCGGAGCAGAGCAAACCGACGCCAACGATCCGGGAATGCAACCAGCCGAGAAGTAAGTGGTGGTGGTGCTGGTCTGGGGTTGGAGAAGGGTGCACAAACCAATCAGCACTCATCATATGGGATCATGATCAGACGACAAATGATCTACATGGTAGAAAAGAGAGAGACACACGCAGAAAAGAGAGAAGCATGCAACAGAACGCAGTGAGCCCCTCTCCTCTTTTTTCCAGACATTCAATAATGAAGCGCATGGAACGCCGCCCACTCTCCATAAGCCCGAAAAGCCCTCCAGCCCGCCCACCCCCCAAGCCCAAGAAACCCGCCAACCCAGTGCCCAATAGCCTTTTGATACCGCTGCCGCTGCCGCCGCCGCCGCCCTCCCTCTCGTCCCCCACCAGAGCACCAAACCACAATCCCATCCCCCAGTCCCGCCAGCGCCATTACCCCAGCGACCAAGGTCACCCCCGCGGCGCTGTGTCCTTCGTACTGCAGCCCCACCAGCGCGAGGCCGTATGTGATGTCCCGTATGCCCTTGATGTACATTAGCGGCGAGACATCTCCCTCCTCTTCCTCCTCCTCCTCCTCCTCCTTCTTATCCGGCCGTGCTATGTTCCGCTGCTCATCCAGAGGCGAGGGGTTCTTGGTAGTATCAGGTGGTCCTCGCCGTGCCGAGGCATGTGGGAGCGGGAGGCCGAATCGTGCGTATTCCTCGCGGGGCCGGAAGATGGCGTGAAGACCTAGCCCGATGCTGGCTGCGCCGATGAGATAGGCGTTGATGGGAGCGTAGGTGCCTCCAGTCTGCATCTTTGTCTTCTTCTTTTTTTTCTTTCTTCTTCTTCTTCTTCTTCTCGCTTCTCTTCCTATTTTCTTCCAATCAAAAAATGTATAATAGTGATTGGACTGCGTGTCTTTTCATCCAAATAATCGCTGTGCCTGGCTCGAGATGAACGGGGGTTTAGAGAACTCTGTCTGGGAACGAGCCAACTCGCATTAAACAAACAAATAATATAACCTTGTTCCTACTGTAACAGCCCTAACCCTTTCAAAAAAAAACAAAAAAACACCAGCAGTCTTCTTTCTGTCCTTGCTTCCATTTCTCGTTACCATCCCCGCCGGCCTTCTCGGCCCCCCGGGGCCTCCTCGCACCGTCCCACTGCAACACCATGGCTACGAAAGTATGCGAGGTATTTGCACCTCTTCGAAAAAACCCTTCCATCTCATCACTTCTATGCTTGATCAATTCTAGCGGCCGTCAACTTATTGCAGTCTACAAATAAGAAATATAGTAGGACTTTTGATCTAGTTATACAAAATGCCGACACCGAGAGCCCCGTGCATCTCAGAACTAACACTCGCCAGCCAACGTTTCAAGTGCAAAAATAACAAACATGATCGATTACTGTATGCGTGGCACAAGGCTCACCGCCCCGCAAACGCCTATTTCTCCCTTTCTTTCCCTCTCTTTCCCAGTAGTAAGGGTATTTTTTGAGTTTCACAGCCCAGAGCAAAGGCCGACCCATCATCTAGAAAAAGCAAGCTAGAAGACAAAAAAAAACCTCAACCAGCAACTGTTTGTTATGCACCAGTCCGACGTTCCACCAAGCGCCGTTGTCAATCAACCCGCCATGTCTACTTCATGTGCACACATACTCAAGTCCCTCCCCCGTAATAACAAGTCCTGGTAGACAAATTTCCACCAACTCCAGATATAAATGGGCCGTCCGTAGGCCGTGATCCTGTCAAGTCTTGGAACATGACACATCCTCCAGAACAGTATGTCGTCGCTCAAGAAGCAACGCGAGCTGAAAAGTGTGATAAACAACGTGGGGACCATCCCCCATAATCTCAATCACCGTCCAACAACGCATCTATCCCGTTCCTCTCCCTGTCCAGGCTGTCAGCAGTGATCTTCTCTTGATCCGAGTGCTGACTGGCAACCCCTTTGCCTTTCTCGTCATCCTCATCCTGATTCACCATGTCGGCAAACATCTGGTCTACATCCCCATCATCCACACTGCCATTAAATGCATCGTCCTGACCGCCGGCGCTGGACATTGCCGGCCCGGCAAGTTGGTTGAAGGGATTCGGCCCAAATATTTCCTCGGCCTTTTTGCGCCCCTCACTGGTCCTGGACAAGTACTCGAGCGTCGTCTGGCGGCTCGCTTCGCTAAACATGTAATTACTCAGCGCTCCGCCGTCGTCAACTGGCGTTCGCAAGAGCTGGGGTCCGCTCGGTAGGGTATGATGGAAGAAGCTCGGGTGAATACTGGGGGCGTTTTGTTCCATATCCATCGTTTCGGCTCGAAGCATCGGCCCGTGGCCTTGACGGGACGACGAGCCGGCTGATCCGGGCCCGCGTGGCGGGTGGGCGTGCGAGCTGCTTGTGGTCGATAGGTTTGGCGTCTGCGGCTGTGAGGACGTTCCGCGCTGGTAGTACGAGGCGTAGGTGAGGGCACTGGGGGGGCTGTTGGCCTGAGCACCTGTGGACGACCCAGCTTGCACAGCATGTTGTGCTGCGGCTTGCGCGGCCATCTCGGCATTCTGACGCTTGCGCTTGAGACTGAGCCCCTTGCTCTTGACGGCTTCTGGCAGATCCTCGACGTCAGTTACGCCATGTGCAAGCAGCAGCCTGTCGAGTTTTGTCGGTCGAGGCTTGCGGGTGCTCTTGGACACCTCAATGATGGGCGGTGGGTCCGGGGCCACAGGACTCCATTTGTGCAACTCTTGGCGGAAGAAGTTGGTCTCGTCAGCGAGGAGAACCTCAGCGCCCTCGATCTTCCGCAAGTAGAATCGCTGCGTCTCGGCTTCGTTCCTGGTTGACAGGACCGGGTTGCAATAGGACGAAACATGGTTTCGGAAGGCCTGTGCATTGTCGATGATCTTCTTGAGCAGATCCTCTTCTTCCGGCTGGAACGGCAGCCCTGGTATCTCATCGTACCAATCGATCAGATCCTCGAGCTTCGGCCTTGCGGCGTCACGGGGAATCTTCACTCGCCAGTCACAAATAGGACACGTGTACTTGTCTTCCTCCTTGACCTTGCCGCGGGCGATCTTCAGACATTTGCCATGATACCTGAATGGAAGAAGTCAGCTGCCTATCAGAGAAATTCTATAACTACAAAAAAGTCCTCAAAGGACAAAGAGGAAAAAGGAAACGAAAAGAAAGGACCCCGGAGGGCAGGGGGAACTCACCATTCGTGGCACAGCTCACACTCGATCATCATACCAGCTTCGACCCTGCGACAGATGCAGAACACCTCTCGGAACTTGGGATCGTCCCACCTATAGACTCCTCCTGCCTTTTCCTTATCAGGTGAGGGTTCGCGAGAGGCCGGCTCGGCTGGTAGACGCGGCTTGTCTCTGGAGATGTCGAAGCAGTCGACATTACGCTCCAGGACAGCCTCCATGTGGCTCTTCAGAATGTGCAGCGGTGCGTTGGTCTTCCCGAAGAGCTTCTTTCCCTTGCGCATCCAGTCCTCGTGGCGGCGCTGTTCCTTTTCCAAGTCCAGAGTCCCTGCAGGCTTGGACTGCAAATCGTCCAGCATCTTCATCACCTCAGCAAGCTCAGCATACTTGGGTCGCTTGCGGTTATCATGCATCCGTGAACGAGTGTTCAGGTCGACAATCAGCCGCAGTGCCTCCCTATGCTTGTGCAGGATCTGGTCGACCTGCTCCAGCGTCGTGAGGGACACGGGCAACAGGTGCTGGGTTGCCTGGAGAGATAAGGCCTCAAGCTGCTGGTAGTGGATAGCGTCGCTTTCCATGATCTCTTTGGCTTTCTTCTCCCACACGAAGCCCTGCGTCAGCTGTTCCACATAGTAGGCGAGATGATCGTTGTAGCTCTCGATGCCGATGCGCTTAGCTTCGTCAATCAGTTCGGTGACTTCCGTGAAGGACATGAATGTACAACGGCTCTCCTTGGCCCGCTGGTTCCACTTCAACTTGTCAAGCACCTTGGCCAGTTTATCCATCTCGTCCAGGTCAACATTGAAGTTGTTACCCTCTTCAAGCAGCTCTTCCACCGCCTCGACCTGGTGCATGGACGGGTGATCGATCACTTTCCTGGCACTCTCCTGAAAGGCTTTGATGGCGTTGGATCTATCTTTTATGAGCTGGATCTCTGGGCACTCAAAGCCAATCTTGTCGGCCTCATCCACGAGTCGATATATGTTGGAGAGCTTTCGCATCTCGCGCTCTCGTTCGTCTTGCTGGGCGATGCTCGACTTGCGTAGTCCTGCTTGCCAGACTTTCTCGTTCTTTCGGCGGTTCTGCTGCTTGCGGATCGTGTAGTTGGTTGCCTCTTCGACCCAGCGATTACAACGGTCAACAAAATTGCGCAAGATGGGGAGGGTTTTGAGTTCGTACGGTATGCGTTCACCCTCGTTGAGTAGGTTGCGCAAGGTTTTCAGGGAAGGCGTCGGCTCCTCCTCGAGAACCTTGTCGTACTTCTCCTCCCAGATCTCAGGCACGCTTGCCTTCTCCGAGACCTTCTTGCCAGTTGCAGAGATGGCTTCGTCTGTTCTTCGGTAGACGAGCTCGTGATCCTTTCCATAGAATCGCTGCGCCTCTGGCACCTCGCAACACGGTTGACTTCCAGCATGCAAAAGACAGTAAACCTTGCCGGACTTGAGGCATTTGAACCGCGACAGATAGGCAAACCCCTTGCAATATGCACAGGAGTATTCTTCCTCGGGAACATCTTTGTCGTCGACCTTGAACGCCAGAGGACATGTCATTTCGCCCTCAATTCCAAAATTGCACTGGTGAGATTGCAAAGAGCAGTGTTTGTGGCGGAAAGCGTCGCGCTCGGCAAGCTCTCGACGGTGAATGCGTTCTAGCGCAGGCGCAAGCCATTTCGCTGTTTGGATCGTCAGACCGTTGCCCGTCATCCCCTCGGCAGCCGTCCAGAGCAGCTCGTCATGTGAAAAACAGGGCTGGCGCCGATAAGCCTGCAGCCGCTCCACCCCGTCGAGGCCGAAAGGCTCCCAGTCGCACGGTGCGAAGTTGACAGCCTCGTTGAAATTAAATCCATGATTGAAGCCGGCGTGATAGGCCTTGGGGAAGGTAATGACGAATTGACCAGCGCGCTGGTCCGCAGCAAAGACGCGAACACCAGCCTTCTTCAACTGGTCGGGCGTAAGGAGGGTGACAAGCTGAAACAGGAGGTCTGGGTTTGTCTCGAACAACTCGGGCACAGCATCCTTCATGGCCTGCTCAAACTTCTCAGTGTCCTCTGCCGGAATGCCGTACCACGTCTTGGTCGCACCAAAGTGCTGATAGTTTGCCGAGTAGGCGTAGTGGTCCTCGTTGTGCCAGCAGAATGTGGAAAAGGTCATGCCGACGTAGACCCAGGGCACTGTCATGCCCGAGATGTCCGACTTGATATGCCTGAAGAGGCTGTCCTGGTGGTAGGGGAGCACATTGAGATTCCATGGATCGGTCGAGTAAGGGTTTGTCGGATGCTTCTCGATTGTCGGGAAACCCGACCCATGGGTCGTGCAATGTATGTCGGCACCGTACTCAACCTGAACCTCCTCATCCACGTCCGTCACGAGGCGCCAGAACTCACGTTCCACAGTATCCTCCGTGATAGGTTTGTTGCATCCCAGCGCTGCATCAAACGACATCTTCTTCTCGAAATAGCCCTGCTTGAAGTCGGCAGCCTTTTCCTGGAACTGCCGCAGAGAGTACAGGCCACCTTCTTCGAACCCGAATTGGCCATCGCCCACAAGACATCGGGGACAGTTCCAGTCGGGCTCCGGCTTAACCTTCAGGGGCGGATCCAAACAGGTGCCATGATACGCATTGTCACACGACTCACAGACTGCAAAGAAGCTGGATTCTTCAGCCTTACCGCATTGCGCACATTTCTGTAACTCTCTGTCAGCCATCAAGGATTTATTAAAGGCAGACAGGATAGAGAGCGTGGGGCGCCAACTTACCTCGCCAACTGAGGTATCGTCCCTGGGCAACCTGGGCATCGGCCGAAACATGGACATATGTGATCCGGCGACAGTCGGGACGGCTTCTGCAAGTCGATGTACACGTTAGCCGAACGAATTCTCACCAATAAGAGGCCACGCCACTTTAAGGCCCCTGCTGCAACCCCAACAAGTATCCTTGTGATCTGAGAGGAACGGCATGACTCGGCGCAGAGAAAGAAAAGCAGAAGAATAGCTCAACCCCTGCGAGCGAATTCTGCTGTGCTGTTCCCGCCCGATCGCCCTCAGCCAAACTCAAAAGTCTTTCCAAAGGTGCGGCCTCGGCAGAGTCCGTGGGCCCAAAGCGAAAAGGGCCTGTGGGCTAAGTCGCACCAGGACGCCAATTGCCGTCAGATCGCAGCCCAACCACCACCATAAGCTGACAAATATCGCAACAGAGATGACGTGATAGTTATTTTCCTTCTCTCTTTTCCTTTACTTTGCGGTGATGGGGGGAATATTCAATCTGGAAAAGCTTGTGACGAAAAAGACTCACCTTTTTTGAGCCGCTTGCTTCTCCTGCTGCTGCCACCGTCGTCGTCCTTGTCGGCACCATTGTCACGGCTGAGATCAAGGCTGTCAGTGCTGAGCTGTCGCTTCAGCGCCGACGCTGATGGTCCCAGACCAGATGGGCGGTACTCTGGTGTGTTCTTAGCGGATGCCAGAGGGCTGGCAAACTGTTTCGAAGGCGTGCTAGTCTTTGAATCTTGAACGACTGGACGATTGACACTCGTAAAGCCAGAATTGACAGCGGTGAAACCACCCGAGTTGATGGCTGTAAATCCTGAAGTGACGGGCTTTGGCGGTGGCGGTGGCTGCTGCGCATCAGCAGCAGGTGTACACCGTCCAGAGTTCACTGATGCCTGTAGTGCACTCGACGCATTTCGTGCAGGCGAGTCGCCTCGAAGGCTAGACGGCGTGTTGACGTTGGAATGCTTCATCGGGCTTGGTGCCGGGCTTGGAGTCAGCGGACCGCCATTCTCCCACTCCAGCTGCTGATGAACACCGGGTTTTGCCAATCTCAAAAAGTCTTCATAGGGGCAAAGCCACTTCTGGTAGGAGTTCTTGAGAGATGTTGACAAAGAACTCATGATCTTGCCACTGTAGCCCAGATCACGACCGATCTCGGCCCATTTCTTGGTTCTGCAGACCTTGTCGAACCCGCCGCGAGATTCCACAGCCTTCTTGAGCCGGTAAAGGTCCAGAGGCCGCTTGTCGACGTAAGGCATACGGGTGAGCTGGTTGCCATTCTGCTTGTGGAACTTGAGCAGGGCATCGACATATGTGATGTTGGCCCTGCTGCCTATAGCGGGTTCGCTGCGCTTAGCTGCTGCGGCCGAGGGGTTCCGCCGGATCGGGGAAAAGGGAGACTCACTGCCTTCGACAGAGTTCAAATCCTGCTTTCGGGTACGAAAGTGGAATTTCTACCAAAAATGTTAGGCATGAGCATCTTCAAAGGGAGAAGAAGTAAGGGGGCGTTTTTAAAGTATGGACCGAATTAGAAGAGGGGGGGAAAGAAAAGACGGCGCAGGTGCAGCATCGTCTCAGTATTGAGGGAGCCAGACTGGCAAGAAAGGCAAGAAAGGGCGGGCATAATTGCTGACCTCGGTATCAATAGCAAAGTCTGGGTCCCACGAATCTGGCGGTATAACCTTGCAAATGCCGAACTTCTCTGCGTCTGGAGTGATCTTTCGTATATATTCTATTGGGTCTTTCCACTCCTCCTCGGTGGGCTGGTAGACGGGCGCCTCCTCCAGGTCGTAGATACGGCTTGTCTTCTTCAGCGGCTCTTTTACGGCAGTAGGCTGGCCACGGCGCTCAACGGAGGTGAGGTCCAGCGGCAGGCTGGTCATGGAACTTAATGCCGTCTGAGGATGTATCGCAGTGCCGTTCGGATTGGTTTTCGTCTTGGAGGAGGAGGAAGAGGAGGTGTTGGTGGTGGTAGTGGAGGGTTGCTGGTTCGTGGAAGCGCCTGCGGCAGGCGAGGCTCGTGCGCTGGCGCTGGGAGTTCCGCCGCCCGGGGCGGACGCTGGCGTGGGGGAGGGCATAGTGAGAGGGCAATCGAGGACGAGCTGGGTATCGAGAAGCAGTATTCGAGATTATGAGAGAGATTCAGAGTCGGAAGTAGAGCGTGGTGGAGTGGTGTCGCAGTCCGTCACGCAACGCTGGGGAGCCGTGTGCAGGTAGAGACGATGGCATCGCAGTGCATGCCGCCGAATCCGGTCTCTATGGCTGAATCTACCGGGCTATGAACATCTAGGGGTTGAGATTATGAACACACGAGAAATAACCCAGAAGAAAATAGTGTCGGGAGGCTGTGGGATTGCCGTGCTCGGTAGTAGGAATGGATGTGGGAGGTGGTGGTGCGGGTGTGGGCGTGGCCTTGGACTTGGAAATGGGGAGTGTAAAAAGACGAGGCAAACGGGTGCTGGCTGGACTAACCACGTCCCCTGCGCTTACTTAATAAAAGTTCAGATCCAAACAGCAGAAGACAGAATGCAATAATCCGGAGAGGATTCTATGCTGGGTCTAGACAAGGGCTGTAAGGGCTGGTGCGGGTGGTCGAGAAGGATGTTGTAAGTGGTGCACACGTGCAAAAGGTGAGGAGGGAGAGGAAAGACGGGGGGGGATGGGTAATGTGCGGGAGAGAACGCTCAAGGGTGGGGAGGGGATCAGATGTGGCATCGGCAGAGGTAAGGTACTAGTGTCGACGTCGTGTCGTGTAGTGTGCAGTTGTAGCGTTTTCGTAGCGTACACCTCGCCACTAGGTAATGATTAAATGGAACGAGCGAGCGAGAGCATACGGTACAGTGCCTTGTAGCGTGTGGGCATTAAGAAAGGGAAGGTGGTTGTGGGGCAGGATCGTCCTAGGGTGAAGTGGAAACGGGGTTTGGGGTGTGTGGGAAGGGAAAAAGAAAAGAAGAAGGGAAGAGGACAGGGCGCAAGGATGACGGATGGAGCAAAAAAGAAAACGAAAGACATACCACGGATGCGTGTATGGGACTACTGACGGCAAGGGAAGCGCATGTAATGAAGGCAAGAGCGATGATGGATGCATCAGGGCTACATCAGCTGTAATGTTAAATTTAATTTTTTTTGGACAAATAAAAAGAGTAAAAATGAAAGCAGGCGAAAAGGGACAGAAAGGGAAAGAGATACTAGGAGTAATCCAGTCCAGCTCGAGAGGAGAGGGAGAGCGACAGAAAGAGCTGGGGACAAGAGAGGATGGGCGCCATGTGCCATCTACAGTTGGAGGCTGATATCCCAGGTACCAGGGTACATCTACCATGCCGATTGATGTATTGTGGCACTGAGGTACTTTCGTACAGGGCGGGAATAGGCTGGGTGCCTGGGTCCACACGCTCTACCCGGTCATGCCAGTACATCCATAGCAGTACTTCTATAGTGGCGCCATAGTATTTGTAGTACTGGGCTACGTAGAGTAGTACATACCGAGTTAGTAGCTCCGTCTTGAGAGGCCCCCTGGTCTGGCCAGATCCGGCGGCATAACCTAAACCATCTTTCTCTTTTCTGTTCACGCCTCACCCGAACCCCCCTGCCTCGTTATGCTTGCGCATCAAGACGCCAGTAATGCATTGTCATGTCATATGATGCTGACAGTATTACCTCAGTCTTCCTATTTGATTTTCATCCAAAAAAAAAAATTTTTTAAAAAAAATCCTTGCACACACCTCGGTTTGGAGAGCCCTAAATTTTGTCTTTCAGAGACTGCCATGTTTGCCTTTCCATGCTGGCTGGTTGTAGATACCGAGTACGTAGTATGTCGCTGCATATGCCCATGATCAGGTGCCACTTATTGCTTGCGTGCCCAAAAAATCCCACAGACACATGAAATTGACTTGCGACCACCCACCCCTGGACAAGCACCACTAACGTCTCAGCGGTGGGCGGTCCAACTGGTCAGGGCGGAGGAGGGGAAGGGGGTCCGCCAGGACTGTGCCACCTCCAACTTTTTGGGGCGCACTTTCAGGGGAGGAGAGAGAGAAAAAAAACCTACCCCAAAAACCCAAACCAACCTATGTTCTTGGGACCTCACAACACGAATTATCGGAATGCATAGAAAGATTCGGATTGATCTTGATGCAATTGAAATCTCAAATTGCAATACATACGAAATTCAGCTGGGCAAGCTTTGGATAGAGAGAATCTATCCGGGGGGTGGGGGTGGCCTGGCTCATGCGTGGTCGGGAGGTGAGGTCAGAGCCCAGCTTGATATCGGCAGGGGCCTCTGCAGGGGCCTGGCCAAGATTATCGCCCGGGCGGCCAATGAGCAAAGACATGTCGTCAAACGGATCTCGGAGTGCGGCCCCCGACCTGGACGACATCTCCTCCTTTGGGCCGCATGCATCTTTATTTCAAGTGGATTTTTCAACATCTGCCCGTCACGGGTTGGACCTATCTGGGAGTCTCCCATGTCCTCATGTATATTCACCTAGAGCTCACCCCGCCTCGGGAGTACAGGCTGCTCCAAGCGTTGCAAGGGCCATGACTGAGCGCCTCTCAGCACCAGGACGCCGTGCCCAATGTGCCACGACTGCTCTCACCAAAAGTACTTCAAAAGGGTATTTATTGTTGATGTTCTTTTCTTTCTCTTTGCCTTCCCAAGTCTCTCTAGGAGTTTTCATATATCGTCCGCTGCCTTGACCGCAGCCTTTGCTCTGGCTTTCTCCTTCTCCTTGCTCTTGCCCTTACCTTTCTCTTTCGCTGGGCTCTTGACCTTGGGCTTCTTCACTTGAGCAGCCTTTCTGCTCCTCTTCAAGATCTTGTCGACAACCTTCTGCCCCCTGTTCCGGAGCGTCAACTCTCTCATCATATCACCCCACCTGACTACTCCGTCACACTTCGGGCATCGGCCCTCCACTGGCAGCAACACGGTGCTGTCCACGTCCTCTCTCTGCTGGTGCAGGAGGTGTCGACTCCAGCAGTCCAGATGGCCCACACCCTCACATTGCATCTGCGAACAGATGGCGTAGATCCCCTTGTCGTGGTCTAGATGCTGGTGACAAACCACGCAGTTCCCCTCACGCTCAAACACAGAAATATCTTGGCCCTTTTCTAGGTAAGGGGTTAAGGTGGAATGGTCCAGAGGGAGGGCGTGAATTCCCCAGCTTGGCCCGGCCGGCTTAGTCGTATCCTCGCTTTCCGCCTCAGAGGCTGAGTCCTCCGCATCCTCGTCCCCCTCCTCGCTGTCACTCAAATGATCTTCCAAGAAGTTGGCTGGGGTGGTTGTTGCTGGTGCTGGAGCAGCGGTCTGCGCATCAGCCGGCTCAAAGTCGGCCACTACCTCAATCGTCTCCCGCAACGTCTCTACATCTGGCGACGAGCAGTACTTGTTCCACTTGGTAAAGACTTGGCGGTCAAAAAAGTGCAGCTTGAGAGGCCAGCGGGAGAAGCTCGGGACGCGGAGCAGGAGGTGCAGGTTCGAAAGGACAGATGTTAAATTATGCGGAGGCCGCCTTGGCTGGTTATTGCGCTTGCGCTGCGTAGAGATGGTGAGGCGGTCCTCGGGCGCAATGTGTAGGGATACGTGCGGGTTATTCAGAGCCCATCTACCCGTTTAAACCCCGGGTTCCTCGTCAATCAAAGCTGGACTCGTAATAAAGGACTATGGGAACTCAGCGCACGCATGCATGAGTGAACCTACTCAAACTTCAGCGCCCCCACCATGCTCGGGAACCCCGAGACGACGGCCACCATCTCCCATGGGCGCAGGTTCTTCTTGGCCGTCCGAACAGCACCACCTTTGGCCAGCCCATTGTGCTGGTTCAACCGGCGCGGTGGGTTTGGCGTCGAACCGATGTAGATGGAGCCATGGCGCACGGTCGAGCGCAGCACGTAGACAACATAAAGCGCTGGGATTGGCTTGCTCTGGACAGCCATGATATGAGAGAGAGAGTATCGCAGCTACATGGTTGTTGGTTAGGAAAAGAGTGTGTGTGGTGTTTGGCACTTTGTAGAGTTAAAGTGAGCAGGGGTGCTTTTTTTTTTGAGTTGTTGACGCTCACAAGGCTGCGCCGTATTAAATGTCAGGTCGCCGAGGTGATGCCTTGCATGACGTAGGGGTGGGATGGCTCGTGCCAACCCTGAGGGTTAAGTACTAGTGCGCCTTTACTGTGTAGTGGCGTGCAGCAGTCACTCCTGCCACTGTCGAACCACTTCACCAAATTTAAAACGGCAACGCCTTCACATTCAAAGCATATGAATCCATTCAAGTGTCGTGATTACATTTGTTATATTTTTTTTTTTTTAAAAAAAAAAAAACTATTATACCCATAAAATAAACATTTGCTTGAAATCGTCTAACCTTTCTCTAGGCCCCATTCGTACCGTTGCAACCATTGGTCTTGTGCGTTCCAGACACAGGCGCACCGTTGTTCTCAGTGATGCTCTGGCACTTGGTGACATCGACACCATTCGCGAATCGTACCTTGGGGTCCTTTGAGAAGCCGTTGTGGGTACCATTGAACCTCATATTGGCGATACCATCATACCCTTTGATGCCCGTCGCCTTCTCAATCCGCTGAGCAATCTCAGGATCAACCTCGCGGAAGATGGCGATCTGCCTCTTGAGAATCTCCTGGTCTTTGCACAACTCCATCTTGCCGGCGACGTTGTTGATGAATCTCTCCTTCGCACCGTCGTCAAACACGTCCCGCCACAGCTTCCGCGGCGCCACGAAGTCCTCGGGACGGATGGCGGACAGGAACGTGATGGCCTCACCCGTGAAATGGCCGTGCGTCTTGTCGATATCCACAGTGCGGGCGCGGAACTGGATTGGGTCGATGGACGACAGGTAATTCGGGCGAGCTCCCTGGTTATAGAAGGCCATGGCACCATCGCGCTGGAAGTTGCCAAACTTGTGGCCTGTCCGAGGAGCATTCACGGGCAACTGTTGATAGTTGACTCCAATTCTGTGTCGGTGTGTATCTGGGTAAGAGAACAATCGGCTCTGTAACACAGGGTCGGCGCTTGGCTCGATGCCAGGGGGCATATGTGCAGGGTTGAAGGCGACCTGCTCAACCTCGGCGAAATAGTTGACGGCGTTCTCGTTGAGCGTGAACTCGCCAATCTTGGTCAGTGGGAACTGCTTGTGCGGCCACACGTGCGTCAGGTCGAACACGTTGATGCGCTGCTTCTCCCACAGCTCCTCGGCCTCGCGCGGCGTCATGGTCTGCACCTCCACCGACCACTTTGGGTAGTCGCCACGCTGAATTGCCTCGTACAGATCCTTCTGGGAGTAATCGGGCGAATAGCTAGCAGAGTCCTCCTGGGTGATGAACCGGGTGCCCTGCTGCGACTTCAGGTGCACCTGCACGTATCGCCAATCGCCGTCCGCATTGACGAACTTGACGGTGTGCCCGAGGTAGCCGTGCATGAAACGGTAACCATCGGGAATTCCACGGTCGCCCATGAGAATCATAACCTGGTGTATGGACTCCGGATTCTGGGAAAGGTCTGAGAGCGAAGAAGTCAGTTAATGAATCAGTCACCCAGTACGGCCTGTTGATGCTCGAGAAAAGTACTTACAGTCCCAGAACATGGTAGAGTCATCGGCGTGAGTGAGATGTGTTGAAGGGTCTCGCTTCTGCGTGTGGATGAAGTGCGGGAACTTGGCCGGGTCACGCAGGAAAAACACAGGCGTGTTGTTGGCCACAAGATCCCAGTTTCCGTCTTCCGTCCTGAACTTGACCGAGAATCCACGTGGGTCCCTCGCGCAATCGTGGGAGCCGGCCTCGCCGCCGACGGTCGAAAAGCGCACCGTGATGGGGCATTTCTTGCCCGTCTCAGAGAAGATGCTTGCAGACGTCAACTCGGGAATGGCATTCGTGCACTCGAAGAAGCCGTGGGCGCCGCTGCCCTTGGCGTGGACGACGCGCTCGGGGATACGCTCCCGGTCAAAGTGCGAGAGCAGGTCAATCAGGTGGAAGTCCTGCAGCAGGAGGGGGCCATTCTCGCCCACGCGCTGGGTCTCGTAGGGGTGGGGCATAGGCACGCCATTGCTGGTGGCGTAAAGGGTGTCCTTTGATGTCTTCTGCCTGTCCTGCTCGTAGGAGGCGAACTGTTCGGCCGCGTGGGCGGCGAAGCTGGTCTCTGCCGAGGGGGCCATGTTGGTGAGGGTCTCGCTGACTGTCTGGATGGGATGCTGAATTACTCTTTGAACAGTATCCATGTGGTTGGTCAAAAAGGTAATCGTATTATGCAATCCTCAAAAGTTGAGTATCGACAAGCAACAGCACGCAGGTAGGTAAAGAGGCAGGTTTCAAGATTTATAGTAGTTTTGCCTCCATACCTTCACACTAAGAGACTTTTGATGTACTCTACTGCATTTCGCCTCTCACCAGCTCAATTCCAAATTTCCTTCAGCAAAGTTCGTTGCATATGGAAGGCATCCCTATTCGGCTCAGCGATGACGTCTCAAAAGTCTATGACGGGTGCGAACAGGGAGGCTATCCACCTGCCGATGAATTGCAACTAGTAAGGGCCTGGGACATTCCAATAGTTGGATCCGAGAAACCAGCAATTTAGGGCATTTTACAGACGAGAAATGGCAGATTCCGAATTATTTCCTATGCTTACAAATAATAGGAAAACATCATCTATGACATTCAAGACCCCTTGATTGGCTCAAGAGGTTGTGGGTTCCTTTTTCTAGTGCCGATCAATTGCCAACGACACTGTCTCGGCTGAGACTTTACTGTATCGTTATTCCTTGCAACCGAGGACCGTGGCAAAGCCTTACTCTTTTCGAATAATATGACTGGCTGCTACGAGCTTGTAAGTTAGCCGTGCTGCTCTGCTTTAAGTGCTGCAATCCTTAGTTTGTGTGGGTGGGTGAGTGAAAGGATGTTTTGCTCCGGATGGGGTTCTGACAGTTTTGCGTTAGACAAGGATCAGGACACCGGTATTACTTTTACTGGTACCTATTCGTTGCCCTTCTTACTGACGATGGTTTTGTTGCACCTTTCCTCGGCTACAACGGTGGCACTTGAGGTTGCTAGGATAAGAAATTGTGTGGCACCCTGTAGGAAGACGAACTTATAAAAGAAATTACAAGAGACGGAGTCATGATTCTATCGACACTTTTCGGCGTCCTTGAGGGGGGGAACTCGTCAATTCAGGTTGTGGATGGGTGCAGTCGGAGGCTACATTGATTGAACCACCAAATAACTCTTCCTTCAAGTAGCCAATGACTTCTCTTACTTCTTTCCCAATCACTCCAAAACCATCCATTCAGGCCGACCAATCCCCTTCTGCAATCCCAGCCTGTCCGCGTCCTTAGCAGCAACCCCAGAAAAAGGCCATGCAGGGCCCCTCCGCCGCATGAATCCCGCTGAAAAGACCATCCCATCCTCTGCATACACGTCCTCCGGCACCTTGCGAGCCGTCGCCCTGTACCACAGCAGACCGTCCGAGCGCAGCTTGGGGTCGAGGTACGCCGTGATCTTCTTGAAGATGGCCATGTGCTGGCGGTATCTGACGTCTTCCTCTTGCTCCTCCCCGTGCTGTTTTCGCGGTCTGCGGCTTTGGAACGCCGCCCTGCCGCGGATCCGTCGCTTCTGGGGGAAGGGGATGAACCTGAATTGCTTGGGGATGTAGTATCGGTGGTAGACGATCCAGAACTGGGGGTACTTTTCAAAGAGGCGGCAGATGGTGGACGCGGCGGTCTGCTCCGTGATGCTATGCGGGTATCAAATAGCCCTGTCAGCTGATTGCAAGAGAAAGAGGTGTGTGTGTGTGTGTGTGTGTGTGTGTGTGTGTGTGTGTATATCTCAACTTACTATTTGAGGCCTCGGCAGTTCATAATGCACCTGAACGCGCTGGTAAGGAAGAAGTAGTGCTCAGGGTCAAAGACAGTCGCCTTCATGAGATCCTCCACCTCGAGCTCGCCTCTCGCAGTGTACATTGTCGGAGGTGGACGAGATGACCTGCCGGCACTGAGAAGAGTCGCCTCGCGTCCTGGGTTTTCGATCATCCACGAATAGGGGAGCAAGGTTGGGTTGATAAGAGACGTGTTATCAAGCTGACCGATGAGCGTCTGTGCTTCGTTGGAGACGGGGGAGGTGTTGATGGCCTCGAGATGCTGGCCAGAGTCAATGAGGTAGGCAGGGGCATGGTCCGACAGCTCGCTGGGCATGCCAGGCAGGTCGGGCAGTTCGAGATCGTCCCAGATGTTTGACGAGGTAGATGATGCTGCGGAGACTTGGGCAGCCTCCTTTTGAGAATAACCCAATTCAGTCAGCAGCAATATCAGGCCTGTTCATGAGGACGAGGAGTAGGGGCCAGGGGGAAAATGAAAAGGTGACAAGGAGCCTCAGAAACGGTATACGCACCTTGCCATCACCATCATCCATATTCATGGTGTCAAAGCTTCTTTTGGTTCCACGCATAGTGTTTTCATTGACGTGGGAGGATACTGAAGGAGTGTCATTGCAGGTGACAGAAGGAGGTGTCATGGAAGAATTGTTAAGGTCATTCTCCAGTGATGGCTCAGCTGCATCAGAAGGTGTTGAGCAGCAGTCTATGCACTGCATCGAATCCATTTTGTTAGACTGGAAGAGTCAGTTCGTGACAGGTTGATAGGTTTCGAGACTGAGCAGCCTAGCATATCAAAGGGTCGAGTGAGAAGACTGGAGAGATGCAGGTAGTAGAGAAAGGGAACTTGTTGCATACCAGGTAGTCAGGTGAAAAGAGGCCCTCGTTTGATAGGGAGGGCTGTTCAATCAATGAATCGGCTTCAAGTATTGTTGTTGAAGCTCTCCTACCTACTGCCAAGGTTGACTGCTGCTTTTTGATGGAGGTGATATCGATAATCAGAACGAGTGGGCGACGCGTGAACATTAGATGGAAGAACACGCCTCGAGCATGGCCTTGTGGAGCTTACAATGCCCATAATTCCCACCATTGAGCCTCAAAATTCAAAATTGGGAGATGAATGAGAATTCAATGAAGAAAGTCTTGGTTCCTTTCAGCATGTGTATGCCTTCAGAACCACTAACAAGTGGCAAAGAAGAACAAGGAGAGGCCCATGTTTGAGAGCGAAAGGTTGGCAACTCGATTATCAATGTTTGTTCTGACAACTTATGTTGGAGAGTATGTTAAACCAGGTGCTTCTTCGAGTCACCCCTTGCTGAGGCTCGCTGACTTGGAGCCATAGATAGCCATCTGGATATCTTGCTGATATTAACAGAATTAGGGCTCTGAAAAATGACCAGCCTACTCAGCAAGTAAGCCAAAATTCATAATCCATATGATACAGGTAAGAAAATGTTTTCCCGATCGTACACAGCCTTCAAAGCAGACCCTGTTTCTGGAGATCGTAGTAGACCTTCTCAGGCATGACGTTGCCCTCCGCATCTTCCATCTGAACGATGCTGCCCTCGTCGATCTTGTCCCTCTTCTTGTCCCGTGTCCTCTTGTCCCAGAGCTTCAGCGCCTCGTTAATGCCCGTGATATCTCGGAACAAGTGGGTATCATTGATACCGAGCCGTTTCAATCCGTATATATGCCTAGCATCGTTGAAGTGCTTCTCGAACGCACGACGACCCATGTAGACGAAGTTGCCACAGATCTCGCAGGGGAATTCGACGCCCAGACCGTGGAGACGGTACAACCAGAACGGAATAGGCTTGCCGTCCCAGGCCAGTGGAAGTTTCAAGGGGTTGTAGATCTTCTCCTCCCCGTCGTCTCCTTCGATCTCCCTCATCTCGTGGACCTGTGGAGGCTGCTCCGACATGCTGAGCAGGTTCTCAAGCTCCTGTTGCCTCTCCCTCTCTGTCATGCCCTGCCGCCGCTCTACATTGACTCGGGTGTCGTCCCTCTCTGTGCTCATCGCGCTGGCGAGACGCTTCACCCTGTGCTCTCGTTCTGCAACGGCGCGTTCTTTCAATCGCCGGGCAGAGGAGTTTCCACCGGCGCCTGCATCACCTGTACCACTCTGCTGCCTCTGTGCAAGAGCTTCTGCCGCCTTGGTGTGTTTTCGGCCGTTGAGGTGACCCTTATAGACGTTTTCGTTCTTGAACTCCTTCTCACAGGCATCGCACCAGACAGCATCGGGGCTGCTCAGGTTCTTTGATCCAGTCTCAGCTCCGGCTGGGGCTGTTTCGCTCTGCCAGCCCTCGACCTGATCCTGCTCCCAGGCCTCCTCAAACTCCTGGTCAAATGATGCCAGAACTTTGTCCACATTCTCAAGGGGTCGTGTCCGCCGCATGAACGATTCCAGATATTCCGCTACATCGCCCACGTATTTGAAATATTGATCCGTCAACTTGTCTGCCCTCTTCGCGCCACCGTATCCCGGTGCAAAGTTGTCGAAGATCTGGAGATACTGCAGGTAGGCAAGACGCTTGACGTTTGGCAGGTTGATGTAAGATTCGTGGCACGCGTGTAGGTCAAAGTGTCTCCCGAACGCCTCCTCGCCGGAGAACATGGCGTCTACGAGGTAGGGTACAGGCTCGCCATCGCCTCCCTTGCGCGGACGGTACCTGGTCTCCGAATTTTCCGCCTGTTCATTAGGGTAACGGGCGTGGTGCTCCCTAACCTCGTTCACCTGCTTGTAAAATTCCTCGAAGGGGTCGCCGCTACCAATCTGAAGGACCTCTTTTGACCGGAGGCCATTAGCATCACGATACAAAGACAACAGCTCGGTAGACTGCTTCTGTATCTGGTCGAGGAGCTGCGATACCTCATGGTCTCGGTTCAGGCGGTCTCGAATCTGGCCGCAAGGGTGCGTGTCAGCTGGATACGTTCCTCAGCCAAACGAAAGACAGAGAAAAGAGAAGGGGGAAAGGTGAGGGGGGAGGGGGCGGAGGAGAAAAAATGAAGGCAAAACAAACCTGCTTGGGTTCATCGTCCATACGATCAGCGATGCCCTGCTCGAGACGCTCGAGGTCCTCGGAGATGAACCGTTGGTCTTCAAGAAGCATCTTGAACTCTGAAGATGATCAATGCTCATATGATCTTTCTATGGGGTCCTGGGGTTGATGAAACCTTGGTGGAAGGCGGCTGAGAGGCTGTTTATAGTGGAAAAGATTCTGGAGAGAAAGAAGCACGGGCTGCGCCTGTCAGGCCTGCGAGAATGGTCCCAGCAGATAAGATAAGCGGTCGTCAGGGATCAAGGCCCCAGAGCCAAGCACCAAGTAGCACCCCTGTCAGACTTTTTGGGGGCATTTGCAGCAGCCGCAAGCAACTTTAAGAACTAGAACTCAGTGATCTCTCTCCCTCGACTTCAATTCAACGACCTTCCCAAACTACGACAAAGTGCTCTGCGAGCGCCGTCCTCAATCGAGACCCACCAGAAATTATCATTGCATCCTCTTTCGACAAAGTCTCAACATGGCTGAAGGTGGTGGTATCGACCGCAAGGCGGATGAGAGGATGGAATTCAACACCTCCAAAGAGGTCACCGTCCACCCTACCTTCGAGTCTATGTCCTTGAAGGGTGAGACCCCCTTCTCCTTTTCCTCGAAGCTCTGAAGCATATGCGCCATTGATACTAACCATTTCGATGCAGAGAGCCTTCTTCGTGGAATCTATGCATACGGATACGAGTCCCCCTCAGCCGTCCAGTCCCGCGCCATCGTCCAGGTCTGCAAAGGCCGCGACACCATCGCCCAGGCCCAATCCGGTACAGGTAAAACAGCGACCTTTTCGATTAGCATGCTCCAGGTCATCGATACCGCCGTCCGCGAGACACAGGCGCTCGTACTCTCCCCGACTCGTGAGCTCGCGACCCAGATCCAGAGCGTCGTCATGGCGCTGGGCGACTACATGAACGTGCAGTGCCACGCCTGTATTGGAGGGACGAACGTGGGCGAGGACATCCGCAAGCTGGACTATGGCCAACATATCGTCTCGGGAACACCTGGTCGCGTGGCTGACATGATCCGGCGCCGACATCTGCGCACGCGCCACATAAAGATGCTCGTGCTCGACGAGGCAGACGAGCTGCTCAACCAGGGCTTCAGAGAGCAGATCTACGACGTGTACCGATATCTCCCTCCCGCAACGCAGGTCGTGGTCGTATCCGCCACGCTTCCGTACGATGTGCTCGACATGACGACCAAGTTCATGACCGACCCAGTGCGCATCCTCGTCAAGCGTGACGAGCTGACACTGGAAGGCCTGAAACAGTATTTCATCGCTGTGGAGAAGGAGGAGTGGAAGTTCGATACGCTTTGCGATCTCTATGATACCCTCACGATCACGCAAGCCGTCATCTTCTGCAACACGCGGCGCAAGGTCGACTGGCTGACTGATAAGATGCGGGAGGCCAACTTCACCGTCAGCAGCATGCACGGCGACATGCCACAGAAGGAGCGAGACAGCATCATGCAGGACTTCAGGCAGGGCAACAGCCGGGTGCTCATCTCGACGGACGTCTGGGCTCGCGGGATCGACGTCCAGCAGGTCAGCCTTGTCATCAACTACGACCTGCCCAGCAACCGTGAGAATTACATCCACCGCATCGGTCGTTCGGGCAGATTTGGTCGCAAGGGTGTCGCAATCAACTTTGTTACCAGCGAGGATGTGCGCATCTTGAGAGATATCGAATGTAAGTACTAACCAATTCAAGAACTGTTAAAAGCCATGGATGACCACTAACATTGAGCCAGTGTACTACTCCACCCAGATCGATGAAATGCCCATGAACGTGGCGGATCTGATCTCTTGAGACAGCAGCAGCCGATGTGGGATGGATGACCCGGTGGACGTCCAACAACATCCGTGCGCCCTGAGACGAGTTCAGCTGATGGAGTATCGTCCGAGAACGAGACCAGCAACTGCAGGCGCAGGCAAACGAGATTGGCGCCAAGAATGCGACGCGATGATGGTACTATGGGAGGAAAGGGCCTCTTGCCTTCAAAGTGAGTTTGGTCTCGGGGGCCATACGAGAACGAGAGAAGAACGATCCTTTTAGGCTGACCAAGCGATTCTTCAAGATACAACTATTTTCACAGCCCAGGCCCAGGAAGGGGGTTACGGGCCATGAATATTACGAGACCCAACCTGATTGGTTTAATGAAACTCAAAATTTCTGATACAAACAGGAGGTTGTGCTCTTCCTCTCTCTCTCTCACACAGAGCCCCCTCTCAACCTCTTCTCTGCATTATGTGTTAAAATGTATGCCAAATGATCCTGTGACGCCGTTGCCCATGCTTAATGTTGCCCGTGTGACGCTGCTACTTTTATCAAGACTGTTTCTTCCCAGCCTTGGCCATCTGTAATCTTTGCGGCATGTCATGATAATTGATGCTCTGTCTGCGCCCCGGACTTTTCCATCCTCACACGACTCGACATCGTTCGATATACATATTTGTATGCATACATATACATACACATATATCTCCATCCTGACGTACGGGTATGAACGCGTGGTCAGCTCCAGCACATGCAGCCCCAGGCGCGTTGCTCTGGATTCAAATCCTGTTCCTGGCTGGTACAGGAGGATTCTTCGCTGAAGCTGGTCTACCTCCACAGTCCTTTGAGCAAAAGAGCAGAGAGGGCTTTCCTATTGGCGTAGCTCACTATTCGTGCCGCTCGTCTTGTGTTGTTATTCAGGACTCCCCCTTTCAGCTCGGCTCCACGCTGATCGATGCACCCATACTGGCTTTAGTGTTGTTTTTGATTAATATTCATATTTCAAATTTTTTTTTTTTTCCCTTCTTCTTCTTCTCTTTCTCTTGTTGTCCTGTTCCACAGGCCTTTTCTCTCTCTGTGTCTCTTCCACCCGTTGCATTCCCTCTCCTCTGTTCATCCTCCCGGGGAACTAGGCGTGAAACTAGGCGCAACACTCGGCCTCCTCGTCGTCCGCGGTGAACTAGGTGCAGCACTCGGCCTGCGCATGGTGATGGGCGACGGGGGCGGCACGATGCTCGGTCTCCGTACGGTACCAGGGGAGCTAGGCGCACAGCTGGGCCTGCGCGCCCACCGCTGCGCCTCGAGCGGGCCCTCGTCGACCTCGTGCTCGATGGGCGTGGAGATGCTGGAGCTCGAGTGGTGGCTGCGGCGCGGCATGTCGGGCACGGGCAGCAGGAAGACGGAGGCCGGGAGGGGCGGCAGCTGGAGCCCCGCCTCCATGAGGCCTGGCAGGTTCTCGCTTCCGGCCTCGGACTCGTTGAGAGTGCGCAGGGAGCGGTCGAGGCGCGCCAGCTGCGCGGTGAACCACGACTGCTTCTTGACGATGGTGGTGTTGGGCCGCGACGGCTTGGACCCGATCGTCGGCGGGTTGATGGTGTTCTGGAAGCCCTGGTTGCCGAAGCCCAAGGGGTCCTGGGTGGTCTCGCCCCGTCTCGTCGTGGATCCTGGCACGATGCGCCGGAAGAGTGGCTTCATGGTCATGATGCACGCGCAGGCGATGCCCGTGTTGGCCTCGATCATGGACCAGTAGTCGATGGTCGCGCTGTCGTAGGTGTAATCTACATCGTGTCGGGTCGAGGTGAGCTCTGTCAGGCGGATGATGGAGACGACGCAGATGCTGGTGGTCTCGTGTGTTAGGTGACGGTGTAAAGAAAGAATAACAGAAGGAAAAAGTAGATAAAGATGGGTGGGCTACTCACAAGAACCCAAACGAGAACAGCATGAGCAACATAACCCTCTGGTCCTTGGGAGCCTTCATGGACCAGATTACAGGAAGTGGCAGTAAAAAGGTGAAGAAGTCCATCCCTAGCTGAATCCCCAGGATGGCGTAGTAGGCCTGTATAGAGTGGCAATACGCAGATTTTATACTCGCGTCCCAATAGGCCTGCAGTGGTATGCATGATGTAAAGATAAGGCCAAGGCCAGTGATGCTCGTGAGGACGACCATGGCCATTAAGTATTTCAAGGTCTTTTGAACCCAAGTATGGGTCAATGTCCTCATATAAAGCAACAGGATTGAGACTTTCGTCACAAAGACTGTGATGGCAAACCACAGTAGGGCGAACCAATATATCTAGCAATGCTTGTCAGCCTCTGGTCCGGCAGATTGTCGAATAACCATCACAGACACAAGAATCCCCGTCTTCCATGGGAACGGACTCACCTCAGTCACCGTCTGCAACTCCGCCGCCGAGAGGGACGCCGCGTGCCTGCCCAGCCCAAAGTACGCATCGGTGATATAACCAGCAGAATGTGCAGCCGAGAACACAAGCGCCAGCAGAATAACCCAGTCCTCCCAGCCGAGGACGTGTAAAATATGCCCCCTCAAGTAGAATCGCAGCCCGACGAATACCGCTGCTATCACCCAGGTCGCCACGGCACAAGCCATAATATTCTTCTGCCAGGATGCATCGAGGTCGACAGACGAGCCCGTGCTGGTGCCATTGCTGGACATGGCTCGGGCCTCCGTCCGGCTCGTGTTGTATTGTTCCTTCTTCCCCCAGGCTCCTCCGTTCTGGCTCCGACGACCTATAAAGACGGCACCATGGTATTCTTGATCGTCTTGGCCCGGAAAACACGCTTGACGGTGTCGAACGAGTGATCCGAGCGGTCGTCCTTGTCAATAGTTCGTATACGACGGTCCAGAGTGTGGGGTGTGGGAAGGGGGGGGGAAAGGGGGGAGGGGGGGACCAGTTCTGGGTCTGGGGTATGGTGATTATTATTAGCAGGGAAGGCAATGCAAGTTCTTGCAAAAGCGATCAATTGAAGCAAGCTGGGGAGAGCAAAAGAGAGGCAGAAGGAGGGAAAAAGACAGAAAGCATGGGAGGAGAACAAGGGGAGAAAACGAAAAAAAGACAAAAGCAAAAATCCCTTGCAAAGTTCAATGTCAAGATTTCCTCGTTTCACAGCGCAGACCGTCGCATCCCAATCATTTTCTTATTCTTCAAACCGGCGGTAAGACACCGCCACCATCCATTCAAACCGGGACGCGCAGAACACAGCAGACATTGTCGGCCATGGGTGCGCTCAGCACCAGTCGGTGAGAAGGCACGTGCAGATATGGACCCTCGAGGGAGGGCCTCCGAGTGGTCAACTACACCATCGCGATGTTGGCGGATTCACACTGCAGCGCAACCACGTACGAACCCACACCCCCCGGTTTTTCTTAAAGTCTGGGGGTTCCACCACTCACCACTGCCTGAGGGGTCCCGACGTGAGCGTCGGCACGCAGAGGAAACTGACAGGAAGGCCAGGACATGGGCTGGGGGGGGGGGGCGACGGGGCCTGGCGATCGGGTGTTTATTCGGTGCTTGGCACTCGTTCCCTCGGTTTTTTGATGGTGTTGTTGTTGTTGTTTGTTGAATCGCTGGTTGTGGCAATTGTAATTGAAAATCATGACGAGCAGATGTAGTGAAGCTCCTCGTCTATGAGGAATGGCTTGTTCTGACAACATCGACAAGATGTAGCAATGCAACCCCTCGATGGTCGACCTCGGCAGCCCAAAAGTGTCGTCCCGAAAGTCTGGATAAGACTTGCACCTCTGGGACGTGGCTCGAGTGGCTCGCTAACTCTCGCCTGAGATTTACCCACATGGCGAAGCACTCAGACAGGGGGTGTTGGGATGTTGAAGTCATGAAAGTATCATTATGTGCCAGACCAGAGGTCTTTAGAGGCCCAGAGGGCCTAGTCGCCAGTCGTGAACGGCGCCTCCAGTCAGAGCTTGATCTTCCTTTGGCCTTGGTGGCCACGTCGGAGGGACAATTTTCTGGGCCTCCGCCTGGTACGGCTTCTGTGTGCATCCTCATTGGACTGCTGGCATATCCAATGAAGCGCCGGAGAGGCCTCCTGGACATGATGAAACAGTGAAACTCCGTGGCATGCAAGAGCCTTCCACCACGCTGCATAAGCTCTCCAGTCTTGACTTTATCTCCAGTTTCAAGGAGGCCAGTCAACGTGCATGCCGAGCAGACAGAACCGATCTGTCAGAAACGTCAAAGGCCAACAGGGCATGATGTCCAAGGGGAATGCAGTGAGCTGGACTGTGTCATGAGTGGGGCTGATGCAAGAATCTGCCGCCGCCCTCGACTGTGGGTCTATTATTTTCCCCCTCTTTTTTTTTTTCCCTTTTTATCCCCTTCTTTTTTTTCATCTTTTTTTTTTTTTTTTTCGTCTTCTTTTCTCTCTTTCAGTCGAGGACAGATGATCCGCATACGAGGTCTTCATCGAACCACTGCCTGCTTTGTACAGTACAACAAGTATACCTGACTGTCCGAAAGCGGTCGGTTCCCATGCGATTGAAGGGGGCTTGAGATTTGCAGGCATACGACGGCCAGTCCGCCACAGTCCGCAGCTTACTAGGTCGTGCAACGAACGATTGGAGTTTTGGTCATTCGCCTGCAGTAGTCATCCTAGCTGAGATATAGAGAGGACTATCCAGTTCCGGCCCAAGTTGATGGGTTGATTTACTCATCACAAGGCTATTGAAGCATTGCTGAGAAGCTTGAGTAGTACGAGGCAGGTTGCCACTCGCTTTTCGTCCGCTGGTCACTGACATTTGACATCAAGAGGGTTGCGTATAACAAGCCTGCTCAAAGAATCTCCTGAGAAAGGCTGTCTGTCATTCGATACTGCATGCCTCATAATGTACCTACCATCTCAACTGAAAAGATGCCAATCTCGTCAGCTTGCTCGCAATCACAAAAGAAGGGCCAGTTAATAAGGTGCTGACCCAGAGTGCTGGCCATCACAAGGGATGACTGGTGTACCGATTCATTTGGCGAGACCCTGAACTCCGGCGCTGTCTGTGCTCAGCAGGAACGTAAGAAGGGTTCATGAAGTTGACCTGTGTTCCCGACGACGTGTCTGTTGTCATTCGTGGGATGCACATCGAGCATCCTTCGACCAAGAAGGATGGCCTTTGCCTGAATAGGACAGCCAGTCTGGCAAGAGAGGAAGATTTCCTTCGGCCCAGGCACCCGAGCGTATCCATACTGTACTATGTAGTAGGACCACAACCCAGACAGAGCGGCACGGTAACATGGTCGAGCTCCGTCGCTAGGATGTAGTTGATCTGTCTGGTGGGAATAGTTCTCCCCAGCATTCATCTCGGAAGATGTGTCGGTGATGGCGGTCGTCCAACATCATTAAACCAATTCGTCATCATCCCTGCGTCCACGCGAGACAAAGAGTGAGATTGCCATACGGACAGGTGGATTTGTTCACATACCTGGTGCACAGAATCCCCCAGACGAGATGAAGAGCGCCTTCGATTACATCCCAGAGTCGGTCAAGGTTGGTAAGGTGCAGTCAGACCACGGCTTGGCCTGGACTGCTTGTGATGAGGTCGCGTTCCCCGCCGTGTGGGTAACTGTCAGGAGCTGTCAAAAGTTCGAAAATCCGCCCCCCAGCAGGACAGCTGCAGCTCAAATCACCCTCATCATCCCTCAACCCTGGTCTCCCTACGATGTGATACGGTGAATCTCACTCGCACAACCGGGTTCATGGTGTGTCTTCTCTGACCGAGCCGGAGATTGACGAGAGGGGCGCCCAGCGGTAGCGGACACGTGTGGGAGGTGGAACTATCCAGGGTACGCAAGCTAGAAGGGTAGGTTCACATTCTGTAACACGTCGTGGCCGTTACAACAAGAACGCTGGAAAACAAAGATGGCTATCGAGCATGACCAGGTTGTGAATGCCGCTTTTTTGCGCGAAATAGGTCCATGAAGTGGTCATGATAGCACGTGGGTGCTTGGGCCGGCTTGTGGTGGCAAAACGAGCATGCCATGCCACCGGACCAAGCAGACCCAGTAGCATTTGCAGTGCTCTTCGAGACAGAGCAAGGCCAGGAATCCTCTGGTCCTGATGCTCCTTCGTTCACTCACTCTCACTCTCACACCACAACTCTTTCATTCCTCGATGAATCTCAGGCTGAGCGCCACATCGGTTTGGTGGTGTGATCTGCGGTGACTCGTATGCGACTGAAGTAGGGACCATAGCTTCATTGAACTATGTAAGAGTCAAGTACTGGAGCTGGTGCGAATAGTTAACTGAATCGCTGAAACGGATCGCACTGCCGAGTTCCACGAAATTGCGGTTGTGTGATTTGCAAATCAGGCTTTTATGACAGGTCGTGTTGGCCGGCTGAAAATGGTAGCCTCAGCCAACACCAGTTAAGCCAGAAATGACAGTGGATGGAGCGGGGGAAGAAAGGAGTCCGTACGAGATTTGTTACCAAATTTTGTACGAGAGCCGTACTCTGTACTTGTTGGGCACTTGTTTAGAAGCGAGAATCGAGAGGCAAGAGCATGCGACTGTATGCTCTCTGCATATCCTTGACTGAATTCGTCGTTAATCTATATCAGAGACAAGCGGAAATGTGAAATATTACGCTAGATTAGGTTACCACTGCAATGGTAATTCCTTTTGCATGGGCTACTTATGGGGGCGAGAAGGAAGGGGGGATGGTGTGTGTGTGTGTAAGGTTTTGCTTGAGGTTCCTGGGCCCTGTTGTGCATTACCGGAGAACGTACACATTATTTGCATAGACCAGGTCCAGATTTTTGCAGTGCTAGGGCTTGTAATCATACACGCCATAGTAGCCATCTGAGCACCCGTCGGCCCAGATCACTCCACCGTCTTCATAGACCAGCAACTGCTTCTGGTAAGTGACAGGATATATCTAGAGGATGTGACTTGCAGGGGGGTGGGGGTCGGTTGTCTGCGGTACCTTGCATGTTGGTGCATGAGACCCTTGCACCAAGCCCACAGCACAGCAGGGAGTCCTTTCGTCGGTCGATGTCACCATGGAGAGCATGGCACGACCCAGCACAGAAGGGGGGACTGCACAGGACTGGAACAGAGCTGGACGGAACTGGAGCCTTGGTGCCGTTATTACGGCCGCGGGCCCATGATCATGGGCTTCCTCGATGTCACGCAAGGTGCTCCTGGAGGATGTAGTGACCGTTACACGGCATATGGCTGCAGGAAGGTGACCGTTGACGTCGTAGGCATGCAAGCTGACTCCTCACGAACGATACCTGACAGGCAGACAGGCCATACAAGGTGTATACCATAGTAGATAAAGGAATACGTACATGCACGTATGTCCTCGCCTCTCGCTCTCGACAGCCGAGCATCCCACGCACAGGGTCAGGCCGAAGGCAGAAGGTAATAAGCCCTAATTCTTCGGGCCGTTCTGCAGGTAATGTACTATAGTACATGAGGGTGCGTGTGCGTTTTGCCATATTCTGAGGCCCGGACCCTTCTTTTGGAGACGCGAACGAGTTAGGATTCGGTAAAGCATCGGCCAAAATTGAGCTTCTCGAGCCCAATTTCCGGTCTGCACCCTCCGACCGATATGTTTAACATCCCTCCACCCTTCCCCTTGGGACCCTACTAGGCGACATGCGAGATGACACGAGTCTTCTCGAAGCCCCAAGAGAAGTCAGTCGTGTCGACAAGGCAGGCAACAAGGCTGGCCCAACAACCCTCGACCCTCAACAGCCGGCGGGCCCTAGTCGGGAGGAGACGGGATCCAGTGGGGTGGACACTTTGAAGGACTAGAACTCGAGGCGAGGCGAGAGGGATAATCGAGCCGGTTGTGGGATTTCGGTTCCTCTGGGGTCCATCATTTCAGAAAGGACATGGTGCACCAACAAACTCCACCTGGTGGCAGCTCTGAAACCAGTTGATGATCAAAACATTGATCGTCATCTCTCTGCCCTGTGAAGGTCTCTCCCGACTCAAGTGCTGTCTGTTGTCTGGAGTGTGAGAAGTTGAAGATGTCAGTACTGGAGAGCCTTACCTGTTGTTTGTCGCTGCAGATCAGAGGTCGAGCGCGAGAGAATCAGAGGGTCAAACGATAGGACGAGGAGGATGAAGGAAGGAAGAACCATCACTTCAAGCTGCCCGTGACATGAGTCGCGCCCCTAGCTTGGGACATAGGAAAGAAGGGGCCATGACTAGTCCTTCTGGGCATGGCATGCCATCTCATCTTGCTGGATCGTGATCGCATACTGTGTATATTGTGTAGTACACGGACAGTATTAGTAGTCAATTGCGAGGTGTGATCAATGAGACCGTGAGACAGATGAAGGGTTCGCTTCGGGATAAGTCGTATAGAGGAATGATAGCCGCTTTAGGTGGGAACTGTTTGAAATTTCTGGGGACCACAGTCAAGAACGGGACCGAAAGAAAAGAGACGGGGAGAGAAAAAAAAAAGAGTACATACTAAACGGTTAGTACGCGAATACTGTGGTTCTCTGGTACATGCTATGGTAGCAATCTGACTGTGCTGCCTAACTACTAAGCAGGTACTAAGTATCCATCTTCAGGCCTACAATAGTATGTGAAATAAGTACTACGTACTATGAACATTTGAAATAGCCCACTAGAGAGTAATATCCAGGCCTTGGTGCTAGGCGCTATACATCCGGGTTGATTCTATCACTAGCGGGCTTAGCCGCTGCCGGTGCAGGGCCCTTCCCAGTAAGTAGTCTGTGCTACAGTGCTATGAGCTCTGATCGGAATCTCTCCCCCTTTGACCATTGATGGGGAAGAAGACCTTGAGACCGTGGTAGCCTGGAAAGGAAAGGAGGGGGGACCCTGAACTTTGACCTCCTTCCTCTTGTCTGTCTCTTTCTCACTATTTCCCCCCCCCCTACTCTTTTTTCCCCTTCTTTTTCTTTCCTTCCTCGTCTTCGTATACCACAAAAGCCCTTCCTCATTCACCCCACACCCCAATGTCAGCCTATCGCAACCGCGTGGCTTGCATGGTACCACAGGCTCAGATTGCCTTACTTGTAAAGTCCTTCTAAGCATCACAGGGGGTTGTGACTGACTGACACCCCCCGCCCGCCTCTTTTTCCTCTCGATATTAGACCCTGGAGATCCAGGCCTGCTTTAGTTTCCAGATAAAGATACTTGTTGAATCTTTGGGGACTTTTATGTTCTTTTGTGGATGATTACTCTCCCTTTCCTCCTTGCCTTAAACCCTTCTTTTCTTCAGCTTCTCCTCCCATCATCCTCGAGGGTTTATTTATTCTTCCCTCTTCCCTCAAGCCCCATTACACCCTCCTCCTCCTCCTCCTCCTCCTCCTCCTCCTTCCTCCTCCTCTGGGTGGCAACGCCTATTTATTCCCAAACTCTGCACCGTATGACGTCGAGGTTCCATACTTTTTCTCCCTGGAGTCAGTCTTGACCAGAGTCGAGCACTCGATACCGTCGTCGGAATCAGCCCTATTTACGACTTGATTGATCTGGACCCAAAGGACAGAACCGACTCTCATTGTACTGCGAGGATACTACCTGGTCAGGTCAGTCTGGGCTCACATCACGACGATCACGAGGACAAGACGAGACGAGGCGAGACGGAAGGCGACGAAATTCTACGATCGTTCCACAAAATTGATATCCAGGATCGAATTTTTTGTACGGCCTCATAGTATTGTCAGATCAGCTCATAGTCACCACAAGACATACACGAGACACAAAAACCAAATTGGCTTAGATCAGGCCAGACCAGATCAGGCCAGAAAGCATCAGAAACTTTTTTGCCCTTTCTGGCAAAGAAAGAGATATTTCTTTATTGTGCCCTCCTCGGGACCGACGACGATCCTTGGGTTCCCAAAAATCCACAGCCGCCAAAGATTGGGCCAAGGAGATCATCATCTTGCCCAGCTTACACCCCTGAAGCTTGCGTCCCAATCTAGCGGTGGGTCTCTCGACGACGTTGCAGTTGCGTTCTTGCACACTGCGCCAAACACGAACGACAACAGCCAAGGCCGAGACTTGTTGCTCTCATTCCTCTCGGACCATCCTTTCTTCCCCTTCCATCAACAATATCACAATCCAATCCAACGGTCACGCAAGGGACTTTTTCTGCACGATAAACCTTGTGAGAGATTGCAGATAGACTAGCCGGCACCGAGCCCGAGCCGCGCGCTGCAAGGATCGCTCACTATACGAACCACAGTAGAGCCAGGTCAGATCGTGCGTGGAGCCCCTCCTCAGCCCTCCTCAACCCGCTCCACCAACAACAAGCTTCCACTCGCCCTGGCGTCTCGACCGACCGAATCCCACCCCGCATACGCAGAGTGTGCCCCTCTACTTCTTTTCCCCCCTACCGTCCTGCGGTGTAAACGGTACCACCTCGACGGGTCGCCGGCCGCCTAGTCGAGCCTCAGCTCTCCAATTTGCCTATCGCTGCCGCGCCAATCTCTGTGTCGAGCCGCCCCCTCCCAGATATCTACTGGTCCACGTCACACGTATACACACGCACGCAATTCACAATGGGTTTCTTCTCCAGGAAAGACAAAGCTCAGAAGAGCCAGAACCAAAAACCATCCCTCACAACTGTCCAGTCGCAGGTCAGCATCGAGTCGGGACACTCCAGCATCAAGTCTCCAGCAGGTACCTTCAGCTCCCGCGCCATGAACCGATCCTCTGCAGGAACAAATCACACCTCGGCCCCCAACACACCACTGTCGCCCTTCTCCCCCCAGGTCCCCAACATCGACCTGCCCAAGCCCCCAGACCCGGATCTGGATCCTGCCGGATATCTGAGGAGCCTTGGCGCCGTCCGCGAGAGGTGCAGCGTCGTCACCACCAAGGCTATCAAAAATGAGTTGAAGCACTTTGACGTCGACATGGGGAAGTTCCCCGAGGTGGTCAGCTTCGTCGCCAGCATCATCAAGGTATGGACAAACTTCCTACTGCGGGTCCTTCCTGCATAAAAACTATGCAAGGGACTTTCTGCAAGCGCAGCGAGCCCCAAGTTGTGGTCTCTTGCTTCTCTTCGCGCATGCGCGTGTGTATGCATGTGTGCAGGATGGCTAATCTTGACCTCAGAGAGACTACGACGCGCCCTTCACCACCATACCGGCACACGGCAGACACCAGCACTTTTGTGTGGGCGGCAGAGACCGGATCGCGCATCTGCTGGCCACTTGGGAGAGCCTCGAGAACGCCGAGAAGTGCCGCCGCCTCATCGACTTGTTCTTGGTCAGCGTGCTGCTGGACGCCGGTGCCGGTACGGAGTGGAGCTACAAAAGTGTTGAGAATGGCCGCATCTACAAGAGGTCTGAGGGTATCGCCGTTGCAAGTCTGGAGATGTTCAAGACCGTATGTTCACCACACAATTCCCCGCTCAGTGCTATGCCTAGACAATGCTAATATCGTCTTCCTTGATAGGGTCTTTTCTCGGGCGACCAGAGCAACAAGTTTCAGGTTGACAAGGTCGGACTTCGACAGCTGAATGTCGATAAGATTGCCAAGGGCCTGCAATCGCGGGAAGGCAACGAGATGGCTGGCTTAGAAGGGCGGACACAACTGCTCATCCGACTGGCCGATGCCCTCGACAGCAACAAGGAATTCTTTGGCGAGGATGGACGCCCTGGAAATATGCTCGGTTCGTCTTGCGGCTCTAGTGGCAAAGTGACAAGTTATGATGAAGACACTAATGGCATTTGACCTTTCAAAGACTACCTCTTGTCGCACCCATCCACGCAGGCCTCGTCAATGCCCATCGTCCTGTTGCCGACCCTTTGGGACGTGCTGATGACAGGTCTCGCGCCTATCTGGCCCCCCTCCCGCACGGCCATTAACGGAATTTCCCTCGGCGATGCCTGGCCCTGCTCGTCCATGCCACAACCAACGGCTGCACCTGCTACCCCGACCTTCAGCCCCTTTCCTACGTCGGGCCGTTCCGGATCTGCAGCGGCCTGGGAGTCGATTCTGCCTTTCCATAAGTTGACGCAGTGGCTCACCTACTCGCTCATGCAGCCTATGCAGCAGCTGATGAAAATTCACTTCGCCGGCCAGCAGCTGCTGACCGGCCTCCCCGAGTACCGCAACGGCGGTCTTTTCATCGATATGGGCGTCCTGACGCTGAAGCCCGAGGATATGGAGAGGGGCCTGTTGAAATACCAGGAACACTGCCTGCGGACGGAGACCAGGGGCATCGAGGTCGCCCCCATGTTCGAGCCGAGCGATGATGCCGTGGTTGAGTGGCGTGGTGTAACGGTCGGCCTCCTGGACCGCCTGTGTACGGATGTAAACCAGGCCCTGAGGGCCGAGCTCGGCGGCAACCAGCTGACCCTGCCTCAGGTGCTCGAGGCGGGAAGTTGGAAGGTAAGAAAGAGCCCCCTGACTCCAACTATATCTGAAAGGACTCCCTCGAAGACTGACCTCGAATTACAGGGTGGACGCGAACTCGCCGAGATTAACCGGCCGAATACGAGGGAACCACCAATTCTCATTGACAGCGACGGAACGGTGTTTTAGTGCTGCGCCTTCGTCATTTGTTACCCCTCGTCATAGGTGGGATGAGAGGCGAGAGACAGAATCTGATGCTTTGAAAGTTGTGTGGTGAGACCACATATTTCTCTTGAAAAGCGCGCACACACACAGACGCACACACATGAGGGTCCCAAGACGACCACTCTGGCACATACACAATCACCTACGCCTGTCCGAAAACAAAGGTTGTGGTGAGAGGCAACAAGTTGAGGGAAGAAATATAAATTGCATTCTCCTTGGCTTCGAAGCCAGCATTCATTCCCCTGATATGATTTCCCATACCGCAACTACATTTTGGGGGAGAAATTTTCACACATCGAAGGGACAGTTTAGATGCATCGGTTGCTGCGCATAATTGAAGGGTGTTTTTTTCCCTTGGTGGAATAAGGGATCATTTGGCGTCATGGGGAAGGGAGAAGACACACACACACTTGCCATTCCACCCTGCATCATGGGACACAACTACTACTACCAATACCACTACTACTTAAAAAGGAGGCAGGGCAAAAAAAGAAATAAAATGGACGGCCGCGGAATGAGGATCAAGGATCATTGTATTGTCTAGTAATTATTTTTTATCAAAAGCATCGAATATGCGAGTCTTTGCCCATGTGTGTTTGCCTGGGAGGCACTACGCTGATGCTTCGTGGTTGCCCACCGCAGTGTAAAAGTCTTCTGGTACGCATATAGTGAGTACAATAACTTAGGTTACGTTTCCAAGAGGACCGTGTGCAGAACAAGCGTATCTACTCTATTACTCTCTCTACGTTCCTTTAGATCCAATGTTGATGTCAGGTGCGATACCTGGACGGAGACTGCAAGGAATATTCGCGATGGACCCAAAGCTACGAGTTGTACATTTTATTTCTCTTCTTTTAATTTTTACACAAAAGGCAGGTCAAGTTGATCCGCTGCACAAAGGACGTTTGATCAGATGAGCATTCATCAGAGTCCTCTTTCCCTTTTTCCTAGCCCTTTTTGCTTCATTTTTCACCTCTTCTTCTGATTCTTCTTCTGCTCCTGCCTCCACTTCTGCTCGTCCCTCCTCGCCCAGTACTTCTCGTTCTCCTCCCTCATCCTCCTGGCCTCGTACTCGTTGGCGGCCTTTTTCTCGTCGGTGACGCCGGAACTGGCCTGGTACTCGCTAACCTTGTCGCTCATCTTTTGCCTCATATCACGGAAAAAGGTGAGCGGATTCTCGAACTGGGGGCTCGCCTCCTTGGGTTTATTGGCGGGCGTCGTCTCGCTCGCGGTGGTCTTGATGGTCCGAGGTGGCTGGTACTGGACGCCACCAGGACCCGTCTGGACGGGGCCAGACTGTTTCAGATAGTTTGCGTTCTCTATCATGATGTCCAGCGGTGGCAGGCCGCACAGCCTGCGAATGATGGGCATGTGCCAGAGGGTGGTCTGGATATACTGCATGAGGGCTGCCATGGCGAAGAAGAGCTGCACCGCGGCGGCCATCTTGAGCGTCACGATAATGCCAATGGGGCCGAGAATCCAGGGAAGCTTTTTCATCATGTTGGCCTGTTCGGCCGCCATGAAGGGCAAGGCGCGCTGGTCAAGTATTAACAAGAAAGGCTTGGCGGCGAGCGCAGAGGACGGTGGGTTTTATTGAATACTCACTTGCATACTGAAGACCATCATGACCGCGCTCACGCAGGGCAGGATGTAGAAGGGATCCGGCACCGTCAGGTCGGTGAACCACAGGGTGCCCGCGCTCTCCAGGCCCGGGACGGGCAGCGCTGTCATACCACGGCACAACTTGAACATGCCGATGGCGAGGGGGAACTGCAGCATGGGCAGAAACATCTTCCACATCTTGACGCCGGCCTGCTGCTGCAGCAGCTTCATCTGCATGCGCATCTCCATGAGCTCGGATGGCGACATCTTGGCACCCTGCGCCATGGACATCATGTACTTCTGCTGGGTCTCCTTGTAAAGAGGGTTCTGGCGCATCTCACGCGACTTGACGGACTCGTACTGCGCGATGAGGGCTGGGTACGCCATGACTATGCGGATGGCGACGGCGCAGCCTGCGATGGCGCCCCACCAGGGCAAGCCAGCCGTGATGTGTAGGTGCTCGAGAACCCATTGGCACAAGGAGGTTGGGCCCCAGCCATAGTCAAGGCCGAGCTGAGCAAGGTAGCCCACGCGCTCGGGGATGTCGAGAAGGGAGGGTCCATCGAGGTCGGCCAAGGCGGAGAAGTCGGACGAGAGCTCGGCGGGGGAGGCTAGGGAACTAGGTGCGCTGGTGGTCTCGGTAGAGGCGAAACGGCGCGAGGAGAGGAGGATGGTATGCGAGGTGAGGATGCTGGCGGGGCCTAGCCTGCTTCCTCGGAGCAGGCCAGGAGCGGTTGATGTGAGAGGAGCAGATGGCCTGCCATGACTTCGAAGGACTGTGCTAAATTGTCTTGCGGTTGTAACAGCTGTTGTTCGTGATGGTATTGAGCGAACAGGAGGAGGACCTCTGGAGAGAATCTACGCCCCCGACTGGTTAAACCATGACTTCTTTCTCATTGGAGACAAGGTGAGGGCGCGAGTATGTACCTGTCTTTGAAACACGAGGCCACGACTGGCCTGTATCAGACCTCTACTTGGTAGCATGACGGGCTATCTGCTTTTGTTAAGTCGAGGGTCTAATGACTCACAACCTGAAGCAGTACGCGTCGTCGTCCGTAAAAGAGAGTTGCCTCGGATGCTGCTGGGTAGTGAGGACTGGATTTTTTGGAAGGCGCACTGCAGCGCACACTTCGGCTGGCAATTGGGCTGGCTGGCTGTTGCGGCAGGCATCCCTGGCCTTGGCACTCCCAGACAAAGTCACTGCACTGGGACAAGCTTTGACTTCGTCCCTACTAAGCACACCTGACAACTCTCTTGGCATCTAGTGTTTCGAATGAACACCCACAAAGGGGCTATGCCAATTGACGCTGCGCACTGACTCTCTCCATGGGATTTCGTTGTCCTATGTACTACTACCATGGTAGTATGGTCTACTACCGAAAGGTAACAGCAGGTGCTCGGTTGGTTCCGTCCGAAGGCGGTGGTCGGGTTTCGCCATTGCCCACCTAACGTTTCCATCCAGCCTCATGAACCTTTTTTGGGCTGGTGCTGGATATGATACACAACAGCATGCCGTCTTTGCCGTTGTCGCCATGCTCAAGCAGGTGATGCTCCAATCGCAATACGGAGCGTTGTTTATGGTTACTTTGTTTGGCAGATCATGGTGATTATTTGGCCAGGCGCGGGCGCAGGGCTATGCTTAACCAAGAGCTTAACGCCTCCTTTTCCCCCCAGCGTTTCACTCCTCTCTGAAACTTCCCACAGAGAAAGAGAGGGCCAGATGTGCAGAAGATTGTTCTAAGGCGCGAATCGGTAAACATGATCGGTTGAATGGCCGTGCTTTCTGGCAATCATCTCTGGGCACCCATCATCCCAAAAATGTGTGCCTTGGCACTGTCATTGTGGCTCGGCGTTCCACCTCATCTTTCTGAACAGACGGAGCCCCTTCGGATGTGCCTCGGGGCGACGTCAGCAGGCCAAGCACTGGGGATAGCCTCATGCCTCAGCCACTCATCGCAGGGCACGGTCCCCAATGGCCGCCCCTTGTGCCTCACGATATTTGTCTGATGTTGTTATTGAGTCTGGTGCGGGGGTAGAGGCTGTCCTGAGTGGTGATTCCTCGCTGATGAGCTGTATCTAGGGTTGTATCTTTGGTCTTTTCTCAAACATTCAGTCGGGAAACTCGGCATTGGTCCATGTGTTGCTATGAAAAAGGCTGAGAGAGAGAGGATATAGAGGCTCACGAGTATGAAATGTGATCTCATCTATATAAGTCGAGGTCGCCGTCCTCTACGAGAAGATGTTTTTGAAAGATCATCATCATCATCATCCTCTAATCAGTCTTAGTGTTCTGTGAACTCCCTCTTCTTCCAACTCCTAACTTCACTTCTTTGTGCGTTTGACACGCCCCGTCTTACTTCTCTCAACACACATTCTTGTCCACGCGGCCATAATTCCATCCATCAACATGTATACCAACATTCTCATCCTCGCTCTCGCCTCGGCCTCCATGGTCTCTGCCCACGGCAAGGTCGCCGTCGTGGTAAGCAATCCCCCTTCTCCTTTCTGCACAAGGCAACAATCATCAGAGACAAGATACTAAACAAGACCAACCGCTCTCTAGACTGGTGATGCAGGCGGCAACACCACTGGCCTGGGTATCCAGGGTGGAGCTGTTCCCGGCACCGGCCCGAACAGCAAGACCGAGGTGGACACGACCATCTTCCAGAAGCTCAATGCCGCATCCAACGGCCTGGGCAAGACCGAGGGCCAGGGTGACAACACCTTGGACATGATGACCGACGTCGTCGCTCAGTCCGGCTCCACCCTGCCCCAGGTTTCCTCCACGGGCGGCACCCTCTCCGGCACCATGCACATTGTCACCACTGATGGCGCCGGCCCCTACAAGGCTATTGTGGACCCCACCGGCCAGGGCGAGTTTGAGTCCGGCACCGAGGCCGACGTGACAACCCAAGTGCCCGGCACGGGCGGTGAGATTGCTCCCGGCCCGCTGAGCAACAACTTTGTGAAGAGGGCGCTGTGGCACATGGGAATCTACAAGCGTGCGTTGAACGTTGACCAGGACTATGTAAGTTTGCAACTTCCCCCAATCCTTCTTTGGACTTCTCGACCCGATCCAGGAATTTGGTGCTGACATATTTGTCTTTCCTTTGCAGCCCATTGCGGTCGCAGTTCCCGCTGGAACCACCTGCACCGGCACAGTTGGCACCATGACGAACGTCTGCCTCATGAAGCTCGCCAACCCCAACCCCGCAGGTCCTTTTGGCGGTGTCGTCGCCTTCCAGATGGCTGGTGCCAACTCTTCGACGACCACTGCCGCCCGCCGGTCTCCCAAGGTCGTGCAGTTCTAAACAATCAAAAACCCTACCAGTACCGACGGCACGGGTCATGACGCTGGCTTCGTCAGGCGCGGAAGTAGGAGGTAATGGAAGCTTGGGTATTGAGACTGATGCTGCTGCTGCTGCTGCTGCTGCTGCTGCGGCTTGTTGATAATAATGATGATCGCTGTACACTTATAGTACATATTCAGTCCTTATATAATGTACACACACTCCTTTTCATTTCTTCTGTGGTGCTCTGTGACTGCGACACTGGTGACTTGAGCTAGGGGCACGAGTATTAAACACTCTCCGTAGAGCTTCTTGGCACTGTACATTGTACACTCGTATCGATGACACGGTATGCGGGATCATGGGTTGGAATCAAGCATGGCCGGGACAGATGTGTCAGTCTTAGTTTTGAGATAGTAACTGTCTCTACCTACAACATCTTCAACCTACAACTTCTTCAACCTACAAAATCTTCAACCTACAACATCTTCAACATACAACATCTTCAATCCTTGGAGATCTTGTGGCTGTAGAACAAAATGGTGTGAACAAATCGTAGCTGCGGAACCAGTGGATTATCTCGCTTTCTTTTGTGAAACTCAAAGTCCTCGACCATAGATGCTGTGCTCACATCGTGGACAATTTGTGTCGTGTGTGCAGCCGGTCACTTTCTATTTCCAACGCCTCGTACCCATCTATGCGGTCGTCCTGCAAAGCCTGTGTACGCCCATGTGGCAATCTTTGGTGGCGAATTATGCACTCTAATGCTCGGCAATCCCTTCGAGGATGCTTGGTGTCCTCCTCTCTCACTCCAAGCTGGCGATGTCGTCCAAGCCGGGCATCGGGTGGGGCGGCTTGTCACGCACCTCGATGCCCGGTCCGATGGGGTGCCGTTGCCTTCTGGACGCTGGGAAGACCTGGCCAAGCGTTCTCGAGTCAGTAACCGTCTGTCCAGCTTATAGCAGGTAGGTGACATACCCTGGTTCCGCTCCAACCTAACCTGAAGGCAGCCTCGTGAGCAAACAACTCGCCGAAGCCCAGCATCATGCCGTTGATGAACGGCAGGACGAGATTTATTGCGGCGCCTCGTATGAGGCCCCATAGGGTGGGAGGTTGGTAGAGTATAAGAGGGGGGGAGTTTGAGGAGGGCGACGTCGCGATGTCTTCGGGAGAATACTGCTCGCTGTCTGAGTGCATCGTCACGCCGGACTCAGCCATTGGGTTTGATGGTTCATCTGAAGCCATTGTAGCCTGGAAGTTGTTTGTGGATGAGGTAATACTGGAGTAAGGAGGAGGAAGACAGTGCTCAGACGTGTCAATTAAGACGAGCGTATCATAGAGGATGTGGGCGTGGAGGTGTTGCTGTTGTTGAAGAGGAGGTCAAGTTGGTGGTGGAACCCAAGTGCCTGGGGAGGTTACGTCGCTAGCTGTTGTGTAGAGCTAGCTGCCTGCCGGGCCGAACTGAGGGACGCGGCACTGCGGTTTGGTTTGCGTTTGGGCGTGGGGGCACTAGCTTCCATCCCCCCTCCACCGTACAGCTTCCGTCATAGCGGGGCGGTCGCTAAAATCGGGCCATTGCGGGGGAGTCGTCGCCCTTTAGCTGCCTACTGCTCGCCCAACACGCCTACTTCAGAGCCGCTGCATTAGTGAACCTGCTGGCATACAGTACTTCAGTCATCACAGCTTCAGACTGGCCAGCTCCCTTTCTTTCCACCTAGCAAGAACCCTCAGTCCCTCTCCATTTCTCTTCTTCAACACAAATCAGGCCCGCGATACTTCCCTCTTTGGGCCCGTCTAGCATTTGCCCTGGTCTCGTACCCCAAGAGGAAACTTACTGCAACCACTCACCTTACCGACCACAGTAACCACACTCGCCAGGATGGCAGATCACGACGACCTGGTGGTGCAGTTCTGCGAGCTAACTGGAGCCAGTGCAGACAGGGTGACTTACATCCTAGAATTCTCGCCAGCCTTTGAGCACGATTGTACTGACCTCTTCAATCCTCGGGGCAGGCTACTCAATACCTCACGGCTAGCAAATGGGACATCTCTTCGGCCGTTGCCTCGTTCTTCGCCGATGACGAGGAAGAAGCCGAAGAACCAGCTGCTGGCTCGTCCTCCCAGGCCACCGCCCCCCAAGATTACACTGGCCCCCGAACCCTCGACGGCCGTCCAGCCCCAAAGTCCGCTGTCCAGCCCTCCGGTTCCTCTAAGAAGCCCGTCAAGAAGAAGGGTCTGGCCACCCTGGGCTCCCTGCGTAGTGGTTCTGGCCATGATCACGATGAAGATGATGACGACGACGACAACGATGATGATTCGGATCGCAAGGGCCCCCGCGACTTGTTTGCTGGTGGTGAGAAGTCTGGTCTGGCTGTTCAAGATCCCGCGCGCCACAGTGCCGATCCTGAGCGCGTCATCAAGGATATTCTAGCCAAGGCAAAGGCGTACGTAACACAGCCACAACCTATTCAGAAGATATATGTATATATACACATGTATTTGAGTGCGTGTATATACTGACGAGGTGTAATCAGCAATGCCAAGCGCGCGACCAGCGAGGAGGAAACCCCCGGTCCATCTCGTTCTTCCAACTTCCGCGGCGGAGGTGTCACAGTCGGTGGCGAGGGTACTGAATCTCGTCGTATCCCCGATCCTCGCGGGCCCCCAGCGCGGGAGGAGCTTCCTACCGTGACACGAACCCTTCATCTTTGGCGCGATGGTTTCTCTATTGAGGATGGCCCTCTGCGCCGCTATTCGGATCCTGAGCACGCCATGGACCTCCAGATGATCCGATCTGGCCGAGCCCCGCTTCACCTCATGGATGTTGAGCACGGTCAGCGGTGCGATGTGAGGCTGCAGCAACACGAGGAGGACTGGCATCAGCTGCCACGGATCTACCGACCCTTCGCAGGCCAGGGGCGACGACTGGGAAGCCCCGTACCTGGTGCTGGTAGTGGCCCATCGACACCTGCGGAGGCTGCCCCCGCCCCCAGCGTTGCGACGGCCCCTGCTGCACCTGCAGCCCCGTCCAACGTCGACAACAGCCAGCCTACCGTTGCTATTCGCTTCCAGCTGCCCGACGGGTCCCGTCTTCCCGCCCGATTCAACCTCAGCAACACCATCGACGATCTTTACCAGTTTGCTAGCAACACATCACCTGAGATGAGGTCTCGTAGCTTCATCATCCAGTCGACCTTCCCAAGCAAGGACCATATCGATCGGGAACAGAAGCTGGAGGACATTGATGCCTTCAAGAGGGGCGGAATTGCCGTCGTGAAGTGGGCCTAAACACCTCGCCAGCAAGTAAAGGAGGTGTGGTCTAGAAACAGAAAACAAGGATGGCGGCAGAAACGAAGACGATAAATGGGCTGTGGCATCGATAATCAACGTGGAAGCGTGCAAGCGATCGGAAAGCGTCCGAAAGCGCATGCATATGGAGTTAACAAGACCGTTTGTTCGAACTAGCAGGCAAGCAAGACGTCAGTGGCGTGCAAAGGTCGATCGCAATCGAAGCGTCGGAGGAACAGGACTATTGACCAGGCCCAGACGAACTGCACGCATAAGGCAGCGTTTGTTGTGATCTCAACCAATACGAGGTTTAGGGTCGTGACGCCCACCTCTTCACGAATACGATTGGCCTTTCGCTTGGGATTCTGCTCGAGATCCTGCCAGGGGGTTAGGACGTCTCGATCGGATCGATGATAACAGGAGTTTGGAGCATGGCACAAAATTGTCGGATACGGGGCATCCCGTCGGAATTAGAAGCTCACGATGCATAGATGCCAACGCTCTCTGCCGAGTGGCCAGAACATGAAACTTTTCTCCTCTGCAGGCCCCCCACCACTTTTCTTCTCTCTCTTCGTCTCTGTCAGTGTTTGTAGGATATTACCAACTTGCACGTTCAGGAGATCCAATGAGGTGCACTAGTCCTCTGCTTTGTTATTCACTCATGCTATGGTCATAGCATCACAATCAAGAAGGGAGATAAAAAGCAGCAGCATATTTGAAGTCCTGATTCCTTCCAACGCCTTACGTTGGGTTTACTTGGTCCTTGAAAGAAAAAGCAAATAGGAGGGATATCATCCAGAACCCAAAAAACATCGCCTTGCCATGCCATGCCATGCCATGCGATACGATACGAAATGTAGAGGACCCCATGGACCCAGAGCCTTTTTCTCAATGGTGGAGGCTGGTACTCTTCCCTCCTCCTTGATTCATCATCATGTCGTAAATCCTTTGAAAAGTTAAATGTTACAGTCTCGCCCGTCGATAGCCGTCCTCACCGTCCTCCTTCTCCTACATCTCCCCCTTATCACGCAGCGGGGGCGGCAGCGGAGCCGCCATCTCTGGCGCCGAAGTCGCCGTAACCGTGCGCAGGCCCCTGTTCGTCACCACTATAGTCCAGACCACCCATCGCGGCGGCAAGGCTGCTCTTAGCAGCGGCGCCGGCACCAGCGGCAGGGGTCTTGTGATCCTTTGCGGGCGGGGAGTCGAGGCGCTCAAAGTGGGCGGCGGCGATCCTGGTGTTGAGCTTGGCGGCGTTGAGGCGGGCCTCGCCGGCGGGCAGGACGAGCTGGATGTAGGTGTTTGTGGTGAAGGTCATGATGACGAAGCTGAAGAGGGTGCCGAGGGTGAGCTGGAACTCCTTGAACTGGTCCGAGTTGCGGCTGGTGCCGGACCAGGCGGCGAGGCGGTTCTTGAAGGTCTTCATGACGTTGCTGAGGCGCTCCTCGCGGTCGCGGTGGGGGTTGCGGGCGGCCTCGTCCGACTTCCAGGTGGACACGACGAGGAAGCTGGTGCGCTCGTACAGGAAGATCTCCTCGGCCTCGATGGCCTGGCCCAGGGCGCCCAGCTCGCGCTCGATGATGGCCAGGTTGGGGATCAGGTCGTGGATGATGCTGGACCAGGCCTTGTACAGCGACTGGTCCCAGATGGAGGTGGCAAAGGGCTGGATGTCCATGCGGGCGGGCCCGGTGGAGGCCATGTTCTGCAGGGCCTCGGCCGTCTTGTGGCGCACGAGGCGCACGCGCTCGTTGAAGACGGCCTCCTTGGTGTTGGGCATGACGAGGTCCATCTTGTGGATGAGGACAAAGACCTTGGCCGAGGGGGAGTACTGGGCCAGCGCGGAGACGATGGAGACGTAGGTGGCCAGGTCGCGGTCAATGTCGCGGGATTCCATGTCGAAGACGTAGATGAGCACGCCCACGGAGCTGAAGACGTGGGCCCGCTGCTGGTTGATGTAGTTCTCCATAAAGGCCTCCTGGCCGCCGCAGTCCCAGAGGTTGAGCGTCAGGTTGCCAAGGAACTTGACGTGCGAGAGGTCGACGTCGATGGTCGCACCACTTTTTTATTACATGTGACATACTTTGTCAGCAAAGCATTATCAGTGGACGTTCAGAGAGAAAGGACTCACAGGCGTCGCGTGTCGACGGCAAGGTAATTGGAGAATATTATGCTCCTCATACTTGACTTGCCCGACCCGCTCTTGCCCATCAGGAGGACCTTTCTCTTCTTGGTCTTCTTGATCTCGGCAGCAGGACCACCAGAGACCATGTGGGAGGATGACGAAGGAGCGGCGCCAGGCGGCGGGCCGCGCGTAGAATGGTCCATCTCGAGGTGGTTGGTTTGAAAGGGAATGAGGATTGACTCCGAAGAGTCAGTCGATGGTGAGAAAGCTCTCGATTTCCTATGAAGAATGAGAAAACACAAAAATGAGAGGGAGGACGGGTGCAGCGTTGGTGGTGTTGTTGTTCTGGTGGGATACTGCAGATATCGCGGCTTCTTGCAGATGCTCTTCCTTGACTATGAGCTGTGGTGGTGTGTGAGTGGTGAATTCAGCAGGCACTCAAACAAGCCGGAATGAGATTTAGGCTGATAGCCTGTCAGTGTGGCGCAGTTGATCCTGTTGTGGCTGACAAGGAGTTTTGGTAGGATCGGAGTTAACGATTAGCTATATACTTAAGCCCGAAGTGTGGCGTTCCTGGTCTTCCTCCTCCAGTTGTAAATATCACACCTCAGTGGGCCACCTACTAAATACAAGCAAAGTAGGACGTTAAACATAGATGGAGTCTGTCAATTGAGATTTCAACATGGTCTCTTGGATTTCTAGACGCTCAAGTTTCGGCAAAAAGGGGAATACCAAACTAGGCAATGAGATTCACCCGTTCGAATTGAGAGTAATTAGAGAAGAGTTCTTGTTGTACTGTATTGTGTTGAAGGGAATCAATCGATGCTTTGCGGAGAGACTTGGTATTGGATAGACTTCTCGGATTCTGGCCGGGGTTGGAATAAATACGAGTCCTCGAACATTTTCTGACAATTCCACTAATCACATCAAGTTCATAATGAGTATTGAGATTCATTATGGCCCTTCTGATGTACCCTGAGGTCAATAGCCTGAGTTCCCCTCTGTTCCCCTCAAGACGTCTCATCGAGAATAATGTGTGCCGGGCTCGGCGGTACATCCCCAGTCTCCCACTCTGTCATGTTCTCCCCCACAAAGAACTCAATTGTCCCGCCGTCGACCATGACATCCTCATGAGTAAACCAATTCTTGTCCCAGTCCTGACCGTTGATCTTGACACTTTGCACAAAGTAGCCCTGTTGACCAAGGAGAGCACCATCTCCCGTGGTGTGGCTGATGATCCGCAGGTTCTTGTCGCCATTGATGGTCATGTTGATATCGGTGAACCAGGGCGAGCCAAGCAGATAGACGGGCTGTGTGACGATAGGGTAGAGGCCCAGCATCTGCCAGATGAGCCACGAGTTGAGAGCACCTGCGTCGCTGTTGCCTGGAACACCGTACTGGGCGTCGTGGAAGTACTCATTGGCCAGGGCACGAGACTGGTTGACCGACTTGTACTGCTTGTTGAGGTAGTGATATAGGTACGGCGTGGCAAAGTCTGGCTCGTTACTGTGCGTCTTGTCAGTCAATTATCATTGGAAGTTTCGCCCAATCCACATCCTGAATGGCCGAGTGAAGAAGGACGTACCCAATGTTCATGATGGTTGTTATGCCGGCACCATTCTCATCAAGGTTCTGTTCTGACGTGTTTGGCATGAACTGGAGATTATCAACCAAAGTTAGCTGGGTTCGAAAGCTCGGGAGGTAGTGATTTTCATTTGGACGCACAATATAATCCAGTCTCCTCTCGAACTCGGTCTCTCCTCCCATAAACTGGATAAGTGTCTCCATATCGTGGGGAACGACAAAGCTATACTCGAACGGCACCGCCTCGTAGCTGATGGCGCTCCACTCACACGCACCACAGAGCGCCGGGTTGTACGTATCAGGCGACTCCCAGGCGCCAGAAGAGTTCTTGGGCGCCAGGAACCCAGTAAAACCAGCATGTTCGACGTCTGCGTTCCAGATATTCTGCCACCCGGCAGACCGATTCCGATACTTGTCGACATCGGCCGCGGAGCCCTCGCCCGCAGCAACGACGCTCAGCGCGTAGTCGTTGAGGGAATACTCGACCGTCTTGGAGACAGGCCTCGTGCTGCGGTCGAACGAGACGTAGCCGAGCGGGATCCAGTCGTACAGCGAGCCGCGACCCTCCTTCACGCTGCCCAGCTGGTCGAGGATGCTGAATGTGTTCTGCGGTTGCACCTCGGCGTCCTTGAGCATGGCTTGGTACCCTGTTGTCCAGTTGATGGACATGGAAGGGTCGCTTGTGTTTTGCCCGAGACCCTTGACGTAGGCGTCAGCCAGGACGTTGTCTGCGTTGCTGCCGCCCTGGACAAGGCCGTTGTAGTTGCCGCTGCGCCCGTCTGGCATGTATCCTTCCCAGACATAGGTGTCGATCAGGCTGCGGACCATGCCTACGTATGCGGCTGGCTGCAGTAGGTGGTAGAGGCTGACCGTGCAGCGGAAGATGTCCCAGAGCGTATCTGTGTTTTCAGGTGTTTAGCATTTGCATGTATGACCAAGTGAGGAAGTAACTTACAAAAGTCATCCCAGTACGGCTCTCCAGAGTCCCAAAGCGGATTCTGACCTGTTCTGTTCGAAGGCATAAGATGCATGAAATACAGCGACGAGTACAACAGTGTCAGGTAAATCGTGTTGGCCGTATCATCCGTAGCTACCTGGATGTTGCTGAAGACGGCCTCATTCCACTCCTCTACAGCGGTCTCGACGACGCTGCTGAGATCCCAAGTGGGTATCTCATCATCCTTCTGCTGGCAGGCGTCCGCCTCCGACATGAAGGAGATTCCGACTCGTGATCTGATGATAGTGCTCTCATCTGTGCTGTCCGCCCAGGAGAAGAGCACCCCGACCCGGTCGCCCGGCACAAACGGGCCGCCTGTAGTTTCGGACGAGATGCCAACACTACTACTATTGCTATCCGTGGCATCTGAGAAGACAGCCTGCGGAGTTCCTCCCTGGTCAAAGGTGTGGTATCTGACCATAGGCTCTGTGTTTCTCCCGCGGAAGTATTGAATCTCGGCTGGCTCTGTATCGAACTCGCCGCAGAAATAGACGACGAAGGGTGCCCCCTCGTTCCAGCCTGCACCATATGTCGCATGGCCCTTGTACTGGGTCGTATTGCTATCGGTGGCAGAGTCTTGCCCTGCCTCCACCACTGCTCCTAGGTAGACCTGGCTAGTGTACCCACCGTTTTCAGAAGGTAGGTAATGGGAAAGGTCGACCAGGACGTGCTTCTCACCCGCAGGAAAGGTATATTGCAAGATGCCCGAGTGCCTCGCGGCCGAGAGCTCAACCTTGACCCCGCTGAGAAGTTCGGTGCTGTAGTATCCGACACTAGCTGTGTCGTTCACCACACGGCGTTGCCAGTACGTGGTGTTGTCCAGCACGTTGACTGGAGGCGCAACGCTTGTCAGTGGCATTTGAGATATTATGCCTAGGATAGAAGTCAGCTTTATAGTTCTTCAAACTTGGAATAGGTATTATTGCTTCGTCCGGAGCATGAGATAGAGTTGACAAACCGTATTTAGGAGCCCCTCCGGTTCCGCTCTCGTGCATCATGCTGAAAGCTGTGACCTGATTATTGCTCAAGATTTTAGTACAGTAGTGAATCTTCAAAACAGCAGGAAGTTTTTCGGCCCAGGTGTGGACTGACATTACCCTCTGGCGTCCAGCCTCCATTGATGACTGAGTCTGCCCCAAAAGGCTCCCATGTGTCGGCTCCAAGCTTGACCACACCAAAAGGAAGAGCGCCGCCGACAAAGATATCACCGCCTCCATCTGAAAAGTACAGTATTTGATCTATCAGTCTCACCGCCAACCAGCCCTCACGTCTTTTCTTGGGTCGTGACTAACATGCTTCACCGGGATATGGGCCAGAGCCCCCAATAAACGGATTCACCTGTATATAAGACCTTGATTAGGAGTTCTAATGAAGATGCTGGACGCAGGTAGTCAATCTTACATATTGAGAATAATTTGTCTGAGCTGAGGCTTCAAGGACGAGGAGACCCAAGGCCACCACAAGGGCGGTGATCTTGGAAGTTACAGACCAGGACATTCTTCCAATGAGATGATTGATGAATAAGTAGTATATTGGAAAGCCAATGGTTGTATGGACGAGTGCCAGGGTTCCTGTGAGTAATTGTTGTCGTGCTTCAGGCGTCGGGCATCTGCATGTAAGTCACCACGGCCAGAGGCAGCACCACAGGATGTCGAGAGGGGTAGATGAAGAACAAGATCACTAAATTAGGTTGAGCGACAGTTTACCATAACTAAGATCTCCACCGATGACGATAGTATTGATCATGGCTAAGGAGGGGGCTTTCTCCTAATAGCTATTATACTAAAACCTAAACGTGCGTTCTTCCCCGCAAACCCACCCTCTTGCAGACCGCAGGATGCAGTGACACCTGACCAGAAGATCATCGTGCTCTTCTTACCGCGACCATCATATGAAAGGTCCCTGTCTCCGTGCAGCTGCACCTAAAATTTGACCGTCGCACGGACGTCTCGGTACCGATGTTACGTTCCTCGGGGGCTCGTGACAATGTAGCCCGGAATGCCCTCATGAGAGTTCGGTGTTGAGACGGCCAACCTGGACCTTGATCCTGGATAGTTCCTTACCCCATGTCGTCACAAGGTTGTAGTTGATACTCTACAGTATACAATGTAACCTTGAAGAAATGAAAATGAAAGAGTAAGAACCCTAGAAAAAACCAGAAAAACCAGAACTTAACAGCAGAACCTAGGAAACTTGCTTTGGCAGACGCAATGTCTACATCAGTAACTATCGACAAGATCCCTAGGTCGCAATGTGGCGCCCGCCACCGACACAGCATAGTGATGAAGTTCAAGAAAGAGCGTGAAGATCTTTGGACTATTAATCAATCTACGGATCAGCAGACCAGCTAATCTTTAGTAATAATTACTGCATGTCTACATGTAAAACAGAACGGGAGGAAGATGTGAAAAGTGATACATAGAGGATCAACAGATCAATTCAAGACTCGGACTGAGATGGTGGCTGTCCCCAGATGGTCCTGTCCTCCAGCCATGTCCAAACCATAGCATTCCCCTCGTGCGCATTCCTCACCACCAGCCCATCCCTCGGGTCCATGCTAGGCCCAGGATCATTCAGCATCTCCACGCACCTCGTGCGCGCCTTGCCAACCTCGAGGATCGTCCCACCCACGAGCCCTTCCTCCTCGACACACCGCAACATCGCGACAGCGACCTCATCCGGCGTCACCCAGCCGTCCTGCGCAGGGTCGATAAACGCCATCTTCTCCGGATTCTCTTCCCAGAGCGGCGTGCGCACCACCCCAGGCGCCACGGCGTTGACACGGATCCCATGCCTGGCCTCGAGCGGCGCAAGACTCCTCACGAACCCTGTGATTCCGAACTTGGAGGCCCCATACAGCGGCGCGTTGAGGTTGGCCATCTGCCCGGCCACTGAGCCGATGTGCACGATCCTCTTGGGTGTCGTCGTTGTCGTCGTTGTCATCGTCGATTGATTGGCGGGGTGCAGCCAGCGCGACATGGCCAGCTGCGTCGCTCGGATGGGGTGCGTCAGGTTGATGTCCAGCAGCGCGTAGTGGCCCGCGTCGACGGCGTCTGTGCTCGCAGCGCTGCCGGGCGGGTGCCAGAAACTCGACCAGTGCGGCTCATACACACCCGCACCAGGGCAGACGATGTCGACGCCGCCGAACTCGCGGTGCGCGACGTCGAACATGTGGGCCAGCGCAGGCCACGAGGTCACGTCTGTCTTGACGAAGACGGCGCGTGAGGTGGTTGTTTTGTTGGGGTCGCTGTGTGCTTTGACGAGGTCCTCTGCCTCGGGCCGGAGGGCTAGGTCTGCGAGGACGACGTTGCATTTGCGGTTGAGGAGAAGGGCGGCGAAGGAGAGGTTGATGCCTTGGTCTTTTTGTCAGCTGTTTGCGTTCAGGGGAGAATTTTACTTGTTTGGATGGGAATAGGAAGTCGGAGAGATTTCTTTGTCTATTTTTCTTGTGCTTACCAGATCCAGCGCCGGTTACTATCGCGGTTTTGCCGGCAACATTGAAAGGAGCCGATGGTGGAGGAGGGCTTTGAGGAGTGACAGTGGCCATGATGGTGGTGAGAAAGCTTTGGGCTGGCGAGTACAGTATTGTTTCGTTTTCACAGGACAGCGTGTAGATACTTATACTTGACGTGTGTGAGATGATGGGCTATAGGGGTCTTTTTCTTTTGTCAAAGCTGCACTATCAGTAAAACATATCGTAAACGAAAAGTCTTGTCAAGAGGACAGGGCGGCGGTTGATGTCGACCCGAGCACGACGATCGTGCGGTGGGGGGTCGACTCTGACCCGAATGCACTCTTGAGGTCACAAGTCAGTCAGTCCCCCCTCAGGCCAAGGAATTCTCCTCACAGCCCACAGCAACACGTTCAAGCAGCGGGGAACAAAAGCTACCAAATTGTGGATCACGTCGCCGTGGAGTGGCCCTCGAACATATGAATATAACAGGTCTTCACCCGACGCGCAAGTGATCTGATTCTTGTATTTATACATGTTTCGTGATAGGCATCGCACATTATTTCATGTCAAAACGTCAAGCTAGCTCTTTTGGAAACAAATCTGTACCCGCAATATGAGGTGTCAGTTCGTACCATTCGTGACTTAGTCTTCATCTCAGTATTTCAAGAATACTTAATGACATCTTGGGCTTCTGGTGATCTTGTTGTCTTGCCTGGCCTCTACTCATTATCATTCTTTGCTATGATCAACGAGTATGGTTATGTTGTACAGTTTACCTAGCTCTTCTCATTGATCCTTTTCTTTTTTATTGCAACACGTTGCCCTCTGTATTACCCGGCAAACACGTCCCCCCCCCCCCCTCTTTGTCAACAGCACCCAATAGCCTTCCCAGAATTCTTTCATGGTGCCCGCAGCCTATCTGGCTCAGATATCCGACACCATATGGCCCTCGCGAGGCCACCCCACCAGACACACTGGCAGCTGCTGTTGTAGGCTGTTGCGGCTCACAAATCGAGCCCCAGGCACACGAGCAGCATCCCAGAACACATAGCCCAACCTGCGGAAAGGGTAGTCCCACCAGGGGAGCGAGTGTGCCAGGCCAGGAAACTGGGCCGACGGGCGGTGCGCGCGCCAGCTCTGCCAGAGGGCATTCGGGTAGTCGACCGGGTCCGAGCTGCCCTGTGGGCGCGTGTGGGAGACGACACGGAGCCGTCGCACGTGCGGTGGGACGGCCAAGTTGTAGTACACGATGTTGCGGATGCTGAAGACCTGGTCGGCTCGCAGCGGGGTGGTGGGAGGCGTCCTGAGGAACCGGCGCAGCTCTCTGCACTTCTCGACGGTGGGGCGCGCCTTGAGGGTCCGCACGAGGTGGCCCAGGCTGGTTGCGTTGAGTCGGCAGAGCGCGGGCATCTGAAGATGCCGGAGAATGACGAAATCACTGAAACGAGTCCTGGTCACGACCACGACACCGTCGGGTTGGGTCCAGCTGACCACACGGAAGGAGAAGCTCTAATGAAAGCAGCGTGAGCTTGTTAGCAACGGAATTCGTGGGAAGAACCAAAAAAGGGTGAATGACTTACGCTGGGTTCCTGGAGGTCGTATGGCCATCTAAAGAAACAATAGATGACCAGGCGCCAGAGGCGTTCTTGCTGCTCTAGGATGCATCTGATCTCCTCTGCCTGGAACATCGGAATGCTCGTAAGAAACGAGACGCATAGGTCCTGAGAGCCGGTGTGCATGTACACCAGCTTGAAGAGCTCGGCCTGCAGGGTCGCCCGGTAGAAGCGACGACGCTCGCGGGAGGACAAGGTGGCAAAGGCATCGTGGTTAGGTGTCTTTGGCAAGAAAGCGCGGTGGGCCCACCTGGGGAACAGGTAGGCTGCGCCCCTGGCGTTGGGCGCCTGACACTTGAGGGCGTAGTCATCGATGAAATCTCTGGCCGTGGCCAGAAGATGCATCGCTGCCTTCACGTGTCTCGCACTGGTGTTGCGGCTGACGAAGGCGCCTGAGGTCTGCCACAGGTGGAGGTGTTCAAGCACGGCATCACAATGCTGGTTGCACGTTGGCTGGTTGTAGACGTTGTCGGTCACCTCCCAAGCATTGGGCTCAGATTGAGCCCAATCGGCTTTCCAGGTGTCCGACATCGTGAATGAGTTCAAGACGCGCGTGATGTCTTGAAGGGACTCGTCAAAAGTACGTTCCTGTGATATGTACGAATTAGTCATGTGTGAATATTCATAGAAACTTGAAAAGAGCCGAGTTGGTGGACATACCTCAGCTGAATGCTCGCACAACATGGGAAACTTGACAATGCCGAGGGCCATGTTCATGGTGGAAAGACCGTAGTAGTTGCAGGCGACGTGTAGCATCGTGGACCGCTTATTGTACAGGAATACGTGGTAGAGTCCCCGGCATGTTGAGATTAGCGACAGGAGGTCTTTGAAGTTAGTGACCTCCTCGAGAACCTCGAACAGCACTTCGAGCGGTAGGCGTGTCAAACGAAGACCGCGTGGCTTGAACGCCGACACCTGACTGGGACACGCCATTGCTCGTTTGTCCGTTTGCGAATGTGTCGAAGCAGTGAAAATGGATACCATGATTGTAGTATCAAGATATGGTTTGCTGTGGTTCCTCGAGGCCAGATGTTGTCAGGCTGGATCGGGAAAGGACAGGAAATCAGAGTCTGAAAGTTGATTAAATAGAGGTTGCGAGGGTATCAGCTTTAGGCAACACATTATGCTGTTGACTAAAAACGTCAATGTTTTTGCCTGGCTTTGGATGACGAGAAGTGAATTTGGGAAAGGGGATATGCTATTCGCCTCATCCTTTATTGCTTCTATCCCGTGTCCCTGATCGTCCAGTCAACCCTCAGTCGCTACCTGAACAATGCTGTCTGTTAATAACGTGTATGTATGAGCTATCTGGCCGTGAAACAAAATTTGACGATTAACTTTCAAGTTGTTTTATTGGCTGCCTTGAGTTCATATTCTGTGAATAGCAAGCTTTGTTGTCAAATTTCCAGTGTCGCCACTGTCACCTCAATTTGACTGAATGATTAGACTTGACCTCCCTCATCCAGTTTGCATGTCTACAACCACATTGTTCTACATAGATTTGAAGATAAGTGAACAATGATTAGCTACATAGAGCAGCATGGAGTTTATTTGTAAAGGTCATAAAAAAATTCTTGATTGATCTTTGCACTGATGAAAAGTTTCACAAAATGTATTATAGAAGGTCCAGGTTAGGACACGTGTTGAGAACAATAAGCAAGAAAAGGATGAAAAGGGCCAGTCAGACAGATGGAGTCCAGTTGTAGGATGCTCCAGGAAAGAAAAATGGCATGTCCACAAGATGTATTGAAGATCTTCCAAGAGCGATACTGCATTATACAACGGGCTGAACATTACTCTTGGCAAAGACTAATCTGTTGTCTGAATTTATAGTCTGATAAAATCTGAAAACTGCATGTGCGTAGAGGCCATTCATTCTGTTATAATCTTTGCACCTGACTGAGTCCATTTCTGGACGCGTAACTCTGGTCCTGACATAACATGTTGCATCAGAAAGATGAGCACGACCCTTGTCACACTCTCAAGTGACTAGATGCTTCCTGCATTGTCTGCCAGACATCTGGGCCTGCGGGACGGGTCATGTATTAAGGATGCGCTAGAAAGACAAAAAAAAAAAGAAGAAAGAAATGCCATGGCTCAATCTGACTGTGGCAATCTCGGTGGAGGCTGTACAATAACATGCATGCTTAAGTACCTAATGATTTGTTGGTTCTCGCGTACAGTTTGATACGCATCACCAGATGCATTTGCAGAAATGAGATCTCGAGGATTCTTGCTCGCTTGGGATGAAGTTGACTGGGTTTGTTAAAAACAGCAACAGCTCTCCGTTGCTCGTCTGAAACTCAAACAAAATTGGGGATAGTTGCATCAGTTTTGTGAGGAGACGCTGGCCATTACCCAGACAATGATTCAGAATGTCCTGTGCACTCTGATGAGCTGCTAGCAACTCCTTTCCTGCCGTGGAAATTGACCAGGAAGAAGGCTTAAGGGAGCCACAAACACTGACTGATACAGCCCAGTAGACTTTTTCTGAGATCTAGTTGCGTTATCAGGGATGGAGATGAGGCCACACTGTGGAAATCGTGCTGTAGTCTGATGTTTGGATGGAAACACCTCAGAAACGTCTCGTGGTGTTTATTTAGTGGGGGATCATCTCTGTAAAGCGGTCGAATTAGTCGTCTAGAGAATTCTGACAGATTCATGCTATTAGCATGGCAAAGCAATACACTGCTGATTGGGAAGTTAAAGAACAAGGAAGTAAGGCAGAAGCTGGATGACAGATAGGTAGTTGGCAAATACTCATCGTTCAAGATGCAAAGACAATCTGCTTTCCTGTCCAGCATTCTGAGAGTTTCTCTCTCGCAAGGTCATGCGTGCTTTTCTCCTGAAGCAGGTTGACTATAGCACTGTGCCTGACAGATGCTGATGTTGTTCGCCAGGACGGTGAGAGGTGCACATAAGGGACGAGTGTGTGTGTGAGAGAGAGAGAGAGAAGAAGAATGAAGGACGATAGGAGATCAGAATGGGAGTGAGTCGACTCTCGAAAGTAGGGGCATCGGAGAGATACCGAGCGGGCTCGCCTGATCATAGGATGATGACTGATGTCCCGACTGAAAGACGTCGTTGTCGCTCTCTGGCACCAGTTGGTCCAATACCCCTAGACGCCCCATCTCATGAGACCAATTGAACTAGGACGCGTGCCCCTCTATGCATGACAAAATATTCCGACAGGTCTTCTTTGACGACAAAAGACAACCCAACCCTGACTGACACCAGTGACTAAACCACATCCACGCGTGCTGCGCGAGGTCAAGTTTCATCTGGTCTGATATCGCCAAAAAGGGATCTTCCCCAGGTTGAGAATTGGGCGTGTGGAGTAGTGCGTGCGTGTATCAGGGGGCGCACCTTGAGCCAATCGTCTTACATGCAAGCGCCAAGCTAAAGCCAAGATCCCGGAACCCGGCAAACCCTTACTTTTAGCGCCATGGAGGCCACAGGGTCCTACCGAGACCTTGGGAGGGGCCTGGAATGGGGGGAAAAATTTGCTGAGGAATGAAGGTTTTTGCTTTTGAAGGGGAGGGAAGAAAAAAAAGAGTTGGGTCTTGCCGCGGATCGAACGCGGGACCTCTCGCAATGATGATTAGGGTGGACCCTAAGCGAGAATCATACCTGAGATTGATGTTAGATTGAGTTGAGTGGTATGTGAAGGATAATTTGGTGAAAACACTTACCACTAGACCACAAGACCTTGCAGCAGCCACTTTCATATCATGTTATGTACTCTTCCAGCATTGGTCTACAAGCCATTGGAGCTCAGTAATAACATGTTATCGCCATATTCATAAGTAACAATCATATTCATAAACCAACAAACTGAATGTCCACCTTTTTTTCGTGGTTGTGAACAAGCGTGGTGTCATAGTAGTAAGCATCGTTTGGTTTGATGCCACCATGAGAAACAACACACAGATCACTTGGAGATGGCTGCATATTGACGAAAATTATTGTAGTGACTGCTGACGAATGCCAAGAAATGACAGCATATGCTATGAAAAGACTATTGATATGCATAAAGTTGCCGCATTGCCGCTACCCAAGTTTGGGTGAGTGTGTAGTTGTGTAGTAGTAGATGTGGTATTGGCGGTCAGTGTGGGTGTGTGCGTGTGTCGAATAGTCATCGCAAGGACAAAAAAGGGATGAATGTATGCATGGCGACATGCTTGTCTGATAAAGAAGAGGGTGGGGGGGGGGGGGGGGCGGCAGGGCAGAAAGGGACAGGACGGGGGACAGACAGGGGATTTAGTAGCAATCATGAGACGCAGATGGTTTGAGCCCTCAGCACGCGCCCACACGAGTCCCGCTGTGCACTGCATCAAACTCGCTTACACAGCCTCCTGACTAATCCCAACACAGCACAGCACCGAGCCAAGGGGAAGTTGATTTGCGAAACGGTTCCAAAGAATAGCGAGAAAAGTTTGCATTCAAGCGAACAAGCAAAGAGGAAAACGGCCCAAGCCCAGGCAAGCCACGGCAGATGACCCATCCGGGATTAGGGAGATCAGGGAGATCATTGAGGATCGTTTGGGAGATCATTCCACGGGAGATCGGCACACATCACCGCCGTCAACAAGTCTTGGTATTCAGCAAGCGCCCTGCTTCAGCCTTCTCGTCGCCCCTACTTGCTTGATGTTACCCAGTATACGCTGCTTATCAGAGCACGGTACTCGGCAATGTATCTAAGCCTGCCCACCATCCCCCCGGCCCCCTCCAAAAAGAGCCTCAAACAACAAGGTTACTCCTCTTCTGCGCCTCAGCGTCAACCATGCAGTATCTACGGCGTCAGAAGAGAAGAGATAGAGTGAGAGAGAAGAGGCCCCACCACCACGCATGGGCATAGCACCAGGGATTAGCCAGCACAGCCCATCGTGCATGAGCTCCCCTGAACAGGATCTGAGGATCTCCAAAACGTCTGGACTCCTTCTTACCCCTCATAGACGAACCTCCTGTGACGGGGCTTCTGGTTAGACACTTACTACGTACAGCCTTTTTCGTTTCCTCGCTCGGCGTCACGGCATCACCATTCACGTCGTCCGGCCCTCTGGTTCGCCCAACTCGAGAAACATCTCTCGTTCTCTACCAATGCAGTCTCGTCTCAACATTGTTTGCAGCCATGGGTCTTCGTCCCAAATGACGACTGAGAATGGTTTGAGATGGAAATTTGGGGCAATGTCGTCAAGGGCATAGCCTCCCTCCTCCTCTCGTCTCTTGAGGGCAGCGAGACGTTGAGATGGGCAAGTTGGGTTGAGGACCCGACGACTATAAAGTATCGACGATATTCCACCTCAAGTTCTATTCATCTCATCTCACCATCATCAGCATCAACAGCATCTTCAGCCTTCTACATTCTTTCCTTTCCAACTGACAAACGATTGATTCGTTTTCTTCTCTCATTCACTATCAATAACAAAGTCTTTTTTTACAACTTCATTCAAGTTTTGACAACTGTCTTTACCATTACAAACACCACAATCTTCTATTCTTCCATCATCGGATCACTCCCTTGTCTTCTCCAAACCCAACAACTCCAAACCCAGACCAAACTAAACCAAACCCAAATCTTTCAAGATGTACGCCCAGCTCTCTGCCATCATCATCGCCCTGGCGGCCACCCCTCTTGTCTCTGCCCACGGCGAGATCCTCTCCGCAGTCGGCGATCTCGGCGGCAACGGCACCGCCCTCGGCATCAAGGGCGCCGTGGTCCCCGGCGAGGGCCCCAACTACGAGACCGAGGTGCAGACCACCGTCTTCTGGTCCAAGGACATCAACACCGACTACGACCTGGGCTTCACCGAGGGCGGCGTGGCCGGCAACGGCAACAACCAGCTCGACTACGTCCAGTACTCGATGGCCCAGAGCGGCTCCACCCTGCCCCAGGTCAGCAGCGGCGGCTCCGTCTCGGGTGTCTTCCACGTCGTCACCGACGATGGCTGCGGTCCCCTCCAGGCTGTCGTCGACCCCACGGCCACCTCGCTCTTCAGCAAGGCCGTCGACGCCCAGGTCACCAGCAATGTTCCCACCACCGGAACGGCTGGTGAGTGCCCTACCTCGCTCGACAGCGGTGTCGACAACAAGATCAAGAGGACCCTCCGCCGCGCACTGGTCAAGATGGGTCTCCTGTCCAAGAGGGCCAACAATGTTGACAAGAGCTACGTGAGTTTTGATCTTTCTTTATCTGTTATTACACCTTGAGAGAGAGAAACACAAGCTAATCATTCATCTTTCTTTCAGTCCTACTCTGTTGAGATTCCTGCTGGAACCGTCTGCAGTGGTACCATCAACGGCATGACCGGCCTCTGCCTGGTCAAGGTCTCCAACAACAACGCCAACGGCCCCTTTGGCGGTGTCGTTGTCGTCCAGATGCCCAACTCCACCACTGCCGCCCGCACCAAGCGCTCCACCTCCTTCACTGCTTAATTGGAGAGCTTGGAGAGCAGGACTTGGGGGATAGGAGAGAGAAACAGGGGTGAAAGTGTATGGTCAGAGTGGTGGTGGTCTCTTATTGGCTGTCAGGGGGATGAAGATGCTGTGGTGTCTGAAGAGATATGATTAGCATATTAGATTCGAGGCTGGTTCCGCATTTACCTTTCTATTTAGTGTAGTATGATTGAATGATGAATATAACGGCCTCTCCAAAATCGCATCACTGAACTTTTGTGTGATATTGGACTACCAATGCTTCCACTTTTCTCTTTCGTACCACTGAAATATGACTACCTGCTCTAAAAAGCTATCTCGTCACGTAACGATCTTGAAGTGAAACTGTAACGTAGTCACTAACTACGCTATAAAAGTAGAACATCAAAAAGTTTAGGGGCCTGACGCCAGATTGATTCATCGTCAACTAGAAGTATCAAAGTACCATCTCTATGTACTATCCTTTTCTTATCAAAACAAAGTCACTCTCCGCTTTCATACACCGTCAGAAGCCGCATGTCCAAAGTCACATCACAATCCACGATATACGTTTCATCAGATGAGATTCCCCCACTCTCTTCCTCCGCAATAACTCACCACCAAGACTCTATAGGGTTCCAGGCCTCCAGGGTACTCTTCCGCCCCAGCTTGGTAAGACAAGCCCAGCCCCGCCGCCGTGCACACTTGTCGTCCTCACAGTACGCCACACCACGCAGGGCCTCGTCTTCATGAGCACCCCAGGACACAGGGTCAAGATTCTCCGCAAAGCCATCCCACCCCTCGCGCTCAGAGCGCAAGGGAATCATCCTCTTGACGTGGACAAAGACATCCTTGCCCTGTCGCTCCCACCAGTAGACCGTGTCGCAGTCCTGGCACCGCCACTGGTGATCACCTCCCTCTCCCCCACCGTACCACAGCCTGCCCTTCTCTACCTTGAAAGCAGGCATGAACAAGCCACTACGGCCGTCGTTCCTGTTCGCCCGGCATCTGCAGCATCCGTGCTCGAACCCGCAGCAGTCGTGCGCATTCTGTGGCTCGGGGTCGAAACAGGCACACGTGTCTGGGCCAAAGGACAGCAGCATGAGGCGGTCGTCATCAATAGTGAAATGTGGACAGAGCATGCAGCCCAAAGTATCACGATGAGTTTCAAGGGCGTCTTGGAGGGCCTTCCGGGTGACGGGGCCGGCATGATCAAGTGAGAGCACACGATTCCGCGTGTTTATGGAGACAGGAACAATGCCATACTCCAGATCGTCCTCAGCCTGTCCCATGAAAAGTCGCTCGTGGCGAGGAATGACCCGCAGCACGGGCACCTCGTAGTCCTCGTCGTTGTACTTGCAGTGCCAGCAGACGAGCCGCTGCGGCATTCCGAAGCGCAGGAACCTTGCGGCGCTCTCGTGCAGCTGGGCCCAGTCACGAGAGGCATGGGCGCAGAGCCGCACGCGGCCCTCGTGGAGGATGCAGACGCGGGTGGCGTTGGACTTGTTTTGGGCCTGCTTGGCCGAGAAGATGGCGCGGGTGTGGTACTCGCTGCACCCGCTGCACCAGAGCTCCTTGTGCAGGGCCTGGAGGGCCTTGTTGTAGCGGCCGTCGTCTCTAAAGTTGCGGCAGGGCTGGCACAGGGTGTCGTTGGTGAACAACAGTTCAGTCTGCTTTTTTTTTTGAAGATTGGGGTCGTTGTCGTTGCTGCTGCTGTTGTCGGTGTAGCAGAGGGGCTCGGCTAGCCAGGCCGGGACATTGTCTCTGAAGATACGGGAGGTCTGGCGGAGGAGGCGGACGGCCTCTAGCTCGAGATGGACGGCAATGAGAAAGATGAGACCACCTCTGAGGGTGTAGACGGGGCTGTTGGTGTTGTTGGCAGCGCGCTGGATGATCCACTTGGGTTGGTAGACTCCATCGATACAAGTTGCATAGGTGTCGTCGCTAGAACCACCAGATGTTTTGGAAGATTGTCCATGTCGTCTGGAAAGATGGGGCTCAACATTGTGATCGAGAGGGTATGCCTTGGAGATGTCTTCAGAATTAAATCAACAAGATCTGAAAGCAATGTAGGGAGGATTGACAGGCTCTTACATTTGATGTATTGTATTTGTATATTTCCTGCTCTGTCACTTTTCCCAAATTTCAAAAATGCCCTTCACTGACTGTGAAGGGTTGGCATAGTGATTTTAATTTAAATACTTTATTTTACAATCCTTTTGTTAGTTAACACAGCACATCTGTAATAGAATCGCGGCCATTCACTAAAATGGTGTTGTATTTTCGACAGGTTCCAGAACTGAGGTACCCTCTTTGACTTGCTGTCTGTGTGGCTACTTGTATCAATCTTAGTATCCACTCATTGGAAGAGCAGGACTCTTCATGATCAACAGAAGTATGGAAGGGTTCTCATGACTTACTACCATACTCGTACATACTCGGAATGAAGACACGAGTGTCATATAGTTGATTTATTACCTCTCTGCTTACATTCATGACCACCCACTCAAACTCCACGGCCTCTCGCCCACATCCCACGCCACCGGCTCAGACCCCATCTCAAACACCAGCTCCTCTGCCCCCACAAGCTCCCCATGGCTCAACCACGCCCTGTCCAGCGCCACCCCGTCCAGCGTCACCCTCTGCGGATAGACCCGATCCTCCGCCAACCCGTCCGCCCGGATCACGAGCGTCCTCTCCAACCCGGTCCCCGCAAACAGCTTCACCCGCAGCGAGCTGAACCTCGGCGCGCCCAGCAGATACAGCGCCTGGCCCGCGACAGGATACACGCCCAGCAGGTTCCAGACAAGCCAGCTGGGCAGTGCGCCTGCGTCCGTGTTGCCGGGGTAGCCGTCCCTCGCGTCGCTGTAGAACGCATCGACGACGGCGCGGGTCTGGTTGACGGTTTTCCAGTGGTGGCCTGGCACGTAGTTGTACAGGAACGGCATGGGAAAGGAGGGCTCGTTGCCTGGGTTGAAGAGGGCGGTGCCGGCGTCGTTGTTGGCGTCGCCTGTGCCTGCATCGGCTAGACCTGGAATAAAGGAGGCGTCTAGACGACGGACGAAGGCCTCGTCGCCGCCCATGAGGTGGATGACACGGGACATGTCGTGGGGGGCGGCTGTGAAGGAGGTCTCCCAGACGCGGGCCTCGTAAATGTCGTCGCCCCAGCCGCAGCTTGGGATGCAGACGACAGGATTGTAGTTTGTGCTGAGCAGGTTTGCTATTGTTAGCTATCTTTGCCTCTGATTGCGAGTTGAAGAAATATGAGGAAAGAAGGCAACTTGTAATAACAAACTTACAAGTTGAAACTTCCATCTGCATTGCGCGGGCCAGCAAAGCCGGTAAAGGTGGTATTAGCCGACTCACTCCCATTGACAGCAAGAGATGTATTCCCTTCTGGATTCCACTGGTTCTCCCACCAGCCAGCACGATCCAGATACCGAGCCTGTGCTTCAGCCGATCTATTCAGGCCCTTGGCCACAGCCCAGAGGGCAAAGTCGTCCTGAGGGTACTCCAGCCCCCGCGAGATGCTCCTCGTGTGGTTGCGCGTGATATACTTGAGATGCAGATAGTCGTCCAGGGCTCCTCGTCCTTCTTTAGTCGCGCCGTCGAAGGCGACTGAGTCTGCGTTGCGCACGGGAAGAACCTCTGCATCCTTCACCATGGCCCTGTATGCCTCGTCCCAGTCAATGTCGCCCAGTTCACCCAGGCCAGTCGTGGTGATGTTAGTGGAGGTCGCGTTGTTATTTGAACTGGGAGCCACAGGAGACAAGACACTCTTGACAAAGGCATCGCCCAGCACGAGATCAGCGTGTGTGCCGCCCTGCACACGACCATTCCAGTTCGCCGCGCGGCCCGCAGGAAGGAAGCCCTCGAAAGAGAAGATATTGATGAGGCCCCTGACGACACGGCTGTAGGTGTTCGTAAAAAGAAGATGGTACAGGGGCAAGAGAGTCCGATACGTATCCCACAGGGTGTAGTGGTCGTCGTAGTAAGGGTAGCTCTCGTTGGAGGTCCAGATGGGGTTTTCGCCCGTCTTGTCGGTGGGCATCAGGGCAGTCTGGTACAGCGCCGTGTAGAGCATCTTCTTCAGCGTGCTGTTCTGGCTTGTCTCGGAGCCGTCGTCGACAACCTCGACAGCGCTGAGGACGTTGGATTCCCAGTCCTGCTTCACCTGCTCTACCACGTCTTCAAAGGTCGTCGTCGAGGGGATCTCGCGTTCGATGTAGCCACAGGCACTCTCGACACTCATATGAGAGATTCCCACCCTCGACTCCAGCACAGCCGTCGCATTCCCTAGTGCGGACCCTTCCGTCGTCGTCTGCGCCCAACTGAACAATGCTCCCAAGCCCATCCTATTCCCCGGCCCCGACCTGATATCCATAGAAGACTGCACCAGCGGTCTATCCGACGCCGGAGCAAACAGATCAAAGGGCCAGCTCAACGTGCCAGCCCCCTCGACCCGATTAAACCCCACAGGCTGCACATACGCATTCGTCGGCACCAGTTTTGACCCCGATGGCACGCTGAAGTTGGCGCAAAAGAAGTACTTGGCCTCCTCGGCGTTGACCCACCCGCCGGCGTAGGTGACGCTGCCGTAGTACGAGGAGGAGGAAGTGCTGCTGTTGCTGCTGCTGCCAGGGCGCACATGCAGATCGCCACGGATGAACTGCTGGGTATAGCTCTGGGTGGTGGGGTTCTGAGCCGGGAGGACATGAGTTAGGTCGATGAAGATGTGGGCGTCGTTGGCATTCATCTGGGACGTGGTGCTGGCAGTAGTACCCATAGTCTCAAATGTGCTGACATTAGACGTAGACAAAGATGAGGAGGGAAATGTGTAGCGTATAATGCCGGTGTGGTTCGAGGCTGTAACGTCGATCTTGATTCCATCCAGCAAGGTTGTCGAGAACACGCCCACGGCGGCAGTCTCGCTCACCAGTGAGCGATTCTGCGAGTAGGTGTTGTTGTCGGCAAGATTGACGGACGACAGCGTTCCCAGGAGAGGCATTTGCGAGATGAGTCCATAGGTCGGATTCCCACCTGTGCCCGTGACGTGCATCATCGACACGCCCGTGACGTTGCCCAGAGGACTGTAGCCGGCATTGCAGTCTATGGCGAGGTCTCCCAGGCCCATGTAGCTGGTATCGATGCCGACTTTGGCCATCTGCCAGGGACGAGCAGCGCCTGGGAAGGTATTCCCACCGGCTATGCCCGAGCCTGGTGTGGGCCCTTCTGTGCCGATGAGGAGGTCCACATAGTCGGACAGTCTTGCGGCCTCAGCTGCGCTGATGAGGTGGCTGCAAGAGAGGGCGAGGATAGAAGAAGCCAGGGCCAGAGGCTTCGTGGAACGACGGCGACGATGGCTCACCATGGCAGGAAAGAAACTTGGCAGGTCAGCCTGTGGTGATCCTCTTTTCCCTCACGAGATGCTTGCATGCCTACAAATCTTCTGGGGTCGGCCCATGTACTTATACTTGAATATAGAATTCAGCACATGAACTAGTGAGCATGCAAGACACAACGCGTGATGGGGCCCCATCTCCGCATTCCCCAGTCAACCATCTTCATTAACCCGAGCACAAAAAAAGGCTGAAGTTTCTAAGGCGGGGGGGGGGGGGATGAACCATCATGGACCGGTCCGTCCCAGTCAGGTCACACTGCAGAGTATCAACTTTGTTTGCTGTGGAGCTCGGGGCCTGTTACACCGGCAATTGAGAAAGGTAGCATGATTGCATATGTGAATTTAGTGTTTGCTAAACCTATATCTTTCTAGATATTGGTTTTAGCTCGGCTGGGGGAGGGTCTCGAGGAGGATGAACCCGGTTTGGTCCCTGTTGATCGTCATTTTTACGCCTGACTAGCATCTTCCTTTACGGTCACTCACTCGTGACGTGCATGTGCCATTCCCCAAGGACTTCGGATCGCCACAAGCCGAATTGCCCATTGTCCCTCTATCATCGATGTTGTTGCTACCAATATAGGCATAATTGATGCTTCGAGCCATCACTTGTGAATGGGCTTGCGAGCAATTTTCAACACACCTTCGGAAAATGGGAAAGGAAGAGAGAAAGAGAGACCATACAGGAGGCCAATTTGGTGCAGGCAATATGGCCTTTAGTAGCAAGGCCGTCTCAAGCCCTATCAGAGCCGGTCAACCTAAGTACTTATACACTATAGTATACACGCGTTTCTTCCCATTGGCAGGCAGCTGACAATTGCTCGGTGCGCTCAATTCGAGTGATGCGGACACGACCTTTAGATAACACAAACTTGTAGACTCATTCTAGAACATAGAAAGCTAGTAGCTTAAGTAATAGAGAGAGAGAGAGAGAGAAAGTTCCACGGACCGGACCACAAGTGGAGTGCCCAGTTTTTCTTTTGTTGGTGAGCTGAATAGAAAAGAACTTGGCGGTGAGGGCAGAAGGCTCTCAGAACCATGACACCCACCTTGGCAGAAGAGACCCCACCCAACCTCCAGAGCTAAGGAAACTTCTATTGGCGGGTAGGCCAGGGAAGAAAACAGGGGTCCAGGCATAGCTCTCACTCAACCGTGATAGCTCAAGGACGTGGTGGGTGGTGAAGAGGAACAAGACAGCGTTGTCAACCCCCCACCGCTTAGAACGGCACATTTAGGCCAGATCATGTCGGCATTTCTTCAATGATTTCTACTTACTAAGAAATTACATAGTCTTATATAAATAGTCATGAAAAGACCGCAAATCCTTTTCCTGGGCAGATGACACTTTACACTCTCATCTGCCCCCTTTCATAATTGCTGTGCCCCTTCTCTCTTTGTGAGTGAGTGGTTGCGCGTGTGAGTGGCCTTTAGAATTCAATCACTCACTTCCTTACTCATTCATTCGCCCAAATCAAGGTCCAATTCAAAACATGTCAGAAGGACTCTCCTCGGCCTTCTCCAGCCTGAACCCCTTCAGGAAGGCCAGTCCAGCCCAGGACGAAGGCGGCGAGGAGGTCGACAACACGACCATTGCAGGAGGAGGTCATTCGATCCGCGCACGCGATCCCCTCCGCGTCAGCCATGCGCTCAAGTCCTTCCTCCTGGCCGAGGGCGAACTCAGCCCCGACGACCTGGAAGATGACACCGAGGAAAATCCAAGCCAGGTCCTGCAGGCGCTCGCAGACAAACCGCACATCAACGTGCCGGACGAGGTCGTCGACAGGTCGTACCCGCTGCCCGAGTACTTCATCAGCTCATCGCACAACACTTATCTGATGGCGCACCAGCTGTACGGGACCTCGTCGGCAGCGGCGTACGAAAACACGCTGCGGGCTGGGGCACGATGCGTCGAGATTGACGCCTGGGACGAGGAGACCGACGCGAACGAGCCCAAAGTCACACATGGCTACACGCTGGTCTCGCACATTCCGTTCCGCTCCGTGTGTGAGACAATCCGAGATATGGTCGATGAAGAAGAACGAGAAGCGCAGCAGCAGAGGGGAGCGGGAGGAGGAAGCCGTCCAGCGCCCGTCCTAGTGTCTCTGGAGAACCACTGCGACGTCCACGGCCAGCAGAGGCTGGTGGAGATCATGAAAGAGGTCTGGGGCGAGCGCCTGCTGAGCCAGGCCGTGCGGGCCAAGGGCCACCAGGAGCAGGAAGGGGGCGAGCACGTCACACTGGAAGACCTCGGGTCCAAGATTGTGCTGATTGTCGAGTATCACATGCAGGGCGAGAAGGACATGTCCGACTCCAGCCCCAGCGATGACGACGACGACGACGACCCGTCAAAAGAAGAAGAAGGCGTGGACAGACAAGCCCTTCGAGCCTACAATGACAAGAGAAAGGTCACAGGCGCCGGTGCCATCATCTCAGAGCTCGCCGAGCTGGGCGTCTACGCGCAGTCCGTCAAGCCCATCGACAACACCTGGTTCGAGGCCATCACCCTCAAGAACGGGCCGCGCCACCACCTCATCAACATGTCCGAGACGGGCCTGTTGTCCCTCATGCCAGAACACACCCCCAAGATCGGCGCCCACAACGCCCACCACCTCATGAGGGTGTATCCCAAGGGCACGCGCATCTCCTCCAACAACATGAAGCCCGTGCCCTTCTGGGGTCTGGGCGCGCAGATCTGTGCCCTCAACTGGCAGACGTTCGGCCTGAGCCTGCAGCTCAACGAGGCCCTGTTCGCCGGCACGGACGGCTACGTGCTGAAGCCCGCCTCTCTGCGCCGCGGCGGCAACGGTTCCGCCACGACAGGCCGCCAGAAGCGTCTGCGCGTGCACGTTGCCGGCGCCACTGCTGTGCCCCTGCCAGACGGCCGCACCGCAGACGACATCAAGCCCTACGTGACGGCCACGCTGTACCACCCCAGCGACGCGCACGCCAGCAACGACGCAGCCGCCAGCAAGCGCAGGACCCGCGCCTACCGGCAGCACAAGCTGGGCTTCCTGCACCACGGCGAAAACCCGCCGCGCACCGATCCCGTGTGGGACGAGACGCTCGAGTGGGAGTACGAGGACAGCGAGCTGGTGTTTCTGCGCATCCTGATCAAGAGCGACGATGCGTTTGCTGTGAACCCTGTGTTTGCCATCTCCACGGTGCGCATCCTGTATGCCGCGCCGGGGTGGAGTTTTATACGCATGTTGGATTTGAAGGGCCGTGAGACAAAGTGTTCTTTGCTTGTCAAGTTTACCGTGGTGGATGTGGAATAGTAATAGTAATAATCATCATCATTCTGGTAAAGAAGAATCGGGGCGTGGGAATAGCTGGACAACGAGACCATCGAGGTTCCTCCTTCTCCTCCTCCTTCAACAGTCCGCCAAGATAATGGTACCATACCACCCTAGATATGCTTGGATACAAATAGAAGAAAGCGAGAGAGAGAGGGAGGGAGGGAAACAGAGAGGCACCCCGTGAACTCCGAAGAATCATGTCCTTTATTGGGACAAGTGCCGTGCCAAGAGGAGATGGTCCACTCACTCGTTTTCCCCTCCATTCCGATTTGAAGCTTCAATTCCACAAATGACAAGCAAGACTTGATGGCTTTTCCTCGATCCATGCACTGCAGGTGAGCTTGTTGGTCTCTTCTGATCTGAATATTGCCTTCTGAATAACGACATGGTTCGATCCTGTTATCTCTCCCTATGTAACCGCACGAATGAGAATGCTGCAATTACTTCATGTAATATGTGCTGAGCACCGCAGGTGTCGCGAAACAAGTAATTAAATTATAATCATGAGAGAACAACCCAGTTACTGATAGGATCCATAGTGGACTATTAATAGAGGCTTCTTCTCGTTTCTCTCGTCTGGTCTGTTCCGGGTTTCTCTTTCGAGCTGCCTGGTTATAGCTCAAGCAATATATTAGAAACATAATAAGACAAGGGCATAAAAGAGGAAGGAAGAAAAAAACAACGTATAAGATGCAATTTCTACCGGGACTCGCAACTTTCTTCAGCATCGGAGGCACCTTGTTCAGCAGTGTCACGGCATGGACCAACCCCATCAGAGACCCAGGCGGTTCGGACCCGTTTCTCGTTTATTCAGGCGATGGTTACTATTACCTCTTGACAACCACCTGGACCAATGTCGAGATCTCGCGGTCTACCACCATCACAGACCTCAAGGCAAGCCCCGAGACCAAGACGGTCTTCTCGACCACCACAGCCTCCATGTGCTGCAACGTCTGGAGCCCCGAGGTGCACTACCTGGGTGACAAGTGGTATATCTACTTTACTGCTGGGGATGCAAGTGATCTTGACGGCCAGAGACTGCACGTCTTGGAGGGTACGTAATGATTCCATCATTATACTATCCAGAACTCGTTATCCTGCTGCCATTCTCTCTCTCTCTCTCTCTCTCTCTCTCTCTCTCTCTCTTATATATGATTGAAATAAGATATTAATAACGTGCCTTGCTACCAAAATAGGTGGCAGCACACCATGGGACGATTACACCTACATTGGCCAGCTCACAACCGAATGGTCCATCGACGCCTCGGTCCTCCGCTTCACCGACTGGGGCAACTGGCTCATGTTCTCGTGCATGCACGGCGAGACGTACCAGTCCATCTGCATCCAGAAGCTCTCGTCCACCTACACGGCGCTCACAGGCTCCATCTACGTCATCTCCACCCCGACCGAGGCTTTCGAGGAGAACGAGTACCCAGTCAACGAGGCCCCCGCCGCCCTCTACTTCAACGGCGTCACCTACATCTCGTACGCCGCCTCCTACTGCTGGAGCCCGGACTACTGCATCGGCCTGCTGACCTGGGACGGCGCGACGAACCCGGCCGAGGCGTCCGCCTGGTCCAAGAGGGACGGGTGTGTCTTCTCAAGCGCCAATGGGAATTACGGGACGGCCAGCAATGGTTGGTTCCAGAGCCCGGACGCCTCGCAGACCTGGATCGTGTACCATGCCACGGATAATGCGGCGGGGGCGTGTGATGATACGAGGTATACGATGGTGCAGCTGCTGGGCACGCATTCGGACGGCTCGCCTAACTTTGGGAGCCCTGTGGACTTTTCGCATGCGTATAGTGAGCCATCTGGAGAGTAAGATGGAGAATGATGGCGACGACGACGACGACGACGATGATGATTAAAGATTATGTTGTGCTTTGCCTGTTGTCAAAGGACTCTGGATATCTTGTCATGAAAAAGAGCAGTAGACATCATAACTGCTGAACGATGAACTCCTACCAAAGAAGAAGAAAGGAAGAAGCCCCAAGATTAATCAACCCGCTGTGATTTCATCTCGTAATTCATTATACGTACTACCGTAATCATTCAACACTCTCCTTGCAACCTCAACAGTGAGAGGTGTGACAAGACCACCCTCGGTCCAGACACCATCCTCATAACTCTCGACGACGCGAAGGAGTCTTGCTCTCGCGTCGTCGATAGAGAACAAGGGCGTCCATCAAATACGATCGACTGGGAACTGCCTGGCCATGTACTCATCCTGCAGCACGAGGACGTTATCCAGCGGCGAACTGTCTTGGCCACGATCCAGGATCGACTCGTACATGTCTCGCTTCTGCAGAAGAGGCCCGCCCTTGAACGCCTCAGGAATAAGATCGAAGCCCTCCCGACACGACGCGACGTACTCGTCGACAGTGATGTTAGACCCCTCACCCTCCCTGTAGGGGGCCCTCGTCGCCGCCGTCGACGGTCGCGCTTCTGAAATCCATGCCCACGGCGCGGCTCTCATACACAAACGTCAAGTTGGCGCGCCATGCGTCATGTTGGGAGACACACACACACACACACGCACACACGGCAGATGTACGACACTCATTGTTCACAGCAGCAAGGAGGAGCAGCAGCCTGCATGTGGCAGAGGAAAGGTAGGAGGGGAGGAAAGAACACAAAGGGGAACGAGAATGGTGAGCTTTGTTCCTCTTTCTTTTGCTACATATCATATTCATCATTTGGTACATGTACATGCAATATGTGTCATTTCTCCCCTTCTTTTAGCATATTATGATGCTACAAGACACATTTTCAGCAAGGGAGGGTGATTCCACGCTAGATATACTTGTGAGTACTTACTTGAACTTTTGCTGCATGACAAGTCGAATTAGTAATATGGGGGGCAAAGACAAGGAGGAATGTACGCTCAGAGGAAAGAATATCATCAAGTGAATTATAAAACGTGACATGCCCGTCTGATGTTCAGCGTATCATCACCGTTCTGACAAGATCCTTTTATATAGTGTTTGTCTGGGAACTTACACTCAGCCTTGCGACTACGTTGAACACATACAATAACATGGCCAGTCTTTGTCCGATAGACTGACAGTCACGCACGTAATTCTCGTTGTTGATCCCACCCACTCATCCGTTCATTCGTAGGCCACCAGCAGACGATGCAGCTCATGTGGTCTCGACCCTCGATCCTCTCCGGCCATGGTCCGGATCACCTTAGCCGGGACGACAGCGCAAAAGAGGGAGGGGCCGCAGAACTATTAGTACCCCACAGCTCGCGGGACTGATCCGGCATATGTACTATGTAAAGGCCCTGAATAGTACCCCGATACATTGTGGGTCCCCATCCCCTCCTATGGCGACAGTGGGTGCTGCTGGTCCATGAATGTGGAAGAGCTGTTTTTTTTGTTTGTATTTATTTATAGTTATGCTGTTGGAAGATGAGCCAGCCAACACAGCAGAAGGTGAAGGTCAAACGAGCACTGCTGTTTCTTTTCTTCTTCTATCCCAACGTGTGGTTGAAACAGGAAATACCTTCTCGATTGTCGACATGCGCACGACGGTAATGGGAACAACGCGGCCCACGTGAAAGCCATTCCACGACGTAGAAGGTTGCAGCGCGAGGAAAGGGAGAAAGTGGGAGAGTAGCAACGTCTATATGCGTAGTATGATGTGCGCGCAACGATCGAGGACGTCAAGACCCTACTTCATAATAAGGTAGACGAGGTAGAAGAGAGTTGAACCACAAGAAATAGTCATGCCTTCACCCACCGATCAAGCCTGCCCAAGGACAGCATCGCCTCTGACCATTGATGCAACTAACCCCGACTCTAGAAAAGGAAAAAGAAGAAAAAGAGAAAGAAAAGAAAAAAAGCAACTTGTTGGACCTGAAAGCATTATTACTCGCATTTGTAGGTAGCACACAAGAAAACTAGTTTCCTTAGGATCGACTTTTATGCACGCCGAATGAGGGAGGGCAAGGGAGGATGATAAAGTGGGTGGGGGTCTCAGCCTCAGCATTCGCGTCCTCGACGCAAGACGTGACATGGAGCCTGCATGGGTGTGTAGCGGAACACGCAAGCCAAAAGAAAGCAATGGAGATCTGCCAAAAGGCGCCAAGCAGAAGAGAATACTGTAGTAGATGTTACATTGCCCGACAGTATTTTCGTTGCGTGAGAAGGACAGTCTTTGCCTGCTTTACGTCGTTTCCCCGTCCACCAAGCAGTAAGACAATGTCTCACCTACCGCGCCGGACTACTTTCGCGCGCACCTTGGCACACGCTCTGCTGTACTATCGTAGATAAAGAAGCATGGAAGGGGTGGCTGCACGCCAGCTCAGGGAGGGCATGCCTGATTCAGGGGTCGTACACATAGAAGACCCACAGTGGCGTCGTCTGGCCCTCGGAGCTGTGCTCTTGAAGGAACGTCCTACGGGCCCATGACTGACTCTCTCTCCCCCCTCGCTCTCTCTGCACTTTTCTAACCTGCAATTTATTTCCATATTCTCACCTGTCGCCTTCTAATTTGTTTGTCATGTGATGACCAGAGAAGAACGGTGAGATTCGACGTATGAAGAACCAAGTTGTTCGATCTTGATTGTCTGTGGAGGAGGCTTATAATCCTCGCCGCCCAAGATGGCGAGAGAGCCGTCTCCCAGTATGTATGCGCCTCCGCCGACGAGGGCCAGATTGCGAAACAAGGAGTACATGTTCGCGCTGTTTGCTGCAATCTTTGTGTTAGCATGCTACTTCTACGTGAGGGAAGGATCCGACACTCGGGCAATATCATCTCTTCCGAAAGAGATAACACCACCACCGATCAGTGACGCGGTTGCGGCAGAACCACCATCATCACCAATCTCGCCTGGGACGGCCGAGATTGATACCACATTTTTGGACCATGATTCCTCTTCATCCTCATCATCATCTTCTTCCGACAGCTCCAGCTCCAGCAGCAGCAGCAGCAGCAGCGACGACAACAGCGACGATGGACGCGAGCAAGCAGAGGGCCACAGCAGCAGCAGCAATGATGCAGGCGGTGTAGCAGTCCCAAGCCCGGCGTACCTGACCAAGTACAGCCCCAGGGCCGTCATCATCGAGTCGTCCATCATCCCGAACCTCATCCCGCTGATGCTGCACTTTACGACCATTCTTGGCCCCAGCTGGGGCATCATCCTCTTCACCCTCCAGGACAACTGGATCGAGCCACTCTCCCCGGCCTTCCAGCGTCTCAAGACCTCGGGCCACATCGAGATCCGCTTCCTACCCGCCGACACCGAGCTCAGCAACTCCCACTCCGTCTCCGTCTTTCTGACCTCGCCGTGGATCTGGCAGCAGGTCGAGCTGGCCAAGCGCGTCCTCCTCTTCCAGTCCGACAGCATCCTGTGCGCCAAGTCCGAGGCTGCCGTCGACGATTACTTCCAGTACGACTTCTTGGGCGCCCCTATCGCCCCCATGTACGGTTCCGGATACAACGGCGGGCTGTCGATCCGCAACCCGCGCATGTTCCTACAGATTGTGCGGGAGACAGATTTTGCCACGAGCGGGCACGAGTTCGAGGACCAGTTTTTCTTTGCCGAGCTCGAGAAGCGCGGCGCAGAGCTGCCCGACCAAAACGTGGCCAAGACGTTCTCGGTCGAGACCATCTACTACGAGACCCCGCTGGGCTATCACCAACCGCAGAGGTGGCAGGCGGCGCATATGGAGAGCATCGAGGACTGGTGTCCCGAGGTGAAGATGTTGATCGGCAGGAGGGCGCAGTGAGCGGCTAGGTTTTCTCTCAGCCGTCCATCGAGCTGGGCTAGACAACAAAGGGAAGGCCGGTCGCGCTGTCGGAGCTTCTTTTTGTTGTTTGTGAGACACGAGAGATGAGATGAGACTCTTGACGATCGGCGTATAAGGAGACACCAGGGGATCGTGAATACAAGAGTGGACTCGCGAGCCTCAAATGTCACTGTCAACGTGACTCTCTCGCCTCGACTCGGCTAAAGAAGCGAAAGCTTGGCAACATGCGAGACTGGCGGCCCCTCACATTTTCATTTGGATGAGTCGGGACTTGCTGGAACCACATCCAGCTTTCGTCGCACGTGGTCTCCCTGCTGTCAGTATTTCGCACGATGAGCCAGGTGATACCTCAAGTGCTCTCTTTGCCCTTCGAGAGCCAAGAAAAGGACACTCACTCCACACGGCTCGCCAGACTGGAACACGAGTCGGCACATTGAGGACCCATGAAAAGCGGCTGTGCGCACCTGGGCGATGTGGATCCGTCTTTCGTCCTTCGTCTTCATATCTGTGTTGGGAGGACAATCGCTCGAATCTGTTGTGCGACACCATAGAGGCTTTGCACAGCCTTGTGTAAATTTAGATGACATCAATAATCTCAGACCCCAACCTGTGGGTGCGTACGTTCTGCGGACAGCATAAGAGAGACGTCGCGCCTTGCCGCTGAACGTAAACAAAGCTGTGCATGGGGTCTGTGTTGTGGCGCACTATCGGAAACTGGAATCCCCCTTCTGGAATCACTGCAACGTCTCGAAGACCAATCCCCCTTCTGCAGAAAGACGTCGGCCAAAATGTTAGGCTTGTAAAGGTTAATAACCGAGATAAAACTCAATAGTCTTCTCGTGTATACAACTGTAGGCAGAATTTAGTCTCCTCACAAATTCCAAAAGACCCTCCCACGTGCCTCTCTCTGGCTCTATGTGGGCCAGCTTGGGCTCGACTTTGTGGCTCGCTCCATAGCTCCATGGCTTCATGGCATCACGGCGCCAGGCCAGTGCGTCTGCTGAGGAAACTCATCCCATCTTCTGAGATTGAGAAAGGGATGATTGTGGCCGAGCCAGTTGCATGAAGTAGTACTAGTAAGAGATCAAGTGGAAGATCCACATCCAGCAACGCCGATGGCCTGGTAGAGGTGAAACGTGAACACATCGGAAGCCTTTGGTCGCCCTGTGAAGTGCGTGCAAAGGCCCTTGTGCAGTGTGGCCCGTGGGTGATCAGCACTGGTTGACAGCGGCTGTCATCATGGGTATATTTTGTGAAAACCCCACACAAGCCACGAAAGCTGGAATCCTCCTCGAGATTCGTCGACGGGGTTTTCTTGTTTTGCAGGTAGGCCAGTACCTTGATGGGCTACTACTGACTGGGACAGATCACCAGTCAGAACCTATTGTACTACTATAGTACAGAGGCCGAGAGGGTTTAGTATATTACGCCGTCCCAGTTGGAGAGCCATTTGCCTATACTCAGAGGGAGGCATTGGTGCCGATGGTTTCCACTGCGTTTCAATCGGGGGCACAAGACAAATCACCATTTCAGATGAGCCTTTCTCTAAAGGAAAGGGTCTCTTGTACATAGTATTCCAACACGCGAGGTGCCTCAGCAAAACGCTGCAGTCGGCGGATGCTGGCCCCCGAGGCACCGACCTTGTGGAGACCAATTCGACAGGCGCTTAGGACCCCGAAGACACAGGCGGCTGCTGTGACCAGCCAGTGGGCCCACATTGCTTGAGCAACGAGCATGTCTCTCACTCTTTCAGTCTCTCTTTAAGGCTGCTTCCTAGGATGACAGGGCTGAGTTGCTGCGCCTGCAGTGGAGGCTGAACAGACAAAATCCGTATCATTTGTCGACACATCCTCCTGTTGTCGTATACATGGTACGTAAACCTGGTCTCATGTGTAGGTGCAAGGCGGTCTCGAGGCTGGCCCGAGTGATGCGGGCCACTGTGATCGTTGGGTGGCCAGGACCATTGCCAGCGAATCGGTCCGGTAGTGAAGGCCTGACCTGAAGGACAACCAGACACCCATTATTTTATCTTGTCTGCAAGCCGCTCTGTGCAGACCCTCAGCTGCCAAGGGGCAGCTGGTCGTATTTGTGTGGCGAGCAAAGCATGAATTCCACTGGCACTGGAATCCCGGGTCAGACGAATGGTGCATTGATCGGCGCAAAACGAACCGGCGCCAGCATTGAGGCAGTGCTCGGTTTAATACGACAACTCGCCAATCCATTACACCTTGTGCGCACCCATCCATCCACGCCGTCTGCGCAATCACAAAGCCTCGTGGGCCATCAACTGTCATCGCCGTCGTCCTCATCGGATTTAATCCCTTTCAGCATTCCGAGCTACCGTGATTTCTTATGAACCTTCATTGTTCCGTATTGTCCTAGGACGGCGCATCCTTCCTGCAGTACTATGGTAAGCAGTAATCAGGAATAAGGCAGTGCAGTGTAGTCAGTCGTAAACAGCCTCGTTTGTGACGATCTGAGGACTGCTTCCTTTTACCATCACCAACCCAGGAATGTGGGCAAAAGAAACGAAAGCAGAAAAAGAGTGGTAGACAGCGAGGAGAGACGCGACAGCCTGTACATTAAGGTTATCAGCTATTGCCATGTGTAGTCTAGAAAGCAGCAGAAAGGAGAAAAAGCAAATTGCAGCAGGAATGAAGACAGACGCTCGATGCTACTCCGCTTGGCTTGGCAGCCCACCGTGAGAAATACGCAGTAACGTTTTGTGCAAATCAGCGGAGATTGATGACTTCAGAGGCAGGACGCCGCACGCTGTGCTGTCCCCCTTGGCTGGATGGCCCCTTCCCCCACCCCAGGTCGTGATCTACCCTGTCCAGGCGCAGGGGTGAGGTCATTAACCGGTAGAGACCCCCCCCCTATGTTCCTTCCTCTGCCTTTTTAGTGGATGGAATTCAGTCAGCCCCCACTACCCTTGCACCTTTACTACAGCAGAAACGCCGTCGACGTCAGGAAATGCACAACAGACGATGGTAATTTGACGAGGAATTAATTTCTGGAGAGGCTCATCCTAGACCTTGCCCCCACCCTGGTCTACTATAGTATGATGGTACACCCACTCCTCACTACTGCAACTTCTGCACCTGCCCAGACTCTGATCCCCCCCACCCCCCATTTCGGTTTCATATTGTTGATCTCAGACCCATGTCTCTGCCCAGACTTTTAATCCCGTCAAAAGGAATGGAATCTTGGGTTTCAAGCAAATCCGCGCCCATATGATGGAATCAACTTGCCCTGCCCCCCCTTGTCTCTTTACTCGTTGCATCTTGTTCACACCCTTTGTCGTTAACTTTCGTAGGCTGGCTGCTAATTTCCTGTTTTCCTCCTTCCTTTCTACCATCGACGACATACCTTGAACTCTTTCCTTTCCTTCTTCTTTCCCCTCCTCTACATTTTTCTTCCTAACCCTACCAGTTTCTAACCATTGATCGCCATTTCAGTCGCCATCTTATCATTTGCATACAGCTAGAGACTTGGGTACCTTTTTTGACCTGAGATTTACGGAGCGCTACCCACCCCTATTCTTGTTGAACCAAATTCAGACGTCATTTACTTTTTTTTTTTGTCCGCTCGAGGCACGAGTCACGAGAAGATCTTCACATGCGGAGATGGGGGATTATAATGCGTTTAGACCCGGCGGTGGTGATATCGAGATGAATGCCGGGGCAGAGAGGATACGGACAAACAACACATCGACCACGTCAGGAACAAGCTCTGCAAACGAGTTCACCAAGACGGAGCCTTCCTCCGAAGACGACGACGGGCCAGAGACGGACTACCAACCGATCAACTGGAAGAGACTTTTATTCACGCCCAAATACATCGTGCTATGGATCGTCCTCATCATCATCGGCGTCCTCACGGCCGTAATAACGTTGAAACATGACCAGGTGGTGGCAGCCCTGCGCCCATTCGCAGAGAAGGTCCGCGACATAACCGCCGGGTGGCTGATCTTCGTTGCGGTTCTGTTTGTCATCTCGTTCCCGCCCTTGTTCGGCCATGAACTGGTTGCGCTGTTGGCTGGTGTTGTGTACGGCCTGTGGATAGGATTTGCGGTCGTCGCGGCTGGCACTTTCATTGGCGAAAGTAAGCATAGACTCGTTTCCTTCTGAGCAAAGATGTTCCTCTTCTATTCCGAGGTTTTGCACTGGGCTCGCTGACAAGGATTTTGCGCAGTCGGAACCTGGTTTGCGTTCAAGAGGTTTCTGCGGAAGAAGGCAGAGAAGATGGAGAGGACCAACCTCACATATGGAGCCATGGCCAAAATGTGTCGTGATGGTGGCTTCTGGGTACATTTCACAGCCCTGCCGTTCCCCACCGGAGAATTTTTGTTTCCATTTAACTGACTTGGCCTTGTTACACTTATCTAGATTGTCTTCGTGATACGCCTTTCCATTGTCCCTTCGCATATGTCAACTGCGGTCTTCTCCACCTGCGATGTTAAATTCTGGTACTTCGCCGTCTCAACCTTCTTCACCCTTCCGAAGCAACTGATTCTGGTGTACCTGGGCGTGCTGCTCGTCGGCGGTCAATCCGACTTTCTCGTCAAGTTTGCCTTGTTTGGTGTTGCGGGTGTCGTCACCGTGGGGGCCGGTGTGTGGATTTGGTACAAGATGATCAACATTAAGAAGGATTTGCTCGCGAAGCAGGAACAGAGGAAGGCGAAGCGGGCGCTGGCCAGGAACAACAGCTACCACTCCTCAGATGTCCAGGGGGCCACAAACGAGCAGCAGGCCAATGGCAGGGCATGGCAGCCCCAGGACGACGACATGAGCAACGCATATGCGGCACAGACCTCGTCGCCGGTGGTTGGCGGCACGGCGTGGCAGCAGCAGCACCAGGACAACGACATGGGGAGCGATACATATGGGAGCAGCACATATGCGGTACAACAATCGCCCCCGACATATGAGGCGTACAGGCCGCGCACGGCGCAGAACCCCGCGTACGCTGCCGACGGCTTCACCCCGTATCGAGCAGGTTCCTACCGAGCGGAAGAAGCAGACCTGGGCACATACGGAGGACGATACGAGTACCCTGAGACATATAACAGCCCTCCTAGGACCAAGCCAGAGGAGACTCGTGATTTCATCTAAGACACACGCGCGCGCGCACACACAAACGCGTAAAGAGAGGGAGAGAGACGTTGGAACTACATACAACAACAACCACCACCATGGGGCTCGATACACTTTTGTTGATGATTGCATTTTGGCGTTCGGGGAGCGGTGTCGGCCGGCCTGATAAACCTCCAGCCGGGCGACTGGACATGACATGTTTGATGATAAAAGGGTTGAAATTGAACAACACACGGCGTCAAGGGAGAAAGGCAAAGAGAGATCTCGGTACACTGACACAGGCCAATCTATGATCTTGGGAGGAAACACCCCACACATAACTGGGAGCTGTACGACAAATGAAATGTACAATCTATGTACTACGCTTGCTTTTTGGACTTGAGAGACGGTGCATGCTTTGCCCGCACCGCTAGCAGACAGACTGTTTACCAGTAGTAGCTCAAGCATTGAATTCGACACAAAGCATTCTTAGAATGCGACAATCTTCATTGCTTATGATTTATAACTCGAGAATAAGATAATCCTCCAGACATGAAGTGAAATTCAGCAGAGGTAGAAAAACCTGAAACGTATCCGTTTGGTTTGGGCAGCCAAGTTTCTGCTCCACGCTCCTGGACTGGACAAGAGACATTCCTAACGTGTATCTCTACTCACCTGTCTGTCTTGCTGAGCGCTATAACCTCACGCTATGCTGACGAACTCTGCCTTTGCATCTTTGTGTCCTGCAAATGGAGCTCATATCACCAACCAGGCTGACTGACTACCTCTTCCCAGAAAAGGTAAGCAGGCAGCCCTAAGAACCTTGGGCTCTCCCTGCCGCCCCTCCTAAATCCAACAGGCCTGATGATTCCAGGTCCGATAGACAGTTATTACTCTCTGCTCCCTTGCCCAGCTGGCTTTCCCCTCATTTCACGAACCCCCATGACGCCTCAACATCTCGGCCACCTTGCTGTTCATATTACGGTCCATATCCTGACACATCTTCTCCAGCCGGAGGTCCTCCCGTATCGAGTCCACCTCCTGGTTCCCCAGCATAAACCTCCACGGCGTCCATAGCACGTAGTACCCCGCGGCGCAGAACAGGCCGACAGAGCCAGTCCTCACGACGCGCCTGGCCAGGGTGCCTAATACCTGGCTCCTGCTGGCGCCGCCAGCGCCGTAGTGTATTTGTGAGTGTGTTTGGGGTTGATGATGTGTCTGGCCGCCCGAAAAGTGTGTGATGTGCCCGTCCGCGCCGACCGTGCCCATCGTCGCACTCTGTGCTGCTGCTGCTGCTGCTGCATACTGCTGGTATTGCTGCGCGTGCGCCGCGGCGGCAGCGGCAGCGGCAGCAGCAGCCCTGTGCCCACTCTTTGCCCAGCTCCGCGCCATAAGCCAGGCTGCCAGACCGAGTGCGACGGGGCGATCATAACTAGCGGCAACGGCGGTGCGGGTGATGGGCTCGAGGACGGCGTCGCGCTCGCGCAGGGACAGGCGGCGGCCGGCGGCGCGGGTGTAGAAGAGGAGGGATTCGAGGCACTCGTCGCGGAAATCGGCGTCCGAGTAGCCCCAGAGCAGGCTGAGGGCGGGGAGGGCCGGGTAGCGAAACCAGGGGATGGTGGTGATGTACGAGGTGTTGCGGCGGAGCCAGTCGTCGACGGCGGCGTCCTCTTGGGGGGTTGGGTTGTCGAGATCTGCGGGCAAGGGTGGGGGCGGGTCGGAGCGTGCGGAGGGTGTGTTGTCGTTCTCTGGTGAAGAAGAGGCGGAGGGGAACGAGGAGGAGAGGAAGGGGTTTGATATTTGAGGTGGTAATTTGTCTGCCATATTTTGTTTGTCGCACTTTTTTCCTCGGCTGGGGAAGAAGAGGCGGAAGAAATGAGGTGCAATGTTTCTGTAGGGTGTACTACATGTGTAGCATAGAGAGCGTTCTGGGAGGCTCTAAGGAACAATTAACAAAAAAAAATAGAGTGTGTGCTTGAATCTGTCGTCAGTGTTGCGCAAGGGCGGGAGGATCATTTAGAATCGAAGGTTGGATGAAGGAGCCGTTGATGGTATTTCGTGGTGGGTCTTTGCATGAAGCAGGGGTTCACTGAACGTTCTGATGGTAGAAGGCCCGGAAGGCCCCTGAGCGGCCCAACAGTGCGACAGAGGGCTGCCAATGTGGCGTCTGGATTTCTAGATCCCACCAGTAACATGTTTCATGGGGGCGCCTAGCAGCAGAAGCAACTACACTACTACCATAGTAGTGCAACAGTAGTTGGTGACCTGAAAGGGTGCTGTACATGGCACTGTAAGTACTGCATCAGTAAGCGGGGTCACACTTCGTTCATCAAGCAGTCTTGTATGAATTGTTCTTGAGATGTCTGAGACCGTTTCTTGCTTTCCTTCTCCCTCTCTCCCTTGAATATTTTTCACACACACACGCTCTCTCTCTCTCTCTGTTGTATGTCAAAAAAAAAAAAAAAAAAAAAAAAAAAAAAAAAAAAAAAGGTCTGAAGTAGTTCATGCAGCACGCCTTCCCCCCTCCTGCTCCTTCTTCTCTGCACACGCCAAGAAGGCCTGCATCTATCCTTGCTAGCATACTTCAAGTAGTCTCTTCAAGAATCAAAATAAAAGTTGATCCGAAGGCTAGGTTTGCTCAATCTGTATCCCACTCCAAGACACCTATGATTCTTGTAACAGACTGATCTAATCGGAACTTCCAGATACCGCTTGCAAAGGACTTATATGGATACATGCAGCACTGTCTGAAATTGTCTATGATCCACAATAAATCTCCATGTCCAAATCAGAGGTTCAAAGGCTTGTTGTGGAGTTTGCAGGGCAATGTGACAGATTATTTTCCAAGTGTGCTTCTTTAGGCCGGGTGCACGTATCCCTGCACGGAATTTCACGCCAGCATCATCGCCAGACGCTCTTGCCCTGTCTTTTGCTATCATGCCCCTGTTTTTTTTTCCCACTAACAGATGCCCACCCCCTCCTTGCTCCTTCTCTCCCCTCTCTTCCTATGTGCTCTGAATACTAATCGTTTTCTGCCTACGCATTCTGATTCCATCATTCTTGAGTTTCAATCATTAATTCTTCTCTTTTCATGTCGCCAACTGACACATCACTTGCTAATTTTTTAGATGTTTAACTCTTTGTTCTTTACCCCCAAGTGAGATTGAAGGCCCATCATACAAAAACCCGCCTCACCCCAACAAAACCCGAGAAGCTGTCCCCACCCAACGCCTTCAGCCCACCGCGTAAACGTGACAGAAACACGAGGGAAGACGCGATCCCACCGAGATCTAGCTTGAGTCACGTCATCCGTCTTGTATTGAGACCGCAGCTATCAATGCCAACACTCGCAGCATGGCACCAGGAGGAGCACCAGGACCACCTGTAGGGGCACCAGGCCCAGCCCGTGACCTGTTTATCCTCCCAGGTTTCGCTCCTCGGCTGCAGCTGGAGCTGGATGTCAGGTCTGCGTCTTTCCGAGCTATCTGGGTGCGAAGGACATACACAGACGACAGCGTCCGAGACAGGGTCCGAGATTGCATCAGTGCTGGTGGTGGAGGAGCAGGAGGAGGAGATGGCCAGCGGTCCCCCGAGACACTCTTCCAGGAGGTCTGCTACGGCAACAACGTCACCCTGCTCTTCCGGCTCTGCTTCCACCTGAGCGACTTCTACGGGTCTGCCACGCTGTGGGAATCCATGGCCCGCGGCTTCTCCACAACACCCGGGGCGATCGAGGACATGGTCAAGATCCTCAGCCGTGCGCGCAGTGCTTACATTGAGCAGCACGGTCCTGCTTTGCGGTCGGGGGCTACCAAGGCCGCCGACCTTTGGATCGACTACGTCGAGACCCGAGGAGCTGCCCCGCGCCCACATAGAGGAGGTTCCGCGGCGTTCCACAGGGTGGAGAGCTACCTCGCAAACGCGGCTGGCACGTTTCTGCAGATGGACTCGGCCGCCATACTCGACCGCCCACGCTCGCGTCCTCCTGCCTCTACCTGGCGACCCTCGCGCAAGAGGTCGAGATCTCCACAGGGCAGTTGGGACGGAGACCAACCGGGCCCAAAGCGTACGTCCGTGCACGTGCCCACACCCAGCCCTGGCCCCTCTCACAGGCGGGAGCCATCTTCTGGTGGTAGTGCTGCGGCCGCGCTCGATGCCGTGGCCGCTTCGTCGGTCAACTCTGAGGTGGAGGCCGCGAGGCAGGCAGGTCAGACACCAGGCAAGGCCGAGGACGTTTCCAAGGCGCAGCGTGTTCCTCCCTCGTCGGACGGTGGCAGGGCCCCTTCTGTAGAGAACACGTATAGAATCCGCAGTTGTGCCAGCCAGGACAAGACTCCCACGCCGTCTCCCGGGGAGCTCCTGGCAGGGGGGGAGGAGGACGTGGTAGCGAGACTGCGGCAACGGATTGAGCAGCTTGAGAAGGAGAATGCTGCGCTACAGAGAGCCGAGATCCAGGAAAAGGCTGCTGCGAGCACAGACCCTTTGCAAAAGCTGGCCTCGTTCGAGAAGAGGCTGGCAGAGACAGAAACCCAGCGGACAAGGGATGCAGAGAATGCACAAGCCATGATTGCGTCTCTAGAGACGAAACTGTCCACGATAGCTGCTTACACGGAGACTTTGCAGGGGTTACAGGCCAAACTTGGTTCTCTCGAGAACAGGCTGGTTCTTCTGCAGACCGCTCCGCCCGTCGAGGTGCCATCCCGTTCAACAGTAACGAAGCCATACGCGGGAGAAGACGATCTGCGCGGGCTGGAAGCAAGGGTGGCAGCTCTCGAGCACGAGGGGAGGCCTTCAGACCCGCCGGGAGAAGGGGAAACGAGTGTCGGGGCCGAGCCAGCCATCGCACGGGTGGAACATCGCCTCGCTATGCTCGAGGGCACATTATACGCGTCTACAGCCATGAACACTCCTTCCACGAGAGACATCATGGACCGCCTCAGCGCGCTCGAGGCGCAGGGGCCGAGATTTGTCAAGACGACGTTCGACGCGCCCCAGACGCCCAAGAGCCCGTCCCCATCACACGACGCCACGATCCAGCGCAACATGGAGAACATGGTCAACAAGAAGATCCAGAGCCTCCCCACGATGGCCTCGGTGACTGAGAAGGTCATCCAGATCGAGACGAGCTTCAGAGAGATGTTCACCCCATACCAGAGGGACACGAACGCGCGCTTGGACACGGCGGAGAAGGAGATCGACGCGTCCAAAGTCCGAATCAAGGAGCTCAACAAGCAACTGAACAAAAATACGAACGAGTTAGACAAGTGGAGCGCTTCCATCAAGGGGCTGGAAGGCGCCGTTACGAAACTGATCAACAGGCCCAACACCGCCAGCGGCGGTCAGGTCGCACCATGCCCGAATAACGACGAGCTTGCGAGTTTGAAACAAGCGATCAAAGAAGAGGAGAAAAAGCGCGAGGCGGCTGCTGCAAAGACGGCCTTGCTGATGAACCATGTCAACAAGATCGATACAGAGGTCGGAGAGCTGCTGAGGCATCTTCAGCCAGATGGCCTTTAATATATGATGTAAGACGAAGCGACAAGCGTTGCCTTGCTGCAACTGATTTTCCTGTCTCTTTAGCAACATCAACTCTCGGATAAATACGTTTCTGCCGAGCTCACCCAGCTCCGGCTTGCCTTGCTTTACTGGAAAGTAAAAACTGTCGGGCCCGACTATGATTTTTATTTTATTTTTCTAATGAGTCAACAACACTAAGACGGCGAAACTCGCTGTTCCGTATAAGTCCGGAGTCAGGGGTGCCAATCGATCCATTACGAATACGAACGGGATAGGCCACACTCTCCCTCTCTCACACACATACCAAAGCATACACACAACCACAAGGAACATGGCACCTCGCCAGTGAGCGTTCATCTGGAGGGAACGTGGGGTAAAAACAGTACGGACCAGGCTCTTTGGCGCCTCGTTGAAGCTTCCTCACAGCGAGAAGACGGCTGAAGCAGGCATGAGGGGTAGTGGTAGTACATGGTCAAGAGGTGGTATTCGAAGAAGGGAAAGAAAGAAAAAGAGAGGGAGAGAGAAAGAATATGTTTTGAAGCAAAAAAAAAAAAACCACACCTGAGGAGCTCTTAAGTTACGACGTCTGGGACCTCTAGCAATCACAAGAAACACTTGTACCAATCACACGGCAGCTCGCTTATGTGTTGACCTTGGAGGCGTTCGTTGCCGAAGTACCCGAATTGTCCGAATCCACCGAATCTTCCGAAACCTCCGTGATGCACGGCTGACAACGCTTGCGGTTCGGGGCCTTCGTCCTGGCCGGCTTCCCCCGAGGGGGCATAAGCCTGTGATGAAATGAATAGTCTTGACCATGATGGAAACTAGGCAGATGGCTCCAGAATTTGTATAAAGATGTTGCTTTCGACCTTGATCTGGTCCTCGTACCTCGATGTTCTCATCAAACAGTCACACACACACACAAGGATTACTACTCTTCACCAACCTTTTCTTTAGAAGCCTTCACCACGCACAACACATGATTACCTGAACACACACACACACAAATATACACACACACACACACACACACACACACACACACACACACACACACACACACACACAAATACACACACACCACAAACAAGATGGCCGACAAGACCAACACCAACACGTCCGCAGCCAACCAACCTAGGATCGCCATAGCAGGCGGCGGCCCTGGCGCTCTCACCCTCGGCGTCCTCCTTTCCCAGCGCAACATTCCCTTCACAATCTACGAGCTCCGGCCCCGGCCCACCGAGGCCCAGCTCGACGAGCCCTCTGGCTCCCTCGACCTGCACGATGGGTCGGGCCTGGACGCCATCCGCGCCTGTGGCCTCTTCGACCAGTTCCTGCCCTACACCACAGACTGCGAGGACAGCATGGTCCTCACAGACATGAGCGGTGCGGTTGTGCACTCTGACTCGGCCAAATCGCAAGAGGACAAGTCGTGGCGGCCTGAGATTGCACGCAATAACATCACACGCCTGCTGCTGGGGGCGCTGCCCGAGGGGTGCGTGCAGTGGGGGACCAAGGTCGTCAAGGTGGAGAACGCGCCTGTGGACGGCACGACGACAGGCGAGGAGGGTCAGGCGGTTCTGGTGACGACGCAGAAGAGACACACAACAACAACAACAAGAACAACCGAGAAGGACGGCCAGCAAGGGCTGCAGAAAGAAGAAGAAGACACCACGCCCACGACGGAGTGGTACGACCTCGTCATCGGCGCCGACGGTGCGTGGTCCAAGGTGCGGCCGTTGCTCAGCCAGGCCAAGGTCGAGCTCAGCGGCGTGCAGTGGTTCCCCCTCGTGATCCCGTCCTTCAGCAGCCGGTTCCCAGAGTGGTCCGAGTACACGGGGCGCGGCATGTTCCTCTGCCTGGGCAACCGGCACATGTTGTGCTCGATGCGCGGCGTGCGCGACTGCGCGTACGTGGTGCTGTCGATCAACGGCGCGCGGGCGGGCAACGAAGCCGCCCAGGCGCTGGGGACCATCCCGCTGGCCGAGGCGAAGCAGCGTGTCCTCGGCGACGAGGCGCTGCTCGGGGCGCACGGCGACAAGATCAAGGACTTTGTCGGCCTCGCCTTTGACGAGCAGATAAAAGCACAGGGCGAGCAGGGCCGGCTGCAGGCTGCGCAGCTGGTGGCGCTGCCCCAGGACCACCGCTGGGACCACCGGCCCCACGCCACGCTGATCGGCGACGCGGCCCACGTCATGCTGCCGTCGGGCGAGGGCGTCAACCTGGCCATGCTGGACGCGCTGGACGTGTCCAGGGCGGTGGGGGAGGCATGGACGGCGGTGGGCGGCCGGAGGAAGGGGTTTCAGGCGGCGCTGAGCCCGCTGCTGAAGAAGTGTGAGGAGGGGATGCATGCGCGGGCGCAGAAGGAGGCGGCGGAGTCGGTGGCTATGAATAATGTGATGCTGGGGCCGGATGGGGCGCAAGGGATGGTTAAGTTTATGGAGGAGATGATGGCTCGTATGCAGGCGGCTGGTGCTGGTGGACCGGGGGGGAGGAAATGAGGGGGAGGAAGGGCATTCATTTTTCAGCCTTTGCAAGGAAGCTTTTCCTTTGGTGTTGATGGGGCGTTGTGTAGAAAGAACCTTTCCATGTTGATACTGTGAAACTTGTAGTGCCGTCATGGCACGGCCTCGTCTAGATAGGATGTTCATACTCCACTTATGAATTAGAAAAAGAGACGAAACTCAATACTGCAAGAATATGATGCCCAGATTGCTGTTCATAATGTCTTTTGTATCCATTTATAGTCTTGCTCCAATGAGAAATATGCCCTGGTAGTGTTGATCTAAACATAGACAACTTGTCATGGAACCAAATACAGCAAGAACATGATCATATTTTGGCCACCTTGACACTACCATTCTGGCCTCTGCCGTTCAAGCATTCATCAATCACCTTGGCAATGGCAAGACACTCCTCGTCCCGCATGCGTGTGGTCGATATCTGGATAGAGAGCGGTGCCCCTTGGAGGTTGTCCAGGTTATCTGCCCAGCAAAAGACATCAGCATTGCTTACCAGGAACAAACAAGAACTTTCCAAAAGAGAAAGCAAATGAATAAAATCAGGAAAGACTCACATGCAGGGCCTGTAGACCCAGCCTTCTTCTCAAATGTCCCTGAAAGATGAGCCTTGGTGGCCCTTCCAAAAGGCAGCACACAAGCCGGATACTGAAACAAACCACGACGGCCCCCATCAAGTCAGCAATCTTAACCAAAACCAAAAAGAACGAGAATAAACCATGAACCCTTCCAAAAACTCACATCCAGAAAATTCCAAAGCCCCGTATAAGGCGCGGCCCCATACTGATCATGCTCGACCGCCGTGCTCTGCGCCCCCGGCCCAACCACAGCATCCAACCTCCTCCCAACCCAGACCCGCCGCCAGGCCTCCTGCATCTCAGCCCGCTTCACATGCAGCACCGCCAGCCGCCCCAGCCTGTCCTCGGTCCCCCCACCGCCCCCATTCCCACCCTCCTCCTCCTCCTCCTCCTTCTTCTTCCTCATCGTCCTCGTGTCAGGCACGACCGTCCGATCCCACTGGACCTCGCGCATAACCCCCCTGCTCGCCACGATGGACCCCACAAAGGGCTCGCCGCCGCGGGCGACGGTGTTCATGGCGGTCCTGTCGAGGCCGAACATCTGGAACGCGGCGTCGTAGCTCGGGGCGACGAGGCCCTCCTGCGACGTGAGCGGGACGATCTCGTGGCCTGCGCGGCGGAGACGGTCGGCTGCTTCTGCGAGGGTGTTTCGGACGGTGGGGTGCAAGGGGAACAGAGGGTCCTCGGCGAGGAGGCCGAGGCGCAGGGGCTGTTTTGTTGTCGGGGGAATCGTGCTGGCGTGGCGCCAGGGGATGTCGAGGGCTGTGGCGTCGAGCAGGGCGGGCCTGGCGTCGAGGACGGCCTGCATGAAGATCTCCAGGGCGTTCAGGTCGTGCGAGAGGGGGCCTGCGGAGGCGGTGACGGTGTGGAGGCCTGGGTCGCCGAGGGGGGCTTGTTTTCCGTAGGGGACGCGGGAGGCGGTGGGTTTGAGGCCGTATAGACCACAGCATAAAGAGGGGATGCGGATGGAGCCTTTTGTTTTTTTGGTGCGTACATGTGTATGTATCAGTTCAGGAAGATATAGAGGGAGAAGAGAGGGATAAAGGGAAGAGGAGGGACAGAAAAGGGTGGGTATATACCAGCGACATCTGTGCCAACACCAAGTGGCGAGCCTCGGAAGGCTACGAGGGCACCCTCGCCACCACTCGAGCCTCCTGCGGTCAAACTGGTATTCCACGGATTCAAGGTCCTCCCAAAGACATTATTGTCCGAGTCTGCCGTCTGGAGAAACAGAAAAAGATCAGTAAATATGAGGGGGTTCTTTCTCAGAAACAGACACATGAGGGAGAGCAGGATGCCAGAGAGAGAGAGAAGAGAAAGAAAAGTAAAAACCAAAACACAAACCATGAGCGTCTGAGGAATGTTCGTTTTGCAAAATAGCACCGCCCCCTGCGCAAGGAGCACGTCAACCAGGCACGAGTTCTCCTGCGAGGGCCCATGGTCGAGGTAGTCGACAAAGCCCAGCGTCGCCTCGACACCGCGGACCTGGAAGGAGTCCTTGATGCTGATAGGCAGGCCGTGCAGCGGGCCCACGGGCTGTCCTCGCTCTCGGAGGGTATTGTCTAGATGACGAGCCCTTTCCTGCGCTTCTTGAAAGAAGATCTCGGTGAGACAGGATGTCTGCATTGTCATTTTGGTTGTCATGTTAGCCAGGATAGAGAGAGAGAGAGAGAGAGAGAGAGAGAAGACAGACCAGCTGTTGCGCGATGGCAGCCCTCTTGCAATAAGCCACCGTCACCTCTAGCGACGTGAGTTCCTCCGAGCGAAGCGCCTGCAGGAGCTGAGACACGCTGTACGCCTCCGTGATGTGGAGCTCTCTCGCCGTCAGGAGCCCCGAGCGGCGCACAATGTCGAGCTCGATGAGGTTGTTCCTCGACGTCTCCAGCGGCTGCTTGAGGTCCTGCACCGCGCTCGAGGGCAGCCTCCATGCCTTGGGGATCAGATCGTCACGCTGTCTGCGTTTTTCGGCCACACGGGTCTTCCAGGCTTGAGAGTCTACGCCGGCCATGATGTTGATGTTGGGGAGTCTAGGAGGGAGGGAGCAAGGGTCCGTCGAGGGGGGGGGGGAGCCTCGGTTGGTTGGGAGTTATAGGAGAGTAAACGAGGGCTCTTGAGTTGGATAAATTGGGCTGGGCTGGTGTATACAAAAGTTGAACATTCAGATATCAGGAGGACGAAAACACCGTCGGGCTTTGTGAATACTATTGTTTGCATGTGCTCCATGTGGTTTACCTGGTTCGCGAGTGCGGAGAAGCTGGTCTGGTATCGTCTACGGCTGAGTAAGGTGGATCTACTGTTACTTGGAGGAGTAAGGATTGGAGAGTGCACTGCAAATGTCATCTCAGCGACTCGATATTGTGGCATTTTTTTTTTTTTTTCACCTGTGGCCAGCCAGTGAGGGGAGTCGTAAAGATGAGGTGTACGTAACTCATCCATTTAGATCGTGTATACCCTTTTTCTTACTTGTCTCTCTTGTGTAACAGTCGCCTGTATAGTTTGTGCTTACTCCGAGGTCAGATTTGCGTATGTATTGACGAATCATCGAGCAGCGCCACAACATCAAGATTCGCCAAATAAAACGACCAAACTCTTTATGTTCTGCACTCTTTGATATGTACTGGGTGAAGTCTCAATCACATCTCGTGGCTCGGAAGACGGAATGAATGCACCCTGTCCACCCATGAGAGGAGGACTACCTAAGTAATCAAACCAGCTAGCCAGCCAGCTCACCACGCCTTACCTGCAGCCAGCATTGCAGTGCAAGACGCAGAGGCAGTTGAGATACCCTGCTATCTCTCCTTTACATTACACACAAAGAACTTACCACAGTATGCTAAGGTAGTACTCTATGTGGCACAACGATCTCCGAATGCGCATGTTATGTGCAGGGCGCTATAAGTCCAGGGGTGAGGGGTGGCGGGCTGCAAGGCACCGCATGCACATCGCATCTCATCTCAGCCGAGCCCATGTACACAGAAAAAGGTGTGGTAGTATCGACCACGACGTTCTGAGCAGGTGGTGACGGCTTCAGAGTTCTTATAATAGTATCGAACAACGCTCTATCGCCTGCAGACATGCAGTTTAGACAGGTGGAAGGGGGGCGGGGACGAAGATCTGCACGCTCCAACATAGTAAGGATATGTGCATGTGTCACCAAGAAGTGTACCATAGTTATAGCGCGCGGTACGGTGAAATGATAGGGACCGACAAGACATCCACACGGGGAGTGTTTCTACTGTAGGTGGAGAAACAAGAAACCAGTTGACGTCTCCGCTGCGATAGACCATAGTGGAACCCAATGGTCGGTGTAAAAAGAAACAAAACAAAAAAACAAACAAAAAGAAAGTTAAGAAAGACGAAAGATTAGAACAGACGGAAACATCGGGGCCAAGCTTTGACAGAGAGAGAAAAGGACAAACAAAAAATAACTCTAAAAGAAAAAGGGGTAGGGGCAAAACACTGGGGGCGAGCGCGCGCATGAACGTTGTTGGGGATACAGTAATTAAGCTCTTGCTTGCCTGGGTATGGAACCCCTTCTGCAATGTGACCCAACCTTTGGACGACCCGCACCGAGGATAGAGGCGAACCAAATAGCCAAGAAGACGGGAGGACTTGCAGGACAAGACCACGATTCAAGTCCAGACCGTCGTCCGTCTTCTCCAAAGCTGGCCATTCCTGCAGTAACTCCGATTCGAAAATGATTCAACAATCCTCACACTATTGATTCCAGCCGCAGAACTAACCACCAACACACCAACTTATTATCCACTCTGACAGCCTTCTAGCACTTCTTCCAGGTCCTCTTCCCCATGTTTTTTTTCCCTCTCCCCACGATCTCCTTCCAGCAAAACCCCACGATTTCGGCTTCTACATCTGGGGGAGACGGAGGGGAAAGGGGACAGCGGAGATTGAGGAGCTATGTGACCCTTGGAAGGGGGCCTCGGAGGCTGGCAGAAGTGTCCAAACCATACTACACACTATACTGGCATAGTGAACGGAGACTAGAAGGGCGCCTTTGTCCGCACGTGCTTTGAGAGGCTAACTTGTTTTCCGGCACGCATGTGTAAGCTGGCTGGGCTTCGGATCTAAAAGACAACGCCGCTGGATGTTTCTGGACATTGACCGTGCGCTCTTGAGGAGAGGACAAGGAGGAGAATGATGTAGACCAAGAGGCCTGATTGCTTTTGTCATGACCAGAAGTGATACCGCTCGGCAATGTCCCAAACCTGGAAGTTGGAGGGGGGAAGTGGACATCTCCTCGCCCCCAATTCCCTGTCCATCATGCCGTTCTGCCGTGTTCCCCGTGGGGGGTGGAAACATGACATCGTGCAAGATGGCAGCTGCAGGGAAATCGGAAGAGAAGAATGCCATAGTAGAAAGAAAAGCAGGAACAGGTAGAGCATCATAGGAAGGACTACCTCAGGGGAGTATTTCTGGACTCCGCCCCGGCGCAGCTGTCTACGCAGGGCTTCCTCTGCCGTCGACCACCAGAAGCGGGTCTCTGGTCCGTTCCTCACTACGTCAAGGATGTGGACATGGGTGGACGCGTTAGCTAGACGGGTCGGGCTGTCGATCCTCGTCTCTTGGTCTCCGTCGCAGTAAAAGGAAATACCAAGTACTGCATGATATCGTGGTATAGTACAGTATACTTTGATGGCAAAATGTATGGTGCTACTGCACCCACCATCCATGGGACCCCCTCCTCTCTTGTCATTCTCCCTCTCATCTCGGCCGAGCTGGGGGCCTGGCAATGCTGTTTACACCGAGCATGGGGATTGTCCAACCTTTTTTGGGTTCCGTGTCGGTCAGAAGTATATAAACGAGATGCCCTCTGCAGGATGATTCCATCTCCAATGAAGAGAAAAGAGAGAGAGAAGTAGGAGAGAGTAGACGAAGAAAGACCAAGAGGCCCTCAAGTCCACGATAACGACACTTTTCAAACGAACGCTCCGTCGTTCCTTGTTGTTATTGCGTCTTCGCTCATCCCATCACTACCCTCTCTCTCTCTCTCTGTGTGTGTGGCTCTCTTTTGCTCTCTACACTTTCTCTACCATGAGCCAACGGCAAATGTCGCGGAAGGCCCTCGTGGTCGCCACGGCGCTGGCCATGTCGGCGACAGGAGCCCATGCCGTCGCCACCCTCGACGACGTGTGCACCTCGTCCTACGTCGCAGCCCACCTCCCAGCAAGCGGCTTCTACGACTACGTCGGCCTAACCATCAACAGCGACAGCGTCACCGCCAACCCGGTCACCAACTACACCGTGGGCCCCACCGACTCCAACTTCTTCCCTGCCGCCAACTTCGACTACTGCAACGTGACCTTCACCTACAGCCACGACGGCCGCGACGACTCTGTGCTGCTCACGCTGTGGCTGCCGTCGCCCGCCAACTTCCAGAACCGCTGGCTGTCCACGGGCGGAGGAGGCTATGCCATCAACTCCGCCCTGGGCTCTCTGCCCGGTGGCGTCATGTACGGCGCCGTGTCGGGCCAGACGGATGGTGGCTTTGGCATCTACCAGGAGAATGCCATCTCCACGTTCCTGGTCGAGAACGGCACTGTGGACTGGCAGAATGTGTACATGTTTGGGTACCAGGCCATCCGGGAGTTGAGTCTGGTCGGGAGAGCATTTACCCAGAACTTTTTTGAGATGAACGGTACCAAGCTGTACACGTACTACCAGGTAAATTATTCCCTATTCTCTCTCTCTCTCTCTCTCTCTCTCTCTCTTTTAGTTATAAATATATACATGATTACTGACACATATTCTCTCATCAAACAGGGTTGCTCCGAGGGTGGTCGTGAGGGCTGGAGCCAAGGCCAGCGGTTCGGCGACGCCTACGACGGCGCAGCCATCGGCGCCCCGGCCTTCCGCTTCGCCTTCCAGCAGGTGCAGCACTTGTACTCCAACGTGGTCGAGCAGACGCTGGACTACTATCCTCCGCCCTGCGAGCTGGAGAAGATCATGAACGAGACCATTGCCAACTGCGACGGCCTCGACGGCAGACTGGACGGCGTCGTGTCCCGCAACGACCTGTGCGTGGCCAACTACAACATCAGCGCCACCCTGGGTCTCCCTTACTACTGTGCTGCCTCCAGCGGTGGCTTCGGCAAGAGACAGTATGGCGGCGGCAGCACGCCGGCCCAGAACGGCACCGTGTCCGCCGAGGGCATCGCCGTGGCGCAAAAGATCATCGACGGCCTGCACGACGACGACGGCAAGCGGGTGTACTTCTCGTACACGCCTACCTCGACCTACACAGACGCCGAGACCACCTACAACACCGAGACGGGCGAGTGGGAGCTGGACGTGACCTCGCTGGGCGGCTCCTTTGTCGAGGTCCTCCTCGAGCTGACGGTCGGCGACAACCTGCCCAACCTCGACAACGTGACCTACTCGACGCTCCGCGACTGGATCTACCAGGGCTGGAACGAGTACCAGGACAGCCTGATGACCAACTGGCCCGACCTGTCGCCCATCAACAACGCCGGCACCAAGATCATCCACTACCACGGCGAGTCCGACTACAGCATCCCCACCGACTCGTCCATCCGCTACTGGAACTCGGTGCGCCAGGTCATGAACCCCGGCGCCTCGTACAACGACAGCGTCGCCGCCACCCAGGATTTCTACCGCCTCTTCCTCGTCCCCGGCGGCTCCCACTGCGCCCCCAACACCTACGAGCCCAACGGGCCCTGGCCCCAGACCAACCTGGCCGTGCTCATCGACTGGGTCGAGAACGGCAACGCCCCCGACACCCTCAACGCCACCGTGCTGCAGGGCGACAATGTCGGCCAGAACCAGCAGATCTGCCTGTACCCGCTGCGCCCCTACTGGGCCAACAACGGCACCACCATGGAGTGTGTCTATGACGAGGCCAGTATTGAGTTCTGGGATTATGACCTGGACTCGTTCCTGCTGCCCGTCTATTAAATTAGGCTTGTCATGTTGGACCGTGTGTTGCTTCAACAACTGGACTGCAAGAAGTAGTTTAACTAAGAGTTATGTCTAATGTTCTTTTCATGAAAGAAAACAATGTATATATTGTATATATAAAATATAGTATGATGTGCAGTATATCTTGTCACGACTTGTAGTAACTCTTGCAGAAAATGAAAAAGGCTTACCTGAAGACTGAACAATTTGTGTTGTTCTCCAATCACTACTCTTGTTTCCAAAGTCAATATACTCTATTCCTCTCTGGAAATCTCAAAAGGCGGAAGACTTATAACGTATAATCAATGTCAAGACTGAAAGATTCATGTTAGCAACTCAACTAAACACAAAGTTGAATAACAAAGGAAACTCCGATACTCAGCTTATCCTTTCCAACAACTCTTCTTTTCTCAACCTAAGAGACCTCATCCCCTCCTCATCCCCTCCTCCTCCTCCTCCTCCTCCTCCTCCTCCTCCTCCTCCTCAACCCTCCTTGCGAATCTCCAGCGCCTGCGCCACATCAAAAGGATCCGACCCAATCTCCTGCTGCGCCAGCCCAGCCAGATGAACCCGATCCACAGGACTATCATCCAAAACAAGCACACAGTGCTCCACAGGCAAAGGCTGGCCCGCGCGGTTCGTCCTCGCAAACGCCTGCGCCAGCTGCGCCGCCCCGGCACACGGGCTCGTCAGCACCTGGTAGTTAGCCACCTGCAGGTTCAAGCCCGCCGCGGCGCCGGCCATGGTCGCCACAAAGGTGCGCGCCCGCCGCGCCGCGCTCCGCCCGCGGTCGAGGCTGTTGAAGTCGTCCTCGACGCGGGCGCGCTGGCCGCGCGAGAGGTCTTCGTGGTAGAGCACGGGCTCGATGGCCCTGGGGCGGAGCGCCGGCTCTTGTCTGAGGTACGCGTACAGGAACACCGCGCTGGCCACCGTGGGCGCCAGGACGACCACCTTCTTCAGCACGAGGTCGTGGTCGACAGGGCCCTTCTGGAACCGGGCGGGCGTGGTGCTGGCTGGTGCAGGGCGGGGGCGCACGTCTGCATTGGCTCGGTCGATCTCGGCCAGGAGGAGGCGCAGCTTGGGGCTGTCGCGCCCGACCGTCTTCCAGAACCGCTGCACGTCGGGGAGACGCAGGATCTGGGTCCTGTCGTCCAGGGCGCGGATGGAGCTGCGCATGTGCGCGTCGTGCACTTTGAGCGTGCCGTCGTTGAGGAGCCGTGCCGCGGCTGGGAACAGGGAGACAAAGTAGAGCTCGTCGAGGAGCCGCTTGGGGATCTTGTCGAGCAGGCCTGCGTGGCCGAGATTCGCGGTGCTGCTGTGTTGTCTGGCGGTGTCGGCGAGTCTCTGGACGTGCGCCCTGAAGGCCTTGGGTGTGGGCGCCGAGACGATTCGGGGCTGGACGGTCTGGATGCTCGAGACGGGCTGGCCGAGGAACAAGGAGCTGTGTGAGAAGCGCACGACCATCTCCGGGCTGAAAATGGCTTGGAATTCATCCTCGAACGCGCGGGTGTGTCTCTTGTCTCCTTTTTCCAGTGCCTTGTTGTAGAGCGTGACGAGATTGGGCATGCGAGAGTGTCGGAAGACGTCGATAAGTTGCATTGGGAACACGATGTTCTCAATACCTGTATCTCCAAAGGGGGTGCCTGTGACAAGCCAAATGTTGGCGTCGAGAATGAATTTGTGAATCCTGTGAGAGAGAAAGAAAGAACAAAGAAAGTTAGCAACACATCTTTTTTTCCATCTGTATTCAGTCCTGAAAGGAGGAGGGAACCGTCTTCTCGCTTATGAGAAACTACTTACATTGCCAATATCATAGGAGCACGCCCTCGGTCGTAAATGCCAGGAAGATGAGCCTCATCGATCAGAGTCAAGCCCACCGGAGCTGCATAGACAGTCTCGCGCTCGAAAACACACTTGGGGTGCGGGCGCGGGCGCAGGTTATTAGGACGATGCTGAAAAGTCCGAAAAAAGGATTCGTCGCCGTGCGATACAAGAAAAATGATCGAGCCCACCGACTCAAGCGTCGCATGGCTGGTCCACTCGAGATCGAACGTGTTCCGGACCACCTCCTTCTTGGTCACGGCGCCCATCTTGAACTTGTCCTTGAAGCTGTCCAGGCTGCGCTTGAGGTGTGATGAAACCTCAGCGCCCTGCGAGACGACGACAAAATTGTAGACAGAGGGCCTGAACTCGGCAGCCTCGATCGCCTTGGTCCAGCCCGCCATCATCGCTCCAGGCACCTGAATAAGAGACGCCCCAGGCCGCAGCAGTTCCGCGATCCTCCTGGTAAGCCCGTCCGGCACGCAGTAGCACACCACATCACCAGGACGCTCCCGCTGGCTTGGACATTGTTGTTGTTGTTGTTGTTGTTGTTGTTGTTGTTGTTGTTGTTGTTGCTGCTGCTGCTGCTGCTGCTGCTGCTGCATTCTATCCTTGGCGCCCATGGGGAGGTGATGGTGTGCAAACGGAGACCCCCAGTCGCGCAGACAACGGCCCTTGGACGCAGCGACCAGTGCCTTGAGAGCCACGGCCGCCAGGACAGTATGCGTCTTCCCAAGCCCCATGTCGTGGCTGAGGAGCCCGCCGGTGCCCTGGAGGATCCTGACCGCGCTGTAGAACTGAGGCGGGGTGACAGCGAGCCTGGAGGAAGGGAACCGGATCGAGCGGGCTTTTGGCTCCAGTGCGAGCTGGCTGGGCACGAGGTGGGGGAAAATACTGCAGCAGGCCGCCCACTCGTCTGCAGAGGGCGAGTTCATGGCCGGCAACATGCCGTCGAGGTTGTGAAGACCGCCATACTTGATCTCGGACCCGAGACTCTGCAGGACCGCCTCCGTGTCTCTGTGTGAACGGGCACTGCTGGAGACGGCATAGCGCACGCTGCTGCTGATCTTGGAGATGTTCTTGCCGAAAGAATTGGCGTATTTGGGAAGGAAACTGCTGTTGGCGGAGCCCTTAGTGGGTATTGTTGGTAACGCGCTCGGAAGAACACCAGCAGTGTTCGGAGGCGTGATATTATTTGGCCAAGGGGTGACGGCATCCATGTTGACTGTCAATGCTGCGGCTGGACGTCGAGGCGTGGGCATCTTGGGGCCTATTGCTGAGTCGTCGACCTCACTCCTCTCCAAATCATTCTCGAGGGCATTATGGCGGATCGCCAAGTCGTCATCATCGTACTTGATGCTGAAGCCTTTGCCGCGAAGGGAACGGTCGAGAAGGTAGCTGGTCACATTCTGCGCCGGCCCAGGCACGTGGAAGAGCGTTGGGCGCAGGCACCACTGGAACCGGAACTGCAACACGCACGCCTGCTCCTGCTGGAGGCGCCAGGCGCGCTCGTAGGCCCGGACGGCCCTGTGAAAGGCCTCGTCCGTCCTGTGCAGGCATTCATAGCGCCCCTCCACGCCGTACGCGACCAACAAGTGATAGAACTCGTACGAGGTCCCCGTCCCCTCCTGTGTCTGGATGCGCAGCTCGAACAGTGCCCTTGTGATGAACTCGGATAGGGACGAGATCCACCTCCGACCCTGTTTGTCCGTGTGGAGAAAGTCGCTGCAGTGGCCCCAGTACTCAACTTCTGCGAAGGGGAGGTCCTTATGGTCGCTCGCGATGAGGTACGTGCACTGTTCCAAAGTCTTGGGTCGGAAGTTCCTTCTCGAGGGGAGTTGCATGAAGTCCTTGTAGATGTCCATGTTCATTGGTTTGTTTACATCTTGCTCGGGCATATCTCTGTTGCTGTCTGCGTATGCCATATTCAGAGAAAACGAGGCTGCCAGGTCTGACACAGGCAAGCCAGCGCTGTATAGAAGTTATGAAGTAACCTGGCGCCCTGGTCGAAATCTGAAATCCCTGAAGAGTCTTAGGCGTCTAACAAGAGAGATCCTGCTCTCGACCGGTTTTTTGGTACAGATTATCAGACTGTTGTTACTGAAATGGAAAAGAGACGAGGGAATGACAATGGAGATGCAGCTACAAGGAGAGCAAGTCTTTAGGATCGAGGATGACAGAAGTAAGGGACTGAGCGCATTTTGAGGATGAGTATTCTCACAATCTACATTGAACCTAAAGCACAATGCTCTTATTAGTGTGGCTTGTCTTTCAAGGATACCATGGTCGAGGTTGAGGCATGCACCAGTTGTGCATCTGGTACTATGGTCGAATTGCATCATGAACTCCACCAAGTTTGCAGTGTGCTGAGGAGAACAAAGTGGCTATTGTATTAGGCTCTGTAGCAAAGATCATAGTCATCAACCACAAAGGCATTATGTTGGGGCTGCAGAGAAACACTCTGACAAGGAGTCTTTGGTCCCGCTCTGACAATGAACCTGCACATGGTGGCTGCAAGAGCTAGGAGGTTATGGCTCTTTGTCAATTAATGGATATAGGGTGGATGCCATGCGAATCAGGATGAATATATTGACCTAGCTCTATAGATCTAGCCAGAACCTGTGCTTATGATCCGAGGGCGTGTGGTGTAGTGGTTACTTGACTGTAGAACAGCCCGATATCCCGCAAATATAAAATGGATTCGCCTCGCCAGAGTCCCCTTCTTGTACTTTGGACTTCTTCCTTCCCTACCTGTGTCTTGCGCGCGATACGGCTCGGTGAGGGCTGGCCCCGCTGTGAATGGTGTCCAAGGTGGCCTGATGAGATAACGAAGCTGAGGCGAAAATCACGCGAGGGGCTGTCATGGTGCGCCCGCATTCACATCGGCTAGGCCACCTTGGGCCATCTCGCACAGCACTGCAGAGCAGAAAGACCCTATAACAGAGCCTCTAATAACGTACAGCGGCCCTGGCCTGGAAGAAGATGCGTATAGCAATATGGACGGAAAGGAGATGAAGAAGTGGCTGTCGATAGCGTATAAGCGCGGGTCGGAAATAGCTAATGAAGGAGCCTCTTACAGCACCTTAGGGTCTGCTGATCAGCAATATAAACATAAAGAAACTCAAAGTTAGATCCAAAATTTAAAGTATAGATAACAGATAGGATAAATTGATCAGTAAGTCAAGGAGGAGATTGACACAGCAATGGACATGTCTGATCAGCATCATTGAGTCCTATACTATGCCTGCTTCCTGGTACATGATATGACCTGGGTACTGCTGGATGCCACTGACATAGATCAATTTCAATATTATGTTTCCCATTTCAGATGGAGATGAGGTTTTGTCAAAAGTTGTTTGGAATAGAAGGCACTAAAAACAAGCAGTCATGTGCATGAACAACTACCAAATAACGATGTCTTCCTCTCTGCTGTACCTCTTCTCCTCCTGATCTATCCAACTTCTCACCAGCTTTCTAACTTCTGTCTCGTCGCCATCCGAGGGCCAGAAACGATCTGCCGACGAAGCTCGATGAACATAGCAATCGCCAACGAGCGTAAAGTTGTTGCTTAGGGGATCCACCGCACGTGGTGTCTCACATCGTCTAAATGTAAATGCGCGATGCAATTTTAGATCTGCATAAAGGACATCGCCAACCTTTGCGTCGTTGATAGCGAGGCCCATGAGCCCCGTGTCCGTGAGCACCAGACTTCGGCCCTCGCAGGCGAGGATCATCCTTTTGGAAATCTGTGCAGGGCTTCCTCCGCTCGCCACTATAGACCTAAGTTTGGCGATCAGGGATTGCTTCTCCGCGGGCTGTCCCATATCAAGCCCTTTGTCCCTTCTCCCTCCTCTTCTCCCTAGCACGGTTGGGTTCGCTTCCATCTCCACAAAATCAGCACCTTCTTCCTCGCTCGCGTAGTGCTTCCACACAGCATCAAGGACTGCCATGAGAGGTTTATCGTAGACGGCGTTATCGTGAGATAATAACAGTGTGAATGCCGAGAGCCAAGGCCGCCGAGTGTACTGTGAGGCAAAGGTCGCGGTGAGATACTCGGGCTTGTGTTCCCTCACCAGCCTTCTCCATTGTGCCAGAGGAAATATGCCCTCTCCTATGTCACATTTAATACCCACCGCGCATATAGTGCCGAGGCGGGCTGCCCTTAATTCGAGTTTGGTGGGGCTCGTCAAGCCATCATCCTCGAGCCACGAAGCAGTCCATTCCTGCCTACCTTGAGGCATGTAGTGGCGAGTATCAGTCAGAGCTCTTGGCTGCCTCCCCATCTCCCAGCTCAGCGCCCATGAAGGTAGCCCTGGTAACTGATATGACCCTCCTGCTTTTGCAAGGATAGAGGCCACGCCGAGATTTTCTTGCAGGTACAGGCTTAATTCTGTGAAGACCTTCGACACCGGAAGACGATAATCAAGTATTTTCTTGTCTGCCAGCTTATTCCTGTCACTCTGCTGTTGTTCGGGATCTTTCAACCGCCAATTCTCCGTCTCAGCAGCTACTCTTGTTTCTAGGTCCAGAAGTGGCAGAATGGCAAATAGCTTGTCCCTGGGATCCGAGGCCTGGCAGTGTCTGGTTTCCGCCAATTTCCCCATTAGACGTTGCGAGAACGAGCCATATCGAATATCCTTGGAGTGGCGGAACGCTGCGGGAAGATTGTAAAATCTATCTTTTCTGAATGTGCCATCGATAAAAGGATTTGTCGAAAAGGAACCTGACGAGATACCCCATTGCTTGAAATTCTGAAGACTTGCCCAGCTCGACTCCTTGCTGCCGCAGTACACAGTCGCTGACGTCGCGTGCGCGATCTCTTGCAGCACCCAAATGCGGTGAAACCAAGGGCGACATAGGAACTTGTGGATAAGCTCATTATCTGGCTGATAGCGACTAGAGCTGTCTGACAATTGACCGTAGTCAGAAGGCTCATAAAGCTCATTGATCCAGTCCATCACCGCGTCGCTATCATCGGCAGCCTCCCCAAGATGTACCAGCACCTGCGAAGCACTGCTATAGATTTGCGCCATGATACTAAGCTGATGGGTCTTTTCCCGGGTGGATCTCTGATCGATACAAATGGCGTCTATCCAGAGGACCCGTTTCTCTGCGGCGCTGCGGAGGCGGCGGATGGCATTGTAGCAGTTGACCGTGACCTCGAAGCTGGTGGTCGCAGGTTGCAAGGCGTCTGTGTTGCTGCTCGTCCATGAACGCTCAACTTGGATAACCTGCTTTGTGGACGGATCGCCCCATGTATAAGAGACTGCCTCATATTTGGGGCCTTTGCTGAGATCACTTTCGAGTAAATGGACGGCGACAGGGTCACCGGGACCGCCTGGCAGGACTTCGAGCAGACGGAATGAATTGGTTTTGTTGAGCTCGAGTGGTACGCCTGAGTACAAGGCGCTAGCTGTAGCCAGGGAGATCTCCTTATCCGAGATGGTCATGTCCATAATGAGCTTATGCAAGAAATGAGTAGATGTAAGGCTGATTTTCAGATGAATGCAAATGCAAAAGCCGAGTAGATGTGGCAGGTAAGATTGTGGAAGGCATTTCGATCCCTGAGCCTGGCTGAATGTTATTCGCTTATATGTTGCAGAAGAACCCCTCTTCTTGCTAAGCCGCCACGTATGATGCGCTACTTATGCACACTGCACTGCCTCAAGCAGACGCTACAAAACTTGGTTTTCCCCGAGGAAGGCGCTATGTGGACAAACAGCTGGAAGGTGAGGCTTTAGAGCTTAAGCAGAGTTCTTCGCAAGGATTGAATAAAGGGGCGTATACGGCGTGGGAAGATACTAAGTATAAGACAGTAACAGATCCTCTAGCTGTTATATCATATTTCTAATCAATTCCATTAAAACAGCGAAACCAAATAAACTCGAGGCTCAGGCTTAATTCTCATGTCACGAAAATCATTCGTTCGTTTTTTCCTATTTCCATGCCCCCCCCCCCAAAAAAAAAACACCCCCCACCCTCTCTGCTCTCTGTCCTTGCGGTTGCGACATAGGGAACCTTCAACTGCGTAATTCAGCTCAAACGCTCCAGATCGGAAATATCGACCATAGCGGAGACAAGAAAGAAGAGAAAAAGAAGGATTAAAAAGGGCCATGAATTATCAGGGGAGTGAACATCTTGGATATTGTTCTTTGATACTGTTGGAGCGAGTCACGGGAAATGTCAGGTGAAGGTGGTGTGTGTATGCCTGCAAGCAGTACGCATTGGACTAGTCGGCAGTTGAAATCACTGAACTGATCTATCGAATTGTAAAGCCTCGCCTGATTATTCGGACCATGTCAAGAAACCTGTGGTGGCCCTCCTTCATCTTCGGTGCCCGATGGCCGGATCGTATCGCTGGGCAAGGAGGTCCCACAACGGGAGAATCCCTTGTCATCTGCCTGATGGCGACAACCATTTCTCTCTTCCTCTCTCTCTCTCTCTCTATCTCTGCTGTCAGTTACCAACCAAATACGTCCTCACTCGGGAAACAATGATTGTTATCGTCCTCCGGTTCCCCTCCTTCTTCTTTTTGCTCTTCCTCTCTTCTCCTTCTTTTTCTGTTGTGGCCCCCTCCTCTCTCTCTTCTCCTGCAGGAGGGCCAGCCGACCCACACCCCTCAAACGACGCCTAGTCGGTCAGGTTGTAGATCTTCTGGATGTCCTTGAGGGTGGAGGCAAAGTCAAACTTGAGGTCCTTGAGCAGGCCATCCTTGAAGCCAAAGACCCAGCCGTGGACGATAGGGAACTGCTTCTCGCTGTAGCTCTTCTGGACGGCGGCGGTCTTCATGACGTTCCTGCACTGCTCAATGACGTTCAGCTCGACGAGGCGGTCGTAGCGGGCATTTTCGTCGGCGATGGTGTCCAGCTCCTTCTCGTGCAGGCGATAGACGTCGCGGATGTTGCGCAGCCAGGGGTTGAGCAGGCCCAGGTCCTTGGGGGTCATGGCAGCCTTGACGCCGCCGCAGCCGTAGTGGCCGCACACGACAATGTGCTTGACGCCGAGGTGCTCGACGGCATAGTTAAGCACCGCCATGGCGTTGAGGTCGACGTTGCACACCAGGTTGGCGATGTTGCGGTGCACAAAGGCCTCGCCGGGCTCCAGGCCTGTGATCTGCTCGGCGGGGATGCGCGAGTCGCTGCACCCGATCCAGAGGTAGTCGGGCGACTGGCCGGCCGTGAGGCGCGAGAAGAAGTCTGGGTCCGCTGCGCGCTTCTCGGCGGCCCAGCGCGTGTTGTGTTCGAAGACGCGATCGTGCGTCTCTTTGAGGTATTGCGACATTTCTTTCTCGCTCATGGTGCTGAGCTGGCGACTTTGCAGGGTGCTGGTGGTGGTGGAGCTGGAGGAAGGGTTGGTTTTATTGTGGCAGTGTGAGTGCGAGCTGCAGTCCCGTCGTGCGTTGATTGGGAGGTGGATGATGCTGTGGCTGCTGATGCTGCTGATGGCGCTGATACTGCTGATGCTGCTGCTATTGGTTCTGCTGTTGGTGGTGTCAACAAGGTGGGACCGAATCAAGCCAGTGGCAGGTCGTGAGAGCTGAGCAATGTGAGAGTAGAGACGTCCTCTTATCATGGCACTTGGCAAAAGTGTCTAGTGATGATTGTGGTTTTTATGTTGTACCAAGTAAAATGAGTTTGTTGGGAAAGGGTGTCAAGAAAGAGAGAGAGAGAGAGAGAGAGAAAAAAGTGAGGGTTGACTGACTGACTTGACGATGACGATCGACACTGCTCTTATCAAGCCTAATCGAGCTTGATGAGGAAAAGCTCTCAGCTTCTTTTTCAATTTAGTGCTGCTTGGCTCCTCCTCAGCTCGCTCCTAGGCTTGCTAGGCTTCTTTAGCGCGGGGCAACCCGTCTGTGGGGTGCGCGCTACGGGAGAAAGGGTCCTCGCTGGGGCCTCTTCTCCTTTTTTTTCCTCTTCCTCTTGATATTAAGGATTTTTTTTTATCTCTTGTCATTTAAATACGATTCCTTGGGGAGGAAGGGAGGAGAGGGTTGAGCTGGCTCCTTATATAGTGTGAAAGTTTCAAAAAATGAAGAAATTAAAATGGGGTTGCACACACAAATGATCCGCTCGGAATGTGCCAACCATGCACGAAGCCAAAGAGGGAAATCAATGTCTTCATTTATCTTGGTATTTCCTTTGTCGGCAGGTCACTGCAGGCTGGGGCACACTGTAAGCGATAACGTGTAACTTTCCAGAGTGGAGCTGTGCTACGTGTGCGAAAAGAAAAGAGGATCGCCAGTCTCTCAGAACTTGGCTGCATATATTAACTAGAAGTAGGTTCTCAACAAGTCAGTCCAAGACAATTAACGAGGCTTAGACTCTAGTAACCCAAACAAAGTTGGTGGTTTACCACAATGTTTGAGAAGTTGGCTTGGCGTTACACATGTTCTTCTTCTGTCGAGATAAGACAGTTGCTTTTTATTGTTTGATTGTTGCGGAGCACTGTACTCTCAAGTCTGTTGCTTTTGGTTGACACGACAGACTAGGAGACATAATCCATATTGCATAATCCTAGTCTTTATAGGACGAATGCCTAAATAGTTATAAGATAGAAAAAAATGAAATTTCATGTTCATAAATAGTTATGTACAAAAGGGTATACCATACTCGCCAAGAATACAACCGGTTTCAATATATGTTGCTAATAATCTTATTGTGCCAACCATGTGTCAGTCAGTCAGCCAGCCTTCAAAACGACCACCGTCATTAATCAGGCAAAGAAGGTAACCGTCCTCCTCGTCTCCTCCACCGCTCCATCCTCAAGAGACCTAGCCTTGGCAGCCGCCGAAGCTGTAGCCGTGGCCGTGGCCGTGGACGCCGCCGTGCTCGAGCTCGAGCTGCTCCCATCACCAATCACAGCCGTCGCCAGCGCCGTCATGTTGGTCGGCCCCTGCTTGATGTACGCCTTCTCCTTGGGCAGATTGTCCCACACGCTCTCCGGCAGGTGCAGATGGTCCTGCACGACCTGCTTCGGGGTCAGGGCCAACCACTGCGCCGCGCTGACATCACTAAACTTGGTGGCCTGCAGCACCTCGAGGAAGATGACATCCTCGTCGCCCGTGTTCTCGACATAGTGCGATGCCGCCTGTGGGATGTACCCAACGCTGCCAGCCGTGAAGTCAAAGGTGCGTGCTGCCTCGGGCGCCTGGAACACGGTGATGCGCGCCGACCCTTGTAGGAAGTAGTTCCACTCGGCCGACGTCGTATGCCAGTGGATCTCGCGCATCGCGCCAGGTTGCACCGTCACCAGAGCTGCGGAGAACTGGGACGCCACAGGGAATGTGGTGGGGTCAATGATCTTGACGGAGCCTCCGGGCACCTGGTAGGGTTCCTGCTGGGACCAGTGGTAGGTCTGAGACATGTTGGTGCCGTCTAGAGACCCGGCAGAAGAGGTGATATTTTGGGTGTCATCGATGGTCGTCGGCTGAGGTGTTCCGTTGAAGATCTTTGACAATCAAAAGGTTAGCAATCTCTCCACAAATAATCCAGAGCAATTCGCCATCAGTGGCATCACTTACATATAACTCATCCTGTGGGATGTCGTTAAAGGCACTCGGGTCCGCCTCAAAGTTCTTGGACAACACGCTGATGGGCGTCCGCAGGAACATCTCGGACACCAAGAACGTCTCATCCTCACTAAACGCACCGTCGTCAAACACAAGCAAGAACTCAACCCCTTCGTCAAAAGCCTGGATGCTATGCGGCACCCCAGACGGGAAATACCACACATCGCCCTCGCACACATCATCCACAAAGCTCGCCCCGGCCGTGTTGACCGACGAGACGCGCACGCACCCTCGCAGCACCAGCGACCACTCGTTGGCCGTGTGCCAGTGCAGCTCGCGGTAGGCATAAGGGCCCAGCCGCATGTCGACGCCCGCCATGGCCGTCGCGCCGGGCAGGACCTCGATGTTCTCCTGGCGCGCCCAACCGGCACCCACGTCCGAGCCCTGCCGGTTGTGCGACAGGCCCAGCGGCCACATGGCCTGCGCCACGTCGCCGCTGTCGGTGCCCGGGATGGCGTACACGTCCGGGTTGATGCGCTCGTAGTAGTACGTGCGCGGGCCCGGGTCCGTGGCGCCGTAGCCGCCTCGCACCGGCTGGGGCGCCTCCACGCTGTTGAAGTCCAGGTACAGGCCGAGCTTGTTGTCGGCGCCCTGGCCGTTGACGTACTCTGGGTTGGCCACCTCTGCCGACTCGGCGGACGAGCTGGTGTCTGGCTCGGCTGCGATGCCGCCCAGCAGGTCTGAGCTGCCGTACAGCGAGCCAGTCGGCGCCGTCACGGTTGGGATGGGCGGGTCGACTCCGCCCACCGAGCCCGAGTTCTCACCATAGTCTCCCATCCTAGAGGAGGAGTATGGTTAGCTTGCTAGATCGGGTCTTCTTTTGGTTTCTTTTTCCTCTTCTCGCAAGGTGTCGAGGCTTGTTGTTGCTTCAGAGACACCTACGGATTATATCAAAAGAAGGAACTTACTGAGGAGCAGGGGCTGCCAGGGCAAGAGGCACTGCCTGAAGCAGGCCCAACGCAAAGAGTGCTTCCTGTGAATACATGGCAATGGCTGTTATAGTATTGTACTATAACAAGGACTGACGACGACAAGAGGTGATGGAGCTTGGCTCTGCTGTGGAATGAAGGGCTGAGCAGTGGCAAGGTGGGCAGCACATCGGGCAATATGGTGAGAGGACGAAAACGAGAACTCTCGAGGAGATGTTCAGTCTTTATATACTCACGAAGGAATCTCGCAGACCATGGTAAATAGTCAGTCACTTAACAGGGAGCAGTGACCCCAAAGGAGAGACACTGTAACACAACAACAAGTCACTCATCTCGGCAGAAAGAGTCCGGTCCCAGCGGGATGATCAGTTCTGATGGAAGGAGGGTGGATTTGCTACGACACGAGAGGAAATGACATGAGCCGCCCTCCTACTACCCAAGGCCAAGTCCCCTCGTGTCCACCCATCCCGTCTTATCCATCCATCCACTAGTATGGTACATACATGGGATGGGCATGACGCCAAAGATGAAGTGTTATGGTGCAGAACAAGGGTAAATTATCGCAGACTCGCCTTCCTTGAGAAAAGAATGGAGAAACCCTGTCTGTTATTGGGCGGGTATGAAAAGCAAGACATGTCCGTGCGACGATGGATGGACAGAGAACCAGAAGTCGGCCCAACTCGGTTCACAGGGTGCAGCAGCTCCGCAGACGTGCACCTCGTTTACAATAACCAACACGCGTAATAATATGTTAAAAAGAAGAACAGAAAGAAGAAAAAAAGGTCTAAGTCGAATAGTGGAGAACCCAGCATGATGTCACAGACTGCAACGGTGGCTAATCACAAAGGGGGATCGATCAAATCTGCTGTATGTGATTTATTCGTGGAGAAAATGATCACGATGAGCCCCAGCCGGCCACCCCTTGGAGTTGTGAATCCTGCATCTCTCAAGAAGAGAAGAAAAAGAGTTAGGTCCGCAAATATCTCGGCGTTGAATAGAGTATGTCCAAGGTCTGGGGAGCTGCTCGATTTGGGTAGTGATTTGCGTGGTGTACTTATGTATACCGGTCAGGTGACGATTTCATGTTGGGACTTATTTATAGGACGTTTGTTGCTTCCCCCCCCCGCGTCGTGTTCAAGTGCTCAAGGCGTACAAGCGCCGATGATACCTTTTGCAAGTCGCCGGACCGTACCTGAGGAGATCGTGCCTATTGTAGTTGGCTCGGGTTTGGTTTACAGACTAGGACCAGGGCACTCAGCTTCTGCGGAAGCTAAAGAGGATATTCCTTATTCCCCGCAAAGAAGGAGGACAACCCATGAAGACAAGTAAGCAGGGGGGAGAAGGGGAAGAAAGGGGGGGTATTTAGGGTGCACACAATAATCAAGGCGAAGAGGTGGTGGACCAACTCCATCGGTCGGCCGAAGGCAGTTTAATTACTGCATAAGCCTGAGCGTCTGTTGGCCGGGTTGTTGTGGTCTGGCCGCGTGGACTTTTAGCAGCTACTGTAGAATAACTAGGCCATCGAGGCACTGCAACGCTCGATCGTCATGACTGCAACCATACTCCAGAATAGGCCACTGACAGGCGTTTTCCTGGAATGAAAATCCATCTCAGAATTGCATTACGTCAGTAAAGGAGATCCAAGTTTCTTGACTCGTAATTTTATGTTTTCTTATGCCTTTTCCCCTTATCTTTCTTCCTTCTTTCTTCTCCCTTTGAAGAATCTACTTTAGACGGGTGAACCACTGAAAAGGACGGTACAACATGTGAGCCGTATGTTCCGAACCGAAAGAACTCAATAGTCTAAATTCCATCCCATCAGAGCACAAAATGCTTTTGTTTATGGCCCATAAATTAAAAATGCGGTCAACAACTTTTATTCTCACGCCGTTTATGCCGAGACCGTGTTGTGCATGTCATCCCTCCTCTTAGTGCCGCTTTTGCCGCACTGTCCGAGTGAATGCCGAGATGGCCAACAACTCCTGATCTCGTGGTACGAGTTGATTGCCCAAGTAGGGTGGGTAGGACGCAGGCTGGAGGACGACACCTCTACGGCTGGATAGACTGGCTGGAGGCTTCGGACACACGGCTTGGAGAACGTTACGGTTTGCTGATGAATTTCCCAGGTGGGCATCGAGAAAGTGTCAAGCGCTCAATGTCGGCCTGCGGTGTGACAGTCATATGGCACACAAACATTTATGCAAATCAGAATCCGTGATATGCGGGATGTGACGAAGATCTTCTGCAACCCGTCCACACAATATACTATAATTACTGTACTTGCCACCCTACGGCACGGCACCCGCCCTTCTAAACCCCCCTCTCTGTCCCCCCTCCTTTCCACACACACTAATTACCCTCCCCCCCCCCCCCCACTTCCTCCTGCAAGCTGCAATATTGACCAAGGAACGAAAGATGGCGAGATTATGCCCTACACTGGCCTGAATTCTCCTGTTGTTTGCGGGGAGAAAACCGCAAGGCTAACTGAGCTTTGCCGCTGAACTTCCTAGTTGGTATTCATCCGACTGGCCATTTGACAGCTACTATTTGCTCATAACCCCACAAACAGCGCAACTTTGCATTGCCTCATCGAGACGACAGGAGATGACGAATCTTAGTGGGACCTCTCGAGATCACCGTTGCCGCGCGACGTGGACAGATCTTGGATGGGAGGATTGCCAGCTGATTGCCAGGTAAGAGAGCCTTGTAGATCTATCTGTTTTACTGAGCTGCCTAGCTGGGAGAGAGAGAGAGAGAGAGAGAGTGTGTGTGTGTGTGTGAGAGAGAGAGAGAGAGAGAGAAAGAGAGAGAAAGAGAGGAGGAAAAGACATAGTTAGATGAGTCTGGAAATTGGACACATATTACTTGAGAATGCTTCCCGAATATTGAACAAGGTTCCCAAGATGGTAGGGTATTAGGGCAGTGGTTCGTCTGAACATATCTGAGCTCAACGCCATGCCATACTGAAACATCCTAGCAAGGAGTTTACTATAGTTTACTATGCATGTTAACAAACTCATTACTAGTACTTAGTAGCTACCGAGCAAAAGCTCGTCCTGAATTTGCTCGCGGCATAAGCTCGGCATTGATCTTGAGCACGGGACGAGAGGTCTGTGCAAGGCATAGGCCCGATACCTCAAGAGCTGGTCCTTACACATACCGCATTGGCATAGTAATTACTACGAGTCCGAGTCAGATGAAGCTTTAGCAAACCTTCAATTCCATGAAAATTGAGTGTTGTGACAAGGCCAAGACTGGGGGAGTCTCGCATATGAGGTCAAGCTTTTCGTTGCAACGTCTGGGCGACGTGCCAAGAATGTGACATGTATACACGATCCAGGTGATACCAGCTGTAGATCAACAACACACAATAATCATGCAATATTATGGGCCAGAATGTTCAGATAAAGCGATTGTTCTTTTCCCCAAGGACCCTCGCATGTGAGGTCAAGCTTTTCGTTGTAACGTCTGGGCGACACGCCAAGAATGTGACAGGTACACTCAATTCAGGGAATACCAGCTATAGATCAACGACATTGAAAGAACACACAAATAATCAGGGCCAAAATGTTCAGATAAAGCGATTGCTCTTTTTCCGAAGTATCCTCGCATGCTGCTAGTTGTAGAAGAAGAGGAAAAGTCCCAGGCCGCCAAGACTCAGAGCCCACACAAGTCTTGGCAAGCGCACGTCCAAAGCGAAACCTTGGCAAATCACTTCCTATCGGAACAATAGAGATCTGAGGGTGACAAGCATCGTATGCAGTGATACTGACCGTGCATATGATGTACGTATGCATGCCAAGTCACATGGGCAGCCACTGAGGGTTATGGGGTCTTTTCAATTTGACTTCACGATGCATTGAGATTCCCTTGAGCTGGCGCACACAAGCCCGACAAGTAACCAATGACACTTGTTCACCCGGAAACTTCAAGTCGAAACTGCTTCTTAACAATTCCTGTCACTCCTACAATTACTAGAAGTTTGCATCAATTTTCTACAAAAGACTTGCACATTCCTTAGTCGGAATGAAAACGTTTTACTCGTGGCCTGCCGCACTGACACCTTTCCAGGAGACACCATGATGTTCTGAGTCAAAATGAATGAGTTGAGATGTGCGACTATCCGCTATTACGTTGAGGCGTTCAGATCGAATAGTTTTGGGATTGTTCAAGCCAACTTTGCAAAAACGTCAGACACAAGGACACGTTCATTATTTTCAATGTTCACTCCTGAAACTTCAAAACACTATGTGGCATGCTTATTTTGGAAATTGAGGTTATCAGCGAAAAGGGCCACATCTGCATCTGAGAGAAGACCGAGAATCAGATTGTTACAACAGAGAAAGGGAAGAGCGAGGGGGGCGGGGAGAGATGGAGATGGAGACAAAAGGGAAGCAGAGAATCATGCACAATGAAACTCACAGAGTTAGGCATTGAATTGACATTGATTAGATTCTTCAGACGAAGCAACTGCCCATCTCCTAGCTTCTGAAGTAGTGACCAGGCTACCACAGCCTTAAAGAATTGTGGTAAAGACCAAGATGAATCTCATGCATCAGATGCCTAGGTAGTGCTCAAATAGCCAAGCAGGCTAATTTATGACCCTTAGGAGTGAACCTACAGCTCTTGGAGGGGGGCCGGGGGGGCCGCAGAGGTTAAGGTAGGTATCAAGACTCCAAATTCTGGCTTGCTTAGGGTCTTAGTATGTCGTTGATTCCAGAGGCTTGGTAGACGTGTGAGATGTTCATGAGGTGCTGTTGGGAGCCTCCTCAGTCGTTGTCATCGACACCATCGCTATCGACATCATTGGCTGGCTTGTCTGTCTGTCGCCTCCAGCCGCCCTCAGAGCAACTACACTATATTCCGTTGTTTTGAATCCTTTCAGGAGCCTACCTAACACCTGTTTCCTCTCCAGCGTAAGCCAATTCAACCGCCTGCACGTTTCTTCTATTCAGTCGACCTCTCCTGCTCAACCCATCTGTTTTCTACTGGTCACTCACACACACTCTCTCTCTCTTTCATACATTCCTCCTACTAGGAGAACATCTCTCCTACTGAGGCCGTTCTCATCTGGAACGCTCTCGCCTTCCCTTCCACATTTTCTCCCTCAGAAAATCCCCTCTCATTCTCTCAAACAGCCTCCCGCCTTCTCTCGGCCACTTTCTGGCCTTCACAACTCCTCCTCAGCCACCCATCGAGACCCTTCAACAGACATCTCTCTAAACTGTACCGTAAGTAACGCATTTCCCCATCGCTCCCAAGCCCCATCTGACACCAAGTGTACAAGACACCAAAAAACAGACATCAACAATGGCGCGCGTCAAGAAGCCCGCTCCCAACACGCGCAAGGCCTCAGGCCAAGGCCACAGCCGTCGCGAGCACCACGCTCGAACTCCTTTTTTTGACAAGAAGGTGAAGCTGCCCAAGACGACCACCAGCCTGCCCTCATCTACTTCTGCAGACGCACACATCGACAGCCTCATCAAGCTTGAAGAGGAGCTTCAAGAGCTGCTCCGCCGTGGTGGAAAGGGCGGTTTCCACATGAACGAGCACGTTAAGAAGCAGCTCAAGGATGTCATCTCGGCGTTCATTGCCATTGTCATGCAGCGCCCCCGTGTCCGCTGTGCCCCTTCTGTCCTGCGTCTCGCCCTTCGCATCCGCAGCGGCGCCCTCGATGGCAGGCTCCCCTGCCTCGTGGTCTTTTTCAGAGCCTTGGCCAAAGTGCCGACCATGGTCACGGCCGATCAGCGGCTGAGACGCATCTTCTCGATGCAAGGTGCCGAGGCGGGCGCCTTCGTGTTGGCCAAGTCTAGGGAGGCTCTGGATAACATCGATGGCTACCCTCTGTGGGCTCAGAAAGTTGGCATGGACGGATGCGAAGACGAGAACATGCAGAACGATGCATCGATGCTGATGGACCAGGACGACACTCCCACCTGGTTTGTCCGCTTCGCTCCAGAGGATGGCCTGGAGGTTGCCCGAGATGGTGAGATCAAGACTCATCACGAGGGACAGGGAGATCTTGATGGAGACATGGAGATGGATGATGGATGCACAGGTGTTGAGGACCTCGTTGTCGAGATGAACAACCTGGAGCTTCACGATTGAAAAGGATGAGTGATGAGATTCATCACCAGCCAGACGTCCTTAAGGGAAAGAAGGTTAGATACCACACACTGGAGAGGATTCGTCATGGATATGGAAGGGAATGATGCCAGAGCCTCCTTTTGGGCGTTCTAAGAATGAATAAGGGACAGGTTCTACGTGTTGAAGATCGTCTCCGAGTTAATCATACCATGCTCTAGGTCACAAAACTCAATACACATATTTTCGATATGAGGGACCACAGAGAGTGGCTGAAATCATACTGAATGCCGTACCTGTGCAATGCGAGGATTGAAGCCTATCCGATTACCACAGAATAGCCCTCTTGGTCAGACGTAGATAAGGCAGTGGACGCCGCCCTGTTAGCGTTGGATGACCAAATACGCATCGTATGACTGGCACAACGGGTCATGGCACATTTTACTTGTTCCAAACTGTCACTCCCTGAGCCCGGCATTCTGGAAAGCTTCTATTTCTCTCTCTCTCTCTCTCTCTTTTTCTTTTCTGTCTTTTCGTGTTCCTCTTTCACTTCTTCCCTCTCACCCTTCACTCAGAAAGGCTGTTTTTTGGGGGGTAAGGTGAGGGAGGTGTCAGTACATTCTTGCAATGCAGCACATCAGATTCAAATTAACTGAACTATATATTATTAAAATCATTCGCAATGGAATGATATAGCAGAGAAAAGGCGAAAAAGAAAGAAAAAATTGTTGACAAGATCGTGAAAAAGAATCAATCATGATCAACATTCGTCACTCAATGGGAACGAAAACCCCTGTTGTTGGGGGAGATGCACGGGCCAACATCAAAAACTCTCAAACGGCCGAACCCTGTTGGCTCACCCAATCCCCCAAAGTCACTCACTCATCGCCACACTCAAAAACCATCACCGCCTTGAGAGGTCATGATTCCTTCCCTCTTCCCAATCCACAAGAGTGCCAATATTATCGGGAATCACAGAACAGGCTAGGGCCTCTCACTCTCCATTTCGAAGATGACAGACCCATTATTTGAAAAGCAGACTGTCAATTTTCTGGCTTGGTTCAAGAGCCAGCCAGGCACGACTTTCCACGATGACATCGAAATTCAGGACCTGAGGAGCAGGGGCGCAGGTCGAGGCATAAGTAAGTGGCAAACTTGTAGTACAAAACGGAGACTTCTTGTTCGCATCTAGCTGACCAGGTTCACCTACAAACAGTCGCGACTGCAGACATTCCCGCAGATACGACCCTCTTCACAATCCCCCGCGCATCCATCATCAGCAGGGAGACGTCCTCATTGGTCAAGAGGCTACCAGAGGTATTCGACCCAACGACGCAGGCCCATGCCAAGGACGATGAGGACCACGACATGGATGACGACTCTGACTCCTCTTCTGATGACGATGGCGCCCACCAGCAAGACTCGTGGACGACCCTCATCCTGATCCTGATCCACGAGCACCTGCAGGGCCCCAACTCCACCTGGAAACCCTACCTAGACGTCCTCCCCGCAGGCCCCTCCGCCTTCAGCACCCCCATGTTCTGGTCGGCCGACGAGCTGGCGGCCCTGCAGGCGAGCCCCGTGGCAGCCAAAGTAGGGCGCGAGGAGGCAGAGGACATGATCCGGACCAAAATCCTGCCCGTCATCCGCGCGCACGAGGACGTCTTCTTCCCACCTGGGCCGGAGCAGAGGCTTCTGAGCGACGACGACCTGGTGCAGCTCGGGTTCAGGATGGGCAGCGTAATCATGGCGTACGCCTTCGACCTGGAAAAGGACGATGACGAAAACGAAAACGAACACGGGAACGATGACGAAGCAGCAGCAGCAGCAGCAGCGGAGGAGGACGACGGCTGGGTCGAGGACCGCGAGGGACGCACCCTGCTAGGCATGGTCCCCATGGCCGACATCCTCAACGCCGACGCCTCCTTCAACGCCCACATCGAGCACGGCGACGACGCCCTGGCCGCCACCGCCCTGCGGCCCATCCGCCGCGGCGAGGAGATCCTCAACTACTACGGCCCCCTCAGCAACGGCGAGCTGCTGCGGCGGTACGGCTACGTGACAGCCGCCCACCGCCGCTGGGACCTGGTCGACCTCGCCTGGGACCGCGTGCTCGCCGCCCTGCGCGCCCAGCTGGGCTTTGCGCTCGCCAGCGACGACGACTGGGACGGCGTCCTGGCCCAGCTGGGCGACGACGAGGCGCTGCTGGTCGAGGAAGACGCCTTCGTGCTCGAGCGCGGCGCCGCGGACCCGGACGCCGAGGGCCGCGTTGCCGAGGTCACGACCACGGCCGCCGTGCCCGAGGACCTGCTCGGGCAGATGAAGGAGGTCATGAAGGTTGTCAAGAAGGTCAGGCCCGCCGCCGTGCCTGACAAGGTCGCGAGGGATAAAGCCATCTACTCGGCCCTCGCGGCCGCGCTGGACGAGAGGGCGCGGCAGTACGGCACCACGCTGGAGCAGGACGTGGCGCTCTACGAGGAGGAAAAGAGCAGGAAGAGGGAGGAGAGCGGCATGGCGGCAGGAGGGTCCCTGGACCGTAAGATGATGGCTCTGGATGTCAGGATAGGCGAGAAGGTGCTGCTGAAAGAGGTGCAGAATGCGGTGAGGGCTAGGTTGGCCGAGCTTGCTGCGGCGGCGAGGGATGGCGATGGACGGAGCGCCAAGCGGAGGAGGATATAAGGGCGAGATTCCGGTCCATCTCTAGTTATGTTTATCGCGGCTCAAGATACCCCATATAGAGAGGTTGGAAAGTAACACAAGACAGAACAAGGGCCATTAGCAAATGAGATTCAATGAGCCTCTTCCAGGACAAAGCATTGTTCTCTTCTTTTGAGTACGAACCAGCGCCAATTATTGTAGCAACTCCCCTTACTTATGACTACCAGTTTAATGTTGGGTATCTCTACTGGTCTAGTAAGGAAATCCAAAACCCCTTTCCTCAATCCAGTTTCCATCAAAAGGTACGTGACGCCTATGCAGACGATCACATATTCATGCAAGCTTGGGTTTCTTGCGCACCAACCCACTACCCAATATGTTCACAGCTGGTGTCTCACTGCGCGAGACTTCTGTGTTCGTTGCGTCGCCAGCAACAGCAGCAGGAGTAGCCAGCGCAGGCTCGTCAGGGAGGGACTCCTTGCGTTTCTTGCGTGGCACAAGAACACTGACTGCTGAGGTATCCGAGTCTGCAGCCGCACTGGTTCTCCGAGTAGGAGGAGTAGTTAGGCCCAGTGCAGAACTGTCCACGCTGTTTTCTGACTTCTTCCTAGCAGTGAGCAAGGTGACAGCCGCCGATCCAGGGGACGACCCCGAAGCGCCTCCACCAGCTCCAACTTCAGCATGGACGGTCTCGACCGCGCTGCGTGTGTCGTGGGCCTTGGGCTTTCTACGCACAAGACCGGCCATATCATGCACGGTTCCACTTGGTGCGTTGGCCGCGGGAGGAAGCGGCCGTTGGCCTACGACGTCCAGCGCCCACTTTTGACCGCCACCGACCTCGCTGGTCCACCTCCTGGAGCTCGCAACTGCCAGCTCAAGAGTCTCGAAATCCAGCTTTGTGAGCAGATCGACTGATCGCTTGTAATCGGCTTCAGCGACAATGCGCGTGCCTCTTCCTTCTGGCGGCCAGTAGTAGTAAGTTGTCGACTCTGGTATGTTTGGGACATAGTTGCGCGCATGCTTCTTGATGCGCGGCAGACGAGACCGGATTGGCCCCCTGAGGGAGGTCTTCTTGGATGGCTTTGCAGACGAGCCACCTTTGGATAGGCTCTGTTGCCCTGACTTTGGCGTAGCTTCCATCTTCAACGGGCTCGATTTAGGTGTCGTAGCTGCAATCCCTTCCCGTCTCCTGGGTGGTGTCACCGGAAGCTGGACCGAGCCATCAAACGAGGTTCTCGGCGTGAGCAGGGACTCGGCAGCAGAGGCGACTCCGTTCGCCTCGCCCCAGCCGCTCGGCTCGAGTACAAGCCAGAGAAAACCAGTCATGTGTCCGCCTGAACACTCTTGCCGGAACGCCATCATCTCCCAGAACCGATCCATGGTCGTCACACTCCGCCACAGGCCCTTGTCCTCATATTGCGCCGACTTGGAGGCCTCGAGGTCCAGCTCATCGCAGTATCGCGCTTTGGGATCATCGGGGAACTTGGGAACCAGACATCTAGGGGGCACCCAGTCGTACTCCCTGGCAAAATGTGATATGCGCTCGAGAGGGTGGCAGAGAGACCAATTGGAGGCGGCGCTCGGTGTTCGCGGTAGGAAGGCACGCGACTCGTAGTTGTCCAGCCCAGGGACGACGAGGTAGGCCTTCTTCTCTTCCCAGCTGCCCTTCTTACTACGGGAGGGGCGAAAGAGGGCGTCCTCATGCGTACCCTGCCCCTCCATCACTGAATCCAGCACGCGACACCACCATCTCACAAGTCCCCGGTCGTCCAGGACGTGCTTCCCTTTGTTGTCCACGCTTCCAGGAAATAAGTACTGATTCTGGGCTCGAGCAAATAGACTGACGACAGTCTGGGCATTGTTGCGCCGACGCTCCTCGACAAGGCATGATATGAAAGCAGAGCTCACTTCGCGAATCGGAGAGGGCGTCCCCTTGGGCAGATCGAGAAGGTGTAGGTAGCCGGTGGAGTCAGCCTTGGAGACAAAGAAGGTGCTGGACCAGGCTGTAGTGAAGATAAAGACCTCGAGAGCAAGCACGAGAACCTGTCTGGGGTTGTTGTCGCTCGGCGAGCTAGGAGTCAGAGGTGAGGAGGGCAGACTCGAGGGCATGGATCGGTCTCGGGGCTTCGCTGAGGCATCGATGCTGACGGCCAAAAAGTGCGACTCGCGATACGTTCGGTCAGGACGAGCGCCCGGTGGTGCTGAGCAGAGAGCGTCGGTCTTGGTAGGAGGGGTCGAGAGGTGATGAACAGTGAACTTGTAACCTTTTGGGAGCACACCTGCAAGCTTGTCGAGAAGGGCCACACTGCATTGCTGCTTGGTGGGCGTTGAGCCAGGAAAGGTCCCAGAAGAAGCCATCATTGGGACACCAAGAACAAGAAAGCAACCAAGACGCAAGACAATAAAGAGAATTCGTGATATGAAGCCCAAAAAATAGGATGCTATGAGTGCATCATGGTGGCTGTAATATTAGCAATAGACTGAAATCCATCAAGAATTGGATTGGTCTTTTTGTTGAGGGGAAATGCCAGGAGGATTTGATTGACAGTCTGCGACGCGGTAGCAGTGAGACGGCTAGGTTGCAGGCGCGTCACATCGCGACAAGAGATGTGAGAAAGAGGCTTGCAGGCCTGCTGTGGCTGTTGTGGGTCCCGCTATGTGCCAGGCCTGCAGGGCTGATTGGTCCGTGCTTCTAGTGGTCCAATGGTCTAGTGGTTCTCTTTCAGTGCTCAGTGCTTCCTCCAGGGCGCTATCTGCTGCCTCCACAGCGAGTGGTCACCACCCCTGTTCTTGGAGCTAACCAAGGCTGGTGAGGGACCCACCTGAAAAAGTTACTTGTGGCGCATCCCAATCGTCGAGCAGTTTCGTCTCAAGATGTCACTGCTTCTGCTTTCCATTTTCTCCTCCTCCCCTTCCCCCCCCCCAACGCCGACCAGGAGAGGATGCGCCCACCTCTCTCCTGCACCAGCCCACAGTCTTCATGGCGCTCAATCCTTCACGATCAGCCTGGTCAACAACCAGGCAATGCCTCCGACCACTGCGCGTCTCGGCAGTGAATCAACGACCAGCATGTCGGGCGAGCCACGACCTCGCCCGCGCACCCACCGCGCTACGAGAGCGAGATGATCCTCTCAACGAGCCAGTATCCGAAGCAGACCTGCAGGAAGCGAGACCGAGATGGTCCTACACACCAGAGAGGCTGAAGGGCCGACACGGCTTCTCCCTCAATCCGATCAGGGACCCGCGCAGAGCGATATGGCACGTGAACAATGACCCGGCCAAGCTGGACGACTTCTACGAGCGCTTTCTGGGAAGGAACGGGTCCAAGATGCTCCCGGAGGAGCTGAGGTGGTTGGCCATCACACATAAGAGCTTTGACTACGGTCGGAGAGGATTTAACACGAGATTGGCATTCTTTGGTAAGGCCTACCTACCTTTTGCGCGTGTATGACGGCGGGCTGGTTCGGGATGGGGAGTTTGTGCTCTGATTGGCAATGCGTGTGTGTCTGCGCGTGTGCTGACTTTGAATCTCTCTTGTTTGACACAGGTCGACAGATATTGGTTGTCGAGACCATGAATACCATCATGACCCGACCGGGGACGGTGGAGAAATACCTTGATGACCCCTGGAGACGGGACCATTTCGAGTCACCTGCCCTGCGGAACGTCGACAAGCTCAGTGTGAACAGGCCGACGGATTTCATGTCTGTGGATGAACTGGCAAGAGTGGGCATCAAGACCCAGCTGGACAAGGTTATGCGGTGGAAACCTAGAATTGTTCGTTCAGCCTCCTCCTCCCCTTCTTCCTCGCTGTGGTCCCTCCGGTTGTCTTCTTCTTCAGCCCCTCCACTAACCTGCTGTGCCTCCTTGTTTAGCCTGAGAATCTGAAATCATCCGGTATCGACGTCGTCCTTGCAACGACACTGTTTGCCATCGTCGGGGCCGTCTCGCTGCAGCATGGTGGTGACGTTGCAAGCAGGATTGCTCGCGAGAAGATCCTAGCAAGGATGACACCAAAAACGATCTAAAAGATGTTATGTACGATATGTACCGACGAGCCAGTCTACTGAGGGACCATGACTATGGGCAAAAAGAAGAAAAGAAAAAAAGAATACCAAACTCCAATGCACTACAGCCTACATACATTGCATGGTTCCTCAATGGTATTCATCATGACAGGTTCCCAAGAACCCTAAGAAAGGGGGTGGAAATCGTAAACTCTTAGTCTTTTCATCTTCCAAAAAGAGATGACATATCGAACGAATTGAAGGATGAAGTGACCGTGCTTGCGACGCTGTGGAATCATGCTATCTGACGCTTTTTGCTACATAAATACGTATCAAATGAAATTAAACAAAATAGGATTGACCAAACAATGCATTGCCATCATTCATTCTCATCACCATCCATCCTTGAACTCCAAATCCATAATCCTAATCTCATTCCTCCCCACCCGCAAGATGTTCCCGTCATCGTCCCAAAACTGCCTGCCCTTGCCGCCCGACCAGACCTTATACGCCAGCCACGCGCTGCTCCCCTCGCAGGGAACCAGCTCGCAGCAGTTGCCCGTCCTCCTGAACGCCTCGAGCTGCTCACCACCCAAAGCAGCCCCCCTTTCCCTCCACTCGGGCGGCGGCTTGTGCTCGCCGTACATGAACAGCACAAGCTGCTCCAGGTCCCGCAGGATCGTCCGCCCCAGCCCCTTCATCATGACCGCCGACCCCCCGTAGCCCCAGCCCCGCACACTCAGCCCCAGGCGCGCGATGCCCAACCCTTTTGGGTCCGCCTCCTGGAACAAGCGCATGACATGTGACAGGCGCGCAAAGTCCGAGTCCTGGCCCAGGAGACACACGGTGTCCTCGTCAGGGGAGACATACAGCGTGCGCCGCAGGAGGCGTGCCCGCCCGTCTGCGCTGGGGCCGGTGAAGCTGTAGTGGCCCGTGTCGCCGCCTGCGGAGTACCGCAGGTAGGGGTTCAGAGGGTCTGGCGACTGGGCTGGGGTGGAGGTGATGCAGGCTAGGGGGAAGGCGGTGCGGAAGTGTTCCAGGGCCATGGCGCGCGCCTCGGCGCATACGGACAGGGCAGCTGGGTTGGAGCAACCGGACTGCCACTGTTGGTTGTTGGTGGTAGTCGTTAGTAGGGGAGTTCATTTACAGATACGTGCATACATACATACATACATCCACGAAGGGGTTTCGCGGACTGCAAAAGAGAAAGAGAAAGAGTTGAATATGTGTGAGTGTATGTGTATGAGAGAGAGAGAGAGAGAGAACTTTACCTGTGGGCGTCGGCCATCGTCGTGGCTTGGTGAGTAGTTGGGCCGCGTCGGACGCAGTTCGACAACTCTGGGCAGGAAGGTGAGGTCCCATATCTTGAGCCTCAGCTCGGTGGGTAGGTCTCCGAAAAGGTGGAACTCTGTCAGCAGGGAGACAGCTGGGGGGGCCACGCCCGAGTCATCTGAGCCCTCCTCAACAACAGCAGAAGCAGCGGTGGGCTCCTCTGCAGTGGCTTTGACCTTGGTCTCTTGTTCGTGATTGATGGAACCGTCAATCTCTTGTAGAGATGCCATGAGGGAAGATAGAGAGGGCAATTCCTTGGTTGCAGGTGGAGGAGTAGTCGTCGCACTCTTGGGTGTGGTGTCGGTTATGTCCACAGGTCCGAGTGGCTCTGCCTCCTTGACAGGCTGCTTGTATTCGAAAGAGAGCAAGCGATAGCCGGCGTTTTCGGGGTCGGCCATGGCCCCAGATGGGGAGAAAGAGAGGCACACACGGTTGTGAATTGTTGTGAGAGGTTGGTCGGTTGACTTAGTTGGTTGTTGGTTGTTGTCATCGCCTAAACTGCTTGGGAACAGCGAGCGCTGGCTGCCTTGAGAAGGCGACTGCCCACTTATACGGTATGTGGAAAAGCATGTCAGCAACAGGGTTAGGGCTTGTTGGTGATGATTGATTGATGCTGGAACACGATCTCTTAAATCTGCTTTTAATTCGATTCTTTCCTTGTTATTTCTTGAAATCCGTCTTCTCGTCCTTGTTCGCTTCAATTCCCACTTGACCCGGTTTGTGTTCCAGATCCAAGATAAAACGGCGTCCCAACCTTGGAACGCTACATTATCGTACCAGGATCCAACCTTGAAGCCAAGTCGAATCTCGTATAAAAACCCACCACCCCCAACCAACAACAAAGAAAGAGAAGAAAGGAGTCAGAAAGAATATTCATTCTGAAGATGAATATCTTGTCTCTATGATCAATTTCCTGGGAAGTTAGGAAGAACATCCCTCTTCTCATGTGCTTTCTAACATGATAAGTGATGGCTGAGGGGAGTGGTCAAATCATACAGGCGAGAGGTTGTAAAACTATTACACACAAGACAAATATCCACACATCTGCTTATATTAGTGGTTCTATGCTCCAGCGCATAAAATATCTCATGCCTTGATGCCATAGATCTTCCAGGTGTATGATTTCTAATACAATCCACTCCAAAAAGCTGGACAGAGAACAGATCATGCAGTTCCTGCCACCTCTGTTAACTTATGGGCCGAACAACTTCTGCAGCGATCAAAACTTGTTTATGGCAATAAGCTTATGAGAGGAGCCATGTCAACAGATAGCCCCATATGGAGAGTGTTTTATGTAAGACTGGTAAGATGAGAGGCAGTGATGAAACTCCTTCCATCTACATCTCGACACCCAGCTGGGAAAAAGAGCCATTCTTCTTCCAAAGAGTATCAAAGTGATTCGAGTAGATGATAACCTTCTTAAGGCCTAATATAATCAGAGGCTTTACTCGATGTTTACCAGCAATGGCTTCTTATCTTCTGTGCATCACGTCTATTCGAGCAATGAGAGAGGGTATTGTCGTGCAGGCATCTGGGAGCCAGCACTGTAATACCGGTGGAAATACCAAGGCTGATATGCTTCCCCTATAACTTGAATCAAATCTGAAAATAAAAGGAGGTCAGATAAAGTGAGAATATTGGGTATCGTACAAGCCCAATAATGAAATGCAGTAAGTATGTGTTGAACGCCTTGCCTATCGTGCTTGAAGCCCGGAATGACGGCACACAATCCACTGCCCCAGCCAGAAAACCGAACCCCGCATCAAACTCAAGATCATCTCAACCTCGTCACCATCACCGCCTGATAACACTTAACTACTTGAAATACTTGACATAAAGAAAAGACACGCTCAAAAGAACAAACAGACGGAAAATGTCGGCTGCAAAAGGCGGCGATGAGGGCTACCTGGCCCAACCCCCCGGGCCATGCTGCTGGCTCGGCACAATCCACAAGGGCACACCCCGCGGGAAAATAGAGACCCTGCACGAGACGCCAACCTACATCGCGACGCCCGTGCCAGAGAAGGCCAATGGTCATGTGGTGCTGTACTTCCCAGATGTCTGGGGCATGTCAAACAATGCCCAGCTGCTCATGGACGGTTTCGCCGACGCTGGGTTTCTGACGCTGGGAATGGACTACTTCAGAGGCGTATAACCAGGACCCCCCCCCCCTTTCTTTCTATATACAGAAGAAGAAAAAGATCAAGCCATTTTAACCAGTCTACAGGACCCCATCTCCAAGTACCGCAAGACCAAGAATGACCCCCTCCCCGAAGGATTCGACCACGCCGCCTGGCGCTCAAAGCACTTCACCTTCGCCACCGAGAACGTCCCCGGCTGGGTCGACGCGGTCAAAACCAAGTACGGCGGCGAGGGGACCAAGTACGCATGCACGGGCTATTGTTTTGGCGCGCCGTTCGTATGCGACGTGCTGGCTGGGGACCGCGTCTCTGCGGGGGCGTTTGCGCACCCCACGGCGCTGAAGGAGGAGCACTTTACAAGCTTAAAGCGTACGCTTGATCTTTTTCCTTCTTTTGCTTCTTCCCTGGCCTCTGTTTCGGAGAAGTGAGCAGAAAGATCGACGGGAGTCTATGCTGATCGTGTGCTTATTTTTTCACTTTACATAACAGATCCGCTTTTGTTGTCGTGCGCCGAGAATGACCATGCGTTCCCGGCCGAGTCGAGGAACAAGGCGCAGGGTATCCTCCAGAGGGACAACAAGCGGTATCATATTCAGCTTTTCTATGGCGTGGGCCATGGTTTTGCTGTCAAGGGCGACCCTGAAGACCCCTACCAGAGTGAGTTATCTTGTCCATCTACTTGTTCATCCATCCCACCGCGGTGGTGCTTGAGACCAGACATTACAGAAGACTGATGGCGTGTGTGTAGGGTGGTGCAAGGAGCAAAGCCTTAGAGCGATGATTGACTGGTTTACCCTTTGGCTGGTGGGACCTTCTTCTTGATGCGAAAGTTATGGTGTAGCCAAATACAGAGGTTGGTGGCCATGACAACTGGCTGTTGATGAAGGCCATTCACATTGACTCGGCTCAAGAAAAAATAAGTTGTCGTTGAACTACGGCTCGCGCCTCCTTGCACCCTCTCATCCGGTGTGCTGTCTTGCCCTGCCCTGTCCCTGTCCCCCTCGATCACCGCTGCTTCGCAATCATCACGCCAGGCTCCATCCCTCTCCCCTCAAAGAGCACTCCAGCCTTCCGCAGCACCCCAACCGTGTTCCCAACAACCTTGACATCCACACCCTCCGTGCTCACAGGGAACCGCACTGTCTTGATCCACTCCCGTGCGTCCTCCTCAGAGTAGTCCAGCTCGGTACTGATGTACCGCACCGCCTCCTCCCCGTTCTCGTTGAAGTGCTTGATGCCCTGGTCCAGCCTCCTGAACAAGTCGCGCACCCGCTCATCCAGCCCGTCATCGCCGGCAGCAGTGGGGACGAGCGAGGTGCTCACCACAATCTTCCAGCTGCTCCAGGGCGTGTAGATCTCGCCCACCTTGCGGATCTCGCCGGCATCGTAGTAGCGCTTGGAGGTGAAGTGCTCCCACATGAAGAAGTCGGCCTCGCCAGAGTTGACGGCCCTGCGCAGGTTCTCAAAGGTGTTCAGGACGACGGCCTGCGAGTAGGGGCCGGTGGTAGCAGCAGCAGTAGCAGCAGCAGCGGATGATGAGGACGAGGGTGGCGACGACAGCCAGCCCTGTTGATCTGCGAGGACGAAACCCATCACGTAGGACCCTGAGCCAAGCCTCGAGACACCGATCTTGGTGCCCTTCAACGAGGCTACATCCGTGACGTCGGTCCTCGCGGCGCCAGTAGAAACAGCCCAGCCTGTGCAGGAGGGGAAAGAGAAGCCAGGTTAGCCAGACAAGTATACTCGGCCAGAAAGAAACAAAGGAGGGTTGACAAATTATATCACCTACAGAGTGGTGTCTCGACAAAGGTGCCGACAATCTTGTAACCGCCATCACCCTGGACATCCTCCTTGCCCAAGCCGGCGACCCAGGCCTCAGTCAGGCCGATGCCGACGTCAATCTCGCCTGAGCGCAGAGAGGTGATCATGTGGCCCGTCCCCGAGGGGAAAGGCACGAGGTCTGCATCCAGGCCGTAGTACTTTTTGGCAAAGTGGATGGGGGTGGAGAAGTGTTCTGGCACGTAGCCTATTCGCAGGGGACGAGGTGATGCCATAATGTTGTGGCTTCTTGTTCTTGGTCTTCTTTTTCCAAGTACTGAGGGTGACAACAAACAAATAAAGTATTGTGTCTCTGCTCTTTAGTAAATAAAGATTACTGTACGAAAGAGATGCTCTTACATGTGACAAGTAAAAGTTCTCCGTACTCGGAGGTGAGATTCTGACAGAATAGAGAGTAGGGACGAGGTTAAAATTTTTATTTTAGCTAATTCTTTCAAAGGTCGTGACTCTCTTCTGCTCTGACACACACAGCGCAACGCTTTAAGCTCCGAGACATCCATCTCGAAACAAAGAGAGAGAAAATTACTTATGTATTACCTTCTAGAAACCCCCGGTAACGTGCCCCTAAGCGCACCTATGACGTGGGATATTTGTAGGGGCACGTCCACTATTAGCCGACGGGAACAGCAGCAAGCCCGTCCCGGCCTCAACCCTAAAACAGTACTGACAGCACCTAAACGGGATCATTTTCTCACTGCACTACTGGTTGCACGTATTTCATCGTTGGGACGGACCACTTACTGCACGCCTGCAGAAGTCACACGACTCTTAATCTACTTATCTTCTTCACTCCTTCACACCCAAGGCTGAGACATGGCCGTCTAGCTGTACTATCTCAAGTAATTTGCGTCTCAATTTGATATGGTTCTGACATCTTTTGATCACTAATCATGGCAGCACCCACCACGATGAGTTCACCTAAGCATGTCCCTGTCCCGAGTGCTACGTACCTCATGAACCCAGGTTCCAGATACAGAAGTCAATGCTGGGAGCAGATGATACTGATGAGTATGATTAACAAACCATCCATCCGAGCTGAGCCATCTTCTAGGCGGTTTTCACTCGGTGGGTTCATGAATATCTATTTGTCAAGAGCTCCATACCGCGGCTAGGTACGGCGCTCAGCAGGAGACCATTGCGCACCGATGTTCGTGCCGGTTTCCAAAGCCGGAGTCATGTTGATTTTCTCTGCATTTCTTCTTCGGAACTCTCAGTGCTTGACATGGCCTGCTCTTCTCACATCCATCCCCTCTTTCTTGTGTAGATAGAATCTGTACTTTACTGTACGGCCATTCTCAAGTTTTCCTCTTGCTCTTTTTTTGCAAACCCCCACGTTCAGCAATCATGGACAATAAGAGCAACGACGCAGAGCGCCTCCGATCGAGGAAGCCCGTCCCTACGCCGGTGCCGGCATATCTGCCCTCCGCAGGCTCGCCCTTGACCGTGGATGAGGTTCTCTACAACAGCGTGCAAAAGGCCCCTCGAGAGCTCATCGAGACATTTACGCTCCCGATCCGGTCAGGCAGGGCGTGGAAAGCTCCAGCCGGATCCATTATCAGAATCAGCACGCCCGAGGGTGCGCAGGTTGGTGAGTAAAGACCCAGATTACCAGAAGTCTACCTTGTATCGGCAGAATGATGAGGAGGAGGAGGAAGAAAAAGAAGGAAAGCATTATTGAGATGCCGCTGGCCGGAAAGGAGAGTGGAAAATAAAGACATCAACTCACACTGACCACCCACAACAACAAGGGGACCTCAACATCTGGAACGCCCACAACCCTCGCGAGCGCTTCTGGGCCAGCCGCACCAGACAGCTCCACGCCGCCCACGTCACAACCCACGACCGTCTCTGGTCCTGCCTGCCCTACGTGCGGCCCCTGGTGACCATCCTCGCCGACAGCCTCGCCTGGTACGGCGAAGACGAGCACGGCGGGCGCGTGCACGACCTGCTCGGCACCCGCTGCGACCCGTACATCAACACCGTCCTGTCCGGCCAGACGTACGACTTCCACTGCCACTCGAACCTGACGCGGGCCGTGCTGCCGTTTGGCCTGTGCGAGTCGGATGTGCATGATGTGCTTAATGTGTTTCAGGTGACCGGCTTGGACAAGAAGGGGCGGTACTTTATGAGCCCTTGTCCTGCGGAGAAAGGAGACTTTATTGAATTCCTGGCTGAGCAAGACGTTCTTATGGCGCTGAGTATGTTGTCCACTTACGGTGTTGTCCCTTTTATTCTCCCTGTCTTGTGCGGGTGGAGATCATCTTTAGACTCTGTGGGCTGACCGTGTGCTTACCAAAACAACCAAAAGGCACCTGTCCTGGCGGAGATTTGTCGCTGTGGGGTTTCGGGAGCGACAGCGAGAAGGAGATGATCAAGTGCTGCCGGCCGCTCAAGGTCGAGGTCTTCCGGCTGGCTGATGGGGAGATGCTGGCCAGGGGAGGATGGAAGCCAGCTGAGGTCTCCAAGTACCAGGATGCACATGGCATGAAGATACCAGTGGGTGAGTACGAGGCTGTCGCTGGGACCAAGAAGCAATGAGCTGGGTGGACTAAAATTGGGGGGGGGGGGGGGACAGGAGAAGAGGTTGAGAGTACGTTTAGTCCGCCGAAGAGAACGGGAAGTGGCACGGAGACACTCTGTAAGTCCCAAGGAAGGCAGGAAACAAGATTCAAACTGTTTCGCCTATTTTACGGAACTACACCTCTCTTATTTATAAGATATCGCAATAGATGAACATTGGATGAAGAAAGGGCTGGAATGAAAGTAGTGACACGGATTGGTCAGGGTTTGCTCTAGGGTTACAGCATCGCGCCTACCGAGCAGAATTCAATTGCTGCCCGTGAAATCACAAATGCGAGCTCGGCGCGTCAAAGCTTTCCCTTATACTCACAGCTCATCCGATTCACCCACGACTTCTTTTTGCAAGGAGATTACTCCCACAAATACAAAAAGTGGCTCAACATCACAAGATCCCACACAGAAACAATCAATTTGTGAGAATTGTGGGCAACAGCTCACGGGATGTCCAGCACCAGTCAAGCCCCGGGTCAATCCCAAATCCAGTCAACGTCCAACGACGACAAGGCAACGATATCAATGCAAAACCTGACTGACAGAGTGGAGAAATATGTTGAGGTCTACATGTCCCGATACGACGCGTCGCACGACTACAAGCACATCCAGAGGGTCCTGAACCTGGCGAGGCTCATCCTGAAAGAAGAGCAGAGCGCCAAACCCGCACAGAACCAAGCAGGCATGAGGAGGATCCAATACGACGACAACCTCGTCACCCTCGGCGCCCTCCTCCACGACGTGGGCGACAAGAAGTACCTACAGCCCGGCCAAGACCCCACCACTCTGGTCCGTGACGAGCTCCTGGCAATGGGCGCGGCCGCAGACCTGGCAGACCGCGTGCAGGACCTCGTGCTGCACGTGTCTTTTTCCACCGAGAAGAAGGACCCTCAGAAGATCCTGGACAAGATCGCCGCGATCCCGGAGCTGGCCATCGTGCAAGATGCGGACCGGCTGGACGCCATCGGGGCTGTGGGCATTGCGAGGTGCTTTGCCTACACGGGGGCCAAGGGGAGGGACGACGGGCTGGACGGGGCTATTGAGCACTTTGTTGAGAAGTTGGAGCTCTTGGAGGGGATGATGAAGACGGATACGGGAAGGAGGCTTGCGAGGGAGCGGACAGAGAGGCTCAAGGTGTTCAGGGGATGGTGGGAGAGCGAGAATGAGGGGTCATTCTTATGATTAGCACGTAGATGGCACCTAGGGATATTGATTATTACTTTTGTACCTTTATGCTAGACCCAAGGATTGGAAGAGATTGGGAAATAAATATAGATACCAAAGGACGAATACTACGAGGATATTCTGGTGGATCTTTCATGAAATGGCTGATTCTAAGGATAGCCATATTGTACACAATTCCTAAGAACACGATGCCGACTTTCGGTTTCGGAGAGACGCAAGACAATAACCCATAATTATACAATTGAATTGAAAGTTTCATTACAGAAGGGCGCGTATTAATGCAGCACTGGAGACAGGTACAAATAATCTTGGGATTATCATTGCAATTATTCTTCAAAAGTTTCATTCAAGTTGAGATACGCAAGTAATATCGAGAATACAAATACCTATCAACTCATAGTTGAACATATGATTACTACCCAGGCAGCCAGAGAGATTTGCAAATTACGCGTATAAAGATAAACAGGCGTCAGCCAACCCATGCAATGCTGACAGGCAAACCTTGATGGAGGGATGTGAGCTCTCTAACGCCATCAGTATCAAAAACGCATCAAAGGATGTTGGGACAAGACCTCGGGGCCGGGCTATTCATCACCCCGAGGAGCAGGTGGCGGCTGTTAGCCTGAGCTGTGCAGTCCAATCGCGCGGCCCGACAAGGTGAAACGAATCGATGGCTCACGAAAGCTTGAGAGTGATGCCATCATCGCTGTCGTAAGTCTCAATTATCTTGCCGCAGACATAGGCATGATGGTAGACCACTGAAAGGACGGCCCACCGCATGCACCCCATTTTTGAATTCTCAAGTTCCTTGCTATGTCTCCGAGCGTCGAGGTCGCATTGATATCAACACATCCATAAAATCCATTAAACACTTGATTGCGGAAAGAGCCAAGCAATAAAGAACAAACATTCATCCTTCCCGGAACGTACGGCTGCAACTGCCCCTGACGTCACGTCACACTGTACACGTCAGACCACTCTTGCACCTCTTTAAGTACTTACTCAAGTACTTATGCAGACAGTGAAACTGATTGACACACGATTGGGTTTACATTGCGACTCGACTCTCACAGGGGAGTCTTGAAGCTACATACACCTTTGTTTGTCTCTGCTGAACAGAGAATCTCTGCAGGTCATCCAGCAGACCGACCGACCAACTGACCAAAAAACAATGAAGACCGCTACGTTGTTACCGTTCGCCGCTCTGGCCAGCGGCTTCGTCGTCCCCGACGCTCAAGTATTTGCCCAGCTTCCTGTCCATGAGGAGCAGTCTCACGACGACGTCTCCTGGCTGGACTGGCTGTCATCGGCAGATGCAGTCACCTCGTCCATCCACGATGTGGTGGACACATGGTCCACCGGTGTCGAGGATGCCGTGAACGATATCAAGGGCCGCCTGGAGACTGAATTCGAATCCCTTTTCGATGAGGAAGAGGAGTATAGCCTCGATGCCATGATGGATAGACCTCACCACGGCGGGCACAGGCACAAGCACAAGCCCAACGAGACCATCTACCAGCTCATCAGCAAGAGCAAGTACACGACCAAGTTCAAGGCGCTGGTTGACGACTACGAGGACATTGTCGAGATCCTCAACAGCACCTCGGCAAACTACACCCTTTTCGTCCCCATCGACAAGGCCTTTGAGCACATCCCCGAGGACCACAAGCCCTCCAAGGACTTTGTCGAGGCGGTGCTCAAGTACCATATCGGGCTGGGCCTGTATCCAGCGGGTCGGGTACTGGTCACGCACACCCTGCCGACTGCTCTGGAGGAGCCCCTGCTTGGAGACAAGCCCCAGAGGCTGAGGACGAGCGTCGGCATCTTGTCTGGTATCCGGGTGAACTTCTACAGCAAGGTTGTCGGTTTGAACCTTGTACGTATCTGTCTCTGAAAACTACTTGTTATTCCCCTTCTAAGATGAACATGCCTGCTAATAAGGATGGGGAAAAATTCAACAGCCGGCTACGAATGGAGTCATCCACGCAGTCAAGAGTATTCTGGTCCCTCCACCCAATGTCGGCCGGGCGCTCACGCTGTTCCCCTCAAGATTCTCGACCCTTCTCCTGGCATTTGAGAAGACCAACTTCACTAGCTACATCCACGGCATCAAGTTGACCGGCAGCACTGTCTTCGCGCCCGACAACGGCGCCTTCGCCAAGCTCGGCCCGGCCGCCAATGCCTTCCTGTTCAACACGCACAAAGGCCTCGGATATCTCAAGGCGTTGCTCAAGTACCACGTCGTCCCCAACGAGATTGTTTACTCAGACGCGTACTATTCGAGCTCAGACAGTGGCGGCGACGACGACGACGACGACAGCGACGAGGAGGCCGGCGCGCGCCAGGACGTCGGCCGTGGTCACACCCACCTTGACGTCCCGACGTTGCTGGGCGACAAGAATATTGCTATCGATGTAGCCCGGCTTGGTGGCTTTATCCGGGTCAAGGTGAATGGGTATATCCCGATCGCTACGCAGGATGTAATTGCGAAGAACGGTGCGATTCACCTGCCTGCCCGTGTCCTCATCCCGCCTCATAAGCATGGGAGGCACCATGCAGAGGAGATGGACGAGGAAATTAGTGTTGAAGAGCTTATGGAGAGGCTGGCTGATTACGTTGACGACGAGTCTGCCAATGGTGAGAATCAGAATAAGGCGGCAGTTGAGCTGGAACTTTGAAAAATCCTGCAGGGGAGGAAGAGCGAGGACAATCGACAGCAGAGGAGAGATGAATGAGAGGGAATGGGATACAGGGTCCTGGTAGTGGAGTAAGAAATAAAGTACGGTTTGCTGTCAAATGCATATATATTAGGAAGAGTGGGTTTGATCTCACAGCCGAGACTAAGAGCTTGTGTGAGTACTTGAAGTGGCCTATGACAATGTCAAAAGTCGTACTTATATCGCATTCTTTCCGAGTCGACCTCACATATCACTGTGTGCCGTTAAATGGGACAACAACCAAAAGAAAAGGATGAGGGAAAGAAGGCCACTGTTATAAATCATGAACCAACATTTATTTGCACGTACGACCATACCTAGCGGAGAACTTGGGATCCCGTCTGCTCTCCCCTAAATAAGCCGCTAAGGGCTGGATTAGTAGTCAAGTGGGTGACCATTGGCGAATACCCAGTGTTGTACGTGTTTTTTCTTTCTTTTTGTCCTCTTTTTGTCCTCTTTTTTTTTTTTTTTTTTTTTTTTTTTTTTTTTTTTTGGTCTCTGTGTTATTTCTCTCTATTTCTCTTTTTCCTTTTCATTTGTTTGTTATTTGGTCCTCTCTCTTCATCTTCCTGTTATCTTCTCATTTGAGCTCTGTCGTGAGCAGAAGGAGACACGTTGGAGCTATTGTGCAATGCACATGGTGAAGTTGCATGGGGTACACATTCCCAGGTCATGTTACGGCTTGCAGATGATGTATTGAAATGCATTGTAAAACTCAAATATAACAACAATACAAGAACTTGGCTCACCATCTATATTCTAATAGCAAAGATAGACTCAAATGAAGTTGAATTATCTCGAGGGCACCTGAGACGACCCACGGGCCGGAGGAGCGGGATTCCTGGAACGTGGAGCCCTGCAGCCCTGGACCGCGGCCTCAGCGAGAGAGACTGATGAAAATAAAATCTCTCTCTCGTCATGAAAAGATGGCACGGTAGCTTTGACACACAACACAACTTCACAAGCCACCACGCCGCCCTGCGAGCCATCGAGCCAGGTTCTTTTCTTTTTCTCCTTTCCTCTCCCACAAAATGGCGTCGAGCCTGGCGTCAACAGACCCATCATCCACGCCCCTCTTGAGCGATGTAGCAGGAGGCAGAGACGCGCACTACGGCACAGGCCCAGAACCCCCTGCCGACGCCGCGCCGACCGACCGGAGCACCACCACCACCACCACCACCACCACCACCCCCTTCGCGCGGAATCTAGGTGCGCTGGATGCATTCGCCATCATCATCTCCATCGTCATTGGCAGCGGCATCTTCACATCCCCTGGGTCCATCGACACCAATGTGCCGTCGCCTGGAGTGGCGCTGGTTGTTTGGCTGGTGGGCGGGATCCTGGCCTGGACGGGAGCGAGCACGATGACGGAGCTTGGGACGGCGATTCCTGGTGAGGGTATGTTACTGTCCTGGAAGAGAGAGAGAGTGTGTGTGTGAGGAGTATGTATGTGTGTATGATGTTGGCATTCTAATCTCTCTCTATCCCCTACAGGAGGTGTACAACCTTACTTAAAGTATATATACGGTGACGTCTGGGGTCACTTGGCTGCGTGGACTTGGGTCGTCGCCATCATGGTATGTACATATCTTATGTGTATATACACACAACCTTGAAACAAGGACAACATCTCTCCCTTTTTTCTTCACACATACTCACACAATCATCATCACAGCCTGCAACCCTGGCCATCCTGAGCATCGTCTTCGTCGAGAGCATCTTCTCCGCCGCCGGCGTCACAGACCAGGCCGCCAGCCTCTCGCACAAGCTCCTGTCCGTCCTGATCATGGCCGTCATGAACCTGGCCAACTCCATCAGCACCCGAGCCAGCACCCGGCTCAACAACTTCTTCGTCGGCACCAAGTTCCTGAGCATCTTCGGTGTCGTCCTGGCCGGCATCGTGGTCCTCTTCCTCCACCTCGCCCACCCGGATGACAACAACAGCGTAGGTGGTGGCGACTGGCACAAGAGGAACTGGTTTGCGGACCGCGACACCGTCATCACGCCGGGCGACAAAGGCGGCCTCGTCATCCACTGGCAGGACGTCAGCACCTGGGAACTGCTGGGCCACCTCTCGGCGGCGCTGTACGGGGCGCTCTGGGCGTATTCTGGCTGGGAGAAGGGCATCTACGTCTCTGCCGAGCTGTCCAACCCCGTCAAGCAGCTGCCTCTTGCCATCAACACCGCCATACCGACGATTGTGTTGTGTTTTCTCGCCGCGAATGCGGCGTATTACATCCTGCTGCCGTGGGATGTGGTGTCCACCACAGACAGCGTTGCCGTGGTACGTCTTGAACTAAGCCTGCAAGAATAACTCTAATATACAAGTATATGTATACACAAGGATCTTTCAAACATGTTTGCTGACAAGGAGAATACTGCAGACGGCCATCGCTCGTCTCCTCGGTCGCGGGTTCGGCATTGTCGCCGCTGTTCTGATCTGCCTCGTCGTCGCCGGCTCTCTTTTAGGCAACTCGTTCGTTGCGGGCCGGATGGCAGTCGCAGCAGCCAACGCAAACTGGCTCCCCAGCCTCTTCGCCGCCGTGGGGAAGATAGGCCCAGCAGGATCGACCGAGCAGGAGGAGGAGGCTCAGGACCACACAGACAAGTCAGGCTCCGACGCCCCTCTCAACGCCATCCTCCTCAACACCCTCCTCTCCGCCCTCTTCATCTTTCTCGGCGACTTCCGCTCCCTCGTCACCTTCAACGGGCTGGGCGAGTACACCTTCTTCTTCCTCACCGTCCTGGGCGCCGTGGTCCTCAGGTTCCGCGAGCCCCAGCTCCGCCGCCCTTACAAGCCGCTGCTGCTCGTCCCTGTGGTTTTCACTCTGGTCAGCGGCTTCGTCTTGGTGCGGGGGGCTGTCTTTGCGCCTGCGCAGGCCCTGGTTCTTCTTGGTGTGTGGGTGTTGGGGTATCTCTTCTTTCTGCTGTGGCATAGGAATCCAGAGCGGGAATAGAAAGAAAAGAGAGAGAGGGCCTGTTGTACAAAGCACACGGTGGCGAGCTGCCCCAGTGTCGACACGATTAGAGTGCAGCATCAGTCCACACGAGGTCTAGAGAGGAAGGAATGGATGTGCCATCACCACGCAGTGAATAATCTACCCAAACTGTCCTTCCTTTGCGTCCAGTTTGCGAGCCCGGCCGTGGCTGACTTGAGAAGGTGGTAATGGAAGGCATTCATGTTATTCCCTGATAGGGCCGGGCTGCTGGCTCACAGCAACGACAGATGGGCGGATGATATGGAAAACTCGACAGTCTCTGGGTGAATTTCCTGAAACAGCTGCGATCGACTTTTTTTCTTTCTTGATGCTGGGTGTGCGCGCTTGAAAACAAAAAAGAGATGAGTTATGACATCTCATCATGCAGAAGATGCAGCCACAGCTTTTTTCCGAACAAGAAGACGTCGATCAGCGGACAGTTTCCTCCAGCCCAGTGTGGGCCTCACAGGCAGGTACAACATAAGACGCGTATGTGCTGTGAATCAATTCTCCTGTGGCAATAGTATCGTCAATATCCCAAAACCCCAAGTGGATCACTCATTGCAGACACACCGGAACTCGCAAACTCAGAAGCCTCCGATCTCGCCTCCGCCTCTCGTGACCAGTCGCGCTCTTTTCCCCAAACATCTTTCAGGAAGTGAAGAAAACGAACCCCACCCCGAGACGGGCCAGCACGCGGCTGTACCATAGTACGTACGATGGTATTTCCACACACACACACACACACAGAGAGAGAGAGAGAGAGAGAGAGAGAGAGAGAGAGAGAGAGAGAGGAGACACATACGAGCAGGTGCACCCGGCCGACGCCCAGAAAAGGCCTTGCCACCCCGCCTACAGTACCATCCAAGATAGACGGCTGGGGACGTTCTAATCCACTTTTTGCCTTGGGGCCCGCCCGGGCTGGTTGGCTGGGCCTGCAAGTGACGGCGGCTCGGCGCTATCAATATTGAAACCGTAGTATTCCTCTACAAAATGGGAGGGAGGCAGAGAGACTTATGCGCGCGCGCGCGCGACCACTTGTGTGCAAAGAGGAGATTGAGAGAGATAGAAAGAGAGAGAGAGAGAGACAGCGAGAGAGACTGACTGACTAATTGACGGCGGTACCATACCTCCGGTTCTCCAGCCAAACAGTTGCAGCACACCGCTCGCTTATGAACCTGCTCTCTGGTGTTACAAGACCCACTTGCAGTGCTTCTTTATCGTATAATACCTCATCACAACACCCAGTGCCCACTGAACTGCTGACTCAAAAGCGGGAGGAGGATCACGGTTACATGCCGAATCGTCTTCAATGTCTACCTCTTCTATGTTTAGGACGATCTGCAAAAAAAAAAAAAAAAAAAAAAAAAGGTAGGGGAGGGAGGGTTACACTTCTGGATCTTTCGAATGTGAGAGAAGAGGGAGGAGGAGAATAATTTCCAGTCCCACCACCACCAGCAGCATGAGAGTAAAAGATTCATACTAACTGATTGAGTGTGTCGCCGCATTGCCACCATTACAGGACACCTGCGTGTTGCGTGTGGTGTTTGATGTGGTTGGGTCACGGTCACCACATTGTCCCCTTTCATCGAATTCTCCCGAGCTGCCCGTGTATGGTATCGTGACTCTTGATTGGTGTCGACCTCGAATCTGTGTATGAATTAACGAATCTAGTTAGCATATCTACCGCACCTAACTGACTGCATGATCGACCTCGCAGGCGACCGTTGTGTGTGGTGTGCTCCGGCCCCGCGATCGACCTTACATGCCGAAAGTAGCCCCAGGGGCAAGTCTTGGCCGCAATAGTGCTAGTGGTAACTTCCGCTATTGCAAAGGAGAAAGAATGGAGTGAGTGTGAGTGGGATGGTGGGTGGATGAGTGGGTGGATGAGTGGGTGTTGAAGAGGAAGAGGAGGAGGAGGGACAGTTTGGGGTGAGTGAGTACGTAGGCGCTTTTGGTGCTGGGGTTTTGATATCGGCGTTGTCTTTATCAAGAAGCCGACTTTACCTTCCCTTTTTGTGGAGGCACACGGTAGATAATGGCCAGGCGTGTCCAGATTCATGAATTCAAGGGTCTGGAGGGGGGCCACGGTTTATTATACCCGGCAACTTTTCATATCATTATTTATTGTGCTGAGAGAGGGTCGATGATGATCCAGAAAATCCATGTCATGTTAAGTAATCATATACATTTCCCCCAACAACACAATCTCGTCCTCTGTCTCTGTCAAACTTTATGGTTCAGTATGCAAGCGATGATCTGATGTGTCCACCCTAAACCCCAACCCATCTCAACTAAATCTGCAGGTTTTCGGCTACCGAAAGAGGATGCTCAAAGGTATTGGTTGAAGGAGGGGTAGCGCGGCGTCACACAGTAAAAGAATATCTTGCTCGCGTATGCAAGTCATTGCCCATCCTGCCAAAACGGGGGCTGGGCCGAAGGGTAATTAGGTGGTGGCTCCCCTTACCCCCCCGTGGGGGTATGTCTCCTGTCACGATTGACACCTGCAGAGCCCATGGCCGAGGCATGTTACGACTTGCTATTCTTCCAAGTAGCCTCAACATATTAGAGAGAGTTTGTATGCATATGTGTGTTATATGTGTGCTCACATTACCGTCATATACGTATCTCCTCGCATTTACCATCGGGGCTCGTTCGAACTACTTTCCCTTCCCCTGGTTGTAACCCCCCCCCCCACCCCGCCACCCCCCCCCATTATAGAGTGCCGCTCACAAAGATGTACAAAATCGCGGCCAGAGCTCTCGTTCCTTGTCTGTCCTTGAATACTTTGACGTCTCTCCTGTCGATGAAGCCTTGACACCTGGGATCTTCAGGATCGCAAGGTGTCCTGGTGGAGAGGCTCAAAACAACTTCCTTCTCTCTCTATTCCTCCATCTCTCCCTCGCTCTCTCTTACCCCTTCCTTCCTCTCGCCTACTCACTCACATACACACACACACACACACACACACACACACACACACACACACACACACACAAACACACATACTTCTCTCTCAATCACCCTTTCCCCTTCGACGACTGCTGGGGGGGAGAAGAGAGTCAAGATGTTGCGGATACCACTGGTCAAGACGGGCCAGATCGCCCTGCTGGTCTGCTCGGTCGTGTTTGCCATCATACCAACCATTGCTGTTATTTTGAGGTTGGCAGCACGGAGGATCGCGAACCGGAAGCTGGACGCGGCAGACTACCTGATCCTATTCGCATGGGTATGTGACCTCACCAAATTTAGATGATCCATCAATGGATGGTAGCTAATTGTTTTCCATGTGCACAGCTTATGACTGTTGGTATGGCCACAACAGGTATATTAGGTCAGTGATCAATGAGTTTGAGAGAGAGAGAGAGAGAGAGAGAGAGAGAGAGCGAGGATGTATTCCATGGCCTGTTCGGATGTAACGAGGCTGACGTGCATTGTTATTACAGAAACATTATATGGCGGCTTCGGGTGGCACCGATTAGACGTCGTCGCCGCATTTGGCGAACAAGTCATTGTCAATTATCACATTGTGAGTTGAGTAGAAATACTTGCATGTTGTATATCACAAAACACAACCGCTGACTGCCCACATTCTCTAGATCAGCATGCCTCTCGAGATCTTCTGGACCCTCAGCATCAGCGTCTCCAAAATGTCCCTCCTCCTCCTCTACGTCAAGGTCTTTCCCCTCTCCCGCCTCACCGTGGCCTCCAAAATCACCTGCGCCTTTGTCGGCCTCCTCGCCCTCTCGGCCGTTCTGTGCACCCTCCTCATCTGCCAGCCGATCCAGCACAACTGGTACCTGGACATACCGGGCCACTGCGGCAGCCAGAAGGCCGTCTTTGGCATCTACGGTGTGCTGAATCTTGTGACTGACCTGATGGTCCTGGCCCTGCCCATTCCCAGCCTGACCGGGCTGAAACTGCCTTTTCTCCGGAAGGCCGGGCTGGTGGCGACTTTTGCTGTGGGATTCTTGTAAGTCAGGCTGTTTTCACTGTTCCTACGTTTATTGGAAACACCTTGGCTTTGTGATATCAGTTTTGCTAACAAGCCTCCTATCAGAACCTGTATCGCCTCGGTCGTCCGCCTCGCCTTTCTCACCACAATGGACTACGAGGACATCACCTACAGCGGCGTCCCCTTCATCCTCATGTCCGTGGTCGAGCCCTCCCTGGCAGTCACCCTCGCCTGCGTGCCGCTGCTCCGCCCGCTCCTGGGCAAAGGCACCAGCCGCTACTCCTCCACCGGAACCCGCGAGAACATCGCCCCGCTGTCCCCGCAGGCCGGCGTCTACAACAACACGAGCGAGTCCACGACCGTGGGGCGCAGTTCGCGGCGGAAGCGCGGGCGGTCGTCGGCCATTGCCGTGCCGCCGACGGTGCTGCAGTACCACTACGAGATGGGCCTGTGCTCCAAGGACGACATGCCGATTGATATCCAGGAGCTGATCGCCACGACGTACAATGATTATCAGTACCAGGCGGAGGTTTCGGGCGGTGGGAATCGTGACTCGGACGAGAGCACCAAGGAAGGCAATCCCAATTCGGACATGGCCATATCGCCGGTCGAGGGCGGAGGTGGTGATGGTGGAGGTGGTAGAGGAGGAGGAGGAGCAGCGGGTGTTGGTGGTGGCAATGGCAATATCGTGGTGAAGCAGGAGTGGAGTGTCTCGAACGAGGTCAAATTTGAGGTGTAACGACGACGACGATGACGACTAAGAGGAGGAGGATGTTTAGGTCATCATGAGGGTTCATCTGTTCTGTTGGCAGCCATGCATTTGTGAGGAAGGCCGGCGGTTATTTTGTCTTCTTTTTGTTCACATGTTGGGATCTGGCGTACATCCACGGGCGGCTTGTTGTCATATTTAACGATACCCAGTTTTCTTCCAAAAATTGAAGCAAACAAGCGTGACGAATCTTGTATTTTCCATTTTGATTTGTGAAGTTTCATTATTGTTATTCCCCCCTCCTGGTTATTCTGTTTCTGGTCTTGAGAATATGGATTTGAGATGTCTACCTGATCCGCTGTAATATCCGACTTGACCCGAATGTCCCAGCACAGCCTGCAGATGAATTATGGGCTTGAATGGCAAATTCCGAGAGAGCCGTATACACATACACAGGTTCCTGCATCGGAAATGCACAAGAAATGGTGATGTGCAGAGAGATAGCCGGCTTCACCCATCCACAGACAGACAGATGGACCCACAACAGGAACATCAACATCAATCATTCGGGAAGCATGAAAGAAAAAGAGGGCCCTTGCCAACATCTGCTGCTCCGTTGACATCGAAAACGGCTTAATTACCTCCTGGAACGCCAGTATGAATGAAAGACTTATCGCACCGCGTAAGCGTCCAGTCCTAGATAAGTAATCGTGTGGTATCACTGGGACAGTTTAAGGAAAACCACCCCTCCCCCCTCCATCGGCTCCCGACAACCGTGACCCCCCACAACTGAAGAGGGCACCGGATTGCGGGTCAAGTCGGGGTTAGGAAGAACAAGACGCGGGTCGGTCTGCGAGTTGAGTATCGCCTGCAGGTCAACCCGCATGAATGGGTTGAACACAAAGACAATGGGGGGGTGGTAATGCAGGGACGGGACTGCATACTCGAGACGGCAGTCGAGCGCCATGTTGCCACCTCTGTCAGAACCTCAACGGAGAGTCGGGGACTAGCTAAAGTCGTACGGTAGAAAGAGGTGAGAAAAGAGGGGCCGAGGGTCCCGTTCAGATCATCTGACCACCACAGCATGAATGTACTAGGGACACTAGACATGCCCGTATCATGAAGGTCGGAAAGCGCCCTCATTTCATGGTCACGGATGCTGCTGATGCAGTCTTCAGGGGCTGCTACACTTGGATGGTAGTGTTTGAGCAGTCACATTGGTGGAGCAGAAAGGATAATACGGCCGTGAAAGCCGAATGTATGTAAGGTTATCAAGGAAGACTAGAAGCTACACATGATGGAGGGTCAACCATAACATATAAGATCAGGTACGAGTGAATGCAGACTCAACTTATCTCGGAATCATAAAAATGATTTATATAGCAAGATGAACAATAGTCTGAGGGTCAACATGAGCCACCTTCTACATCAGTCCAAGATACGGATATTACAATGATAGAGAGGGAGAACGAGGGGGGGAAAGTGGAAGGCAATATTATACTTCGGTCCATCTCTTGTGTCACTTGAATGTTGGCTCAAAGTTAGAACATTTGCATGGAGAATAACTAACAATGTCAATGATATCATCTTCCTCTTTCATTTTTTTTAATATTTTTCAAAAGAAAAGAAGAAGAAGAAGAAGAAGAACGGAGTGGAAAGGAAAGGATAGGAAGCGAAAGGAAGGGGGAAGAGAGAGAGGTCTCTTCGGCCCCGGCGGGCGGGGCCAAGGCGGCGGCGGCCGGAGCAGGCCGGAGCGTCCTCCATCTCGGTATCCTGGCCCTTCGTCTTCTAGACGATGATAATCAGCGCCGTTTCGAGAATAGACACACTATTAGCACTTGTACAATGGGTCGAGTCAGAATAACTCACCTTGCCGCGCTTCTCCTTTTTTTTTACGTCCCCCCCCCCCTCCTTTCCCTCTTGCACAGGCTAGGAATGGGTCATCCGTGTAGAACATCGCAAGCGGAAATCTTACATGAAAAAATAGCAACCGAGGAAGAGCTTTCGTAAGGCTAAGAAGTGATATACCTTCGCGATGTCGTTGTTGAGGAATAAAACAAAGATCAAGGTAACAAAAGGCAGCAGAGCCTGGGATCCAAGGAAGGGTTAATTGACCTACCGGAATACATGCCTTGTTCAAGCGCAAACTGGCAGGATTCATATCATCGTAAATCATTTCTGGCATTTTTCACTAGCCTCACTGCATGATACTTCGTAGGTGTTGATATTGAGAATATAGTTATTGAATTCGAAATTGAGACATCAGAAATGGTTCCAACCTGGTTCGGTGGTGTAGTTGGTTATCACAATGGTTTAACATTGGATCCACATTAAAATGTAGTCCATTGTCAACACCATAGGTCCTCGGTTCAAGTCCGGGCCGAATCACTTTTTGTCGCATTTTTGTCGCGGGTTCCGAATCGTTCTCGCCGTCTCCGGCCGGTCCCAAGTCTGTATACAAAGAGCGTGTAGGATGAATACTCGAGCTTTTCTGCTCAAAAGTCTATCTAAGAAGTGCAAAAGTAAAAATCCAAGAATGCAAACCTCTTTTGCTCATGGAAGGCTGCGCAGTGATCCGATGGACAAGGCCAGTTCCGAGAATTGATGGAACCTACCAGCGAACGAATTGCAGTGGTTTGGACTGCTGCCCACAGACACACCCCCGTGCGGTTGCAGTGGTGTCTTCAGGCCATATTGCTCAGACCCCAGATCCAGCGCTCAAGGATGCACCTCAGTAGATCTTGCTATAATTGCCGAGGGCCTTTATCTGTCGATGGGCCAACGCCCAAGTCGCACACCGTAGTTTAGAGACCCTATCTACATGGAATGCCCATCCTTTCCATTCCTCCGCAGCTATCATTCACTCTAAGGAAAAGAAGAGGGGGGAAATGAGAATGGGAAAAATGATTCTCATTTTCCCCTTAATATCCCTCCTTCCGGTTGACCTTATTCGTAAGCTCTTTACCCTGGCTCAGCTGCTCCAGGTTCAGCTTCACAATGCCCCAGACCCGATCAAAGTAGTGGGTAGAAGCACCGCTGACATGCGGCGTGACGAGCACATTCTTGGCGCTCCAGAGAGGATGTCCATTCGGCAGAGGCTCCGGGTCCGTCACGTCCAGCGCGGCCCCGCGAATGACCTCGCCCTCCAGCGCCTCAATCAGGTCGTCCGTCTTGATGATGGGCCCGCGGGCAATGTTGGACACAAAGGTCTTCTTGGCCGACAGCACTTTAAACTCGGGCGTGCCGATCAAGCCCGTGGTCTTGGGCGTCAGGGGCAGCGCGACGACCAGCAGGTCCAAGCCGGACCCGAGAAACTCGTGCAGCTCCTCGGTGCTCTCACCGTAGAACCACTTGGAGGGTAAGGCGCCGTCCGGGTCGCCGAGCCCAGGCGGTGTGTACGAGTTGTCCTTCTTGGATTCCGGGGTCTTGCGCTCGTGCAGCGTGTATGCGTAGACGTCCATGCCCATTGCTTTAGCCACGCGTGCCGTTTGGCGGCCGATGCTGCCGTAGCCCAAGATGCCTCTGTGCGAATAGTCAGTCAACGGCTCGTGTGGATTTTCTTTTCGTGTATCCTTGGAGACGCCGGTGTCAAGACTCACACTCTCTGCTGGACTGCATCAACAATGGGCTCAGTGCCTCGAATCCACTTGCCTTGTTTCTGCTTGTGCAGGTAGGCGGGAACTTGGAAATGACTCGCTGATCAGCTGACTGTGCGAAGAAACAGGAACAAGAAAAGCCATCTCGAGGCTCACTCTCACTCACTGTGATGTTGGAAAGACAAAAATGTTGCGATGATCCATTCGGATATTTGGGGGCTGATCAGTCAGCGGGTATTCCCCGTCCGTCAGTAACAACAAAACCCTCTCTAGCAGTGGACAAGCCTCACCCGTGAACCCCATTCGCAGTACAGAATGCCACATCTGTATCCGTATACAACGGATCCGAGACAATCGCGTTCGCTCCGGCCGACGAGAGCTGCACGTACTGCAGCTTGGGCACGTCGTCCTTCTCCGGCAGGAATTCGCGGCTGTAGCCCGTGAGTAGGATCGTCACGTCCTTCCACTCGTCCTTGGAGAGATCCTTCCCTGTGTTTCCGACTTGGACCTGCAGGTCCGGATACTTTTTCTTGATGAGAGCCACCTCCTCATCCGAGGGTTTGAAGGACTCGCCCAGGGTCGTGAGGAGCTTGTGGCCCTTGAGGGTCCTGTTGGGCGGGAACTTGTCGTATCGTACCAGAGTCATCGCAGCAGCCGAGCAAAAAAAGGCAAATCAAATCAATCAGATGAGCGAGTTCAGAGAGTGAGGTTATCTGAGCATGAGGACCGGAAGAATAAGACCAGGTTCGAGGCCAAAATAGATGACGATGACGATGAGAAATGATTCCCAGTGGAGGTATTTGCGACGTTGAGTTTGTCAGCACTCTGGCATAAAGCTTGTAGGCAGATAAGTAGGAGGATCAGCTCCAGGGCCGGCCCGCCTGTAACGCAACTACAGCAGCTCATGACGCGATGTGCCACTGGAACCACCACGGCGGATAAGCGATAACACGCCCTGTAGGCAGAACCCCCTCTTTTCCCTCTTCAAAAGAACAAAAGAGGGGCAGAAAAAGAAGAAGAAGAAGAAAAAGGCAAGAGTGCCAGCTCGAATGTCTTTTGCAATATGCAGTAGGAAATACATTGAAAGCATGAGAGGCTGCTCAAATATGAACAAGTTGTCGAAAGATTGTGCGCGGGGCAAGAGTGAGAGTATGACGGACCTCTCTGCTTGGGCAAGGACTGTTAAGTAACCTGGGAGGGAAAGACTGAAAGAAACAAAACGTATCATACAATGGTACTCAATACCGAACCTGAGAAGTCACAACCTCATGGCAAAATATTTGCTCGGTCACTCTTCAGCACCTAAAACTCTGATCAAGGCGACTTGGTTACACAACTTTGCTTTGTAAGGAGAGGGAGGGTGGGAGGGGTCAGCTTTCCTCACTGCTATATCATTGCAACATTTCCAAACCATGACAGAAGTCCATGCGGCCCCTTCTTGTACGTTGAAAAGAGTGGAAGCTTCCTCAAGAAATGTAGACCTATCTGGTCGTGACGATGTCTTGCACGTTGTCTGAGAACCATGAGGTGATTGGTCTCAAGGTTTGAGATATTGCGCAGGGTGACGTCGAGGCGTCGTCCCCCCCCCCCCTCTTTCGAGATGTTAAATCCTGCGCTCCTTTTTTTCTTTCTTAATAATTCTGGCTCATGACAGTAGATCCAAGCAAGAGATATTTCCCTAAGCTCGTCGCTGGGCTCGATGTGTCTTGGCTGCGCATGCAAGGTGGTCTGCGCACTCAGCAGGTTCTGCACACGCCGTCCCGTTTCACTCATGACCATGCTTGAAGGAAACAATACCTACCCATCGAAGAGGTGTTTCCATTTGCGGTAAGGCATCAAAAGTTAAATCGCTGCTCATACAATCGTTGAAAGTGAGATTCGCGATTCTGTTCTCTGTCCAGAGTGGGATGCAAGGCATCTAAGAGGTCATGTTCGATCAGAAGGAAACCACGCCGATCGCACTCAGATTCGGCTCTCGATGCCACGGATCAAACTTGGCCTCTGGCTTGTCTTGAAAGCCCCATTTGTCTTTCATCATAGTGCTTCCGTTTGGAGACTATCCAGAAGCTTCCGGGAGACCTCGCTGGACACATCAAAGGACACCAGGTAGGTAGGTAACGAAGGATGCAGAAGACAGGAGGAACCCCCACTTCTTGAAAAAGACCATCTTCCATGTCGACAGAACGGGCTGGGGTCGGACGCGCACGGACAGCGAGTGTTATCAGATCTCGAGTACATGGGAGCGCGCCGCGGGTCCCAAGAGGCCGGGCTTTGTGCCTCCTGGGACGACGGGAAGGGAACCTATGACGACGTTGCCACGTACGATATCTGTATCTGGCTCACTCCATGAGATGTCCTTCTGAGCGAGATTCATGTGCCTGGAGGATGGTTGTAAGTGGCATCAAAAAATCGCAAGCTGGTGGCGACAAACATGCGGCTTGTCACTGCACGAATAACTAGACCAAATTCGCCTTTTTTGGGCAGAAATTTTACTCCATCTCTGCAGGGAGTGGGGATAGAAGAGTTCAATTGATGAAAAAGCACTACTTGCTCTGGAATTGGTTGACCATCTTGCATTCCAACCTTTGTACCTCTCCCTCTTTTTGAGAAAGATGGGATAAGGTCTATATGGAGCAGATATGTTCACCTGCGAGCATTCGTTTTCGTACTCTAGGTACAATCCTTCGTGAATCTCGCCCCCTGCCTTCGACCACTACGAGCATCCTGTGCCGAACTCAACTCCTTTTCTCTTTTGACTGGGTAGTAATGCTAAGTAGCCTTCGGGATGATGTACTTTAAAGGGAGTCTTGTCCTTTGAATGGCATTGATCTTTTCCAAACGGCGAAGGTCGTTGGCGCCTGGAGAGTGACTGTTCAACGGGCTGGACCAGTCCACGGGGCTTAAGCGCATATCTACCATGTACGTCCAGGATGGCCAGCGTTTGGATTCGCTCGTAATCATGTACCGCAGACCGATCACTGCAGCATGTCGCATTGCACATCCAGAATCAAACAGCATTTAACTGTATATGAAAATCATAACTTACCAAATATGGCCCGACTAAGCCAAAACGTTGGTTGTCCGATTGGAGGGAAAATAGCACTAAACCTCTTGTAACTTTGACTTGTCCCCCTTTCAGGGAGGGAGGGAGGGGTCGGCGGTACTTGCGCTGCAACGTCTCCTTCGCTTAATGCATGCAGATCTGGGGAAATCCTCCCCAGCTTTGCATTTGCCGACAGTAGCTGTGGCTGCTGCCCCCTCCATGAGCAACACGTCCTGTGTGGCTCCCAGGCTTCCGGGCATCCATGCGAACCAGAAAGCAACATTGTTGGTATATAGTAATAAAATCTTGCTTCTTATAAGAGTATACATGGGCACAGCGCTATAGCTGTAATCCACTACCACCAACCAGGTCAGGAAGCATCTAGCCTCCTTGAGCCATCCACGGGCGACCTCTCGCCGCAGTTGTGACATACGATGGAACGATAGACGCATAGCGAGGCGTGTGAGGCAGACCAGGAATTGCCGCCAATGGAGAGCATCGGGCTGGGGTTGATTAACACGTAGATTATGTTGGGAACCGCATGATATCAAAGAGAAAGGGGCTCCTGTATTCTGATGCTAGACGTCATCGATGCTTGTTGAGCATATACATATATTCGATAGAGGGGATCGCCAGTCTATAAATGTAAAGTGGTTTCTGTTCTCTTTCTCTCTCTCAGTCTAGTCAACACGGTTGAAACATCCCAATCTTTACACTAATTAATAACAGTCAATAAGGAGCAACACGCACACACATACAACACAATGCCTTCTCGTGCTCAAGTTCTCTCCGTCCTCGCGGCTGCTGCAGTGGCCGTCAAGGCTGCCGACGGACCATTCTTCAGCACTGGGCCCACGTCCTCGGGCACATACATCACGTCAGCCACGGCCACCCTCATCCTGCCCGATGCCCCGTCAGGCAACGAAGGGGACCTCTCTCTGTGGGTTGGCATGGGAACGTAAGTTGGTCCAGTGTTTCTCATGGTTAATGAACTACCGCAGGGAGATTCGAGTGCTGACACTACTAATGCAGGTCCGATGGCGATCTGATTCAGAGCATTGCGGATTGTTATGTATGTTCACCTGTCCTCCTGGCTTTATATATTCGTACCTTATATTCTATCGGGCCAATATTTTTTATCTTTGTCAGACAGTCATAACTCAATCAGAAGAGAAAAGACTAACAATTGCTACTTATTACAGGAATGCACAGATACCACCTGGAGCGTCTTTGCCTATACGCTCAAGGAGACTAGCCGTACGTGATTCTCTCCTTTAGTCCGTCAACAAAATTGAACGTGCGCTGAATTGACTTGAACGATTACTACAGCCACATCGCAAGAGGTGATCGAAGGAGAAACCCACGCAGCCGCGACTGCCCAAGAGGTGACCATGCTCTGTGAGTAATCTTCTCTTCTTTCTTCTGTTTAGCAACGGAAACCCTCCGGGCTGTATCGAGTCTTTCATACGTAGTTCACGGAACCCACTCTGACCGTTTCTCACGATTAGACCAATATGACTCGTCCACCGGAAACTACACCCAGACAGTCTCCCTCAACGGCGCCGTCGTGTCGACGCTGTCGACCAGCGACGGGTACGCCGAGGGTTGGGGCTCAGCCGTGGAGTGTGCCGCTACCAACTGCGGTACGGTGCCAGCTCATCGTAAGTTGTCGTTATCCATATCTACGGATCCATGTCTGCTTTATAAATGGTGCCCATTATCTTATCTTTCTTCCGACGGGAAAGACGGAGGGGAAAGAGATAAAATATACGAAACCGTTCCACTAAATTTGGTATACTACAGCCCTCCGCACGCTCTGGGGAGTACACCAAATTTTTTCGTATATTTAAATCTATATCCTAGGGGGCTCATTCAATTGCCAGCCACTGTTTTTATATTCAATTGCCAGCCCTGTTTTTATTATTTAATTGCCAGCTGGAATGGTTAAGGGATTAACGGAGTGGATGCTGTAACGAAAGCAGCCTGCTACTGGAGGGTACGGCTGGACTGGAAGAGTTCTATGTACTCTTGATTGGTACGAGTAACGAGTGTATCTTATTACAGTGCACTCTTAATATGATCGAGTGATGAGTGCATCTTATTATAGTGCACTCTTAATACGATCGAATGATGAATGCATCTTACAAACTTATCCTGGACTTGAAATTTCGATTTCGATTCAACTTTTTTTTTTTCTATATTCTCCAGCAAATAGGGCTTATTTTTCTGATAGCTGCTCACATAGCTATCTATATAGCCACCCTTTCTGATGATATTTATCAATTAAGCAGTCTTCATATATCTTCTCAAGGGAAATAGTGCAATAATCATCATTTAGCAATCTCATTCAGCTTGCTACTTAGCACTTCAAAGAGTACATAATAGTGGAATATATGAAATAAATAGAAAAGCAGATAACAGAAAGCAACAATAGAAAGCAACAACAGAAAAGCAACTATATACAGACTGATGATATACAGGCTCTTGATATTAGCATCACTCCTTCCGCATCTAGCTTGCAAGCAACATCTAGCCTAGCCTCCTTTGAGGTTGCATAGAGCTGATCTCGAAAGGAGGAAGAGAGCCAGAGCTGTAAATGAGAACCAGAGCTAAGCTTGAAGCAAAGATAGATAACTCAGCAAATTTATCATCTTGATTGCACAACCAGCTTTCATCATCGCTAGGCTGAGAAGTAGCCTTCTCAAGAGAAGCCAGCTGGAGAGAAGCTATCTCAAGCTCAATATCAGCTGAGTTCCTCACAGAAGCGTTGTTAAGATATGCTTCCTCTTTACAGGCAGGCAGTTCAGATGTGCGAACAATAGAAGCATGCGCCTCCGAAGACTCTCCTTTCTCGCCTTAGCTCTTCTCGTCTCCCATGAAGAGGTTGCAGCTTATATCTAGCATTGCAACATTCTTCTCCTGCTGCTCCTCCTCCTGCTGCTCCTCCTCCTCCTGCTGCTGCTGCTCCTCCCTCTCTACCGCTGTATGATCATCCTCTTCCTTCCCAGTGAGCTTTATCTTCCTCACCAGCGCCTATATCAGATAACCACAGTCTCCATTACTAAGGGCTTCAGCCTAACAGCAGAGGTGCTCTACAAGTGCCTATCCAGCAAGGGATTGAGTCTCGCTGAATGATTAATCCTCCTCCAGAAGCTCGAGAGCCTCTGCTTGCGCAACTGTTACATATAGAATCTGGGATCCCTGAGAATCATCTCGCATCTGTAGATCCTACAAGCAACAATCCGTTCCTCTGCTATAGTAGCAGTTAGCACAGAGAGGAATAGAATCAACTATGCTGCAGAATACAACCATACAATCCATCCAGAGCTTATATCTCTGAGTATAGCATTAATACAGAATCAAAGCTAATATGCTAGAAGCTTGGATAAGAGCTGAAATCAAATTCTTCATTACTGCTGAAGTGCTATATAGGAAGCTAAAGCCTTCCAGGCTCTTGCAATACATCGAATTGACTATAAGTAGTCTAATTGCAGTAGCTGCTATCAATTTAACAACTTGAGTATTGATAAGCAGGGTGCCCTTAGAGAACTACTCCTGTATAGCTTCAAGAGAAGCATAGATCGCCTCCTAAGCAATTAAGCCTGCAGACAGAAATGCATTAGCCAGCCAGCTTAATGATGCGAAGAGAGAGGAAGCTGCATTAAGAGAAGCATACTACCTTAAGCTGATCCAAAAACAGCTTCTGATGCAGCTTGTAATAAAGATATAATAATCAATCTGATAACAATGTAATAATTAATAATTTGAGTATCTGAAAAGCATAATAAATAAATGCATTAATATAGGTATTATTATTAAGAAAGGAAGGAAAGACTAAGATTTCTAAAAATGCAAAGAGAGAGGAGGAGGGGTGTTTATTTACTCCACTTGGCAAGGCTTGAAAGCTTCCAAGCTATATGCACTCGTAATATAAGGCAGTTGAGAGTGCACTGGAATCTAGTATACTTGTAATATGAAGCAGTAGCAAGTACACTGAAATCTAATATACTTATAATATAAAATAGTAATAAGTATACTTAAATCTAGTATATGCATGATATGAAGCAGTTATAAATGCATATAGTTGCAATACAGCCTTAAATTTATAAAGAAACGAGTACAAATATATATATACTATCTTTGGTATAATCTTAATATGAGATCTAGAGCTCAGAGTATTAGAGAAAAGCATTATCAATTAAGATGCTTCAAAACCTTTATATATGCTACCTAAGCTAGTTATAAAGATTCTCCAGCCTCTACTGAGCATCATCAACTGCTAGGCTGCCACTATACTGGGAAGACTGCAGTTGCTGGGGCTGGAACTGCTGAGAGTGAGCAGCTAAGCGAGGCTTGAAGAGCTAGCCTGCATCCTTTCGTCTCTGATAATCCCTAGCACAGCAAGCTCCTACCTAGTCCTTCTTAATACAGAGATTAGAAAGATAAAAGGGCTCATCAAACATCAGCCCTTTCAGACAAGTTATGCAAGATACTGCCACATATATCAGACCAGGCGCAAAGTTCTTGAAAGAGATATTCATCACAGCCTAGTTCAGCATAGAGCTCTGCAATTTGTATACAGTAATAGCATATACAATGATTAACGGAAACTGAGTATACAAGCAAGAAGCATTTCCCTTGAGAAAGTCCTAATAAGCAAGAAAGATGAGAACTATATTGAAAGGGATCTCGTGATTCTCTGAGAAGCAGCATAGCTCAGAATAGCTATTCATCTTAACAAGTATAACAAAAGGCTGGTATTTGCAAGAATCCTCAATCTCAGCAAACTAAATAATATTATAAACAGTGCTGATAACACTATTCACTAAGCTAACATCAATCCATATATTATCCATAAGTATAACTTTAGCACTAATACAGAGCAGCAAAGAGTTGTGCAGATTGCTAGCATCTCAAGAAGAAACCGTATGCGCCTGTAGTTCTGTATTGATAGCAATACTCTGGATCACAAGCCTATTGAGATGTTCCAGATGAATCATATTGTACTCAACAATCTCAGCATTGGTAAAATAGATGCGCAGAGCATCATTAAAGCGCTTTACCTTATCCAGAGACAGAGAAGTAGATATGCGGAATAAGAGGGTTTTCCAGTTCTTCTCAGTAGGCTTGTTAGTTCGGAAGCTCTCGAGCGCATTATGAAAAGAAGCCTAGCTTGCGCCTGCTTGCTGCATAATCTCGATTAATTTGATAATCTTCTTGAACTCGAGATATGCTATTCAGCTAGCCTTATCTATAAAGTTTGAGAGATTTTTCTTGTAAGAAAAGAAAGGCTTCGCTATTACTGGAGATAGCTGATAGAAATTGCTTAACAGGATAATATAGCAGCTACTAAAGATGTGATTGCACTTGAAGATCTAGCGAAAGCAGTAGTTGATCTATATTAAAAGCTTGTATAAGATTATTAACTTCTTATTAATAATGAAGTATTCAATATAGCGAAGCTTATTACAGATATTCGTAGCCTTGCTAATAGTAAGATTATTAAGCTCTATTATATTTGTAACAGGAATCTGATAGAGAGAATGAATTGTCTGGCCATTGATAGCATTAGCAGCAATATCAGTAGATGCAGCTTTTATAACTATCTTGTAAGGATAGGCGAACCTATTCAAAGCTCTCTGCATAGCTGCAGTGATAACCTTCAACGTGTAAAACTTTTCTATGCTCTCTTGTTCATTAACCTACAATAGAAGCTGATAATCTGAATTGCAAATCATGCTATCCCCATAATAATCATGCTCAAAGCATTCCTTCTAGTAATCTATAATAATAGTATACAGCAAGTGCTGCTAAGTATTTAGATTCAGGATAGCAAACTCTGATTGTAATTAGTCTGCTGATGCTGGAATATGCAAGATAGCTTGAAGATTCTTTCAGAAGTTAGTTTGCATATTCCAGAGATTAGAATATCAATCAATATAAGAACTCCAATTATAGTTGAGATCAATAGAGCAGTTGCTGAGAATCTCGATATTGTTAATCTCAATAGCACAGTTGGAAAGCTCTGCAGCTAATATATTCCAATCAGCAGCCTTAAGATTCATCTATGCAGCATCAGGATCCTTCTCAAAGCTCTTCTCCAATGCATTTATTTCTGTTGTGCTATAGTAGTTATTAGGGTGATTGTAGATAGCAAGGCAGTGCTCGAAAGCTTTGCTGAAGATTGGAAAGGATATGCTATCGATCTTCTTGAGATAATAGTAGTTTCTAAAGGAATAGTTAAGCATTAGCTTGATGCAAGCAAAGCTTTTGAAGTCTGGCAAGAAGCTCTTAAGAGAATACTAAGGGAAATAGTTCAAAACTCAAGGCTTAGCTGTAGAACTGAATTATATTTACTGTACTCTAATATAGTTGATCTTGAAGAGAAAATCAAAGTATGTAAGATTCTCTCAGATAGTATAGCGCTTATAATACTTCTAATAGAGAAGCTTGAAATCTCAGATCTGATTATTAGCATTAAGGACTGCAAGGGAGCTCTTATGTTGATTAGGTGAATAGCAATTTATATTGATGAACTAGTGATTGCACTGAATGAGAGAGAGGCTGAGCAAGTGATGAGTAATCTTTATAGCTAGCTAGTCTTATTCAGAGAGAAGCTTATTCATTATCTTAGCAATTAGAGATATTATAAGCTTTGCATAATTGATTTTAGAAATCAACTTGAATATTATTTTCTTGTATAGCTAAGTCTTTATCTCAGCTTTGAAGCAGTATTTAGCGATGTAATTGATTACAGCTTGCAAAGAAGTGCATGGCGCTATATCTGTATTAGCTAGCTAGGCTATCGTAATGCCCCGGATATAATTGTTTATGCAGCTGTTGTTTCGAATGCTGTTAAACACCTTTTAAGGCGGATTCTTCTGCTTATTGATTTCAGTAATTATAGCAGCAATCTTGCAGAGAATGCATTCGTAGTAGAAGCAGCAGAGCTTGTTCTCTGCTTACTTGCTATCAGGAAGCTTATACTAGCGGAGGCAGTAAGCTTTAGAGCACTAGTATTGCTGTATATGGTTGATAATGCGAGAAAGTATGCTGAATATAATATCCTTGCTAGGCTTGAATGCTAAGGGGTTAGCTTTGTAAGGGGATAGCTAGTGAGCAGGCTCTGAGTTATAGGCAGTAATGTGAAAGCTTTAAGCTCTTACAAACTCTTCTTTCTGGATATTGCTGAGAAATTCCTTATTAGAGGCCTGTATTATAGCTTTGATTCAGTAAAGGCTGTGAATATGAGTACTTCCTCAGCCTTGCTACTCATAGCGCTGCTAGTAAGCTTTGATCTTCAACTTCTTGAACAGATACTTATTGAAGAAGATCTGAAATCTGATATGAAAGTAGTAAGCAGCGATATAAGAGTTCTTCTTTAGATTTTGATGCATAATGATCATCTTGCTCTTATTATCAGCTTATAGCTACTCTCGATATTGTGGCATTATACGAGCTAGCAACTCCCAGTGCAGATCAGCTGCAGAGGCAGTGATGAAGATATGCAGATACTTGAGCGCACAGCAGAGAAATTGCAACTCGTTCCTAGCCTGGTTCCAGAAGAAACAAGTGCTCTTTAGCTTATTAGCTGAGCGAATAATAGAGTTAAGAATAACACAAGCCTTAGATCCATCTCTCTTAAGAGCCTTCTTGAATATATCAATAGTATTAAATGTTAGCAAGATATAATTAGAGCAATTAATAAAGAAATTGCTCTTCTTATTGATATCTGCTCTTATTAGTATATTAAAAACTATAAAGTTAAAACAAGAATACTAAGCAAACTATCCATTCTTGTAGAGAATTGCATAGTATGCTTACTGCTTGAATGTACACTTGCATATGCGAAGCTTAGTAAACTCGCTTTTAGCTTCTGGAAAAAGCATAGGCACTGCAAGGTTGAACAGAGCTATACGATAATTCAGATTGCTTAAAAAGATGGACTGGATGCTTAGCATCTTGATGAAATTCTGCATAGAAGGCTTCTCGGGATGCATAGGAAGCTGCTTGAGCTGCAAATCTCGGCCTGAGAGCTGCTGATAAAGATGGTGCAGATTCGAGTGGATAGCAATAACATTAGGAGCAGCAGCAATCTTCTCAAAAGCCTTCTCTTTATTCTTCTTCTCGTTATTAGATAGCTGTAGTACAGCTGTTTCATTATTAATCTCAATGATTGTACATTCATTGATCACATTCTTATTCTTGAGTAGCTGAGCAAGCTGCTTGTAGTTCAACTGGAGATTGCTATATTTGCTATAATTAGCTATAAGGAATTGCAGCCAGATCTCCACTACCTTGCAGCGGACTCTCATTTCCTTCTTATATGCTTGCATAACATGAAGCTTATTCTGAGCATTGCAAGGCTGAAGGATTAGGAGATCTGCCTTTTTGAGCAGATGAGGGAGCTGTTGGAAGAGATGAGTAATATCTTGAAGAAAGCTGATGCAGTGCTTGCTATATCGATACTGCTAGCCCTGGATCAAATAGCAATCAATAAAGATATAAACCCGAGCAAATAGCTACTTCTCAACTTGCATAGCTTCAGAAAGATTAGCAGAAACCATGCTAAAGCTCAAGCTGTTTTCATGCAAGAAGAAGTTGAGCAGCTTATCATCTTTCTTATTATCAAGCTTATAGCAAGCTCTATAGATCCTATTCTATTGAATCTCGAAGCAAAACTAGCAATAATTACAGCAGCTGCAGATCTTATATTAAGCTTCTTCATCTATTGCACTCTGGAAGGCTTGGATGAGATCTATCTCTTCGGGCTAGAGTATAAGCAGCGCAAGATTATTATCAAATCTCGGATCGCTGCATTGAAGGAACTGAGATATCTCTTCTGGCTGATTAAAGGATTGATCAGAGGCTTGAGAGCGTTTATAGCAAGCAGCAGATATTAGCTAAATAAGCTGGCCTGCGCTAGAAGATAGTATAAAGGCTGAATCTGCAGATAGAGAGAAAGGAAAAGATGAATACTTTATGCAGATATTCATATGCTGCTCATAGCATAGAAAGTCTACCAAGGGAAGCTCCCTGCTGCATTGAATACAGACTATAGGCGTATTATTATTCCAGATATCCTTGTTCTAATTATAGCAGATACAGCAGATATTCAGCTTATTAGAGCAGCAGAGTTGGGGATGATAATAAAGGCTGCAGATAGAATACTCAAACTATGGATTCTTGTTATTATTGCTAGCGCTGCTGATTATTAAGCTTCTATCTGGAGCAGGCTTCTGTAAGAGATATTCCTGTGAAGAGGGAGTGAGATCAGGAATCTTGCTCTAGCAGCGCTGAACCCGATGCTAATGCTGATCTTGTATGCATTGATTATGGGCATGCTGCTCAGCTGGTGTATAGCTCTCAATCTGATTACAGCAATGAAATATTCTGCTTAGCTGGTTCATAGCAGAGGGATGATCCAGGCTAGACTGAGAAAGAGGAAGGGCAGGTGCAGAAGAATAAGCAAGTGCAGGAGAAAGGGGCAGCTGCTTACCTAGCTAATTCATAGAAGCAGCCTGTAGAATGCTCCGTTCTCAGTCTCGAGGAGAAGGGGTTGGGGAAAGAGAATGAGAACTAGGTGCAATTACAATCTCTTCTTGGATAGGATGAAGGGGCCTTATAAGCAGCCTGAATGCTGAATTAGCATTCTCTGGGAAGAATAGCTCTGCTGCTGCTGTGCTTCTCCTGATAATAGCAGAAAGAACTCGATATACAGTGTTTGATGCTTTCTATCAAAATATTAGAAATCTGTGGATGGGGAATATAGCATAGAAACCAAATCTGTAAGAAGTTCTGTTTATTACAATACTTCTGATAGTTGATAGCTGGCTCTCTGCAGCCTTTCTTCTTCTGAAAGCGTGCAATAGACTTGATCTTGCTATAGTTGCAGCATCATTGAGTAGCTCCGGAAGCCTTGCAATTGTAAATTATTTCCTGATTGCTATTGTAGCTGGTAATATTAGGTTGATCAGCCTGATAGGGCTGGAAAGGATTCTGTTCACTGCTGCCAGGAGGGCGAGGAGGGTTAGATGAGCATTGGCCTATAGCAGCTAATATATTGAGCCTATATATTATCACAATATTAGTAGGATCTATTGAAAGAGCACTCATAATTAAGAGCAGTAATAGATATACTCGAGCAGAGCGCGCTTGTAACGAAAGCTAGTAGAGAGTATACTGAAATTAAGTGCACTTGTAACGAAAGCTAGTAAAGAGTGCATCGAAATTGAGTATACTCATAATAAGCAGAGATAATAGGTATACTGAAATAGAGTGTATTCTAGACTTAGCTAAGCAATAAGTTCATTGAAATATACTTTGAATAGATGTTGATAGCAATGATAGTTTAAGAGCTCTGCTAAGTAGTTTGTAGATTTGTTTGTTTGTTTGTTTGTTTATTTGTTTATTTCATAGCAGATTTTTCTATTAGATGGAAAGAAAGGTGAGTGAATATATATGTAGCAGGCACATTCGGCTGGCATATAGCTAGTACTTACTATAGCTAGCATTTACTGTAGCAGGCTATTCAGCAAACTTAATAGAACTAATGATAAGAGCAACTAACAGAAATATCTGAATAGCTTCAGTTTATTTATATTGAAAGGCATTATTCAAGATCTTCATTTTGAAGAGCTTCAGTTAACTACCAGGGGGAGATCCCCTGGACCTCCCTGCCTGCAGCGCTGCCTGCAGCGCTGTAGCCTGCAGCGCTCTTGCCTGAACTACCTTTTCTACGATTTCCTTCCAGATTAGGAAGGCACGATGCTACACTTTCCTCCTTTTCCTCCTCATCAAGCGCTATGGAACAGGGGTAGTTCTCTGGAGGTACCTCCTCACGTGACCTTCGACCAATCCCCGTACAGGAATTATTGCAGTAGAACCCAGTTTAGAACTCTCCGTTCCTGCCGTGCCTCCAGCGGCAAGCCGCTTCCGCCACAGCATCCACTCCGTTGAACAAATATGAAAGGGCCAAGTTAAGAAAGGAGAAACACGCTACTGACCAGTTCGTTCACACCAGAGTGGATCAATGCCGAGATCGTCCTGAGCGGTGCGGACCCTGACTATATCGACACCTTGTACCTGGGCCTAGGAGCCACTGGTTCGATGAGCTCCAGCGACGGCGGTGTTACCTGGGTGATTGGTACCATCGACATCCCTGAGTACACCTTTTAAGTAGTGCGGTACGCGTAGTACTATACAACGGGTGGGCGGTCTGGTTCATGGCGATAGCGTCCTGCGTGAGCTATTAAGAATGGATTGGAGATAGGAGATCTCCGATGTCGACCGAGATACGGATCTATGTAGTTTCGCTTCGTTGTGCAAAGTTTAAGCAAATTGACTTAATGCTGTACATATGCATTTATTCTTTGTCCAACATGTAGATAGTAGGATCCGTGTGCTCGAAAGATGGAAGACCTCGTGAGATGATAAAATAACTAATAACCCAACCTCTCGAAAAGGTCATGTCTTCTCTTTCTCTCTCTCTCGCCCCAAAGTCTCGCACATCATCTATCCTTCCTCTTGTTTCTCTCACCTTTTTTTTTTGTGAATGTGGTTTGATGGAGACTTCTTACTCCCTGGTCAACGACTTTCAACGGCGCCCTCATGCTGATTCCACCATTCAGCTGACAGCTGACAGGGCGTTGCAAGGGGGGAACTGGGAATTGGCTTTGGGGTCTTAGTTAGTGCCTACAGTAGTTCGCAGGGCTGTGTGGAATCTCTTGGCAGAACAACTGAAGAATCCCCTGGCGCGGGTGAGAAATGACATGACATGGACCTGGCCTAGCACTGTTGCGATGTCGCTCGCTTGTCTCTTCTCCGCACTAGAGTCTTAGCTCGTGATCGAGAAGCAAGGTAGAAGACGAGGGTCCAGGAATGGTATGTGGAGCCGGTTGGCTGGGTTTTTGATCCAATCCTGGCTGTGGTGAACATAATAAGAATGAACCCAGCTTACAGTTCCTCCCTCATTCCCTGTTGTTGCGCAGTTGCGGACAGAGAGAGAGGGGGAGGAGGTAAAAGAAGAAGAAGAAGAAGAAGAAGAAGAGACAGAGAGCAGGAAATAGACAGAGAAAAGACAACAAGAGGCCGGATCGGCGAGAATAAACGGGAGATGTCTTGGCTGTGAGCTTATCACCAATGACGAACGCCTTTACTTGTGTACCATGGCTCAAGTAGTCATGCACTTAGTCAAACAATTTGCTCGGTTCCTCGGGCTCGAATCAGAGCCCCCGCGTGCCAATCAGAAACTTGGTTGATAAGATGATGAACTCGCGGAGTACGATAGCGATCAAAGCGATCACGGAGGGGAAACAGGACGAAGGTCAGCCCTTTAGCCACTACTTTACTCTGACCAGCCAGAAACCGAGGCCACTAATGATTCACGCATGGTGTGGGAAACAAGAAAGAGAGGGACAGAGAATGTAACCACCAGACAAGTTGGACGACAGGCCGCCGCCCCGATGCAACAATAGAAATACCCCAAAACACGCCCTTGTCGATAAAAGCAGTTCTTTTTACTGGCAGATTCCTCAAGGTTATGAATCAATAAATGTGGTCATTGATTAAATGTGGGCTTCACTAAATCTCCCGGCCGCCTCCGGTTTCCAAGGTCTCCCCCCAAGCGTTATTTCGTATCATGAACCGACCCTCACGAATCATGTCGTCGAGTTTCAAGGTTACGTGAGCACAAACTACGCAGTTTCTCGCTATCAAGATAACGTCCTACCCCCTCTTCCTGATATCGGTGATCGACAAGCGATGATAGTCTATAGACAAGGAGAGAGGGGGGAGGCATGGGGAGGGTAACCTTTCCCTTCTCCTCGCTGTGGGGAAATTAAGTGGCACCCCCGGATCGTTGCTTTCGCATGGACGTGCCCTCGGCGGCGCTCCGCTTGTTACCTGCGGTCTCCACCATCGACGACTCTATCACTCCGCAGTATTGCTCCCGGTCCGGTTCGGCTTCACTTGCGGGAACCCTTCGCGCGGGGGGCAGAATTGGGGGGCGTCCTTTCTCTTTAATGGGAACATGTAATCCGTTTCTTCTTTTCTAGTTTTCTCAACTATACCTAGTTGTTTTATTCAACTGTAATAATTTATTCATCTCGAAGAAAGTGGGTGGTAATTCGTTGACTGGTTCTTTTCTCCTTCCTACCATCTGCTGTTTCTACTTCCTTACTTTCTTTCTTACTTTCATATATCGTCATCAAGGAAAAAAGAGAGAAAAGCAAAATAGGAAAAGAAAAAGAAGCCATGAGGGCAAAATTAGAACTTCAGGAAGGGGTTTCGTCCCCAGAGATGGCCGGGAGCATCCTCGTGGCCAACTCGCTCCCTTCCCCCCTCCAGTCTCCCGTCACACCAACAACCACGACGACAACAACACCCAGCGATCACAAAGCTGCTCCTCGTCCTCCATCATCTACTGCCGCTGTAGCAACGCCAACAGCAGCCACTGCTCCTCCACGACGACGGGGCACCGTGGCTTGTCGACGATGCAGGAGACTGCGGACCAAGTGTGTACACGGACCTGACTGCCAGGCGCCCTGCGAGGCGTGTCGCTCTTCCGGGGCCAAGGCTGCTGCAGAGTGTACCTTTCCAACGAGGGGAGAGAAGGATGTCGACAGAGACTTTCGCAGGCGACCAGCCTCACACAGGCTAAGTGTATCGTCTTCGTCTTCGTCTAGAGGCACACCTGGGCTGCACGGTGTTGGAAACCACCATATGCGCCCTTCCTCCTCTGCTGAGGTTCATGGACTGCCGACCGGATCCTCCCTTCCTCTTGATTCTCCTCTTGATCCTGGGAGGACGAAACTTCTTTCAGCAGCATCGATGACTGGGTCATCCGGATCAAACAATCGTCACAGCAATAGCAGTAGCACGACAGGCACAAACAACAGCAGGAGCAGCAGCAGCAGCAGCAGCAGCAGCAGCAACAGCAATAGCTACCATCCTCACCACCTTCACCACCCATCATCGTCTCTTCTGAGTAATACTACACACCACCACCTCTACAACAACAGCCTCCCGGCTCACGTCAGTCTCAGCCACCACCGACAACAACAACACCACCACCAACATCAACAAGCGCCGTCGGTGATGCCGGATGCATTTCCCTCCGCATCCTCCTCCTCCTCCTCCTCCTCCTCCTCCTTCCCACCACACCAGGAAATTGTGGCTGGGTGCCGGGTATTCGTCTCGTCCTACTTCCAACTGGGCTTCCTCCCCAAGTCCATCTTCCTCGAGTCCGTGTCTCGCAACCTCAACACCGTCAGCCCCTTCCTCCTCAGCTGCATCCTCAGCATCTCGGCCCGCTTCACCCCGTGCCTGGTCCGCCGCTATGGAGGCTCCACCCTTGCCACCGAGAACTTCTTGCACATGGCCAGGGCGATGGCTCCTTCGCACATGTACAGGCCGACCCTGGACCGCACGCAGGCCTTCTTCCTGCTGGCCATCTCGGAGTGGGGCGACGGCGAGAGGGACCGCAGCTCCATGGACATGGGCGTCGCCGTGCGCATGGCCTCGATTCTCAAGCTGCACCGCGAGGAGACCTACGCCCTGCCCCCAGGGGCCCCAGCCGAACAGGTCATCCGCGCCGAGTCCGCCAGGAGAACCTTCTGGATGATCCACAGCCAGGAGAACCTGCAGGCCGGCTACAGCTCGCCCATGCCTTTCCCGCCAGAGGATATCACCGCCCGGCTCCCCTGCGACGAGCATGCTTTTGCCTTTGGGGTGCACCCTGCTGCAAGGTCCGCCCTTCCCGGCACGCCTCCGTTTCGCAAGGAAGAGGAACAACAACGAGAGAAACAGAGGCGAAGGGAGGATGAGGGAACGGCAATGGACATAGGAGATGAACAACAACAAGAAGAAGAAGAAGAAGAAGAAGAAGAAGCGCAACAGGAGCAGCAAAATAACAACAACAACTACCAATGCCTCTTTGCAAGCCTGATTCAGGCGCACAACCTCTGGGGCCACGTAGCAAGGCGCGCATGCCGCTCCGACCTAAAATCCGGCGGCGCGTGCCCCTGGGAGCCAGAGAGCGAGTACCAGGTCCTCACCCAGCAGCTGCAGGCCTTCGAGGCCTCCCTCCCGCCGCGGCACAGGTGGTCCCTCTGGAACCTGCGCGGCTGGCGCGAGGAGCAGATGCACCTGGCCTACCTGAGCATGTCCATGGTGCTGCGCGTCAGCGCCATCGTGGAGCGGCGCATCTACCTGGACGAGATCCTGTTCAGCGTCAACAACCCGCACGGCACCGTCTCGCCCAGGACCAAGACCGCCCCCGACGGCTTCTGGGCCACCATGTCGGCCGAGCTCTTCTCCAACGTGCTCGAGCTGTACGAGCAGATCGAGGCCTTCTCGGCCGTGCGCGCCGTGTCTCGCGATGGCGGCGGCAGCGGCAGCAGCAGCGGCAGCGAGGGGTTCCCCGCCATCCTCGTCTTTTGTGTGTACATCTGTGGCTCGCTCGCCGCCTACCTGACGAGGTACCCGCAGCTGTGCCCACGCGTCGCGGGCAGGGCTGAGGAGATGTCGCTGCGGTGTCTGCAGGTCCTGGGCGACCTGCACAAGGCCTGGCCCACCAGCACGAGGTGGAACCAGGGCCTGCAGCAATACGCCGGGCCTCTTGCTGCAGTTGCCGCCGCCGCCGCCGCCGCCGCCGCTGCTGGGGGAGCAGGAGCAGGCGCAGGAACAGCAGCAGGGTCTGGAGGGAGCGACAGCGCCAGCAGCTCGGGCGACGGCCCGCTCACCCCTGGCGATTCGTCCTCAGCCTCGTCTATTCTGGCCAGGGCGTCCGTGTCGGCGTACATGGACCTGTCCGATGGCATACACTTGTCGGATGTGGTGGATGACGCTGTCATCGACCCAAGGCTCACTGCAGTGTCTTCTTCTGCGCAAAATAACAAGGCAGCACATCAACAGCAACAGCAGCAGCAGCAACAACAACAACAACAACAACAACAACAACAACAAGGAATGGCTGGAGGGGCCGGGCCATTCTGGAAGGCACATGAAGGGGGACCATCCCACGCAGACGCCGAGGCGGCCTTCTCCAATGAGCTGTTTGAGGCTGAGATGAACACCCTTCTTGCAGGGGAGCCGGACTTTGGCTGGCTTGACTTTGAACGAGGTGGTGCATGAGCATGACGATATGATGGTCTGTGACTTGAGGAAGAATTGTATACTTTCATGTGTGTATGTGTGTGTAAACTATTATGATGGAGGGGGAGGGGGGGGGGGGGGAATTGAGAAATGATTCAAAACAACCATGCTCGTCCTCTTTGTCGTCATCATCAGGCTTACTCCTGATCAGGGCATCAAGAAAAAGAAAAAGAATAAAACAAAAGCCCAATGATCGATCGAATAAGAACACGGCCCCAAACACATCTGGAGGAAATCCATCTCAACGGGACTAGTTTCTCCAAGTGCATGACAAGTACGTAGTGTGTGCCGCCAAGGATCTGGCTTACGACTATAGTCTGGAATTGTTGTTATTTTAGACCACATCTAAGTTGCTGCCTTGAGATGAGGCTGGTGAGAAGCCTCGCGTGTGGAACGAAACTGCAGCTGCGGCTGCGGCTGCAGGCCCAGTGCCGTGGGGACGGGAATTTACTCTGACATGGAGGGCCCCCACAAGGTGCATTCTCGTCCGACAACACAAGTTACAGTAATCACTTCTATACCCCCATGACGACAAAGTTGAGCCCCTGATGGAATCATCCAAGAAATCCGAAAAGGAGGGGGAGGGGGGATGTTGTCGACGAGAGGCCAGACTTTGTTTTTAGTACTATATCAAACACGCTTTCGACCCACATGACATTCCCATTCGGACCGACCGGGTCACAAAAAAAGGAAAGAAAATAAAGGGCAATGCACATAGATAATGATCAAGGCAGACAGACACGATGGCTTTCTCTCAACTTGTCAACTTCGCCCTGCTTCCTTCTAATCCTCCCGTGCCGACGACGAAGAAAGAGAGAGAGAGAGAGAGAGAGAGAGAGAGAGAGAGGAAAGGCGCGAAACACCAAAAAGGAAACAAAAATGATTATATTTTCCCTAGAGCCCCACATTATTAGTATGAGAGAATGATCTTTACTTCCGTGTTAAGCCCGCGTATGGGCCCGCCTGGTCACACAGACCTGAATGTCAGACGCAGTGCCACCACGACGGGCCGGCTCAGACCAATAACGATCTTCTAGATCCCATAGAGATGATCGGTCAGGTCTTACAAAGGATTGGAAACCTTGTGAGAGCCATGTGAGCTGTGTCCCTTCAGTTTTTATTCTTTTTCTTCTTTTTAGTCTTGTTCTTCTTCTTTCCCTTCCCTTCCGCACGTCAGAACTAAAATATTCAGCGAGCACTAAGGAAACTCGATACGCCATAATTATTTTCCAAGAAAAATCCTTAAAAGAGTAAGTGTGGCACCACCAGGGCTGAATATCATTTCCAATTCCCGACTCTGTCAATTTTTAATTGATTACATATGCATTCTGCCAAGGAATCATGGCATTGGGAGAATTCACAAGGCGTTGACATGCAGCTTCGGCTGCATTAGTAAGGCACAGGGTGATTGTTAGCCCCCAAGGAAAGGGGAAGATTGAAGTTTTTGGAAGAAGAAAAGAAAAAAACGCCCAAAAGCCGCCATACTGCGGCCAGGGGTGTTAATATTGGTAAGAGGCCCCGAAAATTCTCCGTTATTCCCCAGTATTTCGATCCAGCTACCGCCAAACATGGAAATTTATTCCATCAGCAGCATAACGTTCTAGGGTCTTCCCCAGACCAATACGCCGTTCAGCTGAATCACCAGGCAGAATTCAAACGGTCTCTTTGTAGGGTGATGGGTCATCATCTTCTCATACCTAAGTCAACCCTCCCCACAAAAACTCTTAAGCAAGAGAGGGCATTCAAGCCCACAGGGTATAATGACATGTGAGGCGCAGGCTCTAACTACTCCCCTTCCCCCCCCCCCCTCTTCCCTTCCGTTGTTCCGCGTCGAGAACCGCATTCCATAGAGCAGGAGAAGGAAGAAAGAAAAGCCCAGACCGAAAGATGAGAAATCATCCTCTACAAGGTCTCCTTCTCCTCCACCCCCCCCCCCCTCTTCCTGATGAGTAGTAAGTATGACGGGGCTTTGCAGTCCTTTTTGGGTTGATGCCCGCCCTGCGGTTGTCATCATGGCTCCATAGCCCAAATCCCCCCGACACCTTTTGCGAAACAGAGAGACAAGAGAGAGAGAATAGTGTTAGTGTTTTGTCAATAAGGTTTGAGGCTGTACAAGGAGAGTCAGTCGTCGGTCTTCGCCGGAGCCATCTGGATAATTATGTCAAGAGCTCGGCGAACATTTGGATTCCGTCTTCTTGTAGCGTCCGTCATATGAGAGGGATGGCTCGATGTCGATATTTTCGTATATAAGCATTCAACGTCGACGTTCCAAAGATTATTTTATAAAGACAAGGTGGTCGAGCATAAACATGCCTGCCTGCGTTGTTTTAAACAAGACACAACCCGACTTATCAGAGTCAAGTCGACAGCATACATCTGTATCATTATTATTATTATTATTGCACCTCCCACCATGCCCGGATCGAGCAAGTACGGGGGTAGTTCTGGACGCGGCAGCGATCCGTTCAAGAACTCTACTTCGGACTCAATGTCCAAGAAATTAAAAGAGCCCAAAAAGAAGAAGGGTGATTCGAGCCGAGAGGAAGAGCAAAACTCAGTGAGTCTTCACGCTCTCCTCTCCCCTCCTCCAGTGGGACATTTCAGGATTCTACTGCAGTAATTCTAACCTTGAGAGCACCAGAGGCGAAGGGCCAAGAACCGAAACACCCAGAGGGCATACCGCGAGCGCCGCGAGCAGAGGCTGCGGGAGCTCGAGCAGCAGGTGCAGCAGGCCGAGCTGCTCAACCAGACCCTGACGTCCGCCTACCAGGAGCTCAAGGCCGAGATGGACATGCTCGAGGCCGAAAAGATGCAGGAGCAGTACTACGGAGATGCTGCCAGTCAGTCTGCCTCTGCCTCGGGCTCCGCCTATGCTGCTGGTCATATGAACCCGGCAGGGACCGAGTACGACACGGGCGGCACCAGTTATGGGTGGGGACAGGATACCTGGGCTCCTGAATGGGACCCCGACGGCGGTTACCACCACTCTGGTGCCTAACATGATTTTTGGCAGAGGATACCTGCACTTTTTTTCCTTTTTTTTTTTTTTTTCCTTCTTTCCCTCTATCTCCTCATTCTTCTCCTCCTTTACTTTTCTTTGGTGTCTGCTCAGGGGGTCGGATGCAAGATGGCCCGAGAGGGTGAGCAGAGGTCTGACGGATGTCAGCTCGGGAGGAGGGGTGCCATCAGCATTCACGGACCGATATAGACATAGAATTAGACTTAGACATAGATATTAGCCGCAAGGCAATAGGCAACAGAATTCATGCTTCTCAAATTAACCCAATAATGAGCCTTTCGGTAGGAAAAGAAATCCTCTGTGGCTTTTGGAACTTTTACAGCTTAATTAATAAGCCTAATGAAACAGAATTTGCTATTTCTCTACCATTCACTCCTCCATAGACAAAGAGCCCGTTTCAAAACTTCGATGGATCGGGTTAACCCAATTACATCTTTCAGGCCTGGGACGAGAGTCTGGATGCACTGGCTGATGCATCTAGAGCTAGCACAGAAAAGTTTGACATAATTATTCAGAACTTAGTAAGTCAGACTCTCCGAATCCTCACAGATCCTCGCATTATCTCACCTTGAGTAGCTTCTCAGCTGCACTTTCAGCGTGCATCTCCTCCTATCCTTCAGAACACCAGAGCCTCAACTGATGTTTGCGAGTATTTCTGTACCATTTTGCCCCTTTTCTCTTCAGCCTTATGAGTTCTAGAACATTCCAAGATCTCTTACTGCCCGGGCAAGCCGAAAGGAATTAGAGTCTTTGCAACAACTTGCAAGAAACGCAATGTTTTGTCATTTTTGAGGGGTATGTTGTCTTCGCCAACTTGGTAACGACTCTGCGCTGCCAAAAGTACCAAAGCCTGCAATGTGATATTACCACTGTCGTGAAGCCGATTATGTAAACCTCCAGCATGGCCAGAAACTCACCTGGATTAAGCCGAAATTAAGAAAAAACCTGATGGGAAAGTACCATAGCATCCAGCAACATTGAGTATAGATATTTAGTGGATTTTGTTAGATGCTGTCAGGTAAAAGTTTATTTTTGAGCACATCGATAAGCTTTTGTCATAACATCTTGATAACCAGTGATAAACGTATATATCGATATCAGATTGTTACACAAAGTCTGCGTAGTAGCGTAGTAGCGGTATTATCTTTGGTAATCAGCATTGCCAGGCCAAGTTACATATTTGGCTTTTCGAGCTGGGTCTTGGCCAGCCAATGATATCCTCCACGTCAAGTTCTACAAGAACAAAGTCGTAGTAGCTTGGTGTAGTTGACTTGTCTGACAGTTGGAGAGTATGACGGAGGACCTGCAAGCCTTCTTGACAATTCTTGGTCAAATGTCAACCATGACAATTCTAGGATGATGCGTCCTCTTATATGCTCTGATTTGGCCATGTCTTGAAAGTCTATGCCCGCTAGGACTCGCGATGATTACAACAAATTCGCTGGCATAACGGCCCGGCTCGAGAACCAGTGTATGGAAGGCGGGCGGGGGCTTCCGAGATGTAAGGGGGTGGGAGGAGGCAAGAAGCTGAAAAACTTGACGAACATTGGGGACTCAAATTGGGCATCGATGGGTCCACTGGCATAGACACTCGAGATGAAAAGGCTATGAGGGGGTGCGAAGGAGCAACAGAAAGCGTTTGCGCGAGACCGTGCTCGTGGTGGAGGGATGAGTGAGTTCTGATCATATTCCTTCTATAGACGACATCAGCAGGCTCTACATAGCAGGTTCTACATAACTTCGTCAAGGTCCATGATCCGCGAGCCAGAGACAGCTATTTTCATCATTATCGCAACGGTTGCCATGGTCGCGATGACGTAGCAACGAAACGAGAACGACGTCGTCTGAGCACCCAACACTACGTTGGGTCCAACTTCGGAGCGAGGCTCACGACAGGTACGGCCCTCCTCAGTTGCCCCCGTACAGTATCGGCCCGGCCTTTGCCTCTGTTTAGCGCTTACAGTAGCCACGGTCCTACAGTAGCTGCGCCTGCCTGTTTCTTTGCACGCTCGCTATTGTGTACGCACTTGCTGCTTGGGTAGGAGCCAAAACGGCAAAAGAATTCGAAACGAGAACGATGGCGCAAAAGACTCAGTATCCGCATAGAGGCTCTCCGTGTCGATTTCGTCCTTGCATTCATTTCCCCTATCACTTTGATTTCAGTCGGTCAAGGCAGAGGCAGAGGCAAGAGCCGTATGCTGTCCACTGTGAGCTGAAGCAGCAACAGACGAGCACGAGCCTGACCATTCGCCGAACTGACGTTGTAGTTCCACACGTATAAGGACCATGAATCGAATAGTTGTGAATTGGTGAGAGATGAGAATGTCGTTGCGGTCTCCCAAGTCTCAAACAGTCTTGACTGGAGCAGCGACGGAGTGTGGGAGTCTGTCTGGCACCAGGGACAGGGTCGAGCAAACAGATGATTTTAGGAATGGTCGTGAGGACATGAAGCAGGTCCAGGCGTTTCTTGCCGGCGCTGATGATTGGTGCTCGGGGCACGGCAGCCTATAATGTCTCGTCTCCAGACTTCATTTCGCTCCCCCGGCTGCGCCCAGATCCTCCTTCGCATCTGGTCTGTCCCACGTCGCCTTCTCGAGCCTCTCCACGGCGCCGATCAGCTCCCAGATCCGCCTCGTCACCCTCGCCCGCTCCGCCTCCTGACTGGCAAACGTCTCCTCCAGCACATCCCGCATGAACGTCGGCATCGCCGTCTTGCCTGCAGCCTCGTAGTCGTAGATGACGACGTCCTCCTCGATGCGCGCCGCGACCCGCCTGTGCTTGTGCGAGAGCACCACGGCGTCCAGCACCAGGGACGACGATGACGACAAAGGCGGGTGGCGCAGCTTGTGGTAGACGGAGATGCGGTCTGGATAGGTGAGGGGAAACTTGAAGTCGGCCTTGATGCTCTTCATGATGAGGCCGATGCCGTCAGGGGTCATCAGGCCCGCCCACTGGCGCCGGTGGGCCGGGTCGACGCGGACGGCGAAGTTAGTCGCCCAATTGACGCGGGAGGACTCGGCGTAGCGGATGTAGGTTACGTTGTTGACGTGTTGCTGGAACGGCGCGCACACAACTGTCAGCATCTTGCTCGTTCTTACAGGTCATCCATCGATGTTCTCTTTGCCTCGCTTTTTTTTTTTTTTTTTTTTGGTTTCTTCTCTTTGTGCAACGTACAAAGCTGTCCTGCTCTCCCCAAACAACCTGCTGCCCCTCCAAGCCCCTTCTCCCACCCGTCAGAAACCCCTCGCTCCCCGCCACCAGCGCCCTCCACTCCGCCGCCAGCGCGCCCAGAACCTTGCCGGCATCGGCGACCTGCGCCGGCGAGCAGCCGAATATGATGCATTTCCCTATGCGTGCGCGGAGGTCAGACAGCCATCTCGACGGTGGTGGCGGTGGAGGGTCTGGTATCGTCGAGCTGGGAGTGTTCTTGAGGGTGGAGACGAGGGCGCGGGTGGCGGAGGAGGCAGGTGTCGTGATCCGGCCCCGGGTCGGGAGGGGGAGGAGGAGGGGCGGGAGGGCCGCTCGAGGGGGCATCGTGGACGAGGATATAGTGAGGGAGGCCTGCTGGTATGGCAATATTTAATGAATTAAAAACAGAAGCTGCCAATTAAATAAGACGTAAAAGGAAATCCTCAGGCTTGAACGAGTAGCATATATACAAGTTGACCGTCGCTGTTTGAGACCGTCCCTTGGGAAGTGAAGTACTCAGTAAGTAGTAGATGGCGAAATAGGAAATGCGAGCTCGGCTCTCAGAAGGTTCCCCAGAGACCCTGGGAATTATGGCCGATAAGATAAGAAGAGCTGTGGCGTCATAGCCCAAACCATCGTCTGTACGATTGTCCATTGACCTTCTATCTACCTGCTCTCTCTCCTGACATCTCCCAATGAACAATGCCTGTCGCAGTGCACCCGTGACAAGCACAATGCCTCCTCCAATCAACCCAGAGCTCAGGCACGAGGTCATCGCAGTCTACAAAGGTATAGAGACCCCCGCAGAGCAAACAGTTCTGGTTCCCTCGACATGGCCCAGAGCACTTCTGAGGAGTCGCATCGAGACACCACCAAACCGCGATACGCGCGAGAGAGGAGGAAAGGAATAATAAGAAAAGGTCAAGGAGCAGAATAGAGACTGATGCCATGGAACCAACCCCCTTTGCAGAGCTCCTCAACCTTGGCAGAGAATACCCCCAGGGTTTCGACTACTTCCGTCCACGGTTACACAAGGCCTTCATGGCCAATGCTGGACTCCGCGATGAGGAGGCTATCAAGAAAGGGATTGAAAGGGCTAGGTTCGTGCAAAAGGGTCAGTCTATCCACATCCCCCCCACCCCTTCCCCCCTTTTCTCTCCCCTTACACACAACACCAGGGATCCGATGGCTTGTTTCAAGTATGCTGGACATGTCGAAACTGACAGCGAAATCCGGCAGAAATCGAGGCGCTGTGAGTTGCGACCCTCACTTAGGCTGTTTATATATCTCTCCTCTCCCCTTTCCTTCCATCTCTCCCTCCACGATCACACGGTCACATTCATCTGCGCGGCAACAAGCACTACGACCCATCCCGACCGATTGAAGAAGCAAAAAAAAAAAAGCACAAATGTATACACAAACAGGAATGCGGAATTCCTGAGGTGTGGATCAGGTCGCGTTGCTTCGGCCTGCCCCCCCCTCCCCCGGGGGGTCTCCCCCCTTTATCTCTCCCCCTGGAGGGCCCGAGACAAAACCAAAAAAGCACGTTCGTCGCTCGGTCCCGCCCCGAGATCCTTCCCGCTGTGACACAGAGACCACGGCAGAGACAGGATCTGCATTACTATGCTGGCTCGTGCATATTGCATGCTGCAGGTTTCCGACGACGGCGGGCTACGATGTGTGTGCCGCAAGCATGTGTACAGGGTCATTGTTTCGAGTGCACCTTCAGGAGAAAGCTCTCCATACACACATGAGCAAGTGTACCGTTCTCCCCTTTCGTGATGATGGGGTATTTGTGGACAGCGAGAGCCGACGCCACGTTTTACGAGTAGTACCAAATGAATTGTCCAATGCCTGGGACGGTCGGAGAAGAAAAAAGAAGAAAAAAAAAAAGAAACTCATGCAAAAGAACAATTCCAAAATGCCCTTGACCACCCAAGTCTGAACCGGTCCTTCTCTAATAATAAACGAATCCAACATGCGCGCATGGCTGCAATGAAATGCGGCGATGAGTTCAACGTAGCTGACAGATGTGTGCTCAATATATACAGGTATTACCTGAAAAGGTATCGCACGCTGAGGAAGCGCTATGATGGGGTATGAAATGTCACGGCGGACATTTATGGTCGTGATGGGGGGGGGGGGGGGGAGGAAACAAAAGTGAAGTCTGCAAGGCGTACACGTGCGCTTGGGATGAAAACCGCTGGACGGGGCTCGATAGGCGATAGATGGGGAAATCCAGAGAGATGGTTGATAGACCCGCCCGCACCACACCAACGTTAGCATCACAAGGCGGCATGTGATGCAACTTTCATGCCGGAGGGTCCTTCATCTTCATAGCCCACCACGCCCCCACTTCAAGACACTCGCCCCAGTTCGCCCCGTCGTTCTCGACGAGCTCTTTCATAAGCTTGCCCATCCAGGTGTCCCACTCGTCCTGCTTCTTGCCGCTCACCTTCCGTAGCGACGGCTCCATGCCCTCGATGAAGCCCAGCACCGTCTGCAGCGCGGTCTGTCTGAGTGCCAGCTGTGCCGAGCCTAGGATCCTGCCCTTCTTGTCCCCGTCACAGTTGTCACCGCTGTGGGCCTTGCTTGTGGCCCGCCCTACAGCCTTGCCCGTGTCGACGTAGCTCTTGCCGTCCTTGGTAACAACACCGCCCACGCCCTCCCGCTCCCACCGCACCTCTGTGAGCGGGATGGCCAGACGCTTGAAGCCGAACCCGGTGAGCAGAGGTTCCTGGAGGAAGTACGAGCCGATGTTGGCGCACGGCCAGCTGAGCAGCTGTTGCGACTCGAGATACTTGTTGATCCAGCTGTTGTACTCGATCAGGTAGTTGTTCTGTGGTCCTGAGAGCGGTGTGTTGTTGCCCAGGAAGTAGGCGCCGAGCTCGGTGACCTGGTTCTCTTGTTCGTTCTTTTTGCTGCCGCCGCCGTTGGATGAGTCGCTGCCATTGTTGTTCGTCGAGGAACCCGGCTCGTGTTCAAAGGCCTTGGGCCCCGTAGTCGTCGTGGGCGTGTCTGGCACGTGTGGTCTGAGCATACGAATGGGGTGGTCGCAGTCCCAGGCCTCGAGGACGCCACCCGGCTTGAGAATGCGCTGGAACTCATCCATGAGATCTTGGAACTGGGTCAGTTTGTTGACCAGAGACAGCTCCTTACACATGACGAGGTCGAACTCATCGTCGGGAAACGGTAGTGGCAGGATGCGCATGTCGTGCTGGACAAATTCCCACTTCATCTTTTTATCTGGCGGCTGTTCTGCCCAGTTGCCAGTTGCTGAGGATGCAGAGCCCCTGTCCTTAAGCATTGTCGGAGGAACCGCGCTGCCGGGACCAGGTACGCCAGCTATCCCGCCAAGGGGTGCGATGTCGAGACCGGTAAACGAGATATTGGAATAGCCCTTGCGGGAGAAGTACGAGTGGCACATCATGCTCCAGAAACCATACCCGCAGGCCAGGTCGAGCACGCGTGTGGGCGGGTGTTTGACAAGAGCTGGAGAGCAGACGGGCCCGCCAAAAAGCTGGAAGAGGAGGAGGGTGCGCAGGGACTGGCGATGAAGTTCATGGAGGTCCACGGGGAGGGGATATGGTAGGGTCTCGTCGGAGAGGTAGGTGCGACCGTTGCTCTTGGTGACAAACGGCTTCCTGGGCGAGCCCTGGCGGGACCTGGTGGAGGCGTCATCGTCATCCCTCGAGGCGGAGGCGAGGTCGTTGACGGTGCGGTTGCTCAGCGAGGTGGTGGTGGCGCTCACGCTTTGGGAGCGTAAGGTGCTGTCGCCGGCCATCGCATTGTGCTGTTGTCTCGGGCTGCGAAGGCGCTCGCGATCCAAGGATCCAGAAGCGGAGGGGAATGCGGTCGTGGTCGTCGATGTCGATGTCGATGTCAGCGTCGGTGTTAGTGTAGGCAAAGCCGTCGGCGCGCTGAGCCTGTTGCTGCGCTGAGCCCTACGGATTGCTCGATACTCCCTGACAGAGTACACAGGGGTCAGAGGGGCACCAGAGTGCGGATAAGGATGTGGGATGAGGAGCTGGCGGGGGTCCCTGGCAGGATCTGGGTGAGACTGGCGGCGTGGGTGATGTTGGTGGTGGTTCTCAAGCCTCTGGCTCCGTCGCTGCTCATCGCCGGCTTGGGCCTGGTTCTGTGGATGGTGGAAGAAGGAGGAGGAGGAAGAAGAGACCGCAGCAGTAGTCGTGTTAGTAGTAGTAGTAGTAGTAGAGGCGGAAAGGAGGCTGCCGGTGTCTGCAGGTGGTTTGTTGCAGGAGGCGCACACCGGGGTGGAGTTTGATGGAGATCCAGAAGATGGCAGACAGGAGGCGGCAGCGGAAGCGGATGCAGGGCCGCCGACCAAGGCAGCAGGACTTGCAGGTTCAGGGTCAGGTCCAGGTCCAGGGACCTTTGGCAAGGGGGGTCTGACACGAGACACCCCGTCGGGCGGGGCAGGATAGGTGCTGACTACCTGGTCACTTCCTTGTCCCTCTCCTTCCTCCCCTCTTCCTTCTCCTTCCTTTGGAGGCGATGCTGAGGCTGCGTCGGCGCTTCGTGGCACGTTATCTGCCTTCTCTCCCTCGTGTTCGCCCTTGTTACATGTGCAGTATTCGTGTTCTGAAGGGTCCATTTCGCCCTCCTCGTTCGATGCCCTCAATTGGGGCTGCTGGTTCTTGTTCTTGTTCTTTTTTGGGAGGAAGAGGGCCTGTGAGGGGGTCGCTCTGGATCTCGAACTGGCTGCGATCTCGCCCGGAAATGGCCGCCGACTTGCTGCAAAGCCCCACGCGTATTCCATTCTTAACCCCCTTCTCCTGTTATCGTCTTTTTATTTTGTCTTCTTTGTTCTCCTTCTCTCTCTCTCTGTCTCTCCACCCACCGCTGGGTCTGACGTGACTTAAGCGAGCCAACAATTGATGGGCCAATAGTGATCTCGGTGCCCATATGGGTCCCCTCAAGCGCCCGCCTTGGGACCATCTCCGTGGGGGCCGTCTAGGATGGATAGACGACACAGTAGGCAACCTAGCACCTTACGACCTATACTGCCTGAGTCATGTACTATTAGGAGGCGTCAGTACTAAGGGGATAGCGACCACTTCGGCTCTAGAGGTGGATCTGTGCTGTGTGCAGGAGAGAGAATAGAATAGAACAGAAGAGAAGAGAAGAAAAGACAAGCAGAAAGGACGAGGGACAGATAGGAGGAATAGTAGTAGTAGATGAGACATAATATGACGGTAGGACGGGAGGGTGCGGATATGTCCTAGTACAGTAATCAGAGGTGCAGAGGTGTCAAAGGTGTCAATCCTACACAGACGGCACACACAGACACAGACACACACAGTACACCCACTTGTAAAAGTGCTGGCGTGTGGACACAGTCGCCTGGCTAAAACTCCTTTTAAGATTGGGGAAATGTCCACCTTCGGTTTTCGAACACGTCGTTTAGCCAGCACAGAGCAGGCATTCTTCCACAAGGCAGTAAGTAGTACATAGGATCGCCCATCAGGTGCACCTCGACCGAGTGACTACCTCTGATGCGCCACCCTTTGACCGTACCGCCTGCTTGTCTTAAGAAAGAAGGCGAGAATGCGTACTCGGACTGCTTGCACGTGATAGAACTCAGTAAGATCGAATTTGCAGATGCTGCTTACCTAAAAGTGCCGCTCGAGCCCTGCGGAAGGCTTTTTTTCGATGAGACGGAGAAACAAGACGATTTCGCGCGCAGGAGCCAGGGGGTAGAGTCGTGTGGGATTGAGGCAGCCCCCTTCATCCACGGGCCGTGGTGTCGTGAATAGAATGTCCCGAACACCCTGTCCTTGTTTGGATGCTCAATGCTCAAATGCTCGACATGCGGGTTGCTTCCCCGGATGCGATCTTCTGTGTGGGGGCCCTGCGAGTCGCGCGGCCTGCATGCTATCGAGATGACGGGCGGGTGATGACCTTCTTGTTGGGTCCAGTCCTGCAGATGTCCCCTTTGCGGTGTTCGACTCGCGGGCTGTCGCAATCTGCTTCGATTTGAAACGTTACAGGGGAAGGCAGACAACCGATATCGCTCGCTCGCTTCTTGTGCGGCCACACACACTCTCTTTCTCTTTCTCTCTCCCTCTCTTCTCTCTCTCTCTCTCTTTCTTTCTCTCTTTCTCTTTCTTACACACAGACCACACAGGCCTCGGGCAGATAGACAGGCGGACGGATAGAAAAATAGATTGATAGACAGCCACAGGCTGCGGAGTGGCTCGACCCAGTCCGGCTCCACTGACAATGAGTAGTAGGAGAGAGAAAAAAAATGACGGGATGAAAACTAGTGGACGGGCAGGAATGGCCCCAGTAACAGTTGCAAAATTTAGACCCCGCGAGACTGGAGGGAGGGCAAGAACGACGGCTACTGCCTTTTATACATCGTAACGCAGGCGCGACCATGTTTTCACGCGCCATCCGGTTCGGTGTCTCACTAAATGGGTTCCTGCCCAATCCGCCCCAGGTAAACCCCTCCGTCCTCCTGCGAGGAAGCTTCGGCGGCAACCCCCCCTTTTTCTCCTCCCTCCTTGCCCTCTTCCTCTTCCCGTTTGTGGCTGGGGGGGAACGGGCCAATATCGAGATGGGAGCTCGTTACGGAGTAATGCGGGGGAGAAGCAACACTCACATGTGGAACAAGGGCCCAGGGCAGATGCTGTTGGTGGGGGGGAGACGAGGGGGAGGCGTACGCCGCCCTGGCAGAGGCGGTCGGCTACAGATGATGGCACAGTAGCGCATCTTTCTCTTTGCTCTTTTCGCCCTTTTTGCCCAGGGTTGTTTCTGTCAAATAGCCACCCCAACACCACGACCCAAGGGCCTGCGCCAGTCGATTGGACATGCGCCCTCTCGTTCCAGGCCACCGGTCCAAGCATTGGTTGAGCCTGTTGATCCGTGACAGTTTACCAGTCTCGCTCTAGTGCCCGAAGGGAGGTCAGCCTAGATCAGCGGATGGTCAGCCTTCGGTTACAGCTAGTGAGTCCTAGTCCTAGACAAACACGTGCAATTCCTCGCCGTTTGTTTTGGACTTTTCATTCTTGGGGTTCCCAGGAATCTGGTTCAACCTGTGCAAGTTCTCCCCGCATTAGCGATCTCTTTTCCTTCTCTTTTACCCCTCTTACATCTCCCATGTTCTCTCCCAAACTGAGATTTGCTGACCGAGCCTGGCTAGGCTTAGTATTTTACTACTGCCGGCTGAAGATTCAGGCTTGAACGGCTACAGGAAGACAAAGATGCTCACGATGCAGCATACCTACGTGATTACTTCTCCTTGAGACCCGATCATAGAAGCCGGCTATGAGCAGACATGACTCCTCTGTTGTAGATTGCGTTACATGGTGGTGCCCATTGACGGGCGCCCCGACGCAGACATACTGCAAAACTGATCAATTACTACATGCATACATACTACTCCATGCAGTACTATACAACCTACCACATACCACACAGGAGGACACTTTGCTAATGATGTACCATCCGTCGAGGCCGCGTCAGCCTTATGGCGCTCTCTCACTGCAGCCTGCAGTCTGGCAGGTGACTGGAACCTTGGCCCCCCCCTCCCTTCTCCCTTTCTGCCGCCTGTACTATTGCGGTATAAGAACGGAGACAATGAAGATTCCCTCCGATTGAAGTAATGTAGCTCCTTAGATATGCCTTGATCTTCCCCAATTGAGCCTTATTGAGGAGTGTACAAAAACATACTCCAGATTACAGTGGTACTTATCCGGTGATGTGAGTGCCACCATGGATATTTATGTAATACTATAGTACATACCATAGTACTACTAGAATAGTGTGTACTATGCATAACTGTGGCCAGGCATTGGTTGGCCATGGCAGTGCTAGGACGGACTTAGTTCCTATTCAATATATACATACCATGAAAGTAAAATAAAAAGGGCTCCTCGTAGGGGGTTCATATACCACTTGCAGTCACTGCGGGAGCAGCATCCTCTCATGGTGTGCAGTATCTGACTGTACCTGACTGGCTTTGAGAAACGTGGCCATAGGATCCTCTTCTCTCCTTTGCGATCCTCCTCTCCACTTTTAGCTGAGACCGCCGTCAGCATCGTGATCCAAATTCCCAGCATGGAATTGTAATGTGTCCTGTCTCTCAGTGTATAGATGAGAAGATCTTATCGCCCTGGATGGTGCAGAGACAATTAGAGAGCTGTAGCGGAGTGAATATTGCTATTGATTCTGTACTAATACCTGAGGCCAAAACGCAGGTTCAATTACGCCTTAGATCTTTGCGACAGCCCTTGGACTACATCGTCTGAGAAAGCTGTACTCATCTTGCAGCATTGCGAGTCTCTACCTCTGCAGTCAATGAGAGAGCTTGAGGAGAACGACAGAGCGCCTCTGCCGTATCCAGGTCAAATAGCATCATCGAGACGGGTGAGCGTCACGTGGGCCTCGGCGCACGGACCATGTCTGCGTGCGGACCTCCTGAGCTTCCAACCCCTGCCATCGACAGATAGAGGTGATGGCAGCCAGAGCATAGCACACCACCACCACCACCAACATCAACAACCATCCCCTCCATATCCTTCGCATCCAGTATCCATTGACAATCTCATACAGTATTTTCGGTCACTGTGCCCCTTCATTCATATGGGTGAGTCATACCTCAACCCTCAATCACCCTCCCTGGGCTCGAGCAGGCCCGTCTTCAGCCCCTCCATCCTCGTCAACAAATCCGCCCTGGTCCCGACCCTTAACCCGCCCAAGACCTTCTCCAGGCCCCCCTTATGATCCCTTTGTTCCACCCCAGACCAGGACTGACTTTCTTCCTCACACACAGTTCTTGTTCTGTGATACGATCACAACCCAGTCCAGAAAACCAAACCAAAAAAAAAAAATTCCTCGGAGGGACCCGTTCGTCCACTGCTGTTGGCTTGGTGTACCCGCACCCCGTTTGCGTCTGTCCCCAAGAAGCTCCACCGCACTGCCCAGCTTGCCTCTCCAAGTCAGTCAGCTGTTGCGACGCCCGAGCGACTCGGTCACCCCGACCCCTCCTTTCTCGACAGGCCACCTTCGGTCGGCCCTGTATATTCGGAGCTCGATCTTGCCCCTCGCGTCGGCATCGATGAAACGTTGATCAAGAGAAGAGGAAGATCGTCATTTTGCTCTTCGCCCGCTTGCCCGCTTGCCCGACTTTCCACGCTAGAGGCTCCCTTCGTCGAAATCCATGCGCCGGCGCCGACCACAGCATTGCTCAATCCACACTTTACATGAGCTGCAGAGCTACCAAGACGACGAGAACCCACCACCCTGCTGCCAAACATACCTGCCTGGTCCGACCCGCAGCTCGCATCTACGATAGCTAGATGGCAGATGGTTATCAATATCTCCAGCAGCACCTCGGAAACTTCCTCTACGCACAGCCTCCCCCCAAGAATTCGCTTGCCGACCAGACTCTTCTGAACACCCTCCTCAGCCACGTTTCCCCAAGCCCCCGCCCAGGCTCCAATCCTTCCGATCGGGGCTCGCCAGGTCGATCCGTCCAAGGCATGTACAGCACCGGTCACCAGCCGGGGCCCAACTCCCGGCTCAATGGCGGGTCCAATGCCGCATCACGCTCCATGCAGATGCTCTACAACCACCCCTCCAATGCCTCGACGCAATACACCCATCCGTCACACCATCAAGGCATCCAGCCCGACCACACGGGCCATGGTGCATCCATGGGCCATGCCTCCGGCTACTCCAGTGGCATAATACCGAATGCGAGCCCCTACTCGTCCAACAACATTCCCAACGGCCACCCCGGCACGACAAGAGGTGGCCAGGCCCAGCAGATCAACGAGGAGTGGGCGCTGCAGCTCCGGCTACACAAAGAGGCGGAGAGGGCGCACACAGCCATGAACGAGCAGCACAGTGGCCACTACTTTGCACGGCTAAAGGCGGCTGAGAACAGAGGCATAGGCCCCTCTGTTGCTGCGACCACTACCAACAACGTAGTCGATGCTGATGACGAGCAAGGCGTAAGGCGCCCTCATATGGTCGAGAAGACAGACCAGCGGCAGGAGTGGTTCAACATGGACTTGAGCGGCCAGGGTGTGCGGCATCTCTCGCCTGAGCTGTTTGATCACTACGCCTTCCTCAAGGAGCTCTATCTTGCGTCGAACAAGCTCTCGCACGTGCCCCCAGCACTGGGCCAGCTCAGGAAACTGACCCTGCTGGAACTGTCACACAACCAGATTGCAGAAATCCCCCCTGAGTTGGGCATGTGTACCTCCCTGAAACAGCTCTTACTCTTTGACAACCAAATTCAAACGCTCCCGTACGAACTGGGCTCTCTCTTCAACCTGGAAATCCTCGGCATTGAAGGAAACCCTCTTGAGGCAGAGTTGAAGCAGGAACTGATGGAGAAGGGCACCAAGAGCTTGATCTCTCTCCTTCGCGAGCAGGCAAAGGGTAAGCACAAAGTAAAGAGGAAAAAGAGTATCACATCAAATTACTAACACTTATGATTGTTGTAGTACCCCTTCCGCCAAACCCACGACCACTTATTGTCCTCAATGAGGACGTCTCGCCTTCCCTGGAACGCATCAAGGTCCTCACCTGGAACATCCTCTGCGAGAAGTACTCTACTACCAACGTCTATGGATACACTCCAAGCGGAGCCCTTGCATGGGATTTTCGGAAGGATGGCATTCTCCAAGAAATCAGGGAACGCGATGCCGACATCGTGTGTCTGCAGGAGGTGTCTGTCGATGCTATGCGGGAGGTTTTGAGCCCGGAGCTCGCCGCAGACGGCTACAAGGGGGTGCAATTCTCCAGGACTAAGGCTAAAGTCATGTACGACAAGGAGGCCAACGCGGTCGATGGTTGTGCAGTCTTCTACAAGGCGAAGAAGTACATCCTCCTAGACAAGCAGGTCATTGATTTCTCTACCATCGCAATCAACCGGCCTGACATGAAGACTCACCACGACATCTTCAACCGTGTCATGCCCAAGGACAACATCGGCATGATTTGCTTCTTCGAGAGCCGGCAGACTGGAGCAAGGATGATTGTGGCGAATGCGCATTTGGCCTGGGAGCCCGAGCTGGCAGATGTGAAGCTCATCCAGACGGCTATCCTCATGGAGAATGTCACCAAGTTTGGAGAGAAGTATGCTCGGTGGCCGGCATGCCGCGACAAGAAGTTCATCCAGCTCGCAGCCGACGAGGATGAGCAGGATGTGATGCCCGAGCCAGCACCGTCGCAGGAATACCGGAACAACACCGATCTTCCGGTCTTGATCTGTGGTGACTACAACTCTCCTAACGACAGTTCTGTGTACGAGCTTCTGTCGAAGGGGCGGGTCGCACCGGATCACGCAGACTTTGGTGGGCGTCAATATGGTGTCTTTACACGTGATGGCATTGAGCACCCCTTCCACCTCAGGTCGTCATACTCGGCCCTGAACGGCACACCAGACGAGATACCGTTCACAAACTACGTGCCCACATTTAACGGCGTGATTGACTACATCTGGTACTCAAGCAACTGTCTGGAGGTCATCTCGGTCTTGGGCCCACCTGACATGGAATATCTGAGGAGGGTACCTGGATTCCCCCACTACCACTTCCCATCTGACCACATTCACCTCATGACGGAGGTGGCTATCAAGGCCCGGAAGGACAAGAAGGCATTGCCTGAATCCGAATTCTCGGGTCGATAAAGTCGTTTTGCACTTTCATCAGTCGGTTTTGGCGTGGGCGCGCTGCTTTGGAATCTTGCGCTACTTTTGGTTGTCGGATTTGGTGGGTGGCAAACCCGGTGTTCTGGATCTGGTTCTTACAAACGAAAGCGAGATGTGATTAAGGGAGGAGGAGAAGGGGGGGCGGGGGAGAAAGAGATCTTGTTCCTTCGGCGACAGGCTGGTTGGTTGGAGTGCGTATGCCCATCTTGCGGATGCGTGGTTCCTATGTTCGTTACGTGGGTTTTCTCTTTCTTTCTTTTTCCTTCGGGGTTGGTGGGGGTGGATCTACGATGCTGATTGAAGGTGGAAACAGGGTCTGATTATGGAGGCGTAAGAGACATGGCTCTGGACCCAATCATTTCTACTAAGAATCATCACATGATCACATGTTTGGCTGAAGTTCTGGAACACTTTGTCACTTAACTTATTGTCGGAAACGACACAGCAGAATCAGCAGGCCTTCAACGGACCGGGAGCAGAGGATGAAGGGGGAGAGGGGCCATTGTCGTTCTGCTTGTAGGAATATATTCCCATTTATGGTTGTCTATCTACTCGCCTTTTGTTCGTCAAGAAACAGGCATATCTTTTTTTGTTCGTGTCAATCTTCGAAAGCAAGAGTTCACCATGGAGCCAGATTGGGGGGTTCTGGTCTGAACAGGACAGGTGAGGACAGACATACAAGAGTTGACAGTATAGTGGTCATGAATAGCAGGAGGGACAAAATGACGAGGGCTCAGGTCACGAAGCACCAGCGGGCTCTGGTGCTGTTGGTGAGCTATCATTCAGTTATGTGCATCTGATTATTCCTTTTCTACTGTCTATCCTCTGGTCGTTTTTTTTCTTTTCTTTTTTCTTCTTCTTTGTCCCTACAGGGTTTTCCCACTTGTCTCTTGTCTATGTGGTGCCAGAGTGGTCTTGGTATGGTACTACCCTATCACCTCCTGTCTCTAAACAACACAACCCCCCCCCCCCCAGCTTCTCCGTCGCCTTCATTCTCGTGGACGCAATGACGAGCCAGCGAATGGTGAGGGGGAAAAACAGAGGAAGAGGAAGAGAAGGGGTCACGGTCCCTTGTTCGCAAATCGTACCATACATGCCGCCCGCCGTACTGCCATCTTCAACCATCCCCCCGCTCGTGGGTGGCGGGAGAGCCTGATTGATCAATTCTCTGCCCGTGTGGATACGAGAGACGTGCATTGGCGTCCTTCCTCAAGCTGAAGGGTACAAGCGGCCTTGCAACATAATCGTCGTCCTTTGTCTCAGAATGAGGGGTGGGAAGAGGAGATGCGAGTGGCCCCCCATCGCGCCACAGAAGCGGATAGAGAGTGCATTAGAAGCAACCATGCCGGGCCAGGAGAGGGCCTTGCGCTTCAGCTCGCACTGCCGATCGGGGGCGGACGGAGGTGGCTGACTTGTGGGGTTGCAACTAAATGGACGGTGCATGCTTTGGTGTGTCTCGCCTCTTGGGGGGGGGGGGGGTGCAGATCACATCTTAAGTACATACATATGCATACATACATACCTCGATCCAATGGGACTTTTGAGCCAGGGAAATTAAACATCGGTGGCGGGAGAGGAGAAAGGAAGCAGGGTCGACATGTACCCACCGCGGGAGTCATTGTACTCTTCGTCTGGCCTCTCTGCTGTTGCTAGAGGTCGGCTGACTGGTTCAAGAAGATATAAGGGCGCACGACCGTCCAGCAAAGTGGCGTCTTCAAGAGCAAGTTGTCAGGTAGATGTCTATTCATATATGTCTGACTGGGGCGGGATAGATGGGTCATGGTAGGATCCTAGGTGTGAGACATGCAGACACGGTGGAGACGGTAACATCTCAGCTTGATAATGGTATATGCCTGGAAGAAACAAAAGAGAGAACAGCAGAGGAGGGTTGTCGATATCCTCGAAAAAAAACCAAAACCATGATGTTCGATCCAAAGCGTCAGTTACTTGCTTGATTGAGCACTGACTAACCCTGATTTCCTTGTCTCTTTGCATTCTTCGCGTCAGTCTACTGCTATAAACGCATTGTATGTGCTATGCAGTTACAGATATCTTGATTCTTATATCCTTGGAATCAACACGGGATCTGTCAGTCCTTACTTCCAGGACAATTCCGTCTACGAGGCCCTGATTCACACTTTGCAGGCGCAATCGATTGGTCCTGAGCCCATCTCATCCTTCAAGATGCAAGCACACTCAACCACCCCAGAAAAGCACACAAAGATGAGAATAGGACCACGGTATCCCAACCCCAGGAAGAGGAAGAAATACATACTATACGCCATGTAGATACAAGTGCCGGCGGGGATGTTTTCCGATCCTCGGCTCCAACGCGATCGACGGGTTGGGCGGCCGGGAATCCTAAACCTCCGTTACATGTGATTGCTATTGCTGTGGTGGGCCTCTCCCTCTCGCTGGCCAAGCAAGTGAGAGGAAACCCGGAGGCGGCAGGGCCCTTACCCCGCGGAAAAGGCTTACGCTCAAGGAAGACTCATATAATATAAAATTGATAAGGGCGACACCGGAGGTCTTGATCGCCATGGTGCATATGGGGGATTATCGTCACGAGATGACGACGCAGCCAGCTTGGCTAAGACCAATCACTTCACACCAGGGGTAGTAGAGAAGGGGGGGAGGGCACCGTTGCCTAGTGGAAAGATGGCACGGCTGGTTTTACATAGATGAGGGCGCCTATCAGACATGTCTAAAGACAGACAATATGAAAAATAACTTTTGCGCGTGATGATTCGGTTTTTGGGGGAGGGGCTTGGCATTGGTCGGTGTGGAGGGGAGGGGAGCCGATTGGGAAAGAAACACGACAAGAACCAGTAGATATTTGCATGAGAGGGTTCCCTTCAGGAAGGTGGATGAGAGAGAGAAGGGAGAAGGAGAGAAAGAGAGGCAGAGAGAGGCAGAGAAAAGTATTTGCCGCGCCTGTCAGATTGCTGCAATCGAAGGGGGAATGCATTAGGGCGGGCACCAGTACCGAGGAGAGAATGGTACTGGGGTGCAGGGCTTACTACCATAGTACCTACAGAAAACCATATATTGCGACGCTACTGACGGGAGGTAGGGTTGATTTCCCACGCGCCGAGGGCGGCTGTTGAGCAATGCTGGGATGATTTGGAGCAGTCGAGCGAGTGCTGCTCGAAAAATTGGGTTTGAGGAGGGTCAGAAAAGGGAAAATGAGAGACGTCACCGCCCACATTGGTCGATTTGCATCAGGGCACATGTTGGCCATCATCTAGGGGGAGGGGGCGCCTGGTACCATAGTATACTGTACAAACTTGGTGGCGGTGTGAGATTTCGTTTTCGCCTAAGCAATTGAGTATACACATTGGCGCCTGGTTGAAGCCTTGTTTTTCTGGTCTCTGGTCCGACGGTTGGGGGACAACGATCAAAAGCCAACCAACCGTTGTACTCAAGGCCCGGGGGGTGAGTGTGGCAGGGAGGATGACACTAAGATGGCGAACAAGGCCACGCCAAGGTAAGTCTAATGGGAAAGCTTGTTGTGTGTGTGTGTGTGTGTGTGTGTGTGTGCATGCGTGCGTGTGCCAGAGAGACGTGCATTGACCCATGGGGACGATAACTCTTGATGACTTTTACGGCACGTACCAATGGTAGTACCGCTTCTTTTCGACACCGTACTATGCACATCCCGTTTTCGGCCATCCCACCACCACACCACTGTACCAAATTCATCCACAGTTTTTGGGCCCGGTCAAGTGCCGAGCACCAAGAGATCGTCCCTGCAGCGCCCACTGATGGCAAAGTGTATGATTTGCTGGGCATGTCACAATTTGTGGGGATTTTGTGAGAATGGGGAGTTCATGGGCTTGGGCCCTTTTCTTTTCCTTTTTTTTTTTTTTTGGCCCCGGCGGACATTCGTCGGGAATATTTGAACCTTTTTTTATTGATTCTATTTATTTATCAACCTAGTCTAATTAAAGGTATATATACTATGACAGGAGGGGCATGTGTATTCGATGGAGATGCAGCGGGGTCGTGAGAATTCTGCAGATCTTGGAACGCAGGATTGTATGAGACTACAGAGATAAAGAACCAGATGTCTCTCGGCATCACCCATGGCTTGAATATGCACATTGACAATGATAATACAGGAGAGACCTTTCCCCGTTCATTGATTACAACATAGTATAGTAACGTCAGCACCCAGCAATCACTTGTCAACATCAGCCAAGCGTAAGACGGCATGGGAATGATCGTCACTGGTCTAGACCATGTGTGTTTGTGTGATATGGCCCAGTTAGGTTACAGCTTGAGGCCGGGACGACTGGGGGTGGGAAGAAACTTGGAAGAAGCCATTGATCCGCGACTGGTCGGCCTCCGGAGCGTTGCAGTCGATATCGTCTCTCCTCTAGCGCCAGAACATTCATGTACCATAGTAATATTATTCCATGGTGACATGTGAGCTCTTCTCTGTCTTTCATTTTCGTCTTTTGTTTCCAGCATCAATCCATCAGGTTTGTCCAGTCTTATCCGCTGATAGAGGAATCTTAGTGCTGTAAATATCAACCCCCCTCCACGGCCCCCCCCCCCTCACCTGCCACACCCGTCCATCCATCTTTCAATCAAGGTTGGCACAGGACCACAAAACGTTACGCCAAAGTACCCCTGCCGAAAACCTGGGGAATCTGGTTAGTGATCATCCTATCTGCAGGAAGTAGTGTACTATAGTATGTACATACATACATACGCAGCAGCAGCAGCAGCAGTACAGCCTGGCTGGCGCTTCATGGGCTAAATTGTCCGCGGCAATCAACCAAGAATAAACCCTCTCTCTTCACCTGGGAACTTCTACCTTCTCGCTCATTGCGCCCCCAACACGGTTCACACACAAAGTAAACACGAATGCTACACATGTAGCGAGACCCTGGAAAAGCTGAGGCTCAACGGCAACCCACGACGTAGTGGTGTGTGCACGAGGAGGTGTGTCTAACTATGTGAGTACAGAGGGATGCAGGCAACTATTGGCAGTTCATTGGACACTATCTTGCTGCAATGAATACTGATAGACAGTGGTGAGTACCATATGGGGCAAGACGCGACCGCAAAGGTCTGAGTGTGCTTTTAAGGATGAGTGAGCACCCCGTCCCATCCATTAGACATGCTCTCCTCCCGTCCCCGCTCTCCAACACTCCAGCCAGTACGACCGGCTGGATCCGAGGTGTTTACTCTGGTGGCTGGCTTGAATGCCAAGTCAAAATCCATGGATGATGACACCAGGCGACCGCTTGTGCCTTGAATACACTCAGGCATCGACGATTACAAGTGGTCACATGCAATCACCAAAGCAACAGCAACAGCAACCACAGGAAAGAAGGGAAAAAGGTGGATGAGGAGCTAAACTAATGTCCCAAAAAAAAAAAAAAAAAAGAAGTCATAATACCCAAGCAGAAAAGATATAAACAAAGAACAATAGAAAGGAAAAGTGAAGAAAAAAAAGTCTGCAATGAAGGGGGGAAAATCCTTTCAAGTCTAGTCGTGTTAGCTGTGACGTTATTATGCAATCTTTGAACCACTGCCGACGTTGCCCAAAAGCTTGTGAGTGCATGTCTGAATATCGAGTCATGGCTATGGAGTCCCAGTCCAGCACAGGGCGGGCGGCCATCAAGGCATTGAATGCCGTTACCAGCGTTCCCGTGCGGCGCTCGCCCAGCTGTCATGGATGGCCGTTTCCAGGGCCATGTTAGCAAGGGACGAGGGGGACAGTGCGAGATGACTGACCCACTGAAGAGGAAGCGCCAGAGCGCACGGAATTAGCAGCATACCCTCCCCTATAATTCACATGGCCGTTTAAGCTACTTCACAGGTACATGGTACAGCGCTATTATTATAGTATGATTATGGTACTAATCCACCTTGTCAGCAGGACAACGACGACAAAGCAGTCCCGAGGGGAAAATTAGATTTTCACTGACAAAAAACAGAAGGAAAAGCAATCATCTTTGACCACCTGTCTCATTTTATCATCCAATGCTGAAATAAATATCATACATAGTAGGTATCAATAAATAGACTAAATAGAGTAGTGTTATCGTGATGAAGCGATCGTCATAAAAAGCTTTGTTGGTAGATCCTTGAGGAGGAGGCATTCGCCCTAAGAAACCGACTGACTCTGGGAGAGTAGAGAGAGTGGCGGGTCTCCCCTTCTGAATCTTCAGGCCCCCACCCCGCCTAGAGGACCATTGAGCCCCACCACGGCCGCCTGAAAGAGGACTGCCGACCTGACACTGTACGAAGCGTGTACCTGCGTATCCCCTAATCCAACCCCAGGCTCCTCGTCACGCCTGCCCATAGTTCATGTGCCATTCATGCTTACTCTAACGTTTCGTCCTCTGGTTTTTTCAACCACCGAACTTAGTCCTAAGCACTGAACCACCAAAGGCTCAGGGCGGTACCTGCAACCAAAAGGCACATACGCCCCAATCCTCCCTCCCAAAATCTCACAACGCTTTTCTCGAGGGGAGGGCACGCCCTTTGCAGCTTGCACTGCTTTCTTTCCCTCCATCACGTCTTACGCATCTCACCTCACCTCTTCTTCCTTTACCCCTGATTCCCGATTTTCCCTTCTACTACGACTGCAGCGACACGCAATCGATACTGCTTTCAGTTCAGCAATCAACCTTAATCTTTGTCGCCTTTTTTCTTCTTCTTCTTGTCTCTCCTTTTACCTGTCGATCAACAATAACCAACACCGACAACCAGCGAGCACAAATATACAAGCACACCCCCACCCACACATCCACAAGGAATACAAGCAGACACGCACGAAACTCGAGTGGACCGGCTGGTGACGGGACCGACCCCCCCAAAAAAGAAACGAAGACGAAGCAGGCAGATCGCATGTCTAAGCTCGCACCATCCCGCTCACCCTCTTTTGTGCCAACCCGAGTCGGCCTTGAGCTGAGCGAGGTGGGAAAGCACATTCCTCCTGCTGCCGCGAAGCAAGTCTAGCCCATACTTTTCCCTTCCCTGGAAGCCACCGCTGCTGGTGGTGGGAAGACGACGAGAAGAAGGAGGGGATACAGGACGAAGGACCAGGCTCCTTGTTCGATCTTGCCTCTTGCTGGCCTCGGGACTCTTGTGTTCTGGGCTCCAGCAGAAGAAGGGCGAGGGCAGGACGTCGTATGCCTCGTGCCTCCTCGGCCAAGCGACAGCAGGGAGCGGCCAACAATCGCGATCAGAGACACGAGAATGGACTGGTAGGTCCGGGAAAGCGCATCATCAACAAGAAAAAGAGCAGGAACGAGATCCGTCTCGATGGCCCCCCAAGGCACAACCTCCACTCCAACTCTGCTTCTCAGCCTCAGCCTCACACCGCTGCCCACCAGTCTCTGTCTTCTCTCGACAGCGCCGCTCCCCCGCCGCCTCCTTCCCCCTTGCCGTCGATCCCTAGTGCTCATGCAAACGGAAATGGGAATGTCAACGGTTACGCAAAGCATCACAACCACAGTACCGACGACATCATGTCCGCCGACAGCCTCAGGCGCCCCTCTCTAGCTGCCTATTCTGAGACCTCTTCCTCCGATTCCTTTTCCATCTCCGCCATCCCATCCTCCACCACCACCACCACCTCCTCCTCCGCAGCGGCCGAGGACGCCCACCGCCGTATCGATGTCAACGCCGCCAAGAACACCAATGTCCATCGTGACACGGGCCCGATCGACCTGGCCTTCAGCGTCCTCCGGTCCTGCCCCCTGCATGACACCATCGCTATCCTCATCATCCTCATGCAGCTGTCCCCCTTCGCCCTCTCCAGCATCTACACCCTCTTTACCCTGCTGACCTTTGTCCCGCCGCCCACCACAAACTCTGGCCTGAGCGTCACCGAGATCTTTGATGGCTTCGGCGCCCCGAACCTGTGGACCCTTGTTGGGCTTGACCTGTTCTTCCTGATCGTCTTTGCGTTCATGCCACTACAGGACCTCATACTGGAGTTCGCGCAGGTGGTGGTCGCCATGACCCTGGGGGGCGGGGCGAGCTCGAGAGGAGGGACCACACACAAGATATTCTTATGCGTCGGTGTGATCTTATTCAATCATTTTGGTCAACACCAGGCCCTCAGCAGGTATTCGTCCAATTTCAGGACGCTGCTGGGGACGTCATGGAGCACGCCCGACAGCGACGACCCCCTGGAGCCTGCAGCACCCAGTTCGTACGGGAGAAAGGTGCCAAGGGGTCTGTTTCGGAGCATTTTGGCTATTCACATACTCGTTCAAGGACTCGTTCGCTACGTGAGGGACTGGTATCTGCGGCGGGAGAAGCGCGATCTGCTGTCCCAGAGTCAGTCCGACCCAGAAGCTGCCAAAACACCCATTCTTGTGGTGGAACAGGCTGCCGCCGAGGGCGGGCTGACACCAGCAGAGATGGATCCGAATAGGCAGGCGGCGAGCTCAGCGGCGTCCACAAAGAAACGGAGGAAACAGAGTCATCAAGTACGCATTCGACAGCCTCTCTGGGCAGCTTTGGCGAGCACCAAGATCGTCATGGTCAAGGAATACGAGTTGTCACAAGCGACGCAGGAGTCTGCCGGCTCTAACGCAACCGACATTCACAACCTGGGCAACGCACCCTTCTACACGCAGTCTGGACAGATTTGGATCTGCTATGTTGGCTGTGACGAGTTTTGCTTCAACACCAGTCACTTCCCCGATCTGCCTCCCCCCGAAGACAGCGAGGACGATGTCAGTGGAAAGGGCCCGTCTTATATCGACAAGACCAAGCCTTTTTATGTCAGGGTGAATCATGCTATCTGGCAGCCGACACGCATCCTCCCGGTGGACAGCGGAGAGGAGGACGGATCAGCGGGTACGAGGTGGACAGGCGACATCTACGGGCTGACACCCATGTCTAACTACGAATGCGAGTTCGTGAGCACACGTACGGACGAGGTGATCTTCTCGACTAGTATTAGGACCATACCAGCTAAGACCAAGGACGCCGACGTGGCCAAGGTTGCTGGAGCGCCACGCTCGCAGTATCGACACGAGTCTCCCGCCACTACCCTGAGGACCTCGATTGCCGGCCTGGAGGCCAAGCTGAGCGACGAGAAGGCCAAGCTCAAGTCTTCCCGGAAGGAGAACAACCGGAAGACGAATGCGGTCAAGAAGGACATTGACAGGTTGACCTCGCAGGTACAGTCAGCCGGCGGTTCGGATGACAGGCTGAGGCAGAAGGTGGCGCAGAACACGACGCAGCAGAAGCAGGCAGAGCAGGCTATGGAGGAGCTCCAGGGACTGCTCAAGGAGCTGCAGACGATCCCGGAGGAGGTGCTGGCCGGATATCGGGAGAAGCAGGGCCAGTACAACTCGGAGAAGGGCCAGTTCGACCAGGCTCGTACAGCTTTCAAGCGCTTCAAGTCGTCCATGGAACACGAGACCAAGTCTCTGGACGATGAGCAGACAAGCCTGGGTGCCAAGCGGAACAAGATCGCTGCTCGCCTCACCAAGGTCGACGGCGAACATGCACGGATCACAGACGCCAATGCCCGGGGTCTCGACGAGGCCGAGCGCCGTCGACAGGACACGACCAGCTTCGAGGGAGAAGTGGCCCGCAGAGAAAAGGATTTTGCCCAGCGACTGGCGCTTGCGCTCGCCCGCAACCAGGAGAAGCAGCAGGAGGCGGGCAACCTGTCCGCCATGCTTGACAGTGTTCTCAAGACCTTCAAGCAGCCCGACTATCCAGCTTACTACGAGCGTCAGGATCCTGCGGTCTTCAATAATAATGCTGCTGCTGCTGCTGCAGCGCAGTGGCCGCAGTATGCGCAGAATCCTCTCTGGTCCCCATCGCCTGCAGCCGCTCTTCCCGCAGCGACACTCGCTGGGAATACGACTGTCAACCCACTGTACGCGCAGCCCCCCTACCAGCAGTATCAAGGTCCTCCCGGTGGCATGCCGATGCGTCACAAGTCTAGAGGGCGCTCTTCATCGATGCTGAGCGACGTCTCTGGGTTCACTCAGTCGACAAATGAGGATGACGAGGGCGGAAATAACAGTGGCGCCTCCAAGAACACCAGTACTTGGAACTTGAATGGGGCCAACATCACGGGCAACGTGTCGGGCGGCAGCTCCATCAACGTCAACGCTCCACCATTTCTGCCTCCGCAGTCGCACTCTGGCAACCCGAGCCCTTTCGCGCAGTATTCCAAGCCCACCGGCGGAATGCGGAGTCCTCCTGGATTCCCGCCCTTTTCGTCAGGCGCTGGAGTCTTGCGCAAGGGTTCTGGCTGTGGTTCTGGGTTCGCGTCCGGCTCTGGTTCTGGCGGTAGTATGCACAGCGGAAGCGGAAGCAGCCAGGGTAGCAACAAGGATCCCTCGAGTCCGGTGTAAAAACCGGGGCTCGCTGTAGTTTCTCTTTTGATTCTGTACCTGGGGTCTGTTGGTGGTTGTTTTTGTGCCCGCATCTCTGCTGCAAGCCTGCTGCCAGATGTCAGATCGTCATCCTCCTCGTTCTCGTCGACAGAGCGGGTATCATGCGCGCTGCTTGTCGGCTCAAGGGTTGGGAGAAGGTCTGTGGCATCTGTTCCAGGTCATGTCACCACTGGTTTACGTCTGGTCTATCTGTCTATCTGTCTGTCAACAGTCTTTCATGTCTATCCATAGGTAGTAGATTGGATTAGCTAGCGTGTCAAGGTGTGTATATAGCGAGACTTGTGCCGGGTTTTTTCTGTCGAATGCAAACGAGAAAAGTTCTCTTATATCCATCTTGCACCACGGTTGTCCAAGTTCCTTTTTGCTTCGGATTTGCTTGACCTGACCACAGCTTGAACCACGCACAGTGACGCCTTTGAAAAAGTGCCTTTGACTGTGCTCAGCTACAACTAACTTTCCAAACCCGTTGATGACACACTGTCATCTTTGATACAAACCCAGTCATAGAGGCCACCGGTACTGACCTAAAACTCTAGACGATCTCAAACTTCTCTGGTTCCAGGGAACTGAATAGACCCTGAAGATACTCGTCGACCTGTGCTCCCTTTTTGGGCATGCCATGTGGGTTCTTGGTGCGGTGCGTGGTGAAGACCCCAAGGCGTGAGTACCGCTTGACAACAGGGGCAGCACTACCACCATCAGCAGCTGCTGCTGCAGGAGTACAAGGTGGATCGAGCCCGCGAAGGACGAGCCCCAGCGGGCCGTTCAGCTCGTTGGCGCCGGATGTCTCGTTGATAGTGCCGAGGAGCAGAAGATGGACAGGAAACCACGAGGCGTCGTCCCCGTCCAAGTTCTGGGTTTGTTGCGCGCCAGGCAGCACCACGTTGCCGTCGGGCCTGTCGCTCTCGAGAGCGTCAGGAAACATCTGCAGCATGGGGATCTGCTCGACGCCGTGTCCGTCTGTGCAAGACGATCCCTCTCGTGTTGCCGGCAACAACGACACCCTGTGCAGGGAATGGCGCGGCTCAGCCTGTCGCCACGACCACAAAGCACGAAGCATCTTCCCCGACCCCGTGACGCGGCCCTCATGAACCGCACCGCACGGCGCCTCCTCGTCGACGAGCCTGACGTTCACCTCGAGACCCATGGCGGCCTCGTCCCCCAGGTCCATTTCGAACCGCGCAAGGATGAACTCGACGGGGCCGTTGACGCCGGCCCACGACCAGGACGGGCCCTGGTACGCACCGGGCCGCGCCCTGCGTGCCCGCACGTCGATGCGCCAGAGCAGCCACCGCTGCAGCGTGCGCGTCCAGTGGCCGGCCTTGTAGGCGCCGCCGTCGCTCGCCGCACGCATCATGTCGGCGATGCCCGAGATGGCCAGGATGCGGTCCCGAGGGTCCGTCAGGTGCCGCCGCGAGTACTTCTCCACCAGCTGGTAGAACTCGTGCTCGCCCCTGCTGAGGCCAAACAGCCAGCGGTCGCGGCCGTGGCTTTGTTGCTGCTGGTGGCCGGGGTACTGCTGCTGGAGCCGCTGGATGCTGAACTGCGCGCGGAGCTGGGGCTCGTGGCCCGAGGCCTTCCAGCCGTCGGTGGGCTTGTCGGCGCCGAACTGCGTGGCGCAGCACCAGTTTACGTTGTTGGTGGCGAACTCGAGCACGCGCGACGAGAGGAAGGCTTCCTGGAGACACCAGCCGCGGTAGTCGGTGGGCTCTGGCCGGTCTGCCGTCTGGGCGTTGGCTGTGTACACGGGGCCGATTCTGGCGCCGTCTGTCGTGGCGAAGTCCTTGGGGAAGCGGAAGGGGAGCTTGACGGCCAGTTCTTGTTGTTGTTGTTCCGGTGCGGCAGTGGTGGAAGACGAGGGGGAGGAGGAGGAAGAAGAAGAAGAAGAAGAAGAAGAAGAAGAGGAAGAAGAAGAAGAAGAAGGGTGTGGATGGAGGAAACCGTCCACAGCCCTCTCGGCCCGCGCTGCCACGATGGTGATGGCAGCGTTGTGGTAAATCTGGGGCATGAGGGCGATCTGCCGCTGCTTGTCGAGGTTGTCGTCCTGGACGATGCACAAGCTGTCGACCCACAGGAAGCGGTACCCTAGGCTGAGGGTGACCACGATCGCGTCCTGGATGGAGGCCGGCAGGGTGTCCCACAGCAGGCCTACTTGCTCCGAGGCCAGCCTGCTGCGTGTTGTCTTGTGAGGCTGGTCGCCGCCCCAGCAGTAGCTGAGGGCGAGATAGGGCGCTGGGGCTGTTGGGGATGGGAAGCGGATGGCTGCTTGGTAGCCAGCGGTGGTCCTCGTACACTGGGACATCATCGTTTCACCAGGCTGCGGTCAGCTTGGAGTACCTCGGGCATTACATGACCAGTTTCGTTGGCAGGAACAGCAAAGCGTCTCCCTCTACTTACTTCTAGTATCATTCTGGGCATGAATGATGGGCTTGGTTTAGGGCATTTCTCATGGTGCTCAAAGCATTGTTCTGCCCAGCTTCGTGAGAGAGCAAGCGTCTCGTCCGATCCTGGAGATGGATTGATAGGTCGGCAGGTGACAAACTTGTCAGAGCCACTCCCTTGAGAAACGTTGATTTATTAGCAGTGATTCAGATTCATTCAGCCATGTCTCCGTATAAATCCTGCCCGGGGTCCTTGTCACGTCAAAGAAATAACAATCCTCACCGACGGCGGCAAACAATGACATGTAGCCAGATCGTATGCCTGTGAAGTACCCGCCAACATCAACAGACACCCCGGGGTACCACAGGCCGACATAGATCTCCTCCAGATCCCCTCCGCCGATGAGGAGGATGTCAGCGCTGCGAGTCTGCAGCTCCTCCCACCGGTCTCGACGCGCATATGAGTTGGAGGCTGACCATGTTCCGCACAGCCACCTGGCCAGCGAACAAACGGATTGCGCGGCGAGCAAGGTGGCCAGGTTGGGCTCGAAGAAGAAGGTTCCCCGTGGGGCTTTCAGGTCTGTTGACGAGGGGTGGTGGGTATTTTCGAAATCTATGACCATGCCCTGGCAGAATTGACAATGGTGATACTCGGATAGATATGCCAGCGGGGCCATTTTTTCCCCTTTGTCCCAGCCGTTTTGACTATTGATACTGAGTGCACGAGAGTTCCTTCATAGAGTCTGTGGTGATGAGTGAGTAGCTAAGTAGGTAAAGCAATATGCAGTTGACAAAGGATTATTGTTATCAAGAAATGAAGCATACCGTTATATATGAATACCTGTCACTGTCACTGTCAAATGGAGGCTTGGTTGCCGTTTTACTTGGATGGATAAGTAGCAACTAAGGTATACAAAAGTCAATAGTGTCTACGAAAAGCCAGGCTCTACTATCCCATGATGCCAGTATATTAGATAAGCGCTTATAAACATTTTTTCCGATGAGGGGTCAAGAGGCGCAGCCGGACTCAGCGCGGATGTTTGAACCGCTTGATATTGCTGCATCCTGCTCGTCATAAAAGACCAAACCCGCATTGTCTGTCGGCCCTGGGGAACAACCTGTATGTGTCGTCCCTGGCTTGGAAGATCTGCTGGGTGATACACTGATATCCATCCATAAGCTGTGGGAAGCACTCTCTCAGAATAATATTGCAGCAGTATTCACAATGTGTAATCAACAACTGAAAGAATCCGTGGATGATCGTGTTTAACCACAACAGCGTTCACCAGGGAAACAGCCATAGCTAAGTGCTCAAGTAGGCAGTCAACGACAACAGCATAGAGGGTGTGATATGTAGGGCTGTCTCCCAGCTACATGTACATTTTGACCCTGACTGTCCTGATGTTCTAGAGCTATTGCTTGTCCTTGGTCATATCGACGTTAATTATGCAGGACCCATCTAAATTGTTTGACAGTAAAGACCGTCAAGACGAGTCAGATTCTCCCAGAGCAAACCCAGTATGTGACTCTTGCAGACTCATGAGCTCTCTAACTCATGAGCTCTCTAAACCACTGGAATCAAGATAACCCATAATTAGCACAAGCTGGCTTGTCTCCTAGAAGATAAAAACCCAAGCCAACGTATTGCCCACTCTCAACTTGACAATCGTGAATACATTATCATAATTATTCCTCGGTAAACCCCCCGTTAACATAGGATTTCTTTCATGCGTTTGGAAGAAAGCTTGCCGACTGGTCCTAACAATGTCTGCTGCAGCTGGAGATATGGCCGCCCTCTTCCTGGGAGGCTTTGGTACATGTCTGCTTATCCTAGCCGTGTGCTGTTTCTATGAGGTGATTAGTTTCAACGAGAGACCACAGCATTGTTACTTGTGTGGAGTGGACATTTGCAGTTACCTGTGGTGTGGTGGCCGGCCGAGACGGTTGGTGGTTGGAGAGCAGGTCTGAGCCAATGGGATAATATTGATCTAGGTCTATCTTCGTCTGATGAGAGCAAGAAGGTCGTAATTAGGAAATAGGAAATAGACCATTAATATATATAGTCAAGTCGTGTGGCATTTGATGGTACTGCCTTCTTATCATACCTTTATTCATGCTCAAATCATATATAACGGGACTGGTTTAAAGTGTCTGAAACTATAGGCAGAGCGTAACTCTCTCATGGAGTATTCATGACAAGAGGCCAGCATACGCACACAAGTCACAGCACAAGACATTCTTTCGAAACAAAGTAATATCAGGGGAAAGATCATTTCTTTTGGATTCTCTCTACCTGCTTTTGATGTGCTCCGCGCTAGCTATCGAGGTTCCGCCATATCTCAGGAACGATTTTCCTTCCAAGTACTTGCGTCCGCATCATCAGCGCCACTGCGATGGGCGTGTGGGAAGATGTTCTCTCTTTGTTCCACTCATCGGCTTACATCGGCGCAGCGATCGAGTGGATCGCTTAGTAGTTGAACTGAGAGTCGTGGTCACTGTGTAAAGGGGAAACACCACCTGGTCAGCATGACTGATATTGCAATAACCACAAAGAAGTTGCGATGATTCACAACTCAGTGGTAAAAGGGGACGAGGCTTGGGGTTTTAAACTTACGGGTGCCACTCGTCCTTGTCAGCGTACTGAGAGTCGTACAGCTTCTCGGCGTGACGCTTGGCCTCCCACTTGGCCTTCTCGGTGTCGACAAAGTCGGCACCCTTGGTCTGGATGAGGCGCTCGGCCTCACCGGCAGCAAGACCGGCGAGGATCTCCTTGGCAACACCGTGGGAGACGGGCTTGCCCTCAGAACGCTGCTTGTTCTCGTAGGCGCGCATGGCAGCGAAGCCAGCGGCGGCACCCAGAGACTCGTTCAGGAGGGAGGCCTCGTGCTTGGGGGGCTCACCGCTCTCCCAGGCATCGCTCTGCTCCTTGGCACTGCCTATTGCGGGTTGTCAGCACTGGGCTTCCTGTATCCAACCCTCACCAACTGAGGAGGTTGTAACATGTTCTTGTGCGTGGGTGGGTGCGTGGGTGGGTGGGAGAAGGGGGCAAGGAGGAGAGGAGAGGGGTGGATGAGGCGTCGATAGAGGATGAAGAGGGCTGGGAGGGAAGCGTACCGAAGTCGAAGAAACCCATTTTGAATGATAGTTTGGATGAAGAAGTAGAAGATTTGGTAGCAGTTTTGTTGTTATGAGGGTGGATGAGAAGTCAAGAAAACGATACTGAGGGGTGAGGAGGGAGGGGGAAGGAGCTATATATAATCAAAAGTCCTCTCCGAGGAGGGACGACCCCTCTTCTCCTTTTTGCCCTTGTTTCTACTACCTAAGCTGCATCCCCACCACCTCTGACATGTGCGGCACCCTGTGTGTGTCTCCCTCTCTCCTTGGAGGGTGAGACGCTCGAGTGGAGGCCCTGGTTTGGGACCTGGTCGGTGTAAACACACGAAGCACTGCCCCTCTAGTTGCTACGCTGGGGATGGGCAATCATGCTTTAGCTTCATGCTCATGATGAAAGATCCAGGGATGACGCCGCAGTGGCCCCCAGCCAGTTGAAAGACGTAATGTGGGCTCCACTCTGAGCAACCCCTCGCGCCGTGCCAGAACCTATAACGAGGCACCTTGAGGGTCGGGGGCGTGGACGGACCCTCGGGTCCACTGGTCGTGGAGAGCTTGACCTACCACTCCTCCCACCCTCCCAAGTTTAACACACACATCATCGTCATCCCGCGTTCCTGCGGGAGTGGCTGCAATGGCCTGATGGTACAGAGCTGAAAGATCCAAGGGGGGAAGGGGGCCAATTGGGGCGGTTACAGAGTGTGCAAGCGTGCTTGACGCGGCCGTTGATCGTATGTGCATTGTCATTGTGTGCGTGTGTGAGTGGGATACAAGGAGAGCACGAAGCTCGCCTGGCTCGGTAGACGGTGACAGGACTGATCGCCCGGTGCCTGTTGTGCCCTCCTCCTGGGGCTGTGGATGGATCTAGATCTGCAGCCGTACGAGTTTCGAAGGGTCGTGGAACTCAGACCATGCCATCATAGGCCTCGCTCTGCGAACCCCTCCTACAACCGCGCCATCGGCCCCCCTCCCCCAAAACTCAATACTATGGTACTTTTGGGGGGGGGGGGGACCGACAATTGCCGCTGCTCTCGTATTCTGTCGAAGATGTGAACAGTTCAGGAAGTGGAGACCCAAACTTGTTTACTTTCTTTCTTCCTCTCCTCTCTTTCGCAACCCTGGCAGGACACTGTGGCAACAAGAAACACAACACAAAGGGGGGGGGGAGCTTGTTTCCTGAGCACTTTCCAAGGAAAGTTGACGTGAAGCTTGCTTTGGCCCGTGGAGGAGCCGAGCCACGCCATGGAGGGGTAGCTCTCCACCATGGTGGGCCCTTGGAACATGCTGGCTCTAGACCGCACTGCATCAAGCAAGGTGTATTGAATTATGGTATAGTCTAAATCCACTGGGGCTTATGACTGCTGCTGCAGCCAGCATGCAGTCCTAGCCTGGAGTGATGGACCAATTTGGCAACGCTGGCAACGCTGGCTGGCTGGCAGAAGCTCACAGGAGAGCTCGCCTTGCTGGCGTCTCCTGGGCCTGCCCATAGATAATACTTTGAAACATTGTGGCTGTCAAGATCAAATGAGAAGACCCGGGGAGGGAACCAAGACAGGCCAACCAGGACTGCCACGACCACAACCACGAACTTACCCGAACGGCACACATGATCCGTTAGCCATAGTCAATTTCCCGCCATGTTGTAGCTTGTTCGTATTAACCCGACAAAGTAGTAGCACCCGCGAGAATAATCTGGGGCAGGGACCAGGGAGCTTCAGTGAGTTGGTAGTCAGGCAATTGGCCGTCGTAGGCATGGATCCATATTCTGCTGCAGCAACAGACGTGGTTAGGTGCCTTTGGTGCTCTATGCACCATGCATAGAAAACAAGGTATGTGAATCAAGGAGACACAATCCTCAACGTGGACGAATGAGGCCTCTTAGGCTTTGCCACTTGGTCGCCGCGCCCCGGGTCGGTTGGCTCTCTGGCGTGCTTGCTCAGTTTGCGCCCGCATATGTGACGAGCTTCGTCGTGGGGAACTCATGTGGAGGGGGGTCGAATAGCGGTGACAAGCTTCATTTGAGCTTCCTGCGACCTCGTTGGACACCAGCAAGATTCCAGGGGGCGTGATTGATGTCACAGCCAGATTCAGCTCTCTGGTTCTCCTCTGGCCCCCTCCACATGAGGTGATGGATTGGGCGGCTGTTTCATGCGGGACGAAAACGCAACGTCGCGGGACCAAATCCCAGGTGCAACGCGACACTATGTCATCGTCATGCTCCTAAAGGGAGACAGAGTTGAGGAGGGGCGGGCGGCCGCTGCGCGCAGATGTGGGTGTCCAATCCGTGGCCCCAGATGGCCCTGTGCTGGGTAGGAGGCCCCAGTCTCTAGCAGAACAGGTGGGTTCCATAGAAGAGAGGGCTAAGAGGTCAATCAATCAATCAATGTCATGCTGGTCGCCTAGTTGTTGGCCCCACGCAGCCGCTGGACCCCTGAGGAAAATACCCCTTGGCGAACGAGCTTGTCTTGCTGGGTACCGGCAGTCAGGGGCTACCGAGCACCGATGTTGCAGAGCTATGTGACTTGCAGGATCGCCCAATATTTGACTCGCCGCAGACGCCCGTTTTATGCACAGCCATGGGCGGCATCAAAATTCGAGAGGCCACCAGCAGAGCTCAGCCATACACACTGTATTAGCTGTACACTGGATGCTGCTCCACAGGCTGTGGACGATCGCACAAGTGTGACGTTCCAATGTTTTGTATTGATACGCAGGTAATCAATGCTGAAGTCCCTTTGATGCAATTGCTGATAATCTTCTTCCGCAGCTTGGCAGCAACTTGGCATTGTCTTGGTTCCCGCCGCAACGTTAGCAACCCGCTGGTTAGACACTTGGCCAAGCTAGCCAAGCCTTCTGGAACAAGAGTTCCTGGGGAAGGAAGAGAGACTGCTTGCCGTTGACGATCGTCGATCATGCTTCGTAGTGAAAAAGATCCGAGAAAGGGCCAGACATGCTGCTCTGAACCGGGAATTTTCCCTTCCACAACGGTAGCGGAGCGAGGGAGCTGCTGCATGGTTAGGTTCTGATAGATATGTGTCTGTGGCTGACCTGGAAGCGCTGTCCATGCCCCAAGAGTGGTGGTCGCATCGAAGGTCGCATCGCATCGCATGATTCAAGCCTAGAATCCTGCACACCTGCAGCTTCCGATGCTCAAATTAGGTCCATGATTTGCAATCATGCCTCCAAAAAAGAACAATGCCCCCCAATAAAGGGTGGTGGTGACAGTCAAAAAGGCTGCTAACCATTAAGTGTCAAACAGCGCCAAGGATGGAAGGGATGTCGCATCTTGACATCTTAATTGAGCGTGTTAAGATCAAGTAAGCATCTTTGCGTAAGTTTGACGATGGTTCAGAATAGTTGCAATTGATTCCTCAGTGGCCTCTGACAGGCGTCAGCCAGCACGTCTGTGAAACTGATGATGTGCTGTCTCTTTTGGTGTACATCCTGCCTGGAAGAATTTCTCCCTTTGACTTTGGTAAACGGTAGATGAGAAAGAGGAATTGGAAGGTTCCTTTGAGAGCAAAACTCTCGGGAAGGTACTACACAGCAAAGAGAGAAGTGGCAGTCGAGCCCCCCCCCCCGCCCCTGGCTTTTCGAGGGGCTACCCCGCAATAGCCTTGCATGTAAAGTACCTGTGCTACCTTGCAGCCTTATCGCAGATTAGAAAATTTTCAGATAAGACTTCCAAACATGGTCGAATACCAAGTAATCATTTCGTGACTGGACTGTCCTAATCGAATTACCTATTCATGCGCAAATTGGAACCATGGAAGAAATAAGGCAAAAACCATCCATTACAAAACCAGCACTTGCCAATGAGGCAGACGACATGCTGCAAAAGGAGTCTCCATTCCTCCACCCGGGTTCCGTAACCAGGGCGAATACGCTGGCAATCGTCCAGCTCGCCAAAGACGACCTCGTCCCCGTCTACCTTCGGCAGTCCCAAGGCGAACACGATGGCTACAAGGAGGGACACGTCCTCAACACGCGATTCGGCTCGTTTCCGCACTCGACGTTGATTGGTATCCCATGGGGCTCCCAGGTCCGCGCTTCCAATGTCGACACGGGCTCGCGAGGCCGCAAGAAGAAGAACGACCAACAGCAGATCAAAAAGGAGGGAGAAGATTCTGCACTGCATAGCTCCGAGAATAGGAATGGCCACGTAGAAGGTGGATATACAGAGCTCAAGCGCAAGCGAGACGCCAGTGACGAGGGTGAGAAGCGAACCAAGAGCGAACCAGACGAGCCAGCCAAGGCGGCTGAGGCCCAGGACCACACAGCAACTGAACAGACTCAAGCAGCAACCGCAGAGAAGGAAGACGAAGAGGAACAAGAACAAGAAACGATGCAGCAGGTGCCCGCACAAAAGCAGCAGCAGAAGGGCAATACAACCGCCGCGAAGAGCGGATTCATCCACATCCTCCCGCCCACGCCTGAGATATGGACAAGCAGTCTTCCCCACCGCACACAGGTTGTCTACACCCCCGATTACAGCTATGTTCTCCAGCGGATACGGGCACGGCCGGGCACGAGGCTCATCGAGGCGGGTTCCGGCTCTGGCAGCTTTACGCACGCGTCGGCGCGGGCTGTCTACGATGGTTGCACCGGCTACCACGACGAGCCCCAGCCCACGGGCAAGGTATTCAGCTTCGAGTTTCATGAGCAGCGCTTCGAGAAGATGAAAAAGGAGCTGCAAGAGCATGGACTGAGCAGTCTGGTTGAGCTCAACCACCGCGACGTCTATAACGAAGGCTTTCTGGTGGACGGCAAGAGCCCCGAGGCCGACGCAGTGTTTCTCGACCTGCCGGCACCATGGCTGGCGCTGCCTCACTTGTCAAGAAGAAGGCCCAAGACGGGAAATGAGATGGAGGGCGTGGAAGGTCGACAGGAGGAGTGGATCTCCCCTCTCAACCCCAACAAAAGCGCTTATATTTGCACGTTCTCGCCCTGCATCGAGCAAGTCACGCGCACGGTGTCGGAGATGCGCAAGCTTGGCTGGGTCGACATTGAGATGGTTGAGATCTCGCACAAACGCGTCCAGGTATTCCGTGAGAAGATCGGCCTGAATATCGTTTCTGAACGGGGCATGCAACAGGCGCCTAAGGATGTCTCCGAGGCATTGGAGAGGCTGAAGGAGATCGAGGTCAAGGCTGCGGAGCACAATGCCAAGATGCTGGCCCAGCATAGTCACAAGAAGGTTGAGGATGACGATGATGACGATGATGAAGTCAGTACGAAGAAGGGTGACGCAAGAACGCAATCTGCAGCGACCCATGTGAACGGGACCCATGGGAAGGTCGGAGCTGTCGAGGAGGAAAACAAGGATACAGCCGTCAAGCCCTTTATGCAAGGACGCCTCGTCACCCGCGGCGAGGCAGAGATCAAGGCTCACACCTCCTACCTAGTCTTTGCGATCCTGCCGCGCGAGTGGACCGAGGAGGACGAGGCTGCTGCAGCAGCGAAGTGGCCCATTGGCAACGAGCAAAAGGTGATTGGTGCTGTGGACCGGGCCGCGCGTAAGCAACAGAAGCGTGAGCAGATGCACGGCAATCGTCAGAAGAACAACAAGATGAAGGAGGACGGCAGAGCAAAGGGTCGGGCGAAGGCGGCAGGAGGCAAAAATGAAGATGGCATGATGACGGCTCAGGCCGAGCAGCCTTCGAAAGAGACCAGGCAAGCCCAAACCCTAGATGCATAGATTCTTGACAACTGAATTGATACCCATACAGCTTGCATCCGAGCTCGCAGCTTTATAGTTCAGCCTCATACGCCCCCCCTCCCCCCTTTCCTCAGCCCTACTTTCCCTTGTCGACTGTTTCGTCCCGCGCGGCAGCAATGCGACATCTCCAAGTCCCTCCTCTCTAGCTAATATCAAAGCTTACTACTCTGCGTGTCCCCAGCTCCACTCCGGCGCGACCTCCCGTGGCCCTTTTGGTGGTATATACGCATGCGCGGAATCGCTAGACTCTGCCTCGTCCAGCACTTGATTGGGCCCTGCTGCTTCTGCCTCCCGAGCTTCCTTATCTTTTTTCACAATCCGCTTCAACGCCTGTCGGCTGAACACGTCTTTCAGCTTTTTGGTGCGCGGGGACTGTAGATCAAGGTCTGCAAAGGACGTGAATGTTTTTGGGGAGGGCTCGGGGGCAACGTTCTCGGCGTCTGGCGTCCTTGCTGCAGGAGTTTGGTCTGCTTGACGAGGACTATCGAGTACCGAGGGAGATTCGGATGCTGCGGCATGCAACGGAGGCGAGAGCTCCGCTGGCACATGAGGTTTGCTTCTCGACGGCTCTGAAGACATCTTGAGAAAGCCAGAGGGCCGCTGTGGGATCCCGACGGGCGCGGGAGGGACCTGCGCTCTGTTCACCAGAACATAGCGCTCTGGTGAGGTTTGCCCTCCCTCTTTCTCCATCGACGGCACATTCCACGGCTGTGAGGGTGGATGAGGCCCGGGTCTCAGGGACATCCTTGCTGTTGGTGTACCAGAGACACAGGCTTGGTGCGTAAGACCAAGCGGCTGAGGTGGCGATAACGGCGGGCTTTCACCCGAAGAGAAGTGAGTACGCTGCGGTAAACGAAGTGGTCGCACATGGTCGTCTGGGCTCGGCATCACAAACCCTTCTCCCTCAAATTTACTCACGACGAGAGACTGAGAATGTCCTCTCCTCCCAGCCGGGACCTGCGGTGGCCTAGAGGGTTGAAAGGCTCTATACTTTTCATCGCCGCCAAGTCCTGAGGGGGCCAGAGTGGGTGTGGGCTCTGATCCTGCTGCTGGTGGACTTGTCGACCCTCTGCTGGGAACAGGTGGTTGACTTGACCGCCGAGGACCGGGTCTCAACACTGAAGGGACGTGGCTGATTTGCGCCGCTGTGGGAAATGTCGACTGTCGGAACCCGTGTTGTGTATGTAGAGAGAGGGCTGGCTTCGTATGGGGTGGCTCCTGCTCCAGTGGCAGCTTTGGTGGAATCATGGGGACTTGGGCTCGTTGTGATGGGAGATCCGTGCGAGTGTTCACTCTTGACGGTGGCTCAGACGTGCGACCACCAGGCACTCCTCCTCCTACAGGTGGCCCGAACGACTTTTGCTGGTATGCGTCGAGAGGCCTGCCCTCCAGCTCAGCCTGAACCGTCACGGTACGATGCTCGTCAGAGCCCCTCTGCGAACTTCGCTCCTTCACTGGAAAATCCTTCTCGTCCCCTGGGCTCCTCTCAGCAGCCGGCAATTCAACAGGATATTGATTCTCCAGATTAGGCACTGGCACAGGCTCCAACCACGTCGCCGCAGTGTCGGGCAGCTCCACTGGCGGCGGATTGGTCTCCTCCGCGCAGAGCGCCGTCGACTCACTCACGAGCTCCGGAACCCTTCCGAGGGGCGGTGGTATGACCTCTCTGCCGTCTAGCATCGGGATGCTGTCCGGTGTTGGTTGTAGTTGTGGTTGCGGTTCGTCATCGTGGGCCTGGCTGCTGTCTGCCGTCTGGTCGAACGGCCTGGTCGGCTCTGTCTCGGCAGGGTGCTTTGGGCGTCTCGTCCTTGAGCTCTGCGGTCCTGCACCGTCGGGCACGGACATGTCGCTCTTATTGAATGTCATGGTCCCCGTGGAGAGCTCGCTGACAGAGGCAGGAGGCGGGGTGACCACCCCAGCACTTGTTGTAGGAGGAGTAACGCTGCTCAATGATGTTCGAGCCCTTGCTGCTGCCACTGAATCGTCTCCCTGCTCCTCTTCCTGCTGCGCCGTGCTAGCGACATCGTCCCAAGCACCAGGACCAAAATACCCAAAATTACAAAAGTCGATAGTCCCGCCACATTCATCGTCATTCTCTTGGGTCCTTTCTCTCGTGCTCTTGCCTCCCGAAGCAGCGACCGTCGTTTCTCTTGTCCCGCTTCTCTTCACTTGCCTCTCGCTCTCGAGCCTCTCCTCCGGTAGCAGCTCGCCGGTGGGTATCACGACATGATCCAGAGCGATGCCGCTGAAGCCTGCAAAGTCGGGCCACTCGTCGCCTTCCTTGGGGAAGGTGTACTGGGTGTGGTTGGTCGCCTCGTAGATATAGAACCATCGCTTGCCGTCGTAGTCGGATACCCAGCCGGGCGGGAGGGTGGCCATGCCTTTCTTCCACCTTGGGGCTTCGAAAAGCCGGAAGTAGAGAAAGGGGCAATACAGCTAGGAAAGGGCGCAAGGACAAACTGCTGTTCTTGAAACAAGGCTGCCACGAGTTCTCTCCCCTCAGCTCCCTCCCCTTGCTTTGGTTTGTGTAAATCAGAGTCGAGTGCAAAGATGGGTGGGCGGAAGGCAGCTCATTCCCAGGCTCTCAACAATTCCGCATGATCATCATCAGCGCTCGCCGCAGAGACAAGGTGAGTATGGCTTTCGTAGCTTCAACCATCACCTTCAAAAGGAGAAGAAAGGTGACAACACCGCCACACGAAGTGGAAGAAACGTTTCGGCATTCATTATCATGGTGGTAAAAGGGCTTGGGTGCAGAGCGGGTCCGAACTTGGCATCGTGTGCGGCTGAATTGGGCTCAGCTCTCTTTTCCATTCGCACACGGGGGGGACGCCACGTTTCTTGGATGGCGTCCTTTTGCCATTCCTAGAAAAGACAACTATGAGAGGACCATGTCGTTTCTGGAGGGTCCCGGAATTCGTTCCGTGACATGGGGTCGGTTGTGAGTATCCCCTTGTTCCGCTGATGCTGAGCGGACAAGAATAGCAGAGTCGGCTTGCAGATTATCTACTTACTTACCCAAGGCATTGCATACATGCTTGGACTATTCTTACTATTGTGAACTATGTGAATCTTGTCCTTTCCTAAAAGGGCTCAACTGACTCGTTATTCTGGCTCCCTTGCGATGGACCTGTCAATATTGACATGTTCTTTCACCAGCATCATATCCAGAGAGGCTTCACACAAGTTCCTAGATTAGCCAGTTTACAGGCCCAACTCAAGGCTCACATCCCCCTCCTCTTAATCCAAACCTCTTTCTCCTCCCCCGTCTCATCTTCGTCACCAGCAGCAGCCCTGGTCCTACAAGGCCGCCGCAACTGGACCTCCCAGACCCCCAGGCGATAATCCCCCCGGTCCCCCGCCCCCGTCGACAGCTCAAACGCATAGCTGTGGCCCCGACACCGGATCCCCCGCCCCAGCACCCTCCCCGCGTCCTCAATGTCAAACGGCCGGCCCCACGACAGGCTGTAGGCCCGGTGCGGACAGGCGTGGTCGACGGCGTGGAAGCGGCCCTTGTACTGGAAGACGAGGACCTGTTCCCTCATGACCCAGGCATCCTCGCCTGCTGCTGCGTCTAGGTCGATCTCCTGTGCTGACACAACGGGGCATCCTTCTTCATCTCCTTCATCTCCTCCGCCTCCACCTTCCCGGCGAGAATGCTTCTGCTTTGGGTGGAAGACCTTGCAGCCTGGAAGAGGGGGTGGAGGAGGAGGGCCATCGTCACCACCACCTCCTTCCCCTTCCCTTGTCCCTCCTCTTTGACGATGTTGGCGCGGTTGGGGCCAGGCTAGCTTGAAGTAGGGCTCGCTCGAGTCGGTTATGTCTGGATAGGAGGAGGCTAGCCCTGCAAAGAACCATTCGTTGTCTTCTCGTGCATTATTCTGGGGAGCAGGTGAAGCCGGCGTGGCCATCGTGAGCCAAAGTCACAGTTGAGTAAGTTAGGTGAGCGTGGAGACACTGACTCCTCTCGGGAGACGGGCAGGACTATGGTATGCGTATAATCATAAGCTTTCGTATTTCCTTTTTTTTCCTTCCCCCCCCTTTATATTCTTTCTCTGCCCCATCTCAATCTATACCAAGCTGAGCGCTGAGCGATGTTTCCCGAGGCTGTCTACTGCACTTGAGCTCCGTTCGCACCGCGGGTCGGAAACAGTTGAGGCAATCTTCGCCGACATTGACCTTGTTATAGACTGAGCCCCATCGTTAGTCGCGACAACGTACTGTAGCTCAAGATGACAAGTCCGAATATCAACAAAGAAAATCATTTCTTCTACCTCGTTCTGAATCTGAATCTTCTTCATGCAATCATTTCCAAGCCTCGTAGTTGCGCCTGCGACATCATGTCTGTAGTTGAGCTGGACCCCACGTAGCGCCTATTTACTTACGTACTACTGAGAAGTAAGTACCAAGTACTACAGCTAATCCACTACAGCGCATGCTGGAAAACTTGCAGCTATTCCTTTCAATTCCACCGCAGAGCAACAGACAAACGTCAACCCCCTCCCTTCCCTTCCCTCGTCCAGCCCTCCTTTCCCATCATCTTGGGAAAGTCTTGAAGGTCAATTCTAGAGAACCCCCCTTTACCAAGATGCCAAAGCTACGCCTCCCACCATCTCTACGCCCGCCCACGACCGCGCCCACCCTCTCCTCCCACGGCTCCCCGCGCACCCGCCTCAGCAACATGCTCACAAGAAGAAGAAGATACAACAACAGCACCAACAAACCCCCCACCTCGCCGCAGACCTCCGACCGCGCCAACCGCGTCCTGGCCCGCCTCCCGCGCTCTATGCAGCGCTACACAACCGCCCTGCGCAATGCCCCCGTCTCCCACGTCGCCGCCTTCCTGGTCCTGCACGAGCTGACCGCCATCGTCCCGCTGTTCGCCCTGTTCGGCCTGTTCCACTACACGGACTATGTGCCGCTTGACTACATGCTGGGCCACTATGGGGGCTACGTGCGGGACGGAATGGCGCGGTTTGAGCGGTACTTTCGGCGGAAGGGCTGGTTTGGATTTGATGAACAGGAGGAGGGACGGCAGTTGGGCAAGGGGGAGGAGGGGGAGGAGCAGGAGACTGTCATGGACCGGTGGGAGAGTCCGGATGGCAAGTACAAGATCGTCGTCGAGGTGGCGCTGGCTTATGCGATTACGAAGGCCCTACTGCCGGTACGAATAGTGGGCAGCCTCTGGGCTACACCCTGGTTTGCTGGGTTGTTTGCCAGAATACGAGGTGTTGCATCCAGAAAATAACAGGCAGACTGGGACAATATCATTACGCTCCCAGCAAAATCTTGTTGTTTGTTGTCCTGCTTATGACTTCGAGATTCTTTTGTTATTTTTTTTTTGTATCCCGTCCCTTTTCTATCCGGCTCCTAAGAAGGCACTAGATCGTCACAGTCTAGCCAATTTAAGCCTTCTCATAGACCCAGTCGAACTGGGCAGCCTTGTAGCTGACCACCTCGCCATCCTTGAACCAGAGGGCGATCTCCTTCTGGGCGTTCTCGACGCTGTCGGAGCCGTGGCAGACGTTGCGGCCGACGTCAATGGAGAAGTCGCCACGGATGGTGCCGGGGGCGGAAGCCAGGGGGTTGGTGGCGCCGAGGAGGACTGTACGAGTGGTTTGTTAGACAAGTCTCAAAGTTCAGGAGTATACAAATAGCTGCTCTTAGGGATGGGTTGGATCCTTGTACGTACCACGGCCAGTCTTGACGGCATCACGGCCCTCCCAGACCATGGCGCAGATGGGGCCGCTCATCATGTCTATTCGGCATTGTTAGCTGTGCACGCAGCCTCCATAGGGGTGTAATTGGCAATATAGACATACAGGACAGCAGACCAGGGAAGAAGGGCTTCTCCTTGAGGTCGGCGTCTGAAAGGCGGTCAGCAGAAACCTTTTGGTGGGGCGGCGATGGCGGGGTAGCTTCGCAAAGGGGTTTTGGCAGCTTTCACGGACAGTGAGTCTCGAGGTGCTCCTTGGAGGGAGTGACGAGCTTGATGGCAGCGAGCTTGTAGCTGGAAATCAAATGCTGTCAGTACATGAATGTCACTGCAATCGGACTGAAGCCTTCAGTCAAGGTAGTATGGCGAGATAACATACCCACGCTGCTCGAAGCGCTGGATGATGGGTCCAACGAGGCCACGCTACGGAAAATGGTATTAGTTTCGACACAACGCCCTAGACAGCTGGGTGAGTGTTCAATATGCATACCTGGACACCATCAGGCTTGATGGCAATGAAGCTATAGAAGGTATGTCAGCCAATTGTGTGTTCCTCAAGGTGCTGCAGAGCATCATGTAGGCGCTTAAGGCGGATGGGGGGAGGAATTGGTATGACAAGACTTGGTGAAACAAAAGGGACTCACGTTTGCTCGCTGGCAGACATTGTGGATTTCTGGATTGATTCTGTAGTAGGAACAGAAGAGAAGGTCTCGGTGACGGTAGTTGTGAGAGTCTCGAAGACAACAGAAGTGGGTGGCTTGGTGGTTGAGAGGTTGAAGACCTGGGATGTGCCAGAACTGTAGAAGAAATTTCGAAAAAGGACACCGGCTACGAGAGCCAGTAGCATGGCGACCAGTGGAGGTGGGGGCACCAGCTTGGGCCTGGGCCTAGTAGTGGGCTTGTTGTTGTCGCTGCCACGGGCACCAGCAGCCGCTGCCCCCGGCCTGGCCCTGGACCCTGCAGGGCTTTGTTGGCCTTGCATGTCTCCTCCTTCTTCCAGGCTTGCTGCACCACTGCTGGTTCGATGTGAGGCTTGGACTCTATGCTGCCAATCCTCCACCTCGGGTTGATTCACCATGGCCTCCTTGCCCACGCAGCTATCCTGGTGCCAAGCTACCAAACCTGAGAGTGTATGTGTGTGTGAGGGGCGAAGTCGTGTTGGAAGAGAGGAAGGAAGCAATCCAAGGCTGGGCTTCGAATCCGGACAGCAGGACCTCGTGAAGAATGGTTACAGATTACTCAAGAACAACTCAGAGTGTCCATGAGCATACAGTAGTAGCTCAACCACGTCACATTCCAAGAAGCAAGCCAAGAATTCCTCCACTCGGTCCATAAAGATAATAAAAGAGGTTCGATCGACTGGCGGGCGTGAGCGACCGTTTCTAGGTGCAACGGTAAATGGCGGTGGTGGGTTAGGGTCTTGGAGCCAGCAGCAGAGCAGGGGCCCAAGGGTTTTAGGTTCTTGCCTGCCCTGTGCTACGTACCGTAATAGTGGAAGGACAGCTTGAACACGGACCTTCGATAACGGCCAGCTTGAACCTCGACAACTAAACAACATCTATCCTCTCTTGGCACCAAGTCTTGATGGTTGCCTGGAAGAGAATCTCTTCAATTCAAGACCAATTTCCAAACCTCCTGTGACAAATTGTCTAGAAGACAATTGACAGGAGACGATTCTTGAAGTGCAGTGTCGCATAGCCTAGCTTTCCTTTTTAACTTACTTGCTCTGGTTCCCCTCCGTCGGTTTTCTGGGGCGTTTTCGACAAAGTGCCGTTTGACGGCGTCACTTGCCAGCCATGCTCGTCCCACGGCTGTCCCAAAGGTGGACAGCCTACTTCTGCTTCCTTGCTATCATCTGCTCCTTGATCGCCCCTGCCGGTATGATCTCTATATTCAGTAACCCAAACCCGAGCTGCTTGATGTGATCCGACTGACAAGACGACTCTCCTCCAGTCACGGTCAAGGAACATGATTTTAAGAAATGCGACCAGTCCGGCTTCTGCAAACGAAATCGAGCCTACGCAGATAACGCATTAGGATCGGCGTCCTGGGAAACACCCTACAAGATCCTCCCCGAGTCCACATCTTTCAAAGATGGTCAATTGCAGGCCGTCATCCTCAAGACTATCAACGCACAGGGTGACACTGTCCGATTGCCCATTACCGTGTCCTTCCTGCAGTCCGGGGTCGCCCGCGTTACAGTGGACGAAGAGAAGAGGCAAAAGGGGGAGATCGAGCTCCGACACAACAGCCAAGCCCGCAAGGAACGATACAATGAAGCCGAGAAGTGGGCCATCGTCGGTGGCACGGCGCTTGACAAGGAGGCCAAGGTCGTATTCGAGGACAAGACGCAGACGACCGTCCAGTACGGACCTGACGCCAAGTTCGAGGCCGCCATCAAGTTTTCTCCCTTCAGTGTCGACTTCAGGAGGGATGGCAGCTCCCAGGTCAAGCTCAACGACCGGGGTCTGTTGAATCTGGAGCACTGGAGGCCCAAGGTCGACAAGCCTGAGCCGGAGAAGAAGGAGGGCGAGACCGATGCAGAGGGCGAGAAGAAAGAGGAAGAGCCCAAGGGTGAGGATGAGAGCACCTGGTGGGACGAGAAGTTCGGTGGCAATACCGACTCGAAGCCTCGTGGCCCGGAGAGTGTCGCTCTTGATATTTCCTTTGTGGGTTACGACCACGTCTTCGGCATTCCAGAGCATACCGGACCCTTGTCACTGAGGGAGACCCGTGGTGGCGAGGGTAACTTCGAGGAGCCGTACAGGCTGTACAATTCGGATGTCTTTGAGTACATCCTCAACAGCCCCATGACCCTCTACGGAGCCATCCCTTTCATGCAGGCTCACAAGAAGGACTCATCGGTCGGCGTCTTCTGGCTAAGCGGTGCAGAGACCTGGGTCGACATCACCAAGGAGAAAGGGACCAAGAACCCTCTCGCCATCGGCGCCCCTTCCAAGACGACCACCAATACCCACTGGATCTCTGAAAGCGGTCTTCTGGATGTCTTCGTCTTCCTTGGCCCGACTCCTCAGGACCTCACCAGGAGTTACGGCGAGCTCACTGGTACCACCGCCATGCCTCAGGAATTTGCCATTGGATACCACCAGTGCCGCTGGAACTACGTGTCCGACGACGATGTGAAGGACGTTGATCGTAAGATGGACAAGTTCAAGATCCCATACGACGTCATCTGGCTTGACATCGAGTACACTGATGGCAAGAAGTACTTCACCTGGGATAACCATATGTTCAAGGATCCTATCGGCATGGGCAAGCAGCTGGACGCCAGTGGGCGGAAGCTGGTCACCATCATTGACCCACACATCAAGAATGAGAACGACTACTCGGTGGTCTCCCAGCTCAAGTCCAAGGATCTGGCCGTCCATAACAAAGATGGCAACATTTATGAGGGCTGGTGCTGGCCTGGCTCCTCTCATTGGGTCGACTGCTTCAACCCCGAGGCCATCAAATGGTGGAAGTCGCTCTTTCAATATAGCGCTTTCAAGGGCACTATGGAGAACACATGGGTGTGGAATGACATGAACGAGCCCTCAGTGTTCAACGGACCAGAGGTCACCATGCCCAAGGACAACATTCACCACGGAGGCTGGGAGCATCGTGACCTGCACAACATCAATGGCATGACCTTCCACAACGCCACATATGAGGCCCTCCTCTCGCGCAAGAAGGGAGAGCTGCGCCGACCATTCGTGCTCACCCGCTCCTTCTATGCCGGTTCGCAGCGCCTTGGTGCCATGTGGACGGGTGACAACCAAGCTTCCTGGGACCATCTCGGTGCTTCAATTCCCATGATCCTAGCCCAGGGTATTTCTGGCTTCCCCTTCGCAGGCGCGGATGTCGGTGGCTTCTTTGGCAACCCGGATGCAGACCTTCAGGTCCGCTGGTTCCAGGCCGGTGCCTTCTACCCGTTCTTCCGCGGCCACGCCCACATTGATGCACGCCGCCGTGAGCCTTACCTGATCGGCGAACCCTACACCGCCATGGTCACTTCGGCCCTACGCCTCCGGTACAGCCTGCTGCCATCATGGTACACAGCTTTCTACCAGGCTCACAAGGATAGCTCCCCGATCGTGCGTCCCATGTTCTACACCCACCCCTCGGACGAGGGTGGTCTGGCCATTGATGATCAAATGTTTGTTGGTAACACGGGCCTGCTCGTCAAGCCTATTGTCGAGCAGGACAAGGAGTCCACCAATATCTACATTCCGGACGACGAAGTTTACTACGATTACTTCACTTACGAGATCGTACCCACTTCCAAGGGCAAGGAAGTCACGATCTCTGCACCACTGGACAAGATCCCCCTACTCATGCAGGGCGGCCACATCTTTGCGCGCCGCGACAGACCTCGCAGGTCCACTGCGCTGATGAGGTGGGACGACTACACCCTCGTCATCACCATGCCCAAGTCTGGCGGCCAGGCTGCAGGCGAGCTGTATACGGACGACGGTGACTCGTTTGATTTTGAGCAGGGCCAATACATCCATCGGACTTTCGTGCTTGATGGAAACAGCCTGACGTCCAAGGACGCGGAGGGCCGTGATACCAAGTCCATCAAGCCAGGCGAGTGGCTCAAGAACATGAAGAACGTGACCGTGGACAAGATCATTGTCGTGGGCGCACCAGCGACCTGGGCCAGCAAGAACGAGGTCACGATTACGGGGGCAGACGGGAAGACCTGGAGCGCACAGGTGGACTATACCGCAGCTGCCAAGGGTAAGGCTGCCTTCGCCGTGGTGAGGAGGGTTGGTGCAGCGATTGGGGAGGACTGGAGCGTCTCGTTTGAGTAGACGAGCGAGGGGGGAAGAAATGGAATATCATTGTCTTAGGCGCCGCGATCCAAGACAGTTGGGAGGTCGTGTAACAACAACAAGTCTTTGCATGGAAACGGAACACAGATGAGGAACAGTCCTAGACACTTGCGTCTGTCGAGTGCTCCGAAGGGGGATCTTGGCAAGACGGCGGCGTGTTGCTAGGCCTTTTGGTTTCTGTGGAGACATTCTGCATATGATCAAGACTGATCGAGATGTTCATTCTGGGTGGGTGGATGGATGGATTGTATTGTACCGTGCATAGAGAGAGTGTGTGTGGGTGTGGCCTTTAAATTTCTGGAGCGCACATAGAATGAAGCTACGATCTTTACTCATGTAAGAAGAGAAGTAGGCACGGCATCACGAGTAGAACCTTGGGCACCTGAAAATTCTCGGGGGATCCCTTGTCAACTCAGTGACAACAGCACTTGCTGCCGGGGATCCGTGGCAGCCCATCTCTTCCCGGTAACGATCCTCCGGCTGGATGGAGATCGTCAAAGACACACTTGGCCGGCTGGCGTTTTTGTATGTCTGGGCGCGCGTATGTGTTGTGGCGTGTTTTGTGCTGTCTCGCACACTATCCATTCCAGACCGTCGGGGAATACCAACCTGACGCGATCAATTTTGTCTTGGTTGCGAGTCTGGGTGTTACCACTTCAAAGAGAGGGAAAAGAACAGAGGTTCACTTCTTTGTAAGTTATTACATGTTTAAGTTGCGATAAATATTCTGCGTTGTCCAAAAAAAAACCACAGATCAACTTCATCTCTCTCTCTTTTCCAGCTCCGATCAGAGTACATACAGGTGGTAGATACTCCTGATTCTCTGCTTACAGCGAGACCCACCCTCTGGAGAACGAGAGGGTTCTGGAACTGCGGGATAGAAGCAAGACATCGTCCTGGATCTTGGAGTCCCCAGATTTTGGTATTCTTTTTTTTTTTTTTTCGTTCTTCCTTTCTCTCTGTTCTGTGTGGGTCATGAAAGATTTGCCATGTCTGCTGCACCTGAATTGCTATTCTCACTGCAATAAAAGGAGAATGTCACAATACCTATCTCTCTCTCCCTCTTCCCACCACAGTCAATTTCAATCACTCAGATTAATAACAATACCAACTTGACAAGGTGTCTTTTTTTCTTTAAGGGGGCACCTTCTCTCTCTGTCTCTCAAAGTTGGCCAACCCGTGGAAACGCCAAGACAGCTAAAGTGTCTAGCGGCTGGATTCGAGGCTCCAGAGGCTCCAGAGAAACTTTTTGTCGTTCCGAGCGCCGTCGTCCACTTGACGTCAGCCGCGGCAGGGGTCCTGGGAGGCGGACTGTACGTACTGTACGTACCGTTAGGAGATACGAGGGTTTTGATCCAGAGATCGGATCAAGACGTGCGTATTCGGGGAAACAATTCCTACGGCGAGGAAATGAAGGGCAAGAAAGAAGATCTGAGAAGAAAGAAAAGTGTCTATACATACGTACATTCGTACCGAAGTTTTTCTATCAACAATCATACAAGCGTAAATCAGTGTTCACGTCCACATCCCATCATTTGATTTTTGGTTGCAAAGTGGAGGAGGGATTATCTTGGGCGGTGAATCACATGTCTTGCAGAGTGTGGATGGTCGATCTCGAGTAACTTTATCGCTTATCTCATATCTCGCTTGGGGGAACCTGTCGAGAGGCCGCCGCCACCTCGCCCCACCCTTGCCCATATCCTGAGCTTTTACGCTTTGAATAACGACATTCTGACACGTCACTTGGCTGCCCTGAGTGTGCCTGGAGCGGATCTCGATACTGTATCTTTTGTGCTTGTTGAAACAATTTCCTGGTCAACATTGCCATTACTTACATACGGCTCTCGCCACTCGTTGCGCGCACACACACTTACACTCTCACACACACCGCCAAAAAGAGAAAAAATCTTCTCTCCTTCTCCTCGAAGAATAATAGGGCCGGATAGGTTCGGATCCTGAACCGCGTGTGGACCGTTTTATATGTGTGTGCACCCCCACGCGGCAGAGAGAGAGAGAGAATGCTTTAAGGGTTTTCCTCCTGGTCTTGCTATTTTGTTTTTGGTCTTATTGCTCTAGGTATGGCCGTACCACTGCAGGGGCCGCACCTACTGGACGCCACCCACACTCACACATGCCAAGGCGAACTACGACCTTTTTGTCTCCGGCCTTGGCAGTCCTTCTCCTTTGATAACAGCAAGTGATCGACTCGTGCATTCTTACTGGCCCTGAATCTTGGATGTCAGGGGGTAAATTAAAAAAAAAAAAAAAAAAAAAAAAAAAAAAAATAGAAAAGAAAGAAGAAAAGAATATGCAGGGCTGGACTACCAGCCGAAGGAGCCACCAAGACTTTTGCCCAGAGGAAATGGATCTTGTCAAGAAGAGAAAGAAAAAAAAAAGGGTCTCTAGTTTGGTTGATCTGCGTACTAAATTTCAGGTGGGAGGCAAGAGACCATAGTTGACTGGTGAAATGGGTTTTCGGTGCTTTGGGGATGGATGCAGCTCTTTCGTCCTGCTTCAACTTGCGACATGAAGATCCACCCGAACCCATCTTCCTGCCTTTTCTTCTTCTCCTTTTGTCAGTGTCTCCTGTGTAAGTAAGCTCCAATCTATTTTCCGATACTGTGTGAGCGTACACGAAGTCCCATCATACAGAGAGAGAGGTGACTAAGGAAAGAAGAGAAGAACAACTTCAACTAACTCAGCATTTTGTTCAGAATTCATCTTGATGATATCGACTGACGGCTTCCCGAAAAGAACTACGTCACTCACACACTCCGTCTCTCTCTCTCTCTCTCTCAACTTACTCAGTACACAAACACAACGGATCCCAGCCCAGTGGGAAACGCTCTCTCCACTACAAACTGGATCTATTTCGAGTCCCTCGCTCATAAGGCCAGTCCTTTACTTGTGGAGCTTTCAACAGTCGAGACCCGCCAGAGACGTGGACCCTTTTGTGTGTCGAATTCATCGCGTCTGGAATTGATCGTCATCCGCCTTGCTTGTTGAGGTCGGTCTCAGCTCTTGTCCTGCCTATGGTCTAAACCTGAATCTGAAAGGAAAAGAGGGTGGGAGCCTCTATCGACTGGCGGGGAGAGCATTACGAAACACACACACACACACACACACACATCAACACATCGGGCCCATGTAGCCCAAAGGCGGTCGGTCGGTCGGTCGTCTAGGGTTTTCTTTGCAACCGAGACATACAATTTCTTTGTACTGTACTGTACTATCACTGTACAGTACCACAGTATACCGCCGTCTGGCTCCGGTTGAACCTCGCCCGCCATGACGTCCCCGGTACACGTCGACACCAGCGAGAAGGCTGATCCGAGCCTTCTGATGAGCCGTAAGTTCAATTCCCCACCCGTCCCAGAGGACGCTCCACATACAACCCGTGTGTATGTGTGTGCGTGTGTCGTGCGCGTGTCTTTATCCTTCACGCACACCTCCCCTCCCCACCCCCATCATCCATGTATTGGCTATTCTATTATAGCAGTATCTATATCATCCCAGGAGAAATGAGTAACCTCACACCACGCCTACTCATGCTCTCTCACTTGTTCACCTCCTGAGGTTGCACAACTACGTCCTGCTCTCGTTCCTTGTCTTGATACATGTCTCGGTCTTTGTCCTACTCCTCGTCCTTCTCTTTCTCCTTTTCGCCATCCTCCTCGTCACCAAAACCACTGTTCCCATTACCATGGCCGCCCGCCAGAGCCCTGACTCGGCTGACCCTTTCTATCAAGACACAAACACCTTGAACCAGTCCGAGTCGCAGGAAAATGCGACCCGTCTCATGGATGACCTCGAGCTGCTGCGGGCCGAGCGTCTCGCCAGCAACGAGGAGAAGAGAGAGCGGGAGGGCTCGCGCCGCAGATCCAAGTCCTTGAGTCGCAGGCATCGCCCAGAGGCCCCGCCAGAGGATGCCTTTGACACTCTGACGAGGGAGCCTCAAATTCCTACGACGAAACCCCCAGAGAAGGCGACCCTTGTGCGCAAGCTCTTTAACGAGATCAAGAGGTTTCCAAGAATCATCCGATATTTTGTTTATGTAAGTTTTCTCTCTCTCTCTCTCTCTCTCTCTCTCTCTCTCTCTCTCTCCTCCTCCTCCTCCCACAACAAACACACTTTTTTCTATTGGTGAGGATTCGCTTTTCTAAAACTTCTTATAGGCCATCCCTGTGGCTGCTATTCTTCTCACACCGATCCTGTTGGCCAAATTTGCACTCAATGGCGACACAACCATTGGAGGAGCAGGCGGCCTCCAGCTGCTATGGTTCGGCATATGGCTCGAGATTGTGTGGTGCAGCATTTGGGCAAGCCGTATCATCGTAGCCACGATGCCTTTGTCGTTTGGCACAGTGGCCAAGGTGATTGGCTCGAGCAACCACAAGAAGTGGAAGGATATTGGCAGACAGATGGAGATGCCGACGGCGGCTTTCCTGTGGCTCCTGGGACTGATCTGCTCCTTCAAGCCCATCACCGACAATCACCGCAGCGGGGGTGGTGGGTCCAGCGACGACCCCCCTTACATCCTCTGGATCGACGTCGTCTGGAAGGTCATCATTGCCCTGTTTGTGCTGGCCACCAGCAACTTTGCCGAGAAGATCCTGATCCAGTGGATCGCGACCTCGTTCCATGTGCGGACCTACGCGTCGAGGATCGAGCAGAACAGGATCAACATCGACTACCTGGTGCGCCTGTACGAGTACTCCAAGCTCAAGTTGGTCACAGACGACCCAGAGTGGACCGAGGCCAACGGCGGTCCGTCTGGGGCCAAGACGCCGCTCAGGATGGTGCAGCAGAATGCCCGTCTGGCCCTGAACAACATCGGCAAGGCGGCAGGAAGGGTGGCTGGCGACCTCACGGGCCGCAAGGTCATGGCGAGCGGGCACCCGCGCAAGGTGGTGCTGGAGCTGATGCGCAACACACACAACTCGCACATCCTGGCGCGCCGCATCTACCGCACCTTTGTGCGCGACGGTGCCGAGACCATCACCCTGGACGACCTCAAGGAGGCCTTTGCCGCGCCCGAGGACGCAGAGGCCTGCTTTGGCATCTTTGACCAGGACCTGAACGGGGACATCTCGGTCGAGGAGCTCGAGCTGGTGTGCAACGAGATCCACCTCGAGAAGAAGGCCATCGCCGCCTCGCTCAAGGACCTGGACTCGGTCATCAAGAAGCTGGATCAGGTCTTTCTCTTCATCATCTTCATCATCGCCGCCATCGTCTTCATCTCCATCATCTCCGGGTCCGCGGCCTCGGCCCTGGGCACGAGCGGTACCACGATTCTTGGTCTGTCCTGGATGCTGCAGGCGACGGCGCAGGAGTTTCTGCAGTCCATCATTTTCGTCTTTGTCAAACATCCTTTTGATGTGGGCGATCGCGTTACTGTCTACGGCAACACCGGTTCCCTGGGCACTGGTGATGATTATTATGTCATGGAGATCTCTCTTCTCTACACCGAGTTCAAGAAAATGGAAGGACATAGTGAGTACTTGCACCCTCCTGAAAAAGAAGTTGTTTGGATTCATGACGATATATATATATATATATAATTCTTGGTATCACTAACACAAAGAACCCTCCCTTTTTCCAGTCGTGCAAGCTCCCAACTCTCTGCTCAACACCCTCTTCATCCTCAACCAGCGACGAAGCAGCGGTCTCGCGGACCCCATCGAGCTCAAGCTGCGCTTCGGCACTCCCAGCGCCCTGGTTGACGAACTCAAGGCGCGCATGCTGGATTTTGTGCTCGAGAACAAGCGCGACTACCAGCCCCAGATCATCAGCGAGGTCCGCACCATCGACGAGGTCTACTCCGTCACCCTGAACATCATCTTCTTCCACAAGTCCAACTTCCAGAACGAGCTGCTCCGCCTCCAACGCCACAACAAATTCGCCGCCGAGCTCATGCACCAGATGACGGAACTGGGTATCGAGGGCCCCCGCAAGGCCCAACCTGGTGGTGCCAAGGAGTACCCATTCTACTATGTCCCCATCAGCCCGCCCAACCAACAACAACAAACCACGGGAGGAGGGCCGTTCCCCAGCAGCGATGCGGCCGCCGTCGAAGGCCAAAGCCCTGTGATCGGACCCAAGAACGAAGGGTTCCCCAGGGGAGGGGACAACGGCAGCATCCACGAGCTCAGGTCGCAGTCGTCTTCCAACTGGAGCGATGCGGCCGAGGCCACCCGCAGGCGCCGTGCCGAGTCCCGCGCCAGGCTGTACGAGAACAGGGTGCCTGACTTTGGCGATGTGTTTGAGTCCCGCAAGGACCCCGCCGCTACCAACCTAGCCAGGCTGCAGGTGCTGCGCGAGGAGGCCGCCGCGAACAGCAGCAGCTCTCATGCCTCGAGCGTGGATATGCTGGGGCCGCTGGACAGGAGCCGGACGATGGACTCTAACTCTACACAGAGGAGGAGGATTTTTGGGCGGCCGAGGAGCGCCACTCGGGATGGGCAGAGGAGTGATGCTGGGGGTAGTATAGTATAATGGCGTGTTGAGTGTGAGAGAGGATGTGTGTGTGTGTGTGTGTGTGTGTGTGTGTGTGTGTGTGTGTGTGTGTGTGTGACAGATTGAAGCGGGTTTATTCCTTGTTTTTCCTCTTCCTTTCCCTTCCTTTTATATTCAGCGACTCGGAGAAGGGGAAACAAAGACAACGAAAAAGCGTACGTTGGGTTATACGAACGTGTTTTTGTCAGGAGTACTGTCTGACCCCCCCTTGCCGGACACCCGTACCCGCCGGACACTAAAATGCGAAATGGCCCACACAATTGCCACCTTTTCAAGTATATAGAAATAATTCACTTCAAATCGTATAATAATAATAAATATATCATCGAAATGATCTAAATTTCCTCATTCCAAATATCTAGTTGGCATACGGCTAGTCCGCCCAGAAGATCGACGAATTGGTGGTGAATCCTTACGTGGAATGTCTGCATTATCGTCCTCAGAGTCCTCCTCGTCAACCTCGTCTTGAACCTCCACAATATCCTCAGCAGGCAAACCATCCTCTTCCTGGGCTGTGTTGGCCTCTTCTCCAGCCGAAAGTGCCTCTGAAATAGTCATAAAGCGTTTGTTAGGATTGGGGATCTTCTTGCGCTTTCGGGTCTTCGAAATAGCCTCGTTCTAAGCCTTAAGGGAGGCATTTCGCTGTTGGAGCAAGATAACCTCAGCTTGGAGATCTTCAAGGTGATTTGCGATCCTCCTCAACTTGCTGCGTTCGTTGTAGCTTCGGTCTCGGCCTATAGCAGTAATAAACTCATGGGAAATGGGCTCATTCTCCTCGTTCTCCTCCAACTCATCTGCTCCTCGTTTTTGCTTATCCTCCTGGATTTCCTCATGAGATAGGGCTTTATAGCGATTAATTGGATAATTGCTACTATGTTTCCATTCTCCTTTTACTACTTTAGAAGTAATTGCTGCTCTGGCTGTAATGAGACACTGTAGAAAGTTGATCTTGTTAACAGGGGCTGAGTTTGTGAGATCTTGCAACTTTTGAAGTTCTTTCCGATAGGCTGCTTTCAGTACAGCAAATATGCTGTTATCTAGTGGCTGGAGGCTGTAGGAGGTGTATGCGGGGAGAAAGCAAAGGAAAACGTTATTCAAGTAGCAAGAAGCTATGAACTCCGGCTGTTTTATATCAGCACATTATCCTCGAGAAATACTATCTTGAGCTTCAAAAGATCTTAACTTACTGATGTATAGCTATTATAGCCATCTAGAATAAGGAGGATAGCTCGAGATATATCATTCTCACGGAGATTATTCATCTGAAGAAGGAAAAGATCCTCAAGCCATGCTACTGCGATTTCATTGCTTGTCCAGCTGTTTTGATCGGTAATCATGCGCCAGGTTGGCACAGACTGCTCCATGTCTTCAGAAAACCACTGTTTTTAAAGATCTTTGCTCTTGAAGATGATGCCTGGGTTGAGAAGCTGGCTTGTAGCTGTACAGCTTTCAATGAGAGTAACCCAGCTTCTGTCCTGGCTGCTTTTGAGGAATGCCTTCTTTTTTTCAGAGGATCCAAGGACCAGCGAGTTCAGGCCTATCAAAAGTATCAGTTCAGGAGCTCTGAGATGAGGATTCCATAGAAATTTACTATATCCAGTCATAATGCCACCCTTATCCACATTCACTGTAAGCTGTAGCTCAATCCACCCATATTCCTTCTCGCGAATGTCGAAATACTAATTAACAGCTTTCGGGGTGAAGGCATCGTATCTGGTGGCTTCCTGGCGAGTGCCTATTTTATGGCGAATTTGAGGATTTCTCTTCTTGAAGCCCTCTATCCATTTGCAGCCAAGGGCATTGAGATCTCCCTTCTGCTTGAGGAGGGCTCCTACAACACCACGCACAGCAGAAGCTGATGGAGCATATCCTAGGCTCTCCTGCTTGATGATTCATCTCGATATCTTCTTTTCCTCAGTAGTAGAAAGGCGTTGTTGAGGTTGCTTTGCTTCTTGAACTGAGGACCCTGCATGCAGCCGATCTGACAGCGTTTGGGGGGCGATTCCGTGTTTCTTGGCTGATTTTCGTAAAGATAAATGGTTATCTATAATATCGAAGAGGGCATCAGCCATATTCTCCTCATTCCAGGCGTGGGAAGGCATTGTGGCTTGCTTGAGGTAGAAGATTGTTGAAGGAAAAGGATCATGGATATGAAGACAGGAAGGAACAGATATTAGCTTCCGGCATTGCCAGAATTGCGTCATAAGGCGTCCAGGCATAGATATAAGTATATCAATAGATTCGTCAATTAAAGGGCTATCTATCTATCAAAACAGTTTCTGAATAGCTTCAATATTGAGGAAATAATATGTAAGTGAGGATGTTGGTATTTGTATGGCGCTGTCGGAAATTAGCTGTCCGGCGGGTACGGGTGTCTGGCAAGGGGGGGTCAGACAGTACTTGATACGATCCTTTAGAAAGCTGTTTGGTTATTTTTTGCTTCTTATTTTTGAGGAAGGCATCTTGCCTGAAGACGGACAGATTGGATAGTTTTGGACCCAACAGGACACAGAAGAGAGACAACAAGATGGGACCTAGTAGACTCAATACCCCCCCCCCCCCCAATAGAATAGACTTAGAAGACATTTATCCCAGATCACTCAAAGAGTGATTCTCACAAACCTCTCCCCTTGCTCGTCTACACTCTCACTCGCCAGTCCCAAGTCACTAGCAAGAAGATGGACCAACCTCCGCCTCTCTCTCACCGCCCGCGGGAAATCATACCAAAGTATGCTGTCGCCGCCGCACAGCTGCTTGCTCTCCACAGCAAGGGCAAGTACCCGGCCCAACACATCCCTCGCTGCCCTCTCGTCCTCACGAGCCACCTTATAATACGACGTGATCGAGTCCTGACTCCAGTCCACAGGCTCCAGAACGCCGCACGCGTCCAGTCCAAGATGAGGGGATTCCAGCCCATCACCATCCTTCTTCGCCAGGAGCCTGCGCCGTCGCTTGAGTTCGCACTCCGACCCTGGGATATTAATACTACTGCTGCTGCTTCCCCCTCCCAGCTTCGTCGGAACGCCCCAGCGACGGCTGATGTGCGGTAGAGACAAGTGGATCGGGTTGTCCTTTCCCCCGCGCAGCCAGGACCCAGCAAACGTCACGCTCCTGTTGGTCCTCGCGCAGCGCCACCCCGGAGGCTTCATCATGTCGAGTTCGTTGGCGTCGTACCTCTTGTCCCCATCGACCCCCACCAGCGCGTCGATCTGGTCCACCTCGGACCGGCACTTCCACCCCACCTCGCCGCCCAGCTGGATGGTGACGCCGGCCTCGTCGTCGAATTTCTCGGACAGCGCCGCGAACAGCTGCGCGATGAGAGACGCGCAGGTGCCGAACAGGAGCTTGCAGCGCCTGTCAATGACGGTGGCCCGGACCCAGTCGGGTCGGTCTTGTTCCATCCACACCGGTGCGGGCGTCAAGTCGATGATGATGGTTTTGATGGTGTGGGCTTTCGACGTTGTCGTCGTCGTCGTCGTTGTCGTCTTCGGCACGAGGCAGTCGTCGACAGCCTCGACCCACGGCCCAATGATCGTTTCGCCGGTGCTTGCGAACCAGTGGCTATTCCCGTACTTGCTATACTTGATCTTTGTCTCTGCGAAGAGGCGGAGCCGGATCGTGTCTGGTGCTGCTTCGACAGGTCCTCCATTGCCTTGGCGACAGGTCTTCAGGACGCCCGCTATGTCCTGCGGCCGGTCGACGCGGAAGGTCGGGGTCCAGGAGGCGCAGAGCTCCTGGACGTCGGACCGGATCGTCTTGCATGAGAGGAGGAGGGGGAGGACGGCTGAGGGTTTGGAGATGGAGCCTGTGGCGCGGACTTCGTTGGGTAGGAGGTGAGACAGGATGGCCTGGCGTAGCTCTGCTGGACAGTCCAGGAAGTGCATTGTTGTTGGTGTTATTGATCTTTTATTGTTGTGCCTTTGGTGGTGCTGGAGCTCCCAATATTTTTCATCATCAATTAATGCAGTTGAGGATCAAGTAAATTGATTAGGGGAGGTGTCTGCTCTGGAGAAAGTCACAATCTTGTAGTAATTGATTACGCTTGAATTGTGACCTCACTAATAATTCTTCAAGATGCAATGAAATTGCAGACCCTGAAACAAATGTTCAGCTGAACTGTAATTAATTCCTCAGAGGACAGGAAGAATATAAACGAAGTGGCTGATTCCCTTTGTCCGCCTTCAACCCAACCCGAATGTGGACGCTGCGGCTCATGCATGTACAAGATGATAAAGTGTGTGAGTCCGACCGTCTACGCAGCTATATAGGCCATTGTCCCTTCCAGTCAGCAGGGAGTGGTCACTCCTTTTAGCTGTCGCATAATAAGAATCTCACACCTGTGTAAATTGATCTCTTTGGTGACTCACAAGATTCAACTACTCACTTGCTGCGCCTCACTACAGCATGACGCACGGTGTCATCAGCTTTTGATCAGCAGCGGTGGGGGCATATCTAACAGGCATGGTCAAGATCTAGATTGGGAGGACTTGAGCGGTGTTGAGATGTTGGGGGGTTGGATGTGTGACCTGCTGTGGCAGACATGTCAAGGGTCATTTTCAGGGGTGTGCAGCAGAGGTCATGGTTTTTATACTCGTCAATGCTTTAGGAACTGGTAAAACATCCAAGGCAAGGAGCAAACCCTTATTTGGCGTGAAGTAATACAGTCTCAGGAGCCAAAAGATCTGACTATGCATAGTGTTAGCCTCTTGATGGATTTAATAGAGTTTCAGTCTTAAGACCCTAAAATGCACATGTGCTGTCAGGAGAAGCAACGAGAACTAAGGGTCAATGTGAGTACCATTGCTGCACAACGGATAACTGAATTGTTGTGCTAACACGTTCGCAGGAAAGCTGTCGTATCTCTCTCTCTCTTTTGCCCAAGATAAACTGATTGGGGAAAATAGGCCTCAAGGAGTCTTGGGACGCAGAACCCTTGAACACAGCAACGCACATTGTCTGTATATTCCAATACTACCAGGAGAAGAAGAAATTCCGTCTACCAAATCTTCCTTACTAAGTACCTAGATACCAAACTTGAAACATTACATTGTCACCTCGTACCACTTATGTCTCTTGTTGCTCTCTCTCTTGTTAAACCTGCACACTCTGAGAAAAGCGATAAAGCCACTTGCAAGAGATGTCACCGTCTGAGTACTCAGTGCCAGTATTCCTTCCAATCCTTTAACATAGCACGGCGAGGAATCTGAAGTCCTTCTAGTTTGTACCACCATATAGAAACTTTGACGTGTTCTAAGGCAAGAGTGGCTCTCTTTCAGCATCTTCATATGCCTCAGCAGATTCAAGCTGCAGAAGCTTGATGAATCTGTAGAATCCAGCAGCCAGAGTAGCACCTGGGGGAAATAGATATTAGCATCATTTGGCTTAGTGCGGACCCGAGCGGATCTTAGTCGAGATAAATAACACTACTTACCTAGAAGAGGGCCCAGCCAGTAGATCCAGTGAGTACTGCCAAAGTCGAGCATGACCAGGTCCGGGCCAAAAGTTCTTGCCGGGTTAAGAGAGCCACCGGTGTAATAGATACCAGGCAATCTAGGTAAAGGAAAAGAAAGAAGTTTCAGAAATCAGCAAGACGGTCCGAAACTCCATTTTCATACGGAGAGAGAGAGAGAGTTTTCCAAAGGGGCATAGACATACTCAGCCACGAAAAGTGCAAAGCCAATGACGAGTGCCGCCAACGCGTTGCCCTCATGCTTCTCAACGGCCATGAAGTAGATGGCAAGCATCAGCTGCATGGTAAGGAAAGCCTCGATGAGCAGGCCCTGGAGGGGCGAGGCGCCATGGCCGAGCTTGGTCTGGATGACATAGGTGCCTGGGAACATGATCTTGACGAGGAGAGATGCGACGACAGCTCCGAGGACCTGGCCGGCGGCTAGGAAGATGCCTTTGATCCAGGCCACTTTGCCCACAAGGCACATTCCTAGGGTGACCTTGGATAGTTCATGTCAGTCAAGATGTTTCCAGTTGAGTTTAACAAGCCTGTAGGGAACTAATTATATGCTGATAATCAGCAAAACCTTCTCAAGAGACTTACAGCGGGATTGAAGAGGCCACCGCTAACTCTGGCAAAGATGGAAACATTGACGGCCAGGGAGAACCCAAACGCAAGGCTGATATACAGAAGCTGCGTGAGATTGATGTCCCCAGGATGGACGCCGTCCCCCACGTGAGAAGTGTCAGAGTTGGCCACTTGCGCCGCGGAGAGTGCCATCAGCAGGAACAGAAATGTTCCTGCAAACTCTCCAGAGATTTCGACGGCGTGGAGCCTCACGTGTTTGAGGAAGGTGTTTGGTGCCATGGCAAAAGGGACAGCGGTGGTTCCAGAGACAATGTAATAATTGATACAAGTGATTCCAAGTGGGCGCAGACTCCTGAAGTCTACACACGGTCAAAAGAAAGGCAGAGTAGAACACCACTTCCCTCTTATACCTAAACATCTCAGCCGTTGCACAAACAACAATGCCGAATTCGCCCACCATGATTTTTACGCAACTGATGATCCCTTTACCGCCATTCAGGCCAGTTTGACCTTCCCTGCCCACAAGGGGTGTTTCCCCCCCCCCCCCCCCCCGCCGCCGGCCGGGCATGAATGTCCAAGCAAGATGAGCATGAAGCCCGAGGACGATCTCTCGATATTTTTCTCAATACTCAATGCGACTTGGACCCACACAAACGGCAACCCTTGAATGGATATTTACTTGATGGGCATCAACGCGAGAATCCCAGATCGATGCCAGTGAGGCTGCATTGTGGGGTTGCGCATGGGGCAACTTTAAACCACCCAACCCTTTGCGTAGCATGGATTCCATGGTGATCCCGGCGAGTGAAGCTGGTCAGCCCTGATGTTTACTGACGAGTCGACAGGGTCAGGAGTCCCAGTCCCTTCACCGATGAAAGGGAAAAAAAAAACTACATCGTATGATGTGGTAGACCCCTAAAATACGGTCTGGTTTCAAGTTAGTAGAGAGACACGAGCTACGTCCTACTGACTCGGATACTGTTACTCGGGATGGAATGCCTTCTTCCGTGGGCGCCTAACGAGTCAAGCTGACTTCTCGAGGCAAGCATACTAAATAGGAGTGATAAAAGGGACCTTCACGATAATGTTCAGGGTTCAATACTTGTTGCTCTTGTGCTGAATCTAAGAATGGAGTGAGTAACATAACAGTAACTGCGCGAACAAATAATTACGTACAAAGGAAAATATCATATAGTAGAGACGGAACACCCATTCTTTCAGTCAGCTAGAACTAGCAACATCCTGCTGATACAAATCACACCCATTGGCTAGAATATGCTATCAATTTCGGTGTCCAGCTTGCTCTGCATATCACTGCTATCTGCTGCACATGAGAACGGACTGACGAATGCACTCCACAAAAAGGGATTCACAACCCATTCATATATGTACTTCGTTTTCGACCTTCTGTCTTGACCAAAGGCTAAATGTCCTTTCCTAGATTTCTGAATCATCTCCCTCCTAAACCCCTATAATGCGTTTTCTCCCCTCCGGGCCCAGAAGTGCCAGTTATGAACCATGACAATATCCTTTTATGTATATCCGATCGGACCTCGAGCTTTATATGGGCCGTTTAGGTCACGTTATGCACATACTCTTTCTTTGCCCTCCCCTCATCATTATGCATGTCTGCTCTTTCCCTTCGTTGAGAATGATCTTGATGCCATCTTCTCCTTCACTCGTCCTTCTTCTCATCGACCACATCATCAGTCCCAGCACTCTCCCCATTCTCACCCTCTGCTAATTTAAGATCCTCCCTCGCACCACTGATATCCTCCATCCGGATCCCGCTCCTCTCGCACATCCCCCGGAAGATGCCCCCCTCCATCTTCCACAAGGCAAGCGGCGAGTCTAGCTCAGCAATACGGCCCTGGTCCATAACACAGATGCGGTCGTACCCGATGATGGTGCGCAGCCTGTGTGCAATGCACAGAAGCGTCTTGCCGCGGGACCCGCTCGCGATGGTGGCCTGAATCTTGTCGTCGGTGTCCATGTCGACGCTGGAGGTGGCCTCGTCGCACACGATGATCTGGCTGCCGCGGACGAGGGCCCGGGCCAGCGCCATGAGCTGCCGCTGGCCCAGGGAGAAGTTGAGTCCATCCTCCTCGACCACGGTGTCGAGGTGGATGCGACTCGGATCACGGCCCGTGTTGGAGGCGCCGCTTAGCTCTGCATCCTTGGGCACCAGGTCGGCCTGGCGGAGCGCGGACCACAGCGCGAGGTCGGTGTGCTCGTGGAATGGGTCCAGGTTGCTCCGCACCGTGCCGCGGAAGAGGGTAGGGTCCTGAGGGATGATGGCGAGCCTCTTGCGCAGGTCGTTGAGCCCGACGGTCGAGATGTCGACGCCGTCGATCGTGATGTGGCCGGCGCTGATCTCCACGAGGCGGAACAGCGTCGACATGATGCTCGACTTGCCGGCGCCCGTCCTGCCGACAATTCCGATGCGTTCTCCTCCGCGTACGTGCATGTCCAGCCCCTTAAGGACCAGGGGCAGGCCGTCGCGGTAGCGCATCTCGACATTATCGAAGACGATCTCACCCTTCTCGGGCCACGTCGGCCGCACCTCGATCGTGTGCAGCGGCGCCTCCTCTTCGAGCTGCGTGCCGTAGTACCGCAGCCGCTCCACAGAGTTCATGCCGTTCTCGACCTCAGCGAGCTGTCGCACTGTGAACTGGATCATCTGCACGGTGGCCAGGATGTAGCTAAGCACGAGACCGCCGATCGAGGGGGCTACGCTGAACCGAGACGTGACCACGAGGATGCCTGTGGTAAATACCAAGGCGTTGCCGACAGCATCAAGCCGCACTGACAGCCACCGCTGGTTGCTGAAGGTGAGATAGTAAGCTGCGTTCATCTCGTCGATGGCAACACGAAGTTCCTCGATGAAGCGATCCTTGAGGCCATATGCACGGATGGTCGCCACCTGTATGATGGAAATCAGTTATTTGTCTCTCTCTCCCCCCCTCCTAACAGACTTTCCAAAGAATGATATAATTTCAAAGTGGCACTTACACCGCTGAGGCCTTCGCCAAACCTGGCAAACACGTTTGACCGAAGAACAGCTTCAAACCGCTTGATCTCGCGCGCAGAGGCACGATAGAAAGACGTCGCAAAGAGGAACAAGAAAAACATCGGAACCAGGGCGATGGCAAAATAATGGAAGAACGCAATGATAAGGGCAAAGGTGGACAGGATGCCCGAAACAGAGAAGAAGTACATGCGCATAGCATCCGACAAGGAGTTGTCCATGACATCGACGTCTCTCGAGAAGCGGTTTGTGATGCGGCCCAGGGGTGTTGTGTCGAAAAAGGACATGGGGGCGCGCAGGGCTCGCGTGATGGCCAGGCGTAGCATAGTCTTAGAGGCGCGGGTGCCCACCACGGTGAGGGAGACCATGAAGGAAAACATGAGGGTTGCCTGGCAGGCACCCAGGCCGGCATAGATGCCAATATATGTTCCCATGCTGAGGTCGTACTTGTTCGAGGTCCACCAGGAGAGCCACAAGCCGCTGATGACGTTGGATGCCTGCGCGATCACGAGGACCCCGAGGACGAGCGGTCCGTTGAGAACACTTCCGGATGCCCGTAAAAAGTCAAGGTAGACAGACCACGGAACGGTAGAGACGGCACGCTCCTCGCTCTGCATGAGACCCTTGGCTTTCTTCTTTTTCTTGCCCTTGGTGTCATTGGCGTCGACAGCCTGGGTTATTCCCTCGCCCTCCTCCCTCTTCTCCTCGACGGCAGTCGACTCCATAAGCTGTTGAAACCCAGTGTTGTCCCTCATCAGATTGTCAAAGGTGTCGATGGCCTGGATCTTGCCCTGGTCCATCCAGATGATGCGATCACACCGATTCAGGACCCACAGCTGATGAGTGGCGAGGATCCGACACTTGTCTTTGAGCAGGCCCAGGATTGCGTTGTCGAAGATGTGCCGACCGACATGGGCGTCCACGGCGCTGAGAGGGTCGTCCATGAGAATGATATCGGCGTCAAAGTAGATAGCACGTGCAATATTGAGTCTCTGCTTCTGACCACCAGAGATCGTGATACCTCTCTCACCTATCTCGGTAGCGTCGCCACTGGGCAGCATGTCAAGATCAGGTTGGAGGGCGCACCTGTAACGAATATCAGTCAGTGGCAGCGGATGGGATATGGCCAGAAAAGTAGAATAATGAGACTGGCCAGGGAGATGTGGGGAGTGGAAAAAATACTTACGCTTTGATGACCTGCTTATACCACGAGCGGTCCATGGGTTTGCCGAACAAGATGTTCTCCTTGACTGTAGAGTTCTGAATCCAAGCCGATTGGGGACAAAAGGCCCTCGAGGCGCCCAAGACGGCTTCTCCATTCGTCCTGCGCATATCGCCTGCAAGGGCAGCGAGAAGCGAAGTCTTGCCACTGCCGACTGTGCCGATGACAGCCACGAGCTCGTTCCTCCCGATGCCAAAGTTGAGATCCTTCAATTTGAAAGGCTCGCGGTCCTCGATGACTTTCTCGCCATCTCCATCCACGCTTCCCTGTTCATCCGGCGCTGTGGCGTTCTTGGCCTTGGCAGCCTTCTTCTCGGCCTTCTTGTCTCCGTTCTTCTTTCCTCCTGGCCCGGCCATCGCAGAGATCTTGTCTAGATCCTGTGTCGGTGTTCTCTCCCATGTGAATGAAGCATGCCGTAGCTCGACAGCGTCGACAGCCTCGGGGTCAAATGTAGCCTCATCTGTCTGCTCCTCGAGAAGCAGGTACTCCTGGATGCGCTTCAGGGAATTCCACGCATCCGTGACCTGTCCAATAACCAGGGGCAGTAAGTTCAGAGGCACCCGCAGGCCGTTGAACAGGGCTAGAGACGAGAACACAGTGGATGCCTCCAGGCCGTGGTGCGACAGGGTGAAGGTGATGAAGGAGAGCATGGATGCAAAAATGGGCAGCGAGATGGACACGGCCATGATGCCGTTCCGGATCGCCATGAGCCTCTGGATCATGCCGATCTCCTTGCCGCGTAGTTCGCTCAGGCGGTTGAGGAACGAGCTCTCCCAGCCGAAATACTTGACGAAGCGGACCGCTTGAAGGATCTCCTGGGTCAGGCTGACGCGTTGATCAGTGATCTTGTTGATACCCTGTCGACGGCGGAACAGACTCTTGATAGACTTGGTGAGAAGCGGCAGTCCGATAACCAGAAGAGCGAAGCCGGAGAGGGCACTGTAGGATAGGTTGATGAGCAACAAAACCAGGGTGATGACACACGAGATCGGAGCCGTCCAGACCATGTGGAAGAGACCGCAGGCCTGGTCGACACGGTAGGTGTCGACGCTCATCAGGCTGACGACACGACCATTGCCCCAGCCGATGCCATCGCCCATGACCCCAGCCTTGCCTGGTGGTCCACCTTTCTCACCCTTCTTGCTCTTCTTGCTCTTCTTTCCCGCCTTGTCCTGGGCTGTTGCTTCCCCTTCCTCTGTGCCGTTCGTCGCGTTCCCAGGGCTGTCGGCCAAGGCCAGTCCTCCTGCCCTAGCCCGCCCCGAAACAACCATGGACTTTGCGTAGATCAGGCTGATGAGGGCCGCTCTGGCCTGACCGCCCACCAACATGCCCCTATAGATGAAGTGGTTGGTGCAAAGGGTCTGGCAGATCTGCATGAAGGTGACGCCAAAGACCAAGCCAATGCCCTTGCCAATATTGGGCTGTGGTGACCCCGTTGCCGCGGCCTCGTAGGCCTCGGTCGCATAGGCGATCAGGTACCGCAGCGTAAAAGGCGCAAAGACCTGGAACAGGGTGGCCAAGAGCTGACATAAACCGCCCAACCAGAACTCTTTGAAAAAAACCTCGTTGATGGCCCTGACGAGCGCGTGCTTTTGGCCCTTGGCGACGCGTCTGTGGAAGGCTGCCTCGACCGCATCGGTCATCTTCTGCACAGTGCGGTCCGGGTTCACCTTCCAGACGTCGTTCTGCTGCAGGGGCCGCCTGTAGCCGGTGCGCATGAGCGGCCCTTGCCACGTGAAGAAGAGCTTGCTGAAAAAGCTGGCCTGGTATTCGTGTGACACCTCCCTCTCCTCGGGCACAGGCGGTATGGCGCCCCACTTCAGCGGGTTGAGCCTCTGGGACCAGGTCTTCTTCTTGTCGTCCTCCCCAACAGCATGTCCTGTCGCCTGGGTGGTGGCGGTCACATCAGTTGCGCAGCTCTGCATGCGCTGGACGTTGTGTCGCTCCTCGATGTCTTGGTCCACTCTGTCCTTTTCCTTTTCAAACCCGCTGTCGGTTTCAGAACGATCGTTGTCCGGGAACCCGTCGTCATAGTCGTCATTGTCAGCAACAGTGGCAGCAGTGGCAGCAGCAGCAGCAGCAGCAGGATCCTCCTTGTTGGCACCTTCCAAAGTGCGTCCCTCGAATGCTGCCTCGGCAACCGCGACCTCGTCCTCGATCTCGTCCCGTTCAGACCCCTGCGAGTTCACCCGCGCCAGAGGGTCGTCGGGCTGTCTGAACCTGTCATAACTGGCCACACTCGCCGCGCTGGGCCTTGATCTCAGTGGTGGTGGAGGTGTTGACGGTGCCATGATGTGTGTATTTGGGTGGATGCCAAAATGCTGCGCAATAATGTCAATGTGGCCGGCGATTTCCTTTCCACCTTTCGCCTTTGCCAGGAATCGATCAAAGCACGTTGGGCTCTCTCATCCAGGGCTCAATTCAGATCGGCAAGGCTCGAGACACACGCGATCAGATGAGAGCTTTGGTGTTCTGAAAAATATGTAGAAGAGAGCAAAAAAAAAAAAAAAAAAAAAGCCAAGATTACTTAACCGAAGCAAACGAGCGACCGACAAGCGGAGAGGCAAACGGAAATTGTTAATGGATGTCGGTGTATTGAACCAGGACAGTATAGGCCCTTCGGAAAATGCAGTTCAAAAAAGAAAGTGTGTTCGGTGCCGATGCGGATACAATATATTGACTATGGGCAGAGCGAGAAAGCGAAAATAAAGCTTCGTCTTCCTTCGCAGGATTGATAAACAAAGTCCACCGCCAGATCGGATTCACCGACTTGTCTGTTTGATATGGAGAGTGGAGGGGAAAGGGAGTCGTGGCGGGGATGGCAAATGACGGTACTGGAAGAATCTCTGACGCTTCTGTTTCCCCCACGGCCGTATATAGGAACTTATGTTCCGTAAACCCCGGAATCCGGTCGAAATGTGCTTCAAATGTTCTCCTGCCGTTGTCGTTGGCGCGCTAATGTAAGAGGCAAAGTGGCTAGCGAGAAGGCGGTCACCCCCCCCCCCCAAAGACGCTGTGGTATTCCCGTACGCTGCCTAGATCCCTTTGTGACTTAGGGACCCTCTCGGAGCTATGCATGTATGACGCCCAAGGAAAGTTGTGTAAGTGTGGCGATGCCCACATGGGTGTAAGGAAGTGGAAAAGTCATGGAAATCTAAAGCATGCTACAAGAACTTCAAATGTTCACCCCAGAGTCTTTTTGGTTGTGCTCTCTGCCCTTCCTTCTCTCAAGGTGTGAGGACCAATACTTGAGGGGTGGAACGGAGGTCGGATTGGGTGAAGTAACTCCATGGCAAAGAAGAAACCCACATGCATAGAATGACAATGGCGAAGTGGTTCTTGCGTGTGGTCTGTCATCACTACTCGACTTGAATTGTGATAAACTCCGTCGGACAATCTGTGGCTTGACTTAAACAGGGGACGAAGAACCGCCAGCTCGATGCATACATAATCATTTGCCCTTGTGCAGACTTGGCTTTCAACTTGGCTTCCCACCACCAAGACATTTTCTTCTTGTCTCTCGGGCGAGATCCACAGCGGGTCTGTACCGATCCGAGCTAGGAACTAGGATCCTGCGTATATCTCCGGTAAAGCCGCATGTACAGATAGTACGATTGACTTAGAGTAGTAAGCAAACTTCGGATGGAAAGAAGGAAGAGGACTTTGGGGAGGGGGAGGGGGTGGATATAAGTTCAGAAGATGTTCTGGGCCTTTCAATATTTTGAAATCCTCCCTGTACATTACGGGACCGAGAGCGAGGGAGGATTGCTTCCTGGTCAACTTCAAGAATCGGGATCCGGTCCATGATGCCAGCCGGTCTCCGTTGACAAGGGCGTGGACTTTGTTGTTATCAGTCAAAAAAAAAAAAAAAAGAGAAAAGAAGAAAAAAGAAAGAAAAAAAGAGTCAAAAGCCGTTAGACAGTGGATCTCTCTAATTGAATATTGCCGCTGTTACTATCTACCACCTTCTGCATCATTTTCCCAATCGTGTTTGACAGACAGATTAACCTGATGAAAATCAATCTTGTCCATCGTTACCTACCAGCCACTTACGACCGTGCCTCTTCTCGAAACTGAAAAGCAGACATGAATAAATGAACAGCTTCAGTTCTCTACCTGTCTTATCTCCCTTGACGACTGCTACAGTAATCAGCGAAACAAGGCCTATCGATCGGCTAAGACGGCATCCAAAGAATACAAAACACGCCGTGTTAGACAGGGTCTGCACACGCCCGAGAGGGATACATGCAAGGAGAGGTTCGGATGAATAGACCGAACATCTGACCTTGTCTCAGTAACACCAACAAGAAGAATCATCAGCACTATATGGATGTGTAACGTAGTTTTCTGCTAACCAAAACAGACAACTCTTTATCTTTGGTCATCACCATGGTATGACTGAGCAGCCAGCTTGCCCCATGTCACAACAGCAAGTCTTGTGTGTGCGTGAAAAAAGCCAGACCGCAAGATACGAGACCTATGACCCGCTCCAGGCAAGGCCCGGGGTGGCGTCTCAGATCCGCCATAAGTCTTACTCACGCAGGATCCCAACGTCAGGCCCGAGATCCGACTTGGGGATCTGTCGAATTTCTCTAGTCCCACAAGCGAAAGCGAACCAGCATTGTTCCAGGGTCGGAACGGATTTCGAGCTGCATGTCAGATTTCGGTACTTGTTGGACCGCTTCCGTGTCAGCACCGAATTCTCCGGAAGTCGGTATGTATGGAAGATACGGAACTCTAGTCTCATTTCCGTTTCTCAAAGTGCGGTGTCAGACGGAGTTCGTAAGGAAATGCTGAGGATTCGTCGACGTGTCAGATGATGCGATGCTCACGGTTTTGGTTTTTGGTTCGTATTCTTAGCTGTTTTCCCTAATCACAAAAGAAGTCCGGGGGAGGGTTGGGGGGGGGGGGGGGTAAATGTATAAGAGTGAAGAGTAGTAAGGGTCTCAACATAGTCTCCGCAACAGATTTCGTGCATTGCTTATGAAAGCCAACCAGTATACAAGCTATCGCATGTAAACCCAGTTGAACCTAAAATGCCCCTGTAAGTACCAGGGATATAGGCAGTCTTAGACAAGCTCATTTGAATGGGATTGAATATAGCAATCTTCTGTTGCGTTAACAGACGCAAATGATGCCGAAGAAGATTATAACAGACTCCATTAGAAAGCAGACGATAAGTAATGTTCTTGTTGCTTTGAGAATGAACTTGAGACGAAGGTCTATTCATATTTTCCGTTGACGGTGTGCCCTTATATCGAACAGCCTTCAATCTCATGTACTCCCGGCCGAAAGCGGAGAAAAAGCAAGCGAGGTATAAATTGGTCATGTTGATACTTTTAGTTTTGCTCTAAGGGTCTGGAGTCCACAGCCCTTTCTCCTGCTGGAGTCTGCACGTTTGAACATTCCTCTATGGGGAGGCCTGCCTTTCGAGGTGGATCTATAGATATCCCCTGGACTTATGTGACATGCAATCCTCGCCTCTTCTGCGATTCGAGAAAGGGCATATCCTCTATGCCGCCCTGGCACCTTGAGTCCATAGTCCGAAGCCACTTGCCGGTCGTACACAACCAGAAGTAGCTAGTGGGTGAGGTGAGGTGATGAGGATTGAATGCTTTCCCCCAATCACACAATCAGAACCTCGCTGCTTGGCAGCAGTGCTGACATGGACCTTGTCCTGCCCTCCGCCCCAGGGACCTTTTGAATTCTCTGAATCACGGCGGCAACGACAAAGCCTCTGCTTGTGCCAGGGACTATAGACCAGACAACATCTGCGATGGGCGCTTCACTTTGTCCCCTTCTGCGGCCGCGTCACAACCCGCGCCGCACAGAGCGTGTACGCCAATCGAAGGGGTGTTGGAAGCTATCTCAACACGGCGGCGTGGTCTTTCGAGGATGCTTTGGTCTACACAAAAGGCACTTCGCCGTCCTCGCCAGTCTTCGACGAACTCGTTTGACGGTCAAAGTCTCGGTCTCCTGATGACTCGTCCCAGCCTCAGTACGGCTTCGCGACCTTCCTCGCCTCGCTCAGTCCGGTTTCCGGATCCTTGTATTCCTTCCACGAGACCGGGTACATGGCATTGCCAGCCTCACTAACCGCCATAATGACGCCAAACTCGTTGCTCGCCGTAGACAAATAATAATTTGCCTGGTCACCAAGGGAGATCTGCACACACCCCCATACGTCCATCATCAGTAATCGCCCCTGCCCCACACACAACAACCATTGAATAAAGGAAAAAAAGTGGGAAAGACTCACCACCGAGGCCCGCACAATGTCCCCCGGCCTGAAGCTCTCATAAACCTTGACCCGATCCTTCTCTGTGGCCCGCGCGTCCTGCACGCGGATTACGCCCTGCCACTCGGCTTCCAGGACCGTCTCGCCGCAGACCAGGATGGAAGCGACGGCCTGGCGTGGGGTGATGCGCGTGACACGGCACAGCACCACGTTCCCGACCTGTGGCAGGACCTCACGCTGCCTCTTGGGCGTCACGGAGCGGCTGACTGAGATGGTGGGGAGCTCGCTTGCCGCGGCGCCAGTACCGCTGCTGCTGTGGAGGGAAGCCGTGATCTTGGTCAGCCGCTTTGCGGGACCTCTGTTCGTTGCCGACGACTTCGAAGAGGAGTCGGGCTCAGAGACAATAACTGCGCCGAGGAGGGAGCTGTACAGGTTGGACTCGTGGAGATGCACGCCTGGGCCGGGGCGATATCTGTTGGCGGGGCCGAGGAGCTGGCCTGGCAGCACGATCGAGGCGGTCGCTGCCATTGATGAGGAGTGCAATTGGTTTGCGTAGAGATGTAGTGCTCTGTGATCGCAAGCCGGGCGTTAAAAGGACGGACGTTACGAGACCGAACTGTACAACGATTCCAAGATGGTGGTCGAAAACAGTGATGTCGTTTGGCAAACGCAGCAGCTAGGGAAATTTTAGCGGGGCCCTCGAGGAAAACCACCACTAACTTACTATGGCGCTACGCAAGTATTCCCGTGGCTTTGGTACCACGTCAGTGTACCTGACCCGCCAGGGCAACAGATTAGATAAGGATAGGGTGACTGTAGGGACCCTGCAATAGGAAAGAAGCTTTAGAAGCTCTGGTACCTCTCCCCTGTCCGGACAAGCAGGAGATGACGCCAAAAAATCCAAAAATCTGTAGGGGTCCTTTATTCACAGCAGCACACCGCCCATCCTACATTGCCCATCACACACCACCACATCAGTACACCACCACTACCGCCACCACCACCATCTTACCAAAGCAGTATCCTCCTGCACGATCACACCGCGGCGCACCAATTGTTTGTTAGTCGCTTGTCCTATTCTCCTCCATACGACATACAGCACCCGTTTCAAGAGGTTGTTAGAAAGCAAAGGAGGAAAGAAGAGGATTCAAAATAGAAGAAAAGACGAAAAGACCGAGTCCAAAGTAAAAGCTAATTCAACAACGTGCTACCATAGAAAACAAAACCAAACAATGGCTCGCGTCCTCACCCTGCTCGCCCTCCTCGTGGGCCTGCTCAGCCCCCTGTTCTACTTCCTCGACGGCCACCTCGAGTCCTTCTACATCTTCCACCCAGACCACCTGCACGATCTCGCCCGCCGCGGCATCGCGGCCCACGGCAACGATACGCGCTCCGTCGTCAAATACATTGTCGACGAGCTGCACACCCAGCCCAGCACCGCGGCCCATGTGAATCTGGACGAGGAATGGGTCTTTAACAACGCCGGCGGTGCCATGGGCGCCATGTACATCATCCACGCGAGTATGTAATCTTCCTCTCTCCCTCCTCCTTCTACCTTTCTCTTCCTATCTGGCCCCCATCCCCGAGAGCACGCGGCAAACCAAACCTTCAAACCTATTTCTTTTTCCTTCTCTTTCTTCTTGATTTCGGCCAAAAAAAAATAAAAAAAATAACACAAGATTATCAGGCGTCACCGAGTACCTCATCATCTTCGGCACCGCCGTAGGAACAGAAGGCCACACAGGCCGCCACACAGCCGACGACTACTTCCACATCCTCTCAGGCGAGCAGCTCGCCTACGTCCCCGGCGAGTACGAGCCCGAAGTCTACCCCCAGGGCAGCGTACACCACCTTGTCCGCGGCACCGCCAAGCAGTACCGCATGCCCGAGGGCTGCTTTGCCCTCGAGTACGCCCGCGGCTGGATCCCTCCCATGCTCTTCTTCGGCTTTGCCGACGGCCTGAGCAGCACTCTCGACTTCCCCACCCTGTGGCGCACCACCTGGGTCACCGGCCGCGAGATGCTCGGGAACCTGGCCATCGGGAAGTTCTAAATAAGGACTGGTCTGTAGAGGGGGGGGGGGGGGGGTTTGACCTCTGTATACGCACCCTAAGATGTGGTGAAAAGATTTGGTCCCTTTTGAACACCGGACAGGCATACTGGTGGATTCCTCGGATTGGAGGTTGCTTGCTTCAGAAAATCTTTAATAATTCTGTGACGATCGCCCCAGGGGGGTGGGGGGGGGGGGCGGCGCTGGGGAACACAAAGGTTGATACCAACAAACTTAGACAAAAGAGGGTGGCAATACGTCCCCTGGCATGCTTGGTGCTGCTGCGCGCAATTAATACGCCACGTACATAGGCCGCAAGTACGGCTTGTAATAAACATTGATTGGGTAGACAAGGGTCGTCGGCGGTGCTCATCACAGCTCGAGGCGGGCCCTTTTGAGTACACTGTTCCTGAATTCCACGAGCCATGCTCCTGAGGCATTGATACTATACTAAGAGGAATGGCTTATCTCAAAAACATTGCTGCTCGTGCATGGTCTAGACAAGAATGGATATCCATAATCTTCCATTACACAAATACCTAAAATTGGCCCTGGCACCAGTATCATAGGAGCAGATATCTCTGTAAGCTGTTTGGACAGATAGAAACAAGACCTAAATCAATTAAACTTCGTCCAAGGTCGCGACCGAAGTCTATACCCGCCGGCCCGATTCCTAAATCTTTTTGCCAGCCCCGACACCATTTTTGTTTTTGTTTTGGAGAGCCATAATTTCCGAATGCCGAGCGCGCGGCTCTGAAAACGCCGTCCGCCATGATTGTAAATGTGATGATCAGAATGGGTGAGCATGCGCCGTGTTGTGGTGCATCACCAGCAAACCCTCTTCGTCTTTCTCCCTGTGGTGTGTGACACCTTGTCCGTCTGACCTAGTGCGGAGGCTGTGCGTAGAATGCCGTTCAGATTTGTTGGGTATCGATCGTCATTGAACTTCGTCCAGGAATCATAAAGCATCCTCGCCATTTCCGACGTTCCGTTGCGGCCCGCCCGCTTTCTCAAAGGGGGTTTGGGGAGAGGAAGGGGGGGAGGGGGGCTGTTGGTGAAGAACGGAATGCGTGATGCACAGAAGACCCCCTGTGCTGAGGTTCAAACTGCCGTTAAGTCCAGAACCCCCGCGGTTGCCACTCTTATCTGCGTGTTGAGGTGCAGTGAGTGATTTCCGAGTTTCTGCCTCAAGTTCGGTAAGATAGTTTCATTACGCAAGCCATTCTTGATCACCTCTCGCAGACACCCTCATGGTGAGGCCGTCATCTTCTTCTTCGCTGTCATACTCCTCGTCTGGCTGGCCCCTAGTCGGCGACCCGACCAGTACAAAATCCTCCTCGCTCTGGCCAAGACCCAAGGCAGCACTGTCCATCCAGGTCTTGCCGTTGGCGCTCTCCTCTAACGGGAAGGTTTCTCTTGCATACTCCTCTAGGCCTCGAGGACCTTCCCACAACTCCATAGCGACGGCTGGGCAGCTTTCCTCCAGCGCACGGTCGCCAAAGTACGGTGGTTGTTTCGCAGGATCGTCACCGCCGAGGAGGAACAGTTTCTCCAGAGCCTCAAGCTGTACCCTGTAGCCATCTGGGATCTTGACCTTGATCTCGATCTCGCCCCTGACATATGTGACCTTGCGACCAACGCCGTTGGCGAACTGCTCGCAAGCCTCTCGTGGAGACAGCATTTCCCAGGCGAGTGCTATACGCTTCCCACCCCATTTCCCCACGCCATCCTTGAAGACCTGCAGTATCGCAGGGCCCATATCGTGCTCTGCGTCGAGCCACGGCAGCTTGACGTCTGGGTGGAAGGGAGCCTGCCACACGAAGGAGCCGTCTTCCTGCAGGTCCATGCAGAAAAGGGGGAAAAGCAGGCTGGTGAAGTTGTTGTTGTAAATGCCCGTGTACACAAAAGTTGCTGGAAGACCGATCTTCCTGACGTACTCTTCAACCTTGTGCTTGGACGCCCAAAGTGGTAAACTAGGCCAGGCGTCATTGTAGGCGTGGTGGTCTGGCATGGAAGAATAAATGTAGTGCTGTATGCCCGCCTTCTTGGCAGCATCTGCCAGACACAGTCCGATCTCCACCTCGTTGCCGTAGAAGGTAGTGTTGATGAAAGCCAGCTGGGCACCACGGAACAGCTCCGAGATGAGAGCATGATTGATCCCGATGCCGGAGATGGGTCCATCCTGTGTTAGGTCCGCGCCTTCAGACTTGGGCCCGTGTCTCGTGTAGAGCTCCCCCTGGAACAGGGTAACGTTTGGATTTGTTGCGATCTCGGTCGCAATGATGCCGTCCATGTTCCGCATCTGGGCCCGAACATGATACCCGACAGCTGTGGCCACGCGGATCACTGAGGCGGCCTGACGACCACCGGCATTGATGATGGCGATTGTCTTGTTGGGCGTAGGCATAGACCGCTTCGCAGGACGGTGAAACGTCAGGGAATTGTTCCGCGAGCTGAGCAGGGACCCTGCGTCCGAGTAGGACGACCTCGAGTGCTTGTGTCTCCGCTCGTCATTTGGCTTGGTCCTTATGGGGATGCTCAGCGGCTGGGCGGTGTTGTGCTGCGCAGGCCTCACGGGGAGCTCTGCATGAGGCATCTCGGATTTTGTTGAGCAGATGGCCATTCCTGAAAGGAACCAAGCCCAGCACCCTTCTCAGCCCAGTGAGGCACGACTGGCTATCTGCCACGATCCCAAGAAATTCCTCGCTTGGACAGCGCTAGTATCTGTGGCTCGGCGATGAGAGGGAACTTTGCCAATGGCAATATTGCGGCGGGGAAGAAACAGAGGGACGTGAGAGACGTCTTGTGACCTGCCCGTCGAGTAAGTTCAGATCGACGCAAGAGAGTTAGTTGCCAGGCTTGTTGAGAGGCAATCAGGGAGGCGATTTTTCCCCAGGTTTAAAGCAGCCGAGCAGGGCAGGTCATATAGCGTGAGGAGAGTCCCGGGTCGACGAGCGACGTGCGAAGAAAGGGAAAGATAAGGTAACGCCAGATGCTTTATGCGGCCGAAAGCTTATTAGCGCACCCCGGAAAGTGACCCTGTTACCACACAGAGTACGTACGTCCCGTTGTCACCCGCCCACACACCTACAGACCCTGATAGGATCTAGACTGATACTTGTGGGTTGATGATTTGCGGGCTGTGGCACCCAAAGATGTCTAATACGGACTCGTGCTGTCCTGCAGCGAAATGCCTCCTCTCCTGCAGTGCGCATTAGCGGGCCAGTGATATCTGGAGACGAATGCGGGGCAAGAGAAAGCACCGCCTGGATGGATGGATGAATGGAAGGGAGAAAAAGTATTGGGGATAATTCTGCCACGGTGCACACACTTTGGCCCTTACGGGAACAGTAACCGCCTTGGCAGTGCTCTCTGGCTTGAGCTTGGGGTATCAGGAACGAAGAAGGTGAAAGGGGGGGGGGGGGGGAGGAGATCACATCAGATCGATCAGGGGGAGCAGACGCCTCCTTGTGTAACGTAGGGAGACCGGCGTCTTCCAGGGGCACAACAAGGACCGAGATAAGAGGTGCAGGCTGATGTCACCTGTGACAAACAACAAGAAAAAGAAAAAAAGAATAGCTGCAGGAAGGACGAAAGAGGGGGAAAGGTGCCCGGTCAGGGAGAAGGTTGCAAGGGATTGTCACGTACCAGGTAGGTTAGCTATATTACTTCTTCGAGGCCCGTGCAGGTCAGGTACAATCGGAGGGTGCAGGCACAACAAGGGTGATTATATGCAGGTCACAAAAGTGAGCAGCCGTGGGCAGTGTCAATGGTTTGCGACAGCAGCAAGCCAAGCAAGCAAGCAGCAGGACGGATGATGGCGCCCAATGCGGTGGCCGGGGCAGATACGGCAGGTATTAGTAGTAGGCGTAAGGTGAGGGCGAGGAGGGTGACAGGGCGAGTGCGGACAATTAGTTACTCGCAGGTCCACAGCAGCCAACGGAAGACCCCGTTAAAAAGTATGGGGTAAGAGAAAAGGGTTAACGACGAAGACAAACGGCAGATCCACTGGCGACGGTAACCTGGTGGAAGAGCCCAATCGGGACGTCCAGAGAATAGGCGTGGTCCGAGGGGATGGGGGCTGGCTTGGGGCCCTGCTGGGGACCAGGAGGACGCTTTCCGGATGAATAGGGAGCGTTATCTCAAGAGGATCCAGCGTAATGCAGCGAAGCGCAGTGCAGTGCAACTATGCGGTGCAGGGCAGGTCGTCAGGAGCCACAGAGTGCTGGGGCCACGCTATCAGCGAATGATGCTGGTCCTCAGCGTCCTCTCGGAAGATTTCGCGGTGATCCGGCCGGGACCGGTGAGGGATCCCCAAAGGAGCGTGCAGGTTGACAGGCCGGGAAAGCTGAGGGGGCAAAAGTGGCTGTCGATCTGCCTGCCTATTTGTTGATGGTTTGCGGATGCTCGTGCTTGCGTCTGGCCTGCTGGTTCTGGCCTTCCAGGGGTGTTTCCCAATGGTCTTGTGTTTTTTGTGTTATTAGTGATGTCGACCGCCGGGGACGGACACCGGCAAGGGGTATGCGCGAGGTAGTCGGCCGACTCTAGATCCGGCTACGAGGAGCCGAGAAAAGATAAGAGACGAGGCGGTCGTTGGCCAGGGTCGTCCTCGTGTTGACGGTCTGGTGACGAGCAGTTGTAAGAGTTGGGTGCTGCGCAATGGTCTGGTCTGGATCCGTCCTTTTCCTTCTGCTTTGTTGTTCGGTGTCTCGGCTCACGGCGCCTCCGTCATAAGCTATAGAGGGAGGAAGAGAAACACTCAAAGACACGAGGCGAGAGAGTGGGAGAGTAAGAGAGAGATAAGAGAGGGAGCAAAACAGGATAGCATAAGAAAGTGAAAAAGTCTTCCCGTGCGAGTGAGGGTCTTCAAAGGCAAGATCCGCCGAAAACGTGGAGCAAGGACGGGATGTGGACTATGATCCGTCAAGGTACTGCGACGCCTGCGCGTACTAAGTACTGTACATATAAAAGTACAATAGGACAGGTGCTGCAAGTACTGTCGTACCCAAGTACCTTTTGCTGCGACCAAGTACGTACATGCCATAGTGGTAAAACCACCATGCACCCTGCGACTCAAGAGTTCCGTAATGCGGAGGATAAGGAAAAGGATAAGCTAAAGTGGGCAGTGGGGTGGGTACTCCGCGCGCCGCCATTTTCTACAGCAGCAGGTGTCATGCTAATCGTACATGATTAGCTAGTAGAGAAGTAGGCCCGGCTGTCGAAGTCGGGGTTAGTCCGTCCGCAGGGGGGGCGATGCTGGGTTGCTGTGTGTTGGGTGCATGTTGTCAGTCGAGATCATCGCTTTTTCTGTTTCTTTCTCTTTTTTTTTGGCCTGTTTTTGTGTGAGGTCGTGTGGTGTTTGGTCTGTCTTGGCGCTGGTCTGGTCTGGTGAGCCGCAGCAGGGAAGAAGGTAGTGTGAGACAAGATAAGAAAATTCATGCTGTGTTCCAAATGCAGGGGAAGATAAGCACCGGTGTGATCAAATGCAAAATCGACGGAAGGAGAATGGCCTCGTTCTTTCCTGCCCATCGTAGTTGTCTTAGTTCTTCGTTGGACCCTAGCGTGAGGTGGAGGGAAGGGACCCCTTTGAGCCTTTGGGGCTGCAGGCTAATACAGGACATGCAGTAGCACCGCGTAATTACCAGGTAGTAGGTATGTAAGTACACGAGGTGGTCAGCACTTCTATGCTCTAACAAATGCAGACTGGTTTGTGCCCGCCAAAATCCGTCTCATGCACCGTTGTTGGTTGCGCCTGTCAAGGTGCTCAATAATATTGGCCAACAAATTGTATTATATCCCGCCACACAGGCCGTGTGGCTCGTTCTAGATGATAGCGAAAACCTGCGAGCTCGGCGTTCCGAAGCAGCTATGAAAGCACCAAACATGGTAGTTGAGTCACTTGTCCAAAGTGCGAGGTCATTAGGTAAAAGAATCCAGCCGTTGGTCATAGGGGCTTGGTTCGGATTTTGATTGATATCGTACTTGGAGAAAAGACGAAAAAATTTTCTGTGTCTCCATGCGCCTCGGGACGCGCTGTCATTGGCACCGGATTTCGAGAGCCTGAAAAGGAACGTTTTCTTTCGCATCTCAACTCTTTTATTACTGTTCTATTTGGCTCCATCTGCATTGAGGTCAAATCAGGCAAGACAGGCTAAGGCACGCCAGGCAGTTTTTGTTTGGGCAGGGCTTTCCTGTGTCTGTCATAAATCGGAAACTGATGGTGCATGCGAATGCCGTGGTACCAAATGACGGCCTATACTATAGCACGTACCCTCGTCAACTTTGTAACCATTGGAACTGCACCTACTTCGGTGACATATGCCAGACCAGGACATATCTTACCTAACGAAATGTTTCCTCTTCGGGCGCCTAGGGAGTACCAAGCCTCTCTCTGATTTGCCGCCCAGCTGGGGGCCCTGGAGCAAAAGCCCCGCCAAGCTTTTTTGACCTTATGTAGGAGCAGAACCGCACGGGCTATCCAAACCACCTGGCATCCTGTGTGGCCAACCGCACCTTCCGCACCCCACCTCAACAGTTACTGCAGGGAAGAGAAAAGGAAAGAACGACAGTAAACTTCAGAAAAGGTGGGTGGCATCTCGTCATCCCAACGTCACTGCGCGTGGTACCTCCTCTCGTCGAGAGATTTTTCAAGTGTCAAATCTTGCACAATACCACCACGACCAACCTCTCCCTCCCTCCCTCCTCCTCCTCCTCCTCCTTCTCCTACTGCTGCTGCTGCTGCTGCTCCCCCTCCACCATCACAACCAAGGCAGGGACACGAGTAAAGGGTCTCAGCCTCACCCTTGTTTACCGCACCTGAACGCATTGGCCCCAAGCTACCATCCGTCGGTGTGAGACCCTCATACTATTGACAATTTGGCACCAAATGCGAAAGGGGGAGAAAAACAGAAGCAGCTTCCTTCTCGCTTCTCAGGCCCGTGGGCCGCCATCCCAAGCATCCAAAACCGTCGGGCACCTTGGGGCCCAGCGGGACGGAAACTTCGAGACTTGGAGAGGTCTAGTCGGCTGGAACACTGCTAGTGCGGGCTCCTCCTCTAGTGGAGGGCCATTCTGGACCTCTACAGCGCATTGCACACCGTGGCTATGTGGTAAGCATGCCTGACGAGAGCCCCTCTCCCTCTCCCCCTCCCCCGAGCCCCTCTTTTCTGTTACGTACAAGGTCGGCTGAAGTAACGCCATTTATGGCACTTTTCAAGCAGGGACTGCGGAAACCCCATGCCGTCATGGGACATCTATCGGCAAAAACTCGCACTCTGCTTCTCCGCGGATGTGTGCAGGTGCGATAGCCGTAGCCCTCAGACTGCAATGACCGATCGTCTGTCGCTCTTGGAACTTAGGTAAGAATTGAGATACTATGTAGCCCACAACTAACATTCTTTCCACCGCCCTGCTACCACTACCACGGCGTAGGGAACAAGCTTTGGTCCCTGGGGGACCGCATGGGACCACATGGGACTGCAGCAATTCTTCCCCCTCTATACTGTTCAGGGGGCCAAGCCGCTGCTCGAATAGCTGACCCTACCGAACCTCCCCCCGTGGGGGAGGCTGACAAAGGTTTTTGCTTGCGCGCCTAGAGAACTAAGTCCAATTTTTGCTTGAACCCACCCACAGCTTTGGGCAGCGCGATACGTCTAAGATCACGACTGGCAAGGTGGACTCTGAATTTCTAGTGCTATTGCTCCTGCTGCTGCTGCTGCTGCTGCTGCTGCTGCTGCCGGGCCTTGTGGGCTGGATGTAACGTCTTCGGGCAGTTCTACGCGTCGTTCCGACTACTATGGTCCACGTATAGGCAGGCTTCGACCCCCGGATTCTGGTATATATCGCGTTCGATCAAAGAAGTGATTTGGGTGCTCTTCACTGCGGCTCCTTCACGTTTGACATGGCAATCAAATAATAGTAAACGAGCTCTAACCCCAAGCCAGTTGGCGTACAAGCTCCCTTCCGATCGGGTTCACACGACTACTCCTGGACTTAACCTACTTGGAAGGATCCTCGGGTCAGAAAGACGCCTCTCGCCCCGTCGGCCATGCTCCAGCATCGCCAGGTCGCCCAATTCGCCGTCAAAAATACGATCTATCCCTCTCTGCTGGCCAAGTGGGTGGCCTGGAAATCCAGTAGCCCCGCAGGCCACCAGGCCACACACTTCGAATTATGGACCCGGCTGGAAGGGTCCGTCCATAAAGTCAGGGTCTGCAAAATTGATCTGGTCAAAGGACATGTCGTGTCCAAGCCACTGTGTAGTGGATGACGGCTCCACATTGGCGTTGGCCCGGATGGCATTTTCTAACGAAGCCTGCCAAGTGAGATGCGGTCAGCGGAATTGCTCGCAGCGCTGCTCTGTCGGCCTCGCCCATGTGTCGAGGGTGTCTGGGATTTTCATTGCTTACCCAGTCTACTGTTTCCATTGCTCCTGGAAGCCAGCCTGCGTCGGGCCCAGCATTTGCTATTGTAGGGGTTGGTATGAAGCCATCCCTTAATAATGGAACTTGCGACTCGGGCGAGCTCTGCACCGCGCTGGACAGAGCTGCGGATGAGGACATTTCTGAGGTTTTCACTTTGTGTCAGCCTTGGTTCCTACGGGGGTTGGCACAGCACCACGTGCTGATATGTTCTAGCTTTGGAGTAGGGACAGACGGTTTCCCGCATGAGATCTGTCTTTTTTTTTTGGGGGGGGGGGGGGGCACAACTGACCGCTTGTCCCAGAATTAGCCACCGCAAATCCAGTTCTTGTCCAAGGCCTTGTGGTTGGCTCCCGCCGGCCGTCAGCCGGGGACAACGTCCCTCTTTGAGCCCTAGGGCTCTGCGCAAGTTTGCGGAACATGGTCTCGAGCACCTCTGGTGCCTTCTTCAGCTCTGGATTCTCAAGAGCTACCTCTTTCCATATGCTGTGTGATCTTTTGAGCAGCTCCAGCAGCTGTTGCCTGTTCGGCAGGGGCGTATGCTTATCCCTCAGGTCGTACTCTCCACCGGGCTCGTTGTACGTCTCGTTCTGCAGTATGAGGTAGACAATCATGGCACCCAGCAAAAAATCATGCATGGCTAGGCTGGAGACAAACCAGCCGTTCTGGGCCAGAAGACGGCCTGGCTTCGTTGCCTCGAACAAGGTGTTCTGGTACTCGAGGAGCGCGAGCGCACCCAGCACGCAGACCCGCCGCGAGTAATCGTGCTCTGGCTTCGGGTCTTTCTCGACCAGGTACCGCCTGTGCAGGACACAGCGGGCCTTTTGGTATAGACCTCCGAGGCCGAACCTTTGTATAACCTGGAACGGTGAGTCTGTGATGCACGTGTCCAGCGGGCGGACCTTCATGAAGCTTGGGATCGCCGCCCACCTCTCCTCCAGCAGGCCGTCGATCTCCATGACCTCTGCATAGGTCGGCACGGTCAGGGAGTGTGCCTGGCGCGCCACCTCCCCAAATACCTTGCAGATGGAGGATTTGTAAATGGGGTACGTCATGTGCGTATAGTCGGTGGACGTCCTCTCGGGCGGCATCTCGACCGTGTCCTCGTCAAAGTCCTCGTCCAGCAGGTTGTGGGGCGGCAACGTGTCACTCTCGATCCCGTGGATCATGCTTGGCAGTCCCAGGTGGAAACTCACCATCAGGTCGATCTGGATGGCCAGGTTCCACAGCCGGCGCCGCATCTCGGCGTCGTATGCACTGAGCTGCGCCCCCGGCAGCTTAGATGGGTCTCGATGCAGGCCCATCTTCAGCATGATACGTATGCACACGCCTGACAGCAGGTAGCAGTTCATGTGCGAGACGCGGTTGATGAGGAACTCGGACTCGACGTAAAGCAGGAAGGGCGCGCAGGTGGACGTCGCAGGCGAGGAGTAGCTGTAGCGGCCATCGCTGCGGGAGGACGTCGTCAGCGCCCAGCCTGCTGCATTTCGATACTGGCGGAACCGCTGGGTTGGCGTGAGCGGGGTGTCATCGAGGGCGAGTTCGCTATTGAATTTGATGAGCCAATTATCCATGCAACTGATGAGTGTGAGACTCCGACTAGAAAAAGCGGTTGGGTAGCCGTGATCCCCTTTGCGAGCCTCGTAAGGTGTGTAGGTCCTACGCTCACCAAGCTTGGTGTAATCTAGGCAGAGGAAGAAGAAGGGAAAACTTACTGAGGCGCCGAGAAGGACGAGAAGAAGATACCGAGTGAGAAGACCATGAAGAGCAGAGCAAGCCAGTCCATGTCTATGGCTGAAGATGCAGTATTGTTCGCGAACTCGGTGTACTGGTGCCCCGTTGTCAGCTTTCGGTCTCTTCCCAGTCCTAGTGGTATTCAGGATCCAAGGGAAATAGTATTTGACCTTACCCTTTTGACAAAGGTGGGCTTGTGGACGATATCTGTACGTGACTGCCAAATCAGTATCATGAAGAGAAAACAATTCCCTACAAGACGGCCAAAAATGAAAGTCCCCAACGTACGCTGAGAAGCCGAGCCCGAGCTGAAATACCGCATCACCAGCCTGTCGGCAATGCCTCTCGGCGGCAGCAGGGCGAGCAGATCCTGCTTGCTCCGCGGGGCCACCGTGTTCACCATCAACAGCTCGGGCGAGTCCGCCTCGGGCGTGGGATCCGCCGAGTCATCCTCAACCGGCCAGTCGTCGTCGTCGTCAAAATAGCTCTTGAGGTCCTCGATCTAGAAAAGGATAAATTCTCAGTCAGCCAACCTTTCTACATAAAAATAAAATAAACATGACGGGGGCCTTTCCTCTCGTAAATGAAGCCACAAAGGAGGAGGAGAAAGAGAAAAGGGGTGGGGGTTACAGACATCGTCCAGCATGGCCATGAAGTGCGTAGCACCCACATAAGCCATGCTGCCTCCCCGCGCTCCGCTGGCCGAGACGACCATGCCACCGGCCGCCTCGTCCGCCGTCGTGCCTACACCGGCACCATTGCCCTCCTTCTCGGGTGGCCCCGCTACGGCAGCACTTCGCGATGATTGTTGCGGCGAGACCTTGGTGGTAGTGGTGGGGGCGCTGGTGGTGATGTTGCCCTCCTCGTCGATCATGCCTCTCACCATGCCCTCGAGTCTCTTGAGCCGCGCAGACATGCTCTTGGGGGGTCTATTGCGCACTGGCTTAGGGGCATAGACGCAGGCGGATGGCCGGGCCTTCTTGAGGCATTGGGAGCAGGGACTTTTTTGTTGGAAGGATTTGTTAGTCAATTCTTCTTCTTTCTTGCTGTGTAAGCCATTTCTATTATGAGAATTGATGAGGAGGAGGAGGGATATGATCTTTGGGCTTTTGGCGTGGGAGGTATGGACTATCATGTAATAATCCGTTTGGCCACAAGCGCGATAAAACATGGTCATCCCACAGTAATTTCCTTTCCATGTCTCTATAGAGATAGTAAAGGCGAGGGAACCAAGACATTACTACTCACACTCCCCGGTCACACTTCAGCTTCGACATCCGACATGGCGCACATGAGAGAAGCACCCTCGACCTCTTGGTGGTTGGGACGGTATCGGTGTTCGAGGTCGACGGGCCGGAGCTGCCAGGCGATACCCTCATGGGTGTGTCTATCTCCATGACGGAAAGTCTCTCTCCCTCGAGTCGGTGAAGTGATCAAGACATTCAGTCGGTCAGTCACTTAGTCGTTCACTCATATATCTATAGAAATAAAAATAAGAAGATGAATATAAACGTGAGAGTCCGATGCGTCGTCTCTAAGACTCATGGAGTCTTGTTGTCGAGAAGTCCGAGAACAGTATGCAGCGTAAGATATATGGATGGCCTCGGGACAATTTGGCCGAGTACACTGTGTTCTCTTCCGAGAGAGGGTGTTCTCTTGAGCGATTGGAGTCTCCGAGTGTTAGTGGTAAGGATCTCAACGTTAATGAAGAGACAGAATCAAGTTAGGCTTTAATAGTGAGCCTGATGTGAGAGAGGGTGGAGAGTTTTCTTAGTCAGCTGCTAATTTAAAGTCATATAGTGCCTAGCAGGCAGCCGCAGTATTGACGCAGTAGTAGGAATGCTTGGATTCAACGTTCTGCCTACAAACAGGGGAGTATTTTGGTTGTTATCCAGCTGACCAGCTTTTACCAAAATCAAAAACATGCACGTTCTTTAGCGCTTTTCGAATTAGATTAACTCAATTTCCTCAGCTGCCGTAGCCCGAGCTGTGTACTGGAAATCTTTAATAGATTTTTCTTCGCCTCGTACCTGGAGCCTGCTATTTGACAGTGTTAGAGAACAACTCTTAGTGGAGCAGTCGTGTTCCCAGACTCCCTCGTCTACGAAGCCATCAACTTGCTCATCCCTAACTATAGAGCGATAGACGTCTTCAAAATCCCTGTGAGGTATCCTGACCAGAGGCAGGCAGAGGGAGGGGCCCCTCTGCTCAGTAGCACTACCACCGCCGCCCTTCTTTCGAGGACTTCAGAGAAAGGCCAGCTGGATTAACTTCCGTTGATAGCTAGACGTGTTACGCGAAAAGGGCGGTCGCGGCAGAACCCGGTGTGTTTGAAAAGCGAAGGAGCCAGGTGGGCGGGCGCAGTACCCGGTCCCTTGGCACAACCCTCGGACCACGTCTCTCGACGTCGGCAATGCCCACTTGCCAGCGAGGACCTTGGAGATATTCGAGATGACTGCTCTGTGTGGAAGTCATATGACAATTGCGTCAAGATATACCGTCTTGAAGCCGAATGCCAACGATTTGACAACTTGGACCGCAGGCCGAGCAGCTCAGGTTGAAGGAGCATCTGGCAGTCTCTCAATGACATATTTGCCCCGGCCGACGCTCATAATTGGCACACCGGGAATCTTGCGAAGACGACGCTTCAGGTCTCGGTCGTTTGTGGCGACAATGTAGATGCGGTGCTTCATGCACCTGTCGACGATGCAATCGTCGGCGTAGGTTCCGCTGTGGACGGACTCGCAGGGGAGGCGCTTCCACCGTTCGTCGCGGGCGATACGAAGGGCAATCCGATATTTGGGCCCAAGCTTCTCCAACTCTGCAGCGATCTTGTCAGTATCCTTGTGTGCTTTGGAGCACTTACAACAACAAAAAGAAACACGTACCAGCCATAACACACGAGGTGATCAGAACCTCGCACTTTGCGTACAGTGCGTCCATCATGCCTTCGAGCAACTCGATCTTCCGAGAGACGGTATGGGACAGGAAGTTGGTATCGACGAGGACCTGATAGGGAGGTACGAGGGCCGTATTGTGCTGGAAGAACATGGACGACGGTGCCTGGGGCACCTCGCGGACTTTTCGACACTCTCGTCAGCATAGACCTTGGCTCCGGCGGCTATCCAAGAGAACCGTGGAGAACCTACTCAGCTCGCCATTTGCGGTGGCCTTCTTCTTGGTCTCCTGGACGATGTCGGCCTTGTCCTTATTCTCCTTGAGCCGTGCATCCCGTTTGCCGATGATGCGCTTAGTTTGCTGGAGGGGCCCAAAAAAGCTGGGTCAGTTTGACGATGCTTCACGACAAGGGAGAGGAGAAAGGGGAGCATGGGAGATTAAATCACTGACAGCAAATTTCCTGGTCGTCTTTGCGACACCCATTTTGCATATGTATCGCGAAGATCCTTTGAGTGCAAAGTTGGTTGTCACTTGAGATGTTGTTCCAAGTGACGGGCTTGATCCAAATCGCAAAGCTCAAGGAAAATTCACCCCCGGTAAATTCCAACTTTGACGGGGCAGCGGCAGGCAGCGGGAACAGGGGGCCGAGAGGTGTGGGGGGAGGGGAAGAGGGCCAAGAGTTTAGTGGCAGCTGCAAGCGCTAATGGCAGGCGAACCCTCTGGGCAGGTCAGGCGCTGTTGTTGCTACTGCTACTGCCCAGCCTGTCCATACCTAAGTGAGGTTACCCACGCAGCCCTTGTGTACCCTCGGCCCGGCATGATGGCATAACGCGCGGCATAGACAAACCTAGCCCCTCTCATGATAACATACGTATGCAGGACATATAGATCTATATATATATGTATATGATGTATCCAAAGTGAGTTTCGCCATCTATGTGTTACAACACAACACTTCAGAACGAATAATATACTGTAGTACCTTGATCTATTGTACATCTTCTACAGAACCATCGAAAGACTAGCGGCTTGCAGGAAGAAAGTACCATGTATCATTTTCCCGTATTGTGTTGCTGGAGAAAAAAGATGCAGCGCTACCCAGATCTAGGATGGTTCGCACTGGCAGGCTGACAGGGGTAAATTTGACCCTTTGAAAGGATCGTCCCCCCCTTTCTACTACGAATCTAGCCTTGTCATGGGCCCCGTATTGTTCGTGACCCTTCAAGTTCAGAGGGGTCCTGTTCTGTCTGCCCTGGGTCCCTGCAGTGTCTGTCTCTGCCATGTCAGGGCTGTTGCTATGCTGGGGCGCAGATCTGGGCGTCTGCACTCTGCGGATCTCAATTCTTCCTCCACTTTCGATCCTCCTGGTCCTCCTCCTTCGCCTGACTTCATCCAGCTCTTTCATGCCTTCTCATTTCCTTCCCTTTTGCATCCACAAAGTCGCTCTCGAACACGCGCCGTGAGTTGAAACGACCACATCATCATCATCATCTTCGGCATTTCTGGAGTTTTGTTCGTGACTCGTGGTGACTTAGCTACAGCATCAGCATTACGCTCTTTTTGATTCCACTTCTCCTGCTTCGTACCACTTAAGAGGACGAGCCAAGGCACACTCCACTTTAGACTTCCGCTTCCCTCGGCTGCCTTGCTGCCTTGCAAAGCGCAGAAAAAGAGAGAGAGAGAGAGAGAGAGAGAGAGAGAGAGAGAGAGAGAGAGAGACCATCCCCCAGCCACGCGACACGAGTACGACTAAGAAAAATATCCGCTCTGGGGCGTTCACAGCGTGCTTCAGCTTTCTCGTGTTGGGCTGTGTGAATATCGTCATAACCACTCAACCTGCTTTTTCTGTTGCTAAGGAAGGATTGGCCTCCTCTCTCTCCGCTTCACCTCAGGCAGATCTCGGCAAGCCGGCCAAAACCACCGCAAGATGAGGGCCTCACGTTTCTCCCTGAAGCGCTCGCTGCTTCTCTCAACCGTTGTCTCGTTGACACTCTTCACTGCGGGATCCTTCGCAGCAGACACCACGACGACCAGTGCTACCGATGCAGATACAACGACAGCAGCAGCAGCAACAACGACAGCCGCCACATCCGCCACCAGCACCGACACATCGACAACGTCAACCACAACATCCACCTCGTCTACCAGTAGCGACGATGACACGACCACGACGTCGGCATCCATGCCTGGCCTCTCCACAAGCACCACAGCTTCTGCGAACTCTGACATGCCAACGCTGAGCACCTCGAGCGGGTCCGACAGCGACGGAACTGCCATTCCCACTTATCCCGCGCCGAGCGTGCCTCCTACGAAGGATGCCCCATACATGCAGACGTCCACCATGCCCGATGGTACCGTCTTCATTGCTGTGGGCGCCATTCTCGGCGCATTCGGTCTCGCCATCCTGCTCTGGCGCGCCATCATCGCCTGTCTGCTGCACCGCTCGGTCGAGAAGGCTGCGATGGCACAACACCTTGCCAACGACAAGACACCATTTCCGACCCCTCCCGCGCCTTTCTACAAGTATACCGATCACGAATCCGGCTCGGCACAGAACGTGGGCTCTGGCAGAGGCGTGCGCAGGACCAACAGAGGCCCCGTCCCGTCGGCGACGCCGTCTCAAACGAACTTGTTCTTCTCGCCTACCGCTGTGGCCGGCGCGAATCCTCGCGACTCGACGTACCGTGATGCTCCCAACCGGAACTCGACCTACCGAGACTCGCGCTTCCTGCCCGCTGGGTTCTACGCCGCCGGTCAATCGTCCTCCCCGCACAATGTCGACGGCGGCGACGGCTCCTCGATCAGCCTGAACAACCTGCGACCGGATTCGCGAGGGCATGCACACAGGCTGTCGGCTCAGCCCCTCACCGAGTCACCCGACTTTGGCCCTCAGCGGTCACCGATGGGCCACAGCACGAGCAGTGTCAATCTCAACGCACCGGCTGGCGGACGGGCGCCCAGCGCCTACCTGGATGACCTGCTCGCAGAGAATCCCGAGATGTTTCCACCTTCAGGGAGCACGCCGACGCCTACCAACGCCACCCACCCGAACCATCCTTACCGGCAGAGCGGCCGGTTCTAGTTGGACCCGATGAATCCTTGTCTGGAGACCAAGCTCTCCAAGGTTTCGGAGTGGAGCGGCGAGTCTCGTGCTACACATGAGGCTAAATTTCTACGGGACGGTCAGGAACATGAGACCCTGTAAAATTAAAACCCAGAGAAGAGGAGGAAAAGGACAAGAAGGCGCGGGATACGCAGAGGTAACTGCATTTTTAATTAATGTGGAGGCTGTGTTGTGATGGAAAACGTGATCAAGTTGGCTGGAGTTTGCGGGTTGGAATTTTGCTGCCTCTTGGCCATCATTGACGAGGTTCTGGCGTGTTTTCACCCTCTCAAGGCACTGCCCTTCTCAGGCTTGGGCATTAGAACGGAGTTGACCAGGGAGATTGGGAACAGAAACCTTTACGGTTCTTCCTTAGTTTTTGGCTTGATTGCTTTCTTGAGTACGTATGAACGTGCTCTCTTTTTTTTTTGTATATTGCTACCTTTGCTACATCAATGGATATCCTCCATTCTCTTCTTTTTCTCTCTTACAACAGCATTCATCATTTGTTCTCTCTCATAACTCCCAACAAGGACTCAATTTTTGATCGACACCGGTGGCTAGCTGCGAGATGGCGACGGCAACAGACACCATCTTGCTGAGCGGCGTGAGGCACAGCAGCGGCCGCAGCAACAGCAGCAGCACCTTGGCCTCGTGCAACTGCTACCTTTCGGACGCAGGTCTTGTGTGTCGTGTGTTTATCCTGTCAGGATCGGACGTGAGAGAGAGAGAGAGAGACACTGTGGGGGAAAATTTACTTTTCTTTTCACGATGTGAGAAACAGATATTTCTTGTTGTTGACAACAAGATGGTATCGACATTGACGGTAGCATATACACACAGATTTTTCTCATCTTCTACTATCTACACCAAAAAAAGAAATTCGACGCCCCAAGACAACAGACAATCAAGTACTCGATCTGCACCACAACAAGAGACAGAAGAAAAGGTGGGGAGAGAAGCCAAACAACGCCAGTGCCACCGCTCCACTCCCTTAGAAGGGAACCTGCTGGGCGTAGTAATCGATCCAGAGGTCGACCTGCTCATCCACCTGGGTGAGGGTGCGGTTGGCAAAGCCATCACCAAGGCGCATGATCTGGCGGGTGACACCGTCGTTGGGGGCCCAGTAGGGCAGCTCGTAGGAGCCGTTGCTGTAGGAGCCGCCGTCGTTGGGGTTGCCGGTCTTGGCAAAGTTGGCCCAGTAGGCGGACATCATGCTCTGGACGTAGTAGTCGTACTCGGTGAAGGGGTAGGTGTCATTGTTGGCGTACAGGGCGTTGAGGGTGTACATGATCTCGGACTGGTGGAAGGCGCCCGAGTCCTGGCCTGGCGGGGCGTGGTCCCAGGCGTAGGTGTAGATGGGCGAGGTGGCGTTGGACTTGAGCACCCAGTCCTGGGCGTACAGCCACTGCGAGACGGTGCCGGCGTCGGTGGTGCCAGCGTTGAAGGTCTCGCTGGCGTTGGTGGAGGTGTTGCCGACGGCGTAGTAGCGGAAGTAGTCGGTGCTCAGGTTGCCCATGCGCAGGGTGTTCCAGAGGGTGACCTCGTCGGGGGTGAAGTCGTTGGTGGGCGAGGCGCCGTTCTCGTCCTTGGTGCCGCCCGTGATCAGGGGCACATCGTTGGCCGGGCCGGCGAGGGCCTGCTCGATGTACTTCTCAGGCAGGACATAGCCGTCGAGGACGGGCTTGAAGATGAGAGGGTAGCCGCACCAGATGGCCGTGACCCACCACAGCTCGTCGGTGGGGATGCGGTCCTGGGAGCCGTCGAGCAGGTCGTCGACGGACAGCTCGCGCAGCTCGGCGATGGAGGTGGCGTTGTGGTAGGTGGTGTAGTTGAGGCCGTGCTCGATGGCCATGCTCATGTTGACGTACGAGGTGGCCAGGCCGGCAACCCAGGGGTTATAGGGGGTGTGGATGCCGGACTCGGAGATGGCGGCGTGGAACAGGCCCTTGAAGAGGATGCTGTTGACGGCGTGGTACACCTGGGAGGAGCCGAAGCTCTGGCCCTGGATGGTGACGCGGTCCGGGTCGCCGCCAAAGTTGGCAATGTTCTTCTGCACCCACTTGAGGCACTCAAGGTGGTCGAGCACGCCGTAGTTGCCGGACGAGTTGTGGCCGTTCTCGGCCAGGGACTCGGCGTTGAGCTCCGGGTGGGCCAGGTAGCCAAAGGCGTCGTCGCGGCGGTTGAAGGTGACGACAATCACGTCGTGCTGCTGGGCCATGCCGCCGCCGTACCACCAGGCGTCGTTGGAGGTCTCGTCGCTGCCCTGGTTCCACACGATGACGGGCAGCTTGTCGTCGGACGAGTTGGCCGACGTCCAGATGTTGAGGTTGAGGCAGTCCTCGCTGTACCCGGCGGTGCCCTTGCTGGGACACGGCGCGCCCCAGGTGTCGGCCACGAGGGTCTCGTTCCAGACCTCACGCGGCTGGGGGGGCTTCCACCGGTTCTGGTACGACGTGTCTGCGGCAAAGGGAATGCCCAGGAACGCCGTGACCGTCGACTCGGTCGTGCCGAAGAAGTCCTCGAGCACCGACTCGTCAAAGTACTTGTAGCCCGAGACGGGGCCGTACGTCGTCTGGATCGTCTTGTTCCAGAGCTGGGCCCGGGTGGGTGCCACGAGGGCCGCACCCAGCACACCCAGGGCCAGGCGGGCCGCAGAGGGTGTGGACGACATGACGGTCGTCGTTGTCGTTGCAGTAATGACCGTGGGGAGGTTTGTATTTATTTAGAGAGAGGAAGAGGGAAGTGAGCGAGGGTGGTGGATGAGGAGGAAGGAAGCAAGACTCATGGCCCGACGATCTTCTCTTGAGAGACAAGAGGGGATCACCAACATTTTATACTTACAAGTCACGACCTACCTATTCCCAACTACTTACCTACAACTAGCAAAAGAAAGAAAAAAAATCCCCCCTGGTCATTGATCGCCACGCATGACGCTGATGAGATTAGAGAAAGACGGAAAGAGACAAGAAACAAAACAAAACAACGAAAAAAAACGTAAGAATGGCATGCCTGCAATTCTGGTCAAGCAAGCCTCGGAGATCCGAGACTGCAAGTATATACTGTATAGTACGTAGTCTATGTTATTTCTGTACCATAGAGAGCTACACCAGCATGTCATTACCTATTCCGACCTGACGCCCACATATTCCAGATGTGGATCTGCTGCTTAGCCCATCGTGCCGGTCCATGGAAAACGGGGCTTGTATGGGCGGAGGGGGGGGGATAGGGGGGGGGCTAGTCATGGCGAAACAAAGGTAAACTTTTTTCTTGGCCACAACGCCCCATGCTTTTCCTTGCTCTTTTACTATGAGAACTGCCGAAGTACTAAAAACTTAGTTACATCGTAGAAAAAAGGAATAAGTCATTGCAGTACTTTTAGTGGCGGAGTGAACGCGTACATAGGAGGCTGGACAAGACACATCAAAAACGAATCAAGGAAAAAGACTCATCCGTCCAACGACTATTTTTACCCCTTCGCAGTACTTGAATAAAAGAGCTGCAAAACCGTGGAGGAAAACGGCACAACGGCAAGGGAGCAGGGAGAAAAAGGAGGGCCATGACGCGGCAGCCCTTCACCGTTCCGGCGTAGGTCAGGAGACCGTTGTGCTTCATTTATTCGATTCCTCGCCCGAGATATCGGCGCCCTGCAACGTCGCCTGGGGGGGTTGGCCCATCCACTGCCCCATCACCCTGGGCCTTGGCCGACCGTGCGATTCACACAAGGTTATCACGCGAGCCTTTCCGATCCAAACGGAACAGGTGGGGTGGGAGGGAGAGAGGCGGAGGGCCATCCTCCCCCCAGGATCGAACTTGAGGCTTGAGCGCATTGAAGCTAAAACGTCGGCCGAAAGGGCCAGATCGGTCCTGCGAACAGCGCCAGAACTGTTTTCCCTACCATTTCCCCTGGCCTTTCTCTCTTTTTTGTTTCGTTCTTTTCTCTCTTTTTTCTTTTCCCTTCCCCAGTATATCCATAAACAAAACGACTCTGTGATCCTCCCCCCCTCCACCCCCTTTTTTTATTTGCAGCCTGTGTTGTTCAATCACGGCCAGGACCTCGGCGAAGCGTCGTCCTCGGATTGCGTAATCTCAATACCGAGTATGGACTCGGCGATGTGGACCAGGGTGCATAATACTATACGTAAATCATAAGAATATTTATACATACCCTATTGTGCATACATATCTGGGGAGGATCGTCAGGCACATTTTTTTCTCGAGATCATTAACAAAGAGGATTATGTTGTAAGGATCAGAATGGTTATTCTCTATAACTAGATCAGGAACAATAGAAAATAAAAACACCGTTGTACTTGTCAAAAGTATATCGGCGCCGAGATCATGTCATATACGATCTAGACATGTATATGTGTTGCAACATTCCATCGTCTGGCGCGCCTGCGCCTCTATAAATATCCATGTACTATATCTAAGTAAAGTATACACCCTTGTTTCACAATTCGCATGTCTATGATCAATAACTCTTGTTCCCTCATAGTCATAGATATTGTCATCATCATCATAAACGCCCGAAGGCAATGAACCAGAAAGAAGAAGAAGAAAAAAGAAGAGAAACCAACAAAAGAAAGAAGAATGGCCCTCCTCTAGTTGATGACCCAGGTGACGGCAATCTTGCCCAAACTCTCGTCCCCAAATTTTTTAAACACAGCAGGCGAGACATCGATATCGCTGGCCCCACAGCCCGCACACCGGTCCGTGATGGCCGCCTTCACCGACGTGCTGCCCGCCGTGATGGTCACCGTCTTCTTGCACACCGGCGATGAGTTCGGGTTGGCGTAAGTCCCGTACACGATCGAGGGGACGGCAACGATCATGTCGGCATTGGTGTTCGTTGCACCGCAGGCGCCCAGACCCGGAGCGTAGTAGGTCATCTTGCCTGAGTTGGACCGCGGCTGGAGGAGGGGGACGGCCGAGGTGAGGGTGGCGGCGGCAACGATGGCGATGATTGTGGTCTTCATTTTGAAGAGGTATCTTTTTTGAGATTGAAAGAGAGAGAGAGAGAGAGAGAGAGAGAGAGGAAGAGACTTTAGTTGGATCTGGAGTGAAAGTTGGTCTTGTGAAGGAGTGAGTGCTGGTGTGAACGGCGTTGCCGGTAGGTAGATGCGTCAAGTGGTGCTTGCCGATGAGGCACGAGTGTGTCTAAGTGACGGTGTATGGATAAAAGATTGTATGTTATTATTCCCCCTCTGGAGTGAGTGACTGAAGATGGCTAGGTATGCTGTCCATGATCAAGGCTGAAGCTTGTCTCTTTTATATATTCGCTTTCTGCTGCCCAGCCTGGGCCTCATGGACGATGTTAGACTCCACTCGTCTCCTTGCGCTTGGACACTTCAAGGCTCCTCAAGATCGAGAAGATTCTTCTTCAATGTGAGTACAAGCTGCTCTAGTCGTTCCTGCGTGACTCGAGGAAGTGCACGGAGAATCACGACAATTGACAAATTGTCTCGAATATACCATACCAAGTACTACCTAGTGTCAGGGGCATCTGAAGATGCTGCTGTACTACAGTAGTCTGTACTACAGTAGTCTGTCGGGACCCAAATCGATGGCGCCCACTTCCCAACTCTGTTTAGAATAAGGCCCTAACAGAGACCAGTCTGAATGAATACACTAGAAAGACAGAAGCGTCCTCAGACTTGTGTTCTGACGTGGGCAGAAGTACTCAATCAGCCAGAGGGCATACTCAGATATTGTTTGTCATACTTCTGAAGAGTATTTACAAATAGACACGGGAGTTATTACCCTGGCTGCCCATCCAACACTGATGCTCCAGTATTCAGAAGCTGGAGAAACCGAAACGAAACAATAAGAACAAAAGAACAAAAGAACACAGTGAAGAAAAAACAGCTCCCAAGAAAGCTCCAATCATCTCTGACACCAAAGAAGAGTTCTAGAAAGACCCGGTCAGGCCGTTTCCCAACTAGCAATGCAAGGCACAGATCCGCCTCTACTCTAAGCATGCGGGCCTAAGCCCTGGTGAGGCAAAATCCTGCGGCGATGGCGCTCAGCTGGTCGCGCCAGGGGCCAGGTGCTTGCGTAGACTCTTTCCTTAACTATGCGCAGTATTATTGATGTCCTCGCATCCGAACAGACAAGGGCCGACAAGTTTGAGTCCCGAGAAAAGGCCCTGGTACCTTGTTATGGCCTCGTGGACCGGCCTCCACAGATGATCCGTGTGCAATAACAAGGGTTTTCCACGTGTAGGGGTTACTGTAAATACTACATACTATATAAGTACCTTCACTAGACAGCCCTGGGCCAGCTGAGGAAACCAGGGCGCCTCACTCAGCCTCATTCACCCCTACAACACAATGCACCATATGCATCAATGTGCTATTGTGTGACATGCAAATCTCCATGCTGGCGTCGCATCACTCCGAAGCGCGCGCACACACGCAAACACACTAATCAATGCACACCATGACTCCCCCTCCTGTTAACCCTGTTACGCCTCCGATCGCGAACTCGTCGTCAACCTTAGCCCCAATGACTCGGCCGACATTTTCAGCTAAGCACCGGCTTTCCCAACAAGCAAGCGCGCGCATGAACAGTGCGTATGATGGGATCTTCTCTTTTCAACAAATACGAGTCGTGTCTTTGAGGGGCGTAGGCAAACGGCCTTCACATTGGTCGTGGAGGGTTCGCATTTCTATATTACCGACTTTGATTTATCAATTAGGAGTGTCGGTCAAGTCACCTTGTGGAAATATGTCTATGTGCCTCTGCCATGTTGTTGTTACCTAATGCTCTCTCATTTTATAGTATTCTATATCATAAACCAAAGGGTTTCAAGAAACCTCTCTTCTTCATCTTCAGCCAGAAACAAAACACGCTGTAAGAGGGCGAATGTATTTGCCTTCAAGTATGAAACAGGATGTTGGGCAATCTCCAAAAGTTCTTTGCAGATGGACTGCATTTGATCATTCCATGTTCTTGCTTCGCAAACACTCTCTGCTTACTGATCAGTAATGATAACAGGCGATGACACAGATAAAAAAGCACCCCATAGCAAAAGAAAGAGGAACTGTCTTTGATTTTTGTGAACTCTTCCCCTTCGCCCTTTTCTTTAAATCTATACGCTCGGAGTGGACTCCAAGCGATGTCGCTGTTCGCTCCCGGAGATAGCACCATCAACGTCACGGCAACCCCCCTTAAGTCCACAACCGGGTCCATGACCGTTGCCCGGATTCAGAGAGAGAGAGAGAGAGACATACTACGAACATACTACCATAGTGGGAGCAGGCATGCTTCACAGTAGTGCATTAACAGCAAGGTGTAATTAATTATCCCGCATTGATGCCATAAGCCATTCCCATCCTGTCATGGATTTCGGGGTCAAGAAGCGTCAGCCAGGAAGTCAAAGAGCCTACGGCGTCCTATTTTTGCCCAGAGCTTCGACCTTCTGTTCGGCGCGAAATGGACATAGGCGCAAATAATCGTCCTAATTCCAGACACCAGAGGGAACAACAGCTTCATCAACAGTGGCCATCGTGCGGTGTGTTGCAGTCTCGCGCAGCAATGCTCGAGAAAGGAGGGAGGATAAATAGACAGCATCTTCCAGGAATTATGAGCACCCTCGACGAGATGAGACTTCAAACAGTCAAGGCGAGACAGCACTTGGATCATTTCTAACAACAAACTGGCACTTTTCCACTCCACACAACACATCCCATCCCAACATGGCTTCCCAGATCACCATCGCCGGCAAGGCGGTCGGCCCCGTCGGCTTTGGCATGATGAGCAAGTCACACCCTACCTGGTGGCCTTGGTAACGTTCTGATGATGATGACCACGAGCTGACACCACTAGCAGGTCTCACCTTTCCATGGAAGAAGCTGGACCTCCCAGCAGCAGCTAAGGTGATGAAGGCATCGCTCGAGCATGGCGCAAACTTCTGGAACGGGGTAAGAGAGCAGGCCCTCTTGTGTCACACATAAACACACATAAACACACACACCCAGAGGCAGAGAGACAGACAGCTCTAACCAGGTTTCTTTTCTGCCCAGGGCCTCTTCTACGGCAGCCCAGACCACAACTCGCTGCACCTGCTGAAGTACTACTTCAGCCAGTACCCAGAGGACGCAGACAAGGTTGTCCTTTCCATCAAGGGCGCGTACGACATGTCGACGTTCACGCCGACGGGGAGCCCTGAGGCGATCCGCGCGGCGGTCGACACCGCGCTCAGGGTCCTTGACGGGTGCAAGAAGATTGACGTGTTCCAGATGGGCCGAGTGGACCCCAAGGTGCCCATCGAGGAGAGCGTCGGCACACTGGCCGCGCTGGTGTCGGAGGGCAAGATTGGGGGCGTCGGGCTGAGCGAGGTCAGCGAGAAGACGATCCGCCGGGCTGCAAAGATCACGGAGATCGCGGCGGTAGAGATCGAGCTGAGCCTATTCACAACAGATCCCCTGACGAACGGCATCGTAGATGCATGTGAGGAGCGTAAGTGTGACTGTCCCTTTTCAAAGATGGATAGAAGCTCTTCTCGACTGCTGGTGAATCAATATTGACAAGAGGATTCATAGTCGACATTCCCATCGTCGCCTACAGCCCCGTCGGCCGTGGCTTTCTCACAGGGCAGATCAGCAGGCGGGAGGATATGGATCCGACCGACGCGCGCCTCCGGTTCCCACGGTTTCAGCCTGATGTGTTCAGTCAGAACCTCAAGCTGGTCGATGCGGTCAAGCAGATCGCCGACCGCAAAGGGCTGCCGCTCGCTGCCGTGGCGATCGCGTGGACGAAATACCAGGGAAAGAAGATCCTCCCGCTGCCAGGTGCAAGCAAGGTCGAGCAGGTGGTCCAAAACTGCACAGATGTGCAGCTGAGCGAGGAGGACCTGGCTGAGATTCGAAAGATATTGGACGCCTTACCGGTTGCTGGGGCTCGGTACGGTGGCGCCCTTGAGGCTCAGCTGAACGGCTAGATAAAAGTTGCTTGTGTCCCTGCTCAGTTATGGCCTGGACATGAACACGTTCGTCTTTTCTTCCTCCGTAGTGAACCTGACATCGCATCTCATCTTATTTTGACTACACTCGTCTCTTCTCCATCTTCTCTTGCGTTGCTGTCTGCCTCCCTCACACTTGTCTTTTCCCTTCAGAGCCGAGGAATATTGTGAAACAATGACAGCTGTTCCAGACCCGTAGTCAATGGTGCCCTGTCGGGGCAAGAATGGTACGATGAACGGACAAGCAGCAGCCGCATGATCAGGTTCGGGTTTCAGATGAGAAGAGATAGACGTGATGGCCTCAGCTTGGTGCCAGCTTTGGTGCCAGCGTGGCGCTCTCCCTTCCTGTGTGTGAAAAGAGAGGAAGAGAGGAAGGGGAAGGCTTTGTCGCAGATTTTAAACTCCGAGACCGAGACTGACTGAGTCTCTGAGCCCTCTCTCCCTTTTTCAAGGTTGCATTCTTGTGCCTGAAGATCAACGGCTGATAATCAAGCCGCAGCGCTGATCCCTTGCAACGAGAAAAATTGGCAGTGGCCACACGACCAGTCAATTGGACATGTAGATTTTTGATGGACCACGGATGGAGAAAATTAGAATTGTCGGCACTTTGCTCGCGAAAGCGATGCTGTTGTTGTCTCCGTTTGTGGTGGGCACATCTTGACCCTTGAATTGTTTTGAAATCGTCCAGAGTTGAATGACAGGGCTTGAGCCCCAAAATATATGCCATACATGTCACTGGGTAAGTACGTACAGCAGAGGCAACACCATAGTACTATCCAAGGCACACACGCGCCAGGGGCAGGGAACCAGGGGCTTAGGCCCAGAAAGAGGGTGCGGGGCGCAGTTCTCCGCTGAATTGGATGATGACTACGGAGCGTGGAGCGTACATCCTGCATCTCGCCAGGCGCTACAGACCCCTGTAGACCCTTGGGGTTCAGGGCCCCAGAATCCAAGAGCCTAGCACCTGGCATCCCTACACAGGGCAGCCCTCCCTCCGCCTCCCCAGCCTTGCTAACTCAACCCCTGGACAACCTAAATGCTGCCCTTTTGTTCTTTATTTTTATTTTTATCTCCAACTTCCAGTTGGTCCGAGTCCCTCCGGTCAGGCACCAAAGACGACAAACACACTCAACGCACGAACGAACACGATGCAATTGATCTTCGTCCTCTTCTGCTCAGTCCTTTACTCCATGATGTGGTGAATGAGCAGCCACGGCAGCGACGAAAACGACACGATTCGACCAGTGACGCGAAGGAGGGGGTGAGGCCCCGTCAGCACAGGAGAATACTACACCCACATGTTCATTCCAACGCCAACGCCACCGTCACCGTCCAAAGACAAAATTGAGACCGAGTCTGGACGGCCGCAGTGCCAGTGCCACGCGACAGTCTCACCTTTTCCTTTTATAACAAGCAAACCAGCCGGGGAAACACCACCATCATCGACAGCAACTCCATAATACCCAGACCCCCTCTCCTTTGTCACCCCTTGCGGGCCCTCGACCAATCTACTATCACCCAAACGACCAGCCCACGGGCAGCAACACCATCTATCTCTTCACGTACAAGATGTCAAGCACCATGACCCTTACCATGCCGGTCCTACCACCACCACGGCTTAGCACAATTCCGTGTTGTCCAAAATGCGGCAACGACCTCTCCCTCACCTTCAACCCGACTGCCAACTCCTCCCTGGCTGGTCACGACGCCGACGAGACGACTACCGCAGCCGCTCTCCACGCCGCCCAGCGCCAGATTGACGAGCTGCAGGCCCAAATCCGCCTGCTCAATACCAAGGCCACCGCCGCCGTCGACCGCTGGGCCGACTATGAGGACGAGCTATCGACGCTGCGCAGGGACCTGCAGAGGGAGCGTCAAGGCAGCGTCACACCACAGACACCCACAGTGCAGACCCCGACCTCGCCGCCAAGACTCATCACCGGGAGCCCCTCTGCCGGCGTCTCGAGCTTCGCCACCGCGGCCACCAACAGGATCTCCGCCCTGCTGAGCCGCAAGTCCACACCCAACCTGAAGGCGGTGCCGAATCCGGGCCACCAGCAGAGCTACAGCACCTCCAACCTACTCCCGACCCCGCCCCCGAGCGGAGGCGTCGCTCCGAGCCACGCCAAGGGTTATAGCACCTCGGCCCTGCTGACCCCCAAGTCCCCGCTGTCCCTGTCCCTCTCGAGCGGCCAGACTCTCTCCTACACGCCGGGCGCCTCTCCGCCCCCCTCCACCGATGACCTGCTGGATGCCCTGACAAGGGAGCATGGCATGCGCCTCGCCGCGGAAGGAAAGCTGAACGACACGAGCCGTGAGGTCGAGGAGCTGAGCGTCACCCTATTTGAGCAGGCCAATGAGATGGTCGCCACAGAGCGGAGGGCGCGCGCCCAGCTGGAGGAGAGAGTCGGGGAGCTGGAGAGGAGGGACAAGGACAAGGGGCGCCGGCTGCAAAGGCTGGAGAGCGCCATGGGGAGGATCGAGAGGGCGAGAAACCTCCTGAAAGAGGAGGTCGTTATAAACGAGCTGGAGGAGCGCAGATGATATTATAATTTGACCGGGGGTGGGAGTCGTGGTGATGATGAGAAGATGATGGTTTTGGTTTTCGATGCTTCAGCTGCATTACCTTTATTTCCCCCCCCCCCCCTTTCTTCCCCAGCAAGCGCGAATTGGGTTGATACCTCTACTGCGGCCCCGACGATTTACGACGTGACGAGACTTGCATAGATTGGATACATGGTATCAAGGCGTTGAATGGAGTTGGAAAAACGTTAGGACAATGGATGATAATCGCACACTACGCGATCAGTTGGTCATGTAGCAAAAGAATGCATTTCCGGAGTCGAGGGGGCTTCCTTCTTCCTTTCTTCAATTTGCACTCTTGTTCAAGACTTGCGAAGTATTGTGGAAGCAGAAGATTAGCTTTCCTTCGCTGCCAGCCCAACAAGAGGAGAAGTGCGTGCATTAAGGAATTTGGTGGTATTTTCAACAAGATTACTGGGGGTGATCGTTGTCATAAAATAGGGCAACTTCACTGTTGCCGCTGCCGCCGCTCATGCGAGAGACACCCAAGACTCATCACTCGCCTAAGCAGGGAGCGCAGCGTCCGGCTCCGTCTTGGAACTGCTGTCGGCCTTGGGGCTTGCTGCTTGTGACGTAGTCTCGGTTCCGGCCTCCTCCTCTGCCTGCTTAGAGGTGCTCTCAGCCTTGGGAGATGTTGACCGTTGGGGGCTCTCAGCCCTGCTCTTCCCCTTCTTTGCCGCTGCCGCCTCCTCCTCCTCGCCGACTTTCTGCTGTGCCTCCTTCTCCCCACCCTTGATGCCGCCAGGCTGGTTCCACCTCCGCAGCATGTCCTTGAGCTTCGGGCTCCACACGTCCTCGCCCTTGGCTAGGTCGTCGTACTCGAGGCAGTTCTCGGTCCCCAGCACGAAGTCGCCCTGCCGATTGCGCACCAGCTCCGCCATCAGACCAGCCGATCCCACCTTCTCGCCCAGGTCGTGCGCGAACGACCGGACGTAGAAGCCAGAGGTACCCGTCATGCGTATCCTGACGGCTGGGGGGCCCTTGTCCTTCCATGGCGGTGGCGTGCCGGGGGTGACGGGCGGGACGAGGTCGGAACCCTTGCCCTTGGGCGGCAGCTCGCCCAGGGCACCGGACATAACGGGGGACGTGGCTTCGCCGTTGGCTTGTTGATTCTGCTGCTTATTCCTATTCTTCTTGGACTGGCGCTCAACGACCAGCTCATCCTGCCTCTCCTCGAATTTGCGTTTGAGATCGTTGTGCTCCGCGATCGCCTGGGTGTCGGCCTCTTCCTCCTCCTCCGTCATCTTCTTGCCTTCGACCTGCTGCTTCTCGACACGCCACAGCTGCTCGGCGTACTGCTTCTCCGCGGCGGTGGCCTCCTGCGTAGGCCAGTGGTGCTCGTGCGTGCCGGGTTCATACCACTCCAAAATCTCGACATCGGTGACGGTGACCTCCCTGGTCTGGATTTCGCGCGGGATCGGCTTGCCCTCGCGCGCATACTCGTACAAGGGCTTTCCCTCCATCTTGAGGGCCGAGAAGAGGGGGGGCATCTGTTGGTAGGTCCCGCGGAATGAGTCGAGGGCCTCCTCTACCTTCTCGCGCGTGATGTGATCGTACGGTCTCTTCTTGAGGAGGTGTCCGCACCGGTCGTACGAGTCGGACGACGCCCCAAAGACCACCACCGTCTCGTACGTCTTGGTGCAGCCTAGAAAGCCTTGTAGGGCCTTGGTGCCCTTGCCGACACCCAGGATCAGCACGCCCGTAGCCATGGGATCCAGGGTGCCGCCGTGGCCCATTTTGACCTCAATAGCCTGCTTGACCTTTCGTCGTCGGCGCTGCTGATAGCGGTCCTCCTTGGCGCGGTCAGCGCGCATCTGCGCGAGCATGGGTTGGAAGAGGACGGAGGGGTTGAAGTAAGTCTTGCAGTCACGGATGACCTGGGCGGAGGACATGCCGTAGGGCTTGTTGATGGCTGTTTCCCCCCCAAGATGCGAAGCAGGGTCAGTAGTGGCTTATTGGGACATTCGTCATTGGTAGTGAGCCTGGCAGTGGGATAGAGAATCGAGAAGATCCCATTTGGGAGCTTGGAGCTGGGCTTACCGAAGACGCCGTCGAGAACACTTTCTGTCGCCATCTTGAGAAATCGCCTTGCCTTCATAAGGCTCAGCCTACCCTTCTCGGGGCGAGAAGAGAGTCAAAGTACAAGACTGATGAACAGGAAAGGCCAAGGCGACAATAGGACTGAGAGGAAAGCTGGGGGGGAGAGAGAGAAAAGACAAAAAGAAGAAAAAGGAAAAGAGGAGGCAAGGAAAAGAAGAGAGGGAATGCAGCCACCTGCAGGACCTGCAGTTCTGCGCGCGGATTTTCTTTGCAGGGAATTGAATTGTTGGAGCGCGGGCGTTGACAGGGAGGCTGCTTATCGATTGGGCGCCTGTCTCAAGCTGCGAAGACTACATAGTGCAAGGTACCGTTAGGAGTGGAGACTCTGTCATAAGTAGTATGTACTTGTACAATGTGGGGTACAAGGCTACTGCGCTGCTTAATCCTGGGGGGATTTGGATTCCAAGTCAGGTACTCAGTACAACAAGGCATGTACTACAGACTGACTCCCTGCAGCAACCGCCCACTATATGGACCTCTTTACTGCCGCGGTGCTACATTTCGCGGTCGCGTTTCCCCATTCCCACCTTGTGATCACACACACACAACTTCCACCTCTTTCGTTACAACCCATTTCGCCTTCCACTCCCCAACCGCGCCTTTCTTCATTGCTACATCCACGGATCCAAAGCTTTCTCTCGCATCTCATCGGTTGTCGACTTGCCTTCCAATCCTAAACCGTGCCTACCGCCGACGCCGCACCGCCGACGCCGCCTTTGATCTCGCACATTTGAGCCTCACCTACCATGGGTCGTCCGCCAGGGAGGTCCCGCGGTCCAGGTCGTCCGCGCGGTCCAGGTCGTCCGCGCGGTCCAGGGCGCCCTCGAGGTCGTCCGAGACGCGCATCGAATTCCACTGTCGCTTCAGTCGACCTCAGTCACATTCAATACCTTCCTGAAACACACGTGCTCAAACCCGTCAAGCCTGGGCAGCATTCCGACAGTTGGATCTGCTTCGTGCTGAACGATGCCGTCGTCTACCATAAGAACGAGACAACGGGTCAGCTTGACATTGCCAACGTCTGTAATGTTGATCTCGAGGGCCCTTTTGTTATTCGAGGAAAGCTTGATGTCGATATGGCAGAGCCAGATCAAAAGCAATGCTGTATGTGCCTCCTCTTCCGAAGATACTGATATATTTGGCTATATCTTTGCTAACTGCAGTTTTTCTTCTTTCCAGTGCGTAATTATGCTTTGAAGGATACTTATATTGAAATCCCATCGAGCACGATGTATGCCATCAGCAATGGGCCGACGAGCATATGGGCAGCTGGGAAGACGGGGTGGTTCGAGATCAACCCTGCTCCTGAGTATGAATCGATGTATGAGACTGTCTGCGAGGGGATAGACCTCTACTACTCGGTGCTATTCGCCTATGAAGACGCACAGAAGTGGGCGGCCAAGAGCAAACGGGCTACATGGCAGCAGTTGCCTATTGATGACTTATTGTTTCAGGTATGTATTTTGCAAGTCCAACCGAGTATTTACTAGGATACTGATCCCGAACAAGTACGCCGTTAAAGTGGGCGATGGTGTTACGCTCTTGGAAGCCAAAGACCGCTGTCGAAAACATGCATCCTTCCTTCTCGCCCACTTTTCCAAAGCCTTGGACTTTCAATGGAATGGAACGTCTTTTGCGAAATGGATGTCTAGCATGAACAAAGTACGAACGCCGCTCTCGCATGTTTGCTATAGCATTGCTAATAGTTTATCAGGATATTGTCAGGAAGTTAGTGGATGTGGCTACGAAGAAGGTGCTCGAGCCATCTGCTAAGGAACCAAGCTCCTCCCCAGATGCTATAACCAAACAAGAGCTCCAAGACGATACCCATCAGCTCCCTCTGCATATATCGCCAATAGAGTCAGATCGTACCCGACGAAGCAAGTCTCGCGCAAGCAGGCAGAGCCAAGAGGCTGATATCAAGGGGCAGGTTGCGACTCGATGGCCGTCATCAACCACTCGGACTGAAACACCTATTCACCCCCCTCTACCAGCGCGGGTACCGTTTGCCCCTACTCCGCCGCCCCCCATCTCTCCAGCGGAAAGCACCACTCCTTCAGCGATCGAACAAGCTGATAAACCATCGAACGAAGTGCCACAGGATCCCGTGCACCAGCTCAAGGAGCTTGTAGAGGAAATATTAGCGGACGTTGGCGGGGATGTAAGGAAAGTCAAGCATAACACCGTGCATTCGAAATTGTATCTCAAATGCTCTATGCTATACCCCATGGCCAGCGAAGTCACTCACTTTTATGCGAAGCAACTTGCCGCAAGTCTTCCTTCTAAGTGGTATAAGAGTCCCTTTTTCCTGTGGCTTAAGGAGCACCGCGACAAGCCCTGGAGACCCGAGCACGTGACAGCAGAGAACGTGGCATCCAAGCTTGTCCGGCGGAAGAAGAGCAAGCACTCGGGAGTTCCTAAGGCTCGCATACCTCCTGTCGCCTCGTCTCCGTCCCACGCTGGCAAGCACTATCCTGGAACACCTCGGATCTCTGGCCTGCGACCTACTACTGGTGTCAAGAGGCCAATCGCGTACGACGATGATGGTGATGACGACGACGATGAAGAGGGCCGGCCCCCCAAACAGAGCAAAACTTCAAATTATCATGACACTGACGAGAACGAAGATGAAGAGGAGGACGCAGTCATCGATAGCAGCGAAGAGGATGAGTCAGAGATTCCGAGTGTATCGATAACCTCGCGTCCACCACCGTCAATCTTCAAAGAGACTATGAAAATTGTTGTTCATACCGACAAGATACCATCCATGTCTCCGAGTGGTCCCAATGGCACCTGGAAATGCGAAGAGGACGGCTGTAATTATATCGTTCGCTCCGCTGAAGAGGCGGATGGAAGGGACCTGATCGCCAAGCATTTCAAAGACCACGAGAGCCGCGCTGAGAAAGTGAACCTCGCCCTTACTGAAGGAACCAGAGGTCACCTGCCTATCAAGTACGTATATTTCATCTCTTTCTTCCTATTCGGCCGGATAGCAGCCATGTCTCGCAGCTTTTGTTCATACTATTAAATGAACTGTGATTTTGTTACCATTCCGTTTTCCCTCCCCTTCTCTGGATGTCTTTCCCCCCACCCACCCCCCCTCTCCCGTTTTCATCTTTCCCATTTCCCCCATTGTCCTGCCTTTTATTCTTCTAGGGGGGGTGGGTGTTAAAAGCATATAGAAATATGCTTTTTCTTTTTTAATTAAAAGAGAGAGAGAGAGAGAGAGAGACAAATATTTGTGTTTACCCTATTCTTTTTCGACAGTATCTGAGTATATGCAAACTAAAGTCGTGCTTAACTGATCAACGCTATTTCCGCAGTCACCTTCTCGATAAAATTCGCAGCTTCGGCGAGTCTTCTCAAAGGGACGAAGAACAGAGCTCTTCGGATGGAATAAATTTTCCCAGACCCATTAAGCGACGACTTCTGATTTAACGAATGCTTATGGACGTAGCCAGGTCGTATTGCACACCCCTTACTATCGTTTTCTATTTTCTTGTCGTTTTACAAGTAGGTGGGTGGATCATGAACAGACTTGCGCAAGCCAGCGGAAGCTTTTATTGCGCGTACTTTACTGCTATTTATTTAAAGGGCAGGCACCCAGCAGTGGACCTCCCCAGACATATTGAAAAGGGTACAGAGGATTGGGGAGGGCATCCGGATCCGCAGGGAGGGTTTCTGTACGCCACTGGTCTCCCTAGAAGGGTGAATAGTGGCTCGGACCCCAACAAATCAATTCATATCCGCGCATATATATATGATTACTGTCCAAATGAGTCACTCGACAACGTCTCCTTGACGGCGATTGGCATTGACATCCTCGTTAGAGAGGTGGAACAAACAAAATCATGCAGCACCATCAAAAAATAATCTTTTCTTTGGGGATAATCTGGCTCTGCTGCTGCTGCCGCCGCGGCCGCCGCTATTGTGGCCATACGTCCCACTGCGAGTGTTCGTTCAGTCTTTATGCAGACAATGAACCATCCCATCAGACAGGTTCGTCTAGCAGACACTACACCACAGTAAACAACTAGGCCTTGAGCTCTCACCACCATAATCAAGACACCGTCTACCTGGGCACTCGCTAAAAAAAACTGCCAAATGTTGGAACTTGGTTAAGTTCAAAGTGTGCCCTCGCCAACAAATAACTCTCATCTCTTTCGAATGCTTCATCATCTTGGTTTGTTTCTTCGTTCAGGGCTCTCAGTCTTCGCTGCTAGCCACTTCTGCCAATGCCGTGGCCAGCATGACGGCTGTCTCGGTCGTCATTCATTGTGCGTAGCGATTGCAGGGCACGAAAACCGTATGAACTATTCTAGAGCTGTGAAATGCTCCGCCGAAGCTGTTGCTCTAGATGCCTGGTCACTGTACCTGCCAGGCGAGGCCTCTACGCCAATTTCTGGAGATACTCGTTGGCCTCAACCCAGGCATCCTGGGTACTCATCTCCTGACGGTCCAAGGTTTTGATGCCAGTCACAAGGGCGTCGAAAAAGTCACGGAAGATCTCGATGTCTTCCCGGAAGTTGGTCGCCTTTGGGAAGTACGCCTTTGAGATTGAGTCGATGTCGCGGAAATCACCATCCTCGTTTGCCTTCTGCTCGAGGTATGTTCTGACCGCAACACCCATAGCGGCGCTGTAATTTCTGTTGGCGAAGGGGAGCCTGCGCGCAGCCGTCAGTATCTGTGGGAACCTGCTGTGCAGCAGTCACTTCTGGGCTGAGTTGTAACTTACGCATTGCCGATGTCGAAATACTCCATCGGCTCTCGAAGTCTCTCGGACTTATTGTTGAGGAGCAGGTGGGCAGTGATAGCATCCACCAGATCTCGGTCTGCTTCTCGAACAGCAGACATTTGCGACAGGTAGGCGAGCAGATCCTTCCGCAGGGGACCAGTATAGCCGATAGCCTGGTGTCTCAGCTTAAGCAGGACAGCACAGCGGCTGACCAGCACCACAGGCCCTTCCACGTCGCCGTTCGCCACTTCATCCTGGCGCGGCCGAGCGTTGAGCTGGTCGAACCTGATGAGTTCGAAGGCAAGCAGGAGCGCCTCGTATAAACCCGGTACCTTGGGGTTCTTCTTCACGGTTGGCTCAACCTCAGTCATGGCCGTGGCCAGGGCCTTGCCCCACGACGTCAACTCGTGGGAGTCGTTGATGTAGTCCCTGAGATGAAGGAATCGCCAGATGACGGATGACACGAGATGATGTGACGAGTCCGTCCTTGATTTGCTGTTAGATGTAGCGACGGTGTTCTTGGCGAACTCGGGCTTCTGGAGTGACAGGATCTCGAACGCCAGGGACCCAGCACGATCCTTAGCAGCTGGTGCTGTGAAGCCCCACGTAGAGAATTGCTGAGCCACCACCTTCTCCTCGATATCCCAGGTGGCGACCTTTGGGCTGGGAGCCCGGAAGGTACTGTTGCGTATGGTCGTCGGCTGCGCGTCTGCGAACCAAGCTTTCACCTCGATATCCTTGTAATGCAGTCCCCTGTTCAGCCGGGGCACCACAAGCCCTAATGCTAGCTCTCTGATGGGCAAAAGGCGACTCAGGACGAGGTGTCTGTACTCGGGCGATGCGATCCCATCGAGCGTCGGCAGGACTGTCGTCTGACTATGGACGATCCAGCTGGGCAGTTGCGGCCCAACGAGACCGAACTCGAGGTAGTGGAAAAGCTCTTCGGGAAGCCTGATACCCAAGTATTCATGCGAATCCGCGGTCAGGGCATCATAGCTCTCAACCTCGACAGCACCACTCTCTGCGATGTAGACGAAGTGCTTAACAATCATGCGCGCTTTGCAGAACTTCTCAAACCAATCAGGCTGTTCCTTCAGAAGGACATCGTCGAAAGAACTGCAAAGCTGTTTCACATGTTTAGCATTGGCCCTGAGCATGTTAACAGCGTCCCGCACAGTATTGGAGGGCTGCTGGGGTTGAGCGCGGGCCGGGAAGGGGGGAAGGAAGGAAGAGCCAGTGATGAGAAGCGCATCAACGAATATTGACTCGTCGACGCCCAGCTGACCCATCAACACCTCTCTGGCGACAGCACTGAACTTTCCTTCATCCCAGTCGACATCTTGTATCACATGGTCCTTGATGGGGTAGAGTAGAAGCTCGCGAGAACCCATGATGGCCCCACACATGATTTCGTTTTTGGAAAAGTACGCAATCTGGCGATGGTCAGAGGGAATGATCTGCGGGTCACTGTGTACTTAAACGGAACCCTTACCTGTGCAGCAGCCTTGAATGGTGCTACCATGAAGTGGAGATCGCGCTTCCTCAGGATGGACTGGAGGAGAGGATAGAGTGACTGCAAGGGGTAGGCACCTAACGCTAATCGTCAGCGAGCGCCTTAGGACAGGGGCGAGCAGTCTCCGTACCAGACCAGAAGCCAAAGCCTTCGACGGCTGGCTGCGCCTCGCCGTTGGAGTAGAGAGCCCAAGCGGCGTCGGCACCCGCAATGGCTTCACGGCCAATCTTCGCTGACTGCTCATACTCGCCCTTGACAGGACAACCATCGAATATAAAGAAGGGCGTCGTGTCGTTGGTCTTCCACTGATCCAGGTCTTCGTTGATGTTCTTTTCGGCAGCCAAGAGGCCACCCAGGGCGGTAACGAGCGGCTCCTTCTCGCGGATGCGAGCAAGATAGTATGTCGCGTCAACGGCGATAACATTCTCCCTCAGCTGGGAGACTTCGCCCGACCTGAATACACAACGAATGACGAGCGTCAGCAAGGTAAACACTTAGAGCAGGACGGTATACACCTATGTAGGGAACAACAGGGGTTACACACGCGACGAATTGGTTGATGAAAGCATCATCGTTCTTTGTAAGGCCTGCAATTCCAGTCAATCCGAGGACCACAGCAATAATGAATTTGTCCGTCCAGAACCAGAGAAAATCGCGGGCAAGTCCACGCGCAGGAGAGGTCCATTTGGTGTTGCTCAAGACAGGCGTGGAGACGCCGACTCGTAATCGTGAAGGGAGAGGAAACCTGCAGTCGACGGGCACGTGTACCAAGTCCAACTGGGCTGCCGACAGAAGTATAAATCAGGGATTGGGGCTTACCAGACATGTCTACCACTTAGGAGTATCGGAACAGCTCTGAGCCTGAGAAGACGTTTGCGACGAGGTGTGGTCTGCGCTGTACAAGGTGGCCGCCGCAGGCACTCGGAGCCCCAGGTGGTGATGCGCAGGGCAAATTCCCAGTTAAGCCAGTGCGTGACAATGGTATGTATGTTGTGTAGAGGGAGAGCTGTCGCAAGCGAAAGGTTTATCGGCGCCGTGGGGAAGGGGGGGGGGGGGTTCGGTCTTGGAATAAGGGTCGTGTACGGTCGCGACGTTAGAGGCGAGAGTGTATCTGAAAAGATGGGGGCGGTTGAACAAGGTCGAGGAAGTCAACGAGGGTGAGAAAGAAGGAAAAAAGAATCAGGGGTCGTGGAAGGAACGGTTCGAGCTTGTCCTGGTGGGCTTCGGTTCAAGATGAGAGCCCAGATCTATCAGTCGTCTTGACGAAGAGGAAGAGACGGAAACAGGCTCCGCCAGAGTCGAGACGGTGTCTAGGCAGGTGGCAGTTGATCAAGGTAACCGATGACGTGTTGGCGGGCGGCAGGAAGAAGGAGAAGGACGAGAAGGAGGAGCAACAGCAGCTGTCGAGGCCAGTCAGGCTGTCCGTGTCGGCGTCTGTTCAACGTCAAACCCTTGTGCTGTGGTCTATACTACCCTGCTCTGATCTGCCTCTCTGCTCTGGCTTGGAGGGGATTATTTGCTTGGTTGAGCTGAGCTGGGCTGGGCTGAGCTGAGCTGCGCCGTGCTGAGCTTCCTGCTGCAGTGTTGTTGTGCTGTGGTGCTGTGTATTTGTGTGGGTGGGCTGTAGCGGTGCCGTCCCTGACAATGGTGACCAGAAAGCACTTTCTCACCTGCAGCCTCTGGGAAGCTCTTAGCCCTGTTTCTGTTTCTGGTGGGCAGCGGGTTGCCGGGTAGGGGGGCTCCCGGGGGGATCACTTGGGTTGAGAGTTGGGCGGGAGGGGGGTTCGCTGCAGAGAGCAAGCAGGGGACAGGGGTTACCTCAAACCCCCGGCCTAGTGCCCGTTCAGAGCCAAATACCCCTGCAGCGCATCCACTAACCTTCCCGTCTCCTCCAAAACCTTCTCCTGCGGATCGGATCATCTGCCTGACCGACCTCCTCCATCTTCCCTCTTCGTCCATCTGGGGGGGTGGTATTACTTTTCATACCGCCCAATGCCACGGGAAGCACAGTCAGCCACTATCCTAGCTCTGTCCTCTACTCCTGAGATCCGAAGGCTGTGTATATGTCCAATAGATCTGATTATACTGCAATGTTTTCTGGCGCAGTTCACTTCGAGAAGATTCTTTCACTCAACAGCTACTATGAAGTTATCAGGTGAGTGTAGGAGGCACCGGTGTAGAATGCCTTCACCAGCGTGAGTCAGACACTTTCTATAATCTTCACCATGCCTTGTATTATCATCCTTTCTCTGTCCTCGAACAGACGAGTTGCACTAAATAAATGATGCCTTTACCATGAACATTGACATCCCGGAGGAATGAAGAAATGCATGATCCCGTTGGCGAGCTAGCAATCCATGAATGAGTACATCATATGAAGAGATATATATATTGTATATTTGCACTGGTCAGACATCAATTACAAACCCTAAATCCCAACCGCCTTCAAGCAAAGATCTCCCCAGTCCACCTGTCAAGTCGGCAGGTTGTGCATTTCTGCTAACAAAAGGCCTTCCTTCATACAAACACTGTCTACACCCATCATTTTACATTTACGAGAACGACCGCCTGCAAGAATCCAAATACATTGTCCAGCACGTCTTCAACAACTAGAATCACACAAAGCACGCCGACACCATGGGTCAATGCATGTCTCAAGCTCACGAGGACGACCAGTCCTCCGAGGCATGGGAAGACATACCTCATCCGTCTAGACAACACAGACACAATGGTTCTCATCGCCCCAAGGGTCGTCCCCGGCCCCGACGACGATGTATACGCCCGCACTCGGGGGGGCTAGCGAACGTGGAGCGGTGGATGGAGAGCATCCCTGATCCGTACCCGGTCTGTCCATCATCCATACAGGGGCTGTCTTCTACGTGGAGCATTGCTTCTACTTTCAGCTTCGAGAGCATCTACGTCATATATGAAGACTACCTACCTACGAGTGGTAGGAACAAGTCGATGCCTGTGTAGACCGGGAAAACAGAGTTATTTTCATGAAGTGCTCAGCTCATGAGGTCTGTCGGGATGTAGTTCCCCTTCAGAGGCGAATCATCAACTTGAGAAGGGAAAGCGTTTATTGAACAAGTGACGAATATGCAAGTCTTTGGTGGGATCTGAATTGATCAGTGGCCCCTGTTTGTTAGGAAAACAGGCGGGCTGGGTATTTCTTTTTGTTCGTCTCTATCGTCATTACACACAGTACACACAACAAATTCGACATTTTCAAACATTCAGTTTGCTGGAAATTTCCTACAAGACAGTGCAGACTACTTACTGCCCAAGGTTTCTAATTCGAACCAGGGGTGCTGTACCGAGCATGAAAACTCAATAAAAAGCCATCCGTGCTAGGCTCTGATGTCTTGAGCAGGACATTCCTCCTAATGAATATTCTGTTGAATTGCCACATCGAGATATTTAGGCGATGCCATATCAGCAGTCTTTACGTCCCCTCATTTTGTGTTATTTCTCTCTTTTCTTCCTTCCTTCTAGTGATGGCTAGTAAGTAAGATAAGTAACTGATTGGAACGACTAATATCAAACTGTGGCTGAAGCGACTCAAGCTGCTTACTACATAAGTTCAAGCAGATTTGTACAAGGGAACTGCTCTTGTCCGTAATGTGTTTCTCCCTCTCTATTGTCTAAGCAGCTAACGTCTGAATATTTACACCAAACGGACTCTCCTCTCCTTGAAATAGTCAGGGTGCCGCTCAAAAGGATCGGGGCCTCCCAAGCTCTTGCCGTCCTTATCGCTCAGTGAGAGATCAAGTCTGATCGATCCAACTCGGATCGCTGTTTGCTCATCCATCCACTGAATGCATAAGATATGCAGCTGCTTGGCTCTAGTACGAGTCTCCCAACTATCTTCACCAGGTTGCCCCAGCACAAGAAGTCCCCATCTCTTCGAAGATAGGTTCACGTGAGCCCGATGGTATTGGTCTTGGTCATAACTGACACGCTGAGAAGAAGTGCGGTAAAGTGTCAACGTGCCATGCTCATCCAACATCTCAACACCGAGCGCTTTTCTCTCTCTATCAAAGAATAGGGTCCCAAGCATTCGCGAGGTGGAGATGCCAGCCTCCTTCGGGACCGCTACCTCATTTAAGGATATTTTTGGTGACAAGATCGGGGCCACGAGGTGCACGGCCCGGGGTGGTCCAAGTGCAGTCAGGGATCCCAGCGATGTTGTACACGCGTTGGTGTAGTCCAAGAGGTTAAAGAGTCGCTCTTTGATGCCGTCGTCATTGTTGTTGACGCTAGCGGGCTCGAACTGTATGTCATGTGCGTGGCGCCGATACGAGACGCCTCCCTGAGCACTCGTCTCCAGAAACGGCCGCTGCATGTCGAGCGGAAACATACTGGCCCACGTCCAGGATGGGAATGAGCCATCCTGTGCCGACGGTTGCCTTGAAGTCCATGTGGTCCATGCCAGTCCATATGCGAAGCTGGCCTCTGCTGAAGAGACTTGGAGTTGAGAACCAGTCTCACCTGCCACAATGAAGGGGATGCCGGCAACGTTATAGACAGGAAGCGGGGCCTTCTCAAACACATTGGCCACGCCTTGAAACGCATGAAGCCCGTCCGAAGGAAACGACAATTCTCTCTTGCAGTATTCCTTCAATAAATCTAGATACTGGACAAAGCAGCTGACCAGCTTCTCTCCCAGGCAGGTCAGATCGTTGTTGCTTGTGTCTAAATCCAGCGAGAGAAGCTGACTGCCGATTCCCATTCGCGCAATCAGGCTCTTGGACGACTGCTCCTCGAACTGCTGCACCAAGGCGGCGTCGTCGCCCGCGCAATCGATGCTCACATGATTCTCCACTTGCACGCCGCCCGCAGGGTGCGCGCACTCGAACACCATCCCTTCCTCGGCGAAAAGCAGCCGCCTGCGCGGCAACTGGCCCTCCTGGAATGTCCACGCGCGGGAATTCCACGTGGACTGTCGCCATGTAGTTTCACGCAGTGGATGGACTCCGAACTTGAACCTATCGTCAAGGATGAAGGGCTCAGGCAAGCTCCGTGGCCGCTCTCCAACACCTGGGAGCCCGTAGTCATGGCTGTCACCAGCAGCAGCGATGATGGTGAGGTCGGCGCACTTGTAGATGAGGTCCATCTGGCTGATCTGCCGGGCTTTGTCGGCTGGGTCTGTTTGGTTGATGCAATATTGGTCTACCCATAGGTAGCGGAAGCCGAGAGCCTGGGTGACAGTCATGGCATCAGCTATCGTGTGCGGGAGAGGTACTGGGAGCCCCAGTGCTGCAGAGCTGGAAGAGGTTGGCTGCGTTTGTTGCTGTTGCTTGGAGGGAGCCTTGCCCCAGACATAGCTCAGAGCAATGAACCGCTTGTCCTGTGCAAAGCTCGAGGGGACGATGTTACGCTCAATGCAATCGATCAGGTTCGTCTGCGGAACTGGGCGCTTCGGTGAACACTCCGGGTGGTGACCCTGACAGTGGGTGAGCCAGGCTCTGGGCAAGGCGGCGTCGAATGATCTGTGCACTATCCGGCGTTGAGTCATCTCCGCAGCAACATTGTCGAGCATGCACGTCAATACCCTTAGGGTAGCGATGGGACGTTCAGGCTGGAAATCGACCCGGCGATGCTGATAAAAGCGGCCGTCGATACTAGTAACAGGTCCCCCGTGACTCCAGGCAAAGATGCCAGAGGACTCGTCCTCGATATTCTGCGATTGGTGCAGTTCCGCGAAAAAGCGACAGAGATGACAGCTTGATTCTAAGACAGGTGCATCCTCTCCCCTTGAGTTTTTCACGCTCTGGCTGTACGAGGCTTTGTCCTGGCGGAGAATTTGTGTAGGATTCTCGCCAGGGCTGGCGAAAATTGCCTCCCAGTCGATGGTGGCACATTCTCTGCAGAGATCCGAGCGTCTGAGGCTTTTCGTTGACATGCCTGCTTTTTGTGACATTTTGGAATGTTGAAAAATAAACGGGAGGTGCATAAAAAGAAGTATTTAAGTTGTTTAAATGCGGTTTTGAGGGTGTGTCGAGGGTGCAAGAGGTGCCAGGTTTGGAGTTTACCTGCGGCGCTGTGGCTCGGCCCACTTCAGCTGGTGGCCTCCCATGCAGTGGACCAGCCGACTTGCGACACATGTCCAAAGAATGTTGGAATGAGGCGTAGCATATAGGGTAAATAACATAGTACGAGCGAGAAAGTTATCGCTGATAGAATAGAGTTGTTCTCATTTGCATTCCACCGTTCGGACCTCATTAATTGTACGACCCATTTTATATGCTCCACGTTATCAACAACAACGACAATAGAAGAATTGCTCAAACCAATACTCATATTCAGCTTATAGTAGATGTAAGAAGATTTTTACATTTGAAAGCTGGAACATGGAGAGCCGTATCATGTCGGCTGTGGCATGATAAGCAGCCAACATTAATAGAATGGTATATAAATAATGTGCAACGGAAGGCTGGCGAGTGTACAAGTGTCGAGATTAGATACCGGATCAAGTAATTACAGTAAGCACAAGGAGGACAGGTTCATGGTTGATTTTACGGTGTATATGCCGACCAAAGGTGAGAGTTTTTGGAGCCTACTTAGTACTTTGCAAGATACCAAAGTCACTGGTTGTTCAAATCAACTTCGAACCTTGATTCTGAAATTGCGAATAAGTAATACTACGGCTAAAGACAATGCTATTCGCAACACGAGATGACCAATCTCCTTTATCACTGTAAGCAAGAAAGTATGTAGAGATAATTATTGAGCACACATAAGCTGTTGTACGTGCAAGCTGCACAGTAATCAGACCATGATCAATAGGATTGTTCATCCTGTCCATGCAGTAGGGCCTCGTTCCTACCTCGATGCAGCAGAGCCTCACTCACACACCTAATGAGTAAATCTTACCAATAGTAATAACCCAGGATGTCCTCTCATCCTTTTTCATGGACTAACCAACCACCCACAAGCATCCCATCTTCATGGCTAACGCAAACTGCTCTCTCCTGTCCGCCTCCAAGCCAGCCCATATTTCTTCCACCCTCAGAATGACATCAACGGAGCGTTTCCCGACGCTCCAGGCCTGCTGGTGACCCCTTTCAACGCTTTGCGTCGCTGTGCTTCGGCTACAGGCTTCGAGCTGTGTTCTGTCCGCTAATGACGTCCCCCCGCCTTAGCATGGGATTGTGTGGTTGCACAGTTCTCGCCGCACTAATATAAATGGGTTGCCTCTGCACCTATCGTGGGCTATGAGCAGTTATCAACGGCAAGTCGGGCTGTACATGGGGACAGACAACCTCCTGCCTCCCAAGCAAGATGGTCAGGTGATAGCTTTACTCCTATCCCCAACATCATGTTGGAGGATCAGGGCCTCGTGCAGAGCTTTTGATTGGCAGGCGGGCGATGAAGTTGACACCATGGTAGCTCTTCCTTTGGAGGTCTGAAGGAAGGCCACGCAGTCCGTGAAGCACTTTCGCTAGTCGCAGGGAGGGCAAATGTAAGCAGGAGAATCAACATGACACGCTGGTAGAAGAAGTCTGCCTTTGAGGGTGTCAAGTCAGTTGCAGTCAAGATGGTTTGAGATTCCTGGATGAGTAGTTGAAGGAGCAGACCGGGATAGAACAGTCCCAAGGACATCTTAGCACTGCGGAACCACGTGCCGTGTTGTTGCAAGAATTCCCATTAATTGTATATGCTGGATGTGACCAGCTTTCCCCTACCAGGCAGTCTGCTAATTGGCTCCTTTTTTTTTCTTTCTTTCTTCCTTCCCCCCTTCCCACAAGGCTATGCCCAATCCTTCACTTGAGACGCATTCATTTCTGTTTTGTTATTTGTTTCACCGCCCACTGTGTATCATTGTGGTGCCCTCATGCCCGAAGTCCAGGTTCGAGACGCAGTTACCCTTTCCCCACCTCCACGGCAGAATATCTGTAGACATTCGTTTTCCCCTGCTCCATTCCAAACGAAACAACAGAGTCAAATGATCCGTGGGGCCGCCTTGTGTCCTTTCTTGAACCATGCAGAGTAGGTCTTATTACCTGCTGGGTCCAGAGGGTTTCGGGCCCAGAAGTGCTACTCCGAGTCAGAGGCAACCTCCTTCCGCCCGAGCATCGTAAGCTCCAGGTCGTCCAGGTCCTCGTCCTCGCCATCGCCTTCGCCGTCGTCGCCGTCGCCGTTCTCGTTCTCGTTCTCGTTCTCATTTTCATTCTCGTTCTCTCGGTCGCTGGCCAGACCCAGTAGCTCCTTATCCACCTCGTTCAAGTCTTCGGCATCCTCCATGGTGACATCGCCGTTGGAGCTTGGCGCTGGCGCGACCCCATTCGACTTGCGGCCGCGGGGCCTCGACCTGGACTTTGCAGGCGCAAGCATGCTGTCCTCCATCATGGAGTACTGCGTGGCGTCTGCATCCCGGTCTACCTCCTCTTCGGTCTCGTCTGGGTCCCTCTCTCCGTTCGCCGGCCTCTGCTTGACCTTCTTGATAGGCGCGATGGGTCCCACATCGGGCCCGACTTGACCTTCCCATCGGTTGAGACGGCGGACTGCACGGCGCAGGGAGGCACTGTACGCAACAAACTCCTCGCCAAAGTCGTCCACCTCGGAGACCATGGGCACCAGGCCACCGAAACCTCGCTCTCGGAAAGACAGCTTCTTTCCTGTCATCGGGTCGGTGCCGGAGGGATAGGCGGATGGGCCCACGAGCGCGTGATGCTTCAGAGCGTTGACATTCTCCTCGCCCTCGCTATCATCAAAAGGATCGTCCATGTGCTTCAGCCGTGCCACTGCTCGGACAACGGCGCCCTCCATCTTTCGGGAGCGGCGTGCCTTTCGGTGGGCCTTCCTGATCCCACGGTCAAGAATATACTCCACCCGCTGGGATCTGTTACGCTCTACAGCGAGCTGATGTGCAGTGGGGGGCCTCGGCTTCCTCGCCACGATGCCCTCGATGACCTGCGGGCCGCCGGGGGAGCTGCCCTCGAAGATCTGGTACTTCAAAGGTGCTCCGGCGCGACGGTTCGAGCCACCAAGGCCGTCCTTGTGCCTAGCAAGGGCTCGGGGCGGAGGAGTCGAGCGGGTGCTGTCCATGTCGGACTCGTGCTTGGAAGGCCTGATCCTGGGCAGTACACCCATCGTAGAGCCCTCATCACCAGCTGGAAACATACGAGCCCTCGACCCACGCTTGGAGCTGCTCTCGAGAGCATACTGCTGATCGGCCTCGATGATCTTCTTCCGCATGGCCTGCTTGCCCCTGCCGTACTCGATCTCCTCCTGTGTGTCGATGTTCTCCTCGGCCTCTTCAGCCTTGGTCAGCTCCTCGAGGCGGGGGACGCCCTGGTTGGCAACGTCCACGCCGTAGTCCACACCCTCGCCGAAGGGATTCTCCATGCAGCCCTCCTCGGTGAAGTCGGACTCGAGGTAGAACCAGATGACCCACAGGAAGGCGCGGGCGCGAGACTTGCTGCTGAGGTTTGTCTTCATGATGAGGTCGTGGAACTCCCGCCCTGGTGGGAAGTGCAGCTCTGCCACCTTGGGGGCCGAGAGGCAGAGGACGAACAGCAGGTTGACGGGGTTGGTCCTTGGTATGTTCATGTTCTTGATAGAATCCAGCGACTGCGGCTCGGGGCGGTCCTCCGAGCCTCCCTTCAGTATGGATTTCAGTCGGGGGGCATCCTGCAATTGCTTGTACGAGTTGGGATCTTGTCGAGCCTGGAGGGAAGGGATAGCGTGATAGGTTCGTAGTTGTGCTCTCATCTCGGGAAAGACTGCACGAGGAGGGCAAGAGGAGAGGTTAGCAAAGAGAAACGGATGCGTCTCGACGATGATGAGGACCAAACTGGGGTTGGCACTCACAGTTGAGGGTGGTGTTCATGCGGCCGATGTTCACAAGGAGACACACCATAGCCATACTCTTGGCGGCTTCTCGGTCACTAAGCAATTTGTCGCGGAGGACCTTACTGGTCTTTGAGCTTCTGGACATGGTATCGATGTAGAGGTCGGCAAAGGTCTGCTTGGGCTTGTTAGGCTCCCAGCTGTTGGTGAAGACGTGCATGTCGTCGTCGAAGACGGCCCTCAGGAAGTCGTACTGGATGTCGACGCGCCAGAGGGGCTCGCCGTCATCCTTCTTCAGATGCCTGATCTTGCCGATGGCGTTCGAGTTGCCCGCGCCGAGACCCCTCCGGCGCCGCGATGGACCAGGCTCTGGGGTGCCCATCTTGGACCTGTCGTCGTCCTCGGTGACGTTGGTCATGAAGGACTTGTCGTTGTAGTTGCGCTGGGCAGGAGAGCTGGGGGCCTCGAGGTCAGGCGTTCCCGCTGCGGAAGAAGGGGAAGCTGCCATTACTGCGACCGAGGGCGAGGGTGAGGGCGCAACGTGGCGAGGCGAGGTAGACAAGGGAAACGATGCGTCTTTTGTGGCGTTGTTGCCGGGGGAGGGAGGTGACTGGTGGTTGGCTGCGATTCAGTGCCCGCTCGCCGACGGATGCTGATGGTGCGTTAGGCCTGACTGTAACCTGGACCTGGGCTGCGCGAGGGGAGGAAGAAGGGTTTGGGTTTGGTCTGATGGCGATCACAATTGCGATCGTGATTGGTGATGGGAAGCAGGATGGGGATGGGATGGGATGGGATGGGTGATGACGAACCAGATAGGAAGAATGCAGGACGATTTGTCAAGAGAGAGAGAGAGAGCGCGAGAAAGACTGAGAGAGCTGGCTAACGCGACGAGCCGATGATGAAACTCGAGATTACGGCCCACGGGTTTGTCTGTCTTTCAGTCTGTCTGGGAAAGGACAGACGATGATAGGTAAGCACTCGGCTGGCCCTTTTAATGTGTGTGTGTGGGTAATTGAATGGATGAGTGAGCTCGTCATGGAGAATCCATCTTGGAAAAAAGAAACGGGAACGCGAGCGCCATCCCGGCCTGCCACACACCTCTCTCGCAATAGAGCTGGAATGGAGACGCCCAGGTCGCGAAGGTTGCTAAATTGATTTGGCGTGATCGTCACTACTGACCGGGTAGGGAGCTAAGGCACGAGCCAGCATTGTGCAGGGGGGGCGGAGGTTAGTACACAGCCAGGCGCGTCTGGGCCCCAAGGGACCGAGAGCAGCCCTGGCAGCCAGCATTCGGGGGACGCATGTGGTACCTGTGGCATGGGGTCCCGGGGGGGGGGGGGGGGTTCAGCAGTACGTAAGCACCCCAACGATCCTGGACCCTTGGCTCTGCAACCTTTGAATCTTTTACTATGGCGGCACCTCACATAGCACATTGTACTATGCTGACTGGAACATTTCGCAATGGCCCGAGTATTGTACTTTTCTTGGTAGGTATATGCCGTATACTACATGGTATATTGCATAAATTTCACTGACTTACATACACTTGAAGTGCATGTGCTCGCAATGGGCGTACGTCTTAGTGATACCTCCTTTCTGTTTAATCTACCATGATTGTACGTTTTCATGATCACAGTCTGGCAAATCTTCGAACATCTACATCTCGACTCTTCATATTGTGATTACATAATAGAGACATCGACCATCTTTTTTTTTGGCGCTGTTCAACGACATGACTTATCCTAAACTGTCACTCGGGCAGCGGTATCTAGCCGGCAATAAAAGGTCGCACGACATGACATGACAACCTTTGGATATCATCATACATAAATCTACTACATAGTACAGAAATATTGACCCCAGATTCTCAGAACAAGGGGGTCTCCTCTCCATCTTTCTCTCTCTCCACAGCTCCCCATCCAGGATCGACACAACTACCACCCGTCATGTCACCAGCCGCCAAGATACCCGTTATCGACGTCTCCTCTGCCAGTCATGACGAGCAGGCCAAAGTAGCCAAGGAGCTGGTGGAGGCTGCCATCGAGCACGGCTTCGTCTATATCCGGAACAGAGGGGCTGATATCCCTGTGGATGCTGTCGAAAATGCATTCCATCTGGTGCGCTCAACCCCCCCCCCCGCCCCTACCCCAAGGCCGACGACCTATTTCCATTGGCGAAAGACTTGCCTCTTTTGTGCTGCAGTGTACTGAACCATGGCAACCATCACAGGGTAATAAGATCTTCAGTGCGCCAGTGGAGGAAAAAGAGAAGTGCACGATCCAGAAGGACAACCGTGGCTGGTCGGGTATGAACTATGAGACCCTGGATCCTAAAAACCAAAGAGTACGTCTATCTCTTTCCTCCCCTTAAATATTGTGCAAAAGAAGGCCACATACTAAACCTGCTGTGTTTAGGTCGGCGATTTCAAGGAGTGAGTTTCAATTTGTTGGGTATCATGGGTATTTGGGCATCCAGCGAGCCATGGCTGACGGACGGAGCACGGCTGTGACAGAGCATTCAACTTTGGCCAATTCGTGAATGGAAAGGCTCAACAGCCCTTGCCAGAGAGCTTCGTACCATATGAGAGCCAGGTAGAGGTTTTCTGTGCGTCATTTCTTATTCCGTTTTATCGCTCCATCTCGTCATTGCACGCCCCCCCCCCCTTTCCCCTCCGACAAAGAAGACATGTATCATATTTCAGCCTCCCAAGACTCATGTGGCCCCCTTTTGCTCACACTAGATCTTAATCCCCAGATGACTACTGCTACAACCTCTCCCTGAAGATCAACCATCTCCTCGGGATCGGTCTCGGGGTGTCCCCACCCACCTTCTTCCGGGACCGTCACCTCCGCGAACGCGGCTCCTCAGGTAACACGCTGCGTTTTCTCTACTACCCCCCTTTATCCTCTCTCGCCTCCTCCGCCGCGGCCGACCTCAGCAGCGCAACAGCCGAGGATGTAAGAGCAGGCGCCCACTCAGACTACGGCAGCATAACTCTCCTCTTCCGCCTGCGAGGCCAGGCCGGCCTGGAGGTCGACACCGGCAACGGCACCTGGGCCCCGGTGCCCGTCACCCCGCCCGGCACAGAGGACGACCCAGCCCCGCCCATCCTCGTCAACATCGGCGACCTGCTGTCTTACTGGACCAACGGCCTGCTGCGGAGCACCGTGCACCGCGTCGTCTTCCCCTCCCCAGGCAGTTCCGGCAACAACGTGGTCAGCGGTGAGACCGGCGACAGCCCCAGGTACAGTATCGCTTTCTTCTGTCACCCCGTCGGATCCACGACGCTCGAGCCCGTGCCTAGTGAACGGGTGAGGAATCACAAGCCTGAGAACGGGTTTGAGAGAGGGGGCAATCCGGATGCCGAGAGGAAGGCCATCACGGCGGATCAGCACCTGCAGATGAGGCTGCAGGCGAGTTATCTGCAGCTGTACGAAAAGGACGGGAAGAAATGACGAGGCAGCCCTCTACTTTGCATGAGAATTTAATATGCCGTTCCAAAAGAAAATGTCTCTTGCTCTGCTGTATGAACCACAGTGTTTTTGAATTGTGCAAACCCCCCCAAGTGGGAGGGAGCGAATACAACGCAGTACTCCTCCTCAATGCAATATCAACCATCTTTTACCCTCCAAAACATCCGCCTGTCGATGCAAAATTCAATGCTACTCCAAAAAAAAAAGTGAACCCAAGTCTATACTTCCACACATGTTTTTAGCATAACCCAATGTAATACTTCCTCCATGAGTCCTTTCCATGCGCACTAGTCCCGATCCTATGGCGTCTCGTCCCATGTCTGTTACGCTTCTTTCGAGCGTCCTCTTCACAGGTGATAGCCTCTAGCAAGCGCCAGTCGTATGCGACCATGACCTCTGGTTGTCCACCTGGGCCCTTTAACGGTTGGGATTGTAGCCTTGTGAGAAACGCCTCCGTAGCTGCTGCCCTGCGCCGTTCCACGAGCACCAGCCTGGGCTGCCTACGACGCGAGCCGGCTAAAGAAGTCGAGGCGAGCCACGAAGGTATGTCTTTGAAGACTGCCGCCACGCCGTGGCTTGGGAGTAAATCCTCGGTGAGCCATGGAATGCTGGCGACGCATGGGGCGAGCAGGATGAAATGGCCGGCTAAAGCACAATTTTCACCCGCGTGGCGACAAGTTGGCTGTTCTCTCGCTGAGGGCTGGACATCCAATCTTGAAGCCACTGATGAGGACGCCATTTTTGACGCCTTTGCTAGTGCAGAGGTGTTCGCCTCCGAGTGCAAAGATGCCGCGACTGAAAAACAGGGGGATGAAGGGCCTGGGTCCGTCATACCAGGTTCATCTTGCAATTTTTCAACCCCAGACAAGGACGGAAATGCAGGGGGAAGAGCGTTACTTTGCGACGAGGGGCTGGACGTGACGTCCCCTAGAGGCTGGCGTGAAGCCTGCGGGCACACTTGTGAAGACACGGACACAACCGAGGTGACCACGAAGTCTCTCTTCCGTTTGACCAAAGGGGGGGACGGTGGGCTTGTCTCGCTCCGTCGCTTGCGAGGTGAGTGCATGATTGCCGTGCTAATTCTCGAGGGTGATTGCGTAGACCGCTGAGCCGCATAGAAAGTTGGTGGCGTTGGGATAGTTCTTGTATCATGTGTGCTTGTCCTACGCGCGTCTACAGGCTCAGTGCCTACCTTCATAATGGTATGCCCTGGCCAAGTCTCTGAGGTAGTATCGGTGGTTATTGTGCCATTTGTGGACTGGCTGTCCTGAAGAGCAGCTTTACGTCTTCGTTTCGACTCGGCTTCTTCGAGGATTGTTATCCATTGAGCAAGCTCCTGGCTGTCCTGTTGTTCGGGACACATGCGGTCCGTTTCCGCGAGATCTTGCAGCTCATCGAACCCAAGACAGTCCTTCCATGACCTGTCTGTATGAATTTTGGAGACGTATGGGAACCGCGGACTCCAAAACCTCGTATTGGTCTCCTTGTGAAAAGCGAAGCAGGTGATGTCGAAGACAGCAGGCTCGAGAAACACCGCCGACATTCGTCTGCCCTGCATAATACCTGACGGCAATTCGATATCCAGTTGGTCGTTCTCGTCCGGCGGCACGGCTTTCGTGAAGACGTATTGTTTGAAATATTCCGCCATGGCGGCGTTGAGTTCAACCTCGGCCACGATGATAAAGCTGGGCCTCACCTCTTCGAAGCGCGTGGCCTCTGCCTTGTTGGCTATACATCCAAGGTAAAAGTGAGTATACTTCGTGTTTGGCAGCCCTAGAACTTTGGCCCTTGTCGGATCATAGCGGGCACCAACGACTGCAAAATCGCCAATGTCGCCCAGATTCTTGACATATGCTTTCTTGAGCTTTAGACAACAGGATGCATAACGACGCTTATCCATCTCTAAATTGAAGTAAGGTTCGTCGGGTTTCAATACTAGGCCCTCCTCTTTCTCGACGATGCAGGCCGCGAAAGCCTTGCGCAGTTCCGTTGCAGCCAGACGGGAGGAGAAGTTGATGACCTCTCTCTCCACCAAGGTGGCGCGACCTTCTTCACAAAGAATCAATGTAGAGAGACGCTGGCGGCGATCGGAATGCCTGCTGCTAAGCATGGACTCATCGTCAACCAATAACAAGTCGAAATATACGATCATAAGACGTTCCGTTGCTGGAGGCGGACTGTCCTCGTCAATGCCGATAAATCGCCCGCAACGATTCACGTGCCTTCGTATCTTCTCAAAGCCGAGAATCTTCTTCTCCTGATCACTCCAGACGACCAGCTCCCCTTCCAGAATGCAGCGCCTCTTGAAACGGCAAGCTGCTGTCCCGAGGCCAAGGGACGATCTGATGGCGCTGTGCAACTTGATGCGATCCCTGGTGCTGTCTTTTCCGGATTTGGAGAAGATCTGAATGCATCGATCGCCTTTGGAGAGGTCAATATGAATTTGACAGTACTCCCCATCCATTTTCCTCTCGCAGCTCATGACACCACGGCCCATACCAAGACAGTGTTGTATGCTTCGCGCCTTGAGCCAGGTTTGCCGACCAACCTTGACACCGACTTGGGGCTTGATGAGCCGCGGGATATCGGCCCTGTCAAGATCGATTCCGAGGGCCTGGCTGTTACGAATCTGTTGCTCGAGAAGGGTAGTTGCGACAGCGAAGTTGTCATGAATATTCAGCAAGGCGGGAAGCAGAGGATGACACTGAGAATATACCAGGTCCTCTGGCACGACGACTGGGAGAAAGGTCTTGAGAATTAAGCGACATAGCCATTTGGCGTCTCTTGGTGATAGCTGCCTGAAAAGATGCGTGAGAGGGTGCAGGTGGTCTCTGGAGGTAGCAAGGTTTGAACTCGCCGCCGGTCGCGACGACCGCACCGCGGGTGAGCTGAAGTCGACTCCTGCCGCCAGCTGATGCAGCACCTTGTCAACCTCCTCGACCGTGATATCGCACTCGGTTCCATTGGGAGCGTCCTTCAATATGTTCTCGACACACTCAGCCAGATCAACGCCGGAACCTTGTTTGCGCCACCTGGTCAACTCTTCCTGGCGCCTCTTGCCAAGACCACAGGCCTTGGTAATGATGCTCTCAAGGCGGTTGTGCTTGATGTTAAAGACCCTGTCGGTGCGCCTCTCCGGAAGCAGCGTCGACAGGACCGCCGTCCGGTCAACATCTCCGTTTTCGATCTGCTCTCGGTGACTTGCGAACCAGTCAGTCACGATCTTGTTACTTCCCCTCTGACGTCTCTTGCGACCGAGGTCCGTCTCGAGGCTCTGGAGAAGATCGCAAACGGCACCGAAAGACAAAGGCATTGCTCAAGGCAAGTAAAGTTCCCTATGTTCAAGGCAGAGGCAGTGAGAAAGCGAGGAAATCATGGAGACGAGGAGAAGGAGTGACAAAGGAAAAAAAAGGTGTAAGCTCGAGAATTTGTAGGCAGCCATGTGAAAAGGAGTGCAAAAGGAGGATTTGCAATTATGTATTAAAAAAGTAGAAGAAAGGTGTGTGGCTGTATGACCCCATTCAAATCCTGCTTATTCGGCGCTATCCGATGGTATCTTCACCTCACTCTTTACTGCTGGGCGCATGAACCGTGAAGTACACAAAAATGGTAGGGATGACGCGCCGAGGTCGCGTGCCTCCGGGATCCCACTAACATGGATCTGCGATTGAGTCCCTGGAGGTATCTGCTGTGGCAGGGCAGGAGGGCAGGAGGAGGCAGGAGGCAGGCACAGCACTGTGCTATAATTAAGTACTCATTCATCCTTATCTTATCAGAGCCTGGAGTTGTGCATTAATGTCACTGAACAGTTCACCGAATTAACAACATGTGTGCCCTATTCCAAATTTCAATTCAACATGGATAGTAGTAGGGCGAATTATGACTGTCGAGGAAGGGGAGGAAAGCAATAGCCTTTACCATTCCTGTTGCATCCATGATGTGCACTGTCAGGCTACTTTCCATCATGTGATAACAGAGTATGAGATCTCAATGGTCTAGCCCAGAGGCGTCTGGCCAGTTTTTATAGTATCATATCTACAGATAAGTATGCAAGCTAATCTGGGTGATCTTCTTCTACTTTTCTTCTGAAAACCCACTACATCAGAAATGTTATACTTAGATACCATGTATAGAGGCAGCATGTGACAGACAAGACTTGACTCAAAGTGGCAAGAATGCAGCTGGTTTGAGGGGTTTAATAAGATAGAAAACCCAAAGTCGTTTGTTCTACTTTTGTACCTCAGTATGGCAATTGTTAGCCCTGCACTTATAGCCAGGTGGCAGAGGGTGGGGCACTCAGGTACCTAGGTACCTTGATGGAGCGGTTGATGGCCCGGCCCTGCCGATAATAGGAGTTCAGGGTTCTCTTTTCTGCCGCAGACCATCTGACGCTATCTGCAGATGGGCCCAGTACCCTTCTGACCATCACTACGTGTGTGACTGACCCGAACAACTCTCACCGTCTTATCCTGATCACAACACTTCAAAAGACCCTTTTTTCTTTTTCTTCTCCTTTGCGTGGCAATCTCTTGTGTCAGATGCACTTCTGTCTGGAGGTTTCGAGTCCATTCGACACGGTTCATTAGACTTTCTCTGTCACTACTAATCTGCCTCGTCTTCTTGTGCTGCCGCATGAATCGAGTCGCAACCCCTCTCCTGCCCCATATTCAACATCCCAAGCACCACACTTCGAACTCGAGTCCCCTTCCTGGATCAACATCCTGTGCAGCACCAGGAGTTCCTCGTCGCCGTGCCCTGACCCCAACCACCCACATCTACAGGCAAAACCCAACCCAACCCTGTTCGACTGAAGTCAACCATCATCACAGCCATGGCTGCTGCTGCGAAACAACGGATTCTCACCGACCTAAAGTCTCTGCAGAAGGAGAAATGGGTGCGCATCGATGTAAGAACCACTCTCAGGCCAGACAATCATCACAGCGCCACAGCTGCTATCTGGAGAGTTCCCTAGGCTGACTGGCTCACATGGACAGACTGACGACGCAAATATCTTCCGCTGGCATCTTGCCCTTATGGTCGTCAACCCTGACAGTGACTTCAATGGTGGATACTTCAAGGTATGTGCTTTGCTACAGCCATGAACCAAGCCTCCCTAGCTCATCGTCACGCTCACATCTACTTCAGGCCGAGATGACCTTCCCGCATGACTACCCCTACTCGCCCCCCAAGTTCCGTTTCCTCAGGCCCATCTGGCACCCCAATATCTATCCCGACGGTCAGCTCTGCATCTCCATCCTGCACCAGGCAGGAGAGGACGTGATGTCTGGCGAGGATGCTGGCGAGCGTTGGTCGCCTCTGCAGGGTGCCGAGTCCGTTCTCCGATCCATCCTCCTCCTTCTCGACGATCCCGAGATCAACTCTCCCGCCAACGTCGATGCCAGCGTCATGTACCGAGACAGAAAGGACGCGTACAAAAGCAAGGCGAGGGCCATAGTCGAGATTTCGAAGAAGGACATTCCCGAAGGTTTTACCGTGCCCACCAGCTTCGAGCCCGAGGCCGCCCCCAAGATCGAGTACGATGACGACTTCTATGCCCCTAGCGGGGATGAAGAATTTGACTTCGACGAGGGCAGCGAATCTGACGAGGCCATGGAGGATGGCGACGATGATGAGGACCCCAGCGATGAGGATGCCTCATCATGAACAACGCTCAGGCCTTTGAGCAACCTTTGGAGAGCCGGATCGACCTCTCCATTGGGCTTAGTGGTCGGTGGTGACATTGCAATATCACAGCACGGCACACCTTCATCCCGGCAAACAGAAAGGAAAAGGGAAGAAAGAGAAGAAAAAATACATCAGTCGATTTATTTGCATAGCGCGCAATGAATGAAGGTTGGCAGGCGTTTCGGAAATACACAGGGTACAGGCTGGCTTTCGTGCTTTACACACTCTATCTGGATCCCATTAGGGGGCAGCTCGGTAGGATGTGCCAATGGCCATGTGAAGCCGGAGGGTTGTTTGATTCAGCCCACAAGAAAAGGACTGGAGACAGCAGTCATGAGTCAATGTCACGGGGATGGATGGCTGGCCAGTCAGGGTTATGAACAATTTCTCCAGGGCGTTAACAGGAAATCTGGATTCACATGGAAGTTGCCTCCACGATCGTAACAATGGCATTACATCCAGCTCTTGGGCCCAAGAGCAAAGCTTGATATAGAGGGGTGCTATATCAATAAAATACCAATCAGCTCATAGATCACAGATGTGCTGAGAAGGGAAAGACGTCCAAAGTCTATGTGATCAGGCGTGACTTGGTGGCAAACCTCACACATTAACTCAGCGTCAGGCTAGACTGACCAAGGCATGAAGGTAGGATGTTCCCCGCTGTGGAGGCCCTGTACTGGGGTGTGCTTGCCTCGGGCTAAGCTCTGTGCAAGGGTACCGAGCACCTGGAAATGCTGCAGATTACGTAGCGGTTGACTGAGCCTCACTACCACCAGCAACCCACTGGCCACTGCAACCTCGTGCAACTTTCTTCCACAGCTGTGCAACCACAAGGTCACCCACCTTCTCCAGAAATTTGATCTTTACCGAAGTGATTTGGAGCCCGTTTCAATATTTCACCGAAGCATAGCATTCCTGCATTTGCTGTGCAAGGCGAGGTGGAAGGTGGCAGAAGTGAAGCAGGGACTGAGGCCGTTGGATTCGGTCGCTTCAGTTGGGCCACCCACCATCCACCGCGTTCCTCGACACCACTGCGATCGCGCAACACCGTGTGCTGCTGACGACCACCATTTCGTACAATAGCAGCTCTCGCCAATACCAACAAGATATACCCCCTCATGGCCTCTCGCTGAGCACCGAGCCCTTCCTTTTGGACCCTCGAGAGATCTACCTACGCCCAATTCTCCTTCCCCGCCCGGCACACCCACAACGAGGGCTCTCCCGAGAAACCCGAGCAAGCAAACACCATGGCGACCACAGCAGATGAGGCAGCTGTAAAAAATGTGGTGGAGATTACATCGCGTAATTCTGAAGAGGATAGATTCTTGTTTCGCGAAGCACTAAAGGTGTGCTGAAGTCTATCCTTCCTGTGCAGTGGATATTTGTGCTGAAATATGCTTTACCACAGGTTCACAATAACAATGTCGAGGCAGTTCTTGGTGAATACTTCAGTGGAGATCATGATTCTGTATGGTACATGACTTTGAGCCTAGAAATCACGGCCTTGAGCTGACTGAATGAAGTTCAGACAAAAATACACGTTGTGGAATGAGGGGCACTTTATGACTGACAGGGACAATGCAACGAATCCAAGTTGGTCTCTCTCCCACGTATCAAATCTCTTAAGATCTCTTCTAACACTGTTTTCTATTCCTCTCTGCAGCCTTTCATGTCCAAGGACCAGATCAATACCCGAATGACGACCCGTGGTTGAAGGGCAGCACCACCAACCTATCTGCACCTTCAAGGCCGCCATCAAGAACACACAACAGGTCTCCTCTGGACAAGGCTACAGACCTTGCAATCCAGAGCACACTTGGTACTATATTTCACTCCTCTTTTGCTCTGTGACTATCACCTGCTCTCTCACAGGTGCAGTCACTGCGCCAAGCTACAACTTCAAGACGGAAAGCTGACCCCTTCTGCAGTAGACGTCCCAACCACCCAAGAGCAAGCAGATGAGCAGCTCAGGATTGCGATGCAGCAATCAATGATGCAGCACACATCCGGGGCAGTAACCCCCCAGGAGAGCGGTGTTGTGGCTGGAGATACTTCTCTGCAGCAGTTTGGACCTGCCAATCGCCCTCACTATGAGCAGGACCAGTGGGCTGTGGTTCTGGCCAGCAAGATGGCTGAAGATCCATCCGCCTTGGCGAGAAAACGCGATCGTAATGTCCCCGTCTACCTCGCCTGCCGATTCCAACAGTCTGCACAGAAGCACCGCCTTGGTCCGCTTATGATGCTCCTACATGACATCCCTGCCGCCCGGAACTTCTTCCTGCTCCTCGAGGGAGCACCCCGATCCTACGGTCACGACAAGGACTGGTGGAAGGGCACAAACATCATCAGTCCTCAGGCAAGCGGCCAAGACTGGGGCGGCGACGTCCCAGGCGTCAGCCTCGTTGATGAGCTGCAGCGTCTTATAGCATTCCTCGATGAGACCGATCGCGCATACGGCACAGCTGACTCCCTTTGTGCCAACTATTTGATCAAGGATACGTGGGGAGATCCAACAATCAAATTCTACGAGAGCTTGTACAATAGCTCAAACTCGCAGGAATATAGCCGCATGTGGACCAAAGTCAGAGTGGACGACTCAATCGCCGATGAGTCGCGAACGCAGGAATTTGCGATCTTGGAGGTCAGAGTCCCAAACGACACGCCGGAAGTGTTTTGCAATCTATACAGTCAGTTGGACTGCCTGTTTTGGCTTCAACAAGAAAACAACTGGTCGGGTTCTCAGAATGATGGCCTGAGCCAGATCGCCTCAATACAGACGCCTGCACAGGTTCTGACCGTGCGTATCAGCACTGATGGCTTGCCTATCGAGGTTCCAGAGGTTGTCTATATCGATAGGTACCTTGAGAGCAATGTGGAGGCTGCTCGCGTCATGCAAGACAAGATCTTCCGTATGTGGAAAGCCATAGATCTGGCAAAGGAGAGGGAGCTCCAGCACACCCTTTGGACAAACTCCCAGACTGGGCAGGTTGTGGACAAGACCAAGATCAGCAAGACCACCATTGATAGAACAGAGACTTTGATCTGGCGAATTCGCGCGACTGCCTTGTGGAGGATGCACGAGAAGTCTATTGGTACCGACGAGAAGATACCGTATCTACCAGATGAACTGAGCCATCTCGCTGAGCTGGACGAGGATGAACAGAAAGCCGTCAGACATTACGAAGCTACGATCGCCTTAGCCAAATTAGATTTGGCGACAGTCGATCAGAAACTAGCCCGTACGCACAAGTAACCCCCTACTTCATATGAGCGGCGCTAACATACTCATAGGTGTCAGAGCCGAGCGAGACGCCTGCTGCGCCCTCCTCCGGCAGCTCAACAAGGTCTGGACACACCCTAGCGAGAAGCCAGATTCCAATCCCACACATAAGTACACGTTGCGCGGAGTTATCACATCGCCCGACGTAATCTACATGTGTCGAAGAGAACGGCCTGAGCCTGTTGAGATTGAAGGGCAGATGGAAGATCGGTGGTACCGGGTGGCCTGGTGTGCTGACGATGAAGTCCGTGTGAAGCAAGATGTAAATCTTCCCATTAATTGCACTATGGCCTCTGTAAAACGAGATCTGGGCTAACGACTCCTTGTATGAACAGACGACAACTATTGAAAAGGTCAAGGAAGCGATGTTTACCGAACGGAACGCAGACGGCAACATAGCTCCAATCCTTGTCTATGCGACAGACGAGGCGTTACAGGAACCAATCATTCCTCTCTCCAGCGCCCTCCAGGTAAGCCCACCAGCTCGAAACCCACCATCCGCAGACTCTGTCGCGTGCTAACACCATCTCAGACCTTTATCAAGTTCGACAATCGTCTCTTCAAGCAGGATCAGCTCGAGGACAATTCGCAAAGCGACAAGAAGCGAGTCGCCGTGCGTTCCCCTCAGCCTTTATTAAAACGGCAGCGGAGTGACAGTGCCGACTCTATGGCAACCAATCGAGCCTCTATCGGAGATTTCAGCGATGGCGAGGAGCGTGCAGCCCTACTGGCCGACCAGTTTGAGCATTTTGGAGGTGTCGACGGCAGTATGGAGGCTGAGATGGCCGATATGAGGACCATCTCCGAGGATGAGATTGCTGCTCACATGGTTCCGCCACTTACTCCTCCACTGTCAGGTGACGACGCCAGTGAACAAGAGTCGCCTGGTCTACGCAGGTCCTCTGAAAAACTAGCCAGGTTGTCACTGGACGAGCAGAGCGCATTGGAAGGGGAGCAGCAGCAGGCGGCAGCCAAGTCTCCCGAGATGGAGGAGCTCAAGCAGCCTTTTATCGTACGTCGGCCTGCCAGCGCCCTAGACAATCGCGTCTCTATCATTGAGAGACCCATGGAGATCGATGCCAACCTGGAAATTCCTGGTGTGAGCCCCGAGGAATACTATCACCAATCTTGCTAGAAGGCAAGCAGTCATGTGGTCCAGAGGGGCATGACGATGATGGCTGTGCACTGAGACCAACCTTTGCGCCATTGGACGTTTGCTTACCAGATGCCGGGAGGCAAGAATTTATTCTTATTGGCAATTGGTGGTGTTTGTCCCACAGAGCACGTTTTGGTTTGGACATTTGCAAATAGCGTTTGCATTAGACGAGTATTGCATTAATGGGTATGAGACCAACGATCGCATTGACGATGCAATATCATTACCTAACAATACAGAGAGCAAAAAGAAGAGGAGGACCCAGAAAATCGCGACGAAGCCAGACAAGGCTAGGATAATTAGTAAGAGGTAGTGAGCAGCACGAAGCAGGCCTTGACCCGCGTACAGCAGGAGGTTTCTTTGCGAGATAGACTGTAGGCATCAGGTGCGAAGCATGGCATGACGAACAATCGATACCCTTAATTCAGCTGATGGTTTTCTCAACTGCAGCTTGAGCGACATGGTGGCCTTTCTCAGACCATTCATTTTGGACGAGCTTCCGCGTTGCTATGAACTTCTTTGCATTTTGATACCGCAGCACTACGCCTTAAGAGGCTCGGCTCGAGCAGAGATATGAATCACGAACACTGGATCGCACGTGCTCCCCACGTCTGGTGAAGACACGACGGTGATGTTGCCGGCGGATGTTTTGGTGAAGGGCTTCCTCTGCATTGCACCTTGTTCAAGCCTTTAAGGTGACCCAAACATACTATTATGATAACAATAACGCGTCTGAGTATCAAAATCAGCTCGCAAAGACGATACGTCCGGCAAAATGTCGACCCTGATGTTGTTGATAGACACGCCGAACATATTTAACCCTAACCCCTTATTTCCCACAGTGTTGGCTACCATTGCAGGAAGTCTCGAGCCACAGTAGCATGACGTTTAGGGCCCGCAATTGCAGCTACGCAGTCTCCCATCCCAGGCTCACTTCGACGGCTCGAAAACGTTCTCATTCTCGAAGTTGGCTACCCGCACCAAGACATTCAATTTTTCAGGACAGCATGGCAGCCAACAAAGTAGCTTTGGTGACGGGTGCCACAGGCCTCCTGGGGCGTCAGGTCCTCAAGGCCTTTGCGCGGAGAGATTGGACGGCCAAGGGCACCGGTCATTCCAGGGCAGATGGCACTGACGTGCTCAAGGTCGATCTGGCGTCTAGTCCAGACGTTTCCAAAGCCCTTGACTCTGTCAAGTAGGTGATAATTGCAGGGCTATGGCCCGTACGCCTTCTCTGCTAGGAGACTTCGTATGCTGACATGCCCTCCAGACCACAGGTTGTAGTGCATTGTGCGTGACGACTCCGTGTCGCCCCCCCCCCCCCTCTCTCTCTCTCAAACACGCACACACTGAAGCTCATCTGCGAGTGGGGAAAAAAATAGGTGCCGCCAACCGTTTTCCCGACAAGGTGGACAAGGACCCTGAGGGGACCCGGAAGCTGAACGTGGAGGCCACTGGGGAGCTCAGCAGGCTTTGTGCTGAGCGCAACGCTTTGCTCATCTATATTTCTACCGACTACGTATTCTCAGGCAAGACTGGTGAAGCGCCCTATGAGTCAGATGCACCTACTGGCCCCACCAATCTTTATGGCCAGACCAAACTAGATGGCGAACACGCAGTTCTGGCGGCCTACAAGGCTGCTGGCAAGGACGGTCTGGGTGTTGTACTCCGTGTCCCTGTTCTGTATGGCGATGCTGAGATGCCATCCGAGAGCGCTGTGAATGTGCTCATGGACGTCCTCTGGAAGTCTCAGAGCGGCGAGAAGATTAAGATGGAGCACTGGGCTCTGAGATACCCCACCAACACGGAGGATGTGGGCAGAGTCTGTCATGGTATGATCTGCATTTATATCTGGAGCCTTAAACTGGGAGTATAAATGAGCTGACCTCCTCATTAGATGTGGCCGTCAAGTACCTGGCCGCTGATGAAACGGCGCGATCTAAAATGCCCAAGATCCTGCAATTCTCGAGTGAGGACAAATTCACCAAATATGAGATCTGCCAGCTCTTTGGCGAGATAATGGGTCTCAGCATTGAGAACATCGAACCAAACACAGAGGGAAATGACCCAAATGCGGCTGTGCAGAGGCCGTACGACTGCCACTTGAGCACCAAGGCATTAAGAGATCTGGACATCGACATCTCCACTCAGGATTTCACTGGTTGGTGGAGACGTGAGGTACGAGCTTTCAGGAAGTAAAGATACTGGACTTCAGAAGCTGGAGGAGGCATAAACAAAGCAGCCTGATACTATGACGGATGCCGAGGGGGCTCGCCATTCACAAGTCCGACAAGGGAGAGGACGATTGTACCCAGCCAGTGCCAGCTTTTTGAGATGATGTCTCAATACCACGGCTCAATCGCCTATTAACCTGTCTCAAATTTTAAAACTCGCTGCCAGATGACCAGCCTCACATAACGCCACTAACAGATTATCCACCAAAAACATGATCTACCGACATTGCAGAGCAGTCGTCTGGAATGCAACATGCTATTCTGGTGGCCCCGTTCTACAACGATCGTGGTAATGGATTGCTGATTGGAATTCCTAGAGACGGCAAATTATTGAAATCAATTTGCGTTCCAACGTGTGCTCGCGATGCCATTCGAGACAGCAGTGATGGGAGAGGATATTTTACAGACGCGTCAAGGGAGGTCGCCTCTCCCTTCCTTGACTTATTGCTTCCATCCCTCACGTAAGTCCTCGTAACCTTCTTCCATTTTCATGTCCACTTTGCTTTCCTGAGTGTGAGTGTGTTCTTCGATCCGTCAAAGACAACGGGTGTGTGCAGCAGCGGCTAAAGATGTGAACTGCCTTGACGAGTGGCTCGGTGCGACAACGATTCTGAAGAGGGAAAGGAAAAGAAATCCTCAAAGTCGACAAGGAGAAGAAGAGCAATCACTGTCAACGAATAGCAATTCTTTTGTTTGTTTGTTTGTTTGTTTCTAGAATTCACGAGCACTATCACGATGTCTACCGTCACAGGGAAAGGCTTCCGGTTCAGCAAGTCTCAAGGCGAGAGCCTCTCCGAACAACGCGGAGTCATGGTACGACAGCTCAGCCAACAGTCGGAGGATGCCGATTCCTTGGCCTTGAGGGCGACGTTTGGCTCGCCCGCATGGAGGAAACGCGCAAGGACCCAAGGCGACATGGACAGACCAGATTCGCCTGATCTCAGCCCTCATTATCCGCTACCATTTGTCCCGCCACTGCCGCCCTCGCACAAGGAGCACGGCGATACGACGCGACCAAAGGCGGCTGTGATGCCATCGAGTCCGATATTCGTGGCGACAACATCTCCTATACCTCTTGCAACACGACCGTCTTCTCGTACGGCCTCTTCAAAGTTCAGCTCTTCCACGACCATCGCAGTTCCCCAGGACGTCACCATGAACGACGGGAGGGGCCAAGAGAATGATCCCGAGAAGCCCAACAAATTCGAGGCATACGAGAAGCAGGGGTGTCCACTTATGGGAGAGCAACAGAATCAGCCTTCTAATGCATTACAGACCAAGACAGAGTTGATTCTAGCCGAACAAAGGAGTCTGGCCATGGTGAAACTGCACAAACAGCTGACTGCGACCCAGGGAGTGGCTTCATTCCCTCGCCAAATAGCGGCTAACGGGGTCTTGAAGGCCCCCGTGCTGGAAAAGATCGGCTTCTTCCATCGGGCGAGAAGGAGCCCTGCTACTCCGTCCCCAGAATCTTCGACGACTACCTCGGTGGACTCGAGTTGTGCTCAGAGCATGTCGTCTTTCTGGTCGCCGATGAACGCCGTTGAGCCCGGCTCACAGCTTGTAACGCCTCCTTCGTCTCCAAAGTCCGCGACTTGTGCTCACAATGGGGTGAGTACTCACAATAGCCCCTTTATTGTTATAAAGACTATTTCCACTGACCTTGATGATAAACTTTAGTACGTCAAAGTCTTCTATCAAAGTGAATACGCAAAGATTGGCGTGTCAGAGACTACAGACACGGTAGACGCGCTTCGCCAGGCGGCCGAGGCGATGAACAACCCACTCAACACCGCTGCCAGCATCATGTTTGAGTGTTATGCACCCTTGGGGCTGGAACGTCGCCTTCGTCGGTACGAGCGCATCCAGGAGGTGATTGATTCGTGGCCAAACGACTCCCAGAACTCGCTGCTCATTCGTCAGGCCTGGGGCCCAGCGAGCAACAAGGACCTTGACATCTCATCTGTGGCCGTGGGTGAAGCTCCGACGACTTTCATCCTGCAGCTCTACCACTGTTCGCGCCCGGGAAAGTGGCAGAAACGCTGGGTTACACTGCTTGGCGATGGCCAGATGCTGTCCTCCAGGACTCCGGACTTGAGTCTCGGAAGAGACTGCCAGAGGCTGTGTGACCTGTCAGAGTATGACATCTACACCGTTATGAGCGAGACTTCGACACTGAAAGATGACATGAAGGCGAAGAACGGCCGGGCGAACCTCGTCAAGAACATCAAGCCTCCCAAAAGGTATTGTTTCGCCGTCAAGTCCCAGCTCAAACCGACAACGTATCCCACGACCACCAGCTATACGCACTTCTTTTCTACCGAGGATGTTGCCACTGCGAGGAAGTTCTACACCCTCGTTCACGCCTGGCGCAGCTGGTACATGGTTAAGGCTCGTCAGAACATGCAGCGCAGACGTCTGATGGACACAGCCATGGATACGGTCCCACAGATCACTCCCGTCAAACACGTGCCGCAGAAGAGCATTAGCCACCTCAAGATCTCTCCGGGCCACAGGATTAGGGTCTCAGTGGACGAGACCCCCTACACGATCGGCGAGTTCCAGCCGCTTGTCGATCTGGAGCGCTTCAACAAGCCGGCGGATGAGTTTGGAAAAGACTGGATTGAAGATCCGAGGCATTCTCTCCTGCTGCCTATGACCCCTGGTGCCGATTCTGGTGTCTCGATGACGAAGCCTTCGACTAGTGGGCTTACAAAGCTGGAACAGGATGAAGGGCTCGATGGCGGCGGCAGCCCCTCGGAACAGCGCCGCAAGAGACGGGATAAGAAGAGATGTCTTGCGCTTATAGAGAACGGCGAGAGCTCTGGAGCTGCTCAAGCGAATATTGCCATTGCTGTGACCGAACCTCTGACGCCGTCGACGCTACGAACACGGTCAGATGCGTCCTGGTACAGCACCGCAGAAACGCAAGCAACCGAGCCCGAGGAGCCGTCACCGCCGTCCATGCCTAAGGCTGAGCCCTCGCCCTGGCTGCCTTCCGCAGCTGAACACACTGCCAAGGTCAAGGCCGAGCAAGCCCGCCTCGAGCGCCTCCACAGCAGGCCTGCCACGCCCCAGAGGCCCACCGCAAGCCACGACAACGTCGGCCGCGGGCTCGCCCATCCGGGCAGCTTGATCAACCGCCGTGGGGGCCGCCTCAGGGACCCGAGCCAGTCCATTCTGTCCGGCAACCTCGAGGTGCACTACCGCGCCGCGTCGCAGTGGGCCGAGTCGTCCTCGTGCCACCCTGGCAGCCGCTCCCCGAGGTTTCTCGAGGTCCCTGGCGGCGGTAGTGGCGGCTTCTGCCACGTGCGCAGCCTCGCCTCCATGAATTCCATGCCGACACTTACCGAATTACCCGGTCCGAACAACAGCAGCAACAACAAGCGCGGGGGTCCTGTGCCGCCGGTGCCAACCTGTCCTGCCCTGTGGAGGAACCAGTCCCTCTCGGCGTGCCACAGGCCTCCGACCAGCCATGGCGAGAAGCCCGGCGCCCGCCAGCAGCTTCGCGCGCGCTCCGGGTCCATGAACTCCATGCGTCGCGGGTACAGTGGCGCCGGGGCTGGGGCGCCAGGCTGTGGTGAGCCGCTGCCTCCTATGCCGCCTGTGCCGCTGCACTTGAGGCCGTCAGTCAGGGAGGGTGTTGCCGTCGCTGCTGGGGGCAGGTCTCCAGCCATGCTTAGGGAGGTAGGGAGGAGCATGACGGTGCGGCCTCAAAGCAATGCGCAGTGGTGAGGAACTGGACCGTCCGGCACCTTGAGAGTTGGTTATCCTGCGTATAACTACCTACCTCATTGGATGCCAGCATCCGCTTTCCTCTTCCTTGCCTTTGTTTTTGTCTTTTTTTTTTCTTTCTTTCCCCACTAGGAATTTGAGGTGTGCCAAAGTATAGGGTAACTACATGGAGGATGATTGAAACCAACTCATTCACTTGTAAGATCTTTGACGAGTCACCGCAGTGGATAGGCGGTATGGCTGATTGGTTCGTGGAAGAGTGAGGGAGACAAAGGAGTACTTCTCGCTGGCTATGTATTACTACTATGAAGGGGCTTATTAAATTTTATTGTATTGTTGAAAGGATATCGAGAGAGAAAAAAAAAGGAAAGAAACCCCCCCCCCCCCAGAGAAGAAAACAAGGGGAAAAGGTATTCAGAGAAGGACTGAGGGAGATATGAAATGGATACAGAATGAATATGGAATATATACATATACAAAACGGTTCCCCATGAGCTGTTGAAGGGCAAACCATCATCCAAGTGCAAACAAGAGGAGCGAGTCAACGTGTATAATTAATGGAAAGATGAAGTAAGTCATTCATGTAAACGAAGACTAGTTTTGCCCCGCGCGAGGCCAGACGCATTACATATTTCCAATCAAGCTATAGATCCGGTTGGGTTCTTTTTTCTCTTCCCTGCCCCCCCCCCCCCTTTTTGCCCCTCGTTTGTGTGCGTGGTGCCTGTCAGTCTGCTCTCCTCCTAGTCCGCCGCGTCAAAAACGCCTCCACAAAAAGAGGCTTTACCAAGTGTCCAATTCAACTAACTGAAGATTCGCTCCTGTAAATTTTGATTTTGTCGATTTGTTTCCATTTGCAGTTATAGAGTCAAGCTTTTGAGGCAAGCAGTGTAGTGGTGAGAGTGTCTTCAGCAAAACAAGCTCAACAACCAAAGAAGGAGAGCAACCCCAGCTCGCGATCATGCACAAAGAGCACTTGGTGGGCAGGGAGTTGCTTTGCTGGGATGCTCCAGAGAGAACATAGGGTGCAGGAGCCTCTGGGAACATCTCGGGGAAACTTCTGTCCATCTGTACTTGAATTGATCGCAGCCAGGATGCAATTTCCGCGAGTGAAACCTTTTACGCAGCAGTAGCACCATTCGCGCTACCATCGCTGGCAACCTTTGCTGCTTCTAGCAAGAAGGACTCCTCGATCGCGGAACGGCGCCTCACAACACGCAACCAGCGATCGCCCCATCTCCTGACAAACTTGTCTCGCAGATCACGGGCAGGTCCGTTCAGGCTTCCGTCCTCCATCAGCTCATCCTTGGAACCAGTCGCCCATGCTACAAGCAAATCCTCCAGGATGCGGAAGAGGTTTCGCATGCTCTTGATCTCCTGCTCTTGGGTCTCACCGGAAGACATATCCACATCGCCGGCCACAGGAGCGGCACCCGACAGCATGACCTGCCTCACGCGACCCGTCACCTTAGCAACAGTGCTGAAGACCGTCTCGTAGATGTAGTTACGGGCAAGAGCCTCGCCCTTTGTGCGGCCAGCGTACCCAGAAAGTGCCCACTGAACCACAGCCACAGGGTTAACGATGCCGTAGTTGAGGAGTTTCTCGATGATCTGCTTAGCCACGCCTGGGTGTGCGCTCCAGAAATCCATCACTGCCGTGATGATCTGGGCACGAGCTGGTTCCGAGGTGGCACCCGCATCGAGCAGGCGCTCCTTCGTGCGCTCAATCGCGGCCAGAACGTGAGACAGGGACTTGGAGCCAACATAAAGCACGGCTGTGGTGAAAACGTCGGTGCTGGTCACGAGGGGGTCCAAGCCCTGGTCGATCGCCTGGGAGTGGATCTTCTCAATGACGGTCCGGATCTCGTCGTCAACTACCTTCTTCTTCTCCTCATCCGGGGTCTTTCGCTTCAGAAGCGTTGCCAACTCACGGCCTTCTTGAGCAAAGGGCACGGCTTTGAAGAACAGGAGTTGTATCAGTATTCATCCAGCACAGGATACAAGACCAGTTCTAGAAACCACTCACAGTCTTGCTCAAATTTGAAAGGGGGCTCCTCTTGATCCTTCTCAGGAGGGACCAAAGGCTGGTACCCATCAGGCAAGGTCTTCCTGATACGGTTAGCAAAGCTCAAGCGGATCTCCTTGTCAATCGAGCCCACGATGAAGGCCTTGTAAGGGTGCAGGTCCGGGAGAGAGACGTCTCCGCTCCACTCGGCCCACTTCCACGTGAAGCCAAAGTTGCTCAGGTGATGCGAGAACCAATCGATGAACCGATTGTTCAACTCCAAGTCGAGCATGCCTGTGCTTCGGTAGAGAAATCTTATTGCGCGGCCGAGACTGGGGGCAATGGCAGCAGGGGCGATCCGGCATGCCTCGGTCAGCACCGAGTGATAGTAGACGAGCTTGTGCTCGGGGTTGGGAAGCATGAAAAGCTGAGAGAAGACGGCATCAACAGCAACGTCTTCAGGCTTCCACGTGGATCGGCCGGCAGGTACATCGCGAAGCTGGTCAAAGGGCGTCGCGCGGCTGACAAAGGTACCATCGGCGAAGTAGTTGTCAATGTCAATCAAGCGTCTGGCCGTAATAGATCGGTTGAAGTGCAGGATGTTGATCGTGTCCAACAGAGTGTCGCGTACCAGGCATGAAGTGATGTCCGTGACGGGAGGGACAGACGCAATGTCCTGGTTGAGATAGACAGACAGGTAGATCTCGGGGAAGAGGGGCCGTGAGCCAGCGATGAGTACCTCTGGAAAGTCGATGGCGGGCAGCGCGTGCTTTGGACAGTTGTCCAGTTTTTCTTGCTGCTCCACATCTTCCAAGGGCATCTTCCACGGCCTCGGCAGGCAGGCCAGCTTCCAGCCGCTATTAGCCTCAGACTGAAGCTGCTTCTGCAGCAGACCAATGAAGCTGAAGTCGACGACAGGGCTTTTCTCATCCCCTTCCGGGAAGAATGGGTCGATCAGTGTCTGGAGGGCATGAGGCTCGGAAGCAATCACGTCTGTCTTGTCGAGGAGATCGACCGCACTCTTCTCAGACTTGTCAGGCGCTGCGGCGATGGCGTATGGTATGGTGAGGAGGATGATCTTGACCAGCTCGGTGCCGATCGTCTGTCGTCGAACATGTTAGTTAGCGTGCATGCTGCCATTGCTTGTTTCCGGGGTGAAACTCACGTCCTCGGAGCTGGCAGTCTGCAGCTCGACGGCACGGTCAAAAAGCGCATCCAGGATAGGGAACACGCCCTCACCGTCCAGACAGCTCTGCAGGCATGCCAGCAGCTTCAGGTAAAGCTTGACAGTCCTCCACTCGCCCGTCTTGATCTTCTCTGCAAGCTGACCCGTAGCTTTCGCCAGAAGATCGTCCACCACACCGCTGGTGGACACTGGCTCCTTGGCCTGCTCCCCTGCGTCCTCCATCTTTGCGTCCCCACCACCACCAGCAGCAGCATCATCACCGCCATTTTGCGAGGCTGCCACGGCGGCGGGGGTGTGGGCGAGCGTGTTCAGCACCAGCACGACAGCAGCAACGAAGGGCGTCTTGAGCGGCTGCTCCACAACAAGCTGCAAGGCGAGGTCCACAAACGTCTCGCGGAGGCGTAAGTCGTCGTAATTTTCAGCCAGCAAGTTCGCGATGCTGCGGATGTCCTCGGTGGTATTTCGAAGGGGGCTGTCGGCAATGTCGACGAGCTGCTTGCGCAGACGGACGGGCGCTGGGGGCTCATTGCGGCGGCGATGGGGCCCACGGTGTTCGCGCTGGGGGTTGTAGTGGTCTTCGTCATCTAAAGTGCGAGGTTTCAGAGATTGGACTACGGGAGAGGGCATCTCTAGGATGGATCTGGACGAGGGCGCGAAGCTCGCCGATGAGTCCAAGTAGACAAAACACGAACCTCTGTATCGTCGCTTCCTGGGGTTGTGCCCTCCTCCTCCGCCCTGTCTACGTTCATGATCTGCCATCCTGGCTGTTTCTTAAAAAAGAAAGAAAAACCACGCGATAGATTATGATGTTTGCAAATTGATGATCACAACGGTGAGGGAGACCAAGAGGAAAAGAAGAAGAAGAAAAGAGCAGGCAGGAAGGGCGATGTCAGCCTCGTGGTGGAGCTGTAGTGTTGGTTGGTTGCTTAACGCACCTCGGGTCGCGCCAGGTCGAAAGATGCTGCTAAGAAACGCGAAAACGGAGGCCACCAGCGCAGCAAGCAACAGCCCTCCACGAGTTGATTATGTAAGACACACAGGCCTGCAATTTGTCTCGGGCCGCCCAGCCCTTGCTTACCCAGCGCCCCCTCAGCCTTATCGTCGAGGTGCCCCTGCAGCCCTCTTCAGAGCAGGGAGTTACCTGCCTCAGACCTTTCACAAGTAGGATAGGCAACAGGTTATGCAGCGATAGTAGGTGAATATCTCAATACCTGGCCCCCCTCCTGGTATGACAGGGCTGACTGACACTCCACTCTCTATGGTACTTACTCGCTATAACTTGAACTCGCAAAGACACACAAAGTTATGGAGGCACTGGGAACTTCTTTATTTCTTGTAGTCACACCACAGCCGGCACTCACTCCCTTGCCTCTTTTGATATCCACGGGTTGTCTGAGACATGTTGCCAGCCCTGATTTTCCTTTTAAGTAACCACCCAGAAATGTGCCTATCCCTCTGACCCTTGCTAAAGGCTGCTGCCCTCTGGAAAAGACAAAAAGAACAAGTAGTTGATAGAAATCTTTTGAATCGTCAATGCCAAATACCAGGCTGCTGCAGGCCAAGTCGTCCGCCCATCACCTGCCTGTGTTTCTTTTTGGGACCATCCTCAACGGGGGGCCATCCTAATCGTCATCCCACAATGCAAAAGTTCACCGCGGTCCGCATGAACACCCACAACCCTGTAATAGTAGTACCAGCCCGATCAAAACAATTCCACACGTAGCGTCCGCTCATCCAGCAGTAGCCCAATAATCTTCCGGTTAGGTCCCCATGGCACCACGGCCTCGAAAACATAAAACAACGTCAAGCTGCCAACCGCTATGTGGGTGCCTGCCACAAGACTCGCCGATCCTCCCAGGCGGATATGAAAACGAAACCAAGCAGGGCCAGATCTGATCGGGCGGGCAAAGGAAAATCTAGAGGCATGGGGTCCCGTCGAACTCTTTCCTTCCAGTCTGCTCCACCGCCCACGATACCGGATTGACACATGCCCTCTCCTGCTTGGACAACAAACCGGCCCATCACCCCTGGTAATTCCACGATTCCTAGAATCTCTGCCCAGGTCTGTTTGCGCTCCTCGGTTGGCTACAAGCTGCAGATGCTCCCTGTTCGACCTGTGGTGGCCATCGTGTGTAATCGTCACCGCTTCAAGTGTCCTGGAGGAATGCCAGTATGGGTCCGCGTTGGCATGATCGTCACAAACCGCTTTTCTCTTTTTTCTTTTTACGACCATGTGCAGGTCTGACGTCGTAAGCCGGACTCTTACGAGAACAACGTCTCTGGTAGGAAAATCGCCACTTCCAACGAAACCTGCATAGTCTTCTGCGTCGAGCACAGTGTCGTGCTCAATCAAGCTTTGCCATCATCTCGTCCTTGGACAGAGGTACGAAGTTGAACATGTCAAGCCCCTTGGCTTTCAATTCATCCCTAACGTGAGGGGGTACCAGTCTGTCGTTCAGTGCGGGGGCGATAGACAGTTCTGCGAATCATGTTAGTTATACGAGACTAAAGGCGCTAATATTTGTCTCCAAGGAAAAGAGAGAGAAAAAAATCTCACCATGTCGATTGAAGTTGAACAGTGGAGGCAGATCCTTCAGCTGGCCAGTTTGGTGCCTGGAATCAGGGAATTTGGTGTTCGGGTCGCGCAGCTCGTCGAAGAAGGGGTGGACCATCGCATCGATTGCGCTGAGACGCTCGGTCGGGGTATACTCGAGCAGCTTGCTGATCAGGTCGATCGCATTCGCGTCGGCCTTCCGGAAGACCTTGCTGAAGGGATGAGGCTTGATCTGGGGGAACTTGTGCTCCATGTAGTTTGGGTTCATGGTTCGGATCTGTTCGCGCGTGGGCGTACCCAAAACCTTGATGATCTCCACCAATTGATCGATGCCAGACTCGCCAGGGAACAGAGGCTGACCCAGCATCAACTCAGCCATGACGCAACCAGTAGACCACACATCTGCAAAGAAAAAAGAAAGAAACATCTCGTCAGCTTCATCAAATCGCACTGGATGGTGAAAGAGAGGGTCCCTTACCAATCTTGGTGGTGTAGTTAGTGGCACCGAAGATGAGCTCTGGTGCCCGGTAGTAACGCGAGCAAATGTAAGAGACGTTGGGCTCATTCTCGACCAGGATCTTTGCGCTGCCGAAATCGCACAGCTTCAGTATGCCACTGTTGGGATCGAGGAGGAGATTCTGTGGCTTGATATCACGATGGCAGATGCCTTGGGAGTGAATATAGGCCAGGGCTCGGAAGAGCTGGTAGATGTATAGCTTGACCTCGAGGATGGGCATGGTTGTCTTCATCTTGTTGAAGAATCGAGAGGCTCGGTAGACAGTCTCAGGGACGTACTCCTGGACGAGGTTGAGATACACTTCATCCTTCTGCATGGGTGTCAGCAATGAGGCGAAATCTAGAATGGGTCTGCTGGACACATACGCGCTCGCCGTTGGAGTAATAGAACGCCTTCAACTGTACGATGTTGGGATGGCGAACGATGCGCATGATTTGCAGCTCACGATTCTGTCATGTGGTCAGCACGGCCCCGCTAGCCCGCATCAAGCTGCGTACCTTGAATCGCTTGTCCTGGAGGACGCGCTTGATCGCGGCGTCCTCGTTGGAAGGGGACAGCTTGGTTTGGAAAACGACACCAAAGGAACCATTTCCAACAATCTTGCATTGGGTGTATGCGAGTTCTCTCGTCTCGCCGGTAACACCATCTTGCACCTTCTCCTTGATGACCTCTGGGGAAGAGGTGTTAGCAAACGACAACCAAGTAAGAAGGTATCAATCATCTCTATTTAGATTGCTCACCTCCCATCCGCAGGTTGTTGAACGCTGCGGGGCGGTTCTGTGCCATCTTGAATGCCAAGTCTGGTGGTGCTACCGCTTGGCGAAATCAATGGTCTTGTAAGGAAGATCAAGGCCTGAACAGGAAGCCGAAACAGATGGACACCTGAGTTGGGCCGTGATGGGCGAGCGTCGAGATTGTCACAGGGAGGGGTGCGATTTAAATAGTTCTTTGACGGGTCTAGCAGCAACCGCTCTGACCCGTGTGCGAAGATTTGTACTGGCAGTGCTTAAGGATTGCGTTGTTGAATGGACGCACTTCTTTTCAAGAAGAGAAGGGAATGATATGTTTTTCTTCTTTTGGTCAATCAATCAACCGACGGGTTGTGTTGTGTCGTACTTGATTTGTCGGAGAGAGAGCAGCTCGCAAGGTAGGTTTATTTGTTGATTGTTGCTGCTGCTGCGGGGGGAGCAGGTCGAGGAGGGCTGAGGGATGCGGCAATCAATGTTTGTCGCGCAGGGTCGTAAATGGAACCTGTTTCAATCAGTCTATGGCGACGGTTAGAATTGCAGCGCGGTCGAGGTCAAGAATGGCAGGAATATGCCAGAAGAGTGGAGCGAGATGGAGTCGAGAAAAGAAAATGAAGATTGACCATGTGCCACGAGATGTCTAGGAGAAAAGGGAAAAGACGATGACGGTCGAAGGGTGGGGAAGGGAAGCAACACAGCTTGGAAACGGGGATCCAGTAGAAATTAGGGCGATTGGGACAAGGCAAAGATGACTGTGACCGTGACCAAGTGCCAGGAACCAGTGGCCAAGCGACCCTGGCCGCCAGAGGGAGAGTGCAGCCCAAGGTCCCTAACGCGGGACACTAAGCTTTCAAACCGCTCGGCCTAGGGGCTTTGCAGAACCCGCAGCCAAGCCAAGCCCAAACCAAACCCAATCCAACTGATGACCCCGGGACACAACAGGCAAACAGGCTGTTCAAAGCTTCAAATCTCGAGCAGTGGAAGGCAGCCTTGCCTTGCGTTCGAGTTTGCACGCAATGCAAAAGTTCGCTGTCCAGAGAGGATGGGGTCATGAGTTGGAGCTGGGTCTTGATGTGATGCTAAGATTCAAGCCAGGCGGCAACCGCAGGACCAGTGGCGTGTATGAGAAACAAGTCTGACAGTGGTGTACCGATGAATGGTGACTGAGCGCTCATACCAAGCGTGGTTCTTTCCGCGTCGCAGATGGACTGACTGGCTTGCTGGCTTGCTGCAGGAGGTGCGTTGATGATGATGAGATCGTGGGTTGCAGGTAATTGTGGATACCTTACCCATCACAAGGCTGTCTGGTTTGGGAAGAAACTCTCGTGTACCCGACTGGTGCAAAACTGAATTGGTACACACAGGCAGGTAGGTAGGGTTTGTGACGTTATCTGGAATGGAATGGCAGAGTGTGCAGGACGATGTACCTCAGGGTGGTGCGGCCACACACACACACACACACACACACACACACACACACAGGCGCCAAATTGGAGCTCGTCAGGTTGACGCGGGGGGAAAGGGGGGGGGGGGGACATCGTGACCAGCAGAGCTAGGCAAAAGGCGGGGTGAATTGACGACGTAGGTCGACACGGGATGAGGGGCACGCAGCTGGCTCCTGCGCGCGCCAGCTTCAAGCTAGGCAGGCAGAGGGGCAAACGAGCTGGAAATGCAATAATCAAATGTCTGAATAGGGACTTACGATGCTGTCAAGGAATGACTAGGAATTGAGTTTCATAGTAGTTCTTGTAGGCTAGGAACGATTTTCTAGATTTCTTGACAAGAAAGCTTCGTTAACATTGACGTCTCTTGGATCTGCACAGCAGCTGGTAGTTCAAGCGCAGCTGAGCGTGTGGGTAAGGTGTGACGAACGAGATGAGGTGGCAACTTGTTCTGTGTCTTGTGTGTGCCTAGCTCTGATATGGATGGTGTATCGAAAACAATCACACGTCGTCGAAGGTCGAGTGAAGATAGACCAGGGCGAGGCTGAGGTCGTGTTGAGGACGGCCTGTGGTGGGTGGATAGCGGGTGGTAGTGGGTTCTGAAGGTTCGAGGTAAAAAGGTTAGGCCCCGTTGGGGTCAGGGATAGGGAACAGGAACAAGGAGGGAGAGGAGTAGTAGTTGTACGGGGTAGGAACACTGCAGGTACAGGGATGCTCAACCACAGATGTTACAGCCAGGCTGCCTCGTTTATACAAGACCTGGACACCCCTCCTCGCTATCGAGGTACTCGTTATGGTATGCTTAGGAGAGGCGGGTTGAGAACTATGTGTCCAGGATGTGTGGGAGGTGCAGGCTTGTTGACGAGCATACCTGGCCTGGGCGGGGATAGGAAGGACATAAATGGATAGGGGGGTGGGTGGTCATGGGCGAGCCCAGGGAAGGGAGAGCCGCAGGGCAGGGAACACGAATGGCCTCGTGGAATCGGGACTTACGATGGTATTAACCAGGCAGACCGCACGGGATTGATGAGGTGAGAGGTGAGGTGAGAGAAACAGAGGTTGTATCGTCCAGGGCGGCCCACTCAAAAGGGTCCTGAGCAGGTATGTACTGAGTACGAGACAGAAACAGTGGCTGGATGAGAGGTACACGTCAGGTCAGATGTCCAGGTGAGGGGACCTCTCGGAGAGTTGCGAATTTGGTAGTAGTAGACAGGGGAAGCTATCTCGATGTCTGCTGATAGAAGGGGGGGGGGGGGTGGAGGTTAGGATGAGGTGGTAGTGGGTAATGTTGCGAACCAGAAAGTCTCGGTCTCGATGTTGGAAAAGTGGTGGTTGGAAGGGGTCGGTCGTTGGTGGTGAAGGAGGGAAAAGAACGGCTGCTGCGGCTGTAACAATGTTTCGTGAATACGGGCTGGGCTGGCTCTGCAGGTGGGTGGGCAGGCGAGGCAGGGAAGTCAATTTTTGTTGGATCGTTAAGAAGACGGGAAAGGGGAAACAGAAAAAGAGAGGGAAAAAAGGATGTGTGGGAAGATCGCGAAAAGAGGACTGGGATCCGAGAGGGAAAGTGAGTGGAATTTCCGCGACTTGAGCTGGAATTGGCGCCTCGTTTCCTTTTTGATCGTGTGATGCAGCGGAACTACTGTTACTATCATTACTACTACGGAATTACAGTGCATTGCAGTAAGGTAGCAGCAAAAGGAGACTCGACGAGAAATAGCTGCATCTCGACGCTGCAGAACTTGTACCCAGCAGACCTCGGGTCCTCCACCCCTTCTAAAGTTGACCTGGTGACTTCTTTTCTGCTCGTACCCCTCCAATTCGCTCGTTCAGGTGTGACGTACCCTGGCCAGAGGTGCTAGGCTGCTAGGCAAGGGAGAGGCGTTGGAATGGGAGGACCCAGCAGTCCTACCCCTACCCCTGGATGCTGAAGCGCTACAATAGTACCTGAGTACCATAGCTTGCATGGTACGTCTCTCTTGGTAGTGAGGGTCTGTGTCTGCCGCTGGCCGACCAAAATAGCTGGGGGAAAGGATGGAGGATGGCCGGGATGATCATGAGAATAGCCTCATGGAAGCATCCGTTCCCCGCCAACAACCGCCTTTGCCAGATCCCATCCATCCCCTTTCATTCTTTTTTCCTCTCGTCTTGTCGAGGGCTTATATTATTTAAACAGGAGCTGTTTGCATGATACCTGACGTCCTCGCCTCAGCCCACTTGTGAACCACGAGATAACGACAGAGGTTGCTGTGGAACGGGTTTCTGCAGATCTGAGATATCGCCCGCCTCACTCATTCTTTTGCGTTTCAGCTATTCATTCCCCCATTCCGGCCGTTTTCAGCGACCATTCCTCTTACAACGGCTCTGGTCTTGTCCACCGGTGAGGGCCCAAAGCAATGACCTGTCTCACCTTTCTACTTCACAAGAGGGAAGTTTCTTTTATCCATGGTTTCCTCCACAGATTATTACTGCTAGCATTCAAGGAGGGGAGGGATTTGATCAATGAAGACGGTCATCCATCCATTTCCCCCGGCATACTACGGTATTATTTATTTCCTGGGCCATATACGCTGTTGAGGCGTTCCTGGAGAAAAGGCATGACGCTGCTTGAAGGGGGGGGATGAAAATCACACATGTGCACGAGTGGGTGCCCGCGGTATCAATCCTTCTTCTCATGCTTGCTGCTGCTGCGTGGTACCTGTCCGTAACCCAGATGAACGGTACGAACGCCGCCCCTCCCCCTAACAACCTGTGGTTTGAGCTTGAGCATGCGCATGCGCTGAACGGAGCTTAGCGTCCAGTGGGTCCAACCAGCTGCGCGCGGGAATGGAGTCTTGGGGCCCATAAAGGTCACGTAAAGGGTCATGTGCTCTGTTTTTTTCGATGGGGCCCCATCTCGGCCGGCCGTCTCGGTTCTTTTGGTTGGATTTTTTCTTCTTCTTTTTATTTTGGAGTCAGCCGGGGGTGCGCTAAAACGACCTGAGCGGCCGGTCCAAGGCGGCGGAGGCTTCGAGTGGGCGACCCGATCCCGTAGCGGTCCTGAGTCGCTGGGTCGCTTAAGGAGTAAGTACAGTACTATTACGAGTGAAGAAGGGTTTTTGCTGGCACCCAAGAGACAGATGAGAGAAAATGAGGGTCATTGTCACCCGTTGAGGCTGGTGGGCCTGAAAAAGTAATCAGCCGCTGATGTGTGGTCTGGGCCATCAATCCTCGAGACGGACGTACGTGGCCGTTACTTTTGTCAGGCTTCTACTATGGTTACATAGTACGTTGTTTTTGGGTCTGAGTGAGGTTGAAATAGATTTTTTTTCTTTTTTTCGTTATCTTATTTTCCCTTTCTTTTCCTGGTTTTCGAATTGAAATTAGGCACCACTGACGCAACCCGAGAACCACTCCGAACGAGGATGAACCATCTTGCAGAGGCCCCATCACAGGGCGAGGGGACACTATGGTACCTGGGAATGCCCAGAGGGCTTGTGCACATCAAGTCAAAAAATCGTACGATCCAAAGAAATCCAAGTGGACTACTGCACCTGCACAATGGTAAAGGAGTTCCCCTCGACAGCCAGTCCCGTGTGGGATGGCTATCGATGATCCTCTCTCTTTCTCTCCCATAGGCTCATTCTTCCTCCAAGAGGGGTCCATCCCGTCTTTGTTTTTCCTCCCCTTCTCCAAAACGAGTCGCAGCTGCTTCGAGCCTGTTACATTACTAGAGCCGCCATCTGCCGGGCTTGTGACCAAGGATTGAGTTCCGGAAACGCAACCCTTCCAGGACGGGGGGGAATACAATTACATAGTACCTATTACCTGCATTGCTCGCGCGAGGCCCCGCCTGGCAGTGGTCAAGTCAACAGCCGCCAAGCAGGATCAGCCAGCCATAGATCAGACCAACGGAGATCTCTCGACTCTCTCCAATCAGAAGTCCCAAATCGAGGGCTTACCAGGGCTTCGTTGCTGATCTTCCTAGCGTGGTCTGGTCCCTCCTAGAACAGAAACTACAACAGCAGCCCATGTCAAAAGTCCTTGACGTCTACAGGTCCTGTGGTGTACAGGTGTGCCAGTCCTCGGATACCCAGACAGGCAGAACACTGAAAGGAAGGGGGGGGGGGGGGATGCGGCGCCAGGTGGTGTGCCCAGCCAGTTGGGGCACAGGTGAACTGGAAGCGTCCCTTCCTGCCCCTCTTAGTAGTGACATGGAACACCCCGCCAGCACACATGCAGTGCAATCTCTGGAGAGCTCCCCCCCTCTTCCCGGAACGATGAAGCTCTGCAGATGGTTCCATCCATCACCACGACCACCAGCCATTGAATACCTGTGAGGGTGATTCGGCAGCCGCTGAGCTTGATTCGCCTCGTGCAAGTCTTGAGGAAGTTAATCAACATGAAGAAACATCCCCATACATTTTTATATCAAAACGCTGCTGCCAGGCTCCTGCGCTGTTTCTTGGTGTCTTGTATGTGTCCTCTAAGACGTACGCAGGAGGCGGGGCATTGGCGCCTGTGGTAACCAGGGGGCCTGGAGGGGCGTTGGGGAGATGCTCTAATGGTCTGTGCCAGTGAAACGCTGGAACGGAACCAATCCTCGCGTGGGTCTGGAGTCTTAGAGGGGTGCCGGTCGCTCTTGCCGTTCCCGTGGTGGTGGGGCATGCGTCACTTTCAAAAAGCCAGACGATGCTCGACACGAATTTTCATTTACGGTTTTTGGTAGTGAGAGGTCTCCTGTTTACATTGGCTGTTCGAACGTACCTGAACCGTTCTCCAGAGAACAGGTCAAAAGACAGCACTCTGCCCCTCTTCCCATTCCCCCTTGACCGTCGAGGGCTTTGTTGAGCAGATCCGGGAGGATCGGCCCGCCGCGTGGACAGCCAGACAGCTCCTATGCGCTCGTGTTTTCCACTTCTTCTTCCTCCCCTCCAAGAGCGTCTTCTACTGTTTTTTCATGGCGAGCAAATGCTTCTCCCCCAGAGGATGACGACACTAGCGAAACAGAACATCGTCGACAAGCCAAGCGTTCACCCACCTCTCCTATGTTACAGAAGAATTGTACCCAGCTTTCAGCCCTCTTAAGGAGAAAGCTTCCTTGTGCTCCCTGATTTTGTCCTACCATATCCCCTCTGGCGAATCAGCGCGCTCTTGAGAGCTCGACGATTGACATGTGTCAGAAAAAAGTCGTCGACTTGAGGAGACAGAGAGAGGCAGGCCACCTGCTGCACCAATCCCGTCCTGCAGACACAGCACCTCTTACTGCGCTCCGTAACCTGCACAGTGATGTGGTAGAGGCAGCCCCTCCCCCCCCCCTGGCTCCTAGAGCATTCCAAGCAGGCAAAAGCTGCACAAGGAGCTCAAGGATCAGCGGCCATTTCGGGATCCAACAAAGATCATGAGACCATCGACCCCAGAGGCGCTAATCATGCCTCTAGCTGAGGTTGGGCCCGATCTAGATCCAACGGCCGACCACCCCTATTGCATTTCATTCTCGCTCTCTTGAGTGTGTGTGTATGAGTGTGTCTCGATGGACTGTTCGATCCCTTTTCCTTGGCTCTGGGTGGCCTGCTTTCTGGATGGACAAGCATGATGTGGACGATGGTCACAGGTCCACGGATTGCTTGCATGCTGCAGGTGATGATGCTATTGATGATGATGATGATGATGATGATGTAGTTGCAGTTGTTGTTGATGGCTAATGCATAAACAGCCTGTTGTCTTGTTCTTATCTTGTCACTCGCTGACGACGATGGGCTGGCAAAACTGTATTTGCCAGCTAGACCTGAGGCTGCCACATTGCACACAGGCACACACACGCACACACACGCACATGCACATGCACAAGCCGTGCCCTCGCCTGAGCGCCTTAGACATGCCATCTGCATCTGCTACGGAGCAATTAGCCAACCACAACGAGCCAGGTCGTGCAAGTGCTCACCCCCAACGTCTCCTCGAATGAGGGGGCCAAACTGGCAAGGAGGATACCACCTATGCTATAGCTTGTGCTTTTGCGAGAGACAGATGAGCCCTCTCGAGTCTCGTCAACCCATGTCTCAGACATGCCGGGCAGGGTAACCTTATTATCGTGGTTTATCAGCAAATCTTCCGTTGCAAAGGTTGTCCAGGGAGATGCTGCAGCATTTTGTATGATCAACGCCTCGAGGCGGTAGTGGTCAGTGGGTGCCAATATCGAGCTTGCGGCATCTACGAGGTACTGGACCGCACTCGTGCATATGCGGCCACGGTTCAACTCCTTGGGACCTTTCCAAATCAGGGAGTAGACCTTGTCGTGCTGTCATTTGCTCATTTCCACGCAGGGGGGGGGTTTTTTTCTTCTTCTTTCTTTCTTTCTTTTCTTTCTTTGGAACCCTTGAGAGATAGAGAGAGGGGGGGAGGGGGGACAGGAAATTCCCGCTCCCATCAGGAGAAGCTTCTCTTGGGACAAAGGTGTGTTCACTTGAAAGTAGCAAGACTGCTGATTTTCTCTCTTATTTCGGAGCATTCGATCTGGCGTAAAGCAATATCAGACGGGAGGTTTGAGCCTAGGCCATAAGGCTGAAAGAAAGCCTGCGACTTGTCCTTGTGAGGGTCCGTCCTCCTTTTGACTTTCGCCTTCTCCGCTCGCCACCACTCACCGTGATTTGCTTTACGACGACTGTCTCTCTGTCCTTGTGTGTCTTGTCTTAATCTTTCGGGCGGCTGTTCTTGCCCTGAATCGATCGGAGGCAGAACAGGGATCGGATTCTCCCGAGTCTATTTCCTTGTCCAGCACACGTCACACGGCACAGGCTGGGACACAGGTTTGGAGCACTGCTCTTTCTTTCCCTCCCCAAAGGAAAAGTCAGGCCAACTCATGCCTTTTAGATCGGTCAAAGTCAAAGGGCTCGTCCGGATGCGCCAATCAACACACCCGGCGGGAAGTACCGAAGGACACTCGGGCAAAGTCCCTCCATCTAGCGCTCAGGCACGAGGAGGAGACATCGTGAAGACTTTTGGCTAAGACCAAGCCAACAACAATCCTGGGCTAGCAACACGGCAACCCCTGTCAAGCCACACACCATACGGTAGGATTTCGAGTATGCTCCAAACGAAAATGATATGCGTGCCCCGTGGCCTGCTGCGCGGAGAAGTTGCTTGCTTTCTGGCCCGAGAAGAACCTCATCAGTGTCCGTGCAGACGAGATGTCATATCGAAGAGGAGGGGGGGGGGGGTTGGCCAGGGAGAGGAGGATTTGGAATACCTCCCTTTCCTGCAGAGCTGTGGAAAGAGAGAGAAAGAGAGAGAGCTGATGTATCTTAATATATTTGATGTGCATTGTATCTACAGGGGGGCGGGGATTCAAGTTCAAGCTTTCGACTCGGAACGCCACCGCTGCTATTTTCGGCGACCGCCTCTGTAGGCGCTTGGACAGCTCTCCAGAGCTTGTCCTGTCGAAGAGAGGGAGGGAGAGAAAGAGAAAGATCAACACACAAACGAGACGGCCAGACCTCTCTATCGCGGCCAGGATCAACAAGGTGATTGCGTGGATTACCACCTATTCACCTGCCGTTCTCATGCGAAGATGGCGGGAGCTCGAAGGAATCCTCTTCTTCTCCTCCTCCTCCTCCTCCTCGTCCTAGGCATGCATGCATGGTGATGACACTCCGAAACAGCCAACCGACAGGTCGAGCTGCGTCTGTTCTCAGTGGTCCGTCATAAATGACAGGCTGGAAAGTGGCGTCCCTGCAGCGGCCCCCTCGCCTGCAGAGCCGGGCCTCGACTAGCGAAGGAGGCCTGCCCCCTCCTCTTGAATGTGGGCTGCTGTAAGATCGTCACGTCTAGTAGCCGGCCCGCTGGCCCATTCATCTCTGCGAAAGATGGCACCCAGACGACCTCTCGTAGAGGAGGAGGAGGAGGAGGAGGAGGAGGAGGAGAAGGAGAAAGTGAAGCCAGCACAGAGAAGCGCACTTGGACTCTACTGGCAAGTCGTCACCTTGCTGTGAGGTGTGTGTGTGTGTGTGTTCTGGTTCTGCCCCTGCTGCTGTGCCCCTCCTTTCCCCAAAAACGCCCCCCAGCATCCTTCCCATCCCGCTGGCGATCGCGCCCGGCACTACCTGACCTTACCTTGCAGAGAGGCGTACACAGACCACAGACACATGGGCCACTCCTCTCTTTTTCCCTCTATTGTGACTCAACTTTTTCCTTCCCTCCACAAAAAGGATGATGATGGAACGTATTCCGCGGTATCCACCACCACCACCACCATTATCATTCTCAGTTCTCATGGCCTCAAGAACGAGGCCATTGGTCACGCCAGCATGTGGTGTGTTGTCCATGAGCCATAAGGGACGGTTTCTCTCTCTGATGTGTCACGTCTGGCCGATTCGGGCGAGGTGCAGGGACACATATGGAAAAGAAGTATTCTGGTACAAGCAGCAGGAGAGTATTCCATAGTTACTTTCCAAAGAGGACGGCCTGCTTGTACTTGCGTACTGTACTCATGTAGTCATCTACCCATTGGCCGGGGTGCCGCGGGGCTGCACGATCGTGTGATCTCCATCTGTATGAATGTATGTATATGGTTGTGGGGGGGGGATTCTTTTCTTCTTTTCATTGTCCTTTCTATACTTGGTGAGCGCACAAGTGGTTTGATCTTTACTGCTGTCCTCTGAGTTTGGAAAATGATGATGAGCCACGTGCTCGCTGTTTTTCCATAACAGTAGCATGGTCTTCTCACCTGATTTCGACAGTAGACTTACTTTGAGTTAATCTCGTTCCTTTCAGTTTCCCCAAAGTTGGTTTGGCGTGAGTGAGTAAGTATTGTCTATATTGAGATGTGATGTATCTCTGGCCTGATTTCCTGCCAAAGGAAGAGGAGGGCCATTGCAGAGAGGCAGTTATCTTGACTGTCGTGAGGAAGAGAGGCACATCAAGCATGCCTACCACCATCTCGAGCTCATACACACCATCCTTTGAAACATGGACACCACCACTATCTGTCCATCAAAACCTGAGAGCCTTGGCCCCCAGTGAAAGCAAACCTCCTCTCCCAAACCCACCACCCCCTCTCATACCTCCAGAGCCCAAACCCCTCCGCCCGGCCAACATCATCCCCCTTCCACCCCCTCCTCACCTCTCCCAGCGCCCGTTCCACCTCGCCCTCGTCCTCGACCTTGTTCATGATCGTATAATGGCCCCTCCACCCCTCCGCAGCATCCTGCACGCTCAACCACCCTTCCGCCCTCCATTCCCTCTGCAGCAGCCCATGCACCTCGCCCGCCTTCGCCCGCCCCTCGCCAGCAAGCCCGATCGCGATCCCCCTGCGCAGACGAAAGGGACCCGTGGCGCACACCTCGAACGGCGTCGTCTGCGCCGCGACGCGCTCCAGGGCCGGGAGGACGGACGAGGCCAGCTTGTGCGATGGCAGGGCGTGGAAGAGGGTGATGTGGGCGCTGAGCTTGTTGAGACGTGGTGGGAAGTATTGCTTGCGGAGGGCGGTCATGCGGGCGTGGTGGGGCTGGTCGGTGAGGAGGGTGAGGACGTAGACTTGCTTGTCTTCTTTGCTGGGGGGATGGGAGCGTATGGGCTGCTGGAGGCGTTGGTCCTGGTGGTGAGGCTGGCGTCGGGAGGGGGACCGTGGTCTTCTTCTTGTGGGATTGGCTTGAGGCTGGACAGCTGCTGTAGCTGGAGGTGGTGGTGAAGGAGGAGGAGGAGGAGGCGAAGAAGAGTGCAGTGCGGTCACGGCTGCCCAGGTCGGCGGTGCTGGTGCTGGTGCTGGTCTGGTTACCTTTGCTGTGCTGTCCATGATGATGAGGCGTGAGGCTGCCGTGAGTCTACTACTACTATAATGAAAACGACTCATGAGATTCACAGAGGAGAGTAGAAGATGTTTTACTTTTTGTTCCTTTCTTCTCTCATTAAATAAGGCTGACAAAAAGGAAAGTTTGATATTGCTTATACTGAAGTAGTGAGCGAATGAGTGGTGACGTACACGAACCGCTAAGGGCACAGTTTCGGCGCTCCCGGTGCGAGAGTCCACTACACAGTCACAATGTGCCAAGGTGAACGAAGCATGCCATGTTTTCTCTCCTATCATTGCGTCTTGAGAGACGAGAACATCGGTACACGAGGCTTCCTTCCTTCCCCTTTTCTTCCTTCTTCTGTTATGAAGACGGAGAAAAAGGAAGGTTGGGTGTTTGGCTTTACCTCATGAGAAATGCTTCCACCCAATTAATTCCCTGCAAGACTGCGCCTGCTGTCCTCCCACTCTTTCCTCTCCTAGGTCTTGTCAGGATTACCCCCCCCCCCCCCTTTTTTAAGCTGAGAGGCACACAGTTCCTCACGACCTGGTCCCCACGGCGAGAGACGATAGAGCATGGATCGATCGATCAACCTCCCCCTGGTGCTCCCAGGTAATCCTCCCACAGCGACGCCGGCAACGAGGACGACGACCTGTTGTTCTCTTACTGCGTCTTGGCCGCGTGAGTGTGGTCCTGGTTCCCATGGGGTCTCTTCTTCTCCTCGCCGTGGTGTTCTTGTCCCCTCTTGAGCGTACCTATCTCTTCCTCAGGCAGCAGAGGAGGCCCTTGGTAGGTCGTCCAAGGTGCGCACCGCTTAGGAAGCTCCTCGCCGCGGCGGGCGATGGTGTCACAGTCGTTCAGGAGGCTTGCCAGGCCCGACGGCACCGTCCTCTTGCTCGCCGCGGTGGTGGTCTTGTCCTCAAGCTGCACAGGCCCTTCGTAGATCTCAGGCCCGACGCCCAGGAAGCACCGCTTAGGAAGCTCCTCGCCGCGGCGGGCAATGGTGTCACAGTCGTTCAGGAGGCTTGCCAGGCCCGACGGCACGGTCCTCTTGGCGGTCGCGGCTGTCTCTGGGAAGTTGGCCCCCCAGAACTTGGTGGGGTTGGGGAAGTTTTCGCCGATGCACCGCCTGGGCAGCTCGTCACCCCTGCGCGCGATTGCCAAACAATTTTGCCAAAGCGACGAGAGCCCTGACGAGGTGGTTCTCTTGGCTGTGTCGGTGACGGTGGTCTTGTCCACCATGGGGAAGATGACGGGGCCGTGGCCGCCGTGCAAGCAGCGCTTGGGAAGCTCCTCGCCCCTGCGCGCGATGGCGTCACACTCAAAGAAGGGCGACAGAAGGCCCGACGACCGGGCCATCTTGTCCACCGTGGCCGAGCCGCCGTGGTAGGTGTTGACCACGCCCCCAGAGACGGGCGAGATGTGGACGCCGGGGAACTCGAGGCTGCGTTTCTTGCGGGCGGGGTCCTGCTGCTGCTGGAGGTCCCTGGCTATGTCCATGGCCTCGTGGCAGTACGTCTCGTTGCTGCGAAGACCGCACGAGGGGAAAGAGCACACGCCGAGATAAGGGTCCTCGATATCGACCCTGCGCCAGACACACCGCTTGTTGTTGAGCTCGCCTCTCTTGTTCTTGCAGGACTCGCCGGGTCCGCACTCATCTTCCTCCTGATTCTCCTCCTCTAGGGGTGCCGGGCAAAGGGCCTCGAAGTCGGTGCCGTCCTCCCTCTCCATGACGCAGCGCTTGGACTTGGCGATGTCACAGATGTTCCCCTCTTCGCAGACGGCCGCCGGGCAGACGCCGAGGTCGATATTGCCATCCTGGCGCCGGTAGATGCAGCGCTTGGATATGGACGAAGAAGATGCCGTCGAGTCTATGACGGGCTCGTCCAGGAGGGTTCCGATTCTTGTGGGGATCGTCTCCGTGGGGCAGCCCTTCATCTTGAGACCTCGGCGGGCGATAAGAGGACACGCACGAAGCGGGTCGTCCGTCATGTTGAGGTTCTTGAGGATACTTTGGATGTCAAGATCCGACGAGGCGGTGGATGCAGGTGCTGCCAGGGTGCCCTGGAGCTGCAGCAGGGCAGCGCCGACCACGACTTGGAAACGCATGCTGGGCAGTGGGGAGAGAAAGACAGCTGGGAAGAGAGAGAGAGAGAGAGAGAGAAGAGGTGACGCTGACCGGCAGTGTCTCAACGAATGTCGATTAGTAAAAGACAAAAAACAAAAAACAAATGAAGCCTGCTTCACAGAAGGTTGAGTTGCTACCAGAGCAACTGAAGAGGGAATGTGTTGGACGAGCGAGTGCTGGTTGAGTAAGAGTACATTTCTGTTCCCAAGACAGCCGGGCCAAGACCATTATATACTAGTAGAGAGGTCTGTTCGTCGTCCTTGAAAACTGGCGAGGAGGCGGATGAGCCACAAAGTCCCGAATCTGCTCTGCTCTGCCCTGTCATTCTGGCGAAAATCGCCAAAGGGCCTCCTCTCTTTCTCACCTGGTGCAGTCAGCATCCCGCGACGCATGATGAAGAAAAAGCTTAGCCGTTTTAGAGGGCTTACCAGAGAGGCCGTCGTCTGTGGCCGCAGAAAATCATGGAATCAACCGTGTCTGCTGCCCAGGCGTCTTTCTTCCCCCATGGTCTAGACGAGGCCCAGACCAGACCCGACCAGATCAGTCATCCTGAATGACTGACCGCACTCTTGTCGATCCATCCTGACGACGGTTGATCGGTGGTGTGTGGAAGAGAGAGAGAGAGAGAGAGAGAGAGAGAGAGCGTGTGTGTGTGTGTGTGTGTGTGTGTGTGTGTGTGTATGTGGTCTTTTCCGCTTTCTTCTCATTCATTAAACTTGTTATTTTCTCGGGTTTCCTCGTGGCTGAGTGCCACGTGTTGAAACACCTATATCGAGAGTATATATGGTGGCGATGATGAGGAGGAGAGGGGAGAAGAAGGGAATTCGCACATCTCTACTGCATATGCTAGACGGGTGATGTCAGCACACACGCGCACACAGGCATGAACAGAGACAGGATGGGCATGTTGTCAGCTTAGCCCTCCCACAGCAATCCCATAGTCCATACCTCAGCCCGCGTCGTGTCTGTTTCGCTACCTTTGCAATACGGGCATGTGGTCAAGTGTCGGCCGGGCTGTGGTCTGAATGGACCAAGATCATCCCGTTTTGTGTCTGGACATGGTAATTACGAGCTGCTGTTGTGGGAACATGCGAGGTTCTGTTGGTGTCAGCAAGGCCGGGCAAGGCTGTGTGTGTGTATGTGAGTGGAACGCCCCACTGAAAAGGGCCGCAGGATCGGGTCCGAACGGGCCGCTTTGCTTAAGTTCAAACAAGACCGCAACAGGCAGGGGCACGCAGAATACTGGTCCTTCTTAAAATAAACTTCAAAGACGATGGATAGCCTTGTCTATGCTGTGTGCGTATGGGTGTGTTTGTTTGTGTGTTTGTATGTGTGTCCAGCCTGTTTCTGGCCTTCCGGGCCTTGTTTCTAGGCTGCACCCCAAAGGTTCAGTTCCAGTTCTGCAGATTCTGCCTTGGGTCAATGACATACACGCCGTAGATCTGAGTGGTATCCTTTGCCGCAGCCACGTTAAGTGACAACCCCAAGGCCTTGTGAGAATGGACGTGGCCGGCGGGGTGGTGAAACTGTTCCTTCTCTCCATCCATCCATGGGTAGATGCATCTGCGCTATTCGCAGACATACACACCCTGTCGCAATGCTAATTACTCATGCCGCTTGCTGTTGACTCCTCCCATCGATAGTCTCCCTAGACTGGCTTGCAAATTTACTTTCACATTAGCAATAGGCCCTAGTGCCTTCTCCCTGTGCCCTCACGTTGTTGGGAATGACATGGTGGTCGACAATTTACATATCCATCCAGATCACCGAGAAAGATGCATGTCGAATGTCCACACTAGGAAGAGTAGAGCGGCTATGCCGTGGGTCCTGCGATCGTGGAGGAGCACCTGCAAGCCGCATGCCCAAGACGTCGGTGGTGTGGCGGGCAACTCGCCGAGAATTTTCATGCTTCTGTTTGTTCTTGAGATAGAGGGCGAAGACGTGTCAGATGCTTGTGTGGCTCTGATCTCGAGTCACAGCCTGGGCGTCTGAAGCTGGAACTGAAGAACTGTATCGTCTTGCATGTGTCGGATCGAAGGCTTCCCTGTCTTGATCACCCATCAAACAGGTACCTCAACGACGTCCAAAACCAGGAGGTGCCTGACCAGGAGGCGCACCGCCGAAACCGGCAGGCGGTGGTATGAAGCCAGGCGGAGGAGGACCCATGCCAAAACCGGGCGGAGGTGGTCCCGGAGGGGCGCCGCGACCCAGACCTGGACCTCCCGGGTGGAAGTTGCTAACCGAGCCGCTGAAACCAATACTGGACGCCGGCGGTCGAGCTGGTAGCCCTGGTGCTGCAGGTGGGAGATGGCCGCCACCACGGCCGAAGCCTGGAGGTGGCATGGGTGGTCCGACGTGCCCTGGATCGAATCGTGAAGGAGGCATGCCGAGACCGCCTGCAGCGGCTGCTGCCGGCACAATGGGTGGCGCAAATCCGGCAGGCATGCCAACGGGTGGCATGCCCGTGGCAGGAGACGGGCCAGGCGGAGGCATGGAGGGCATGTCGCCGCCACCACCATAGGGACCAACTGGGGTGGGAGGAGCCGCACCGTTCGTTGCAGGTGTCGCTGAGGAGCCAGCGGACATGAGGAATGCGGGTGGCAGCGGTTGTTGCTCCGGCACGACGTTGTGCTTCTTCCCCTCCGCGGCCAGCTTCCTCTCCGCCTCGTCACCATGCCTCTCGCCCTTGCCATCCTTCTTGTAGGCGTACTCGACAGTAATCTGCTTGCTCAGCACATACTGCCCATTCATCGTATCCCTCGCGGCATCAGAGGCCTCGAACGAGTCGTACGACACAAAGCCGTACCCCTTGGAGACATTGTTCTGGTCACGAATGACGGTTGGGGGCGACACCAGCGTTCCGAACTGCGAAAAGGTATCAAACAGGATCTTCTCGTCCACCTGCTGGTCCAGATTGTTGATGAACAGCTCGGCGCCGATATCAGTGGGCTTCTGCTTGTCTGCACTGGCCTTGTTCACGCGGATCGGCTTCTGATGTAGGCGAATGCCGTTCAGGACTTTGGAGGCATAGTCGGCGCTCTCGGGGGTATCGAACTCGATGAAGCCATAACCCTGGTGTGTCCGCGACACGCGATCCATGGGCATGTGAACATTGTATACTGGGCCCATCTGGGTCATGAGCTCCCAGAGGTTGGCCTCGCTGACGCGCTCGTCGAGATTGCCGACGTAGACGGTCGCGTCCTTGTTCTGCTCCCTGGATTATTGATTCATGACCTGTCAGTACTGGAACTCATGAAAGACAATAGGACTGAAGAAATAGGAATGGTAACCTACCAGTGCTTGGCCATGCTTGCGACCGTGGTGTGTCGAGACGGAGCGTCTCTTTCGAACAGGCTTGCTGTGCTCCTACCGAAAGAGTACTTTGATATGCTGCGCCTGCAGACCTGAGCTTACATACAGCCTGCACCTGTAAGAAATTCCTTGGGGGGTGAGGTTTGCCAGCTTAGTCATCAAAATAGGCGTGAGCCTGGTGGGGTCCCTGCACCCAAAGTGGGCCCCCCGTCTTCCCAAGGGTTGGGGCTCTGAAATTCAATCCCAGCTTTTGTCGCCATCTGAGAATTCCATCAAAGCAACAGACGTCGTTCTCACCACCCTCTCTGCCAACAACCACAACAACACCACAGCGCCCTCACCCATCGACGACAACATCAACAGCTCATAGAGACCATCAAGATCATTCAAGATGTTTGCCCTTTCTGAGGAGTCCAAGGTATGCCTCCACAGTGATGAGGATGACAACAGCAAGAGAAAGTGATCGCTGACTGGGCTTGCAACAGGAGCGCATTGGCAAGCTTATTGAAGTTGCACGCGTTGCTATTCACTAGTATGTCCCTGAGAAGGGTGACCTCAACAGCAGCAGCGTAATGGATATCACCAGTTCTGACACGATGATCACTGCAGTGGCTATCTGCCTATGATTCTCTATCTCGGTATGGTGACCTCAGGACCTTGTGCTGTGGTAGCAGGCACATGACATGAATGGGCTCTAACAGTAGAAATAGGCTACACTCGTAGTGAGCCTCGGCCATCTCTGCACCGGTTTGGATCCCTCCCAATATGTATGCCTTGGAGATTTTGAAATCATTGTCTGACCTTGTTCTTTAGTCTGCTGTCGCCACTCTCCTAAATGTGAAGCAAGGGACGAGGCGAAGATGAAGATGGGACCCACAAACTTCTACAACATCCATCACCATCACCACCATCATATCAGAGTGAATTTTGATGAAGATTTCTGGCTATTTGATGTGGCCAGCTGCCACAGCATGTCCACAGCATGGAAAGGCGTCGTTGGGTGGAGGCTACCAACATGGTTTGCAGCCTGGCCAATCCTTGTCCTTGTCGACAACAGGAGAGGAAGTGCCTGCTGATTGTACATTATTCTGATGCGCGGATTACGGTCGGACAGTCCTAAACAATACGATACCAAATCTCCCCCCAGCCGTGGCTCCGTTCACGTGCACCCCTGGCAATTCCTCTTCCACCCTAGCGACTGACCATCATTGTGTGTGGCCTGTTGCTTTACAACTCTCAGAGCCCACTGCAGAATAGCAGAGACTATTCGCGCCCAATATTTCTTCAGACGCACGTGGCTTTGAATCTCGTCGCGTTTCCGGACATCACAATATCGCAACCGCGCTGAGCCCGCAGCGGAGGAAGCGGATACCTTACGCGCTTATCGGCCGAAAATTTTCGATAAGCTACTCCATACGTCAGTCACAATTCTAGGCCTCTCACCTCCGGTTCTCAAAGCCTTTTGACCAGTTTCTCAGCCTCGGTCAAATCTATTTTCCTCTCGTCATCGACCACCTCTCCTCTCAGGGTCTTTTATTTCTCTGAGCATTCTCACGTTCATCCATACGATGCGACTTTGATTAAAGCTCTGTCACCATGAAGGAGGGACGGAATCCAGAGCACGGCGCGTCCCTGCCTGTCGAGGCCATCGCGGGCTTCAGTTCTGGCGTGCTGCAGACTTTCGTTGGCCACCCATTTGACGTCGTCAAGACACGTTTACAGAGTCAGTATCTTGACCCTTCATCATTATGTTATGTGATGACGACCTGTAGCACTTTGGCTGACGATCATATCCTACAGTACACGAGCGCAAGGTCGGTCACGACGAGCCTCTGACCAGCAAGGGTGTTATCAAACAGCTACAGCATTCTGAACGCCCTTTTGCCGGCTTCTATCGCGCCATCACTCCTAACATCCTCGGCAACTCGATCAGTTGGGCTGCCTTTTTCGCACTCAAGGCATACACGGAGAGGTCCATCATCTCTGCCAGAGCCCACTTCTCCTCGTCATCATCCGACGGCGCCTCAACCAGCAAGTACAGACTTGCTTGGTACGATCACGGCTTGGCCTCGATCGTTGCCGGATTCGGAACACAGGCCGTCACCAACCCCATCTGGGTGGTCAAGACGCGTATGCTGGCGGCCGACCCATCCGTCTCCCAGGGATACCGAAGCACTTGGAACACCATCTCGACAATCCGCAAGGAGGGATACAAGGGGTTCTACAGCGGTTTCTGGATTAGTACGACGGGTGTTCTACAAGGCGGCATCCAGTTCGCCATCTACGACGAGCTGAAGAAGGTTTACCGCAACGGCGCCTTCGGCCCCGTCTACGCAAAGCAAGACGGCGGACGGGATATTGGCATTCCGATGGGCTGGACAGTGGCCTTCTCCGTGGCGGCAAAAGTCGCCTCGGTCACCGCTGTCTACCCGTACCAAGTCATACGGAGCCGGCTTCAAGTGGATGATGCCGAGAGGAAGTTCGGCAAGGGCGTCAGGGGCGTGTCAGTCCAGCTGTACAAGGAAGCTGGTCTGAGGGGCTTCTGGAAAGGTCTCGTGCCTGCGGTGGGTAGGACCTTACCAGCAACATGCGTGACCTTCCTGGTCTACGAGTGGCTCAAGCCACACTTGAGCCAGCGCTTCGACGCCGGCTCCGGCGGGCGCCGGGAGCCCTGATGGCTCCTGGGCCCGGGAGGAAAAGGTTCGGGGGCTGGATTTGGCTGTTGCGTTGCATCTGGGGAGGGGGACCCCCCTCCCCTCCCCATTTGCATCAAAATGATACCCCATGTTTGTATAATTAGAGACAATTTGAGCTCGCAAGAGCCAGAGGGACGAGGGTCTCTCACCACAATGGAACAATATATTTATCTGCATTACGGTCATTCTCACATTTCCATCTCACATCTCACGTCTTTTGTTCTTTTTGTCTTTCAGGAGGTCCCTATGCTGCTGTCAAAGCTTTGCTAGCCACCATATCCATGCACCTCTCAAAAGGTGCAATTTTCCATGATCTCCAGCATACTTGTTGGCATTCAAAACATTGTCAGTCAGCACACAGGCTTTGGTTCTCTGCTCAGAACAATGCTTTCCATATTGTCAGTGCCATTTCATGAGTGCTACACTCCTGATCTGTGAGAGGAATTTTTGCAGCTTCATCGAACCTCCGCTGCCTTCAGAAGCACGAGCGCTATGAGCCCTTCCCGCGTTCTTGGGCCCATCTCATTGGGTTTCGGACCCAGCAAGCTCTGCAATGTTCCTCTGCGCAAATGTTTGTTACTCTATATAACATGAGCTCTCGGAACTTGGCCTCATTATATACTTTCTAAATCTCGGGAAAGGTTTGTAACTAACTACCTGAGAGTACTTCGTAAACATTTCCAACTCGGACCTGAGATGACAATCATATATGAACAAAAGCCTCTCTGCAAGCCAGGCAGGACTATCACACTGAGGTCGCAGCTACTGCAGAGGAGAGCATGGTGGCTGCCTGTCAGGGAAGTGCAGGCATAACTACTTGCTCCTGCGTTGTGACCTCCCAGGCCAGTCTTTCCACCGCCATGAGCAAGCTTGCTCTCAGCAACACGTCTGCATGGACTGCACTCTTCTTTGAAACTTAACTGATCCATTCATCGAAACGTCTTGCGTTTACAAGATGAGAGAGTAACTCCCTCTAACAGTTTTCTGCAATCTCTCAGCTGAATCTCCCCAATGGTGGCATCACAAAGCTTGCCTTCGGTGCACCAAGACCAATCACCAGGAAAGCTGCTGTCCTATCTTGCTAGCAGCTTCCCTTTGGAGATGCTAATGAAGCTAATAATGTTGGCCGAGGTAGCTAGAGAGCTTGTCTTGATGCTGAACATCGCTGTCACCCTCAATAGCCACGCTGACCACCAGGCCTACGAGAGAGCGCGTTGAGGACGAGGACGAGACCGAGAATAACTGCAGCAGGTGATCCCGGATTCCCTGACCCCAGAAAGCCCTCCGCTAGTAGAAGCGAGACTGCAACAGACGTCATATACCTCGGCGAGCGATCAACCTCTGGCTCCTCATAGAAGCAGGTCATCACCATCTCGTCGACTGGTGCTACTGATAGGAACATCGAGAGTGATCAGTAGCAGGCCGGCTAGAGAACATGGTCACGCCTTGGAGACTCGGATGGTCGACGAGTTTTCGGGTGTCGAGATTTAGCACGGTGGACGTAGACAGCAAGGCATAGAGCCCGGGAGGCAGAGTAGGCCGGCTTGAGCTAATTTTCTCTCTTAAGGAACACTCTGTCGTCATCGATCAGAGTATGCACGAGTTTACTCAAGTTCCAATGGTACCAAAACCAGACAAAAAGAGGAAGCAAAGGCGCATGCAAGCTTTGAGTGATCGTCGTCAAAGATCGGTGGGAAGGGGAAATAACGGCCGCCTTCGACAGCTTCGACAAGGCACAGCTGCTTTTCATTCAACTACTGATCAATCACGAATGTCTATAGTTCGACGCGAGTCGCGCAGGGTTTCGCAACTCTAACCTCGCCAATTCATCAGCCTGACAGAACACACATCCCTCTACTTGCCCTTAGTTCTAATTCCTGGCCAATCGTCTCGTGGAATCGATTCCATACCGGTGGGAGCACAACAGCTTGCGTCTCACAGAACACGTCCCTCACCTGATCACATCGACTGTAGGTAGGGTAGCGGACCACCAGGTTCAGTCGAACTGTCCGGCACAAACAATAACTTGTGAGCGTTGTGAAGTTGCAGTGGATAGGAACGTGCATGGGCTGGGAGCTGGTAGATGAGGTCTTGCGCAACGCTGTGCTCAGCCTTCCAACGTGCAATGCGGGGGGCAGCACAACTTCATCCCTTGTAGTGTAGAAGCAAGAGTGACTCGAACGGTGTTCACCGCGGGCTGGCTTATGGCTGGCCAACATTGGTCATGACGAGTCATCTCGCTGCGTTGAATGACCAGAGCAATGAAGATGGTTGCATAAGCCAAATATGGACGGTAGAGGGTTTGTCTGCCAGGCTGCCAGAACTGTTTCTCTATAAGATCGTGACTGGACTTTATTCTTGCCGTACACTCCACACATCGATCAGATTCGTCATATATAATCCTTTTTTTTTTTCCTTCCTCCAAAAGACAAACGCTTACATATGAGGAAATCAAAATGCATACTTGTGCGTTGTCTTTTGGTGAAGCTTTACACATGTAATAGGCATGGTCCCCTTGAACACTTCACGGGACGGTATTGGTACAAGCTCGGCCAACTGATCTTGGGATGACTAGTAAGAAGAATTGGACGTTTAGCTGACTGACACCTGTCAGAATAAGCAACCTGAACCGTTACGGCAGCACACTGACTACAATGGAATCCGAGAACGAGGAATACGAGGAAAAGCTCGTGCTGGACACTTGAAACTCTTTGTACTTTGAAAGCTGCTCAGGAAATGTTATAGATAGTTGGAAACTAGACTTTGAAGAGCACAATGAACTGGGCAGAACACGTTTTCTGCAGAGTTCAAAGATCCAGAAAGCATCCTAGCCGTTCGAGAGTCCCAAAGCTGGCTCTCAGGCCCTCTCCTCTCCCCCTTCTGAAACTATAACGATATTAATCGAGAATGAAAGGGGTTTTGAGCCAGGCAGATGTGGGCATCTATTCAAGTCATAGCTAGAGGACCTAGGATCGTTTCTTTTGATACTTGAGTATGTTGTCCTACCCCACGAGTGACATTGAGCTGCATCCAAAAGTTTGCCTGCCTAACAAGACAGAACGCGATAGAGGCAAGGATTCCTGGGACTTTCGCGATGACGATAACAATCACGAGGGCGTATGGGATAGACGAACGCAGGCTGGGATCTCATGTGCTGCGAGCTCTTAGCAATACCACATGGTGAGTCAGTCTCACCTATATCCTACGTGATTTCACGCAAGCCAAGTCCGCCACCCAGACAGATAGCGAAGGCACCGCAACCACAGCGACCCAGTCAAACCCCGTCCCCTTCCCCTCTCTACCCACGGTGCGGTTTCGTCAAATGATCAGATTGTCCATCATCAAAAAGGAGGAGAGGATCCTACCTCGAGAGTCAAATGCATCATAGCACCAGGTTTGTCCGCACATGTGACCCCGAGAGGAGTGTTTCAGGGTCCTTCACTCACTCACACCGAGCCAGGGGGGGAGAGGCGGCCGAGCAGGTATTCTCAGCCTCAAGATCGACATGTGAACAGCCTCAGAATTCAGCATGTCACTTTGTGTTTCTCTCAGCCTTGGATAGTGGGAGGCATGAGGGATGATGGGGGAGGATGCAACGTTTCTTTGCGTCTGAGCCTTGTGTGGCCCGCACAAGGCGGCCAGCACCAAACAACAACAGCAACAGCAGCAGTAACAACAACAACAACAACAAAAAAATAAAATAAAATGACAAAGAACGTGGAGCAACAAGCCAAATCATGATGATGACTATGACGAAAATGATGATGTCTTTTACTAATCTTCAATGGGCGAAAACATCGGATCTGACCATTGGCAGGACACGAACCCCATTTCCATTCCTATTGCCTCTCAGACACTTCAAGCCATAACGAGGATTTGAATAAAGGAGTAATTGCAAATTATGCATGATACCGTGACTGAGGCGTCTGTCGTGTGACCGCATCCGAAGCGGCACGTCTTCCAAATAATCTTTTTTTTCTCTCGCTCTTCCTTGCTCTCTCTTGTCATTGGAAGCACAGCAGATTTTGGGGGGCTTCAGCTCATCAGACTGAGACGCATCTCTCTCTATCTCTCTCGGTCTCTCTCTCGCCCAAGCCAGCCGGTCCGCCCCGGGTTCCTGGATTGAGCCTCGCTCATCTTAAACATGACGTGATAATCATCCTTTGGAGGGCTAATAGGAAATGGGAAAGGAGGGGGGTGGGGGGGGGGGAGGAAATACAATGATGAGAGACATTGCTGCTTTAGGCTGGAGACAAAAAGAGAGAAGGAAATGCCGGCAACGGAGATCAAGAGAGAGAGAGATTGTGTGTGTGTGTGTCTGTGTTTGGCCAAGAAAACGACAGAATTGGGCAATGACCTCGTTGGTGATAGCATAATGGCGCCACACCTATAGTACCGCGACCTATAGTCTCCCCTATCCAAAACGTGACCTATCCCAGAGGAAAACAGTGTCAGCGGGTGGCCTGCACGGGAATCTAGCTCGAAGGAAGTAGATTGAAAGGCCTGCGAAGCCATCAAGCCTCGTTCCCAGCGGCGCGGTACGCCTTTGGGCGGCCCTCAAAGACAGGCACACGCCAAAATTCCTACGGTAATAGTGGCAAAGGGGGGGGGGAGGGGGTAGGAGAGACAATCGCGTGCGTGTGTGTGTGTGTGTGTGTGTGTGTGTGTGTGTGTGTGTGTGGGCGGACCGGTGGGTGAGTGGCTTGCAAAGGTCATCCGTCGCTGTGTCACCCACGCACACACACACACACACACCCTGGGCCGAGAAGAGAGAAAAAACGACGACAGCCGTGACCACACACAGGTACCGTCATCTCCCTCCCCCGCCCCACACCCCCCGGGCCCCTTCTTTTCGCCTTGTCATCTGGCGTCTGGGTGGGGAACGCCTCGTTGCGCCCTGAAAGCAGCTTAGAGGGAACCGAGAGCTTGGGAAGTGCAGGATCTTGTCATCATGGTGTGATGGCGGCCCCTTGTGTGTGGCGCATAGGAATGGTCTGATCGTGGCTTTCGATCAGCGCGCCCTGGGACATGAAACCGTCCCTGATGGACGTCACCTGACAGTCTTAGACTGTGATTTGGTCCGAAATACGGACCTCGATCAAGAGAGAGAAGGGGAGAAAAAGACAGAGAAGAAGAGAAGAGGGGGGGGGGGAAAGAGGAGAGCTTCGACGGGCGTCTCGAATTGAGAAAGATGGAGGGCAGGACAAGAAGGGCAGACAAATTGCCCATCGAGGCGATCAGCTCGTGCTCATTACGCAGGCGCTCGCCCGGGGGGGGGGGGAGGAGATGGGTGCATGAGATGGAGTAAATGAGGGTATGGCTTAAGGCGCGGTGGTATTGTAGATAGGTCAAGGAAAATTAGTGAAATGATACTGGTCTAGAAACTTTGTTGAGACAATCAGGGTCGAATATCATGCCTCGCCAGTTGCGGTCATACTGCGTAAATGAACTTGTCATTTTTTGTCGTCCACGTCGTCCACCATCACCGCCACCATCACCGCCACCATCATCCGTTCCATTCTTCTTCATTTTCCTTGTCGACAAGGATGGCTCATCGTCATCATTCTGCAGTCATAAATGAGATATCGCCAGCATCAAGAGTAAGATATGGAAAAAGGGGAAGGGGGAGGGGCCCATCTCATATGCGCCACGAAATGTGACTCCATAAAAAAAAAAAAAAAAAGAGGCGGTCGCCGACCGCTACTGTTGATATGGCAGCGATGCTTCTGCCGCGGCGACCTTTCCAGAAGCCTCAGTGTAACCCTCCACGTGCAGTGTCACTGCTGCTTCTCTGCTCTATGACAAGCGCCTGACGTCCCTTGTCGCGCGCCGCTCTCTTACTCACACACACTCTCTTCTCTCTCCGTATATGCACCGTGTTGCGTGACACATATCCATCATACGTCCGTTGCGGCGAAAAGCCTCGCCTGCACTGTCGCTTTTTCTGGGGCTGCTGCGAACGTCTGTTCCCCCCGAGAAAAGGCTGCCAAGTGTGTCTGAGACCCTCATCGCACGACCTCACGTTGTGTTCCAGATAGGGCGGAGCCTTTCGTGAAAAGCCGGCTATTCTCTCCTTTTTTTGCCATCCCCTCCTCCTTTCCCAAATGATCAACACTGTACCCGACAAATGTTCCGAGGCTTTGCAGTAGCCACACAGCCCTGATTTAGGATCTCGATAATCATCCAGAATCTGGACATCAAGAAGGCACTCGGTGACGCAAAAGTTGACATGTCAATTGCCGATGGATTTCGGTAAGCCCAGGGGGACAAGGGCTTCCCTTCCACGCGAGAAGCAAATGTTTTGGTCCAGACCTCTGCTCTCATATGTGCGTAACTTTACCTAATGCACGAATTCTCATCATCTCTGCAGGTCGCGACCCACCAGGCCAGAGCGGTCAACTTGTTGTTCTGGCCCATGCGCGCGAGCGTATGTATGTTGGACATGAACCTCGTAATGAAAAAGAAAAAAAATTTAAAAAATTGTCTTCCCGCCCCCTCCCCGCCCCCTCCCCCCCTCCTCTTAAGCACCTCTAGTGGCTGGGCAACGAAAATGAAGAGGAGAAAGGGGGGGAGGGCAACCTGTTCAACAAGCTATGCTAATAATAGCAGGCAACGAGGAGGAGTACTTAGCAGAGGAGAAGAACAACGAGGATGTCTCCCGCGTCGCCGACTAACTAAACCACATTCTCGCTCGCGTGTTCCACCGGGCATCTCCCCGAGCCGCCCGGGGCGGAAATAGCCGTATGTTTACCAGGTTACACGCAGTTCAGCTGACAGAAAGGCGTTGGCTTGGCTAATATCGTTTAATCACCACTACCAACCACAAAAAAAACCCAAAAAAACCACATCAATATCAACAACACCGTGCAGGCGACCTCCGCTGTTGGATTCCTGCCCCATCCAGAAGGGCCCAGGACTGGATCCAGGGTGGGGGGGAGGGGGAGGGAGTTATCTGGGATGGTGGGGTGGTTTCGATCCGCAGGAACCATCTGGGTAATCGCGAGAATGCTGGTTCAAGCCCGTGGGGGAGGTCCCATTCTCCAACTAGATGAGGCCATACCCGCGAAACGCGAGAGCGCGACCTTGGTCTGGACAACATTGGAAAAGCGATAGGTCAAAACAGTCGTCATCTCTCTTGGCGGTTTTGACGGGGCGCAGTTTGAGAATTGTGGGCTTCTCTCATCCCATCGTGACCAGATCTGCGGGTCCGCTAGCAGTGCGCTCATGGTGGTTCGGTGGCCCCCCCCCCTTCCGAAACTTTATCTCGCCTTCTGGCAGCTGTCTTGAGAGGCATATGGCGGCAGAGAGATCGTGTACCATCCCAATGCCTGTTCATCGCACCCCCTGGTAGTCCATCTTCCGCTATCACGCTGTCATCCCAGAGATTGATGAGAATTGTGGTGCATCTCTCACCCGCTCCACAACTGGCGAGCCTGGGCACATCTCTTATCCTCCGACGACTACTCTCCACGAGACGATCTTCTTCTCATTGAGCTGTACTGTAGTTCCCGCTTCCCGATCTCGCTAATCTCTGTATCGAGCTGCAAGGGCTCCCGCTTGCGTGCGCGGGGGATCCACAGACTGAGGCGCCCTTTTTCTTCTTCTTCTTCTTGGGACGGGACAAGCGCCTCTCACAGACGAGCCAGTCGAAGAGTGAATCCAAGCCGTCTTCCCGAAAGGCCCCGATTTGGGGGGGGGGGGACGGGGTGTGACCTCCACGCCTGTGTCCAAATAAGCTCCCGATGGGGCGTACCGATGATGAGATCCCAGGCAAATAAGCCCAAGGCATCCCTACGCAGGATCTCGAGTCTCGCGAGGGTATTACCGTACTTGGGAGTTACTTGCGGCTGGGTGAACCAGGCTCTCGGGGCCTCGCGTGATTGTTCCGGTAACTGACAGGTCACAAAACCAGGGCAGTAGGCTTGCTCAGCTGCAGCAAGGACCTCGATCGTCCTGCGCACATCCAGCGATGAGGATCTCAGCAGTCATACGTACCACAGTACTCGGTGGTGACCCTGCTGCAAGTTGCATTGGTGAGTCTGACAGGTTACCGGCTTGTGGGTCCCGGGCCCCGAGCCATGTTTTTGGATCTTGATCTGGTATACAGATCCGCTTGATCCCTCCCAAGTTTCACGTCAGATGTGACAGATGGCGTGTTCATAGCATCTCTGAGAACATCTAATGGAGCTGGTGGGGGAATTTGGGGGGAGGGGAGGGGGGGGGGGCCAAAGTCTCCTCCCCCCCAGGAACTGTCCATGGTATGGGTATGGCTCTTCTGATTGGGTGTTAAGGGATCGGTCTACCGATCGAAGCCCATGTTTTCTGCAGTAGGTGAAGCGGTCAATCAGACAGTGACAAGGGTCATCGGAAGATGCATTTGCTAGATCGTGTTCCAAGTAGTAGTGATCGAGAGCCGGGCCAGGGCCCAAGACAAAGATCTTGATGTGGCTGAAAGTACTTGCGCATTTTTGCTAAATCGTTGCATTATAGGACCCTTGGAATAGCAAAGTCGAAACCATCGTTGTGGAACTGAAGGCTTCCTTGCTTGTCCCTTTGCGGATGCTGGTAGCTCGGATAAGTCGAAAGTACCTGGGATGATACGTGGCTAGGCATCGAATGTTGATAGTTGTATTGCAGAACCCTTTGGGAGGTACATGATCTGATAAATGCCCCTGTAATTACCATGGAGTCAGCACTTACGCAACCGGTTCATGCGCACGCCTCTCTTGTTGTATTGTGCATGGGCTAGATGATGATTTCAGTTATGCTCTGGTGTGAAGATACATTTTCATTTTTTTTTGGGGGGGGGGGTGGGGAGGCAGAACAAAAGCTGATATTTGGTCTTGTACTCACTGGGGAAGAAGAACAAACAAGCAAACAGCCCGGGGGGGGGGGGTGGCGTTGGAGAGCAAGCATGCTCGGGCGAAAGTTTACTTACACTCCACAGATTTTGGAAGATTTTGGAATGTTCTGAATCATCCAGGGTCCGGTCTGGAAGCCGCATAATAACAGTACTATGTAATTGTTCGATATACGGAGCGTAGCGAGGTCAGACGATACGCATACAAGGCTGTCCCGGCCTCAGAAACAAGCTTGTATGAGAAAGCTGGTTCGCAAAGTGGCTCTCACCAGAGCCCTGCAGGCAAAACGCCTAGGAGCAGCTTGTCTGTCTTGGAGAACCTGCCGAGATTTCCGAGGTCCCTCGATCCATGCTTTGAACAACGATCGACAGGCACGTGCGTCCCATAGCAACAAGTCAATGGCAACAGCGCGTCTGAATGATGCTTGGTGAGTTGTCAGTAGCCTTTTTTCCATTCAAGACTCACAAAACGGTCCATCGCGATCAATTTTGGCGAGCCCATCTGCTGTAAAGGGTGGTTAGACAGGATGCAGAAGATTACATAGTAGCAACATCCGATCCGTCCATTACTTCAAAGACCCGATAAAGCGCCCCCGACAGTCGGCAGAAAGGCTAGGTTCGGCTCGAATCAGTGCGCTAATGGTCTCGACAGGCTAGGACTGGTACTCTTCTGCAAAGAAGCAAACACAAAAGGCTAGCTCGAATCATCTCATCTTGTGGGGTTGCCCACGAGAAACCGGAGCGAGGTGGAACTGGTTTGTAACAGGACATATCTCTGCATCTATCCACAGATAGATTGGGGTTGAGCTTCATAGCTACGTAGGGCTACCAGTCGCATCAAAGGAAAGACCTCTGGAGTGGCGCCACACGCAGAGGCCATGCAGATACCCAGTGTGCAGAGTGTCAAAATTGAGACCTGTGTGGGTAATGAATGGGGACTGTGCCTTGTGCCTGTTTCCAGACCGTGTGGCGCGCATGCAGGATCGAAACAACCGAAGTGGACAATGCTCAGGACATGAGCCCTTGCGAGCATGCGTGTCTCGTCTCGCGGGTAACAGCAGCGTACTTCCAGATACGAGGAAGAAGTTGGACAAGAGCTGAGAAGCAATTTCTCCGTGCCGTGCAACCCTACTATGTAATGGCCAACGGGAGGGCAGCGCGGACGGACGGATGGGAACCCGGGCCCGAGCGACAAGGGAGAGGGGGAGGGGGCGTATGCTTTCGGTGGCTGATCCGAGAGAGAAAAATCAGTTCGGCCGGCTCACGTCTCATCGTAGTAACCCAAACAAACTGCCGTCATGCCGGGACCCTTATGAAGAGGACAAGGCTTGGGGTCCCATATTTGTTCAGGACGCTGTGGGCAGCCAGACAAGCCTGAGCAGGCCCAGCCGAGTTGATGATGTTGATGGAGTTGCTGAGAGCCTTTGCTGTGTCACGAAAGCGATTGTGTGTCGGAAACGGGCAAACAAGCATCCAGGCTCTGAGCCCGAGGCCGAGGGACAGTTCCACCGAGAAAAAATGACAGGTCATACGGATCGTAGTGTGGGATCTGACCTACTGTACGGCGGAAAAAGTCAGGTTCATCATCCAGTCAGGTCGATTAGGGCCCACGAGAACACAACCGACGGGGCCTTAATTTCGGGCTACTCATCGCAGGACGTCTGTCTGGTTGTCGATACCTGTCAACTGCTGTACCCAAAATGTGTTTGGCTGCGAGTGGAGGGAAAATTAGCGGACTCCAGGACTGCAGATGACAAGCCCCCTTACGGCTCTGACAGCTTGACAGGTGAGAGTTAGAGAGTACCGCAGATGGGTGTGTACAGAGTACCACTTTGAGACACACCATGAGTTGCTTTTGGATGGGTTGGGGGGGGGGGCGAGGCGGGCAAGATACTTGGAAGCGCGCACACACACACTTTTTGTCATTTCCCCTCCTAGAGGGGGTGGGGCCCATTTGCAGATTTGTGCCGAACAAAGAAGTGCCACGCTGGCCAAGGTCTGCTGCAATCGCGTCTCAGGAGCATGGCGACCAGGCCGTCGAGGGACTACTATGGTACTCGTAGCGGACTAAGTGTGCCGTCCCTTGCTTCGATGCCCCCCCTGCAAGCGGTTAGTCGACCCCATAGTCCGACGAGAATGAGGCTGAGATCGACGATAGACGAGGTAAGAAGAGCTGATCAAAGAAGACCTAGGCGGTGCCAGGCCGTGCCAGAGGCCCCGCTTGCCAGTTGGGCGCCGTTAAGGTGGGGAGCTCTAAGAAATGCCAGCAGAGACATGCATCAGAGATGTGCAGGCACAAGACCATGCACACGGGAGAGTATGGGGCTATTCAAGCCAACTCTTGACGACCTGTCGTATCGCGTCTTATCTGTGAGAAATAACCAGGCACGCAGGATCCGCCAGGGTCTTTCAATGTGGCTTCTCGTGAGAAGTAAACCGTACAGTGCGTTCGCCGCGATCTGGGAAAGACGACCAGGATAATGCGTATCGACCATCTGAGCCGTCTCCTCCGCGATCATGCGGCCCCTCGAACATGGCTTGGTTGCTTGGGTATGCGTGTATGTGGATTAGAAGAAGGGGAGGGGGAGAGGGGCGTGGGAAGGTAGGAGATAACACACACCATGGTACACAGTAGTAGTAGTAATAGTGGCAGCAGCAGTAGCAGCAGCAGCAGTAATTTGTTTGCAAGGCAGCCAGGCAATGTAGTATCATATCATGCAGTTATGGTGTGTAGAATTGAGGGGGACACGCATGTAACTGACGTTGAGGGTAGGGGGGTGGCTTCCCAGGTTGTCGAAGATACTCATGACGATGTTAGGAGGTGTGGATGTGGTGGTGTTGGGTAGGAGCTATCCAGCCTGTGGTATGTACCAGCGTATGTATCATGACATGTACTATTATGTGTACCTTCCCAAGACGTTCGAGTACCATATACTTCAGTTTTCTATGCATCATACTCACAGAAGAACGTATCGCGGACAAAAAGCAGAGAAGTACATATCGTAGCAGGAACATCTTCTAGGTGATATGTATCTGGAAAGGGACGGAGGGCAGTGCTCCAATAAACAGGGGGGGGGGGCGGAAACTGTGTACAAGGTAGAGTGGGTAGAGTAGGACCCTGGCGATGGACAGCAACCTTTGGGCATGGATCCCTAGTCTACGTGGAGCCGCTTGCGCGCCCGTACCTTCTCTGCTCTGCGAAAGGAGCCTGCTGCTTTATTCGTGTCGATCCCACCCAAGGACGTCGTAGCGTCAAGCTAGAGACCCTTGTCCGTCCAACGTTGGCTCTGCCACACCTCATTCTTCCAAACAACATCGACTTCTCACCCTCATCCATCATACAATTGCTTCGCAGAGGGTTCAACTCGGCATTCACCCACCAAATCCTCCAATACGAACCCCCCACAACAGCACAGAGCAGCGCAGGTCTAGAACAGCTCGGCCCTAGGCACCGGCTCGAGTCTCTCCCACACGCCCCCTTCCCAGCGCCTTCCATCTGGTCCCTTTCTATCCGCCAAAGGAAGAGCACCAATATTTGTGCCGAGCAGAACCGCTGCGTCAATGTCTCAGGCCCTCGAGCTACTAGCACACTATCATGGAGGAATTTCGTGGCAGAGAGACGTCGACAGGACCAGAGCAATTTGGCTTCCTCACTTGTCTCTCTTCTAAGGCCTATCTATCTCATCGATGCCAACCAATGTAGTCTGCTAACCTGCTCCTTCAAGCCCCGTAATTGGATAGTTTCGGCACTCTTTTCGGCTGTCTATCTGTGCCAGAGCGTCATCCCATGAGTCTCAGCTTTTACCCTCACATCCTCGTTTGGACTTTAGGTTTCTTTCACTACATATTCCGCTAGGACATCATGATATCAAGCCCCATCGACGGAGCACTCTCCCGCGAGCTGCCTGCGCGATCCACTACATACCGGGTCATGGTCGCTACAGTGTGGAGAGGACACCAGCCCAGGTACATAGGTACCTCGTGAGCAGATAGACGACCAGTCGCGTGTGTATGTCTTGCTCTCGACCAGGGGGGCGCGGGAGGTGGGGGGGTAGGTGTTGAAAAGTGAGGCAAACGGGGTATAGGAACTGAGAAGGAGGGGAGTACTATAGGAGGTTGTCACGGATCGAATTGTTGCCCAACCTGTGACTTTCCGGTACGTACTCTCAATGTTGGACCCTGGTCTGCACTCCAGGGCCAGTTGTGGAAGCACATACCATCCATTATACGTGACATCGTCCGAAAGGAGTTTGCCAATCTTTCTAACCGTCCTTGGGGGAGGGATCTAGGATCTTTGGAAATGCCGTCTTTACTTTTCATCCGTCCAGGTACCCTCAATATCATGGACTATTCGTTTGTGGCTAGATACACGTTCCTGCTCCACTGCTCATCCGGACGCAATGATATATCACGGCCATGCCCCAGAGTTTCACCACGCCCCTCGATGACTTCTGAGATCCAAAGAGAAAATTCCCTAAGCGTTCTCTTACCACTCTACTTCTACATACCAGAACTCCCATCGCTACCACCTGCTACCGTCAGGTCAGACTCAGACGAGACTATTCCTTCTTGCTCTTGCAAATACTACCACAACAGCATCACGAGATAACTCGTCGTCCCAAGGCGAAACATTGTCTCAAGCCTTCCTTCCATAGATGACGCTTATGAGTCTCACGCCAGGCTGCTCTCCTCCAGACAGCACCACCATGCCATCCTATCAACTGCAGTCCCCGGCCACTCAGCCCTGGGACCGCTGGCAGCTGCAGCAACAACAACAACACCACCAACACCACCAACAACAACCACAAGCACAACCACAACACCACCAACACCACCACCATCAGCAACAACAACAAACCAGCCAGGACTACTCATTGATGAACGCACTGGTGCCCTTTGACCCACGAGCAGTCCAATCAACGACGGCAGCTCTACAGCGGGTAGCCATGACTTCTGCTCAGTACACCTTGCCTACCTCGTACGTCGAGGCTCCTATCACGCCTGTGTCTGCCTCGCCCTACGGCGGGGGTCAGAGTCACTTTGGAGACTACCAGTCGTACAATTACCAGCCGTCTGCATCTTCTGCCTTCACGCAAATGCCAGTTCGAAGTCCCATGCGGCCCACGGCCCCCCCAACACCACCCCTGGAGGAGGAGCATGATGCACACACAGACCTAAAGAACCCCCGGGAAAGCGTCTCAAGCGTGACAAGTGTCCCATCTGCTGTCCCAACCGTCAAATCTGAGGCAGCCGGTGAGTACAGGGAGATCAAGACTTGCCCAAAGTATGTCAAGACCGACGGGTCACTCCAGTTCGAGTCAAAGAAGCCCGTCGATGTCTTCTTGCGGGTGGCCCGGGGGTTGGTGATGCGGCCAAGGCGGCGAGTACGTAGCGCAGCAACGCCCGAGTCCATCGCCTCTCCAGTATTGAAAGAGGTAATTGAACCAGTCATTTTTGCGGACTGTTTTACATACCAGTGCTAACGATCGGGCATCTACTAGGCGAAAACTCTCAGGGGGTTTAAGAAGTTTCAATGTGACGTTTGCCCGCAGCGATTCCAACAAAAGGCACAACTCAAGACGCACCAGCGATCTCACACAGGTGAGAAACCACATGTAAGTCTCCTCCCAGTGCCTGAACCTGAGCATCCATTTTCTAATATATTGATAGAAATGCGACGAATGTGGCATGCGAGTCTCTCAGCCAGGCAACCTCAAGGTAAATTCTTCGCCATCTCGTCACCTGGTTTCTTGCTATAATCTAATTCTTGTACTTTGGTAGGCACACAAAAGAAAGCATACGAAAGAGAAGCCGTACGGTTGTCCTACCTGCAACCTCAAATTCTCCTCAAATGGAGGCTTGAAGGTGCACATCAGAAACAAGCACGAATACGCACCCAAACAGCCCTGCCCAATGGAAGACTGCAGGAAGGAGTTCAGCACTATTGGCAACATGAAGGTGAGCTATGTGCTTCCACTATATCTCTTTTGATGGCAGGTCATTCTTCAATACTAACTCTTAGCCGCCCGCCAGGTTCATATCGGCAAGTTCCACAGCAAGGAGCTCGACAAATACCTGCAGATCATGCTTGAACTCGAATCATTCGAGGGCCTTCCCGAGAGACTCCAGACTCTACTGGCAACGCTCCTTCGCATCTACAAGAACAGCAACTGCGGTATCAAGGGACGAGGCGCAGCGGCCAGGGCGGAGAGAGAAGCCAAGCTACAAAACACCAGGCGAGAAGTTGCTGTGCTGCAGGTACCCTCCATGAACCCGGCGTCGAACAACGTTGCGCCATCTTACGACCAGAATCAATTCCACGGCCTGCCAGGTCACTCGCAGCCACTCGAGCAGCCGGCGGCCTTTCTCCCGTCCTCCATAGCCCCCCATTCGCAACCCCAGCCGGTGTATCACGGGCTGCCTCAGCCTACAGCCTATGGCTTGGGCTGGCCTCAGTATCATTGATGAGTCTTCTCAAACCACTCCAGGCAACCCCCGAAGATCGAGCACGGTGCTATAGACATGGTGAAAACACGGCAACAATGATGCAAAATGATGAAGATTGAGATGACAACAATGCAAGCGTCGGCATTGTAGACGCGGAGGGGATCTGGGTACATTACAACGAGCACGGATTCAAGCAATTCTTCTGGTACAAAAGAGAGGCGAAGCAATTTGCATATGTCCAGCTATCATGCTAGACTGGCGAGGGACATTTCATTCGTTTTCGTCTTTTTTCTCCTTTTTTTTCTTCTTTCTTTCTCTCTCTTTCTTTTTTCTCCTTCTTTCTTTTTTCTCCCTCTCTTAAATTCCTGTTCCCTTTCAACCCTTTTCCTTGCTTGGATGTCAAGCAGAAACTCGAGCATAAATCACAAGCGCCACCCGTATTGTTCGAGCATTGCATCAACGTCCACAGCATGTACACTCACATTAGCGATGTTATTTCCGCTGCTTTCCAATTGGTTTCTGGTCACGTCTGTTACGATTTGGGTGTTTCTTTTGTCTTTCATTTTTCTTCCTTATTCTCCGATTTCCTGTTGCTCTAATGATCATGGACCAACACGGCTCTATTCTACCTGGGGGAGGTTATTACGGCAAAGGCGCGTGGATTTTGCAGCAGCAAAACAGGGCGTATCAGGTGCAAGAAGTGCGCATATAGGCGAGACGTGGGGGTGAAAGAGCAGGAGCCGGGGTCACCCATGAAAGGTGGGGGGGGGGGGGTAAGGATGTCACCCACTGACGAAATCAGGAACGGAGAAAAGTGTTGACTCGGCACTGGGGATGAACGGATGGCTTTCAAATATTGGGTTCTCCTTATTATTTCTTTTTTTTTTTATTTTTATTTCAGGTTTACGAGTACGTTTTTGATGAAGAAAGACAAGGGAAGAGGGAGAGAGAGAGAGAGAGATGACAAAAACTGGTGTGTGGCAGGTAGCAAGTAGCAGGCAGAGAAACATAATGAGCGTCTCATTGCCCATCACCACCAGTACCACCACCACCACCACCACCACCGTTTCTCAAAGGATCGATCGATACGGGACTACCAGGTTCTTGGGACATCTTCCCCTTTGGTTCTGGAAGCGGAGGGCGACGTAGTTCCGGCCTGACTGATCACCTGCATAAGTTGGGCACTTGTGCACCGAGGCGAGGTACGGCCTGGACCCGCGGGACTTGGGGGGGGGGGTATCACACCTTTCAAAAGCCCTAGGAAATCCTTCGCGCGCAGGAGAGAGAGAAAAAACACGCACACACACACACACTACCATGTAGTAGTATTACCATAGTACCATAATACTCTCACTACTATGGTTGTAGCGATTTTGTTGGGAGAAGGAGGGGGGGGTGGGTGGGGATGCGCAGGTGCTGGCTGGGATGTAGTAGTAGTAGTGGTGGTGGTGGGGTTCTGGCCCCTTCTGGCTCTTATTTTCTCACGTATGCATGTTAGTACTGGGAGAAGTAATAATAACAATACTACTCAAGGGATCTTATGGGCTTGATCGCTACCGACGGGCTGGGACTGTGGGTGTGAACCACGGATTTGGAGACCGAAAAGAGGAGGGTTGAAGGGGGGCGGGGGCGGGGGCGGTGGTTACACCAAGACTCTCATAAGAGGAATATACCGGAAGATTGAGAGGGGGCAGGTGGTCACTCGCAGCGAGAATTTGAGAGAGATGAATACGGCCGAGGTAGGCTGTATGCACGTGTACGTGTGTGAGTGTGTGTGTGTGTGTGTACAGCCCACCCACGCAACTCATTCGGTGCTTTGAAAAGACTGCTCGATCAGTCAATCAACTAACCAACCGCTCCATGCTTAGCTGGAGCATCAGTGTTCTCTCTTGTCCGGGCTTGGACACCATGATGTCCACCCACCAATATGAAATTTCCCCACACTGCTTAGTCTGCCTCATCATTCTCGTAGGTAAACTGCTATGCATGTTATCTCTTACACTTCATCTCCCCCTCCCCTTCCTGACGGAAATTAACAGCCCCTACTACTGCTTCTACCACTGACGTACTTCATATGACTATCTTGGTTATCGACGAGCAGCACGTCAAGGGGCCATGCCATGGTGCCCAATGTCACACGGCCTGAGCTTTAGATGCTTCCACCCCCCCCTCCCTTCCCCCTACACGGCAGTGTGGCCATGCATGAGAAGCAGAGCAAAAGTTGCACCATGACCTTCACCCTGCCCGCCCCCTCAGTGTAATGTGCTTCAGTAAATACCGTTTGGTGCTTGGTGTGCACTGGCCAGGCGGGGGGGGGGGGGGGCGAGACATTGCAGTAGAGTAAAAAGGATGTTTGTCGATCTGATCCGAGTCAGAATCAGAGTGCTGACCAACGTTTTTCTGTAAAATCGTTAACGGGTAGTAAGAAATAAGGGCGAGGAAATATATGAAAAAGAAGAAGAAAAAAGGAAGACAGGTTTGACAGACAGACAGACAAGAAAGAAAGTGGGGGAAGAAAAGACGAGAGACAGACGCGGTTTGGCCAACGGAGATCGTCATGGAGGGGCGGAAGAAGGTGTAGGTGGTGTGTGTAGAGGCAATGACGCGCTACTGAATATAAGTGAAAGTGCAAGAGGGTTGCGGCCGCTCCCATTTCAAGATTAGCGAGATCAAATGGGGGGGGGGTGTTGAGGGGGAGTGGTTGCTGCTAGAGGAGGGCGACCAGAAGGAAGGCACAATCAATCAATGGTGGTGGTTGGTGGTGTATTGAGCTACTACAGTCCTGTGGGTTACTAATTATTTAGCTAGGCGTCATTACAAGCCGAGTGGGGAGGCGCGCCCCATCCTCCCCTGACAGAAAGAGAGAAAAGAATGAGAAGAAGGGCAAAAGGAGGTGAGGGAGAGGGGGGCTTCCCATACTCACTCCGCGCCTTCCCCCAGAGACACATTTGGTCCAAATAGATAAAATAAGATGAATAAACAGAAAAGCTCAAGACTAAAGCATAGCTTGATAGAAGAGGGGGGCAAAGAGGAGAGCGAAGACGCGAGGAGAAAAAAAAAATAAACGTCTAATTTACTACAACAACCTAGACCATCGGATGACAGCCCTACTACCGTCTGAGGCTTTCAAGACTAAAGGTACCAAAAAAAAGAAGAAGAAAAAAGGGCTGGAAGAAACAAAACAATGACAATTGTTCATGGATGCAGTCGTTCCCGTTGTGTAAGTGCAGCACTTAAGACCGTGGCGAGGACGGGAAGGAAGTGGGGGTGGGCATATCCTTGTTCCCGGGAATCTAAATCGGGTAACTGTTTTCAATTTCTTTTTTCTCTTTCTTTTGCTTCTTCTTCGGTTGCTGGCCCCCCCCCCCCCCCCCGTTGGATCGCGAGATTGAGTTTTGCGGCGTTCCTGTCACTTCTCTTTGCCTTTTCTGGTTCTTTTTCCTGCCTCCTGCAGTAGTAGGAGAGCTACATAAGAAAAGTATACCATAGTGCGCGGGTAGTATATATGGTACGTACGGTTTAGTTTGTATGTACGTAGAGAGCAGGGGAAGAAAGGCACTGAACAGGGGTTCCGGGGGGGGGGGGGGGTTTGTCTATCTGGTAGGTACCTGTCTGAAGTAGACAATACGTACTAAAGCTAGTACCTCCATCCCACCAAAACCCCCGGCCCTCCACCTTTCCCGGAAGCCTGCATGTCGCACCGGGCATGCAGCCAGCCTTTAGGGCCCCATCAAAAAGAGCGAGGAAAAACAAAGGATGAGAAAAAAAGAACATCTTCTTCTCCTTGCAGGAGGGGTGGGACCAAGGCACTTGGCGCCATTGACCTCTCTCCGATATATCGCATCGAAATTGAAGGGAGGGAGGGGGCTAGCTGGAAAGAAGAGAGGGGACGGGGCAGGGCGGAAGAGGAGGAAGAAAACGAAGGCGGAGCAACAAGGCGAACGGCCGTTACTTTCGGTGCATATGCATATGCATACCGGACTTACTCCATCATGATGACCAGGTAGACAGACAGATACGCAAAACAGACACGCAGCGGGACCCCATAGGACGGAAGGACGATCACCAGATCAGACTGACAACTCACCTACATGAGCATTGCATTGCAGAATCGCCACTCTGAAGGAGCAAACGCACGACGCCTTGCCTTTCTCTCTCCTCCTCCCTCTTCTCTCGGACTCTTCCCCCCCCCCCTCTCTCTTTCTTCTCCCTCCCTCCCTCTCTCTCTCTCTCTTTCCCTCTCACCGCCTCCAGACATGCATGTGTATGCATGCAGAAACAAGAAAAAGAATGAAGAAGCAATGAGGAGGGAGGAAATAAGAAGAATCTTTGGGATACGCGTGCAGAAGACCTGCAGCCCAGCTTACCTTCGTACCATTCATTCAATACCAACATGGAGAAGAGGGGGGGGGGGGAAACCAAAAGAAAGAAGTCATTCTATACAGACACGCCCACAGCCTACATGGAAATACAAACAAGCACAATGACCAAAACATGCAGCACTATGATGCGATGCAACCACATATTGCAACGAAAACCTGTCGGCCTGACTGCTACCATCGCTCTCAACACGAGGTTTCGAGGTGCTTCACCGCCGCCGCACGCGGGCCAGTAGATGGAAAGAGAGGGGGGGAAGAGAGAGAAAGAGAGAGAGAGAGAGAGAGGAGAAGGGAGAGAGAGGCGACGTCGTGATCTGCATAGCAAGTGTCGTCCAAAAATAGAATATTTTGTCTGACCTGACTTGTCTCTGCCGCTTCTCTGCTTGGTGGTATGCAAGAGCGGCCGGACGGAGAAAAGTCAAAGAGCGTCACGGCACATCATCATGCGGGCTGTCGGCCGTTCGCACGACAGTGTATGGTGTGCGCTGTGCGTGTGCGCGCGGGCGCCCTTGGAAACACATAACCAGGAGATGAGAAAGGGGGTGGAAAGGAGAGAAATGCACCAATGTGAATGCTTCAATCTCTCGTAGATCATGGCCTTTGTCCTTGGCTGGCCTTGGCCGGAGCATCTGCCTCTGCCGTTTTGCCGCCTGCTGGCTATTGGCCCTTGCCCTTCTCCACTCCTGGCCTGTTCTGGTCTGAACGGGGGGAATATTTAGAATTCTCAACTGCATACATAGTTCGCATAGATGTTTTATGTTGTCGACCGATCCAACTTCGATTTTTCCCGCCCGTATCCACAGGAGAATGGCGGTTGAGGTGTGCTGGCAAGGTACGATCTCTCCGACGTGTATCCGGTAAAATATCGCCTGAATCCAAGTACACAGGCAGGACAAGACGGACGCACGGAGAGAGAGGCCAAGGCCAGCAGCAGTAGCTGCTGTCAATCCTCTTCTCGGTGGAGACGGTGTGGTGTACTGTAACATGTAGGTGCCCAGCTGGCGCGCGAGTAGGAACAAGACCAACTGCTATTGTACTAGTAGTGTGTAGTAAGTAGACTGGCTTTCTTTTACTGACGGTTTGTTTTCCTTGTCGGTTTGACATGACAGAGACGTCCGCCCACCTTTCAGCCCTAGTCGTAGACAGAGATAGTCCAGCTGTCCTATCGACGCGTCCCCACACACACACAATCAGTTTTCTCCCATAGTAGTCCATACTGGCCAGTCGTTTTTGTCTGAGACATATGCAAGAGCGGTACGGATACCTGCGAGACGCTCTTCCGGAGCAGGGCAAATGATGGCGGAGGTACAATGCAGGTGACAGGATCGAGACAAAGTTTCCACTCTCTTTGTTTTTTTAGGCTCGCCCCACTGTCCCCAGCAGAGCAGAGGAACCCCTCGACCAGCTTAGACCGTCGTGACCATTACCACATGGGGCCTTGCTTGAAAGAAAGAGGAGAAGGAGGTGGAGGAGAAAGAGGAGGAAGAGGGGAAGGAGGTGTGGATGGGGGGTGGTGGCCCCATCTGCCTCGTCAGGTCGCAATCGTATGTCCGGTCGGCGACCATGCCGCGGTCGTTTGTCCGGCCGACCGCATACTTACACGCACACCTACACATCTCCACACCCACTTTCCTCCTTTCCAATCCAGTGGATGAATGCCAGTCGCCGGCACTCTAAAACACTAGCCTCCATGTAACGTGGAGACGAAGAGAATGTTGTCACCGCTCTTAATCTCGTAGGCCTCCTCGCCTTCGAGCTCCCAGTCGGCATCGTTGATCAAGACCAGGATGCCTGGGCGGCTACAGGGTACGCTCAGCACTGGCTCACCGTGATAGTAGGTGGAGAAAGGGGAAGGGGAAGGGGAAGAAAAAGAAGAAGAAGAAGAAGAAGAAGAAGAAGAAGAAGAAGGAGAAGGAGAAGAAGAAAGAAGAGGAGGGGTGTTGCAGGCACAGAGAGATAGAGAACGAGAGAGTGTGTGAGAGGTGCCCAAATTGCCGACATGGACCCCTTGGAGGCGGGAGGATGGGGGGCAAATGGGCGTGGATGATCTCATTACGTACATGTGATGGTCGAGGACAAAGAGTTCCTGGCGGGTGTCCTTCATGACGTTCTCGCATAGGTAGTGTATGAGGTGGGCGATGGTCACAGGCCTGCCGTCCTCGCTTCGGGCTGGGATGGCGAGCTGATGTTGCCGCTGGTCCGAGAAGAGCATCTCCAGGCCGCCTCTGGAAGAATGAACAGTTGTCAGTATGGGATGTTCTTTGGCCAGGATGGCCCGCGTGGATACTGTGTTCATGTCTGTATCTTCTGTCCTCGCTAATCGTGTGTGCAGATGACTGCTGCGGGTGACAAGTGAGAATGGACATACAAGGAAGGAAAATGACAAGATGCAAAGTTGATCTGAACTCACGTAAATTCAACAGTGATGGCTAAGTCCTGCGGCGACGTCTCTGTAGCGGCTATTGTATCCGCCATGATTGACGACGACGACGACGACGACGACGATGACGATGACGATGTTGATGATCTCTTCTTTTTTTCCTCCCTCGTTGCGATGATTTTTCCTCCTCTGCTGTGGACTGCTTCTCTACAACGCTCCTTGTTTCTCTCGTTGATGTCTCTTACTAGACAATCTAGCCTCTTTTCAGCGTTGTTATTATCGTGAGGCTCGGCGGACGACGTTGTTGTTGTTGTTGTCGTCGTCGTCGGAGTTTGGAAACTTTATCTGGGCCAAGAGACTCGCTACCACCAGAAACGAAGGAAGGCTCACCGGCTGCGGTGGCCGCACAGTGCGAATTCCGACACTGTGTAACTCAAAATTTGGGTCTTAACTTCAACCAAAACCTCACTCATCATCAACCAGCCCAGCGAAAGAAGGGTTCAAGTTCACGACCAAAAAAAGAACCAAAAAAAAAAAAAAAAAGAAATTATTCAGCGAGGACCCACGAGCTTGTACGAGATCACTCGCCTCTTACCTCACCTCCGTGTTATTCTCAGAGAATAACATTCGCCAGGAAAAACAAACGAGAGAGAGAGAGAGAAAACAGAGCCCCACTGCACAAGTATGAGAAGAACAAGAAGATCCATCTGAAAGAAGAGGTGAACAAATCATGGGAGATGTCAAAGTTGATGTCGAGTACCTCTCCATAGGCGCCAACAGACAGACGGCCGCTGGGGATTGGAATGTCGATGGCACTGTTGCCTTTGGGGCAGACACGAATGTCGCACTATGGAAACCAAATGTGAGGGAGAAGAGAAGCACCTCTTGAGTTCGTTGCGCTATGAGAGACACATCATGGGCTAATATATACTTTTCCTAATCTATGTCCAGGACTCCATACCAAAGGGTATATTCAGGCTCCTCAGTGGACACAAGGACCTCGTCAAAGCCGTCAAGTTCCTACCGCCAGTCTCATCATCCACGGCAGGAGACGGAGATGAGCACCGCGTCGCACATCTTCTCAGCGGGGGCGATGACAAGTCTATCAAGCTTTGGAGGCTGGACACCCAGACAGGCAGCGCAGCATGCATCCAGACCGTTCTAGAGCACACTGCGCCTGTCAACTGCATCGCGGCCCTGAGCAGCAGCAGCAGCAGCATCGGCAGCCAGCAGGGCGAGGGTAGCACCATATTTGCTACAGGAGCAGCAGATGCGACGGTCAGGATATGGCACTTTGACGGCGACGCGATCAAGGTCCTCCAGACCATCAAGACGAGCACCCCAAGGTACTTTCCCCTCGCCGTCACGCTCAGCCCTCTCGGCAGCGATGGCAGCACCTTCATCCTCGCCTCTGCCGGGACGAGAGATATCGTACAAATCTACACAGGCTCCCTCACCAGACCGTCTTCTTCATCTTCTGCCAACACCACTCCCACCACCAACTTCGCCCTCAGTGCCACCCTCACCGGCCACGAAGGCTGGATCCGCTCCCTCGACTTCACGCCCGAAGTCCCTAGCGACCCCTCAGGCGATCTCCTCCTCGCCTCGGCCAGCCAGGACAAGTACATCCGTCTCTGGCGCGTCCATGCCGGCTCCGAGCTGCCTGCCCAAGCCGCTACGGCTTCTGACCCAACTGTCGGCGCCTACCTGCCCGGCAGGTCACCCAGCAACAAGGCCCACCGTTTCAGGGCAGGCACTGAAGCCGAACAAGACTACTCCATCACGTTTGAGTCGCTCCTCTTCAACCATGACGACTGGATCTACAGCGCAAGGTGGCACACGGGCAGTGGAGGCGCCAGCACATCCTCGTCCTCCGGCCAGCCGCAGCTCCTGTCCACATCGGCAGACAACTCCCTCGCCGTCTGGGAGGCAGATCCATCCACAGGGATCTGGGTGACCACCGCGCGGCTCGGCGAGATCTCGCGCGAAAAGGGCGCGACGACAGCAACGGGGAGCATCGGTGGTTTCTGGACAGGCCTGTGGTCGCCATCCGGGGCCTCGATCCTCACCCTCGGCCGCACCGGGTCCTGGCGCCGTTGGGACTGGGACCCGTCGTCGTCATCAGGCCCCGCCTGGGTTCAGAACATTTCTGTGTCAGGCCACGTCCGTCCCGTCACCGGCATCGCCTGGTCTCGCACTGGCAGCGGCGACGACGGCAACGGCAACACAAGGAACAACACCTACCTCCTCTCCACAAGCGCCGACCAGACGACCCGCCTGCACGCGCGCTGGCAGGAACAGGGCACATGGCACGAGATGGCCCGCCCCCAGATCCACGGCTACGACCTGAACTGCATCGATGCCCTGTCCGGGACCAGGTTCGTGTCCGGCGCTGACGAGAAGCTCATGCGCGTCTTTGACCAGCCGCGGGCCGTGGCGAGGCTGCTGCACGGCGTGGCGGGCATCGGCTCTGCTCCAGACGCCAGCATGCCGGACGCGGCGAACATGCCTGTCCTCGGGCTTAGCAACAAGGCCACGGTCGACGAGGAGGATGCTGCTGCTGCTGCTGCCACCGCCGCCGCCGCCGCCGCCGATGCTTCTTCTACTGGCGCCACCACCGTCGTCATCAACGACCCTGAGACAGCAAACGGCGTCGCCGTGATGGCTGCTCCCCACCGCCCACCCCTCGAGGAGGCTCTGTCGCGGCACACGCTGTGGCCCGAGGTTGAGAAGCTATACGGTCACGGCTACGAGATCTCCTGCCTGGCAGCGAGCCATGACGGGCGCCTGGTGGCCAGCGCGTGCCGCGCCAGCAGTCTCAACCACGCCGTCATCCGCCTCTTCGAGACAGACCGCTGGACGGAGCTGCGGCCCCCACTGGCCGCGCACTCGCTTACAGTTACACGCCTGCGGTTCAGCGGGGACGACAGGTACCTGCTGAGCGTGGGCCGCGATAGGCAGTGGGCTGTCTTCGAAGAGAGGAGGAAGGAGGGAGGAGGAGGAGGAGGAGGAGAGGGGGAGGTAGGGTGTTATGAGCTGCTACAGGCCGAGCCGAAGGGGCATACGAGGATGATCCTCGACGCAGCCTGGGCGCCTGCGGTCGTCGTGGGAGGGTCTGCTGGACCTGCACAGGGGCAGCAGTGCAGGATCTTCGCCACGGCGGGGAGAGACAAGAACGTCAAGGTCTGGGTGATGAGGAGCGGGGAGGAGGACGGCAAGTTCAGGCTGGCTGCGACCATCGTGTGCGACCAGCCCGTGACGGCCGTCGACTTCCTCGATAGACCCGACGCCGAGGGCCGGCTCGTGCTGGCCTCTGGCAGCGAGGCGGGCAAGATCAGCATACATGTCCTCCAGGTGGACAGCGACGACAACGGTGGGGGGAAAGTGACTGTCGTTTCGACGTCGACGCTCCAGCCAGAGTAAGTCGGATGGAATCCCTCTCTCTCTCTCACCCTCTATTGCGAACATAAGTGTTTTCTGAGATAGAAGACTCATGACTGACTCTTTGAAAACGCACAGACTCAACCTCCCCAAAGCCGTCTTGCAGCTCTCGTGGCGACCACTGGGCGCGGACGACAACGAGGACGGACATGAACTCGCCATAGCAGGCGACGACAGTTCCCTGCGTATCTACAGAGTCAGAAGCATATGAGCCAGGAAGAAGAGGTTGGGTGATGCAGAGTAATGGGTCTTTTATTCCTCTTTTTGAAAGGCTCGGCGCAAGAGCAACCCCAAGTCTAAACATTACATATATATATGGTTCTTTATAGTATCATGCTGCGCGCCCATGTCATGCCGTAAAATCATACCCATACCAGTAGTACAACGGTACGTAAGTGTGGTCTATGCCAAAGCAGCCACCAGTGGTCTGCTCAACCCGTCTTGTTTCTTCTTCTTTTCTTTCGAGGAAAAACGCCCCTGTCCCAACCACACGAGAAAGACAAGCACCCGAGCAGGCAGGAAACAAACCATGCTCAAGACAGCCCTTCCCTCCCTCCTATCTCTTCTTCCCTTCCTTTCCAAGAATTATTACAGCTCAGCCTTGACAGCCCCCTCCACAGCATGCGCCGCGGCCCGGGCGGTCGCAGTGCCCAGCGCCGCAGCCGCCGTCTTGGTGGAGCTCGCATTCTGCACGAGGGTGCGCGCCGTCTCTCGGGCGACCTCGAGGGCCGAGTCGCCGTGGATGTAGAACCAGGCGCGGCCGGCCAGAAACATGATGTGGTGTGGGAGGTAGAGAATGGTGGCGATGGCGGTGAGGGAGAAGAGGAGGAAGACGACGGACCCTGCAGCAAAAGAAAAAGTTTGATGAGTGTCAGCAGAAGAAGAAGAAGAAGGAAGAAAGGGAGGAAGGATAAGCGAGACAGGCGGCGGCGAGTGAGTGCGTTGTCGGAAGAAGGGGGGGGGGGTGCCTTCGCGGTCGCCCCTAGAGGGGGATTTGGATGGAATAGGAGAAGGGAGAGGGAGAGGGCTTACAAAAGATGAACTTTTCCAGCGGTGTGAAGATGTATACACTAAATGTCACCTCCACCTGGTAAATCTTGAGCTGCAGCCACTTGACAAAGGACTGCATTGTTGATCCGGACGACATCGTGGTTTGGTTGGTTCTGTTGTAGTCGAGGATGCGCTTGCGTGAGTTGACACGTCTTGGCTTGGAATACTTGGGATGCGAATTGAAGAAGGGGGAGAGGTTGGACTCGAAATATTGCTGTTGATTGACCTGTGGCAGCAGCAGGCTTGATGTGTGCTCAGAAGTTGAGTATTTGTCGTTAGGAGTCGTCAATGAACAGCAATGAGGAAAAAAAGACGTCCCTGACCAGACCGACCATAGGATATAGCAATCAAAACATGAATCGCCTGCCGGCGGTTCCGATTCGATATTTCCCCCCCAGAATCCGCTACTCTGATTGGTCACTCCCTTTCCTAATCCACTACTGTCATAGTAGCCCTTCACCGGCTTTCGGCCCTGGTCAGCCTTGTCCGTCCGTCCTCCGGTTGTCCCCTAGAATACGTCGGCGCCCGGAGAGGTAAAGAGTCAAGAGACACAGCGAAATGGCGATATTTCGATGACAATGAAGCTTCTCTTGGGGGTACAGGGCTTCTTCAGAGTCAGAAACAATGATAGTAGTCTCTTGAGGAACGTCAGCCGTTCTCTTCCTCCTCTTTTCGTGCCTCTTCTTCCGGCTCTCCCTACCGCAGCAACCTTCACGTCCACCCCATCATGCCTCAAGACAAAGTACCCTCCGAGGCCTAAACCCCCGCCAGATGAAGAGATCACCGAGGCCTATCTAAAGGGCAGCGGTCCAGGTGGCCAAAAGATTGTCAGTTCCTTTCTGTTCCTTCTGACCCCCCTCCTCGACCACCCCTCTCTCTTTGCCAACCACAGCACCCTCCCAAGCCATTACCAAAAATAGTCGTCCCCTCAACCTAACGCCTGTGTCCTCCCCACCCCCACAGAACAAAACCAACTCCGCCGTCCAACTCAAACACATCCCCACCGGCATCGTCGTCAAGTGCCAGGAGACCAGGTCCCGCGAGCAGAACCGCAAGCTGGCCAGGGAGCACTTGGCCGAGAAGATCGATGACTTCCTCAACGGCGAGAATAGCCGCTCCGCCGTCGTCGCCAGGATCCTCGCCAAGAAGAAGGCGAGCGCGCTAAAAAAGAGCCGGAGGAAGCATCGCCAGGCCGCTGATGGGAAGGCAAGCGACGGGGGGGAGGATGATAATGAGGTTCAAGACGAAGATGAAGACCCCCAAGAGAAGGGAATCACGAAGTACAATGCCGGCTGGGTGACCAGGAACGAGAGCTAGGCGCGCATTCTGGATGGAAACATTCAGCAATCCATCTTATCATATTATACCTACAAAGTCAAAAGAACTAGAGTCACGGAGGCACGTAGCAAACAGTTTCGAGGATCCTCGCGGATGGATAATTCTTCCTCGCATTTCTCTAAAACAAATCTGTCTCTGCTCGTAAGACCCCGAAGAAGGACCATCTCATCCACGCAGCGCAGGAAAACAAATAGGCTTTTTTTCTTCTTTTCTTTCTCCATCAGCCCCGATTGTACCAGCACCATCCGCCCTCTCTATGCACAACCAATCAAGAAACAAAGAGGCCGCATAAGCCCGGCGCCGCGAGACCTAGGGCACCAATAATGACCAAGACTTTTCGTAAATGGGAGACTCGACAGGGGAGGCCGCACATCTTGGGGACTCTGCAACGAGGCTGGTCTGGTCGAGGCATCCTCGGGCTCTTGGAAGATCGGCGACTCTTCCTCGCTCGTGTGATTTTGCTGTGGAACAAGGGTTTAGTCACACTGACGCCATGGTATAGCCCCTTTTGAACGATCGGATGGAAAAAGAGCAGCTCACCTTAGAAGCACTTGCGGTGGACGATGGAAGGACCGCTCTCGTCGTACTCCTGCTTGGAGATCCACATCTGCTGGAAGGTAGACAGGGAGGCCAGGATAGATCCACCGATCCAGACGGAGTACTTGCGCTCAGGGGGAGCAATGATCTTGACCTTCATGGAGGAAGGCGCAAGAGCAGTGATCTCCTTCTGCATACGGTCGGACAGACCAGGGTACATGGTGGTACCACCAGACTAGAGAGAGGTCATGCAGTCAGTAAATGAATCCGAAGAATCTCGAGGCTGTAACCAAGAGCGAAAAGGAGATCACATACCATGACAATGTTGCCGTACAGATCCTTACGGACATCGACATCGCACTTCATGATGGAGTTAAAGGTGGTGACGTGGATACCGCCGCTCTCCAGACCCAGGACAGAGGGCTGGAACAGAGCCTCAGGGGCACGGAAGCGCTCGTTGCCGATGGTGATAACCTGACCGTCAGGCAACTCGTAGGACTTCTCCAGGGAGGAGGACTGAGCGGCGGTCTGAATCTCCTGCTCGAAGTCGAGGGCGACGTAGCAGAGCTTCTCCTTGATGTCGCGAACGATTTCACGCTCAGCGGTGGTAGAGAAGGAGTAGCCACGCTCGGCCAGGATCTTCATCAGGTAGTCGGTCAAGTCACGACCAGCCATGTCGACACGCGCAATGGCGTGGGGCAGGGCGAAACCCTCGTAGATAGGGACCACGTGGGTAACACCATCACCGGAGTCGAGGACGATACCAGTGGTACGACCGGAGGCGTACAGAGACAGCACGGCCTGGATGGAGACGTAGAAGGCGGGGGCGTTGAACGTCTCGAAGACGATCTGGGTCATCTTCTCACGGTTGGACTTGGGGTTGATGGGAGCCTCAGTGAGCAGGACGGGGTGCTCCTCAGGGGCAACACGCAGCTCATTGTAGAAGGTGTGGTGCCAGATCTTCTCCATGTCGTCCCAGTTGGTGACGACACCGTGCTCAATGGGGTACCGCAGAGTCAGGATACCACGCTTGGACTGAGCCTCATCACCAACATACGAGTCCTTCTGACCCATACCAATCATGATACTGCAAACATGCCGTCAGAATCGCCTCGGAGGGCCGGAAACTGGTTTTTCTTTTGGGAGGGATTTTATTTACCCATGGTGGCGAGGACGACCGACGATGGAAGCTGTATGAAATTTCATTAGCGAACCATTCAGGTATTAGGAGAGACCGTTGCGGTGCCGCGCTGCTGGGTCGCCCCAGGGCGAAAGCTCCAGAGCTGGCGCTGAACTGGGCGGGAAGCGGGGTGATTGATGACTTACGGAAGACAGCTCGAGGAGCATCGTCACCGGCGAAACCGGCCTTGCACATACCCGAACTGGGGTTTCAAGTCAGCTCATTATGATCCAATCGAGATCGAAAAAAAATATGTGAGGAATGCAACCGCCATGATCGAGGCTGTTGTGTGCTCGCACGACCACCCTTTCGAGGTTGTCGGTGAGCCCGCAGGCGGCTGCTTGTGGGGAGGGGCGGGCGGCGGCGGCGCAAGCTTACCCATTGTCGATAACGAGAGCTGCAACTTCTTCTGCAGGTTTGGGAATTGGCGTTAGCAATCTACTGAGAGGAGGAAAATGGGTTTGATGATAAATGCCTGGCCCTGCGGCGATGGGTTTCGAGCTGGACCTCGCGAGCTCCTTCAAGGCCGCGGCGCACGAGGGAGGAAAGACAGAGTGGCCAACTTACCCTCCATTGTGAACGATTACGTAGTAGAAAAGGTAGTAAAAAGGGGTGTCAAGATAAGGTCAGGAAGAAGAGAACAAGTTGCAAAGTCCGGACGATGCTATAGATCGAGCGGAGCAGTGGCTGGTCTTGAGGAGTTTCGGTGTGTGGTGTGGTGTGTCGTTGTCGACAGGAAAGTTGTTGGGCAGAAAAGGGTGGTGGTTTGGGTGGTTGATAAAGGGGAAGCTGGAAGCCAGGAGCTGGGCCTTGCCGTTGAGATTTGATGTGGGCAAGAAGCCATCGCCCGGCCAGTCTACTAAGAAAAGTGGGGCAATGTGGCCCAGGACACCTCAGGAGCCAGCAGCTTCTAGGGCCCTGGAAGAGGGTTTTTTGATGGATGGCAGGCGACTCACCCACTGCCACTGGCCGCTCAACCGCTGCGCCAGTCGTTGGAACGGGCAACTTGTGGGGCGACCCTGCTAGCAACTCTCTGACTACCAACCTGCTAGAACAAATACCACACAGGTAAGGAAGAGGGCACCTGGGGAGGGGGTCAGGCGACAGGGGTTTGCTCGGAAAGGGGGGGCCAAAGCAATTGCCAACGCTCATCTTGAACACTTGTCACTTTGGATGGGTTCACACATGATTGCTGGCAGCGGTCAGTGGTCTTTTTCCTTTATCAGAGCTGAAGTTAGATGCTCAATGTACCGGCCCCGGCCCAGGATTCCACAGTATCTTTCTCGGATCTCCCGTTTCGCCATCACGATTCTCGAGTAGGGCTGGGGAGGGGGCGGCACGAGATGATGGCACAGGCTGACAGAATAAAACTAGAAGTGGTATAGTAGTAGTCTCAGTAATAGTGAAAAAGTGTAGTGAGTGAGCACGAAAAAAAAAAACCCCTCAAAAGTATGTACATTGACCATTTCACCCTCCTCTCCCACCTTTTCTTCCGGTACCACCCATCCTTTGCAGCAGTATCTCGAGTAAGACGGTGGCTGGTCTGCAGCAGGTCATCAGCAACGGAAATAGAAGAAAAGATCTATCCGTCTGCCTAAGTATGCATGGTACACAATTCATGGTTGGCAAGGCAGAGGTAAATACAGTGTATACAATCAGGATCTATCACTGCAGGGTGGGAGCTATCCAGATCAGGCAAGCTTCCCTCATCCTACATAAGTAAGTACATGACACGCAAGAGCAGAGCGCCATGAGAGACGACGTTACGCATGGCACATCTAGGCTTCGACATAAAAGAAACCTGCCACCGGCATAGACAGAGTCGAGAGGACTTGGCCAGAATGTTGAATCAGAGTATGATCATCGTCTACGTACCCAGATGGGAGGGAAAGGGGGTCGGTATATGGACCCTGAATCAGAGCATGGAACAGGGGGAAACATCATCTGTCACAATTCTACCAAGGCACAATCACTCCAGCAGTCAGCCTCAAAGAGGACTGACGTAAAGGCTGAAACGGCGGCCATTTGAGTCACCCAGTCTGATCCAGACGCGGGGCGGGAAACCAAATGCCAAGCAGGCTTCGGCTTGAGCAAAGAGAAGTGATTGCGCAAGCAGAGGCGAAAACAGCAGAGGGGAAAAAAGGGCTGACCGTTCTGCCTCCCTTTCCGCGTAAGCCTCGGGTGGCTGGAGATGCCGCCGCCAGTAGTGGCACACGCAGAAAAGAACCAGAACCATGAGCTAGATTCAAGCTTACCTGGACCCAAAAAGGGCAAAACCACCTGGCCCTTGGAGAACCATGTGGCAGAAGGGGGGGAAGCGTTTGCGTGTCCAGCATGGCATGGACAAGGCTGACGGGTTGCGCTGGAGAATTCCGGCTCGACCCCTCTTCAGCATATGCCAGCAGGGGCATCTCCTCACTAGTACACTCCAATTTCCTTTCCGTCCGCGGATCCGACTCCCCCGGGAAGATCACTCTTGAGATAGCTAGAGGAACTGTCCTCCTCCCTAGCTTTCCAGCTGCAAGCGTGAGAGGAGAAGGTCGTCTCTTGTCAACGTTGAGGCTCCGCCAATTTGCACCCCTCGACGACGGCCAACGAAAAGGGTAATGAGGGGCGCCTCCATCATCTCAAGGGTGGGGCGCGGGGTTGCCGAAGCTCTGCTGGCTGGGGTGTTGTTCTGTATTATGAGACCAAGAGTGAATTCCCCCTTAGCGACGGTGAACCAAATCCGATGGATATTGCAGTCAAGAGATGTAGATGACTTATTTTTCAATAATTTAAGTGCTGTGCTAAATTTAGTACCTAGATGTATCGCAACATAACAGCCTTGTGACAATTTGTGATTTTCCATTCTCATGAAATTTTACAGTGGGTGGCGGCGGTGGGGGCAAAGTTCAGTGCATACAGTAATAATGTAGGCCGCAAGGCTGAAGAAACGCTAAACCCTGCCGAGAATTTTCGAGAACCTTCCCGAAAGCGACAACAAATACAACAACGGCCAAAACCACAAATTTACACTTCGATCAAGCACGACATCCTTCCTTCTTGTACCAGCTCATCTCCCACCATCATCTCCCCCTGACCGATCATCAAAGCTTCTTGCGACAATTTCTGATTAGAAGGTCTCGGCCCACAAGCCGAACACACCCTAGATTACTACCCCATTTCCTACAAGCGAAACAGAAGAAAACAAAGACCACCACCACCACAACCATCACCACCACCAGCAGCCATGGACAAGAACTTAAACGAGCTCCTGAAGTGGAGCATCGAGGCCCAGACGGCCAGCGAGGACCGCACAGGCAACGCGCAGCCGACGACCCAGCTCACCCCGGAGGTTCTCGCCTCCCTCCTCGGCGGGCCCTCGGACGCGGAGCTCATGGTCCAGTCCATGCAGGTCATCACCGCGCCCGACCCCTCCATCCCACTCGACGACCGCCTGACTGCCTTTGACAACTTCGAGCAGCTCATCGAGTCCCTCGACAACGCCAACAACATGGTCACCCTGAAGCTGTGGCCCCCGCTGCTGTCCATGCTCGCACACGACGAGGCCGAGCTGCGCCGCTATGCCGCCTGGTGCATCGGCACCGCTGTCCAGAACAACGAGAAGTCCCAGGCTGGTCTGCTCGACGCCGGTGGCCTGCCGGGGCTGGTCGATATGGCCACGAAGCCCGCTGAGAAGGAGGCCGTCAGGCGGAAGGCCATCTACGCGCTCAGCTCCGCCTGCAGGAACTACCAGCCCGCCATGGACATTGTCGCTGCTGAGCTGGAGAAGAAGGGAACGCGGAAGGAGGTGGATGGGAAGGTGGACGCGACAAACATGGATGCTGTGGACGAGGTGATGAATGGCCTCAAGAACAAGATCAAGGAAGATGCTGCCAATGCTGCGGCTTAGGTGGGACGGATCGGCGACGACAAAGGAACGGCTACATGATACCCAGATATTCATGAAAGGTCTTGCATGGGCGGCGTTTGAGGGCGTTTCGGCGGCTAGGTCTCGGTCTTCTCTACAGACGGCCACACACGCGCGCGCACGCAAAAGAAAAGGATAAAGTTTTTTCACGAATGCGACATATTTGCTTCATTGCCCCAGGTATCTCTTGGTCCTCTAACTATGGTATGTGACATGATGCTGTACAATATTCTGCCGATGCCTTGGATGAGTTCTCGACATGTCCGTCCATCCGTCCCTTTTAATACTCGAACTTGCCGTAGAATGGCACACCCATGGCCTGCAGAAGCAACCTCGCATGTCTATCCGACTTGGCAGTCGTCTGGACGGTGACGACAGCTCCAGGGATCATCTACACAAAATAGAATTAGCTGCTTGAACAGAATGGTGCGCTTTATGGGAACGAAGAGAGGGTAGATTCTCACCTTTGGCGGGTAAGCATCATAGTTGACCTGGATTTCTGGGAACAGCGCAAACTCCTCTCGTGTGAACCCCCACCCGATATTTCCCGTGTCATCGCCTGAGCCCGCGTTGACGCCCGGCCATTCCTTGATTCTTGGAAAGACGAGGTGGATCATCTTGTCCAGCAGCTCATACGCCTGCTCCCCGTAGACGGTCGCCTTGGCGCCCGCCAGGTTGCCCTTCGCGATCCCCCACTGCGATACGCCCTTGTTGATGCGGATGATCTCTGGCTTCGCCCCCATGACCGCCTGTATAGCCGAACGTGCTGCCAGCAGATAGGTTGGTTCCTTGATCGCCTGCGGCTGGAAGGTCGACATCGAGACGGCCAGGATCTCGGGCACGTTCTTGAACGTGATGTCTCGCTCGACCGGTCGCAGCGTCGTGCCGCCTCTAGGTCCTCGCAGCGGACGATTCTTGTGGTATGGGGAGGAACCGTCCCAGCCTCGCAGCCGCTGGCCGATGCGCTCTTCTTTCTGCTCGCCTGGGGGCTTGTGCTGGTAGGCGAGGGTCATCAGGTCGGGCGCGATCGTCGACTGCCATGTCTCCTTGAGCCGAGGAAAGTAGAAGGGTCCCGGTTGATAGTCACGGGCTATAGGGTCGGAGGAGGGAGGCGATTGAATGGGGTGGAGGGGCCCGCGGTCGAACTTGGGCGGGTGGTATTGGTATCTGTGGCACGAGGAGGAGGAGGATGGCAAATTAGTACGCTTCGTTGCGACGAGAGGGAGAGATGATGGAGCGCTGTCAAGATGGGGGTGGTCGTGAGACATACTTGCTAGCTGGGAGCTCATGCTTCCTCTCCCGTGCACGTTTCCACGGGGCCGTGTACTCCTGCAGATGCTCTGGCGTCGGGCCTGGTGCTCCTAATGACGAGTCCGGTTCGAGGTCATCGAGTGGTGATGGCTCAGCCGACGCCGCTGCGGCAGCTTGTTCTGAATACCATCTTCGTGCACAGCTTGGTGTTCGTTGTGTCGATAATTGTGATATCCTCAGCCGCCGTAACGGCCGCGCCATGTCACGCCAGGTCGCCATTATTTTCTTCGGCAGCGTTTATGAATGGTCGTAAGAGGAGGGCCCGTCACGGAGCAGGCGCGTTGCTGAGCTTCAAAAAGTTTGGACGGCAAGCTCGGCCTCGCGGCCGGCAACAGAGTTGCGCCCGGCGCCAGCTGTCAGCAGCTGTGGATCCTAGCGCCCCCCCCCCCTCCAAAACAGAATATCCTACTGTCAATGCACCTCTGACCATTTGAAGTCTGAAGAATGGATTAATTCACTAATATTGACAGAACCTGCAATTGAACCCCTCATAAATAAAACTCCACGCTTCCTGTACCCCTTTGATTTGATATCTATACAACAAATAGATCCTCCCGAAACATCGAAACGCCTCCCTCTGGGATCGTCGAATCTCTCAACGTCTCCGCCTCAGCTCTGCCACATGTGCTCGCTAAGCTCAAGCAGCTTGTCGCCCATCGCTCTTCTAGCACTGTTCTCGATACCCCTCTCCTTACTCGCCAACATCTCACTATAGCAGAGCTCGATGAGCGCCTTGAGTTCATCGTACGTAAATCGATCTGGGTCTCGCCCGATCGGAGCGGCACCGTCCATGCCTTCCCCAGCAGCTGCCTTGGCGGCATCATCTTTCGCCTTCGTGACGATGGCGTCTGCGCCCTGGTCGAACAGCGCCCAGTAGTTGGCCGCACGTGCCAGGTCCACGCCGGCCTCGATGTTTTTGAGGTTTTGTTGTAGTACCAAGATGTTGAGTTGCATGCGGCCTGAGCCTCTCGAGTTGATAGGCGCTACCTTGGAGGCGTTGGACACAAGGTATGAATTGATCAGTAGGCCCAGACCGGTCCTGATGAAGGCAACCTCGCGCTCGCGCAGATATTTAACGATCGTTTCATCGTAGGCGACTAGCTCTGAGTTGAGGGAGATGATCTGGGGGTCGGGCTCCTTGACGTCTTGGTCGAGGAGATAGGGTGCTGTCTTGGGGTCGAGGACAACACGCAGAGAGTAGGCGATGCGACACCGAACCTCCATGTGAAGGGTGAGCAAGGACGTGGCGGCCAATTCCTCGTACGAGGACACGACGCCGTCGAAAGACCTGAATAATATGTTAGCCACGTTCATGTCGCATGTCACACACCAGACTGTCGATTGCGAGATACATACTGGACTGTCTCCTGCGTCATTGGAAGGAACACCGGTCCATCTTCGGTTGTCGCCTTGCTCAAGTCATTGAGCAGAGTCCACCTCCGCTTTCCGGGCTTGGGTATGCTAGACCGGTTGGAGTCGGTCTCGTTCCGCGTGATATGTCGGAGACTCGAGACCTTTACGGACAGCCATTTCATGCTGGTATAGAGTAGACAGAGCGAAGAGATCGTATCCCTGTCAAATATAATGTCACCGATCTGGAGAGATTTCTCGTTGGTCTCCGTGATCAAGAGCCCAACCTCCTTGTCGAGAAGATCGAGATCAAGAGTATCGGCTGTCCACAATTTCTGGACAGTGTTGTGTATCTCGCCGTTGTCAGTTGCCATGACGGCTGAAGCACGCAGAGCCTGAGTTGTGGTGTTCCCCTCCTGTGTCTTGGTGACCAGCGTCTTATACCAGCCAAAGCACCGGTCGTAGTACCGCATCATCTGCGTGATGATAAGCGAGCTCAATGCCTGATCATGCGGTATCGTGTCCAACATCTTGCAGAACGCCGTGACGACGGCGAAGAAATCTGTGGCACCTTTGAAGACAGGCCGCCGGGCCGTTTGGCTCCAGTCCGCATCCTGCTGGAAGGCGTCCGCCTCGCCAAACACCGCATCGCTCAGCTTTCCCAGGGTTTCGTCCAGTTGCGGCTGGAAGACGTTCACCAGGAAGTTGTCCAAGAAGGTCGTGAGTGTGCTGGTTGCTAGGTCTGAGCCTGGAGGCACAATGTTCTTCAGCCTCCCGAGGAACACTAGGGTCGGCGGCAGCAACAAGCTCATGTTGAAGACGTTTGGCTCCACCAGCGACTTGTAACTCTCTTGCTGATCACGGCTGCCATACGTGAAAGCCGTGCTCTTCCTCGACTCATTTACCCGGTTTCCAGCCTTCTTGTCGCCCTTGCCTTTAATCTGACCGGCGGTCAGACCAGGCACGGCTTGTTCGATGGTCTTGTCAAGCTCCTCAAATTCCACGACTAGCTCCGCGGCCTTCGAGTCTGCCTCGTTGAACTTGAAGAGGTGTTCACGATGCGCATCTAGTCTGCCATTCGTCGCGCCTGGGAGAGGTGTGTTGAACTGGTACAAATCCGCATCGGTCGTCACGTAGTTGTGCAACAAGGACCGTATCTCGTTCTGGTATAGGTTCCATAGCTCCTTGAAGCTTCCCAGGAGGGTAGCGTTATTACCGCCACTTTCTCGTCGGATGAGTGCTTTGATGGACTCGTGGAAAAGCCGATGTCCTTCTGCTATCGCTTCAAATTTTCCGTACAATGTCCAGAGCAGGTCGTAGATGACATCTGCTCTCATCTGCGTCTCCCGGTTGCTGTAGATGTGAAGTCCACCTGAGCCGTTGGAGACGCCTCTCAGCGAGCTCGGGTGCTTGTGGTCCACCTCATTGATCGTCTCGTTTACAACGCTGAATAATTCGACTGGCAACCGCTGCTTGATCGTATCGACAGCAGTTTCCAGACGACCTAGCTTGTTCAGAGCCTCTACCAACAGGGCGACGTACGAGAAGGTATCGGACTCGGGATTCCTGCCAGGGTCCTCCTGTATCGGGCTGTCGAGATCCATACTAGCCAGAACTTCGAAGAAAGGGACCACCGCTCCTGACTCTGCAATGTCATCCCGGAACGCCCCCTGGCTCTTTGCCAAGTTCTGCCACCTCTCCTGGCAGTAAGGAGATTTAAGGTATAGATGCTCGTGCAGCTCCTCCACTAGGATGTCCATCAGAGCCGTCTCTTGGTTTGCCAGGTAGCTTCTGAGCTCGCTCAGGGCCCCAATGTCATCCAGCTCGGGTTTTCTTAGCCTCCGCAGCGCGTTCTGCAGCACTTCGACCGCCGTCAGGAACCTCTTCTCGGAGATCCTAGCCTCCAGCTGGTCTGGCACCTGCCTCAGCTCCTCTAGCTCGTTCAGTGTCTGCAGCAAGTCGTCGTACATCTGGCTTGAGTTGTACAGCTTTTTCAGCTCTGGGTCTGTCGTGCACAGCGCAGTCTTGCTGTTGGCGAGGCTGTCCTTCAACACGCGCACTCTTTTCTGGCTGGCTATGATGCTCCCCTGGATCTTGTGGAACGTGCCGATGCTCGAGTTGAAACCCTGGTGGTAGTCGTGGACGATGGCTTTCAGGGAGTTCTGCAGGTCTTGGTGCGTCTGCTGGAAGTTGCCGTACTCGTGTGCCCTCCCCACGGAGCTGTTGTCGAGCAGCTGCAGCGCTAGCTGCACCGGGACGCAGTCATCCTCGCAGAGGTTCGGCCAGTCCTTCTGTATCATACCCAGCACGTCGTTGATCTGCCTCTCGGCGTGCGTCCACTGGGCCTGCTGGGCCTGCTGGTTGAGCTGCTGGGCCTGGAGTTGGGACCGCGAGGGAGGGGCGCGCAGAGGGAGGGAGGTTTGGGAGGGGGTCGTGCGGGCGGAGGGAATACTCGGGGGCGTCACGTAGCGGTCGCCGCTGCTGTAACCATCGGCGTAGGTATCGTAGTCTTCCTCGCCGCTATTCTTCCGGACAAAGCCCCCATAGCCGTTGCCGTTGCGGCCATAGCCACCGTAGCGGTTCGCCATGGCGGAGGGAGAGAGGGCCCTGGCTGCGGATCGTCGCCGTGTGGAAGGCAGACAGGCTCGAAGCTGGGAGCTATCTGTCAGTGTCTCGTCTGGATTGTCGCATGGTCGGTCAGCCGGACCGAGCAGCAGCGAAAGCAAGATAGGCGACGAGCTTGGGAGGAGGAGGAGGAGGAACGGGTGCCCAAAATATGGAGAAGATCGAGGAGTTACACAGAGTACATTTAGTAAACATGCGGGCTTGGATCAGTGGTGTAGCGTTACAGATAGCCCCGCAGGCCCCCGCAAGTGATCCATAGCAGCTGCAGTGCTCTGCAATTAGTGCCACTACAACCTTCCGGGAGCGGAAGGCTGCTGTTTGTTTCAGCACTGTTACAGGCGCTCTTTTGTTCTTCTTTCTTCCAAACCCAACATCGGATGTACAACTTGCTTCACAACTCGTTGGAATACGTAGCATCCTCATTTGCAAGGTTCCAATGAAGCCGCTCGACTCCACTGAGGTACCAAGCTCTTAGATTTCCTTTTGAAGAGGTCACATCACCAATTCATTTACACATAATATGGACGGAGTATAATCACTATCAACGCCTCTCTCTTCCCATTCATCTACAAGCTGTCTAATAAGGCGGCAACTCTTGCAACCACGGACTCGTCAGATCCGTATAAAAGCTGGCGCCCGCCACGGTAGTCGGAGCACCAGCCGTTGTGACATTACAGTTCTCTGTCCAGCTACCTTCGGCAGCATACTTGGATGAGACGTACTCAGCATAGTCACTCAGCAGACATGACCCGCCAGGGCCATCCTGGCACGAAGGCAGCGTGTATACGGCATCATTCAGCTTGATGCGGATGTACGTCGCGTTCGTGCTGCTGCCTGTCGTCGTCGTCGTCGTCGTCGTCGTCGTCGTCGTCGTGTTGGCGTACCGGGACTGGAGGACAGTGCTGGTGCTGTTTGTGCCATTACCCCCCGCAGCACCAACGGCGCAGTTCAGCCTCTCGAATGCGATCGTGCCCCTCATAGTGACAAAGTGCGAGGCAATGAACAGGCGGTCGGGGTTCATCTCCGTGCCAGAGAATTGAGTCTCGTTGTCGAAGACACCGCTGGCAGTGATGAGCTCGACCAGCTGGCCGTCGTTGAGGAACGTGACCAGCAGATCTGGCAGGGTAAAGGCGCTGCCGTTGGCAGCCGTGCCGTTGATCCCAGGACCCTCTTGCAGGAGTCCGACCAGAGCGTTCAGGTAGGGCATCATCATGGTCTGTTCGAGATCCGTTCCCGGACCTAATCCGTACCAGTACCTGATGTCGTTTGCATATTCATACTGCTGCAGCTCGTAGTCGGTGAACACATTGCACCAGGGCGAGAGCCGGCCCGTAATCTGAGACTCGAAGCTATTTGGTGTTATTTAACATGCTCTCCTGATCCAAAGTTTCGAATAAAGGCGAGAAAACTGGACGGAAAGAAAACAGGCAGCACTCACCCACAAAGGTACGGCATCTGGGAGATGTCGTTGGACTCAAAGGTCAAGTTGCCCTCGATCAGAGTCTGCAGACGCTCCTGGATCGGTGGGATGTACACATCTGCCCACTCGGTCGCATAGTCCCCTCCCGACGAGTCGTAAAAGTTGGGGCACTGGTCCGACGGCGAGAGCGAGTTGCCAATGCTGCCGGTGTACCCAGTGGAGGTGACAGAGACAACACTGCCGTAATCGGCGGCCGTGAAGCCGAGGAAGCCCTGAACGAAGAACTTGGCCGTCTGCAGCACGCGCGTGTAATTGTTGGCCCAGACCATGAACTCGTCGCCGTCATTGTAGAGCTGCGGGTACCGTGTTCGGAGGGTATAACCCAGGTCGTGCGCCTCCTTGGCGCCCGTGGGAGACTCCATGGACATCTGCAGGTCGACGTTGGTCAGGACGGTCTGCCAGTCCTTCATGAAGGACAACACACCCGTGGGCGTGTAGTCGCCTGACGAGAAGCGATCCTGCATGTCGACCCAGCCCGCATAGGCACTCGAGTCAGGATATCGAGAGCCGTGTCGTGAGATGTATGCGGCCTGGTCCACGTAGCAGTTCTCAGGCGTGTCTGGCGAGATGCCATAGACATTGGGGCCTGGGTAATTTGTCGTCAGCAAAGTCAATCGTTCAACGGTTGATTGTCCCTGCGCTGAGTTCTTAGGGAAAGAAGTAGAATTCTCACCAGCAAAATAAGGGCTGTTGGCGCCGAGCCACTTTAAAGGCTCAGAGGCAGACTCGCTGGCTGGAAGGTTGATATCATCAGCCGGCGCGAGCATCTGCGCCGCCATCACCGCGCCCACTAGGGCCAGGGAGGACCCCAGAGATGATGTACTAGGCATGATTGCTGCCCTTGTCCTAGACGGAAACGAGACTTCACCAACTGTGAGAAAGCAAGCGGTGGTCTTGAGCAGGAGGAGGAGGAGGGCGGCCCTAGGACAGGAGACAAATGAAGGAGGTGATAGGCGTGGCCATCGGAACTCATCAAGAAGCTCCACTCCGCAGACCCAACAGTCCGGGAGGCAGGCTTATACTATATACTCATGCAGCTTCTCACAGGCGTGCATATACACTCATTGATCGCCATGCGTGCCATACGCAACCATTCCTCGTCGGTTGGCAAGGTCGCATGGTGGTTCGGAACTCGGCGAGGGCTCACCGCGGGCATGAATCCAGATTGGGCGTAGGTACACAGCCGATGGATTGATCAGGTCTTCTTTGGGCTGTAATGCTGCGTTGCAATCAGTGCAACTGTAAGGTCACCGAGGAACACGTGCAGGCAGCCAGGCCCTTTGGTTTGCCGTTGATGACGTTGGGTGGTTCTGCCGCACCGGAGATTGGATGGGTCCCTACCTGGCTGGTCACCCCTGAACCATGCCCCGTATGTGCTCTGGAGAGGAGGCACTCAGCTGTAGGGCTGGCTGTAGATTGACTCGAACAGTGAAGATCGGATGAACCATTGACGACGATTCTCACTCTTGACAAAGACCAAAAGGCTTGAGAGCACGAGAGATGCGAGTCTCCAGCCTTGGCGGTGTAAAGACTGGAATCATGACAGTCGTTGAGTTATTTTTCTTTAATCTTGAGATTTGGCTGGAGAACCTGAGAACTAACCACCCAGATCAGTATTCGACAGAGTCCTTCTATGACATGAAGTCCGTGTATATGAGGCATTGGTTGGTTCATAAACATAGTCAGCCAGGTCTGCAGGTGTACTCTTCACACGAATTTGTGGTCAAATGCATTACCTTACACCCAACGCTATACTTGCAAAACAAAGCATAGAAAGAATGCAGATGGACGGCTGTAACCAGTCGGCGGAAGTTCTTCGGAACCCCGAACCGAGAGTTCAGCTCCAAGTAGCACAAACTTAGACCTCTCTCCAGGCCGGACTATACTTCATGCAGTACACTGCAATGCAGTACTTACACATTACTCAATTTTTAAAGTATTACATACGTTGTCAGCTTGGACATCCACAATGAATCAGATCCAGGGCAACCGCTCCGCAAAGCGAGCATCAGCTCCAAGAAAGAAAGCATGTCAGGCCTGCACGGTCGCCAGAGCCCGCTGCGACCTGGTGCGTCCAAGCTGCTCGAGGTGCGTGGACAGGCAGATACAATGCGAATACTCGACCCCAGCGGCAGCAGGTGCTCGCGTTCAGAGGGCAGCTTGGTCGTCGCCGCCTCCCGCAGTGTCTCAGGAGTTTGCTGAACCATCGAGTCTATGTTCTCCCCGGCCGCTGCTGGCCTCAGAAGACACGGCGGCCGCTCACGGGTGTAGAAATGACACCGCTATGTTTGATGATACGGCAGCAGTGCTTCTAGCCCCCTTGGACGTGTCGCGGATCCGAGATCGCTGGCTAGACTACTATTTCACGCCGACGACAAAGCAGATCAAAGAATACCCGGCGCGTATCATAGCACTCATAGCGAGGACACTCTCGGCGTATCCAGCCATGTGGATACGGAACGAGTCCCACGTCCCACCGTTCATCCATCCAGCACAGTGCTACCACCAGGAGGTCATGCCAGAGCCGCTCGCCAACTGCCTCAGCCTCCTGCGGCTGTGCCAGAACGCCGCTGTCGGCAGCGAAGAGCTCGTCCGGGACAGCATCCTCAGGGAGCTGAGCCGGCTGGTGGCTGTCGTCGGAGAGGATGTGCAAGACCAGACTCTGAGACAACACCTCTGGTGCCTCTCAGCGCTGCAGGCCTATCTGCTCCTGTGCTTGTACTCGTATGCCGCCGTCAAGACCCGACCGAGCCTCGGGATCTTCGGACCAGACTTGATTTCGACGTTGCACGGCCTGGCTTCCAAGGTCTCGGCAGCAGGTGTGCTCTGCCTTGAGGAGCTTGGCGGCGGCCCATCAACCGGTACACCGCCGCCGCGATGGGAGAGCTGGATCATCGCTGAGGCAAAAAGGCGGACATTATTCTGCGCGTACATGTTTGAGGATGTCTACAACTATGAGATGCAGTCCGCCACGTATCTGGCGGACGAGCTTGCCCCGCTGCTGGCACCTAGTTCCAGGTGGCTGTGGCAGGCCCGTGATAGGAACTCGTTTGAGGCAGAGTATGCGGACTGGACGAAGGCATGGAGCGGGCAGAGAGGACTTGCCATCTCTGAATTGTGGCCGAGTGAGGCTAAAGAAGATATTGATGGGGCGATAATGGCACAGCGGGCACAAGAGACAAAGGACAGAATTTCGAGGTGGACTGAAGGTGTTGATGAGTTTGGCATGTTGATACTGGCCGTGTGTACAGCGACTCACAACTACTAAAGGAATGCTGCCAGAGGAAAAATACAGGTCTGTAGTTCACGCTACAGGGTAGACCGAACACTGGATGGCGCTACTGCAGAGAAGCGCACAGGCCCACACAGGCCTGTTTGGGCAGCCTTTAGCTGCAACACACTACGCGTCCAGGGCCTACTACATACATACTATAGTAGAAACTCTACAAATTCAGGACCGCGTTTGTTCTTTAGACGATAAAGGGCAGCACCTCAACCTGGGCAACATTCCCCCCTTCCCAACCCCCCCCCCCCAATAGATGCAGCGCTTGAGCCAGCGCATTAGGGCACATGGACCTTCACATCGCCTTGGATTTCCTTTGGCAAGATCACAGCAGCAGCAGCACCTGAGGATGGCACACTCATTCTCCATACAGCCTGTGGGCCGATTTGCAAGGCCCAGTGAGGCTGTCAAGCGGCCAAAGGTATGCAGTAGAAGACAAATCCCCCCTCTACCCCGAACACACATCATCACATTGTCCTTATGGCTCACACCCTCTTGAAAGGAATTTGCATGCTTCTCATATGACGACGAACACAAGTTCCATCTCAGCGACCAGTCTCTGAGGTGGTACTACAACCCTGAGCTGGGCGTAGATCTCTCTGAGGGGTTTGAGAAATTCATCAAGCATGATGACAGCGTTGATGAGCACCTGGACAGTCTGTTGAATACAATCATAGATCATGAGAAGCAGACTGGCAAGAAGATTGATGCCAACATAGTCACCTGGCGCGGTTGTCTCACCAAGGTGAGTGCGATGTCAACCCTGTTATGTGTGTTTCAGTGAATGTGCTGGATCTGATGAGACTGTGGCAGATCATGGCAAGCCCTTTTGAGGACCGAGATGGGTAAGATGATCACCCTCTGCTGTTGATTCAAAGCGACGTGTATAGCTGACCCTCTCACATCAGTTTCGAGCTAAATGCTACCTTGTACCAAGTGCGTCCTCCTCATTTTCAGCCTCCCCTGACAGTGGCACCATAAACTGACTGATGTGAAGGACTGCCTGTGCGAGACCCAGAAGAAATCGCCACCATCCATCATGTGAAGGCTGACCCAGTCATCAGTTTCATCGAGGAGAATCACGCCTATCGCATGGAGTCTCAGAAAGAACAAGCAGCCCAGCCATGGAGAGGGCCAATACCTCAAGAGAAGATGGCGTTCTGGGGTATGGCACCAACAATCCAATTCGACTTGCAGATAATCAATTGACTGTCGATGAACAACAACAGGTTATAAGTTCGAGACGCTGGCAACATTACCCGCCCCATGGGGCGAGACATCCCGCGAGTACATAGAGGGCCGTGTGAACGAAACCGTCAACAACGAGGCCCAGTACTGCTCTGTAGTGCGAACAGGCGTAGGCAAGACCATCCTCTGCCTCGGTGGAGAAGTCGATGCCAGTGAGTTTCAGTTTCTCTCCTCCGTTCCCTCCCGCCCCGCCTCTTCCTTTCTTTGCTAGCACACACGCCCTAATTCAACTCTTCGCCGTGACAGTCTGGGACTCGAAACCCCGCAAACAAGGCGACCCAACCCATTGGGTGGAACTCAAGACCTCGGCCGAGATCCGCAACGACCGTGATTATGACAACTTCGAGCGCAAGCTGCTCAAGTTCTGGATCCAGTCCTTCCTGCTCGGCGTGCCCAAGATCATGGTCGGGTTCCGCTCCCGGGAAGGCATCCTTCTCAAGGTCGAAGAGATCGACGTCGAGGGAATCCCGACGACGGTGGCCCAGAGGAACCGCCGCTGGGACGGTAACACGTGTATCAACTTCGCGGCCGATTTTCTGGAATGTGAGTTGACGGGAGATGCGTGGACCTGAGTAGGACGGGAAGCAGTTTGATATATCGCGAGGCTGACTGAGCTTTTTCGTCTTTTTTCCTTTTTCCACAGGGCTGCGAACCAAAATTGATGACGAGGGCGTCTGGAGAATACGGCGGCGCGCAAGAGGCGCCCACATCGAAGTGTTCAAAACGCAAGAAGACACTATTCATGGCAGGATCATCACGGAGGACTTCATCAAGTAAGTTTCGAGAAGCGGCTTCCAGGACGGCTATTCCCTCCTCCCTCGTTGTTGTTCGTATGTTCATGAAAGCGGCCAGCATGCTAAACTAAAGCTCGACATTAGTCACCGCATCAAGCTGTCCCTGCCCAAGATGGCCACGCCTGAGGGCCAGGACGATGAGGTGAAAGCAGCAGCATGAATGAGGATGGATCTTAATGTTCAAGAAGAGTCGCAGTCACTGCAGAGCAATATCCTCTGGTTCATTAGCCGTGGGGTTTTCTTCTTCTTTTTCTTTAAACCAACCCTATTGAATTACAATGATACCGCCTTGATGCCGTCTATGTACCTAAAGGCCCTGTCTTTTCGCCAACGCCAGGCTGAAGAGAGAGAAAAAAGACAATGCAGAATGATTATACAAAGAAGGATGTTCACATCGAAAAAAAGAAAACGCTTGCTCCATCCATCCTGCAGACAAATGTCCGCTCCTCGGGAGCGCCAGCCCGAAGAGGGATACCCCGAGTTTCTGGCGACAACTGATCCAGAAGGGTGTTGCTCCTCTGTTGCTGCCTCACTACAACACACAGCACGTGACCTTTGACATGTGAGCGAAGTCGAAGGCCATCTTGACTCGTATGCCTGCTTCGTAAACGATCAAGCATCCCGCTATTATCTTCCTCATCGGCCAACATCTTTCTGCCGCTTCCCGATCGTCATAACATGGAGGTGTCACATGACCGTTCCCGAGTCATTGACTAATGTGCTCGAGAGGGTTGTAGACAGTGGCACATCGACAGTGCCTATGTTCGACAATACAACTCACAAAACCAGTATGAGACCCATCCAACTATGAGACCCATCCAACTGTCGAGTAAACCCCCTCCGGCCAGATCATCGAAGGCCTCGCTGTCAGCTGCAAGGCAAAGGCTTTGGAATTATGACGTGACACCATATTCGAAGAGCGCCTGAGGTCGTTTGTGTTGTACAGGTCTATCCTGACATAAAATTTGAATCACATGATTCGGACGCCATCGCTAGCCTGAAACCAGGAAGATGAAAAAGATAAAGAGAAAAGGGAGATCAGCGATAGGAGGAAGGATGCGCGAGAGCAACTTCATCGCCAAATGCGCCTTTAATGGCCGTTCGAAACACCAGGCCAGCGCATCTGCAGGCCACCAACCCAGCGACTGTACAGCTGTTCGGATAGCTGCTTGCAGTGCTCCATGCCGGGCATAGCCTCGCGGCCCGGGAAGCGCGCCTCGAGGGCGGCCTTCTCAAGCTCGCGCAGTCTGCTCTCGTCCGACTTGCCGCCCCTGGAGGGCGTGGCTGGGGCGCTCTCGGGGACTGCGCTGTCTCTACGCCTGCGGTTGGCGGGCCTCGCCGGGCTATTGGGCGCAGAGAGCTGCTTGTTCATGTTGATGACGGTCCCGTACGTGAAGCCTTCTGGGGCCTTCTGTAGGACGGGGCTCTTCATGATGGCTGGCGCGAGCTTTCTGTCTTTCGCCATGGCGGCGACAAGCCCCTGCATCAGCTGGCAGGCGCCTTCCGGGTCGACAGAGTCAAGGTTCTCAAAGGCTTCTGTCAGCTGGGCCAGGGCCTCCCGCTTCTTCGGGCCGGACGTCTGCGCGTAGACCTCTGCCAGCGTGGGCTCAAGAGCCTTGGTATATAGTCTGTGGCCAAGGACTGCCTCCTTGCTTGCAAGCTCAGGGGTAGAGGCCTGCCTGCGGGGGTCGCGGTTTTCGGCGTTGGACCCACCGGACGTGGTCGTGCTGGTCGACTGTCCAGACGACTCTGAGTCGCCAGATGGGACCCGGCTGAAGGGGCGTGCAGAAGAACCCATATTGCCATACGACATGTCCATCTGCAGGGGCTGGCGAGCAATGACAGACGATCTTGGTGAGCCGTTCCCATCGACCTGAACAATCGATCGCCGTCGCTCGAGCAGGCCTGAGACCTGTCGGACGGTGGTCTTTCGCATGGTGGTGGGCGCAGGTGAGACCTCGATGAGTGGTGCATCTCTGAGGTCCACTTTCCGCATCTCGGGATTCTCTGTTGTGGGTGAAGGGGTTCGCTTCTTGGGTATGTCCTTTGGGTCCACCTTGCGCACCTCAACCTGCTCGGCGGTGGGTGGTGAAGGCGTTCGCTTCTTGGGTACATCCCTGGGTGCGTCCTTTGGTGGTGGTGGTGGCGGGGCCGGTGCGATTGACTTTACTGTGTCAAAAGTCCACTCCTCTGAATCGTCCTTGTGTGAAAGGGTCTGCAAGGTCTCTTGGTAGTAGACGGGATGCAGCCTTCTAGTCTGCTGGGCATCGAACATGTGCTTGCGGTCGATGAGCTCCTGCAGCGCCTCCACCTTGCCGGCGCCGGAGATGAACTTGTGCTTCAACAGCTCCTTGGCGGTCGGCCTCAAATCCGGGTCCTTATTCAGACACCGTGCCACAAAGTCCTTGAAGTACTTGCTGAAGGGGCCTTCGAGCTTGGGGGGGGCGTTCTTTGGGATGTGGAAGAGGACCTTCATGGGGTGGATGTTTGCCAGGGGCGGTTCGCCGTTGGCCATCTCCATCGCCGTGATGGCCAGCGACCAGATATCGGCTTTGAAGCCGTAGCCAGCCTGCTCGATCACCTCGGGTGCCATCCAGAACGGTGTACCTACGAAGGTGTTCCGTTGCGACTTAATATTGGTGAGTTGCGCAGCAACGCCAAAGTCGGCCAGCTTCACCTTTCCGTTCTCTGCGAGCAGGACATTCGCAGCCTTGATGTCACGGTGGATCTTGCCCTCGGCATGGAGGTACTCGAGACCCAGCAGCAGTTCGCGACAGATGATGGCAATGTTGGTCTCCTCGAAATTGCCTGCTTTCAGCTGCGCCAGAAAAAGAAGAGGGAAAAAGACAGTCAGCATGCGAGGACAACGAAGGAGGGGAGACAGGATGGACAAACCAAATCGAGACATGAGCCTCCGCCCAAAAACTCCATGACGATCCATAGCTTGTGCCCTCGCAGGAAGCTTGCCTTGTACTGGGTGACGAAGGGGCTCGCGCACGTGCTGAGGACTGAGATCTCCTGCTGGATCTCCAGGATATCATCATCGCTGGACTCGAGATCAATCTGTTGGCTGTCAGCGTCTGCTCACAGGTGTCTGGGGTTGGCTGGATCATGGCATACATGTTTGATGGCAACCACCTCGCCTGTTGCCTTCTCGATGCCCTTGTACACCACACCAAAGCTGCCGCCTGTTTGAAACCGTCAAATCAGCTTGGTTATCTACATCATTCAAGAATTGAACATGATGAGACAGGGCAAAAACTCACGTCCCAGCTCCTCCAGGACCTCATAGTGACTGGCGATATCCTCATCCGCCATGATTTCTCGTGTCGCGTATTTCCACACCGCCTATGAGCAAAAGTGGATACGCTGATGTGGCAAGCGAGCAGCTTGGGCCGTCTCTGGCTGCAGCAAGCTCTCGAAACTTTTCTCTCTTTCTTTTCCTTTCCTCCTCTCGACAGAACAGCCACCACCCGGCACTAAAGGTAAGAATATCACAGACAATAACAAAACGATGTCTCAAAAAATTGCCAATAAAATTGATGTCGTTGGCGTACTTGTGTTAGGTGAAGGCGGAGGGCGGGGGGGGGGTTGGTTTTGAAGGGCCGAGAGTCAGATGGCCGGCCCTCGACGTGGGTGGGTTTCTGATTGTTTGAATAGAGGTGGTTGGTGGGGCGACAGCTTTAATTGAAAAAGGTGAAGCTCGGGCCACGGCTCGGTCCAGTCCCTCGCCCCCTCCCCAGGATAAGTCGTGGCATGGGGGCGCTACTACTGGATGGACCAACCACGATTCCCACTGGGACAACTGGGCAAGCCAGGGTAGGCCCTTGTCCAAGAGGTAGAAAAGTAAGGCTTCAAGTGACGAATCGATGGGTTTTCATCTCCCTCTTCCTCTTCCCATCCACAGAAAGTTCATGGTGGATCTTTGGGCAGCAAGAAGATGCTGTCCATTCAAGAAAATTTGAAGAACAGTTGAGGAGGGAAGGGGTGGTGGGGGCCTTGCAGCTTTGTGCATTCTTTATACGTGGTTGCATTTCGTTGTACAGTAGAGAGAGCCTGCCTTGTTTCCGTGCCACCAGCGCTGCATTCCAAGCGCGCGCCTCTCCAGCCAATACTATGTTGTCCTCCCAACGCAGATGCAAGTCTACGGGGAGCGTAGTAGCTGCATATGCCCTAGTGCTCTACAATGTCTATCATCATAACACAAAATCTTGAAGAGGTTGACCATTTGTAGGCCTTAGGAGGGCGTGGAGGGATACAAGGTGAGCACAATGGTTGGCTGTGAGCCACTGACATACCTGACACTGTCTCAATCAGAAACGTACGATTTTCCATATTTTTTCCAAAGAAAAAAAGAAGAAAAAGAAGGAAGGCAAGGAGGAAAGCAAATCAGAGAGAGCAAAAAAAGAAGAAATCCCTCACATATTATAATGGAAGGAAAAGAACCTCGAGTGGAGAGAATTTACCTCAGGTGGTAGATATTTCGATAACCACCACCAAATCCAGTGCCATGTCCAGACCCTTCCCTTGTCACTGGGTTCGGAATGGATTGGATCAACAGGGACAGGAGTAGAAGGAGTTCCTTGTGTGGCGCCGGGCCGAGGTCATCATCCCTCAGCTCTCACGAACAAAGCCTTAGTGGAGATCGGCTTATATGAGGTAGGATTTGCCATTCCGTAAGTACATTACTATGGTACATTACCTCCAACAAGAAGAAGAACATCAGGGAACCTTATTTTGAAGGCAATCTTGGAAACAGGTGCATACGGAGATTGGAATGCCCTGGCTCCCTTTTTTCCGAGCAGTGGCAGAACATGGTTTGTGACATCACCGTACCTGGGGGGTTGCAGCAAACATGCCGAAACCCCTCCAGCCCCTCCCTCTGTAGTATAGGTACTCTAGTACTGTCCTCAGGTACCGTGATACACAGTACACAGTAATTGCTTATTGCGCCAGAAGCCAGTGGTTAGTGGTGCTGTGTCTCAGTAATTGCTACGGGAACAGCCGAGGGTACAGGCTTGTTTCCCACCCTCTCCCCCCAGCGCCCCCGTACCTGGCAAGCCTAGACCCCACTGAGGCTGAACGTGGGCCACCCTAGTGGACAGTGGTTCTGGCGTATCTGGCAGTGCGAGACAGGGGTGGGGCCCTTCCCCAATGTTTACATTGTACCATTTGCATCCCAAGTTGGTCTGCCATGCGTGACTCTGGAGACCAGTCACTCGAGATGCAGCCCGCGATAAAAGTATAGCAGAGTCGCCTGTGACGGGTATGGCTCCTTTGATTTTCTCATTGATCGAATCTCAGCTTTGCGAAATACCCAAGTTTTTTTTTCCCTACAACTGGGTGGGAATTCGACTGCACCCTCTGAGCTCTTGATTCAAACAAACCCTTGAAAATTCCCAGCCACCCGAGATACCTCCCTGTGACGGCAACAGGTACACTGCCTGCTGGTGCCGCCCCACCAGCACCACCAAACAACCTTCAACCCTTTCGCCTCGACATTGCATTCTGGGTCTTCTGAACGGGGGCAAACCTGTATTCTCAGCACCGTGTCTGTCGTCGTTCAATCAGTCTGTTGTGTACAAGCCTAAGATGCTGTCCAACCGTTCGACGCGCGCCTAGTACAACCACCTCTCCCAAACCCTCTCTCGCCCTCCCTCCCCTCGGCGTGCTCACCGCTTTCCTGAGCCTCGCAAAAAGATGGTGCCCCCTCCGCCATCCATTCCTATGCGGTTTCCATGCTGGTGCAGGGCCGTGTACTCGTACGGAGGAGAGGTATGCAGAGAAAGAAGAGAGAGAGAGAGAGAAACTAAAAAGCAAAAAAACAGACGAATGCTACTTAGTTTGCTTCGGCCCCCCCCCCCCTCGATGGTCCCTTGCTAACGCGCCAGACTCGCAGTCAAAACGAGACCTTGGCTTCATAGAAGGCGACCTAATAGAATGTCTCAACGCGGGCGACGGTTCCTGGTGGACGGGCAGGCTGCGGCGGGATAGGAGGATGGTCGGCCTATTCCCCTCCAACTTTGTCGAGGTCCTGCCTGAGGACTTCCGACCCATGAGCCGAACCACGAGCCCGATGCAGCCTCTGGCCAACACGCCCCAGGGCGCCCCTCAGAAGTCGAAAACCTTCCGAAAGCCATTCGAGGCGTATGCCAAAGCCCCTCACTACACCACCGCAAAACAACCAGAGACGTTCAGAGAAAGTCCTGTCGTCCGTAGACAGAGTCCTGTCCGAAGCAGAGACACGTCCGCCCTAGCGGCGGCACCTTTTACAATAGGGCAGAATCGAAGCGTTCAGGATGATATCGGTAGGATACACACTCCGCAGCTGCAGGGCTATGGGTCTAGGATGCCCTCTCCTGCTCCCTCGTTCAATGCCCATGTCCAGCAGCAGCAGCAGCAGCAGCAGCAGCAGCAGCAGCAGCAGCATAGGTCGTCGCTAGATGGGCCAGATGACGCTCCCCCTCCACCACCTCCCCATCGACATGTTCTTACCGCGAGGCACGGCTCCAGCCTCTCGTATGACAGCCAGATTCCCTCGCGGCCGCCTATAGATGTGAGGGGCCACAGCTCACACCTGTCATATGACTCTCGGATACCTCACGATCTGAACCGGCACGGGTCTCACGCCTCTTACGACAGCAGGATGCCACAGGATGTGGATAGGCACGGCTCTTATGGCTCCTATGATAGTCGTATGATGCCAGATTTGTCCAGGCAAGGATCCCACGTGTCGCATGAGAATCGAGTTGAGTACGAGCCATACCGCCCTCCTGGGTCAAGTCAGGGCTACCACACCCCTAGGGGACAGTCGCCCGCCCCTTCTGCCTCTGGATCTGGTCTCAACATGACCCCGTCCCCGCTGAGGGAAGCAATGGATGGCGTGATGGAGCAGCTGGACGCCCTTGGTGTGTCGCGCGAGCCAGACCCGAGACCCGAGTCCCCCGAAGCTCCCCTGGATCCTTGGTCGCCAGAATGCTTCGACCTGGTCAACCACAAGTCCCGAAGGCAGAGAAAAGAGACGACACGGCCTCAGACAGCCATAGCCTTTACGCAAGGAGATTCTGGCTACGGCACCGGCAGCGCCGACTCGTCACAGAACCACAACCACGCAGTAAGTCTAAGTCACGACCAGGATGGCCGCCCCCCCGAGCTGAGCACCTATGTGGAGCGGATGGAGACGCGACTGCGCAATATGCACGCACACAGTTCTACCGTAGCCGACGAAGCCGTTGACGACGAGCCCCCTCCCCCACCCCCTAAGGGCCGGGTGTTTGAGAGGCCGAAATCGTCCATGGACACTCGTACTGAGAGCCAGGACCGCAGGCTGCGAACCAAGCGGTCGGGATACGACATCAGCAAGGCGCTGGGCCGGACGTTTACTACCAAGACCAATTCCACGAGCGCGTCGTCCAAGACCAACAGCAGTTCGGCCACACAGAGCACGGACCGGAGTTTGATGAGCGGTATATCGGCCGGCGGTATCAGTGCGACCAGCGCAGGGAGTATGGCTCGCAAGAATAGGAATCGCGCCCAGAGCGCGCTCGGGATGCACGACCTCGGCCTCGACCGGCCTGACTCTCCTTTTACCGGAATCAGCTACCACAGCAGCCATGCCTCGGAAGCATTTCTGCGGCCCAAGTCCCAAGCTGGCTTTGTGGATGATCCCATGGGCAACCTAGGCGGGCTCGCGCCGCCCACGCCCAAGAAGCGAAACTTCTTCAAGAAGCTGATGGACACGGCCAAGACAGGCGTCGCAAACGGCAGAGGGAGCATTGCGACGAGTGGTGGCAGCTCCATGCAGTCCCTGCAGTCATCGCCCATGCCGCCCACGATGGGCAGCAGTCTGGGTGCCGTCTCCTCGACAGGGTCTGGCTTTCCTAGCCCTGCAGCCTTCGCGGCGCGAGAGATGGGACTTGCCTCTGGGACGGACTGGGTCCAAGTCCGCCGTGATGTGAACCGGTCCAACACCCTGAGCCGCAATGAGAGGAACGATCGGAGGGACAGGTGTCTGATGCTGGACTATCCCGCACTCGACCCCGTGGACGAGCTGTATGGTAGCATCGATGGTGATGAGGGCGCAGACGGCGAGCCGATTGCCAATCCAACGGACTACCAAGTCATCAACTTTACAAATGTCGATAAGAATTCCCGCTTCATCAAGAGCCTCCCGCCCATGACCACTGCCATCACGCTGGCGACGACGTATGTTTGCAGACCGTACCGCAGCGACGTGCAGCGACTTCGAGCCATCTTTACCTGGGTGGCAGAGATCATCTGCTGGGAGGAGGACTTTGAGGGGAGTGAGGAGGTTGACACACGTCGCATCATACAACAAAAGCGGGCCTGTGCGCAAGAGTATGCGGTGCTGGTGATGGAGATGTGCGGTGCGGTGGGTCTGGACTGCGAGGTGGTCCGAGGCTACCTCAAGACGCCGGGCGAGATTCCAGAGACCAACATGCTGCCACGGCCGAACCACTGGTGGAACGCGGTGCTAGTCGACGGGGAGTGGCGCATGATGGACTGCTGTCTTGCAAGCCCGTCGAACCCCAGGCGCCCCCTGTACTCGAGCGTCAGCAGTGGCTCTGCTGATTTCTGGTACTATCTGACACGCCCGACAGAGCTGTGCTGGACGCACATGCCAGAGGACCTCGAACAGCAGCACATCTGCCCTCCGGTCGCGCCCGAGGTGCTGCTGAACCTCCCCTGTGCCTGTCCGCCGTACTTTGTCAACGACCTGCAGATGGTTGACTACAACACGAGTCTGACCCGGATCGAAGACCTCGAGATGGTACACATCACATTCAACGTGCCAGCCGACGTGGAGATTGCGGCAGAGGTGGAGACACGCGCGCTCCGACGAGATCAAGACGGCGACTTTTATGAGAGTGGCGACGTGATGAAAAAGCGGGCCCTCGCCCAGTGCGAATGGTTCGGCGGCGTGAAGCGGTACACAGTCAAGGCTCTCCTCCCTGGCGACGAAGGCCACGGCACGCTCAAGGTCTACGCGGGCAAGCGTGGCCTCATGCACAGCATCAAGGACATCCCGCACCCGATGGCGTTTGCGATCCCCATCATTCACACAGGCGAGAACCCAGCGTACGAGTTTGTCACCCGGCACCCAACGCCGCACGCACAGCGCCACGACATCTACGTGGCGCAACCGCAGTGCCGGCGTCTCGCGCTCAACAATACCTTTGTCTTTGCCATCCGGCAGCACCCGTCGTCGGCACCCGAAGGCTCTGCCATGACGCCGTCGTCGAATCCGGGTAGTGCTAGCCCCATCCCGTTCATCCGACCGGCATCAGCCATGAGCATAGGGACCAACCCGAGCTCGTATAGCAATGCGAGCGGCGGCGGCAGCGGCAGCGGCAAGAAGCCTGCGAAGCTGGCGATCCAGACGCCCGGCGGCAAGATCCTGCGGCTTATGAGGAAGGAGGATCGGGGCCGCGGGGTCGGGGTCGGCAGCTCTGCGAGGAGCATGGGCGGCGGCGGCGGCGGCGGCGGCGGCGGTGACGATGAGGTTAGTGATGGGGGCACGTGGGAGACCATCATCAAATGCTCCGAGCGTGGTGTGTGGAGAGGTCTCGTGCTTGCAGATCGCATTGCCAAGTGGTGCGTGTTTGCGGAGTGGCACTGTGAGGGCTGAGGGTACCTTGGACACCTCTGAAGACAATCCAGTTCTCCTTTGCACGCTTTTGCAACGGAAGATGGCGGAAATCGATGATCGGAACTGGGAGGAGGGTGTTGTGTCAATTTTTTTTTTTTTGCTCTGGACCCGGAGCATTGGGGAGGGAGAGGTTTCCTTCACTCGGCTGCATGGCTTTTGGTGTGTGTATGGGGGCATTCGGTGTGCATGTCGACTGGCGTTTTTTTATTTATTACAGGCATGAATACTCTTGACAAGACCATCGGGAGTATTGTCTTCACAGCATCATCGATTGGGCTGGGGGGTTTGGGGGGTGGGTGGGAATATCAACAAGCGCTTGCCATACCGGACGAGAAGGTTTGGTGTCAGGTGAACGGCGACAACGCACTCGACTTGAGAGCGAGTCTGTCTTTGTTATCATTACTATTGTTATTCCCAATACGGGAAGCGGGGAAAGATGAAAAACACAAGTACAAATCATGAGCGCCTCGTGTGTAAGAATAGGAATACAAAGTAGTAGTGGTACATCATTTTTCAACATTGATTGTTTTTGAGTGAGTGCAAGGGCATTCCTTTCTATAGGCAGGATTATAATGATGAATACTAAAAATGAAGGGACGCACTTTTGGAGAATGAAGGAAAGAAGAAAAAGAGACAGAAATAAGAGTACAAAAATCCAGGGCGGCAGAGCAGCAGCTCTGCTAACCCTAACCCCCAGTGACTGCGTCGGCGAATTTTCGGGGGTTAGCACCAGCCTCCAAGCAAATGTCACCCGACGATGCCTTTTGCGCAAATGGGCACGCCATTGATTCCTCATCATTTTCCTGTCGGCAGCACAGAGAAAGAAAACATTATTAGATTCTCCTAGTTGGAAGGGCTCCTTCTGTCTCTGGAGGTGTAAGAATATCCCCTCGTCAAGGCACATTTCTGTGTGTGGTTTTTTATAAAGACCTCTCTTACCCGCTTTGGATTTGTATTTCATTATTTTTTTTTTCGTTCAGCGTCATTGACAACCTGGATTCTCTCTCATATACTTTCAACCCTCACCAATCAAGGCTTGACAACGATCCGACTCACTTGGACTGCTCACCAACTTGGAACCAGACAAGGCTTTTTTCCTGCCTTTTTTCTTCTTCCCCTCTGCTTCCAATTGATATAAATCTTACACCTCAATTCCTCTCCTGGGGAAGAAAAAAAAAAATGGGCAGCACACCACCAGCACCGCCCTCCATCGAGGTCAACAAGCTCACCTACTCCTTCGCCGACGCCTCCCTCGGCGTGACAGACATCAGCCTCTCAGTCCCACCGCGGTCCCGCACCCTCCTCATCGGTGCCAATGGCGCAGGCAAGACGACGCTCCTCCGCCTCCTCGCCGGCAAGCGCCTCGCCCCCTCCAACACCATCTCCATCTCGGGCGTCGACCCCTTCAAGGACGGCCTCGAGGGCGTGACCTACCTGGGCCTCGAGTGGGTGCTCAACCCCATCGTCCGCACAGACATTGGCGTGGTCGAGCTCCTGCGCTCCGTGGGCGGCGACGCCTATCCCGAGCGCCGCGACGAGCTCGTGCACGTGCTGGACATCGACACGGCCTGGCGCATGTCGGCCGTCAGCGACGGCGAGAGGCGCCGCGTGCAGCTGGCCATGGGCCTCGTGCGGCCCTGGACCGTGCTGCTGCTCGACGAGATCACCGTCGACCTCGACGTCCTCTCGCGCGCCGAGTTCCTCGCCTGGCTGAAGCGCGAGACCGAGGCCCGCGACTGCACGATTGTCTATGCCACGCACATCCTCGACAACCTGGCCGGCTGGCCCACGCATCTTGTGCACATGCACATGGGCACCGTGCGCGAGTGGGGTGAGACGGACAAGTTCCTGGCCCGCCTCGAGGGCGAGGAGGCGACGGGGAACTCGCGCCTGGGCGAGGTCGTGCTGGGCTGGCTGCGGAGTGACCTGAAGGATCGGGGCCCGCGTAGCCAGAACAGGCGAGGGCCTGAGGGGAAGACGTATGGGATGGGTGGCACGCAGTTGGGCGGGTATGGGCTTGAGAGTCGAGATTAAGGTATTGAAGAGAAGGGGGGGTGGGGGTAAGCGAGCTAAGGGTGATGAAGGTTTACTTTGTCTTTTTCCATCTTCATTTCCATTTTTTTTTCCTTCTTTTGTTTTGAAGAACGAGAAAGGAGAGAGGAGAAGATATGTGGTGGACGACGTCCAATGATTTTCAACAATATGCATGCATGGGACTTGGAGTTTTCTAAGGGAGAGAGGCTTGGTTGACTTTGACCACATTGACAAAGAAAAGAACAGCGCATTTTAACATGGCGCTGGGCAGGCATGCTGGATGCATCTTTCAACATAGACTGGGCAGGTTGGGTACCGGTTGCATGGGATGGTTTCAACAATGACTGGACCCGCGTCTGAAAAGAAAGGGGAAGAGAGACGTTTGTTTATTTTTCATTCTGCTTCTCTTGTTTCTTCACGGGTAATTATGATGGGTTGGGCAGGATGGGGGGGGGGGGGGTTCAACAGGCTATTGGCATACTAATCTCAACATGCTAGGCATATCATGGACTGACTGCTCAAAGGAGGCAGTAGGATCTTGAAATAAAGTACTTGATACATTATTCTATAAAATTATGTGCCATGGGTATCCCTCTCTGTTTTTTTTTCTTCTCTCTCTTTGTGTCTTATACAAACCTGCTCCTCAACGTCCATTTCTCGTCAACGTCTATTCGTCTCTATGTCCCTTTGACTCACTTGACGCCAGTATATGTAGTTTCTTTCTCTCTTTCTTCTTCTTCTTCTTCTTCTTCTTCTCCTCCTATTTCCATCAAGGTAACTCGACCCTATGCGACTCGGAATTCATCTCGGCAGGAAGCCCATTGCCAGGCATCTCTCTGTAGTAATACCCCGGCGGAGCCTGCTGCTGGCCCAGGATCCCCGTCTGCGACCCCGCAGGCGACACCTTGTGACCCGGCATCTCTGCTCGCCGAGACTCCATCTCCTGGCCCACCATCTCATAGTACGTATTCTTGGACGTCTGGCTGGCATAGGCGTCCATGTCGGACCCGGGCTGTGGGGACCCGCCGGACTGCTCCAGCTCGTCCTTCTTCCTAGCGCTAACGTCGCTCCTCCGCTTCCTACGCAGGAAATAGAACACAGACGCCGCGACAATCGCCGCAGCAGCCACACCCCCGACCACACCACCGGCGATAGCGCCCGCCGAGGAGGACGAGGAGCTGCTGCTGCTGCTGCTGCTGCTCCCGGCAGTGTTGCCCGCAGCACCTGACGACGACGCACCCGAGCTGCTGCTGCTGCTATCCCCAGACGATGTCGCGGTCGCGGCGGCGGTGAAGTTCTGCACGCTAAACACCTGCTCGAGCGCCGAGCTCGTAAAGTCGGCAGTGCGGCTGTTGCCGGCGTAGTAGGCCTGGACGGTGCTGGACTGGACATAGACGGTCTTGTTGCTGTCGAAGGCGTCGGTCCAGCTCATGGAGTTGAGGTCGAAGACGGCCAGGCCCTGCGGGTGGGTGTCCTGGGTCCTGTAGGGCCCCAGGTAGTAGTCCGGGCTGTACAGCTGGGTGGTGTCGACGCCGCCGATGGCCAGGACCTGGCCGCCGCCGATGTGCTCGCACGTCAGGCCGTGGCGTGGGTGCAGGGCGTCGTACGAGGCCTGGAACCAGTGGAACGAGGGCAGCGACAGCACGTACAGGTCGTCCCAGGGGATGGCGTCGTCGCCCAGCGTGCCGTTCCACCCGGCGTAGACGACAATCTCGTACGTCTCGTTGGAGCTGGGCGCCCCCGTCATGCAGAACTCCTTGCGCGTCTGCGGCGCCGCGCCCGTCGTGGCCTGCTCGTACCACGTCCCCGTCGAGGGGTCCAGGATCTGGATCGTCGAGAGGCTCTCCATGTACTCGTCGTCTGGGTCGTCGCGGAACCCGCCTGCCGAGATGACCACGCCCGACGGGCCAAAGTTGGGCACGTAGAGCATCTGTGCGTAGCTCGCCCACCCCTCCATCGAGATGCCCGTCACCGTCGTGTTGGTCACCGTGTTGGTGCCAAAGTCGTAGCTCAGGAGGCCGCTGATGGGCACGTACGTCTCGTTGGCGCTGTAGTCCATGTTCCCGCCCAGAAAATATCCTGTGCCGTTGCCGCTCGCCACGGAGCCCAGGTAGGCCCGCGACCCGGTCGTGAAATAGGACGCTGCTGTGTCGTTCAGGTTCGTCCACGTGCCCGTCGACCCGTCGCCGCTGGGCTCAAACGACCAGAGGCCCGAGTCCTGCCAGGCCTCGTCGCCCACTGGCGGGTACCGGCCTGCGAAGCCCGTGTACATAAGCCCATCGTTGACCCAGGATCCGCCGTAGACTAGATTTGGCACGCCCGATGGTTTTTCTATAGACATGATCGAGGCAGAGGTCGGGGTGAAGTCATTACTTATGTCGATATAAAGCAGTGTATCTGAGTATTGGTACTGCACGCCGTCGCCGCTCGAGTAGGAGAATGTGCCGCCATCAATGTAAACCTTACTGCCCAGTACAGCGGCTATTGTGGTGGTGGGGGAAAAAAAAGAAATAACTGGTCAGCGAGGAAGGACGGCCTTGTATGGACGGAGAGAGACCTAATTGACTGATGAGTTTACTTACATGAGTGGTAGCCTCGTCTCATGAAATATGTGTCCGACACAGCGCCGTCGGCCTGACGTGCACTTAGAGAGGCTGCTGTTGTCTCCTCTCTTGCAAGAGCTGAGCCCAAGCACACACCCAACATAAGGAACAACTCCATATCGTAAAGATACCGCGCGCCCTCCAGTGATGAGCACGATCACGAAGGACGTCAGAGGAGCAGGCCAAATAGAGACCCAAAATTCGAATGAAGAGAGTAGGAAAGGAGGGAAAAATACAAAGAGCTTGTGGAGGTGTGAACATCCAAAGGCGGCCCCCCCCCCCCTCTCTTCGATCAGGGCACTTCCTTCGCGGACCCACGAGACGACAGAGCGTACACTACCATGCTGGCCATCTATGGGTTTCGACCCCATGTCGGACAACCATTCAGCTGTGCTACGTAAATGCCCCTGCAGATAAGTAGCAATTAAAAACGGGTGATCTGTTAGTAAAAGACTGTCACTGCTGGGTGTCTGGTAATGCGGAGGATTTGGATCCCTGTTATGATGATGTTATAGGTGGTATCAGCCTCCTAAGAGGGCATTGGTCTGTCGTTCGCTAAGCGCTAAGTCAATCCTCTGGTTAGAGATCGCCCACTCCAGATTGTCGAGCACGCGGCTGACCTCGAGGCGCCCCTTGTTGTTGTTTGTTGCTGGGCCACAAATTGTTGCCGTGCTGTGCCGCCGTGTTGAGGCTCAATATGTCAGGATCACGTTTGACGCACCCCCAAGATCAAGTCTCAACATCATCATGCCTAATGTCTTTGTCTTTTGCAATCTCTCCTCTGAGCAAGACGGCCGCGAGCGCGCTTCGCTGATAGATCGTGGGGCTGGCTAGTTACAGACTGTGGGTAGGGGATGGGGGGCCCACAGGGCTCAACTTGGCATCTGATTCATTGGCCTTTTGTTCAAAATATACTTCTTCGTAGCCCCACAACGTTCCGGTCTATGGGAAGAGACACACAGAGAGAGATGTGGATACGCACCAGGACTGCGTCCTTCTCGTGTGAGAGTAAGGCGGTACTCTGAGGAAGGATGATGCGGACCCGCGGAACAAATACGGCGTAGGATTCGCCACTCCTGAGACACCAACCAACGCACTCACTGTAACTAATTTGACATTCCGACCTCGATATCGGGGGTATGCTATTCTATGTGAAGACCATGATAAGAAAAAAAGAAGAAATAAAAAAAAAAACCAAGTCGGACGCATAGTTCAAAAGTGCTAACCAAGGGAGAGATGCACCTACTACACATTTAATTCAGTGCCTTGCAGCTGTCATTGTCTCCCTACCACCGAATCATTTTGGTCCTTCCCAACGCCATTCTGCCCGCCATGTAGTCCGTCGACCTTCTCGCATCAATGATTTTTGTTTTCGTCTCATGTGGTTGTCTTGAGATGGTCAAGATCATCAAAGCATGTACATTCGAGTATTGGTGTCTCTACTGCAGATAAGGAGCCAAGGCCTGCTGGCCCTCAGGTGATACTCTCTGCTGGACAAACTGCAGAAGCATGCCGTTGGCCTGTGCGTTGGTCTTCTTCATGTACTCGCTGACCCAGACCTGAACGTCGGTGAGCTCAGGAAAGTCATCACGTGGGCCGCGCTTGCATGTGTTCAGGGGGGTGTAGCCGAGACCGAACCCGATGTCGTCCACGTCTGCTTCCGTGATGATCTCATCGCCGAATCCGACCGCCACCTTGGGTGGGTTCTTGAGAAGATCCAGCAGTGCATTGGCTGTCCAGCCCCAGCCCTTGTTGCCGTAGGTGATTGCAAACTCTTTCGAGTCGCAGAGCGTCTTGGTGTATGAGATGACGCCAATCTTCCTGTCGACGGGGCGGGCTAACGAGCCGGTCGTCTTGAGGATGATGCTCTGGTAGATGGCCGGGAACATCTTGGCTTGCAAGGCCTCGACATGTTTGATGAAGAAGTCAGCACCCAATCCGTGCTCCGTCCGCGCTGAAACTAGATGATAGAAGCGGACAAATCGCTGCTTGTATGAATCCGACGGTTGCGCCTGCAGCTTGGCAAGCGTGAGCTGTAAGATGGTCGGGAAATACGCGCCCAGCGTCGTCCTGCCAGCGATATACATTAGCTTCAGGATACAATGGAGAGACATCTACCGCCAAGGGAAAATTTACTCACCCATCGAATGCTGCTATGACTGACTCGAGAATGTCGAAGGCGTTCTGCTCCGTCTTCTTCACATTCAACAATCCCTGGAAAACACCCAGAACCTGCTCTAGCTGTCTGTTCTCCAAAATCACCCGCTTGGACTTGGGCACCATAGCCGCCAAGAATCGGGCGCAACCGGGCACGTTGCCCCTCGTCTCCCATACGGCGGGCGCAAGGATATAAGGTAGGAGCGTGCTGTAGTTGGCAGGCAATTCGTTCGATGGAGTAGCTTCGAGCAGGGCGGCGAAGATCTGGAAGACATAGGGGACAAATTCTATTACGGTCAGTTTTGAAAATCCACACCACGGCTGCTTGAAATGGTTTTGTCTTACCCGAGATGTCCTGGTTGAGGATGTACGAGAATGGTTCCCACAGGCGCTCGTGCAGCATAGCTTCTTGTGAGGGGCTGGAAAACCGGACCAGGGCTCCCATGGCCTCGAACAGGTAGTAGTAGAATCGAGGATTGCTGGGGTTAGCCTTGATGACACCAACAATGTTGATGAGATGATTCAAGACGCCATCTAAGATGGGTTGTATTCCCTGGTTGATCACGATCAGGACTCTCATGATGCAGCGCATCAAGAACTCATTCTCCTGCATCTTGGCTGGGGCCTTGTCCTTCTCAACAAGGTGGAACAGGTGGTCGAGGAGGTCCTTTGCCAGTGGCTCGATATCCGCCCTCGAGAATGTGTGCTCGCCCTGGTCATTCGTCAAGAACAGGACCCGTTCCACCGCGATTGCAGCATATGTGTATACAACATAATTGTCCGAGGCCATATTCTTGATGAGGGGCTGGAATGCGGCTTGCCATTGCTCCCTAGTCAGTTGGCTGCGGAAGTTGTGAAGGTATTTGATGGCGTCGACCTTGGAGATGGGCTCGACCCCGGCATCGTTCAAAAGATCAGAGGCGATGTGGCTCTGGAAGAACTCGACGACATTGACGTGAGGGTTGACCGTCTTGACACCCTGCGCCGTCGTAACGGCACCCTTGGCAGCAATGGCCAGGTACAGGTACACGGCCGTGTCCTTGGCCTTCCAGTCCTTCTGCCCCTGCGTCAGATAGTGGTCGATGTACTTGAAGACGACGCTCGTGACGAGAAGCTCAAATCTCTCCAGCAGCTTCCGCAAGAAATCGGTAGCGGCGCGTCGCCTAGAGTCCGTATCCGATCCCTCGAGGTCTCTTCGGATGAACTCGATGGGCTCGTCTTCGAACATCTCGATGTCTGACTCGCGGAGGGTGACGTTGGGCAGAATCACCTTCTCCACAATCTGGCCCAGGATGTTCTCGTCGTTGAAGGCGGCCGCATGCTTGGACCCGGCGACGGCGGTCAGAAATTGTAAGGCCTTGCTCACCAGGAGGTCGTACTTCTTTTCGGGGCCAATGGTCGACAGGAGGTTCCACACAGAGGTTATGAATCGCTCGCAGTAGGGGGTGAAGTCTTCGTCGTACTTGGTTGAGAAGAGCGTCAGGGCTTCGCATATGTCTGCCTTGACATGCTCCAGCGCTGTTGCCTCGTCCTCGTCGCCGGCGAATATGGGGTTTGTGTACGACAAGTACTTGTCGAGGAGGCCAAATATGTACGGCAGGTTGCCTTCGATCGTAGGGGGCAGATCATGGCATGTGAGATCGTAGAGTATCCTGACCATCAAGCTCATGGTCTCGAACCAGCCCTGCAACGGTGCGGTATTGTCCTTGTTCGCGTCTATCTGTTGGTCCGTGATGCGCAGCAGCTCACCGTACGCCGGGCCAAAGTGCTGCACGACGTGGTTGACTTCGGCATACAGCTCGTTGGACTGAAAAAGCGGTCGCCAGCGCACGAAGATAGAGTGTGCGACCTCCAAAACTCCGTTGTTAACCTTGTAATCGGTGGGCGAGATCCGGCTGACGAGGTCCTGCACAGCACATGAGGGTTAGTCGGCGCATTTATTAAGATATTAAGACGAAAAAAAAAAAGGATCGCACATACCTGTATCAAGGTATCCCACCGCGTCCAGAAGTCTGAGTCGGCAATGACGCTGATAGCCTCGCCGAGCTGACTCTGGATGTTCGGGGGCGATGTGATCATGAGGCCCACAAGCTCCTGCTTGATGGTTGCAACCTCTCCTGCGGGCAGCTTGTGTTCTCCATCTTCGTTCACATAGTTCAGGCGAACAAAGTTCTTGAAGGCGAGCGCAGCGGCGAGACGAGTCTTGACGGGAAGACTCTGCTCGGCGACGATCTTGAGGAGCTGGAGGGAGTACTGGGGTTTCTTCTCCTCCTGCTTGAGGAGGTTCTCGGCTTTGCGGTGCTGCTGCGGATCCAGGGTTGCATCCAGCAGCTGGGCGATGTTCTGGATCTCTGCTGCCATGTTGACTTGTGTAGAAAAAAACTCTATCAAGACCAACGACGATCCGAAATGCAGCTGCGGTAGTCGGAATGGGAGGAGATTTGGTTTCGTGCGGGTTGGGAAGGTTGATCGAGGGCAGCTCTGTGAAATTTCCAGGCCGGCGTTGGAAAGTAAACGAAAGTTGATGGACCTCGCAGCAGCTTGTTGCTGCTTGGTTGCTAGGCTGCTAGGCTACTACAACTAACTGCCAGCCTACGAGGTGGTCAGTGCAGTCCCTGGCTGATGTGGGGGGACTGAGGGGCTCAAGAGGGGCAGTGAAGCAATGCCATACCAGAAGCTGACAATGGCGGGCTACGTAATAGCAGTAGTAGATCCTGCAGTACTCTCACAGATACAGATACAAGGGCATGCTGCTTTATGGCAGCAATGTCACAGTCAATCCAGAACCATACGCGGGCTCTTAAAAAGACAAAGTGGTTTGATTCATAAAATTTACAAAAGCAAATCCAACGATAAATTAAGAATAAGAATATACAAGACACATGTGAGGGAAAAACAAAAAGAAGGTCGTGCTGAGAATCGAACTCAGATTGCTGGAAAGGACGTGTTTTAATCGTCAGAATCCAGAGTGATAACCATTACACTACACAACCGACTCGGTTGAAATCCCAGTGATAATCTTCTACCTATATTCCACTACTTTCTTTCTGGAAACCGGCAGACACTTGACTGGTTCCTATTACCTCTACACTGATTCCCTGCGCACATATCCCCGAAACGCGTCAAATGCATATCCAAACCTCAGCGCGTCGTTGAAGTAAATAATCAGCAACATCAGTAGGAACGACAAATTGAACCTTTTATCTTTTGACGAGGGGATCGGTCATCCCTTATGCTTTTTTATTCTTTTCTTCCATAAAAAGACAGGTCCATCAAATTCAATGATGAGATGGAAGACGTATTCAAAACCAGAACACAATCCTTGATTGATGTTGTTGTCCAAGGCAAGTATTATTTTCAGCTCTGCCCTTTTTCTTTTCCTGTTCCAATTTTTCAAAAGCAGAATTGCCTCGTCTGCCGCATCTCTGACGACTTGTTGCAGCCTCCAAAGTCACCGCCAAGAACCGCGCTACTGATGTCAGGCCCAAGGTGGTCGAGCTCACCTCGGTCGCCTACAACCAAGGCGTTCTGCCCGAGGAGCTGGTTCAGCTCGTTGACCTCGTCATCTCACGAAGCTACCTGGACCAGGCGAGCCTCAACAGTATCATCAGGAACCTCTACCCCGTCGCAGCAGTCTCGGAGGATGTCGTGCTCAGGATCATCGGGTCTCTCGGCCTGGGCGAGCTGAAACCGTCTCTTGCGCTGCAGAGCTCACTTCTGCAGTGGGTCATCCAGGTCTACTACGTGCTGGATGCAAGAGCGCAGGGTGTGCTCGCCCGGGCGTACGGCGTGCTCTTCAGCCTGTTGGACGTCTCCGCCACCAGACCACAGCTGTTCCACATCCTGGCCATCATCACGAGGCGGAAGCACGTGCAGCACCACAGGATCCAGGCGTTGTTGAACCTCACCCGCCAGAATGCCAATGATCGTCACTTGCAGGGCCTGCTCCGTGTCTATAGAAACTACTACCCCGAGATCATCGTCGATAGCCCAGGCAAGGGAAGCACGTTCAAGCTCCCGGACCCGGAGTGGAAGGACAGGCTGTCTGTGATCCAGAGGATGCACCGCGAGATGCAGCAGCAGACCAGCGCTTCAAGTCCCCGAGATGGTTTCAAGACAGTCCAGCATCACCTGGCTGGAACCAAAGGGGCAAGGGCAGCAGCCGCTGTTCCCGGTGTGCAGACGTCCAACGCACACGAGAAATCAGTGACCTTGGAAGAAATCGACAGCGCTGAGAGCCTCGCGCTCAATGTTGAGAAGGTCGAGCTGCCAGACCACCTCGCCGCCGTCCTGATCGACCCTCTTCTGCAGAAATTTATGTTGCTGAGGCCTGACAAGGACTGGAAGCGCGCCTGGGTATGGATGAACATGCAGATCTCGGAGATCGTGAGCGGGGATGCAGACGAAGATGCCCTAATACACACATTGAAAGTCATTCGCGAGTACGCGCAAGCAACCAAGGTGGGAATCCCTCTCCAGCTTATACATGAGATCTAGGAAAAGGCGCTGATGACAAGTCCTTCCTATTACGCAGGATATATCTCCCTTCTTCCATGGGCTCGTAAAATTGGTCGGGAACAGGCTGCACCTTCGACAAGGCGGCGGCACACAGATTTATGATGTGCTCGCATATGCCCCCATCATGGATTCAAAAGGTGAATGACACTTCAAGGGCATGGTGACCGGAGCGTGGGCGAGACTGACGAAATGGGCAGATCTGTCTGCATTCGTGGCAGCACTTCAGTCGTCGCTCGACGGTTCTGCGGAGGCACAGCTAGACCTCCTCGAGTTGTACACCAAGCTTATCCGCCGCTGGGGCGCCACACTTCTCTCCAGCGACGCCGTTCCTCCACATACTTCCTCTTGCCTCGCGACCATCACTGAGCAGGCGAACCAGCTCAGCCTGACCCTCCTGCAGACCTCCCCCACCGAATATACGTTGCTCAAGATTCTCGACTTCTACGAGCGAGTCGCGTCCATCTACTCCAGGTCACATGTCCTGCGCAGCATACAAATCACTATCCCACCCGTGCTTCTCGTCTACACCCTCCAGTTCAGCACGTGCCTGGCGACAGTGTCTCGTCTGTGCACCATCCTCACGGCGTACAAGCAGGCGTGCGCAGTGTACATGTCCAATGCAGCCAAGAAGCTCGGCCCGCCCTACGACAAGGTGCAGGTGAACACCTTCAACGGCTTCCTCATGGACATCTGCAACTGTCTGTGGCGAGGAAAAGCCTTTGTGAGAAGCGACGCGCACGCGAGAGGGTGCATGGTCGGGGACGGAGTCATCGCCGCGCTCCGCCCCTACGTGGCCTCCCTGACCGACAGCGGAAGCGGCGACATGGCCCTGGAGGCGCTCTTCACCATGAGCTACTCGCCGCTGCTGTGCCTGCAGGCCATGGACCACGTGCGCCAGCTAGAGGAGCAGGAGGACGAAGACGTCGAGCTGAGGGCGAGACATGCAGGTCCCATCACGCAGAGGAGCCTCGGCCAGCTTGCGAGGCAGGGCGGGCTGGAGCTCGTGTGGCAGAACTACAGGCTCGGGGTGCTGCAACACCTCAGCGACAAGGAATGGAGAGGCATCTCGGACCTAATGTACAGCACGATGAGGAACCTGCTAGACGCGAAGGCCAAAGCCTGATGATCGCCACCACGGAGGCCCAAGGTCGTCGTCATGCCCTCATTGCTCCCTACTACATCTTGACAGGAGGGATCCGTAAAAATGAAGCAGAAGAAAGGTAAAAGGAAAAAGAAAGTACCGATCTCGAAAACAGAAGCGGTTGGGCGGCATATAAGCAAGGGGTCTTGTCCGGGCCCGGAACCTCGGCTCATCGGTCAAATCATGGCGGGGATGATCTTTGCGGGGTCCGGGCGTGGTCCCTGAACCTGACGCGCCCCGGATTTCTCCAGCCTTTTTCCTCATGCTCTTCCAACTGGCAACCTTCTTCCCCCTTGGAAATCAACAGAAGATGAAGAAAGAAACACCCGACCAACTCGTCGGACTTGCTGGCTCTCTGATCAAGCCGGCCTAGCCTGGCATGATTTCCTAGTCATTCCACCTTTGGCTTGAGAACCTCGCTTCACTGCGCCGCCTTGCAACGTGTTTGCTGTAGGCCTTGACGCAGCAGAAGTCGACAATTCGCTATATTCAGCTCTTGTCCACCATGGTCGGTGCACCGCCGCTGGCGGGCCTCAAGGTCCTTGAGTTCGCAGGTCTAGCTCCAGGTGTGTAAAGATCAATCTACGCCTCTGCCCTCCCCCGCCCACATGGCAACGCTGGCTGACACGGCTCCATTTCACCCTCTGACCAGGCCCCTTTGCCGGCCTCCTCCTCGCCGATGCAGGCGCCTCCGTACTCCGCATCGACCGCCCCTCCCCGTCTCCCACCCCTGACGGCCTTACGCGTCACAAGACCTCCATCGCCATCAACCTCAAGTCCCCCGCAGGCCGCGCTCTCGTCCTCCGTCTCGCGCGTGAGGCCGACGTTCTCATCGAGTCCTTTCGGCCCGGCGTTATGGAAAAGCTCGGCCTCGGCCCCGAAGTGCTCCTGCAGACGAACCCAGGGCTCCTCTACGCGCGCATGACGGGCTTCCGCCGTGACGGCCGGTACAAGGACATGGCGGGCCACGACATCAACTACCTCGCCGTGTCAGGCGTGCTGGGCCTGCTCGGGCGCAAGGACCAGAAACCCACGCCGCCCATCAACATACTGGGAGACTTTGCCGGCGGAGGCGCGACGCTGTTCCAGGGCATTCTGCTGGCCCTGCTAGCGAGGGCGAAGACAGGCAAGGGCCAGGTGGTGGAGGCCAACATGGTCGACGGCGCGAGCTACCTGGCGACCTTTCCGCGGCTCGCCAAGAAAACACCCGCCGGCGACGGGCCGCGCGGGACGAACCTGCTCGACAGCGGGTGCCCGTTCTACGACACGTACGAGACGCGCGACGGCAAGTTCATGGCTGTCGGGGCGCTGGAGCCACAGTTCTACGCGGCGCTGGTGCGCGGCCTGCAGCTGGAGGGCCAGGGCTGGGAGTCGAGACAGATGGATCGTGGATGCTGGGACGAGATGCGACGGGCCTTTGAGGAGGTGTTTAGGCGCAGAGACCGTGCCGACTGGGAACAAGTATTTGACGGGACCGATGCCTGCTGCACGCCGGTGCTGGAGTACAGCGAGCTCGAGGCGCACAGACAGGCGCGGGAGGGCGACCAGAGGCCTGCTGTCACGCTGCGGGAGACGCCGTGTCTGGCTGTTGATACCGGCGGGAAGGGCTCGAGCGGTAGCACAGGTGGTAGTACTGACCACGGGCCGAGTCGCGGTCAAGGACCCGGTGTCGAAGGCGATGGTTACGAAGGGAGGCTCATGGTGCCTGGAGACGGAGGAGACGAGACACTGAAGAGCTGGCTCGGGTGGGAGAAAGGGCGGCACTTTGATGTGGACGAGAACGGCGGCTTGGTGCTACTACAGCAGGGCCGGTCCAAGATGTAGGGCTCTGTTTCTTTTTTCTATGCTTCATGGGAGCGCAGTCTTGTGCCATTGTTTATGTGAGGTGTTTCTATCGAGCAATGTCATCATCTCCTTTTCTTCCACCCCCTCCTTATCTACTACACGCCAACCTCTTATTCAAGCTGCCATTGTATGTCCTTGAAGTCCACCCCTCCTCTCTCTCCTCCTTCCTTCATCCCCACCAAGTTTTTCTGGATCCGGTCGGCTCTATTCATCGTCTACGAAGAGAGGGCCAAGGTGTCAGCCATGACGTTCGACAAAAACAAAACACAATACCAAGTAATCCTCCTGAGGAGAACCCTTGTCAGCGCCTACCTAGTTCTTTTTTTTCTTTTGTTTCTCATATCATAATAACCGACAGCCTTGGAAATCTCGGGCACAAAGTTATTGTTGCTTGTTTCATTACTTGTTTTTGTACCCAGCCGGGCTCGGTGGAGGAGGCTTTGGTGGTCGTGGAGAGGGTGGTCTGCTTCGTGACTCGCAGGTCGCATAGAAGGAGAAGCCCCGTGGTGAGGCAGACATGGCGGTAGGCAACGAAGAGGATGAGGAGATATATATTGATTGATCGCACTCCAAGGACAGCGGGTGTCTCACTTGTTTTGTTGGGTTTGACAGAATCAAGAACAAGTAGTCGTCTGGCTTTGGAGGGTGTGTGGAGGAGGGAGAGAAGACAGGTGCCAACAGAGAAGAAGATGAGATGGGGAAGAGAGAGAGAGAAATACGAGGAAAGCGACAGAGACAGAAACAGAGACAGATGGGCGATCAATATGGGTCACATATCTTCCTACCCGACCCTTGGGGAAGAAGGCGAGCTTGGACATGGGCTCAAGAGCTATACATAGATACGAGAGGGGAGAAGGGGAACGGGAGGGGGGGGGGGGAGGGGAGGGAAACGGGAAAAGCAAAAACAAATGAGAGCGCACGGAAAGAAAAAAACTGAAAAAAATTAAGGAGATGGAAAAAAATTAAGGAAGAGTCACTATCACATCCGTCTACTCCCTCAGTCACATAAACATCCGTCCGTGCAAGGAAAGGAAGAAGCAACAACACACCTACTCTACACACCGCAACTATATCCACTGCACATACGTAGACAACCCCCCCCCCCCTTTTTTTTTTCTTCCTCCCCCTCCAAAAACAAAAAAAAATCCCTTCCACTTTCCTAAAAAAAAAGTAAAAAGAAAGAAGAACAAGTCGCCAGATGATTAAATCCCATCGCCTCGGTGAAACCACACCCCGGAAAGAAAAAGAGGAAAGGGGGAGGGGAAACAAGAGACCCAATCACAACCGCGGCATGTCTTTCCAACGGTTTCGAGTATGATTTGTTCATCTTCCCGCTCCAAGACCACTTGGGCCCCAACTATCGCACGTCAGAACTATCGAGATCATGCAGTCCACTTGTCCCCCCCCCCTGTCTTGTCCTGTCTCCAGTGCGGAAGGAAGAAGAAGACGAGACCCTTTTTTCTTTTCTTCTCCTTCCCTGGCACGAGCAACGGGATCTATGAAGAGGGGTAGGGAGGGCGTAGAGGAGGAGGGGGGCCATGGGAGAGAAGAGAGACAAGAAGGAGAACTGGACAGCGAACATGGGTGAAGAAGAGATGAGGAGAGAAAAGAGAGAGAGAGAGAGTGCGTGTGTATTGCGTGCGAGAAAAGAGAGAGAGAGAGAGAGAGGGTTCTCCCTGCGCAGAGAGGCGGTATGTAACGAATTGCCCATCTCCTCTCATGCATCCCATCCATACCCATCTGCACCTCTTGTTTCATCCATCTCGCCCAATAAAAGAAAAACATCAAACATCAAACCATGCCGTGGGTTCCCCGCCCTACTTAACCTCCCGCGGCTCGCCAAAGAGGTCGCCTGTTCTTTCCCTTTTTCTTCTTCCTCCTTTCTCTTCCCGTCCTGCCACCATTTGCTTCTTTTGCTGGATTGTCTCTCTCTCTTTTTTTTTTCTTTTTTTTTTCCTTGCCGAGTGTGAGACACACACACACACACACACACACACACACACACACACACACCTTCGGAAACAAAAATGAGGGGAGGTGAGCCAATCTCTGGTTGAGGCTCTGCCGCTGCCGGGCTGTCGCAACGTAAAGGAGGGTTGGAGCGGGACCATGCAACCCTCTCTTTTAGACTCTTTCTTCCTCTCTCTGTCTCTCTTTTTCCTGGCCTGCTAATTTAGTCCCGCATCTGCATTTTCGTTTGCTGCCTGGACCGGATCCGGGTCCCGAGAATGGCGGTGGCTAAGGGGGGCGCGACAGGGAACAGAGGAGAGGGGGAGGTGGGGAGGGGGAGTTACGATTTGATTCAGGTTCTGGAACCTTTGGTTATCAGTGGCTCTTACGAGTAGTCTATCCGTTTTGCAGGAGGAGGTGGTGGCAGTAGTGGTGGTGGTGGTGAAGGTGGAGGAGGTGAAGTAGGTGAATGACATGTTTGGGAGCACGAGCTAGACGATGTTACCAAGACTGACTGATGACACCGTGAGATTTCCCTCTCTCTCCCCAACCTAAACAGTATCCTGCTCGTCGCGGTCCAGAACCCGCGGCCACATCTTTGATAGTTTTCTCCCGAAGAGCACGCCAACGGCGGATGTCTAGTAGTGCGAATCAACAACAGCAACAAGAACAAGGGAAGAACGTGATAAGCATGATGTATCTTTCGTCTTTCATTCTCATGGCTGCGGATCTCCAGTATAATGGTATCGAGAGAGAGGAGACGCAAGACATGAATCAAGAGAAGCCGCCTTGTCCCCCTTCGCTTGATCCTCCTCTGACGGCAGTCCCACAGAAGAAAAAAGAGAAAAGAAAAGGAAGAAACGAAAAGCAGGCCGGTCTACCTACACATGCAATCCAGACTTGATACCCCTCAAAAACAGAAAGCATCTTGCCAAAATCTCATACCAAAGCCAATCAATCTCCCCCTGGTCGTTGTCATCGTACAGGGTGGGGGGGGGGGGAGGGTTCCATCATCCTATGTCCATTCATCCACACATTCGTCATCGCCGTGGCGATCAGGCTTTTGACACTGACGGCTGCCTGGCCATACGCGGAGTAGGACTACTGCCGCTCCTGCGAAGTGAGCATTTGCGCGACATGTGGATTTTATCGGGTCGGGGGTCATGGTCGGTCGGTCGCCTTGTGCCATTCTGTAGGCCTTCCACGATTCCTCATTTCGTTGTTGTTGGGTGCTAGATGTAAGACGGGATAATAACTCCGCGTCTAGAATTACTGGACCTGGCTGACAATCTCAGAGGCCCGCGACAACGACTCCACCATCTGCTGGCACTCTTTCCTTCGGCGAATCGTGTAATCGCTCTCCTTAAGAAGTTCGTCCATCTCGGTTTGGCGGTACATGTTCGCCATAAGCTCAGGCTGCATCGTGTCCTTTGTGAATCTGTCAAAGGGGAAAACCTCGGTTAGCAAAGGCTTTGTCTCGTAGCCAGCCACAGAATGAAACATTAATAGGTAGGGAAGAGAGAGACAGAGACAGCGACAGCGAGAAACAAGGGATATACGTACTGCACAAGAGTCAACATGATAGCCTTGGGAACCATATCGATCATGGTCCTCTTGACAATGTTAAAGTACGAGGAGATCAGCAGTTTTATGACCTCGACCTCCATGGCCTCCCGGTCGGACAGCGTCCCCGAGGCCTTCAGCGATGGTGGTGGAGGCTCCATGGCCGCTGCCTTCTTCTTGTTCTTGGCTGCGAAGAAGCTGCCAAAGAAACCGCTGCCTTCGTTGTTCATGCCGCCGTCCGTCAGGCTCGGGCTGGCGGCGCGGACTGGCGTCGACGACAGAGGCTTGCCTGTCTTGGGATCAACGGCTACAGGCTTGGGGTTGTGGCGCTCATTCACGATGGCCATGGCGCGGTGACCGTTCAGGAAATCGGGATGTCCGGTGTTGATGTAGCAGACCTCCATGGCCACCAGGTCCTTGACCAGCTTGTTGGTCGGCTCCATGGCCTTCTTGAAAAAACCGATCACAGTCCCGTGCATCTTCTCCTTGAGCGTCGGGTAGCGCCGGTAGAGCTGTTTGGTGAGCAGCTGCGTGAGGATGCGGACGAGCTCGTCGTAGACCAGAGACACACACTTCAGGCTCGGCTCTTCCAGCCGCTTGATCTGCTGCTTGACGATCACCTCAAAGGCGGTGGTGCCAACAAAGAGTGCCGGGGACGGGCCCGAGGCGTTGTAGAGGTATGTACGAATCTGCTCGTCCTTGACCTGGTCGAAGGGGTCGATGGCCTTGACACCGTTGGAGTAGAGTTCGTGAAAGACGAAGCTGATACGCGCTCCTCCCGAGAGCTCGGTGCTGGAGAGCTCGTTGTTGTTGCCGTCCAGGACTGTCCGCCACTCGCTCGTAAACTCCATGATGATGTTCATAACAATGTTGGCGCTGTTGCCCAATAGGGAGGGCCCCAGGCCCTCTAGCTCTTGCGAGTACTTTTGCAGAGAACTTGCGATCCTGGCCTTGATATCGGGCAGGGTCTGCTTGATGTGCATCATCAGAATCAGGTTGAGCTTGCGTGCCAGGTATGGTGTGCCGCAGTACGAGCTCTTGTTGCGGTAGGCCTTGTGGTTGTCGAAGAATGCACGTTCTGCCTCCAGAGAGGCATTGATGGGTTTCTTGTTGTCGATATCCCTCTGCCCTCGGTTCACAACAGGCACGTATCCCATCCGCAGGGGAATGATGCGGCCTGCCAAGATGTCCACCACATCGGTGCCCTCGTCCATCAAGTCCACCTTTGTCAGTACACCGATTGTCCTCTGGCCTTCTGGGTCGACCTCACGCGCCAGCTTGAGACCATCCGAGTTTGCCAGATCGATATTCGCTGCAGTTACAGCCAGGATAATCGCGTTGGACTTTGTAATGTACTTCAGGATCATGTCCTTAATCTGTCTCTCGATATCGCGCGGCTGGTCTCCGACGGGCACACGTGTCAGGCCAGGCAGATCAACGAGGGTCAGCGTGAGGACGTTCGGGGAGTATATGCGCAGGTTGATAGGAGCGGGAGAGATTCCGGCGTTTCGGCCGACCTTGGCTTCGGTCTCTCTGCTGATCTCATCCCGTATCTTGTTGAAGTCGTAGAACTTTTGTCCTGGGATGTGAAGAAACTCGCCCCACTCGTCGGCATTCGCAGCCTTGTCGGTGCTGTTCGCGATGTCTTCGCTCGTACCATTGGTCTCTCCGGTGGCAACGCGGTTGATCAGCTGCAGGACGAGAGGCCGTCTGGTCACGATGCCTGAGCCTCGAGGTAGGCTAGAACAGTGCTGTCAGTATTCTTCCCTTCTCCCTACTCCTAATAACGCCGTCTTGTCAGGTGGAGAGGTGGAAGCCTCGACGTACAAATCTCTGCCCACGATATTTTCCAGCACCGAACTCTTTCCGCTGGACTGACTGCCGACGACGACGATTTGAGGAAGATCGATCGGGTTGTTGACACCCACAGTTGTAAAGACATCCTGCAACTTGTTCACGAGCCTAATTTTGGACAGCATTAGCTCCGCATCCTGCACGGCATCCTCTTTGCTGATGACTGAAAAAGCGGTAGAGTGTGATGGTAATGCGCTGTCTCGACCTGTGGACGGACGAGGTTGGGCGCCGTCCTTCTCGTCAGGGGGTGGTGGTATCGCAACCGCAACGTCACCCTCAGACTCGTCAAACGGGTCCCCATCCTCTTCAGACACATTCGATCTCCGTTCAGCCGGAGCAGGACTCTGTCTCCTGCCAGCGAGAAACTTCTGCCAAGCCATCGTTCCGGTCGGAGGTGACAGTTGTGCTGTTCTTGGGTGGTGGTGGTGGTGCTGGTGCTGGTGATGTCTGCGCAACAAGGGGCAATGGGGACGTACGTGATAAGAGCAGGATCAGAAATGCCGCCTGGCTGAGCAAGGCTGCCAGAAGACATGGTTGGTGATGACAGCGTACCGGGTCGATCGGGTCGCGACAATAGTGAGCGTGGCTGAGGTTGACGATGTTTTGGGGGTCAGAAGTGTGGTGTCTTCCACGGGTTGTGTTGAGAAGTTGTCAGCGTTTCAAGGGCGGGGGAGGGGGCCTCTCTTGAGCTCGCTTGTCACTGTCGGACGCAGCTATGGTCTCTCAGGATGTCAAGAGGAACAAAGAAGTTATGCGATGAGCAGAGTAGTCAACAAAGTTGTTTGCAGTGTGTCTCTTCGAGACAAATGTGAGTAGTTGTTGAGCTGAAGTGCAACGGGCGGTCACAAGTGCAGGCAGTCAACTAGCGGCATTGACGTACGAACCCTTACCATAAACTGCCTCATAGCTGCCAGGGCGTTGGGCATGGATAATACTGGGTCGCTGGGTTTCGCTGGGCGCTGCTGCAGAAAGCCACTGTGGCTGGTGCGCTACCTCGCCTAATCGGATAAGGGGGTTTACGCGTATGTATGCAGGCTACTAGAGCTTCTGACTCACCTCACCATCACCAGCGCGTCTTCAGCGGCCTCCACCGTCAGATGGCCTCGTCAGAGGCGACGCATCAACCACCGCTAAATATATCTCAGAGACCCTTGATCTGATCACCTGAGCATACATCACCTGCTTGATTCGATGGATGGAAATGTGAGTCGAAATAGTTGCCTTTGCCTTTTCGAAGGTTCGTCTCTCTGAAACCTAGCGGGCCAGTGCACTGTCAATTCAATCGAGTCTTGCTTGATGGGCTAAAAAAACATGATAATCTCATCTCGACTGTGCGTACGTCTTGATAGGTAAGCTACAGGCTATAGCACACTGCAAGGTATGAGGTCTCTGGGTCGAGCTCGTTTGTCCTCTGCTGGCCGCAACTCCTCCCAGCAAATCTTCCGTGTGGTGCAGATTGCCTCCTGTGACTCAAATCACCGTCTCAAGTGCACCTCTCCCCAAGGTCTATTCATAAATTGCCATCACCTTGGATGGGGAAAATGCTGGCGATTCTTTCTCAGGGACAAGGTGGGATTGTATAGGTAAAAGGGGGGGGGGGGGTTGTTAATGACTCCTAGAATTACTCGTACTCCTGCAAATGTTATCCCAAACCATCTTCCAAGCGCCAGAACCGGTGCAAGTATGTATCAGCGTGTTCAAGGTGTTGACCGCCCCATCAACAATAACAGAAGGAAATTACATAAGTCATGCTGGTGATTTCGTCCATAATGTTTCTTTGGCTTCGAGTTTAGCGCAATGTGCTACTTAGAGCACTCGCATCCCGAGGCTGGACCTGGCTGGAGCTGGGACCGCATGCTTGTCCCTAGGGGCCGAGCTGTATTTCGCAGTCGAGTCGAGGCCGTCATGTCCATGCGCATAGGCAATGGATCCGAGGTTGTCAAATTCAGAAGCGTAGATTGTGAGCGCCGAGTACAATGTGAGACAGCTGCGAATCCGCCTAGTCATCGCTTCTTCGTCCTGTGCCGTGGCGCATGTGTGCTAAAACTTGCTTGCGACCGTTGTTTGACCACCTGTAGAGATATCATCAGATGAGAAAAATATAATTTTTTTCGTATAGAATATCACAACCAAAGTGGGAAACACGACTCACAATTTGATCTTGGCATCATCTCCGGCGGATGCCCACAGACACGGATCAGTCGGACTCCAGTCTACAGCATTACACCGGGGACGGTGAGCCTCGAGCTTTTCCACAAAATTGCCGCTAAGCATGTGCCAAATAAAGACGGCGCCATCTATGACGCTCAAGTCAGTTTTATCCTAATCCGCGTAAAAAGAGCCTAGAAAAGGAAAGGGAAAAGAAGCTGGACTGACCTTCAGAACCGCTGATAACAAAACTCTCGTTCGCACCGCCTAGATCGCTCCTGATTGTGTAGTCGCCGCCGCGATGGCCCGTGTACTTTTGCACGGTGATCCTACTACCGATGTCGATGAGTTGGGCAATGGCATCTTCTTTGTTGACGAGGAGGTATTTTGAATCTCTGGACACGCGGATTGAGATTCCACGACACGCCAGATCCAGGTCATACTTCAACTCCCTGGTCTGGCCGTCATACACGTGTATGGCATGCTGGTCATCTGCAGCTACCAGCCAGCGACCATCCGGAGAGATTGCCAGGTCGCCGACTCGGAATTTTTTGGTCCACGTGTAAAGCTGCTCGCCTCTGGCGCTCCACGTGCAAATCGCGTGTGCCTTATCAAAGCTGCCCAGGATGAAGGATGCGCCATCGGGAGCCCATACGCAGCTACTGACTGGTTCACTCAGCCTCTTGGTCCGCTGGATAAGGGTGCCGGTCTGTATTCAGTCGTCAGCTTCAATGCTCAACCTTTTGTTCCCCCCCCCCCCCCCCGAGGCAATTTGTGCTTCTCCAGTTTTCTTACCTTCAGATCCCATATACTGGCACATTTATCCCTTTCACATGCTACAAGCATACTGTCATCCGGGCTCCACGCAAGATCCCCAACGCCCTCATCCATGGGTTCCTCCCCTCTCGCTTCCCTGTGGTCGTGACCCAGCTTGTAGATGAGGTCGAACGTAGTCATGTCCCAGATGTAAATGTGCTTGTCGGCACCACAGCTAGCCAATCGCTTGCCATTGTTCGAAAAGCGAATTTGCCAAACCTCACCGGGCTGGTCCAGCTCATATACAACCTCATTCGGAAAGAGAGTTGGGTCACAGACGTGGTCCGTGTACAATGACGGCGAGGATGCGCTGGTATGCCACTTGCAGCGATCTATCTGTCTGTCCTTGACTTGTTGCAGAAGGACTGCCAATCGATGTTCGGGAAGCATAACAGAGGGTGATATGCGTTCTTAAGTGACCCGAAAAGTTAGCAATTTCAAACCGACACGCCTCGGTACTAAAACAAAAATCCGGAGAAGTATAAACGTACTTGAGAGGTTCGAAAGTAAGTTGCGCCTGGACATGCCACGGGCGCCATCCCAGTCCGCCTTTGACTTGACGTCCTCTGAAGATTGGCACATGAGGAGCGAGGAAAGGAAGTGCAGCAGTTGAGGGTCCTGGCTCAGAGGGGTCAGTTCGGTCCGCAGGACGGAAAGGGCCTGCCTATAATCCCTTAGCTCGAGAAGCTCGAGATATTTCTGTTGCCGTATGGAGAACCTCATGGCGTCACGGCTAGATCCTTCCATCAGCACCAGGCCATTGCCGGCTCTATCCTGAGAATCCACGGCCATAGCAGCACCTTCAAGGGACTGCTCTGCCTCCGTCCAAGAGCCGTTCAGTAACGCAGACCTAAAAGCCGCGACCGCTGGGCTCTCCAGCTCATAGCCGCTGTCCCTGCTGACGCTCTGGGCGGCCGAGTGGTACCCCATATCAGAGAGAGCTTGTATCAGGATGCGTGTGACTTCTTCTCGGTTGTGGCCGAAATAGGGAGTGGTCGGGGCGGCGGGTTCGCGGGACTGTTGTTTGCCATTCTGCAAGGAGGAGCCATTTAGGGAGGACGCCGTGGCCTTGTGTGTTCCATTAGTTGCGACGCCCTGGAAAGATCGTTGTGGTGGCGGCCAGTCGCTGTTGAGCCCTCTGGTTGTTCCGTTTGAACTTGCCTCTCCATCTCCTTCAGCGGACATGCTGTCTCTGCGCCTGCGTTTAGGTCTCCGCGGGTCACTCGAGAAGCCGGTTGCGGGAAAACTTGAGGAGCCCTGTGTAAAGTGCTCCTGGTCCTCCTCAGAGCCTGTCCGCTGCCTTCGCCCGAGTAACTGACGGGGCACAGCAGCCGTAGAGGCGGTGATCGAGGGAGCTCCTTGTTCCGTGGCCGTCTGGAGCTGGGCGAGAGGAGGTAGCCTTCTTGACTCGTCGTTGTGATGGTGATCGTCGCCGCTGATGTTGCTGTGCTGCTGGTGCCGCAGCTGGGGGGCAGCAACGGCTCGGGGGTCGGATGGGGCAGACAGGACAGCGCTGGAAGAAGGGCGATGGTTCGGCGAGGGGGATGGGTCGTCAGAGGTGGGTTGGGTATATACGGGCGGCGTAACCGATCGGCGAGTTGGTTCCGCCACGGCGTCTTCTGCGGGAGGACCTATCTCCCGCTGCGACTACGACCGCTCGACGGCGGCAGGATGATTTGGGGGGAGGGGTGGGAAGGATGGCTGATGACGAGGCTGTTGGCGTTGCCGGTGAGGAGCCTGCCTGGTTAGGTCAGACTCGAGGCAGATAGACTGTAGGGACGGCTGAAGATGGTGACGAGTGTGGCAGCAGAAGGCGAGTGGTTGTCGTGATATGAGGTCCGAGTAGGGAGGACCCAGGAGGGTGGTGGATGTGAGGCTACCGTAGAGGATGCCGTCATTTGCAGCGCCAGGGGGGTGGGCGCTTGGGTGGGCACCTTATGCCTGAGACCTTCTTCTGGCTGCGGAGGGCCCCTGGAGGATTTATAGCAACAAGTGCTCCGGATGCAGCGTCACAGGACTCACGACTCAGGTGCTCTCTTCAAAGCAGAAAAATAGGTACGTAAGGGTAGTGTGGTCAAGAGAGAGAGAAGCTGGTGTTGTCTTGGGAATAACTGGCCAAAGTGGTATTGTTGTCAAGGTCAAAGTTGAGGTCAAGCCAAGTTGATCGTGAACGCTTGGGGGGGATGAACAGCTGGAGGAGTCATTGTGGCGTGCGTTGTCCGGGCAGGTGGAGAGAGTCTGGGGCATGCTGCCACTATGTACCGCAGTAGCCAGGCAGTGGCAGGGTACTTACTCAGTTAGGCACCTGGCAAGCCTACAGGAGGAGACGAGGAGCCAGCCATACCTAACAGAGGGAAGTGGGGTCTGTATTTCTCACTGTTCGTTATCTCCAACTCAGCCAAGCACATTGCTCATTCGTGATTGTGGTTGATCTTTGAGCTTGCCCATTCTTGCAGATCAATGATATTACCTATGCTGGCAAAGTCCTCATTTATCAGCACAATTTGGACAATCCTGGTAGATCAATCTGGTGACATAAATACCTCTGTGGCCCACATCACCTTCTAAGTCTTACAACTGCAGTAATAGAAAGTATTAACTGACAACAACAGTGCTTCCCGACCCTCCGAACCGCCCAAACATCCCTCCCCCCCCCCCCAAAAAAAAGGAAGAAAATAAAGGCAATTTTGAGAGGATACTTATTTGTGTCGCACTGCATTGAACGGACATGCACATTCCAGCCACAGAAATCATGTTTGAGATAATGAATGGTAAATTGACACGCGACAAACACGCTAGAAGAACACACGGGAGACAACACTGCCTGCGTGGGCACTTCCTTGCCAGCATGAAATTGAGTCTCTCGAGTCTGTCTCAGGTTGCCGAACACACCATGCATGATTCTCCCTTTTGAGCCTTAAGAGCAACATGGTAGCATTGCTGAGGTGACTAGAAAGGGGGGTTTTAGCCAACCCCTCCTCTTCTCACTCGGTGCCACGGCCCTCAAATATGCGTGTCTCGGCCGTCCATCTGCCGTGGTCTCCAAACCACGCTCATTGCAACGACTTATATCCGTTGCTGCCCTCATGAACTCATCAACGCTTTCTCTCAATCCTCTGTCCCTTCACACGCTCGTTCAAATCATCTTGATGCTCTAAGTCTCTGGGGTTCCAAATCGGTCGGACAAGTGTAGAGATCAAAATCATCTGGGTCTGAACTTCCAACGAGCCGATGCAATGTCAGTGCCCGAATTCGCCCAAGTGCCTGAGCGCAACCCAGAGCGATATGGGCCAAGGGCTCGTCAGAACAGGGCGAAATGCTCTCAATTAGCTGCAGACTTTTTCAAAGATAGTGTCAAGAGGGCTCGTGAACGCAACTCGAGGTCAGTCAGTCCACACAACAAAGGCCGCGAAGAGCCTCGATGAGTGAACGGGCTGGGCTGATATCCCTGGTTGTGTAGACAGAGCGAGCTAGAGCATTCTCTGAGGGACCCGAGGGTCAGCCAGGAGGCGTTGTGGACCGGGGCAGGAAGACAGGAGGCCAAGTACCTGCGATTCCTCAGGACTCGCAACAAGGCCGATGACTATGAGGTTGTCAAGCTGATCGGGAAGGGAGCATTCGGCGAAGTCAAGCTGGTCCGGAAGAAGGCTGATTCCAAGATCTACGCCCTCAAGTCGCTCGTCAAGACCCAGATGATTGCAGGCGATCAGGTCGCCAGGGTCAGGGCAGAGAGAGATATCCTGGCCGAATCCGACAGTCCTTGGGTGGTGAAGCTCTATACGACGTTCCAGGACACCAAGTTTCTCTATATGCTGATGGAGTTTCTGCCGGGAGGAGATCTGATGACGATGCTGATCAAGTACGATATTTTCAGCGAGGACATCACCAGATTCTATATCGCGGAGATCATTATGGCCATTGAGGCGGTTCACAAGCTCGAGTTCATCCACAGAGACATTAAGCCAGACAACATCCTGTTGGACCGCGGAGGGCACGTCAAGCTCACCGACTTCGGCCTCTCGACAGGATTCCGAAAACTACACGACAGCAACTACTATCACCAGCTGCTACACGGCAACGGTGACGTACCGTCGCGCAACTCCCGAAATTTCAACCGGTACTCCGTCAATATCGACCAGATCAGCCTGACCGTCAGTAATCGAGCACAAATCAACGAGTGGAGGAAGTCAAGGCGACTGATGGCCTACTCAGCGGTTGGGACACCTGATTACATCGCTCCCGAGATCCTGACCGGGCAGGGCTACTCCTTTGATTGCGACTGGGTAAGAGCCCCATTTGATGCAACCAATATTCGCTGCTATGAAATGCGGGTGAGGTGCTGAAACGGCATGAATCTTAGTGGTCCCTAGGGACAATCATGTTTGAGTGCCTCGTCGGCTGGCCCCCCTTCTGCGCAGAGGTCAGGCAAGACGTCTACCGAAAGATTGTCAACTGGCAGCAGTGCCTCTACTTCCCAGGTGATGTCCACATCAGCCGTTCCTCTGAGCATCTGATCAGAAGGTACGTCCTTTTCACTGGCTTTCCTCTCTGTCATTCTCACCACTCGCTCACGCCTAATGTGTCGCCCACCCCCCCCCCGGGGGGGGGGGTGGGGCCGGGGTCAAATCTATCGACATAACCACCATCCTCTCCTTTGACCTGATCTGTCTGTCTCTCTGTATTAACGCATATACACACAAACCCTCAGCCTCATATGCAACTCCGAATTTCGTCTCGGCCGAGCTGGCGCCGACGAGATCAAGAACCACCCTTTCTTCGCAGGCGTGAACTTCGATACCCTACGGCGCTTCCGCGCCCCGTTCGAACCACGTCTCACCTCGGACATTGACACTGCGTATTTCCCGACTGAAGACCTGGAGCAGCAGGCCGCGAGCGCGATGGACGTCGACGACCCCAGCGCCGGTGCCCTGCAAGCTTCACCCGAGCAGCAGGAGACACCCGAGATGACGCTGCCGTTCATCGGATATACGTTCAAGCGGTTTGAGAATAACTTTAGGTGATATGTAGTGAGTGTCATGAGACTCGATGCTACCCATTAAGTTAAGTTTGGCATGCAATTGGGCTGGCTTGGGCTGTGCAGAGTGTATTTATGGCTGGTTGCTTACTGTGCTAAGGAGATGCTTGGTAATAATTGGGCAGTATGGAAGCACTTGACTTTCAAATAGTGAGCATTTCTAACGGAAGCCTGGATAAGTCGGAGCATGGATGATGATTATGATGTTCATTAATGGACTGTGGTCCTCTGGAAGGGCTTCGATCGGTATACATCTGACGGACAAGATACTTCTTCGTTCTGGTGTGATCACACGATATTTAAATAAGCATGGTTGAAGAAGCAGTCCTCTTCTGCTCAAGGGACTGGGCATCATTGGCTTTCCGGTAGATAAGTGTGTTAGATACCAATTAGGATATTACAATTGCGACTTCGTGATAGAACGGGAGGCGGGGAGGCCCTTTGAGGCTGCTTGCGAACCAGCGCGGGTATGACCTCGCCCAAACAGGAGGATTTGATGGGGCCAAGACTGTTAAGGTGTAAACAATAGGATCGGGCTATCTAGCAGCTTAGACGTGCACAGTTCATAGACAGACAATTGATGCTGAAGCATATTTGAAAGGGCTCATTAGTCTCTAGTAGCTGCTACAGTTCCTGGGAAGTGCGAGCCATGTGAACTTCCTCATCATTGACAATATTGCATCACCTAGCATGGCAGCTAGTCAGACATATCAAGGCAAATAATGAACAAGGAGAATGAATGAATACTGCAAGGGCGAGAGAAGGTGTAGAGTCTGGCAAGTAATATTCTAGTTACAACACACTCAAACAAAAAGACTATGCTGGTACCGTCTTTCTCCACAATATGAACGTTCAGAATGCCTGGTGACTTCGTATATCGTCCTTCAAAATTGATTTGGAATCACCCCGGAATGACTTACGGCTCTGCATACATAATTTTTTCATCAGAGTCATTTCACCGCCTCCCGAGGTCCTCCATGATGCACACACTCAAACAGGGTCCACTCTTCCCATATATTGGATCATAAACCTGAGCCAGGCTTATCACGAGAAATTACAGAAAATATCCTCCCAAAGAGGTAGTGTAGTCAATATCACCGATACCCTCATCACTAATCACCATCCTCCATAGTCATGTAAGCTGCCGCTCGGGGACTTTCGTCAAAGAGGCTGAAGGGAAGCACCAGGCTATAAGATCCTAGACAAGTGCTCCACCTGAATGAGACCTGTTCCTCACATGCATATCGGTAAGAAGCCCAGCCATCGGCTCAGGAACTCCCTGTGAGAAACTGGTTCCCCCCTCTCAGCCACTCGGGCCGTGGCAGCCATGTTGTGCCTTAGTATCAAGCCCAGAGGCGCGGAAGCGGAGCGGATAACGTTGTCTTGAATTCATTGATTGGTGATTAGTCTGCGCCTCCTGCCCCTCTTTCCCCACGCTCACGATATCTTTGGGACATGACGTCCGACAGGTTGAAAGCAAGCCGAGCAAGGCGCCGCCCCCTCGATGCTCACAACAAAAGAACAACACCTCAACTGACCAAATAATTCCGGACAGGCCAGGGGGCGGGCATGTAGCCCTTTGCATGTTTTCCGAGCCCCTCCCCTCGCCCGGGACCTTCTCGCTCCGGGGGCAAAGAGAGAGAGAGAGACAGAGAGGGTGGGAGGGGGGCAGGGTTTATCTAAGGACATGTCCAATTGACATGAGCATCGTAATGAGCGGGCCGTGCTCAGGGAGAAATGTCGCGTGGGCACACGTGGGAAGCTCTGGGAAAAGCCGGGTAAAGGTAGACTCGTTTCAAACCCAAAGGTCCGAGCGAGAGATACTGAATAAGAGGTCAGCTGGTCCGGCGCCCAGAGCTCAAATGGGGGTGTTTATCTCCGTAGGCAGGAATTTTGATCGCGGGACGACGATACAGACCCCGTTCATAGTTTCATGCAAGTATTACTGCGCCCGATTTGACTGCATGTTGTCTGGACACTTCCCACGTGGCACTTTCAGAATCCGTTGGGAGGGGGGGTTGGGTGGGATTTCCTTTTTTGATCCGTGGTGGCTTTTTGGCTCTCGACTGGCCTTGCGTTGGACACTATCAAAGAGTATGTACAGGCATCCTCATGTCGCCTTAATTAATGAATGGGTAATTGGCCCTTGAGTCCTGATACTCTATGGTACAGTATATAACCATGTGTCTCGATCGATGCGAAGCTCAGATATGATCCTGTCGCTAGCCATGTCAGAATCCTGGTACGACATTGTTAGGTTGCCCACTGAGATTGTAGACCTAGTCAGATCCTCATTACCCACCCTTGATAGCGCAGCAGTGGCCCATGAGAACAATCTCATCCGTGTGGAAAGTGCCAGCCGATCTGGCGCCGCCCAAAGAAAACGCCGGCTATCGCTTGTTGCCAAATGTAGCTCCCGCATCCGGAAGCCTCGTGACGGTTCCCAGACACTCGGTACCGAGGAGGGTTCCAGAAAAGAACAAAACCCCTTCTTCCCAAAAGCTCCCATCAGGGATCGACAAGCATTGAGGCTCATCAGCACTCAGACCGACCGTAGAATGACTCGAAGCTGGAGTCCGCGGAACTCGCGCGCGTAAGCTGGTTCCTGACGCACACGCTCGCTAGGACCGCGAAGATCCTCATACTTCAACAACAACAAGAAGGCTGGTTGCAATCTTGCGAACTGGCTCGCGTTTATTCGCGGGGTGGGATTTGTGCTCAGCCCTCTTGTGGCCCCGTGCTTCTCACTATCTACTGTATCTTCCCTGGACCCCACCCGTAGAAAGCACAGGATATTAGACGAGATCAATGTCCTTCGTGGTCTGGTCTGCGCGTGTGCTTCATGCCAAGCACCATCAAGTGTCTGTTCGCAAAAGCCCGACTTCTTCATTGTTCGTCTATTGGATGGTTTACGGCGTAGCCGCCAAGTGGAGGAGACCCAGCGCGCTGGGTACAAGTAGACAGACACACGAGGTGATCTCCAGAGATCCTGGTGAGGAGGCGGGTATGGCTGGATGGCAGCAAGCAGGGGACACCCAGTATCGTGAGTCTCCAGAATCTAATCGTAATGGAATAGTCCTAGAAAAATGCCAGAACATGGCTGCCTACATCGATAATGTCCTTTTGAAAGCTAAGCCCCAAGGGTATGGTCCCGCTAGGACATCACCACGACAAGTGCGCACGCAGGCTGGTGGAGAGCGGGACCTACTTTGGTAGACTGAGATCTGTAACTCCTCCGTGAGGCCATCGTCCTGTACTGCCACCCCTGCGTTGCTTGTTGAAGCCGGCGGCAGCTGAGGTGGTCCAAAGCGTCTCGTCGATCGTTGTATATCACAACAACAGGGCGAGGCGGCCCTGCCTCAGCCAACAGCAGCCTGGCAGCATTTCCATCCCTGAATCGTATAGATATACGCATGATATCCAGATAGCTCCAGACCAAGGGTGCCCGGTGCGTACTGCCTGCCGCTGTTGTCGGCACCCTGCCTCGTGTGTAGGCTGTCCTGTCTGCAACGACCACGTCTCTTGATAATCATGCCGGCCTATTCCATCCCATGTTTCATCGAGCGAGCTGCAAGGCGATCTCCCCCAAGCTCTGTTGTGTACCAACCTTTCGGGGCAGAGGAGGCTGAAGAGCGGACCGCTCGGTCACAAGCGGCTCGGGCCAAAATCTCTGCAGACCAGCACAGCCAGTACTATGGCAAAGCGAACAAGGGTGGGCAAGAAGGAAAGAAGAGGAAAGAAAAAAAGAAAGAGAAAAAAAACAACGCCAAGCTGGAGGGTTGGCTAGCTGGGAGGGTGGTGACTGACGTCGCGCAACCGAGCTGCCGATTGAAAGTGGAGGTGAGGAAGACCTGGGGAGAGGGGTGGTACGACGTTCTGACGCTAAGTCAGGAGAAGTCTTGACGGGAAGGAGAGAGAGAGAGCAGAGAGAAGAGGAAAGAGCTACAGAGGAAGTTGCGGGACCCCCCTTTATCCACTTGCTGCTGCACTCCGCATGTACGTTATTGGGGCAAGGTGGGAAAATGCTGTATCTATGTGTCGTGCCTTCCAGGGGATGGTAAGTTGGCATGTCCTGTTGTACATACTACACAGTACCATGGTACATACATTGGCAGTACAAGGAATTCGCTGGTGAGGTTCGTAACTGCCAAGAGTGTCACGCCGCTCCTCGGTTGCCCGAAAACTAAGTAATCCCCCCCCCCCCTCATCCGGCGACCCCTCAGGGCTGACGATGATGGTGATGGTTTTGGTGTCCTCGCCGAGGTTCGGTTGACGTCCTCAAGTCTGTTCACATAGCAATACTTCAAAGCACGTCATACATATGTGTCAACGGCGTTCTCCATACCGCCAGCCTGCCGTATTAAAACAATTTCATAATCATATATCTAAGGGGGTTTTGTGTTGTATAGGAGATTACGTGGGGGGGGGGAGGGAACGATACTGAGAAGCGTCCGATTTTCATTTCCGAAGTCCCCCTGCGCCGGCAGCCTGCCAGATCCCCTGATGACGATGAGGAGCCTTCATGGAGCACATACTATGTACTATGTCGTAGTAGAATAGAAACTATGATCAATATGCACTACTTTGATGTAGGATCAACAAAGAGTTGATCTGAGAGGTGAGGCTGACATGGAAATGCTTCCTTTCAGCGAGTGTTATCTTGGAGTTATGATGCGTCTATCGCCGCTGGGGCAAAAATGAAGGTAAACCAGTGCAGACGGCAACGAGGCGGAATGAATGGTCCACTCTTGCCAGTCTCAACCAGAAAAGGCTTCTATGATCTTCTCCCGCTCTTCGCTTGCAAAAATTTTTCCTTGTCAAACACTGATCATGGAGCTGTTGAGAAGCGAATTGTCGGGATCATGATCAGGATAAGGCTTGAGCAAGAGAGAAAGAGAGGCCCGGTTAATTTTTCAGGGGTTCTTCTTAGGTGGGGGGGGCCGAGGGTTGCTGACGGATCTTGGGTCGGTAGTAAACCGTACGCGGCTAGGGCCGCCCACCTCACGATCCAGGTAGTTTAAGGAATCTGAGGTTGAGAGGACTGTGAACTAGTGATCTGAGCCCGGATAGTCCCGTGGGCAAGAAGAAGGAAAAGAAAGAAAAAAAGATTAAGGATTCCAAGAGTATTCGACAGTACTGGGCCTGTATGGATTGCTCCCGAGGTCCCTTCGATGTATCCACAAAACTAAAGTGCTACTTTTCTAGACGTCAATACACACAACATTGTCGGACGATCCACAAGGCTCCTCCTCGCCCATCCTGATCCTACCTACCACAGTGCTCCTATTGTCATGGTAAGCGAAAGCATGGCATGCAGGTCAGTAAAAGTACTGACTCTGTTGATTTTTACATGCATGGCTGACAGTCGAGTCAGATGGGAATCATATTAGCAGGGTCCGTCCTGTT